AGTAGTACCGTAGGTAGATTCTCATAATTAGGATTTAGTAAGGGAGTGATTGATAGATAATGGATTAGAGACAGGTCTCCACGGGTTCCAATTTTCACGCTGATATGGTACTGCCAGCTGTCACCGCTCAAGCCCACCACGTTGTGGCTGATGCGGTGGCTGATGCCATATCCGGTGGGGTACACGTGATGCTGACGTCGTGAGCTTCCCCAGTCGGATCCAAGCTGTTCCTGTCTTCTTGTACACTATGCATTGAAAGATGCCTACCGAGGAAAAGGCTGCACATGATGACCGCTACGATCCGGCTGGTCTCCCGGACTATGACTGTGACTTTATCGATCCGGACGACCTGCACCGTTTCGAAAAAGCGCTGAACGCTCCCGAAGCTTCTCCATTGGTAGCCATCAACGACTGGCGCCCGATCAACCAACGCGTCCGCAAGACTCGAGGGCGTCGGAAAGCCCCGAAACGAAGCAAGGACGAGACGAGAGAAGGCGTGCTATACACCGTCCTGAAATGGCCGCTGCTGTTTACCGTGTTCACTTATATTGGCATCCTGGGCTGTGGCTATGTCCTGGTGCGTGTGTATATCTTCTTGTATGAGCAGTGGGTCACATGGCGGGGCAAGAGACAACGACTCCGTCTGTCACTGTCAGCTCAGAGAAATTACCCGGACTGGTTGAAGGCGGCACAGGCGTTGGATGCTCATCTCGGGAATGAGAAGTGGAAAAAGGTCGACGAATATGCCTACTATGACCACCTCACGATAATGAAAGTGGTAACACAACTGAAGAGCGCGAGGGAAGGTGCCCAGCGGGAGATCCAGAGCGGCGGGACCAGTGACAATGAGATGTCTGCCTTGGAAGAGCTACGGTCTCTCTTAGAGGCTTGCGTCAAGAACAACTTTGCTGGAGTGGAGAACCCCCGGATGTACAGCGAAGCTTATTCTGGAACTAAGGATCTGGCTCAGGAGTACATCGATGAGGTGCATGCCTGCATCCAGTTGATCCTGGACAGTAAGCAGATGGATCGGGAGACCAAATATCAGCATTTCAAACACCTCGATACCAATTTCGGACGCACGGCACTTTGCCTCTCGGGTGGAGCGACCTTTGCTTACTACCATTTCGGGGTTGTCAAGGCGTTGCTAGATAATGGCGTCTTACCGGAGATCATCACGGGAACGTCAGGCGGAGCACTAGTGGCCGGCCTTGTGGCAACCCGAACCGATGAGGAGCTGAAGCAGCTGCTCGTTCCAGCCCTAGCACACCGGATCCGCGCTTGTCATGAAGGGTTCGCAACGTGGATGCTCCGTTGGTGGAGAACGGGCGCTCGGTTCGATACACTGGACTGGGCCAAGCAGTGCAGCTGGTTCTGTAGAGGTTCAACTACTTTTCGAGAGGCCTATGAACGAACTGGACGTATCTTGAATGTCTCCTGCGTACCCTCGGACCCTCACTCGCCCTCTATCTTGGCCAACTACCTGACATGCCCGGATTGCGTCATCTGGAGCGCCGTGCTTGCTTCCGCTGCCGTCCCTGGCATTCTGAACCCGGTCGTATTGATGACCAAGAAGCGTGACGGTACGCTGAAGCCTTACTCGTTCGGTCACAAGTGGAAAGATGGCAGTCTGCGAACGGACATCCCGATCAAGGCCTTGAACTTGCATTTCAATGTGAATTTTACGATTGTGTCTCAGGTAAGAAACTCCCCATTTTGGGGTATTTCCCCTCCGCTAACGCTTATTTAGGTCAACCCTCACGTGAATTTGTTCTTTTTCAGCTCCCGGGGAACTGTGGGGCGACCAGTCACCCACCGCAAGGGCCGGGGCTGGCGCGGCGGATTCCTGGGCACTGCCATCGAACAGTATATCAAACTCGACTTGAACAAATGGCTCCGTGTCCTCCGTCACCTGGAATTACTACCTCGACCACTGGGTCAAGATTGGAGCGAGATTTGGCTACAGAAATTCAGTGGCACTATCACGATCTGGCCAAAGAGCGTTCCATCCGACTTCTACCATATTCTTTCGGATCCGAGCCCAGAACGACTTGCACGTATGATCCACATGGGTCAGCAAAGCGCTTTCCCCAAAATCCAATTTATTAAGAATCGGCTAAAAATTGAGAATGCCATCATGAGAGGCCTGCAGCAATGCTCCGCCACTGGAGGACGTTCTCTCTCCCCGATTCTATCCCGTCGGCTCCACAACTCGGAAAACGAGGACGTGATGGAGCGGCGATTGGATGAAAGTTTACCAGAACGTGACGAGTCAAGCTATAAGCATGAGTCGCCTTACGTCGACTTCTCCGATAGCATGTCCCAATCAACCTTCTCCACCTCCTCACGCCCTCAGACCCCCACTTCTCGAAGGGGTAGCGTGGTAGAGGAAATACAACGCCAGTCCGCCGTCTTCTTTGACGATTCTGACCTCTATGGCGACGAAGACGCCATAGATACCTGAGTCTTTTGCGGCGGCTTAAGCGCCTCGGCGACCGGAACTCAACATACACATGACGTTGAGCGAATTTGTTCTATTTTCAGTCACTTGCAGCTCCATTCTCCGTCCATTTTCCTCCCTTCCGACGCCATATTCGATATGACAGGCGGCTCTTGCCGATCCCTCTGTCTCGAGCGGAGACTCTCGGCCCCCGCTCACCTTACAACCCCATCACAGCCGCTCTTTGACTCTTTTGCCTTTCACCCCGCACTCTGCGAGATCCTTCATTCGCATGCCAAGGAGTTTTGTTTCTTAGCCTGGATACATGGGTATCGCTTGACTTTTGACTTTTGCCTTTTGCCTTTTGCCTTTTTTTTTCTTTAAATTTTGCGTTTTACTCATCCCCGGTCTTATTACGACACTGAGGACTGCTAACTGCTTTTTGGCTACATTGCATTGCAGAGTGTTTTGTATTATACTTTAGCTTCATGATTGTACGACTATAACATATTCTCGGGCAAATCCTTTGCTTGCATTCTGAACCGCTCTTAACTACGTGTGCTTTCGCTCGTCATTGTACATGTTCATTCAACGGGCGGGGCTGATCCTCACGCCTGCAACACGATGACATCAGCTTCCGATGGTGTGGCAGGGAGTCGACATCAGATTAAACCGGGGCCGCTAATGCAGTCTGATATGTGGGATGCCGTCATTCATATATGGACGGCGATCTTAGGCGGCGTTTTATTGCAGGTTAAGCGTTCCTATTCTGGGTGAGTTGATGCCAACCTTGGAATGTTGGAGGCTACTTAGTCAGTCTACGCTGTTTGATCTATCCATTACTGCGTATCCCGAGTGCCCTTTTTAAAAGTTGCCCTGGGTGAGCTCTATGCACCTGCAACCTTCAAACCCTGGAAGCAATTTTTTTTGTCCAGATTGGCCACCAGTATATGAAACTTGGCGTTGAAGAATGACATGCATGCTCTGATTGATTCTGTTATTTCTGGGAAGGTTCTATATCTCGAAGTCACTGAAACTCCTGCTTAGGTGGTTGCTAAAGCCAATCAATACGTACGGGATCATGAACTACGCCAGAGCACTGTGTATCAGGAATTATAAAAAGGTGGCGTGCGCAACTTTAAGAGAGAGATTATTCTTATGTGTAGTGATGAAGGAATGGGTGTATGTCGTCATGTGGTCTTAAACCAGGGCCATTTCAATACTGAAGCGGGATTCAAGAAGCGCGAGAAGGCACTTCATCCCACTTTCCGGGCATGATAGGAAGGCTCCTTGAGTTCTTTGTGTTGCCGAAGCCAAGGGAATGGAGCTTTTTCATTTTGCTCTGGTGTATGGTCTTCGCAGGACACCAAACATGTTTCTAGTTGTTGGTGCAAGAAAGATTGAACATTTGAACGGTTTCTTGCCTGCTCTCAAGATCTCTCTCACACGCAAAGCCCGCTTATACCTTCAACTCGGGATTCCCACGTACATTTCTCAGTGGCACACTATTCGAGGGTTGCCCTCAAGATGCCTATAGCCTAGAGGATGCGTGGTTAACAAAGGTACTTGAGGACTTTGACTGGGTGGAAAGTCCGAAACCGATTCTTCCGGACAAAGGTGATGCTTGCCGTGGCTTGTATCAACATGTTTAGCTCGCAACAAAATTATTTTCTCTAATTCCTTGGATGAACACTAAAAGATACGGGCTAGAAAAGTAAGAAACTATTAATCTTTAGAAATGCCCTGATCACTCTATCCTGGAAAATTTCCAAGGTTGTCATAGACTGGTGTTGAGTCCTGGAGGATTTATGTGGAAAAACATGCCTCTTCCTGCCATCTCATAATGTACTCCGATTTTCCATGATCTGTCTCGTCATGGGCCTCGATCGAATGTTGAATCAGATAGAGGCTTGATGGATTCTGATTCTGATCGAGCATACATGAACTAGCATCATTGGTCTAGTGGTAGAATTCGTCGTTGCCATCGACGAGGCCCGTGTTCGATTCACGGATGATGCAAAGCAATTATTTTTGCCTTTTTGTTTTTCACCCCACATTTACGCCATTATCATTAGTTATGTTCTATCCAGAATATTGTTCAATGGCCTTTTATAGTTGCTCCCCAACTCATCAAAGCTCCATTGGCAATGTCCGTGGATATATTCAGAATTGGCCGGCTCATGCTAGCTAGGGGTCTCCCCTCGTACTACTTGGTAACACACCATACTTCATAGATAAACCTAAATTTAGACAATAGAGCGAAGCTTGCCGGCAAATCGCCCTTGCGGCTGACAGATCCGCGTATAATAATTCATTCAGCGCGAAGCTGCCGATGAATGTGTTTACAGCAGCGTAATGGGCCCGGTCTATGTTTCATAGGCTCTACTAGGATTGAAGCCTTTCCATCTGATAGCAAGGCTAATTCAAGAAAGCTTTTTTTCTTCTCTTTTTCCTTTCTCAAAAGCCAACATTGAATTGAATATCATTGTCGAAAGTATCATACACATTATTAGCATAACTATACAAACACCGAAGTCAAGCCTTCAGAGCTAGATTCGTTTCAAATGACAAGCCACCTGTCGGTCACCTCCTTTGCAAGCTTTGCATTGCCAGCAAGTACATGCAGAGTTTGCAGAGCAAAAGCAGCTTCGTGAGAGGAATTCTCAACAAATTGACTGGACGGGGCCTGGTCTGCTTCGCCCATCACCACATCGTTGCCATCCGTTTCTTGTTGGGCATTTCTCTGGATATCATCGCCCAGCTTGAGCACCTTGTTGTATGCCTCAACGGCCAGATGAGTCAACCCAAGGCCATGGTACACACGCGCAAAATTAAACTCCATCTCCTGGCGCTCTTGAAGAAGTGACCCGGGCTTTTCTCGGACGAGGCGATATTCATCCATGAAAGAGAGGCCCTGCATGATAAGGAAATGCCGGTTCTCAGATTGTCGCTTGAAAGAGTGATTGATGTAAGAAAGAGCAATGGAGAGAAGAACACCGGGGTTCTGGTCATCCAAGGCGTATGCACGGAAGAAGTAATTTAGAGCAGGGTAGAAACTGCCTCCGGAGTAAAGCATGTGGCCGTAAAGAACAAGCAGAGCGGAATCCAGTTCTCCTGCGGGGATGGGCTCGCCCTTTTCGTCACGAGTCGAAAGAGAGGCACGCTCCTTCCAGATAGAATTTCGGGTATGGTTGGGCCGGCCGCAAGATTCTGGTAGAGTGTAATCCATCGCCTTGATCTGGCGTAACATAAATTTCATGCTGGCGGAATTATTGAAGATTGTCTTCCTTCGATTGTTTGAAAAGCTGCTCAGCATCGCAAAGATCCGATACGTGTCGGTAATAAATTGGTACTCCTTAACGAACCAACGAGCCTGGTCTAGGAGAGTTTCTTCATCGTGGGCTCGGATTGCACAAGCTGCGGAGGAATTAGCTTAGCTAATTCTTGCCAAAACTACGGTAGAGAGGACTCACTGAACCAGCAAACATGGACCAACTGCTTTTTGGCTTTGACATTGTGCCAAATATTGGCATGGTCGGCAGCTTCGAGAGTTTCATATGCTTCTTCATGCTCACCCTGATCAGTCACAAGGAGAGCATACTGAAGGAAGATATCAAGCCATTCATCGAAAGAAATTCCATGGTAATCGGTCGGGACAATGTCATTTAAAGGTTCCTCGGCCGATTCACCTGCACAGTGGTGTCAGTTCAAAGCCGATTCAAAAACATTTGAGCGTGACCTACCCCCCATGGACTTCTGCAAGCGCCCTGCCATCTCTTCCATTTCGCTCATCATGGTCATATCTTTGCCTTTGCTGGATTTTCGTTGTGCGTCGCTCGTATATCCTCGGAATTCCATTGTGCGCGCGATAGGATAGAAACTGCGATTGGATTTAAAGTCACGCAGCAGCGCATCGGCAATGTCAAGCCAGTCCTCAATGGCTTCTGTGTCTCCTTCCTTGATGAGTGGCTCCAGTTGCTGCATCTTGCTGTACAGGAACTGTATATTCTCCGTTCGATTGCCTTCTCCGTCAAGTGACCTTCTCCGGCCGCCGGCTGCTGCTGCCGTGAATGCAAGTCCATCAGTAGGTCTGGGTGCAATCGATCTAGGGGCTACAGCCCCAGTCCTGAACTCATCGGCCAACTGCTCAAGCCTATTGTCCTTTCTTCGTCGGCGGGTTCTGGTTTCCTGACGCCCAATGAGAACGGCCTCGTTAACAAACCTGAAGGCCTGCTCGCTCATTCCGAGGCTTTCATAGAGTTTCGCAAGCTCCACGCGCGATTCCATATTCTTTGAATCATGCTCGGCAACAGTAAGGTAGCAAGTCTCTGCATCCTCCACTTTACCCAGCTGTGTGTAACAATCAGCCATGGCCATGAAATAGCTGATGTCTGCATATTCAGTAGTTTCTTGAATTGGGGTATAGAAGCGGAGCGCTTCGTCGAGCAATCCAAATTCCTTCAAAGCATCTGCGACCTCGCGGAATAGGTCACCATAATCAAAGATCCGGGCCCCTTCTGCAGTATCGTCTGGGTTCAGCCATTCAAAGTGGTGCTACGAGAGGGTCAGTAAGATGCTAGCGAATGCTGACAATACGACGAAAGTTACCAGAGCTTCATTGTGATTTCTTTCGCCCATCTTCAGGCGGAACAAGCCCATCTTGATTCGAAGCTCAAGCGGAAGCCCAAGACCGTAGACATCCCGAGGCCACTGGCCTGGGATGAACCCATCAGTCTTGATACGACGAGGTGAGTCTTCCGGGTCCCATTCCCGGTCATCATCCTCGAAATCATCCCACATCTCATCATCCTTGCGGCCGAGAAGCCATCTTCCAAGTGCTTTGAGAGCATGGAGCCCCTCATCGGGTTGGCCAATGTAGCCGAAAAGCTCAGCGTAGATGTTGACATCAGACCAGCCAAAATCACGGACTGTCTCTGGGTCGCGCGTCAGATAGTAGTCAACACTTTCTGTCCAATGCTCGATTGCCCTTGGCACGTCATTCAGGTCAATGTAGATTTCTGCCAAGGATCGAAGGGCCTTGGGACTGTTTGGCTGGTCCTTCAGAATCCGCTCGTACTCGGCAGCGGCGCGACCGTTGTATCCGAGCTCGCGATAGACTGCCGCCCTCTGATATCGGACATTATAGCTCTTGGGACTAATTTCGATCACGCGACTGTAGCAATAGATCACGTCGTTCAGAGCGCTTTGCCGATCTTCACCTGCACGCTCCAAGAGAAGCCGAGCAACCTTCATCCACACGGAAGGAACTTTTGGTCGTGTATGCGCACCGTTCCACAGAGCCGCCAGGGCTTTGTCTTTTTGGCCTTGAGCGAGAAAAATCTCCGACAGCAACGAATGAGCCGTAAACATCTCCGGGTTGACTTGGATAGCTTGCATCACCAGCTCGGTGGCACGCTCGTAATTGCCATCAATGAAGGCTTCAGTGGCCCCGGAATGATACATCTTGAATTCCGGACCAGGTTCCAGCGGCTTCCGGGGGCCTCTCTTGATGCCCTTACCACCGCGTGCGCCCCAACGGCCAGAGAAGCGGCCTCCACCTCGCCGGCGACGCCGCCGCGCCCCAGCTGAATCTTCATCATCGTCTTCAAGAGGTTCATCGTCTTCCTCTTCCCCGCTGGTATCGCCGTCAGTATCAACATGGCATTCGCGTGGACAGAAATGCGTACCTGTCATTATCTTCCTCTGTGTAGACAAATTCAGAATCGTCATCCTCTCCAGTCAGATCCGGAGGTCGGACTTGGCTCTCTTCTGATAGCTCATCGGCCGAGTAATCTTGCTGGGCTTCGGATTCTGGTTCTGGTTCGTTTTGAGGCAATGTCCCTCCATACAAACGAGGGTCAATCACCGATGTTACAAGATGATCGGTGGCTGATTGTTGGCCCTGCCATGGGTAGTGTAGAGTCTCATCGATATCGGGGTATGCAGATCCCTCCGCCACCGAGGACGTGTCCATGGGGAAATCCCAGTCTGCCATGATGACAAGCCGGGGTCGACAGGATCAATCAGATCAAGAAGAGTCAAAGCACTTATCAGTAAAGAGCGCAACAGCAGTCGACGATCATCAATCGGGGTTTATTTGCGTGACGAACCAGCCCGCTGGGACCATGGCCCAGACCGTCTTCGGCGAGAGACAAGAAGTGCGTTTCAGATGCAGCCCCGGTTAATCCATAGTAGCAGCTCCACAAATAGAATTGATGAATCGAATCCAGCTTGGAAATAGGAACAGATAGTAGATAGAGGTTAAGGGTGGAATGTCGTGGTCGAATTCACCTTCATTCCCGGAACCCGTGACCCTGAAACAGAAAAGCCTCTTCGCGGCCGCACTTGCTCTTCTCTCTTCCCCCTCCAACTTCCACCACCCTACCCTCCCCCTTTTCCTTTCTTCTAGGGGATCCTCTCGGCTTGTTGTGTTTGACACACTATTGCCTTCAGGTCCTGACTTTCCTTCGTTCGGGTCTTATACGTCGCCTCCCCCTCGTCCTCGAGTCTTTGTCGAAATTCGAGGTGCAGCCACTGGACTGGTCTGTGCCTTCGTTGACGCCTAAACTCGAGATTCTAGGCCTCGCTGTGTTGTCTGACACCGAATCTTACCCAGGTCCTTTGGTCAGGTTTTTTTTGCTTCTATTTTATTACGCAAACTCAGCAGGTGCTGCAGGTGTTTTGCAGTAATCTTTTCATCCACTGTATTTACTATTCGCCTTTCACTTATCTTGCCTTTGAACCATGGCCAGCCATATCATCGGCAACCGCAACAGCACACCGGAGGCTGCCCCGAACTCCACCCTGCGTCCTCCCTCGTCCGCTCGCAATCTCGGTTCGCACCAACTGCGAGCGTCCGCTGACATGTCCGGATTCCCCTCCCCGCTGTCCTCCCGCAGCATGCGTCCCTCATCAGAGGTTTTCTTCAGCCAGCAGACTCAAGGTCAGAACAGTACGGAGGATGCAATGGATCGGGCAGCTCAGCAGTGGCTGGCGGATATCGATCAGTACGAAACAACGCTGGAGGAGATGGCAGCCGCTACGCTCGACCAGGACTTCAAGGATGAGCTCAGTGCCATCGAGCAATGGTTCCGTGTCCTGAGCGAGGCGGAGCGGACCGCGGCTCTGTATGCTCTGTTGCAGCAGACAACCCAGGTGCAGATTCGATTCTTCATTCAGGTGTTGCAACAGATGTCCCAAGGCCACCCTATGTCGGGGCTTCTTTCCCCGGCCAACTTTGGCGAAAAGGGTATGCCATTTGATTTTTTTTGTTTGTATCAACGATTTCAACTAACGTAATTTCGGCGATTAGATGCCATGTCAAGCCGCTTGAGCGATGCCATGTCGAAACTTAACATGGACAGCTCACGGAGTTCTTTGGGCCGGCCCCCACCATCCCCAGGAGCTAAGCGCAACTCGGGACTCGATTCCTCTACAATTAATGCGATGTTCCCTGATGCCGCCGCTGCGATTGCGAAGAAGAAGGCAGAATTCACTCAACAGACCGGCAATGCCCCTCCCTCGAACCGCAACAGCGCTGTCTTCGACCGTACCTCTTTCGTTGCTCCCACGATCTCGGCTCCCGATAATAGCGATCTGGGCCAACCTCCCGCGTCTCCATGGGCTCAGCGCGGTGGCCTTTCGGACACTCAGCCTCCCATTGCCCGGCCCAAGTCTTCCTCGGGTCATCATCCTATGGGCCAATTCACTCAGTCGTCCTCTGGTATGCGCTCCCCTCTCCCTCAGACGGCTACGATGCCGGCTCCCGACATTGAACCTCCGCTTCTCTCTCCGTACAATGTTGGAAACCACAGCTGGGCTTCGATGACCAACACCCCAATGACCGCCACCTTTGGTCAGCAACAAAACAACCAGAACACCCAGGCGGACATGGTTGCCAATGCAACCGCGATGAAGCTGGCAGCTTTGTCTACGGTAAACAACCGCATTGCGCTGGATGATGCTCGGAAGTATCGCCGTGCCCGCTCCAACGATGGCCACGGCAAGAACTCGGCTGGGAATCCCACCCTTTCCCAGGGTCTGGCTAGCCCAGGCCTGTCCGGATCCATGGCCGGCCAGCTGTTGAATGCTCAGCAACTTGCCGCTCTGCAGGCTCAGCAGCAGGCAGCCATGGTGGGTCGGCGATCTCGCCCGGCGTCTCCCGGCATTGCCATGCAAGGAGGCGGACTCGGCCCCATGGGCTTCACCTCCCCGCAGAACAACGGGTTCCTGGCCGCGTACGACCCGAACAACTCGCTGATGGGCAACGGACTGAGTTCGCTGGGCATCAGCCAGTTCGGTCTCGGTGGTGAAGGCTACCTGTCCGACCACTCGGAAGTCACTCGTGGACGTTCGCCGCGTGGTCGCCGTGGAAGCTCTAAGCCTCCGGAGGATCCCACCGACCCGGCTCTTCTGAAGGACATCCCCAGCTGGCTGCGATCCCTTCGTTTGCACAAGTATACCGACCACTTGAAGGACCTCCAGTGGACGGAGCTGGTTGAACTGGACGACAAGGCCCTGGAGGACCGCGGAGTCAATGCACTGGGTGCACGGAACAAGATGCTAAAGGTAAGTTATTTGCACTATTTCGAATCATTTCATTTTTTAACAATATTGTCAGGTCTTCGAGCAGGTTAGAGAAGCTCGTGCCGATGGCAAGCTCGAGCATCTTCCTTGATCTTGATCTCGTCTGCATGAGAGCATGGCATGTCGAGCTGGTTCTCCGAATCAGCGAATCCACTGCCCAAGCGATTTCATGGAATTGAATCATTTTCAATTTCCACTTATCATGTGTGATTTGGTTTTATTTATTTTTCATTTTCATCTTTCTTCCTCATTCGTTCTGTGATCTTTGTTCACCTTAATACGATGGATGTGGGATTCGACATGTATCAAACGCAGTGATGTCAAGAAACGGATTCATGAGGAGGCGACTTCGGGCTGCTGAACATTGAAAAGGGTTAATCGTAGATATGAACAATTATGTCCCCATTGCAAAATACATCCTGCTTTGTAATTTTCTCATGCATATCTAGACGGTGTCTTCAGCTTAAGGTCGCACCTGCTCGAATGTGGTCCGTGCACTTCTCGAAACCCGCGCCCGAACCTCTGACCTCGTTTCTCCGCCTACCGGAAGGTACTCGCTACGACAACTTCTCTCGATCTTCAATTGCACCTTGCAACAGGTAGTCCGGGTTACTCAACCTGTGCATTTGTATTCGCTGCCCACGCGCACAATCCCTGAAAGCGCAATTCGAATCCGAGAAGACCGCAACAGCAACGGGTCCCCCAAAGCAAGTCCAGTGCCAACCACATCTCCAAAATGGCACCAACAAAACAGGAACTCTCCTTGCTCATCAACCCCCTCGTCCCGGAAGCCGTCCAGCACAATAACCGCGTACGTCTCTCCGCCTCAACCCCCTTCCCAGCACCTCCCCTCGTCCCGGGTCCCCCTCTATCATCTCCCTAATTCCACCCACCCGACCAAGATCAAGACTAACAATCAACAGGTCCTCTCCTCCCTCCACAGCCTAACAGCCTTCCTCCTCGGCCTATCTGCCGGAATCCTTGCTCTCCAATCAACAGCCGGCTTCGCCTTCTACTTCGCCGGCACAGTCCTAGTATCAGGCCTCTTCCACCTCGTCCTCCTTTCCCGCTCCGGCGGCGCCGGCGCCGGCGCCTTCTTCCCTGGCGCTGGCGGTGAGATCGATGGCTCGGTCGTGATGACTAGGAGTGGGGTTGTGAAGATGGATTTGGGGCTGGGTGGGAAGGGGGGCTTCATTCTTAGGAAGGGCGCTTGGAGGGATGTTTGGTTTGGTGGTGGTGTTGTTAGTGAGGCGCTTAGTGGGTTTGTGCTCGGGTGGGCTGGTGTTGGGGGTGTCTTGAGGTGATTTGTCTCGTACGCGCGTGGATATGTGGTATGGTATAGCATGGTATGGTATGATGTTGGATGGACTTGCTGGGTTCTAGGTTTTGGTGAGATTGATGGCGTCTCCATGGGGGCATGATTTTGTGGTGCGGTGTAAATGGGGGTGGATTACTTTATCTATGTTTATGCACATGTGAGATGTCTAGCTATCTTTATCAATGCCAGAGCTGCACTTGTCTAGGGGATTATTGGTAGGCTTTGGAAATGACTAGACTGTTTCAGCTATTTACGAGTGGCGGGTCAAAAAATGATGAGACATGGGTAATGTATCATTCGTATGCTATGTAGGTAACTAGACTTCTTCGGCTTCCTGGTGTCCGAGTTACAACTTGCAAATGATGAAGATGGATAGAAGTGATTGGCAAAAATGTTCAATGCGATCTATATAAGTTGAGGGTATCCCAGCAATTCAAAAAAGGCCAGTATGTATCTTAAGCCCGAACCCCGGGCGCCGAGGACGTTTATGTGAACTTCCCGAAAACAAGAAATGGGAAGGAGAAGAAATATTAACAAGTCATATCAGGTCATGCCATGTGGCCTCCAAACCAGGGACGGTCCACAATGGAAACAAAAAACATATGCTTATGCTAAAGACAAGTGCTTCACATGTGCGGGATCTCGTCTGACGAGTTGGCCACGGCACTTTGCAGAGCGCTCGTCAGATCAATGTGGAAGAAGGGTCGATTCATGCCCTGTACGAGTGCCACCATGCGTCGGCTGCGGTACGCCTTGCTATCTGTCAGGTCGCGGGCAAGCTTGTCCTCGCGGATGGAGTCGCTTGACTCAGACGAGGTGGTCTCGACGCCATGTGCCTCGCGGGCTGTGGCGTTGGATTCAGTCTTCATGCCGGCTTCCACGTCTCCGTGGGGATCGTTGCGATGCAGGCTGTGCTCGCGCTGGTTATTGACCATCTCGGCCAGCGCGGCAGCGGACGAGCTGCCCTCGATCTCGGCCACGCTGAAAATGGGCTTCCAGCGGTGGAAACCGTCACTGGAGGTGGGTGAAGGGTATCCGAATCCAGCGGCAGCGAGACCGCGCTTCGTCCAGCGGTTGTTGATGTGGGCAAAGTGCCACTGCACTGTTCGAGGCGAGGCGTACAGGTCCAGCTGGTTCCGCACATCGATCAGGTTCTGAATCGAGGTCACATCCACGTTGTTGACAGAGGAGAAATCAAGAATAACGGCTTGGAGGAGCGGGCGGGTGTCCACGGTCTCGTCCTCATGTTTGCTACCGGCGTCGTTCCAAGGGCGATCACCGCGTCTCTTGAAGGCGTGAGGGTTGGTACGGCGAGTAGCGCGGAAGATTGTTTGAACCAGGCTATCGGTGTAGTGGTTGGCGTTGGGGTAGTTGAAGCCCTCGGAGAAGCGGTAGATGAAGATACCTGGAAGAGGCTGCTCAACCTCGATGTCGGGGTTGGAGCCATCAGTATGGTTGATGGGCAGGAAGATAGACCGCTGAGCGTGGTCATTGTGCTGAGCAGGATCCCTTTGGGCTCCAAGGGATCCGTACTTTCCATCGTTGTCTAAGAGGTGGTCTCCCACGACCGAGTGGATGGTCACACGGCCGAGGAACTGGCCGCGGGCCTTGGCCACACGGAAGAGAAGGACGGCCACGGACACACAGATCGTGCAGTAGATACCGTCCTCAATCGAGGAGAAAACGGTGACAATGACACCGATGAAGAAGATCAAGGCATCGAAGGGAGAGACGCGCCAGAACTGGTAAACGGTGTTGGGGTGGGTAATCAAGTCACCCACGGCGTGGATAATGACACCGGAGAGAGATGCCTTGGGAATGTAGAAGAAAAGGGCGGGCAGGGCATAGATGGCCAACAGCACCACGACGGCGGTGATGCAACCGCCCAGAGGAGTTCGCACACCAGCCTTGGACTTGATGGCAGTACGAGAGAAGGATCCGGTCGCGGGGTAGGCACCGAGGAAGGGACCAAGCAGGTTGGTGACCCCGATACCGACAAATTCCTGGGAGGGGTCGATAGTGTAGTTGTTCACACGGCCGAAAGACTTGGAAATGGCAATGTGCTCGATCAGAAGAACAATGACGGCAGCCGGCAGCTGGCTGAGGAAAGCCTTGATAATCTTGGGATCCATGGTAGGCACAGCGGCCTCCTGGAAACCACGAGGCACGGTTCCCAGCAGAGAGAACAACGGGTTGTCCTTGCGGTGCAAGTTCACGGCGGCACTGATCATGGTGTAGAAGAGAATGACAAAGACAGTACGCAAAGTCGAGGCAAAGAACCAGATCTTGGCGTGCTGCGGTTGCTTCTTCGCGGCGTATGTGCAGCCAAAGCGGATGATATACAACATCGCACAGGCCGTAACACCCATGGCAGCGTCAATGGTCGAGGTGGGTAGGTACTTCAAGGTGTTGATAATCACCATGTAAGTCGCACCACGGGTGGAAAAATCGGCGGTCTCACCCAGCATGGTAGAAACCTGACCGGAACAAATGCTGAGAGCAGAACCGGTCATGAAGGCGGAGATGGCGGGGAGGGGAATGAAATCGACAATGAAACCGAGTCGAAGCAGACCCATGGTGGTAACAATGCCACCTAGGATGACAGCGAGGCAGGATGCAATGATATGACCGGGGACTTCGGGGTACTGCTCTTGAACCTGGAGGACAATTGTGCCTGTCAGGGTAGACATAACGGCCACGGGCTGGGATCGGTTAGCACATTGCTTTTGAAACTCGATTACGGAATGAAAACTTACTCCGATGGTAATATCCTTGGAGGTAGCAAAGAACCAATAGACCAAAACACCCATAAACGACGAGTACAGACCGTACTGCACGGGCAGCTCGGCCAACTTGGCGTAGGCCATACCCTGGGGCACGACGACGGCACCGACGGTGATGCCGGCAACCATATCACCGAAGAGCCATTGCAAGTTGTATCGGCCAATCCAATTCAAGAAAGGGAACAAACTAATGAGGTAGTTGACGAGTTGACGACCGGACGGAGCGATCTCGCGAATCCATTCAACACTGGTCGGCTCGGGTTCGTTATAAGAGTAAGTGTCGACGGTGCCGACAGAGAAGGCGGATTCGCCGCGGGTGACAGGGTCGGTGGAGCTGAGGGGATCTCTGTAGGCGACCTTGATACCAAGGCCCTTGGCGATGCTATTGCCAACCTTGGCGGCCTTTGCACCAGCCATGATCAGTCACGAGCGGGTCTGCGGTGTCGTGTCTGACGAGGTTGAGTGACGGGTAGATCTCGGTCGACCTCAAATTTGAAGATTTCCCACAAAAAGGTTGGCGACGAAGTCAAGATATAGTGTGAAAAGAAGCTTAATAGACGCAGCCCATAGTGCCAGCCAAGAAAAATACGAAACAGGGGGGCAGAGTGAAGGCGTGCGTGATATGGGAGGATATGGCGTAATATCAAAGTATCCAAGCTCCCCGGATCTCACTAAACTTCGAACGCACAGGTGCAGCGGGCTGAGATTAAGGAAAAGGAAGGTCGAAGTGGACGTTGCAAGCCATAAGAATGAAACGCAGACGGTGTCCCACCGATGATCGCACTTCCAGGAGATGTCCTGGGATCCACCCGGGCCCTTCACGAAGGTCTGGAAGCGATGGATGACGGAACGAGCTTGGAGTGGTTTACGCGGAGGGTTGGACGAGACGATTGTGTGGAATCACCAGCATACCTCCGTGGCCTTCTTAGTTATACTACCCCTGCTTTTCCCATTGCCTTCTTCCTTCCTTTAATTCCTCTACATTTTCAGATTTTCAGATTTTTTCTTCACTGCTATCATGAAGCTTGATAAATCCGGCTTCTCCAGTGACATAAGCGCACCGCCAAGGGAGGCATGACGAATCAACGCACCCACGCGGGCGCCAGACGATCGGAAATGGGGCAAACCCCCGGTCTTTCCCCAATCACATTTCTTCCTGATGGTGAAATCGACCACGATGATGGTGACAGACTCTACCAACTTCACTGTGTTCCACGTTTGGCCCTTCACCTTAGCCTATGGTTGCTGGCCCCTCTTCACTAAAACCCACGGCGTTTGCCTCCCCAATTCTGCACCCAGCTGCGAGCAGCTGTGTCCTGCTAGGCGGGGCCTCGTCTGTCCCTGGGACGCAAAGGTACTGACTGGCCTTCCCATTCCGGAGCACCCACCTCCACTTGGTCCTGGGTCCGCTGCTGGCCGCGTCCCCAGTCCGCGTGGGCTCAACCAGGTCCGCCCTTGGCAGGGGGGAGGGGCTTCCGGTGCTCCCTACTCTATTTGTAAGGCGGTTAAAAGGCTAGGGTTAATCCCTACACCGTTCGCTATACGAAGAGTCGACTTTGCGCGCGATCGGCTCTGCGACTGTTCGTTCTTGGAACCCTGATCGGCACACACTTTTCTCACTCCTGTCACAGCTAACGCTCCGTGCGCGATCCTTTGGTGCCCGCGCAACGGGTGTCGCAGCTGGCGTCGCAGGCCAAAGGGGACACTGAGTACGAAAGTGACTGCAACTTGTCTGCACGTACCTTGCCACGCCATCCCGATCCGAATCACGTCATGGAGCTTATCCTGGGCCATAAACTTTAAACGTGTCTCGGGGCTCTGCATGTCTAATCCACCGTTCTTTCCAGAATGCTTCGTAAACCTATTCTATTTTCGTCATACACAGTCAACACACTCAGCCAGGGCTGGATGAGTGACTCTCGGAGAAAGGTGCCATCTGTAGATCCGACATGCCATTCACGTGGCCCTGATCATCTTGATTTTAATTTTATTTTTTTTGCCCCTTCAGGCGGCTTTGGCGTTATCATGCGGATGATCTGATTTGAACAACCCTATACGAACTCTAGCACCACACCTCGTTGGGTGGCGTAGCCCAACACCACAGCCGCTTGGTGCGCGCCCCATATTACATAGAATATAGGGACAATCCTTGGAGAAAACGCTTCACTTCCCTTGGCCTATGTGCGCATGATGTCAGAACTCCTGGGCACAGATCCGAGATGCAGATGTAGGGCACGTACAACGTGCTTGGCGAACCTAATCGCTTTTACTCCGTCATGGTGTCTCATAAGCTTCTATGTTACTCGCCAGATTTGTGTCCGAGGCTCTGTTTGCGGGATGTGCCTGTTGATTGCTGGTCTGCTGATGATGGTGTTTGATGTGGGTATCATCGAAACGTGATGAGCGATGAGAATTCAACCGATGATGGGCGTCTATACCCTGGAGTAGTCTTAGACACCCTTGATAGACAGGGACTCAGTAAGCCAGAATATTTTAGCTCCGCACTTAATGCTAGTTCACCTGTTCAGGCAAGGGTGAATATGGTCTTGGCATAGAGGGCTCAGCTAGAGCTACTAACTGGTCCCAGCATCGCATGTAGCTCTTGCAGCCTCTCTTGCAGCCTTCTTATCTCGGACATTCCGAGCCGCCACCAGTCCACGGGTCTCATTACTGATCCGGTCAATTCATAGTGGCATGATGTCTGGGTATCTAATGTCTGCAAAACGTGGATGAGCGATGAAGCATGCCATGTAATCTTCAAGACTCGTTTTGGACTCTTGTCACTTTCATCTTCTAAAAACTTTTATTGATATGCCCTTAGTAATGTGCCCATGTGCTTCATCAGGTCCTTCCTCCTTCCTCCCTTTGACACATGCCTCCAAGTAGGCGATGTGCTGGACGTTCCAGGATGAGCAGATTCACGGTGTCCGGTCAAGACCTCAAAGCTAACTTCCAATGTGGGAAACACGACCTAGGGAACAGGGAATGCGATTCACCTCGACAGCTACAATTCATACTCCGAGCCCCCCTGATGCAGTCCCCACTACCCGGTGGAACTGGCAAAGCACCCCAAGCATGTCTAACAAGGTACTCCGCTGAATCTCAAGCATAAAAGCACCTACCCTGCTGATGTTCTACTACCTCCAATCTACTACAATTACGGCTTCTCTCAGAAGATCGGTCATTGCCAATGAAAAATGAATTCAATCGAAAAACCACGCAATGTCTATCCAGAGTCGTCATCAGTGCAGGCTAGAAAAAAAAAAGCAGAATAAAAGGAACCCATCAAGATCACCCCACGATCACCCGTCATTCGGACGGACGGAAAGGAACAGTTCTTTTAATTCCCTCGCAAATCCGGGGCTGCATCGTGATCTCATCGTTTCATCACGGCTTCTCTTCGTCATCACAAGTCCTGCCATCCCGCCCAATTCCTATGGCGAGAATCAGATATAATCCCCGCATGAGAACAGTGAGATGAGCGTCATGTGAGAAAAAGGGAATTACAGGGAAGAACAGAAACAGAATTGAGAAGAAGTGAGTCTTCTGAAATTCGAGCGAACGCCATCGCAAAGCAAGTGTTTCACATGACCAGAAAAGAAAAAGAACGGTCCCGGCTTCCATGCCGGCCGGCCCCTTCACATGGTATCATAAGCGAAGTTTCATCAGTGGCTCCGGCTCGGGCCTTTCCTGATCACGTCGTTGCGCTCTCGCGCTTACTGAGAGGCGCACTGCACCCGCTCAGCACCCGCGGGAACATCATCATCATCCTCGTCCATGGCGCCGGCGGCACCGTGGGCGCGGGCCTGAGAGCCCTCGCTCGTATCGGGGTCCTCGAGCTCGAAGTCCTCGACCATAGCATCGGCCGGGGGCTGGTGCTGGTGGACACGGGGAGGAAGCACCTTCTCGAGGAGCTCGAGGTTCTGCAGCTGATCCTTCTCAGGGAACTTGACGTCGAACTTGACGTAGAGGTTGCCGTGATCGTGGTGGCGGAACGAGGGCATGCCCTGGCCGCTGATGACCTTGATAGCATCTGGGAGGAAGCAAAGATTAGTTAACAAAATCCTCAACGATCATAAGAGACGGAATGAGACATACCGGGAACGATAACCTCGCCGGCAGCGATGTTGACAGTCAACCACCGGTCGTCAAGGTGCTCAATGTGGATGCTACCACCGGCAAGGGCAGTCAACAGGTCGATCTCAGCCTGGTAGAACAGGTCGTCGCCCTTGCGCTGGAAACGGGGGTGGGGCTTCTGCTCGATCTCGAAGACGACATCACCAGGCATAACACCAGGCATCTGGTCACCCTCGCCGCGGAACTCGATCTTGTGGCCGTCGCGCACACCCTTATCGACGTGAACGTGCAGCACCTTGCGCTCGACAATGGTCTTCTTACCACTGCACTTCTTGCAGCGATCCTTATCGCGGATGATCTCGCCCTCACCGTTACAGTCGGGGCAGACAGTCTGGAAGCGCTGGATCATAGGACCCATCTGACGCATCATGGTCTTCATACCGCTACCATTGCAGCCTGTGCACTCCTTGACGGCACCATCCTTACCACCGCGGCCATCACAGCCTGAGCAGATGACGGACTTCTGCAGTGCCAATTTTGACACCTTGCCCTTGTAAATGTCCTCCAGGTTGACCTTGTGCACATGGTGGATGGTACGGGCCTTCTTCGGGCCAGTATCGCGCATGCCACCGCCGAACATGCCGCCGAAGCCACCGCCGCCGCCGCCGCCGAAGAACTGAGAGAACAGGTCCTCGGCGTTCATGCCACCAGCACCACCGCCGCCACCCTCTAGGCCTTCCTCACCATATTGGTCGTAGATGCCACGCTTCTGATCATCAGACAGGACCTCGTAAGCGTGCGACAGCTCCTTGAACTTCTCAGCGGCCTCCGGGTTGTCGGCGTTCTTGTCTATACAGGGCGAGTCGGAGTCAGCAAGAATCTCGAGCGGAATGGGGAATTTACGATCGGATGCTTACCAGGATGATACCGAAGAGCACCCTTCTTGTAGGCAGTCTTCAGCTGGGCTTCAGTAGCCGTGGGGGCAACCTATAACACGCGAACGGATACGTTAGTCGATACTCTTATGTTGCATGTTCCCTAGCGATCTCAAGATTGGGCTCCAAACATACCCCCAAAACATCGTAGTAGGCGGTCTCTTTGACCATTGCGACGAAGCAAAAGAACGTGGAAGATTAACTCAAAAAGAGACGACGAAAAGGGCGTAGAAGGAGATGCCCGAAGTGGTGGGGTTGGATGGGTGTGGAAAGGATGAATATCTTTAGGATAAGAGGAGCCGAGAAAGGCTGAGTAACTTTTTTCCAGGTACTGTACGAGCCCTGTTACGATAAATTACCAGGGCTTTTGGAACACTTCCTCTTGCTACTCTTTGACCTTTCTGCCTATTTGTTATTTCTGCACAAAGAAATACCGTCAATGAAAGCCTGCTAGCACCTTCTGGCGGCTTCTCTGCCTCATGGCGGCATGAATCTGGCCCGAGCGTCGATTCCACGGGATTCTGCGGCCTTCGATGACTTTCGCTGATGTTCTCCGTGCTTCCGTGTGCCACGGGTGTAACTCGTTGTACAGTAACTAAGGGGTGTATTGATGAGTAAGGGCGATCAACGATCATTGATTGACTCTGCTTATTCATGTGAAGGATCTGTTCCTAAGTTTGTTATGCCCAAGGTTGACTCGGACGTTCTCGCCTCCCGGAGTTTATACGGAGTTACTATTCCAGATCAGATGAGATATGGCAAGGACCCAGACTGTGGAATCCGAATTCGAATCTAGAATTACGAATTAAAGAAAAAGAAGTAGTTAACGTTAGTTAAGAAGAAAATGAAATTTCCCCGCCACGATGGATTCTCGGACACAGCCACATCTTATCGATAAGCGGAAAAGCTCTGCAAACGTCGGGACTCGCCGACGATAAGGCGATAATGAATTTGCTTCCCCTCATTCCGTTGTAGAAACCCCTCTCATAACTTAGAACAACCTAATTGACCCTCAATTTCATCATGGACGAACCCGGATTCATCGCAGCTGTGGAGGAGGCAAAGCTGGGCTACGCCGAGGGCGGCGTTCCGATTGGTGCCTGTCTAGTCTCCAAGGACGGCAAGATCCTGGGCCGAGGCCATAATATGCGTGTGCAGAAGGGTAGCCCCGTGCTGCATGTCAGTGCCCATATTGGCTCCTATATGCAAATTTCGACTAACTAGATCCCAGGCCGAGATGTCTGCGCTCGAAAACTCTGGCCGTCTTCCTGCTTCTGCCTACGAGGGCGCTACTATGTACACCACCCTCTCGCCTTGCGATATGTGCACCGGTGCATGCCTTCTCTACAAGGTGAAGCGTGTGGTCATTGGTGAGAACTTGAACTTTATGGGTGGAGAGGAGCTCCTCAAGAACCGCGGCAAGGAGGTTGTCGTCCTGGATAACCAGGAGTGCAAGGACTTGATGACCAAGTTTATGAAGGAGAAGCCGGAGCTTTGGTAAGTCATGCCTGTTTTTGGTTTATTTGTGAGAGGTGGTAGCCGTGCTGGGCTTTGCTGCGATATATGAGCCGTGCTGATTGTGACGCCGTACAGGAATGAGGACATCGCTGTCTAAGTCCATAGAAATAGAAAATTTGCATATAATAGCTCCATCACTGCTGGAGGCTGCTTTATATTCCACTTTATTTATGTTCATATTCCGATCGCTGAGTCTGATAAAAGTCTCGTGTATCGTTAAAGCTTTTTGGCTCTCGGCCGGAAGTCATCTTTCGTTAAGCGAATGTAGCGATTATTTGGTAAGGCGGTGGATCTCCTCGAAGTAGAACTTGAGATTCTCGGGATCAACAAAAGGAGTGACACCTGTTGTTGAGTCAGCACTATATAATGGAGAGGCGAGAGTATGCACGTACCGTGTCCCAAGTTACAGATCCAACCCTGCTTGCCCTTCTTGAAGCCCTCGACCATCTTCTCTACAGTAGGCGTGATGGACTGGGGACCACCGTAAAGGATGCCGGGGTCGGCATTACCCTGGATCGTAACCCGGCCGTTGGCAACTCGCATCGCCTCGGCGGGGTCGTGCAGCCAGTCCAGACCAACAACGTTATAGCCCGACTCGCAGAGGTCGTCGAGAGCGTACCACGCACCCTTCGCAAAGACAGTCATAGGGACGGGCTCCAGGCCCATCTCCTTCAGGCGCTTGGGCAAGTTGGTGGAAATGTGACGCAGGTAAGGGAGAGAGTGCGAGGCGAACGTGGCGGGGGAGAGCTCGCCGGCCCACGAGTCAAAGACCTGGACCAGCTGGGCACCGGCGGCAACCTGAAGCGCCAGATACTCGACACAGACCTCGGCAATCTTCTGCAGCAGAGCCTGAGACTCCTTCGCGTACTTGTAAACCCAGGTCTTAGAATGGACGAAGAGCTTGCTGCCACCACCCTCAACCATGTAGCACAGCAGGGTCCATGGCGCACCACAGAAGCCAATAAGCGGGACACGGCCCTTGAGTTTATGACGTGTGAGCGTAATAGCCTTGTACACGTAGTCCAGCTCGGTCTTCACGTCCACATCCTTTGCCATGACCTTCTCGTACTGTCCGTCTGTCGGCGACTGCAGCGGCTCGGGGAAGTGAGGGCCCTTCTTATCCAACATTTCCACCACCATTCCCATGGCCTGGGGGATGACCAGGATATCGGAGAAGATAATGGCCGCATCGATAAGGCCCGCATATCGGTCAATGGGCTGGAGGGTCAAGGTCGAGGCGATCTCAGGCGAGCGGCAACATTCGAAGAAATCACGACCACCCTTGGCTTCATGGTACTCGGGGAGATAGCGACCGGCTGTTTTGTAGCTGTTAGACATTTGAATACGGACTTGCAAGCCGAGGAACGTAGAATCGAGCTTACCCTGTCGCATAATCCAAATTGGAGGACGTTCCACCTTCTCACCTGTGACTGTCAGCGACAATTAACCAAGAGATTGTTGAACGACTTACCCCGTGCTGCCCGCAGCAGCAGGTCGTTCTTCAAAGGCTCAAATTGCTCTTGCATGATTGCTGGTCAAATACAAGAGGAGGGGAAGTGGGATTTCTCGGGGAGCCGCGGGTCAACCAATTGGGTGAACATGTTCCCCACTATGCCTCAAAATGCCATCAGACCTTTTCGGTCCCATTGCCAAGGCTGGTTAACTCAGTTGGTAGAGTATCTGATTCCAGTCCAGAAAGTCGGGCGTTCAAATCGCTCATCGGTCAGCAATTTTTTATTTTTCTTGTACGCCTCTATCCAATTGCTGCTCATTTGCTAGTCATAGACTTTTTGGCCCAGGTTGAAAGACTCTCAAGGCTTATAGCATGGCAGGGGAAATGTGTTGAGATAAAGGGTTATGCGGCAATGAATTAACTAGTACCTTTCTACTTCTCAAACGTTTCATTATACCCAATTGTGTACGGCTGGGCGAGTGGCGGATGAATCATAGGGACAGAAAACGAATCAACGCCCTTACCAACCTAGCTATCCTACTTCCCAGGATGTATGGACAATATTGAATCAATCGCAAGGAATTCGATCTCACGCGAAATCCATATAAGGCCGATACTTCGAACCAATCGAAAGGGATAATGCAGGCTTTGCGTATCGAAGGCTCGACGTTCAGACAAGCCGCACACATATAGCCAGAGGGTTTAAACCCGGGATAGGGAGCTTATAACTAAATTAAATCAGACACAGACTCGAGACGATGAGGCGAGAGAATGCCGCGCTAAGCTTTTGAACTATTGTCATCCTACTTGTGGAGCTTGATCGCAGGATCGATTAAGCTGCTGACATTGGCATCCTCAAATTTGGACCTTGCAGATATCGGACGCTTATACCCCAGAGGAGTCGTGACATATATCTTCATGTTAATTGAGATCTTCGAATAGAACTTGTCTCTTGAAGTCTTCTAATATTGATAATTCGCACATGTCGGTTTTCCCTTGTGGTCACTATTTACGCTCATAAAAGTGCTTCCTTGAGCTTTTGGCTCATTATGCTCCGTAACTTGACAAAATAAAAAGGTCCTGTCTTTTACTGATATAATCTTTTAACTGAAACTCACACGTAATGGAATAAAAGCGGCTGTGCAAAAGGTTGGGAAAGAATCAGGGCTTTGCAAAATAGCGCGCTTGGTCTTTCGGGACCCCCCCCCCACAATGGGCAGACAATCATCTCTGTAACGAAGAGGTGACTTTCTCAACCTTGAAAATACTCTTCTCGTCATTCATAGCAGGAGTAGAATGGACTAAAATGTCATGTCAGTCATGGAAACACGTCAAACAGCATCAGAGCAGGACTCACTCTTCTTCGCCCCTCCAACCAACACACTTGTAGCAATCAAAGATATGAGTAGGGTCATACTTGTTCTTCACTTCCAAAAGCTTGGGGTAGTGAGACCCGAAGTAGGTTTGCTGCCAGTCCGGCTCCAGATAGTGCGCTTCGTTGAGGTACACTCCGCCGCCAGGACTCAATTTCTTCAAGGGTTCCAACATTTGCAGGAATCCATTGGTGGTCTTCTGCAGCACATCATCCTCCAAGGGCTCCAACCATTCTCCAGCATGAATCACATGCCAAAGGGCATCGCGCCAGGCTGGGTTCGCAGATGATGCTTGGTTGCTATCAAGATTGGTGACGGGAGTCTCTGGGACGACCTGGGTTCCTGTCAGATTGAGGAGACTTCTAGACACCGCAATGCCATGTAATACTCCATCAACCAGCTCATCAATGCTGTCAGGAGCAGTGAAAACTTTGCGAGGAATGAGTCGGGAGGCAAGCAGAGAGTAAATGCCAGACGGCTCAGTGACCTTGGCATCGGCAGCAGTGACGGAGAGAAAGCTTGCATAGTCGGCGTAATAGTTATAGCTGTTTTCTGAAACAGAAAGATCCGTTCTGTTGCTTAGGAACTTGGCAAAGGAGGCTGTAGCAGACTTCAACTTGGAGCCATCGTCTCCATAGACGAGCACCAGGCCGACTGTGAACTTCTCCGGGAAGTACTCAATCTGCCCAGTTATTAATTGGGCTGACCAGTCAATTTGATTCTGCGCATGAGCTGTCATGATCTCGCGAAGAGCGACATTCTTCATCGCATCGGAGTTGTAATCGACGCCTGTAAAATTGGCGGTAAAGGTGTAGGTATGAATTGGTAGCGAGGGGTACACTTGGACGCGATACTTTGTGAGGATGGCATAAGTGCCGCCTCCTCCCCCACGCATAGCCCAGAAAAGCTCTGGGTCATTACACTGGTTAATAGTGCGCAGCTCTCCGTCGGCAGTTACCACTTCGAATTCCACGGCATTGTCGACCATCAAACCGTAGGTCGTTGTAAACGACCCGACACCTCCTCCTTGACCGAATCCACCGGCCAGGCCAACTGACTGCTCATATCCTCCGGTGATATCCATGCCATGGCCACTGAAGAATCGATAGGCATCACCTGCAATGATACCGGCTCCAAGTTCTCCAACATTTGGTCCATTTGCGGAGGGACACTTGCTGGCGGTGAAGTTGGAGTAGAATTTAAGGGTATCGAGGTTGTGAGTCCAGATGGCAAGGGTGTTTGGCACTGAGGATCGCCCGTAGTAATCATGACCCGTATTTTTGATACTGATGCGGATGTTATGGGTCTTTGCAAACTTGAGCGCAGCGGAGATGTGGGATGGTTCGCGAATATCGACATAATAGGATGCCAGTCTCCCAATAGAGCATGTAGGGAATATAGTCTCTTCCGGGTTGGTCTCAAGAAGAGTGCATCCGGAATTGCGACAGGTCTCCCAGTTCAACCAGTAGGTTTGCCCGAAGTGCTCTCCACGAGCAACACTGTCACCGTAGTAGTCCTCGACAACTTTGCAGGCAGCCTCGTCATAATAGGGTGAGTTCTTGTAACAGGGAGCGGCAATGGGAACTGTTTCATAGAGATGTCCATTAATACTGGCGTTGAATTGTTGCCATTCGCGTATGGAGGGCCAACATTTTTGACCGGGTCGACAATCGTAACCAGGGTCAGAGGCAGCCACCAGGCCAAGGGAAAACAAAAAGACGAAAGAGGTCCAATTGACCATTTTGAAGCTGGTTCCAATTGAATTGATCTTGGATCTTGAACACCGAGAATGAAATTAGAGTGATGAAAAGTTATTCTTCTGTATCATTGCCCCGCCTTATATACTCTAAAATTCTCTCATTCGTGCATGATTCAATTGCTTACAGCTTTCCAGTCTTACTCCAAGCGGTATTCTCATCGAAGTCTCCAGCATCAGCACGTTGTGTTCTATGATCTCATCGGAGTCTCAGGCATCAGCCCGTTATGTTATATGATCGCCATGATCGACAGGGCTGTTCGCCAAAGCTTACCGCAAGCGAGCCAAGGCAACGAGTCAATCGGCTCCGAGAGAGGTATCAATTACGACTAGCGAGATGTCCTTGACAGTGCGCAGTCAGAGAGAAAAAAAAAACCATCTGCCTGCACAAATGGCCATAAATGGTACTAGGGTGCTCCAGCCTTGTGGATCCCCGTATCGTCGGTCGAAACACTTTCTCTTTTCGGACATGCGCAGAGACCCACTCAACTGGCCAATAAGAATCCACAGCCACAGCCTCATATGCACCAACTCGAACCATGATGACCACTCGTTTATCTTAGCTGTCTTCTCAGAGACCACTTGCCCAATTCGGCATATGATACGGCCTGAAAATATGTGTCACGCTAGACCATAGCCGGCACGGGAGACGGGGCCCTGCAGGGCTCCAGAAGCTTACTTTCATTTCTCGCTAGATCGGGAATGCGTTGTGCTTAACTCTCGGGTTAAGGCTTTTGCCAGGCCTAGCTACTGCATTTTCGTTGCCTTGTCAGTTACTCAAATAGATAAAAATAACGGAAGGGATTTTGTAGGCATCAGATATAAAGGACTCCCTCGTCGTTACAAGTCAATATTATTTCCAACAATCAGCTCACCTAAATACAAGAGGAGCCTTCTTCACTCATACAATATACCTTTCATTTTTCCAACCACAGCTCTCAAGCCTCCATATCAACAATGGGTGTTGTCACTACAGAGGGTGTTGCTATTGCGGAGCTGGTAGTGTACATTCCGGTAGCACTCTGTGCGATATTCGTGGTCGTCCGCCACGGCTTTCACAGGCAGCTAGGATGGATCTATCTCGTCATCTTCAGTGGTATTCGAGTTGGTGGCTCTGTGATGGAGATCCTCAGCACCAAAAACCCCAACAACGCCAACGATAAGGAATGGGCAACCATTCTCCAATCAGTCGGCCTTTCACCCCTTCTACTCTCAACACTTGGTCTTCTCAAGAGAATGTTCGTTCGATCTTTTTCTCCATGGATGCAATGAAATTAAATGCTAACAGCTTATAGTATCGACGAGACATCTGAACGTGCTCCTTCGGATCCAACTTCGGGTGGAAACCTCGCACTGCAAGGGTTTGCTGCTTCCTCCGGCATCGTTGGTAAACTGTGAGTTTATACAGCCAACCCAGACAAAGCATTGGAATGTCTATTGACGTTTTTCCCCCTCCTAGTGTGTCGATCTACACGAACAAAGCAACCGCTACTTCCCGCCGAAGCAAGATCATCCAGCTCATCCAAATCCCCGCCCTCATCGCCCTCATCCTAGCCATCAGCGGTGGTACCGATCAAGCCTCATCTAATGTCTCCGACCAAAAGTCCGGCAAGACCGAGACTCGTGCTGCCATTATCCTTTTCTTGGTAATCTACCTCGCCGCCTGCTTCTTCTGGGTCATTACAGTCCGCGACCTGGGCAGAATGGTATCAAGCCAAAGACGCCTCTTCCTCGGTGTTCTCCTCGCACTGCCTTTCATCGCCGTCCGCCTGCTCTACAGTCTGATCGTTGATTTCGCCAACAACCCCAAATTCTCATTCGTCGATGGAGACCCTACCATCCAGCTCGGTATGGCTACAATTGAGGAGTTTATCGTGGTTGTCATGTACACGATTCTAGGCTTGATGTCTCCTCGCTCTACTATTGATCCCGCTGTTGGCGGCGGTGTCGTTTCTCAAAACACCTATGGCCTTGCCTCGGGTGCTATTTACCCGAGGGCGGCGGATGCTTCCAGCTCCCCTTATGATGATGTTTCCTATGCTCATGCTGGGGCTCAGCATGCTTATAACGCCGCGAAGGGCTATTAGGTGCAAATACTGGGGACTTGCCACCACCACCTATGATATGACTTTGTCCAAGGGGCGCATCAGCGGATACATGACTCGACTATATTTCTGGCTGCATTGATTTCACGTGATTCGAATTGCTATCCACGAGGAGTTACTGGTGTAAGGAAAGGATCAAGGATGCGATTATAGACTTGCTATTTATTGTACGACATTTCACGATATCTTAATCTAAAAACTCAATTTTCTTGCTCTTCTATTTCAGTGAAGTCATGTGAAGACCTTTTTAATGGGCTAAGAATGACCCAGTTCTAAGTATTGAAGCTCGGGGAACCATTCTCCGGTGTCAGCCAAGCCCGAGAATGCATACCTTTCCGCAGCAATTGGGCCATAGCCAGCGCTTGGTTGATGCCCATGGAGTGCCCAATCTTATCAAAACAACCTGTGATCCATTTACGAAGATCATCGGATGCCAACCCCGAATTGGCGGCAATCAATAACGGCCAGACCAGTGTAACGCCCCCTGCTCCCGTTACCTCAAACGGACTGGAAGGTGACTCCCACATGGCCCCTGAGCCTGAGCTAGCTGTAGGGTCTGTAAATGGAGCCGTAAAGGAGTGGTATATTGAATCAGCGCTAGATGATGACGGCCCTGAATTATGTTGGGCCATCGGTGACCATGGTGACGGGGCAATCGGAAATGAGCCAGTTAAGAAATCCCAACTGGTGAGATCTGAGATGTCCCCGACTGCTGGGCTGGAGCTCTCAAACATTTGGTCGTCTTCTATATCTGCACCGAAATGGAACGGAACGCTGGCACAAATGTCTTCCACGAGTTGTTGCGCGATCTGACGACTCTGGTTGGCCAAGCTGGACCGTTGTTGATGACCATTGTCATCATACCCCAAAGCGTTCATGTCCTTCACGGTGTCAATGATTAGTTCGTGGACGAGGATTCGGGCAGAACGGTAATTGTTCCACATGCTGCTCGCAGCCAGATTGCTGTATACGTGATAGTTGTCTCCCCAAACAGCTTGAGTAATGTGCTCTCCATCAAGAATTGGGACCTTGACGGTTTGGTAGTTCCACGACTGGGGCACGCTGATAAACAATGCCATGAGTTCTGCATCAATCGTCAAGGCAGTACGGAGGATTTCGCTTGGCTCCGTGATGGTCTTGTTTTTCAATGATGCGCAGAAATTGCTGAGCCTGATAACCAAAAGACCTAAGTTATCCTGAATTTGGTCCTCGGGGTTCCGATGAAGCTTAGCACTCTCCGTCAACTGAGCTAGCATTGGTGAGCTGTACTGTTCTCGGTATATTTTGCTGACACTCTGAGCCAATTTTAGTACAATATTCTCCCAGGGTCTAGTAGTTAGCTTCCGATCACGACTTACAATCTGCGCCCGTAATTGGGTGAACATATCCAACCCCTCTTGTCGAGTCAATTGTTCCGGACCCCGGAACTCGATAAGCTTTGCGGCCCCCTCCATGTGCTTCATCCAACGGTCGATAAATGAGTCATCCGTGCAGGTCATCACCTATTCACAGTTAGACACCGCAATACGAGCTTGTCAGCCGGAGTTGCTTACTTCAAACATGCCTAGTAAAACCACTGCCGCTAGGATGTCATCTCGCTTAGACATGATAGAATCTTTCAAGGCATGATTGGTCTGCGATAGTGCTATGGTGTATTCGCGCCGTGCCTTCAACATCATCTGTGGAGCTAGACGAATGTTGGATAAGGCTGCCAAGCCAACCGCATTGAGGGCCGCATTGACTGCCGAATTTCGTGGGTCATTGATCAACGGAATCAAATATGACATGTGGCCGCCACGAGGACCTCCGGACATGTAATGTGAGAACAAATAACCCTTCGCTAGTTCCTGCACGGGATAAGCAGGGCCGCGTCGGGGAGAAAGACCGCCTGTCTCGAAGGGGGATGCAGCAGTGCAGGCCACCGGGTCTTCGATCATGTCCTCGGCCGTGTCCTCGGTCGTGTCCTCGGTCGTGTCCTCGGCTGCGCGGGCCACAATGGGCACTGTGCGCTGTTGCTTGCGTGTGATGCGCTGCGACTTACGGATCACTTCTTGGCTTTGATCGCGGAAGCCTAAATCAAGTAGATCGCGATAACCAGGGCAATCCACCCTAGCTCGCATACACTGCGTGCATGCTGGGGACCCTTGATCGCACTGTAACAGAACTGTATCAGGGCCTCATTTCACCATCCCTGCGCCCCACGTGGGCTAACACGTACCTTCAAGCGACGAGTCCGACAGCGCTCGCAGGCATTGCTTGGCTTTCCACGATACACCATGGCGGCTGAGTAACGGGAATAGGGCTGACCGAAAGAAGCAGTCGATGCGCTCAGGCCCTTGAGTCTATAGGAAGCTGGCGGTCTGGAAACATTTGACAGAAGGGGGATGACGGTTATATGTCAAGTTGGGCTAGCTTTTCGACGGGCTGCAGGACTAAAGTTTCCCCCACCCAACAAACCCGCGGAGATGGCACCACCCCCGGATCAGGAAACTGGTATGGATCAGGCTGAAGCTTACGAGATTGTAGTCAGACATTGTCGTCTAATTATCCCGGAAATCGATTGATACATGACTCGTGTAGCGCGATCGCCCGATATAAGCAATAAAACAAGGTTATTCCGCTGATCTGCATCTCAGTGACCCGAGTTCGTTGGATCGGCCCCGACTGATCCCTCGTATCCCCTTCAGCCACTCTTCAGTAGCCTACAATCTGCATAGCCGGGTGGATCCACTTGCCTAATGCTCTAGTTTTGGTCTCCCACTATTCTCTCGCTTCATTTGACATTCTCTAGCTTCATTTTTTTTTGGGCCGTTCCTTGGTTTCGGGAAAATATTGCCGCGAAGCCCTAGAGATAATGCATATCCATCTTTCATCTAAACCGAAAAAAGGTGAGATAAAATGCACAGAAATCTATAAATAGATAACCGAGAGGAGGTTTGGAGAACCGAGCGAACGAAGAGACCTCATATCTGACCGTTTTCCCGTTGGAGAATACTCAGAGTCCCCCGCGAACATTGAATAGTTCAATTTCCACAATCACCCTCAGGACCTGGCCTCGTGATCATCCCAGTCATGCCTGCGTCCACTACAGTCCTTTTTGTCCCCGGCGCATGGCATAGTCCTGATTGCTTCGATACAGTCATTCAAGGACTCGAAGCAGCCAATTACTCAACCTGCAAGGTCCACTTACCCTCTGTCAACCCGCCCAGTCATTATCTTGACTTCTCGGCTGATGTATCACACATCCGCACTCAAATCGAGACTGCAGTAGATGCGGGTCAAAATGTGGTGGTTGTCGTCCACTCCTATGGCAGTCTACCGTCGAACGAAGCCATCAAAGGTCTAGACATCAAGACACGGCAAGAAAAAGGGCTGAGAGGTGGCGTTACCCACCTCTTCTTCTGTTGCTCCTTCATTATTCCCGAGGGACAATCGCTGATTAGTGCCTTTGGCGGAAACGATCTGCCTTGGTTCATGGTATCTGATGACCGACTGGAAGTTCACTCTGCGACTCCGGACCAGATTTTCTACAACGATTGCGATGATGAACAGGTCAAGAATGCTGTGGCTGCTCTTGCAGCTCACAGCTATCAGACTTTCCATAGTCCCTGCACTTATGCGGCTTGGAAACATGTCCCAAGTACCTATCTTTATTGCCTGAAGGATGCAGCGATCCCATTGGCCGTGCAGATGATGATGGTAGAGGAGACGGCCAAGGGCTTCGACATAAACACAGAAACAGTCGATGCGTCGCATAGTCCCTTTTACAGCAAACCCGATGAGTTGACCGTGGCGATTCGACGTGCTGCCGGTGATGATGTTTGAGAGCTGTCATTATATAACTAGCACATAGGTGGAAGTTGAATGCTCCAGGGCTTCTCGGTAGTTAAGGATTGTCTAATTATGGGGTCATTGCATGCATTCGCTCTCAAAGATGCTCTTTCAAGCTTTTTGTCTTGGTATACATTAATTACTGCATTGAAAATGCTTTGGCTCAATCATCAAACTTCATCTTTCGAAGATTTCCCAGTGTGTATAAGCAATCATCGAATGTCTTCTTGTCCTTCCCGTCGAGACTCGCTGGAAGATCAGTAGTCCCCGCAGCGTTGATTTCAGTCGTCATTGAATCATCTGCCGGGCTCCAGGTGAGAGTTCCAGGGGAGGAACTGACTTGGAAGGATTCAATCAAAGTCTGAGATGCGCTAGGGCTCGATTTCCACATCTCTGTCGAGCTAGCTTCCCGGACCGTGTCCACAGAGACGGAAATGGTTCCCTTTGAGGTAATACCAGTCACGTCGAGAACATTTCCGGAGAGCTGGATGGTACCCTGGGGCTTGAGGGTATTGTCACCCTCAATAGTGAAGGACAGAAGCTCTGGGCACCTGATGTAGAGATTAGCTGGGTTCATTGATTGATCTGGGGTGATACATACCCTTCCAACGCAACCAGAATGGCGTTCACGGGACCAGCGGTTTGTTGGAGAGAAACCTCCCAGATACCGCGAACAATGACGTCCTGGGCTTGCACAGCCTTATTAAGTGAAATCTTCTGGATGATCTGTCCCGCCCTCCAGTTCCAGACAATCAGGTAGCCATCGCCACCACCAGAAACAAGTACCTTGGGGGCCCATGATGGAATGCAGAGTTTGCTGACAAAAGAGGTGTGCCCCAGGCAGTACTGCTCAATGACGTGCACTTGAGGAACTCCGCGAGAGACACGAATATGCTCATCGCGGTCTGCAGTGAGGACATAGTTTCGTGTGGGGCTGTCAGGCGAATCTCCAGGCACAGATGCGGAGATCAAATCCAGAAGGACCGACACATGGCCGAGGATAGCCTGATGCTCGAAGTTTAGAGCTTCTTTCTCTTCCGGGGCGGGCTTATTGGGGGCTGTTCGCTTTTGCTGTTCCAAGGTCTCCAGATTGCGCTTTGTGTGTACCGTGAGTGGTGTCGCCGCAGGAATTCCAACATTGCGTGGCTTTGGCTCAGCACGCTTCACGTACCCCTCAGGAATCAATGGCAAAGAATAAGCGTCTCCAAACTTGTCACCGCACAGGAGAGTTTGACCATCAGGTGTCAGTGTCAATGAACTTGGACGCTTTGGCATTGTTCTGCGAGCAGATTAGTATTTATTTGCCTACTATAGACGTGCAGAGATGTCACCTACCGAGAACTGAGCTGCTGCAGCTTGCCCTCTTCACCCAAGCTGAAAACACGAATACACTTGTCCTCGCTGGTGACGACTGCTACATGTTTGCTGTCGCGAGAGACAACCATGAGGGGAATATTGGTCCAAACCGGAGCCTTGGTTTTGGCGCTCTTCTTTGGCGCCTTCTTCTGCTCAGATTGTTCTTCGGTGGCATTTTTGCTTTCTTCCGGGATTGTCTGTCCCTCTGTAGAAGCTGTAGCAGCAGATTCCGAGCTGTCTACGTCCTGGGGCCATACATCCAGGCGCTGCCCAGTGGCTGCGGAATAGGTGTAGAGTTTCCGGCCTGCTGAGGCAACCAGCACGTCCTGTTGGCCGTTTGCCTGTCGATTGACATACTCCAGACACTGGAAAGGGTGTTGGAAGCTCGCCATGACGAATTTGATCTTGAATGGACTCGGCAAAAATTTCAACGCCGCGAGGGGTCGATGTAGGTGCACCAACCTTAATCAAAAAATTTACCCGTTGCAAATGGCAAAGAATTTCAATCAAGGGAGCCGAATTGCCTGACAAGTAGTAATAAAAAAGAACATAAACGATTCCGATCTTGATCTTGATCTCGAGCTTGAGGAGCTCCCACGTCGCTTACTCACCCGGCCCAGTGTATGCCATCACGTGACGCACTAGCGAACCGAAAAAGAATTTCCCACAATTCCGCACCCCGTGAACTCTCTTCCTCCATCAACCACCAAATACCCTTAAACAACCTATCTTCATAACAGCAAGAAGAAATGGGGGGCAAGTCCGCTACCAAGGCCGCTTACTTCGATAAGCTCAAGGCCCTTCTCGATGAGTACCGCACCGTCTTCATTGTCGGTGTCGACAATGTGGCTTCTCAGCAGATGCACGAGATCCGTATCTCCCTCCGTGGAGAGGGTGTCGTCCTGATGGGAAAGAACACCATGGTCCGCCGTGCTCTCAAGGGCTTCATTGCTGAGAACCCTGAGTTCGAGCGCCTGATGCCCCACGTCAAGGGTGAGTTTGCGTCCAATTCGATTTTGCTATTCTTCCGGAATCGATTGAACTAACATCTCTTGTTTTAGGCAACGTTGGTTTCATTTTCACCAACGGCGACCTCTCTGCTATCAAGGAGAAGATCCTTGCTAACCGTGTCGCTGCCCCCGCCCGTGCCGGTGCCTTCGCTCCCGGTGACGTCTGGGTTCCCGCCGGTAACACCGGTATGGAGCCCGGTAAGACCTCCTTCTTCCAGGCTCTTGGTGTCCCCACCAAGATTGCTCGTGGTACCATTGAGATTGTCTCCGACCTCAAGCTCGTTGAGGCCGGTACCAAGGTCGGTGCCTCCGAGGCCTCTCTGCTCAACCTGTTGAACATCTCTCCCTTCACCTACGGTATGAGCATTCAGCAGGTCTACGATGGTGGTCAGTGCTTCAGCGCCGATGTCCTCGACATCACCGATGAGCAGCTCCTCAAGGCCTTCAGCCAGGCGATCTCCACCATCACCTGCCTGTCCCTTGCTACCAGCATCCCCACTCTGCCGGCTACCATCCACTCCGTCATCAACGCCTACAAGAAGGTCCTCGCTGTCGCTGTCGAGACCGACTACTCCTGGCCCGAGATTGATGAGCTCAAGGACCGCATCGCTAACCCCGATGCCTACGCTTCTGCTGCTCCCGCCGCCGCCGCCCCCGCTGCCGGTGACGCCCCCAAGGAGGAGGCCGCTGCTGCTGAGGCTGAGGAGTCTGAGGACGACGACATGGGCTTCGGGCTGTTCGACTAAGCGCCTCGCCATCTGATGGGACACGATGCCATGTATTAGATTTACTTGACCCAACCCCGAAAAGGGTTGGTGAATGAAAACGACTATGACTGGCTACGAAATTTCCGGACTTGTTCAATGGACGTAGAAGTACGCTCCATTATCTGTCTCGACTGAAATGGTGAGTTGATCCTTTTTTTGTTCCATATCCCCCTTTCACATCCTGCACCGCACCGGCGAATGATTATACATTTTTAACCCCGAGCTACGGCTCTGACGATTAAAACGCAACAACAACACTCTAATTTTTTAATGACGCCTTGCCATGTTTTGCATCTCTTCCTCACTTCACCATGATTCGGTTTTGGAAGCAATTGCTAACTATTTTGAAGTCGATAGGTTTTCTCTACCATTAGCTCGTAGTGTCTTGATGTCTTCGTAGTCGATGTAGGGAAGGGCGGACTGGAACTGACTGGCCGTCGCATGGCATGGGATGTGGACTGGGTGTCCTTTTGTTTGTACTCAAACCAAATGAAATACTCATGACACGTTCATTATCTATCTATCTCTCCTATTTTGTTAATAAGCGAAACTTTTTAACCAAGATGTATACGTTCTCAAAGTAGTCGAGCACAAACCCATAAGATCTATTCACGGTATCTGTATAGCTGAAATATAATTAATTACAATGGGGCCCCCGGTTTGAGATGCCATGAACACGAAAAAGCTATGCAACGTCGTCACTGGCCCCCGAAGCGACCTCCAAATCCACCGAGATCCCGACGGAAGAACTTGCCGATATTCTTCAGGTTCTCGTTCAAATTGCCTGCAGCCGTGGACTCGGATGGAGTATGCGTGTGGCTTGCCTGCTGTGCAGTAGCAGTAGCAGGGGCTGGCGACGAAGCTCCGGAATCCCGGGCGATACTGCTGTTTGAGGTAGTGCCTGTGATGCCCGCGACACCAGATGACAAGCTGGGGTTTCCGAAGCGATCGACACCGTCTTTGGCAGCTGATATGATGGCTGATCCGAGCATGGAGGCGTCGAAGCGGGAGGGCAGGGACGGGCCTAGGCCTTGCGAGACGGAGCCGGTTGTCGGTGCTGTAGGGGGACCTTGTAATGCTGTGAGAATCGGGTTGCTTTGTTGGAGGCTGGAAGCGTAGCGGTCCGATGCTTTGTGTAGCTGGAATAGCTCGACGAGGTGGTTCTGTTCTTGGCGGCTGCGGATGCCTTTGATGTCAAGGATCTTGCGGAAGTTGTTGTTGTTGCGGTCCGCGATATGAATCAGGTATGCTTGTACAAGAGCCTCGGGCGGTGATGGTCGGACTTGCAGGGTTTTGAGGAGGGTCTCAATCCTGAAAAAGCTGGTGTTGACCCGCTTGACAAAGCCTGCTGGGGCTGGAGCGGGAAGGAGTGATGAGAGTCCGCTCTTGAGGGTGTAGGAGTCAAGGAGCATCTAAAGCAGTGTTAGTTCGAAACACGATGGTAGGTGATGGAGATGATACATACCTGTTCGGCGCCAGTTTCTGAAACAGGTTTGCATTGGAAGACATTGCTGACGAACAGATTCGACATCAACTCGACCACATGGTCAGAAAAGGCTCGCGCATACTGCTGCTTTTGCAGCAATTGAAGGATCTCAGATGCTTTATCTTTGGCATGAGAGAGCAGCTCAGCAACATAGGAACTCTGGTCGCTAACAGCTTCAATCTTACTCCACGGCGTATTGCGCATTTCTCGCCAGCAAGGCTCCAGATGGACTTCAACCTGACGAACAAGGCCTCGTACGGCAGCAGATGCAATTCCCATGAAAGAGTCTGCTTGGCTTTGCAGGTCGACACTTTGCTTCAGAGACTCATCAAGGCGGCCCTTGATTTTCTCTTCTAATTGGTTGCATGTGGTATAGCAGTAGTCGGCCGTGTTAAGGACCGACACCAAGTCCTCTATCGACGGAACCTTTGATGGTGTGTGTGCTGAAGGGCGTTCGCTAATGTAATTGAGAAGAACCTGCTGTGCATATTGGTCCAAGTATTTCGCAAATACCTTTGCCAGCTCTGCTAAACTGCCACCAGTCGACAGCTTCGCACACTGTTGCAAAGAGTGTCGGTAGAAGTTAAAGAGCTCGATTGATGATGCAATGACGGTATGGGGGTTGAATTCCTCATCTGGGGGCTTCAGGGGTTGTTGGCGGTACTTCGGCAAGAGAGCAGCCAGCTGCTTGTCCTGTGCTTCCACCCAGACACTAAGATACGGCTCAAATGCCTCGGAAATAGATTGACCGAACGTAGGGATCTCGGTCGAAGTAAAGGTGTCTGTGGAAGCGCGAGATGAAGGTGCAAATCGACGTTCAAGAGAATGCTCGAATTCCAGTGTTTCTTGCAAACAAGAGAGCAGCAGGTTGACATCAATTGCCTGACCGCTGCGCACCGACCGAGCCAGGATACCTTTATAGTCGTCTCGTGTGCCTTCACAGAAAACATTGGCCAAAATTTCATTCACTCTCCAAGAGGCCGGGAAGATAGACGCGTTCTCTTCGTCGTAAATCTTCAATATCCGTCGGAACCACGCGTATCTTCGAGAGATGTTGTCCAAGGATCCAGCTTCTTCATTGTTCCTGAAGACCTGGCGGTACTCTCGGAGCTGGGTATTGCAGTACCAAGTCACAAGGCGAGATCGAGCATGCTCGCCCAGTGCATCAGCGACTAAGCATGCCTCTGAAAGAACACCCCGCCTCTGAGCCACCTCACTTTTAGCAAAGGCGATTTCGAAGTCCTCACAAACCTGCTCCAAAAGATCCCGTTGTATATCTGCCACATTTCGGCTCAGAATGGCGATTTGGTCGATCGATCGGTACGACTTGAAATGTGCCATGAGCTGGATCACCGCCTGGAGAAGCTGCGCGCATTCGCCGTACTGTCGAGTGCGACTGAGCGCTTGCAGCTGATCATACGCGGTCGTAAGCATTTGTAATCGCTTCAAGGCCGTCATCGACAGTGTGAGGTTCTTCTTTGCATTGTCCAATTGCTTGATGTCGGCCGTCATATCCGTGATCGCCTGCTCGGTCGTCAACGCGCGCTCTCGCACCTCGTCGATCTTCTTGAATAGCTCCGATAGATCCGCTTTGGCTGTCTGGATACGTTCCACGCTCTCGGCATTGGACGTGACCTGCTCCTCCACCAGCGTGCTGATGTCGTAGTCCAATTCATCTTCGTAGGTATGGAGCGCGTCGGAGATTTGGGAGGCGGAGGATAGGGTGGAGGTATGTGAGAATATAGCATTCAAGTGGTCGATAGGGTCATAGTCCACTGTACATATATAGGTCAGTACACCGGTTGGTGGGCGCACAGCGTTCAGTTGTCCGCACCTGCATCCAAGGCGTCAAGCGTGGGCTCCTCGTTGGGCGGCATTGAGCCGGTCGTTGGGACAGTAATCGCAGCCATCCCATTAGCTTGCCAGACTCATCCTGCACTTGGCCAAAAAATAAAGGGGAAACCAAGTAAGGTCGAGAGGAAGTTGGACAGTGAGGTCAGGCGAGTGGCGCGGGCCGCATGCTGGGGGGCCACCCGGGCCACTTGGCGTCTTACGCAACCTCAGCTGTATAAAATCCCAAAATACAACTACAATTTCAGAGGAAATTCGATATATGTAGAATATGCTTTCGAGCTCGTTATTTTTGTTCCTAGCCCATTTTAAGTCATTTGTAGAGTACAGAGTTGAAAGATACAGTCACGAAAACATTGCCATTCGCCCAAGCCATGCAAAAAGGAAAGCAACTTCAGTTAAATCATATCTCCGGCATACGGCGCACTGAGCAATCCATTATCGCGACACATTAGAAAGCGGAGCAGATTGGTAGGGACTGCATTAGGGAGTGAGGTAAGGCTGCGCCGGAGATCAGGTTGGAGAGACCGCTCATGCCGTAGGGAGGAAAGCGTCAGCGGGGAGAGTACCCTGTGCCTATTAAAGTCATGTTAGCATCTACCTCTCATCATATGAGTTTTAGGTGTGATTTACCTTCAATTCTTCGAAGTTCTTCCAAGCGGCTTCGGGGTTCCAACCATTGCCCGAGAGGGCCATCTCCGAGAATTGGAGGGTCATGCCAGACTTGGCGCTCATCTGAGCGACGAGTTGTTCTTGCTGGACTTGAGTATCGGGTTTACCGGGGGCAGGGGCGCCGTAGCCCGCAGGGAGGGCGAGTTGAGGAACAGGGGCAGCAGGGACTGGGGCTGGGGCCACGGCGGCGGGGTGAGCAACTGCCTGAGGAATGGCCTGAGGAATAGCCTGACTCTCGGGGCTCCACGCCTCATTGCCACCGTAAGCTCGGAGACACAACACATCACTGACAACTCGGATGCCGCCGAGGCCACCACCGGGCCCAATGATGAAAGTGCGGTCGAAACTGCGGGTTTCTACCTTGCCTCCAACACTTTCCTCGAACTTTCCGTGCACCATGATGATAAGACCACCAACACCAGTAGCGCTCTGTCCAGTGGGGTCAGGGAGTCCCGGCATTTGATGGCATTCAATAAGATAATCATCAGCATGCGTACTGATGTCGGGGTGGCGAGTTTGAGGGAGATCGTTCCACAGCTCGAGAATTTTCTCGGCGCCAGTGAAAGCACGCGACATGCGTGCAGAAAGATGGCTGATTTTGAGAAGGTTGCGGCTTCTCTTGATGTAAGGATCCCAGCCCGCCGTTCCAGTTTGCTGAGCCTTGGGAGCCTGCGTGTTGATGTTTATGGAGAAGGTAGATTCCTTGTCGTAAAACCCATTGACAAGCTCGGGGCGGTTGGTGTCGTAGCCAATAAAGAAGCCACGAATGAAGTTTTCCGCAATCTGAGACTCGTCCTGGTAGACAGGTGCTGAGACAGGGATGGGTGTCTTTTTCTGCGCAGCAATTTCTTCTGCAGTTCGAACTTCAACGTTGTTCAAGACCCGTAGTTTGGGGTACCACTTGAGCATGGTGTCCTTGAAAGTCGGGACGGCACTGATGGGGTTTCCAGTCAGATCCAGGAACTCCAGGTTTCGGAACTTCCACCGCCAGCCGGTCAGTGAAGAAGCGTCTTTGAAGTTATTGTTTTTAAGGTCTAGATTTTTCAGATCGGGGATGGTCTGAGCGAGAGTAGTAACGACTGTAATGTTGGCAAGTTGGTTGTCAGACAAGCTGACACTCTCCACTGCCTCGCGTCTCTCGGTGGAGTTGGTGAACTGCATCTCCCAGACCTTCATCAGGGCCGGGAAAAACTTCGACTCCGTAGAGGTGCTGTTAAAGATTCCCATGGCCCGCAGGCCTTCGTCGGTTCCGAGCTTTGAAAGGTCGAGAATTTTTGATTCCGGAAAGTAGCGCTTGCTGAGGATCTCCGTCATCTTGGATTTTGTGTCTGCGGTCGCGGCAGAGGTGCCGTTGCTAGTAGCCAGGTCGTGATCCAGTGCTGCAGTCGAAGATCCATCGTATCGTTTGACGGTGATGTTAACGCCTGCCCACAGATTGCCATTGGTTCGAATCATCCGATCCGCCAGTTCTCGCTTGACGAAAACAACGAGAATGTCGCCTTCGACGCGCGACTAATCGATCGTTAGCAAGGTGCAAAAGACCTTGAAAGACGCCCGTCACCCAAAGGAAGAATCGGCAGGGAGCCCAGGTAGTGTCGACCGACGATGTGGGAGCTCGTCCGCAACGAGCAAATACCGGCGCGGGTGACGTTGGCGTTGATATATATAAACCGCTTGTAATGTTGAACATACCTTGGTGATTTTAGCGCGGGGTCCAGATTTAACGATTGCATTCATTCGTCTCTCGAGAAATGCGGTGAGGCTTTCGACGCCGCCGTCGCGCTTGCCTGCCGCCTTGCTGTTCTTCCATCCGCTTACACTGAAAGATTCCAGGTTGCTGTTGCTAGAGCCGGAGCCTTGACCTTGGCGAATATTGGCCTGAGAATCCTTGCCTCCTCCGGAGACTGCAGTCTCAAGGAGATCCAGATTCCTCGCGCGCGCCTGGGGTCGGCTGGCTCCACTTGACCGTCCGGTGTCACCTCGACCACGCTTTCCTCCCCTCACACCAGGTCGTTCCATGTCCATATCACCATCCCGATCGGTGCGTGTCGGACCCCGCTGCTTGCGGATGCCCCCACCACTGGTGCCGCCGCGACGAGACGGTTTCATGGTTTTCCTGGGGTATGTTTGGACGAAACTGGGGGTGAGTGAAGTGATGCGAAGCAGTATCGACGAGAGAAAACAAAGGGCGATGGTTGGTTGACCTGAGGGGCCTTCGTGAAGTCGACTGCGCGCTGCGCGCCTTAAATCAGGCAAGAAGACGTTGTTCGCATACAACAGAGGGAGTTCGGAGAAATTCAGCAATGACTGGAGAGAGAAGATGCGTGGGAGAAAGAAATTTAGGGAAAGAATGAAGCAGGCACCTGTCTTTACGTAGACCAGGCAGCCGCAGGTACAATGCGCTCCGAGAAATAATCAAAAGATGCGAAAAAAGTGACGTGAAGATCACGTGGGCGCGACTCTGCAGCTCCCGCTGACTCATATGCTGAGTCATGCTGTTCCCCACCAATCAACGGCTGTGATCTGTCCTCACTATCAGCGGGTCCATCTATAGACGCCCTCAAGCCTTGTACATCTGATCTGGCCAACTTGCACCAGGCCTCATTCTCGGGTGGTTCAGCTGGGAAAGTTAGGTCCGACAAAGTCAATTGCATTGACTGAACCTTTTGTGGGTAAGTGGACTCTTCAATGCCCCATTCCATCTCTGCTCCGCCCGTGTTCCCCCCCGAGGTCGCTTAACCACCGGCTTGCGCGTTCCGTTAGAGCTCTACTAATGTCTCCGATGGTTCCCCCTCAGACGATTGCGCTGCCACCGCTGTCCTTGATTCTCTACACGCGTTTACGGTTCGCTCTATGCCCGTTCTGGCGAGATGCCCGCAAAGTCGCGATTCACGAGGCTAGACGCCTTCGCCAAGACCGTTGAAGATGCCCGAATTCGCACGAACTCTGGTGGTATTATCACGATAGTCTCGCTGGTGGTGGTCCTATGGCTCGTGTGGGGAGAATGGGCTGACTACCGACGCATCGTGGTGGAGCCGGAGCTCATTGTTGACAAGTCAAGAGGTACGCATTTGAGCTCAAACAAAACAACTTGTGCCCAGTGGTGTTTACTCATCCTAACTCGTGGGGGTGGTCTGAACAGGAGAAAGAATGGAGATCCATTTGAACATGACTTTCCCTCGGCTACCGTGTGAGCTTCTGACTTTGGATGTTATGGACGTTTCAGGCGAGCAGCAAGTGGGTGTCGCGCATGGAATGAACAAGGTCCGCCTGTCACCTTCTGCAGAGGGAAGCAAGGTTATCGATGTTCAGTCTCTGGACCTGTGAGTTTCCTATGAATTGAAAGTAATCCACCTAAACAGTGACCATGAGCTCACCTCCACCTCCTTCCAGGCACTCCCCTTCTGACGCCGCCGCCCACCTCGACCCGGAATACTGCGGCGATTGCTACGGAGCCAATGCACCAGAGAATGCGATTAAACCCGGATGCTGCAGCACTTGCGACGAAGTTCGGGAGGCATATGCCGGAAAGCAATGGGCCTTTGGTATCGGAACCAACGTCGAGCAGTGTGAACGGGAAGGATACGGAGAAAAGCTCCAGGCTCAGCGCCGCGAAGGCTGCCGAATTGAGGGCGTTCTTCGAGTGAACAAGGTCGTTGGCAACTTCCACATCGCCCCCGGTCGTAGCTTCACCAACATGAACATGCACGCCCACGATCTGGAGAACTATCTCATGCCCGGCGCCGCCCCCGAAGACCAGCACACTATGACCCACGAGATCCATGAGCTCCGCTTTGGTCCTCAGCTTCCTGCTGAGCTCGCGGACCGATGGCAGTGGACTGACCACCACCACACCAACCCGCTCGACGACACCAAACAGGCTACGAACGAGCCCGCGTACAACTTCATGTACTTCGTCAAGGTTGTCTCAACATCTTACCTCCCTCTAGGCTGGGACCCAACATTCTCGTCTGCGATCCACAGCGCCTACGATAAGGCCCCTCTTGGCACCCACGGTCTCGCCTACGGAGCCCAGGGAAGCATTGAAGCCCACCAGTACTCCGTGACCTCGCACAAGCGATCCCTGATGGGTGGCGACGATGCTGCCGAGGGCCACAAGGAGCGCATGCACGCCGCAGGCGGTATCCCCGGTGTATTCTTCAACTACGACATCTCGCCCATGAAGGTCATCAACAAGGAGACTCGCCCAAAAACCTTCACCGGTTTCCTTACCGGCGTTTGCGCCATCATCGGTGGCACTCTGACAGTCGCCGCGGCTCTGGACCGTGGTCTGTACGAGGGAGGCATGCGGATCAAGAAGCTGCACTCTAACTAGATTTACTTCTGTGGTGTGTTTCCATAGTTGAGCGATGCCATCTATACTAGCATGGAAGGTTGTGTGGCATGTGGAGGGCTAGGGAAGTGAGAAAGTGGGCACTCGTGGCGTTTTTGGGATACCTATACATTGAATTTGTTTTGTTTTCATGCCCAAGGCCATCATATATGTATCTTTCATCACATCAATAGCACTGAAAGTTGTGTAAACTCTACTGAAACAATGCCACGTAGGAGACATTCACGCTGGATAGCAAGTCTCAGCTCCGTTAGCGGCTGGGGGAAGAAATCAAACTGGACATATGTATCCATGGGGGTGGTGTTCGGGAGAAGACTAAGATGAGGGGGAACCCTTGCCGATTCTTCTGGTACAAACCCTGAACCAATTCTTACAGGGCTATGAAATAGGGCAATCTGGCGTTTATTACTATTATAGTCCCTCTATGCCGCAGACTGTTTTTGGTTCACACGAACATTACGTTCTTACATGAGAAAAAATGACCCATACTAGAATTCACTATAATTCACCGAGACAGATAAAAATCCCTTTCAGTTTGAAGGACGAAGCCTCCGAGCAAATCTCTGTACATTGGAAACTTGATCAATATCAAGGACAAAATGAAAGGACAATAAGGACCCAAAACGAGGAAGACCATGCGTGGAAAAGAGAAGACTCCGCACCAAACCGATCTGGAACTCCATATTGATGCGAAATGCGAGCGAGAAAAACAAAGAGTGTGTAGAGGCAAGGAAAAATAGAAACTGCTATCAGCGTGTGCAACGAGGTCTAGGTCTAGTTGGTAAGGATGCAGACGTGGCGTTTTGGACTTGAAGGAAATGATTGAAAGGGATTGTGCAGGAGGTTGAAAGACGATAATGAAAGGAAACGGTAAAGAGAAAGAAGCCTTTGTGGCTTAGTAGCGCATGGCGTTGTAGTTGTTCGGGTATTCTCCAGGAGGATATTGTTGGCTTTGTTGGTAGCTCGGCGGACCTTGTACGGCGGTCTGGGGAATTTGTCCATACCAAGAGCTCCTTCGCGGCTCATCAGGGCGGTTCATTTGGTGCAGGGCATCCCAGGTATGGCTGGCTCCAGGCAGGTTATACATGGGCTGCTGAAGAGGCTGCTGGGGATGGTACATCGAACCGGCGTATTGTGGAGCATATGGTTGCTGGTTCAGAACCTGCTGTCGATGGGCGATGGCATGTTGAACCATTTGATTCGACATCCCCTCCCTCATCTCACGCTTCTCACGTTCACGGGCATCGATTGTCGAAACCAAGCCCCCGCCTTGAACTTGCGGCTGAGGAGTTTTGTTGGCGTGGCTTAAGTTGAAGAATGAAGAACCAGTTACGCGGGCAACATGCTCCTGCTCACGGGCGGAAAGGTTGTTGGAAAAATCGCTGTAATTGTTCAACACCATTCCTGTTCCGCGCGAGGAAGGACGGTAGTTGGGATCCGGGTGAGCAGTCATGCGAGAATTGGACCGGATCTGGTTGGCCCAGTCACCAGATACTGGCCTGGGCTGTGGCGGAGTGTTGTTAGATGGGGAACGGTGATGCATATGCATCGGGGGACTAGGTGCTGCTCGCTGCTGGACATACTGTTCCGGGGTGAGGCCTCCGGCAGGAGTAACAGGGCGATTGGTGGCCATTCCAGGCTGCCACAAGACGCTCCGTCGATATTCTTCCTGGCTTGGAGACCGCTGATTTCCCCGGTCCACTTGGCTTGTCGGGACCGACAGCCTGTAGCGCTCTGCAGCATCCAGGTCGTTCCGAGGAGTTGAGGCCTTGCGCAAAGTGTCCCCTGTACTCGGGCGTCCGGTGGTAGGCATGTAGGTCAATGTAGGGCCGAAATCAACTGTAGGAATTTCTGAGTTGGCCTCCGGAGGCCTTTCCGTTGAATAATGAGCGTCACCAATAACAAGATCCTGCTTGGCCGGTATCCCCACAGTCTTCATGACACCCATTCTGGGCCTGGTAACGGACTTCTGAGACTTCTTGCTGTAAATAGATTCGTGCGTACTCGCATAGTCCGGAGAAACAGTCGAAGCATCGTCGTAGACGCTCTCATCCTCAATTCGTTGTTGGCGAGGAGACACAGGGGACGGGAGGTGAGGGGCGATTCGGTTCAACGCATCTTCGTCTAGAGTATGTCGAAGATCGTCAAAGCTCGGCTCTCCGTCGGGAGAGAGGGGTTCCTGCCCAAATATCTGTCTTTGAGGAAGAGGCTTGCGCTTGACAGCCTTGGAAACTTCGACATTCACGCGTCGCTGGGGTGATGGAGTGCCGCCGGTACTGGGAGTTGCTGGACGTTGGTCTGCGGTCTGCGGGGGCCGCACAGGAATCGCAATACCAATATCTTCATCACTCGAAGAATGCATGAGGGCCGGGTTCATGTATGCGACCTGCGCTGGAGATAGACCATTGTTTAGATAAGGGCCTTGTGACCGTCGATCGAGGCTGGAACTGGATTGCTGGTTACGCAAAGCGCCTGAAATACCAGCCGTACTCATTGTGCCAACAGACGTTAGCTGTGTTAGGGTAGCATGGGACATTCTGTTATTGGCCCTTCTCTGCTCCAATGTCATTTCGGGTCGATTGTCAGGCATCGACCGAGGTCCATGTACAAACGACGGTGGACTGGCAACTGGAGATGGAGGCGTACGAGGCGGGAATTGTTCTCCATTCAGGACAGGTTGGACAGGTTCGGCAGGGGTTCGATCACTCTCGGAGCTAGTGCGCTCAGTAATGGGCGCTACAATACCCTGTGCTCTCTCACGTTGCACTAGATCCTGGACAGACGAGAGAGGTGAGTTTTCATTTGAGCCCTGGCCAGGTCTAGGCCCTGTCTGCATGCCCGTGATGTCTGACATTCCACGAGAGTGGTAAACCGGGGGCTCAGTTCTTGGAACCTCGTGAATGACAGCTTCTGCAGAACGATTGAACTCTGGCTTGCCTTCAGGAAGAGAGAAGGGTTGACGCATAGGGTTGATCGGTCCGTCACCGTTGCGGACGGAGATGCTCGAGCGGTAGCGCGGTCTGCTGCTGTTGATACTGCTTGTTCGACTTCGGCCTGTGGATATACGCTTCTGTGTCGCCTCCTTCAACTGCTTCCTCCATTCTGCCTCACTCCATTCCTGACTTCCAGCAATCTGGAGAAGGTTGGTTATATCTAAAACATCCAAATAACCATATCGACGCTGCTTGGGGAAAGCAAACATGATGCTTTTAATGTGGTTTATGTCGGCGACAAGGCGGGTCGGACGACCATAAAGGTTGAAGGTATCGAATATTGGGAATAAGAACCGAAGCATGGTCTCGAAACCAGAAACCGCGGCATGCAGCTCAGGCATGACAAAAACCAAGCCATCTGCAGAAGACTGAGGTTGCTTGTGCATATGTATCTGGCCCTCCAGCTTCACCAGTGTCGATTTATCAATGAGTGCTTTGGATTGCGGGTAAATCGCGTACGCCGAGTACACATTGGTGATGGTGGCGATCGGTTGCACCTTCTTGGTCTTCTTGGTTTCGAAGAATTGGATATTTCCAAGGACCGGCATTGACAAACGGTCGTAAGCAGACTTCTTCATTGCCTTTCGGGCTTTCTGGACATCTTTCTCATTTGGCGGATTAATCACAAACCAGCATCTTCTCCAGGGAGTTCCCGCGCCAAATCGCACGCGTGCCCAATCCTCATGCTTGAACTTGGTGGGAACCAAAATTGACTGTATTCCCGGAAGGGTTTTGCCTCTGGCAGCGATAAGAGAGCCGGTGTAAGCTTCATATAAAGATGTGTGCTCGTACATGGCGAGGCGGATTGCAGCCGTCCACTGAGTCATTGAATGGAATGAGCTGAAATGTAACAAATATCTATTCTTGCCGGCAGAAGAAAGACTGAGGACATTCTTTAGAGGTGCGACTGCTCCGTTGCGAATTGGTAATGTTTCGATCTGCGAGGCAATTAGTTCTGAGGCAAAGAAGGCGCTAAAAGAAAACAAAATAGCAACGAACCATCTTGATCGACGCATCAGCCAGGTTGATGAACGTCGCGGGAGGCTCTCCTCCGTTTGCTGCGTCCAGCGCAGCCGCTTCCCAGAGAGAGAGGACCGTTCCAACCAGTTGGGCATAGCATTCCGTCCACTGGCGATCGGCAGTTTGCCGCCCGTCTGCGCATTGCGTTAGTCCACATGGTTCCTCTGCATGAGACAAAAGCCCGTGAATGCGGGAAAAATAGACGACTCACATGCATCCTGGTCATTTAGCTTCAAAAAATAGCCTTCTTGGTAGACCTTGTTGGTATGAATGTTGAGAAAGGAGAAGATTGGCGAAAGCTCCGGTGGGGTGTCCACGGTGTGTTCCATCAGAGGCGGATTGCGCGAGAAGATCACTGAAGGAGGTCGCGAGCCCATGCCGTCATTTCTCGGGCTTGCACCGTTGACGGGAGACAGTTCAGAGGGAGGCGAGGGTGTTTCGGGGGAAGGTGTATGCCAGCGGGGCGGTATTTCCGACGGGTTCACGTTCCTCGACAATCTTTTGCTTTCTCTCTTAGAGTCATTGTTCTTAGAACCTCCGAAGGTTGATATAAACGAGCGAACTAGACGGACGCAAGGGCGAGTCAATAATGGGGTTCCTGCCACGCGGAACGCCGATCAACTTACCACGCGAGCCACCCATGACGGCGAATGGGTCAGCAGACCAAAGAATCTCGCCTTCGACCAGCGCTGGGCGAGTTGTGAAACGAGAGATAAAGGAGGACACAGGAGAAGTGAGAGGACGTGGCAAGTGCACGGACTTGGTGAAGCTAGATTAAGGGAGGCCGCTGGGGACCGAGTTCTCGCCGGGACAATTTAATCCATCGAGCCCTGCTAAGAAGTAGGGATCTCCCGAAAGATATAGGGGAGGCGAAAGTCAAGGGCACGAGGGGGAAGTTTCGCTAGACAGGTGCCAAGCGGGAAGGTGACGTTGCGGGTTCCCAGGATAGGTTTCCAGTCACCGGGACTAGGACACTTCGGATTCGCGGAGGGTAGCGAGCACTGGGAGCGAAATAAAACAAATGAAGCAAGAGAAACGAGAGAAATGTGAGAGGTTGGGGAGTGAGAGAAGGTGCCCAAGTGTAGGGGAAGAGGCGACAAGCAGGACCGTGGGTCACAGTCTGGAGAGAAAAAGTTGGAGACGGCAAAACTAGTGGGACAAGGTCGACGCGTTTGAACCTGAGACTCTAGTACCGATGGACCGTCTTACTGTCTATGAAAGAAAATAGAATATTCTCTATACCACTTCTACCACTTTGACCACTCCTTGTCAATTCTCCCAATTCTCCTAATTCCAATTCTAGGTGATTTGTACATCCAAAAGTGTCGTCATCCAGCGAGATCGGCGGCGGTGGAGTGTGGCCCAAATTTAGAACTGCATACTGTACATGTCTCGGCCAAGTCGAACTTCGAGATACTTTTCGTTTCTTTCAGTTTTACACGAACGGGTGACTAAATACCATGGTTTCTTCAGACATTTGGCACCTGTTAGTTACACCCTGAAATAACGACAACCCTTTACCCTGTACTAAGTGGTAATGACAAGCGGGTCCAACACGGCCCATATTCACGCTGCGCTTACCTTCTGCCGGGGACGCGCACACTCTTGCCACACCGCCCTATCCTGGACGCTTTTCCACGATGGCCCGATGGCCCGATGAACTGTTCACTGGTTGCCTGTTCAAACCCTGGAATATGCACGACAAGGCACCCGGACCTCTGTTGGGCTCCAGCCACAAAACTAGGCATCCCACCTCACTTCTATGTATGGTCTCAAAGGCGTAGTCTTGGCGTTCGGGTCCACAGGTATCGGCATTTGCTCAATGTGGTCCCCTGTCATCCGTTGATTGGCCTTGATCTCTGAGATCCCTTTAATCACTGCCTTTCCTCCTAGAGATCCGCGATGCAGCTGTGGCTGGTCCTTGTACCCTAAACCCTTCCGGTACAAGAAATTCAGGATCGGGTTCAGGCGCAGGGCCAAGGGGTCATGCCTGTATGTTGGCACCTATGATTATCTCCTTGGCGGCTTGTCCCACCCATTCCAGTTTGGCGTCCAAGAATAATTGCCTTAGTTGATTGCTCCTGACTGAGACACGGTGGCCTCGGTATCGGTGGGGCTGGTGACTTGGCTTCTTTTAGCCATACCTGGACACTTGGTCGTGTCACGGTAATATGGCCCCGTGATGGTCCTTTTTTTTTTTTTACATAGGGGTGTGCCCCTATTCTATTAATCACTCGGAATCTCCCTGTACCCGGTGACCTTTTAGCTTATTCGCCACAAACTAGAGGCACTAACCAACACTAATGGTCCATGCTCTATGTAGGCACCGTTATATTGCCCCACGCGCTTAAGCAAATAAAGCATTTAATTACTAAATAATATTACCTTCTCCTGAGCGGAGAAGTCTGCAGTTCGACATAGGGGATACCCCTGTCGATCTGGGGAAAGGTGATGCCTAGCATCCACTACCTTTCCAGCCTAATGCATGTAGCATTAGCTTTCACTGCAAGGACTACCTTATAAAGCTTCAGATGTATTTCGGTTTCTGGGTATTTAGTATGGTGGCATGAGTACTATTAAGCCCCTCAGTATATTTGAATCTGAAAAGGCACTAGTGTATTGGGTCGTTTACAAGCAGGGTCTGGCTTTGGTGCGCTATGGGGTCGCCATTTTGTATTATCTTATGAAAGAATGGTTGATATGCACAATAATTACTTGGAAATGGGACATGAAAATAAAATTGCTTCTCTTTGTAGTGGTGTCGCGATCTCGAAGTTAACTGGTGATCGTGACATGGATTTGTGAAACTCCACAGAAGGACGTCAGAACTGAAGATTTGAGAGGACGAATTTGATAGACAGTCTGCCGTAGGTAGAGGCCTTCCATATAGATGAAGTTGCTGAGAATTCAGCATGGAGACTCAGAAAGTACTTACCCACTTGTTTGAGAAAATTCGCTTTTGGTAGCATTCATTGCTCTTCCTAGTATTTACTTTCAGGCTCATTCGGGTGCGAGTTTTTTGAGATATGATGCGTAAGAAAAGGGAAGAAAGGATGAGAAAGGTTTGAGGCGTACGAAATACTTGGAAGAGGGGAAAGGAGGAAGAAGGTACGAGGCATAAGAACCCTTGGGAGAGGGGAAACAAGGGGAAATATTGGAAGAAGTGAATCTACTTATTCGTAGCCTAGATAGCCTGCTTCTCCCATAGCACTAATTTATCACTCTTCCACATTTTCCCGTACTCGGTCTTCCCTCCTGACATTACCTATTGTACGGTTCTTAAAAATAGCCATAAACATTTGAAGTGAAGCAAGAACGAACGGAATGGCCTTCGGCCATGTCTACTAATCCAAATTTATCTAATGCCCACTGACTATTCTTTTACTTTCATAATCACAGTTTGGATATACATGTAAACCAGACTCGACAGGTTTCACGGATGTCTTTGCCTGTATTCTTAGGTAACTGCGAAATAGTCTAAAGGCTCACAAAGCTCAGACAAACGCCCTATGGCGGCATACGTATATATCCTATGGTAAAATTTATCGCCTTATTATCTCTTTATACAACTAAATGAAGTATTCCTCCTCTCGGTAGTTCGATTTACCACTAGGAGCAAATATACCTTCGTAGCGATATTCTCTGTATCCACCACCATTAAGACTTTTTTAGATAAAAAATCACCTATTAAAAGGATTAAGGTTGACCAAAAAATGGGGAGGGAAAAAAACATTGCGTGCTGCAGGACTCGAACCTGCGCCACTTCCGTGACTGGGATTTCCAAACTCCGTTTAACGGTGCTAAGCTTTGCTTGAATCCAGCGCCTTAACCACTCGGCCAAACACGCGGCGGTATTAGTAATACTTTTCATACAATGTGATATTCCTTTGTCAGCTACTTCGTTACTCCTTCCTAGATATTTATATAATACTGGAAATATGTGTAAGTGAGACTCCAGTCTCACAGGCAGTGCCGCCTAAATTCGTAGGCCGATAAGTACAAGATGGTCTGAAAGCTCTTAATAACCAGAGAAACACCATATATAGAGACATTAGTAGTAGTAGTAGTAGTAGTAGTTGTTTTCATTAGCCTGGTAAAGCTCGCTTTGAATACTTACATGAGGTGCTCTAGACCAAGTCCGAAGCGCAACCGAATGGCTATCGCTAGTTCCGCTATAACAGAGAAGCCCTATTTCGCATGCGAATTTGCAGCGAAACTACAGAATATTATATGGAGTTGAGGAAATAAGGGTCTTTGAATTTCCAGATCCGGGAGAGCTCCAAAACAAACAACCTGAACTCCAACAAACGGAGCAAACGACCAAAGATGGTAAAAGAAAATCAAGAAAAAAAGGCCCGATCGGAAAGCTGCAGCCGCTCCCGATCGCAACAACCTTGGAAATTTCCCCGCGGGATGCCGCATTAGCACCATTATATCGCGTTTACGTCCTCCCTACCCCCAATTTTTGCTACAATTATCCTCCAATGGAACTTTACCTTCCTCTCTACTTATCCTGCAATGGAGTTTCTCCCCTCCCAGTTTCCGAGGCTTTGCACCACCAAGTTCGCCTTGTTGGTCGATTGATTCTCGTCCATTAGCGTCCTTATTTCACGAAGGTTTTGAGTTACTGAGAAGCGATCGCAGTACCCTATCACACTCTCGGTCTAGTCACTCGCTTTCGATTTGATCAAAGCCGTTCCATCGTGCGTATTGTTTCGATGTAAAGGGGTGGCAGTCGACCTGGAATACGACCTTGGATGCGCGATGTTGTTGATTGCTCTTGTCCCTGTTGCCCTGATGCGTTGATATTTCGTCCGTTTTAGAGGCAGTATATACTATATTCAACTTAAGTGTCGGTAGTTATAGATATATTAGGGCCCTGTTAAACTCTAAAGCTTTGTTCCGACTCTATATAGCGAGAGTAAAAATCCTTCTGTCCCCTATCATGCTTGTAGAATAAAAAGATCATGCGTAGTTTATCTGACTATAGTTAGGAGAAAAAAACCGAAAAAAAATATATTGCGTGCTGCAGGACTCGAACCTGCGCCACTTCCGTGACTGGGATTTCCAAACTCCGTTTAACGGTGCTAAGCTTTGCTTGAATCCAGCGCCTTAACCACTCGGCCAAACACGCGGTGGTATGAGAATTTCCTCCTTTTTGAAATCCATGGACCTTTTTACATTTGGTTCTTCGTGTCAAAATCTTAACTCTTACTTTGGTATCAGTCGACTCCCGATGTTGCTGAATTGAATCCCCTAATTAATTGGCCAAACTCCTTGTCTTCGGCAAATGCAATAAATTTAAACATAGACAAACCTTACCTCGGCTAAAGGAGTGAACTGCAGGTATGCATTCAGATAAAAGAGGGTCAAATATTGCTGCCTAAAATTCCAGGTATGAATGTGTGTTAGCCGTTTTTGGCGCTCAATTTACCGTCACCGAGCGTTGTGTGTAGTTACGAAGTCTAAGCGCGTCAACGAATCCTATTCCTTTTGGTTTAAAGTCAATCTTCTTATATTCTTAAATCTCCACTAGGTATTAAATAAACGGGCTCTGATTATCTCCTACACTTGCAGGAAGGTGTAAGAGGCAGGTAGGTAGATAGTCATAGTAGAATAATTCGACTATTTTCTCATATAATGTGACGTTGGGTGTCTAGACAGATTATATGGTGTTAAAATAAGAACCCAATGCTCTCTTGACGTCCCAGTACGTGTAGTTAGCGTGTAATTTCCTTTATTTCTTCACTCGCCTTTCCCGTTAATGCCCTTAGAATCAGACGAATACCACGAGCTTCTAATATCTAACCTCGATCGGCACTTATTAGCCACTGTTTGTGCCCTGCGACACATAACAAGTGAGCGCAAATTTGATCGGAGAAATCCAAACGTTCTTTTTTTCCCTCCGTTGTATTCTTCGGGATCTTCCAATCTCATTTCCAGAAGTCTCGTCCCGATTCTATCACGGCCCCATTGTCATTTCGTCGACCATTATTGGCGTCGCCAGTATGGATACTTCATTGCTAGGAGAATCGGACGGCTCTCGCCAGAAAGAAAATGTGCCCACTCAAGCTGTGAAGGATAACACTGGTCCACCCAAGGTTAAATTCTTACTTCCTGATTCTGATAGTGCTTCTACCGATTCCGACGATGTGCTTTCAGTAAATGAGATACCAGCCCTGTCCGCCGCTGATGAAGAAGACCATGGTTATTTCCCGGAAGGAAGTGGTCCCACGCGTCCAGTGCCCATCCCAGTCCTTGTCTCCCGCGACAGAAGGAACGATGACATTAAGAAAGCCAGCCTCGAGTTCCTGAACGACAACATCAAAGAATGGACTATTGGCTTCGACCTCGCCGCATTTCCACAGATAGTCAAGAGCTGGATCCCTACCCTGAGAGCAACAGCTCTTCCAGGATCGTACGAACACCTCCTGTTACTCATGTTTGACGATGTTAAGGAGTTCAACAGATTCCAGACTATCCTGAGAGAGGCTGGAGTCCCAGGTGCCATCGATCCCCGTCAGAATGGAACTCTGACCGTTCATGCAGAGCTCAGTCGCCGCAATGTGGTTGGTAAAGGCCGAGGCCAAGGCCAGGCGAGGTCCATCTTGGTCCCCCGAGGCCAAATTGTTCAGAGCAACCAGACCACCGACGAGATGTACTTCTGGAGAGAACTGCACATAATCAGACGGCTCGTTGCTCCTATCCGAGATGAGCACGAAGAGATCGTCTGGATCACCAGCCGCGAGCAGCAACCGGATGATATGATTCAACAGTTCGATGCAGCTAAAGACTGCATCATTGATTTTAAGAAGCGTCTCTTGAAGGCACTGGATCAAGGCCCCGAGAACAGCAAGCTCCTTGAAACCCTCTATACTCCTTCCAAATGCTAACATTCTTATTAGAGGTCATCAACCTACCTCCCCCCAAGGGTCTCGAGTCGCCCTCGTACAAGGAGCTGCGTCTCCGTACCTCCAGCCTTCACCAGTTCCGGATGGACTGTTGCAAGGGAAGCCTTGAATGGGCACGATTCCCACCCAGCGAAATCGAACTGCGACGACGCTACAACCACTTCGGCAAGTGGCATGGCCGCCACAAGGAACCTGTCAATGCACCAATTAAGAACATCATGCCTCAGGTGCAGGTATCTTCTAACCTGGCCTTTGAATTCGACAACGCATATATCTGCATGCGTCGTGATGGAAGAATCCTTCACCTACTTGTTCAGATCGCCCAGTGGCTTGCCCTAGCCCGCGGCTTCACTGCGGTTCACCTGTTTTGCGACGTCGCACGCCTCTTCAGCACCCATGGCGTCGACATTGGTAACAAGGCACAGGTGGAAATCTGCAAGCAGCTTACCAGATTTGAACTGCTTTGTGATTCTCTTAACAGTCCTCTCCCTCTGAACTTCCCAGCTAGTTCCAGTGTCGTCGATCAGTTTTCGCCTACCTTCATTCAGGGCGTGATTCAGGCAAATCGCAAGATGGTGGAAGCCCTTGTAGGTCTAAACACCTTGTTCCACCGTGTCAATGTGGGCTGGCGGGCTCGAACCCGCCAGACGCTGGAATGGCAGACCTGGGGAGGCGAAAGAGTTCTTGCGCTCAAGACACCTCGTCTGTTTTTCCCCCGAGCTACGGTCCAAGTGCCCTTTGCTTATGCTGGGATCTTTTCGGACGAAGAGCTTGCTGCCCACCTAGATACGATGTGTTCTTAGGCATGCATGTTCCCCCTACTCCTGTCTCCCTCCAGAGCCCTCTTCTCCTATCCATGCTTCTGCTCTCTTTGTTTCCAGATATTGAGCTTGTTTTTTGTGGGGGAGGGAGCTCTTGAGACTTAGATGACGGACATTATTGCACTAATAAGAAATCAAATGCTTTTGAAAAAGTCCGAAAGTTCGTAAGTTCGTAAGATTGCTTGAAAACCCCCAGATAAAGTAAAGTAAAGTACATACATTCACCTCATGCATGTCTGCTAATAATTCGATCATTTTATGCATCACTCCTGCCCTCATCCTTCCATCAAGTGATAAGCAAGAACAGGGTCCATCAGCGCCATCTCGTCATGGCTGGGCATCACAGAATCAATATTGCGCTCAGCATCCGCGGAAAAGGTATCTTGCATAAGGAAATCAGCGTCCAGGCCATTATTCTCAGGGAAACCGGACGAGTTATCTAGCTGCGAAAATATATTTGGGTCTGAAGATACACCATTAGGAGGCGTGGTTCCATGAGAGTGAGAAGGCTCAGAGCGGTCGAACTCCAGACCGTAGATACCGAGTGCATTACCACCAGGACCAATCTGGTCGGACAACAACGCACGCTGCATAAAAAGGCCCTGGACTTCATCTTCAGAGCAACTGTGTTTGGCAGTCATGTGCACCCACAGATCGTAATCGCGGTGGAAGCGGTGTTCACAAGAGTCGTAGAAGCAGAGAATGTGTCGGCCTGTTTCCTCCGCATAGCCTTGACCGGTCAAGGCTGCAAGAGTAGAGATATGGCTGGCACTGGATGATTTATCCAGACCAAGTCGCTGGCGTCGCTCGGCCTTGGCATTCGGGTATCCCAGATGGGCAGTGCGGATATGCTCTTCAAGTGCAAGCTTGCTGCCATATCGCTTCCCACATCCGATGCCGTCCCATCCTTCGACCTTTTTGGAGACTGAAAGGTCTGTCTCGCCGCATCCAAAGCGCTTCTCTCCCTGGTGCACGGTACGAATGTGAACAGTCAAATTGCCTTTCTTGGTAAAGCTGCGATCACATCCGTCGATCGTGCAAGGGAAGACCTTTCTCTCTTCGAGACTGACATCGCCGTGAGCAACCTCAAGGTGGCGACGCAGTTCTCGAGACGTCGAGCAGACGATTGGGCAGCTGGGGCATTTCGGTGGGTGGACATTTCGAATATGCTCTTGAAGTATGGTGTATGTTGGGAATGTGACAGAATAATCGTGGTGAGGGTCAAACGTTCCCATATCGGACGCTTGCTCTTGCAGGTGGTGGGAGCACTCCTCACAGCTAAATCGCTTCTCGGTGTGTACCCGGCTCTCGTGGGCTCGGAGATGACCCGCTGTGTCAAATGCCATTTGACAATTCTTCCCAGTATCCAGATCAACAAATACACATGGGAAAGGCTTCTTGTTCATATGAACGGTCGTTATGTGCTTCTGAAGGGTGGAATGCTTCCGGAAGGTTTCTTCGCACGGCGGATATTCAGTACAGCGATATTTGTCCCGTCCGTCGTGGGCAGCGATATGGCGGCGAAGTCTTGACCCAGTCACAAAGCTCTTTCCGCAACCTGGGCGGTCACAGACGTAATCGCGAACTCCAGTGTGGGCACTCTTGATATGATGGGTAAGATGTGAGGCTCGTAAGAAGGTCTTGTCGCAGTCCTCGAAGGTGCATTGAAATAACCGTTCGTTATTATGTGATCGTATGTGCTCTTGAAGTCGAGCAGGGCGATTGAAGGCCTTGCTGCAGCTTTCAAAGGGGCAGCGATGGGTCTTAAGTTCGGAAGGGTATCGAGATGAGGTGGTTGAGAATGGGGTCGCCGGTGTATCCAGCATATCCTCATCCATGGCGCTCGGTGTTGCAGGCGCTGAGTAGTCGGCATCTGAGTGGGCTTCTTCATAGATCCGGTCTTTGTAGTCGGTTCTTAGCACCTTGTTCCATCCTTATCGTGATTCTATATCGCTGCTTACCGTCGCTGTCCATCGCAGCTTGGTGTAACCTTTTGGCCTGCGAGGCCCAGTCAGGGGAAGCCTTACGCTTTGAGGCCATAGTTTAAAATGCCCCAGAGCAGGGAAGAGTTCACATTGAAGCGAAGAAAAATTATGAAGGTGTAGCGTTGAACAGACTAATTTTATTTTGCCGCGGTCAAAGGGCGGTGAGGCCGAAGACGGACTAGCGTGGTGGAAGATTTTCCGCCTTTTTTGCATCGCGAATCCTCACATCGATCCCGCGCTCAGGGTTTCTCTCTCTTTGAACCCCTCGACTCCGTTCCTTGCGATTCAAAATGTCCGACTACGGCGACGACGCTGGTGGCGACACGTAAGAGCTTCCCGCAGAGGCTAGAGCGGCGCGATCGTTGCAGATTGTGTCCTCTCTGGAGCTTCGACCATTTCGAGATTGAAGCGCTATGCTAACTGGACCTACCTTGCAGCTACGACTACGAGCCTCACGAGGAGGTTTTCGAGGAAAATGAGCCCGAAGACTTGATCGACCAGGAGGGTTTCGAGGACCACGAGGGCGGCGAGGGAGATGATTCCTACCAGCCGGCCGTCAATGGGGAGAACGTCGTTGTCTCCGGTGACCCCAACTCTGGATATTCGGGCAAATTGATGGAACAATCGCGCGAGAAGAAGGTTCCCAATGCTCAGCGCACGACCACCCCGTACTTGACCAAGTACGAGCGCGCGCGTGTGCTCGGCACCCGAGCTCTGCAGATTAGGTGCGTCGCAATATCGTCAAAGCCTTTTGTGCGGCTTGAAATCGCTTTGACTGACATATGTCTAATACAGCATGAACGCCCCCGTACTCGTCGATCTCGAGGGTGAAACCGACCCTCTGCAGATTGCCATGAAGGAATTGAACCAGAAGAAGATCCCTCTGATCGTGCGGCGGTATCTGCCTGACGGATGGTAAGCTGGACTGATGTTTCTGTTGGGATGATAGACTGTTGACACAATGCATAGGTACGAGGACTGGTCCGTCGAGGAGCTGCTGTAAGAGCACCATCGCTCCTGCTCGTGGGGATTCTTTGATACTTTTTGGGTGGGTTCAGCATAGCGTTCGGAGTTTGGGAGTCTCGAAACCGTGGCTCAAAAAGAAAAAAAGAGGCACCGTCCTTGGCACTAGGCAATACTGTACATGAACTAGAAAGAATGAAAAAATAATACCGGTTTCTAGTCACTCATTCACGTACCTTGGGGCCTGTCTTGAAGCGTCCAGCATGAAACTATGGAAACAGTAGAAAGACCAATGACATCTAGGAACAACGCATCTCTTTTGAATTCATCTCGATCTAGACCTGTTACTGTCCAACACGTGAGCCGTGCTTGTATCTCCGGGGAGAAAACTTCAGCTAGAGTCCCACTTTTCTACGGCCCCTGCAAGTTCTTCCTCTTATACCCCAATTCCACTAATCATTAGTACTGCCCAGGCACGGCATGCATAAAGCCGTACTCGAGCCCCTCTCGCCTGGGTAAATCGGCACGCTTTCCGAAGATCATTGGTCGCGCCCTATACTTGAGATCATACCGCTCATAGGATGGATCCCTCACATCGTCCTCCATGGTCGAGGCAAGTGGATGCCAGTGGGCCATGACTGCCCCCAAATATCCCCAAAAACCACTTCTTTTCGGGCCTTTCCGCCCCCCCCCCAAAGCTTTGGGGATGCCCCGCTTGCCCTATAGTGGTTGGTTTATAATCAAACCTGGTGAATTTTCTTCTTATTCTAAACACCGCTCAATTTGGTCACCTCTGGCACTGCTATCCTCGAGACATCCTTTTTGTTGGTCTCGTGAGAGCTCTCCGTGTCTGTCTCCTTTGAAAGTGCACTGCTGGAAAGATGGGTTCAACTAATGTTGAAGTAGAGCAGAAGGTTCATGCCGAGCCAATTTCCCATGCTCCAATCATTCAGGATGAAGAAAAGGCAAACGACTCGCCAGTCGAGAAGGAAGATGAGCCGACCTTTGACACAGGCCTCTTTTCCTGGCTACAGGTCCTGGGCTCCTTCTTTCTCTTCTTCAACTCATGGTATGTAGACCCGTCTCGGTGGCTCAATGCAGTAAGAATGCGCTAACCACGGCCATGGAACAGGGGTGTGATTAATACTTGGGGTGCATATCAAACCTACTATGAACAAAACTTGCTATCAGATGTTTCATCCTCCTCAATCGCCTGGATTGGCTCTCTGCAGTCTTTCCTTTTGATGCTCATCGGAGTCATCACAGGCCCTCTCTTCGATGCGGGGTATTTCCGTAGCCTTATTGCTTTCGCGGGCTGTATGCTGCCGTTCGGCCTGATGATGACTAGTCTTGCGACCAAGTATTGGCAGTTGATTCTCGCGCAGGGTATCTGTGTTGGTTTGGCGGCCGGCTGTCTTTTCGTGCCTTCAGTCGCCATCCTGCCGCAATATTTTCGACGCAAGAGAGGTCTTGCCAATGGTCTCGCCGCTAGCGGTAGCAGCATCGGTGGTGTTGTCTACCCTATCATCTTCAACCAGCTGCAAAAGCAAATTGGCTTCGCCTGGGCCACCCGCGTCATTGGCTTCCTCTGCTTCGGTACCGTCTTCATCTCATTCAGCATCATGCGCATTCGTTTCCCCCCGAAGGAAAAGCGAAAGCTCTATCAGTTCTCTGCTTTTAAAGACCCGGGCTATTGCCTGTTCTGTGCGGCCATGTTCTTTGGTTTCTTGGGTTTCTATAATTTCCTCTTCTACGTGCAGTCCTATGCAATCGACACTGGAATCGTCGACAACAACCTGGGATTCTACCTGCTTTCTATGCTCAATGCCGCCTCAACATTCGGCCGTATCTTGCCTAATTTCCTCGCCGACCACGTTGGCCCACTCAACATGCTCACGCCCGCTGTGACCATCACCTCCATCCTGGCATTCGTATGGATCGGCGTTCATACCGTCTCTGGTATTATTGTTCTGGCCGTTCTCTATGGCTTCTTTTCAGGTGGATTTGTGTCTCTGCCCCCAGTCGTAATGGCCAGCATGACCCCGGACGTGCGCAATCTGGGTACTCGTCTCGGCATGGTATTTGCCATCACTTCAATTGGCCTGCTGATCGGTACACCCATTGGTGGTGCCATTTTGGCCGACACCAACAAGTATCTAGGTGTCCAGCTGTTCACTGCGTGCTGCCTTGTCATATCTGCGGTTCTCATGGCCACTCTCCGATTCGTTCGCTCGGGTCCTGTCCTGAAGTCCAAGACTTGAGCGATCTGAAGGATTTCATCCATATTCTAGTCAATATGTATGCCGCTCATTAATTATTCACGATCCAGTTGGGGTTGTCGTTACGCCAAAATTTGCTGCATCAGCGGGAGTTTAGGCGGGCAAGCATGCAGCCTTGCCACACTTCTTCATGAGCCACAGCCGAACTTCCGGGCCTTTCAGCTGCTCCAGCAATGCGGCACCATAAGGGCTTTTACTTTTCTATAATTGGGTTGATCTGTACCACCTGGTACCTAACATCATGCATTTGCGAGCGTCGTGAATAGCTTGGACAGGGGTTTTCATCGTTATTGGCGTCAAAATATTGAAATACCCATAGATACGATTCTACATCCATTTACTGAGAAATGAAATCATAATATTCTATTGCTAATGAAGATTGCAAGTATATATGTGAACCTTCCCGAAACTCCACCTTGCAAGCTATGCAATAACCCAGAACCCCCGCGCCGGTGAATCAATGCATTGCCATCCTATCACTCCTAGGAAACATCCTCGGGGCTCACCCGGAAATCTTCTCCTTTGTCTCGTATGTGTTCGAGCTTCTTGTCCCGGGAGCAAGGTTTGCGCATATCGAATGCGTCCTCTCCAGAATCGGACATGCCGGTTGGATCATCGCTATAGTAATTGACTACTCGCCTAAACACGGAGTAGCTATCATTCATGTTAGTTTCGAGCCCAATCCCATGACGGGAATGAAACATACCCCATGCCCTTGTACATGTCGACGGCCACCTTGTTTCCAGAGCGGACGTACAGGTCCACAAACCACGCATCAGCACTGTCAGATCCGTGCTCCAGCTCTTCGGTCAGCTGGCTGGCGTAGCCGAGTCGGCGCCAGGCGGGGGCAACGGTTAGGACGGTGATGTGACCATGCCACGGAGTGTAGTGCTCAGAATGGCGCATTGAAGGGTGTTGCTCTTCGGTCTTACCCATGACTACAATAGTTAGCTTGGGGCCCCATTGTCTGATTGAATTGGGATCCTTACTGTAGCCTACCACGCCGGCATCGCGGTCTGTGACTTTGCTAAACAGCGACGGCCATTTGCTCATGTAGTTGAGGTAGAAGCCGAGATCGTAGTTCTCGGTTAGCGGGTCGAGGTTAGTCGCATTGAGTTTGAGCAAGTCCAGTGGGGACATTCGCGTGATCGAGCTCATCTTTGCGGGCGAAAAAGGTGACGGATATCAAGTGAATGAAGAGTAAGGAATGTGGGGTTCTATCGTCGGACATTATTCTGCCAAGGCGGTCGCGGCACCTGTGCATTTGTTTTGCTTTCGTTGTTCATCTTCAATTTCGCAAAGACTCCATTTTCTCTAATTTTTCACGATAATTTCTTCCTTGCTGTCTCCATCTTGGACTCGTTTTTAGATCATGAAGCTTTAAATTCAGAACACTCCCCGTTCGGGTATCCCACAATCGCACCTGCTATCACGATCATTACCGTTACGGTAGTCAAACAACACTGCGTGCTAATGGTCTAATTACCTCCTTTTTAACCCTTATTTACGATATTTCCTTTACTTTCAACTTCACGTCATCTTTACTAAGAGACCGAGTGCTCCCCTCTATCCGATGTCGCCCCTCCCTCCGTCTCCCCTGAAACTTGTTCACCGCCACCCCTCAATCATGGACGACTCTCCTATTTCGCCTGGAACACATGGAGTCAATGGATTTGCTCTTCAAAGCCCCGGATCCCCACGGACTCCTCGTTTATCTGCGCCACCATCACCACTCTTGCCCCGCCAGGACTTACATGCCATGGGCGGGTCCCACCGGGAGTCTGTAGATTTCTCCACTGAAACAGGAGGCGGGGGTGGTCTGGGAAACCTTGCCGATGAGTTGGCAGATGCGTGGGAGCAGGAGGAGGAGGGTTACGGTTACGCCTCGGGGCAGGAAAATGTCCGGACTGGGTCCCAGCAGATGGATCAGAGTGACGGCGAAGATGCTTACATGCAATCGGTTCACGATATGCGCTCGGGATCACCGGGGGCAGAGTCGCCAGCCAGGAACCGGTTGCGAGCTCCTCATTTGCGACAGCACCGACGTGCAGAGTCACACTATGATGGCTCAGACTATGGAAATGACTCCGACCTCGACGAGTCTGCGGATATATCCCCCGCTTTGGAGAGCCAAATGGCAGACATCGAAAGCCTCGCGCGGCGGGGCATTGAGAATAACGGTAGTGAAAACGACCATGTTATTCAACGGACAGTCGAGTCACTCCGGGATCTTGGTGGACAGAGCGGGATTGAGAACAGTGCTATGCGGTAAGTTGAACATGACACAAGACACAACTTCCAACAGATATCTAACTTTTATTCCAGGCTCATCACTGCGCACTCCTCCATTACATCGCACCTCACCCATCAAACCCGCACCCTTCAGTCTCTCATCCACCCACTTCTCTTCTCGTCATTCCCTCTCCTATCCGAAGACGCCATTGACTCCCTTATACCTCTGATTGACGAAGGCCTCCTTCCAAACCTCCCATATCCGTTCCCTGAGCACCCTCGCCACGATTCCAGGCCAACTACACCCTCTCAACCTTCAACCAGCCCACTTGCCTCCCTGCAAGCTCTCATCTCTCAAACATCCGACATCACCCTCTCTCTCCGCAGTCTGAGTGACACTCTCTACGAGTCTCGCCAGCTAACCTCCACGGCCTCACGACGCCTCAGATCCGCCCGTGAACTCGTCGCCGATCTACGGCTCGAGGAAGAAAACCGCGAAGAAGGCTCACGATGGCTCGAACGCGGCGACTGGGACCGCCGGTTGAAGGACCGTGAAGCCGGCAAGGTATGCGCAGATGTTGTCGGCGGCTTTGAGGCTGTGTGTGGTGAGTGGCGTGAGAAGCTGTTCGGGGCTGGCGCCGAAGTAGCTGCGGCATAATTTGCATGATCGACTTCTTCTGCTGAGTCTCTGGAAAGCCGGCGTGCTTCCGGGACACCACTAGACTGCTATGGGCTTTTTTCTTGGCTTCCCCTGTCTGATATCCACGTTTCTATTCTTGTCCCTCCCTTTTTGTGGCCCCAGCTGGTCTGTTGATATCTCAATCCCGCGATGTTGGAACTTAGCTCGTGTGCATATAGTTATACATTATTGGATACCACTCATTTTACTTGCACCTTTCTTTTATCTGAGCTCTTTGCCTAGCAGGGAGAATTATAGAGGGCATCCAGGCTACTTATGATCAACGCCTTCAAGATCAGCACTCTCATCTTCAATTCAGTGTGCGAAGAAGATGCTTGAATAGCACTGCATGGCTGTCAGTCCATAATCTTAAAAAAGAATACACCACTTCCACCGATGACCCAGACAAAGTACTAGCCCTAATGAGCAACAACAACGACCTTCTTCGCCGAGACACCCTTCCTCAGCACATCAAATCCCTCCTGAATTCCCTCCAGCCCTTTCTTCTCAATCACAAACGGCTTCGGCGCAACCAGATACTTCTGCTGAACCAGCGCCTGTGGCAAGAACTTCTCCCAGATCTCCAAAATATCATCGTGCTTGTCCCCAAACAGCATCTTAGCCCTAACACCTTCAGGAACCAACCCCTCCACCAACGGCATCGTCGTCACAACAAAAATGTTTCCCATCGCCTTCTCCGCAATCTCCAAACACGGCTTCACAGAGTCCTCTGCCCCGGCAGCCTGAAAGATCCCAGCACAAGAGGGCGCATCCAACGCAGCCACAATCTCGTCCACGACAGACTCACTGTTATAGTCAAATACCCGACTAACACCAAGCATCTTCAAATACTCAAAGTTCCTCTCTGACGCAGTCGCATAAACCTCCAACCCAGCCGCGCACGCAAGTTGAATCGCATTCGTCCCCACAACCGACGCACCACCCCAAATCAACACAGATTTCCCCATACTCCCCATCTCAATCTCCAAACCAGGCTTCTCCAGCGCCAAAAACTCCTTGTTAAACAACGCATGTGAGGCAGTAGTAATCCCAAGCGGAAAGACAACACCCTCTTCAAACTCCATATCTTCTGGAAGTAGACACGTGAAACTCGCTTCTGCAACAACATACTCCTGGAACCCGCCCATATGCGGACCTCGGAATGCGCCCTGCGCAAAGGCTAGGACGCGATCGCTGGCTTTGAAGCGTGTTACGGCGGTGCCTGTGGATATGACGGTGCCGCTGATGTCTTCGCCAAGGATTAGGGGGTATTTAATGAACGGGAGAGCGGTGTCTTGAAGCATGTGGTCGCAGGGGTTAATCGCCCATGCTGAGGGTTGAATAAGGAGCTGGGTTGGGGAGAGGGTTGTTGGGTAGGGCGTTGGTCGGATTGTGAGGGTAGTCCCAGGTGAGTCTTGCCAGGCTGCGTGGTTGGTGGGCATTTTGAGGACTTGTAGATGTGTGCTGTTTTGAAAATTGATTTGATTGTATGATAAGATTGATGTAGCTTGGTCAATTGATTGAGGAAGGGGGGCTTTTATAAAGGAAGTATCCCATACGCTTGGATTGTGTTGAGCTTCGGGAGGCCTGGGTTCCGGCTATGAACATGGCTTTTATCTGGGACATCGTCTATTTGGAGTTAGAGGTGCATAATTCAGGAGAAACATAGGGTCCTATCAGTCTCAATTGGCTGATTCGACCCGTTTATGAACAGAACAAGTCAATATTGCACATTGATGTTGGGGGACATGCTAAGTCCGCTTAAACCCGACACATTAAAATCCGATAATCTCCGCTACGTAGAAAGAACATGAAGTCGAGATATGAATCAAACAGTTTTGAAGGTCTAAAATGATCCTATTCACTGAATCCCACCCAAATTGGGATCAAAACATGGAGTTGAACAAGATATTTGGCATCACTTGGCATCACGGATGACAACAGCCTATCCGGAAACAAGGAAATTAAAAGACAAGAAAAACGCAGGGCAACAAGATCATGAAGCTCGCTCGAGCCGATGATAGTCATTGCAGAGGGGGGTCATGAAAACACGCGCCAGATAGGAAAAAGGGTCACTTTTTGCTCGTTCCCTAGTATGAGATGTGAAGAAAACTTAGTAAACCACCTACGAAGGCGCTTAGCTCTGCTGTTGCTTCCAGCGGGGCACCCACTTGCCGCCGGCGGCACCCTTGGGCTCCTCGGGCTTGGAAGCGGAGGGCTCGCGAGTGTGACGGGGCACGTAGCGCTCGGTAGGAGCTTCGCGGGGCTCGCGGGGCTCGCGGGGGGCAGGGGGAGGCGGGGCGGAACCAGAGTCGGCAGAAGCGCCGGCACGCAGGTGGGGAGGAACATAGCCACCACGGCGGGGAGCCTCCTCGCGAGCAGGAGCGGGAGCGGGAGCGGGAGCGGGGGCGCCGGAGTCAACGGAATCTCCCCTAGCAGCCAGGCGGTCACGCCAGCCGCCACCACCAGCGGCAGCAGTGCGCGGGGCGATATTGAGACGGGGAGCTGAGCGTTCAGCGGACTCGAAATCTCCACCAGTTTTGCGGGTAGCACGGCGGGATTCCGCTTCCTCCTCGCGTTGCTTTTGACGAGCAGCGATCTCGTCCATTTTTCTGCAGAAAGAAAGTTAGTCCTATATTGCTCGTGCCGTATAGGAAGAATCAAAACATACCCTCGCTCCTCCTCGCGCTTGGCCTTCTCCTCGGCCAAAGCACGGCGGCGCTCCTCGTCCCGGGCAGCGCGTTCCTCCTCCTCGCGCTGGACACGCTCTGCCTCCTCCTGCTGGCGGGCTTCCTCTTCCTCGCGCTCCTGCCTCTCGCGACGGCGGCGCTCCTGGACTTCCTTGACACGCTGCTTCTTCTTGGCCTCGAGCTCGCGCTCGGCAGCCTTGCGGCGCTTCTCGAACTCCTCGTGACGCTTCTCCGAGATCTCCTGGCGGAAGGTAGAGAAGCGAGGAATCAGACGCTCCAGACGATGCTTGAGGGCAAGGGCCTCGACGTGCTTCTGCTTGGACTCCTTGAGAGTCTCGGCCTTCTGCTTTTCCCAAAGTTCCATATCGGCCTTCTTCTGGTTCTCATAGTCGGCAGAGATGTGCTTCAGCTCCTCGCGACGGAAAGCACGCTCCAGGTGGTCAATACGCTTGGCAGTGGTGCGCACACGGTCGTTAAGCTCGTTCTTCTCCTTTTCAAGCTGAGCCAGCTTAATGGCACGCAGGCGGTTGGCATCCAGCTCATCCATGTCGAACTCGCTGATATCGATACCCTTGACGCCGGTCTTAAGCTCCTCGAGCTGCTTCTTGAGCTCCTCCTGGCGGATGCGGTCCTGCTCGTCCTTGATGCGCTTGAGCTCACGGTCACGCTGCTCATCAGCGAGACGCTGCTTCTCGGCTTCCTGAAGCTGCTGGGTGCGGATACGCTTGCGGGTCTCCTCCTCGCGCTGCTTGCGCTGAAGAGCATCGCTGGCAGCCTCCTTCTTCTTGTCGATGACGACACGACGAGCGAGGGTCTCCTCGTGCTCCTGCGCGGCACCCTCCAAAGCGCGGGCCTGAGCGGACTGCTTGGCCTGGACGCGGGCCTCGTTGTACGAGGGGTCCACGTACATGGAGGTGATGTGAAGAGTCTTGGCCAGACGAGCCAGCTGGAAGCGGGCAATCTCGGCGGGGGTGTGCTGGAGGCGCTGGACAGAACCAAACTCGCTCTCGGCGGATCCGGCGCTGCTGCCGGCGTGCATGGCCTTGGAGGAAGAGAAGACATCAGAGTCGAAGGACAGGGTGCCAGAGATGTGGTCAACACGGATGGCGAGGTCACCCTTCTTGCAACCGTTCATGATGAACTTCTCAATCATGGCGGGGGTGATCTGGAAGGGATCGGGGAACTGAGCGAGCTCGTAGACGAACTGGAGCTTAACGGAGTCGTAGACCTGGGAGAGCTGCTGGAACAGACGGGTGAGAATGACCTGCTGCAGAGGCACAATGTACTTCTCCATCTCAGGATCGGCACCGATCTGCTTGAGGATGGGTGTAATCTTCTTGCAGATCGAGAGCGGGTGGAAGTCGACCTCGAGGATGTTGTACAGTTCGCGGATTTCGGGGCGAACGCGCTTCAGGAGACCCTTGTTGAGAGCATCCCGGAACAGAACGGAGCGGGAGGGGGCAGAGGCCATACCAAGCAGGTTGGTGAGGCGAGTGTTCTTGTTCTTGCGGGCCTCATCAACGTCGATCAGAGCGCCGCGGGAACGGTCAGTGCTGATGACGGGGATGGACAGAGCAGACAGAAGAACGAAAGAGGCGGCCTTGGTGATCTCGGCATCAGTAACGGAGGGGTTTTCCTTCTTGGTGCTCTGGCCGGAAGCCAGGGCAACGGTGGAGAGACGGAGAAGGTTGTAGTAACGGTTCCAGGCAGCGGCGTGGAAAAGGTAGTTCTCGCTAACAAGGAAGATACGGGCGAGCTTCTCGTAGTAGTTGGCCATCATGACGTTCTTGGCGGGGCGCTTGCTCAGGTTCAGAAGGGTGTGGATGTCCTCAATACTGCGGAAGGCCTCCTGCCACAGCTCCAGCTCGACGGCGACGTTCAGCTGCTGGAAACGGGTATCCAAGTGGCGCTGTTGAGTATCGGCATCGCTCAGGTTGATAGCGTGCATTTGGGAAGAGTACTTGGCGGCATTCTGAACGTGGTTACGGAGAAGCTCGCAGAGACGGCGGAACTCGGTCTTGCGGGTGTACTTGAGGCAGAACTGGAAGGCCTGCAGAGCGGTCGACTGGTACATGATCTCGAGGCGGGCATTGTTCTTCAGAATCTCGAGAACGGTACGGTAGGTCTCCCACAGGAACTTCAACCAGGGAGTGACGACGGCGCGGTCGGTGCGGTCACGAGACTGCTCACCGGAGACGGTGGCCAGCAGGATGGTCTCGGGGGTCTCAATAGCCTCCAGATCTTCGATGTTGGAGGAGGGAGCGGCGGACTCGAGGGAAGACTGAATCTCATCGGCCTTGGTCTGGGCCTCGGTGACCTTCTGTTCAGCGAGTTCGATGAACTTCTTCAGGACGATCTCGATGGTGCCGACATTGGTGTTCTGGGCGATGTTCTTGTACTGGTACAGACCATCCTTGGCAGCCTTACCCTTGCGCAGGTCGACAGAGAGTTCCACGAAGAGGAGCATGACGGGCTCGAGCGAAGCGATCGGGCTGCTGCGGGTGCGCTTGGAGGTGACATGTTCGTGGAGGACGGTCAGGGCAGCGGGAGCCTGACCGACGGCGATGAGTTCCTGGGCCCTCTACACGGAGGTTGTTAGCATACAATGTCGAATAGCAATGTCGGGATCGGCTCGAAGGACGCACCTTGAGGACATTCTCAGGTTTGATATGCGGTGGTGGCGGCATCGTCGATAATTACACCCCTTCAAGAGGATTTTTTTTTCGTGGGAAAAAGGCGGAGCGAAATCGAGAAAAGCAAGCAGGCGTCTTGCACACGGGCAGTGGTCCGGGACCGTCGTTGAAAATGCTGCCACGCGAAGTACCTATACCTGGAGGGGAAGATAGGCCTGTTGTGCGTGAGCCAGCAAAAATTGCCCGATTCCCACTTTGGCTTCAGGCTAAGCGATGGGGCTGTCACGTGCGTTTGTTTTCTGCCTCAGGCGTGGTATTATATAATTTGTATCGTGATTACCGGGGGATGTGATGAGAATCCCTGTAGAAAAAAACAATCTATGAAAGAGCTGTGACGGTGATAAGACAAGCGGACGCCGTACGAGACCAAAAAAAATTGGCAACCCAACCGTTCGACTTGGATGGGTCGGATTTTTGAGCAAAGTCGCCGCTACCAAGCTCAATATTATGACATTATTGATCTCCGGGTGCCCGGTACAGGTAATCAAACACACGGGCCTCCCGTACCACAAGAGCAGAACGGGGAAAATCCCTCTTCGAAACCTACCAACTCTCGCATCCCTTCCTTTGAAACCCTTCACTCTCTTTTTTCACTATTCGACTTACCCGTCGAAACTCCCCGGGATCCCTCCGACCCCGTCACCTTCAACCCCCTTTGATCCCGCCTGCCGTTGTTCCCCCTCTCTCCTGAAATCGCCCCCCTTTCTCGCGATCGCGCGCCGAACTCAATTCCCCGACCACAATGCCTTCTTACGAACTTCGCTCCGGTGGTGATGTCAAGAACAAGAAGCAGAGTGTCGCCGACCTCAAGTACCGCCGTTTGACTGAGCTCAATGCCCGCCTGAAGGAGGATCTCGATCGCCCGCGGGTCAAGGTGTCCGAGGCTGCGCTCTCGTATGGTCTTCCCCCTATCACAAAGCCGCAACCGCAACCGCAACCGCAACGCAGTAACTAACCAGTTCTTTGTCTCCAGTCTCATCAGCTACTGCAACAACACTCGCGACTTCATGGTTCCCTCTGTTTGGGGTCAGGTATGTAGCTATATCTTGTTTCGTGGGGTGCGCGCAAAGCTAACTTCCGTCGCAGGTGGACAAGCGCGAGGACCCCTATGCCCCTCAGCAGCAGGGCGGCTGCTGCACCGTCATGTAATGCAACCCATGACGATAATACTTCTCGATCGCCCATGACACGATTTCTTGATTTCCCTTCTCCTAATTCCGGATCCCGATGATCGTTTTCTCGTCCCCCTCGGTCCCGAACCTAAACCACCGCTCGCCTGCCGGGCGCGGCGCGAGACGTGGACCCTGAAGAATCGTCTTGCTGGCCCTGCACGACCTTCCACGTCTAAATGGGACCATGCGGGTATCTCTACCTCCCTTTATTGATCTATCGTTCCTATTCGACCCCGGTAGTACGTCCCGGACGCTGCATGCTGCCGAGTTCGGCTTGTCCCTTCTATCTTCGTGTTTCTTTTTCTTTTTTTTTTTCTACTACCACTACTTCTCTTCTGATGCACCATTCCCCCTTAGTCGTCCTGTGTTTTGAAGCCAATTTCCTTTGTTCTCTGGGTTCTCCAAAAACTTCTCCGCGTGTGCAGGAGAGTCAGGTTGCCATTCGTGTATCATAGATTCGATTTGCATCCAATGACCAATACAATACCGATCTAATTTACGTACTCTTCACGATCAATCTGACGCATACACCCCAATCTATCAACCATTTTAGGGGAACAAGATAAATTTCTCATTGCCCCACAGTAATCAACCCACTCAGCCTCGTACGGGCCCGTATCAGATACGCCCTTTTTTTTTCTTTTTTTTCCTTCATATAATCGCTTGCCAGGCATTACCATCGATTTTGTTTTCCTGGTCCTGTCACTATAGATCACGTTGCACGTCTATTCGTCAGACTTCGATATGGATTTGATCCACTTGGGAATGTGTTCGTGTAAGCTGGGTGTGTCATCCGGTGCGATAATATCTCTATTGGCACCTTCAGCAATAGATGGACATTCTGGTAGCATTGTGTTGAAGTAGGCTGTTAAAAGTTGTCGACATTGTTCAAAACTTCCAAAGTAGAAGTATGTGCTTTTTGCGTGGCGTTCAATCGTGTAGTATTTGTGGTAGCACCTTGCTAAACAATGCGAAGTGAGAGCAGAGCAGAAACAACTTTGACAATGTTGATTGTCTCGTCGTAAGTAGATGCAATGCACCGATGATTCCGAGCTACTGCACGCAGAGTCATGCTGGATAGTCCCACAACTGCCACTAACTCAGTAGATGATCCCTTGCTGTCTGTTTGCCCGAGGTGCCTTACGATCCGAGATCAGTGGGCCCCTGTGTAGGCTAGGTGTACTAGCGCGAGCACTGACTCGAACAAGCCTAGAATGTGAGGACATGTACATTTTTGGAGGTTCAAAGTAGAGATCTTTACAGGCCATAACTACCGCCTGGTGTGTCTTGTCGGTATCCAGATGCCCTTGCTATCGCTTCATCCTGGTGACCTAAGATTCATGGGCCCTGCACAAGGTACAGAAGCTCTGTTTCGTAGCAGCTCATGACTCAAAGAAGTTCCGGAGATCTTTCGGAGACCGTGGGAGGCACGAGTGCACATACGTACACATTTCAAGGCTTCGGTCCGAACCGGGATGGATCTTTGTCCATTCCCACCGTTTTGCGAGAGATGATTTTTTTTTTTACGTCACCTGCTCTGCGTGATATTCACAATATACAGCTTCCAAGAAGTTTGACTGAGCAATACCCTTGCATTTGCTGTCCCATAGTGCCAAGATATCTGTAAAAAGTTAAGAGCTGGGTCGAAAATGGGAGAGAAGGTCCTCTCGTAATGTGAGTAAGTTCTAAACACCCAAAGTACGTTAGAATTGAGCGTTAAATTAAGAAGGGTTGCTTGTCTCTTACATGGGTTCCTCAGACAATGTGATCAACTCATAGATGTGGTTGAAGAGTCGGTAACGATTCTCTGTCTAGGGCATCATGGTACCCGCCCTATGTAGAACTATCTGGATAGGATCCACAAGCCCCTGCATGCACCCACAACGAACGGGTTCCATAACTCAGTTGGTTAGAGTGTGGTGCTAATAACGCCAAAGTCGAGGGTTCGACCCCCTCTGGAACCATGTGAACAATCGTCTGTTCGATTTTCTTTTTCTTTTGTTTCAACCTCCAATTTGTAGGGAGGTTGACTTTTCGTCCCCTATCAGGAGCTCTGTGATCAGTGGACTTAGAGAACGATTCGTTAAATCTATCTAACTTTTTTTTTTTTTTTTAGCTCGGTCTGCATATCACGGAGACGAGAGCGAGTAAAATAGATGTCTATACTTATCTGCACGTTCACACTTGAGAGCTGTCACGTGGTGACCCTACGAAAGGGTTGAGTCCGAGATGAACTAGGATACACAACGACCAAGACCGAAGAAGGGAAACCCTACCGAAAGATGTGTAGAGAGGTACTTGGTGAGCCAGCTCCATCTGTTCTGAGTAAAACCATATCAAAACCAACCCCCGGATACTTGCAGCGCAAACAGCCCGAGCGAATCTCATGAAATCACCCCGCTGACATCATCCCACCAATGCAAACTCACTCCAACATTCCCCAAGTGCAAGATTCCCGGCATCAAACTCCCCATTCAGACCCGCCCATCAATTCTAGTTCTTTGTCTCTTCTAGACACCAGGCTCACTGCAAGATAGCATACACCCGAGACTCAGCCAAGATTACAAATATACATCCACCCCACCTCAAGCTCAACCGCCATGACCGAACCCACGCCAATTGAGCAAAGCGTTGCACAGCAGATCGCACCCCCCAACCCCCCTACAGAAATCACGTCCCTAGAGCGCGTCTCCCTCCCACGGATCTCAATCCAATTCTGCACCCAGTGCAAATGGATGCTGCGAGCTGCATATGTACGTCTGATCTATACCTTCCCTCTCTACTCTGAACTGTTTCATTGGATCTTCATATGCACTCTGGATCCCTCTGCATATGCATGCAGAGATATAGGTATTGCAATTACCTACTCGGATGCATACTAACTGGACTCTAGTTCGCGCAGGAGCTCCTCTCCACATTTGGCACGGACCTCGGTGAGGTAGCGCTTGTACCAAAGACCGGGGGTGTTTTTACAGTTACGATTTGGTATTCTGGTGCTGGTTGCGAAGGTGAAAATGGGGTTACGACGCAAGAGACGATTCTGTGGGATCGTAAGAGAGATGGTGGATTCCCTGGTACGTTGAATTTATCGTGCTCTTTCTTCTATACATATATATTTGTAGCACTTTGCGATGTGGAGGCAAAGGCTTCCATGTTTTCGTCGTGCTTCTGGTGATCTGGAACTTACACTCTTCTTGCTACAGAGGTTAAGGCGCTGAAGTCACTGGTGAGGAATGTCATTGCTCCGGAGAGGGATTTGGGGCACACAGACCGGGCGTTGAAGAAAAACAAGGAAGAGGAGGATAAGAAGAAGCAGGAGTCTACGGATGAGAAGAAGGATTGTGAGGATTGTAAATGAATAGACTAGGGATGATATTTCACAAACTGGCATTGGAATTTGAAGAGTGTATACGTGGACGATGACAGGTAGCTCTGGAGGAGCCAATCTTACTTCAAAAGTTGGAGGGATGCCCTTTCGAGAAGCCCAAATTTCTTACAGTCCACACCTGGGTAACCACTTCACTCATACTACAGTGACCGATCGTGATAAAAAGAATTCAGTATGTATATTTGGAGAGAATGTAAAAAGCAACCACAATCCCAAAGGACTATAAAAAGAATCGACGCCACCGCCCCCAATCCAAATCTAAGATGTCCGACCCAAAAATTCAAATGCAGCCTCCAGCGAAAGAAAAAGACAGAAAAAAAAAAGAAAAAAAAAAAAAAGGCAGAAAGCAAGGAACGTCGAACATGTCCATGATCATCACAATAGCGCAATGCAGTAGTACTGACTCGAAAACGAGACACGCCCGCCGATCGTATGGACAGGGTCTCAAGGAGAGCGTGCACACATCCTCTTCGAAAAGAAGTATTCGCTTGAGACAGTTGGGCTCCGTTCATCAGCGTCGTTTGGGTCGTAGATCGGACAGAGCCAAATTTTGTAGGTATAGGAAAATTGGGAAAAATCGTTCGAGCCAAGCCATAATCGTGCCCCGGCACCCTCAACGCTCATCAAATGCACCGTTAACCATGATCACATAATATACAGCCGGTAGACCATCAACGCCAGCTAGGAAGAGGTAGCAGGAATCAGGTTTCGCCATGTACCTCGTGTTGGTGGTGAGGGCGGCGCTTCCAGAAAGCAAGCCGTAGGCGACTCCGCCGCTTCGTGAGCCTGTGCAGACCACCACGTTCCCCGTTCTGGTGGCTGTCCTGCGAGCCATGGTTTTTGATGCTCTCGCCGGTGGTGGTGGACTGAGTTGGGCTCCGACTGCCGTTGAAGCCGGCCCGGAGGAAGTCTTTGTGGTGACCATTCTCGGGCTGTGATTGGGCTGCATCCACGCCGGAGCTGTGAAGACCACGGCTGTAGGTGCTATCCCGATCGGCATTTGAAGCATATGATGTGCTCGGGCGCGTGCTGTTGTCACCGAGCTCACTTTGAGGTGCACTATCATCTGACACACGCTTCTCATCCCCGCTGTCCACGGCTAAGAAGCTTGTGGCGTTGGTCGCGGGTGAGATTGGTGTCATGTTGTTGCTGTATGCGCTGATACTCTGGGTTCGGGTGCAGCTGTTGCGGTTCGATCCTGATGGGGCAGAGGTGCGAACAGAGGAACTGTGATGTGCGTGATGACGATGGGGGCCAGATGGACCTTGACGGGAGCTGCTTGGTCTCTCGGGGATAGATTCGGGGATAGCCTCGTGCTCCGCGGCAGTCATGGAATTGCCGGCGGTGCCAGCATTGGCCGAGTTGGCATATAGAGCAGCGGCGAGGACGGCCGGATCTCCTGGGGAGTGGAAGTAATCGGTCATAGGGGTGTGATGTTGTGGTCCAACAGGTCCTCGGCCGGGTTGTGGTCCGCCGGGAATAGAAAAGTATGAGAGGTCTGGCATGGCGCCCGGCACGGCACTCGAGGATTTTCTTGATGGCACGTCGGGAGCGAGGGGCGTGCCAGTAATCTCGATTTGAGGACCAGGAGTATCAGGTGAGACGACTGGCTCGATGGTGTTCTCATTGTAGGCACCATTGGGCGACGCCGTGCTTGTATCAGATCCTGGTGAAGGAAGGTCTTCCGTGCTGTCCGCAGGCTTCAGAGCGGCTTTCGGCGTGCTCTGTTCGTCGTCCGCTTTGCCATGAGGACTTCGCGAGCGAGGAGATATCGTGCTTTCCGCCCGTCCTTCAACCTGCAGTCCCTGTTTCCGTAGCTCATCATTGGCGTGCTGCTGCCACTGCGCTTGGTTTCGGCGAATGTGATCGGCCGTAAACTGCAATTGGGGAAGAAGATCGGAAATACCCTCAAAGAGCGGAAGCGCGAAGATGGACATGAATCCAATTTGGCCGGTAGCCAGCTTGTAGATATTGCCCAACTCAGGCGGCCCGCCAAAGAGCGCAGTCTCCATTCCGACCTCTTTCTCCATCTCACCTTGATTGGCAAATTCCTCCTGCAGGATTTGCGTCCATCTCTCAGCGATCGTCCAGGGCCGAGCCACATTGCTGATATCGGCACACTTGATCAACAAACCGCAGAGAAGGGTCTTATACAGTTCGACATCCTGGAGCTTCCAGTCTTCGACGGACTTCTGGCTATCATGGTACTTCTCCTGCAGAGACCCCATCCGTTGCATGAATTTTTGGTGAACGCCCATGTCAGTAGCCAAGATAGAGCTAATGAGAAGCTTGCGGAGTTGATTGTCTTTGAAGGCTGAAGGCCAGTGGCGGCGAAGAATCTGGGAGAAGGCAGCACAATGGAAGGCCTCGAGAACAGAGTTGTCGTTGTACAGCTGCGCCAAGGGGGCATTGAGCTTGACGAGGAAGAAGTTGTTGACTCCTGGGTGGCCAACGTCGTGGCCAATTGCGGAAATCAGTAAAGTGAGGGCGTCGAAAGGAGAGATAAGGGAGACAAGGGGAGCCTTGGGCGTAGAGATTTGGCCAGAGGGCTCGTAAGGAGGGAGAGCGCCGATGCGAAGCAGGAAGCAGAATACTGACTGCAAGACATCAATCGCATGACGGAAGTTGTGGTAGAGGACAAAGTTATTATAGGCGGCGCGACAGGCGAGTAAGAAGGTCTGCAGTTCACCGGCCGTTAATCGCCACTGTTCTAGTCCGGGCAAGTTGAAAGCGTGCTGGATGATCTCGCAGGCGGCGAACACTAGTTCATCCTCGGAGAATTCGTGAGCACAGAAACTCCAACTTCCAACCTGCGTTTTGACGAAAAGTTCACGGCTCGGTTGCACATGGATTTCCCTGGATAAAACAAATGAGTGCATGGATCCCGATGCTGGACGGGAAGATGAGACATACCGTTCCTGAAACTCATCAACAATCTCCTCCGGGTTGCAAATTCCTTTCATGAGTTTGGAGACCATTGCCTCTCTCAGATAGGCATACGGCTGTTCATCGTGAACGCCAACCCAGGAGAGTTTCCGGTTCTTTTTGTGTGCCAAGAATCGCGACATTTCCCTCTGGGCCGACCGATGATACCGGTAGGCATGAACCACAAGACCCTGGATCCTAGAGCGATCAAGGGGCGTCATCAAGACATCGACCGCACCGGCATCGAGACACCGCGCAATCTGCTTGTGTTCTAGAGTGACCGGGTGCTTACTCTGCGGCTCGCTTGTCGGCTCAGGCGCATCCGAGCCAGCGGTGCGCAGAATGGCGATAGGAACGACGAGCTTCGGGCCACCTTGAACTTGGATATCATTTGAGACGCCAGAGAGGAGTGATAATCCGGGTGCTTCGTCCGAATGGGAGGAAAAGGTAAAGGTGCGCTGAATAGAACCGGGCGACGGCGGGCCACCGTCTGTCATCCACGAGGCTCGGCTGGCCTTGCGCCGGGCGACACTGTGTTCGTCGCTACTGAAGTTGATACCGAAGAAGGCGAATATCGGGGTACAATCGCTACCGGAACGATCGCTCAGCTCGGCGAGTTTCATGGCGAAGGAGGCTCCACTCTGGCACATATAGATCTTCTTACACACGCCCAACAGTAGATCCACATCGGTCTGCAGCGCGTCCGGCTCTTCGGGTAGGGTAAGAGAGCGACTCGAGGATACGGTTGAGGTAGCGTCAATGGAGGTTCTGCGCACCCATCTCTCCGACCGAACTCGGTCGTCGATGTAGACGCCCGAGCATTCCACGCGGTCCACCATCATGTCACAGGAGGGGTTTCACCGATCCACAGCACGGTAAGGACAGGGCCACCGAGAGTTGCCGAGATATGCGTGAAGCGAGGCAGTCCGACCTGACTTGGTGTGCATATGGTCCAAATGACCCGGACAAGAGAGCGCGCGGAGACTGGACGGGGACGGGAGGGACGGGAGGGAAGTGCCGCGCGGAGAGCGAGATTGAATGGTGACGAGAGGATTCTCGGGCAAGTCGAAAGACGGTTCAGAGAAACGAGCGGCGAGTCCGTCCAAGGGAGGTAAGGAAGGACTAGAGTTCAAGTTGTGAACAATGCAGTTGTCCTGCAGCGATCCAGGCGTCGCGAAGCAGACTGGGAGATCCGAGACAAACCCAACGGGATCGCAGTTGGGAGAATGCGCGCGGGTTTTCAGTGCTGGATGTTGAACGCCACAGATGACGGCACGTGAGGGGAGACGGGAAGGGGGTCTCTCGTTTTATTCTTTTTTTTTTTTCTTTGGGCGATGACAGGTAGGGGGGTCGGTATTACCTAGGTAGGAAGTGGAGTGTTAGAAAGACAAAGGAAAAAGTGAATAGGATGACATAGTGGATCGAGATCTGAGATATCGAAAGAAAGAGAAAACAAGTGGAGGAGGAGGGGGGGGACACGGGGAAGGGGGCTTCTGTCCTCCTTCCAGAAGCCCTTGAGGGGGGCGGGACGGGATGATCCTCGACTGTACTGTACTCGCCTCGGCCACTTGACCCTACACTCCCGACCCTGGTTCCCTCGACCTTGACCTCTCGGACGTCCTCCTTTGCACGGAGAGTCTAGCAAATATACAATGCCCGTGTTCTATACTTCCTTCCACCCTGATCTCCCCTTCTTCTAGAGCCTCGATCCCGGACGGTGGACCCATGACGCCTCCTCTCATTTGCGCACGCACAGTTTTTCTAGAAGGTCCACCTTACTTAAGCCGGCCGATGTCGTGACAATTGGCTGCAGGCTGCAGGATCCCGTCGAGGCTCCGGGGAGTCCGCCGGTGGAAATGACGAACGGGCTGGGCTTGTCTAGGGGGGAACCCAATCCCGGCCTGAAGGTGGCATGATCTCATCACTCCTGCCCCAGCAGCACTCGCACTCTGACGGTAAGCACCCTAGCCCCTCGATCACCCACCCCATTCGATCTCGAATCCAGATGCTCGATCATATCCGAGGTCTAAGCCTAGGTCTAGCCCTAAAAGTTCCCCGCTTTCACTGTTCCTGATGCGCGCATCCTCGGTGGTTTCTGCGACGATCACGTACGGATGAGCAGCCAATCACAGTCTCCGCCCAGGAGAAATATACTGTAGTGTATGTGAGGCATCCAATCTTATCCCATTTGATCCGAAGACTATGTACCCATGTTTGTCATCCTTTTGGGTTTCGGAGTTAGACCGTGCAGATGATCTTGCCCTTGGTCGTGTTGCTCTCCAGCAACTGGTGCGCCTCCACAATCTGCTCAAAGGGGAACACCTTCTCCACAAACACCTTGAAAGTCCCATCACAGAACTTGGGCAGCGCGTGCGAAACAAGCGTATCGCGAAGCTTGGCCTGATAATCTTCATCCCGGCTACGCAGTGTACTACCTTCCACCCGGACCCGCTTGAAGAGCAGAGGGCCAATGTTCACGCCCTCGGGCAACTTGACTCCACCCATCAGTCCCAACAGCACCACGCGACCATCCTTTGCGGCAACGTCCAGGTTCCCCTGGAAATAGGGCGCTCCGACAAAGTCAACGGTCAGATTGACGCCCGCGCCGCCAGTCGCCTTCTGGATCTCGGCCGCCCAGTCTTGAGTCTTGTAGTTGAAGGCGGCGGTCACCCCGAGCTCTTTTACGAGGAAATCAATCTTCTCCTGCGATCCAGCAGTGGCATAGATCGCCTTGGCTCCTTCGGCTTTGGCAAGCTGGATGCCGGAAATCGAGACGGATGACGCGCCTGCGTGGAACAGGACGGACTGTCCGGCTTTGAAACCGCCGATCAGGAAGAGAGCCTGCGAGGCAGTGATCCAGGTCTATTTCAATATTAGTAAAAAGGCACCTCCTGCCGGGCAAATGTAGATGGAACCAACCTCCGGCACGCCAGCAGCCTGCTCCCATGAGAGGCCCTTGGGCTTGTGGACAAGCATCTTAGTCGAAACGGCAATGTACTCCGCGTAAGCACCTATTGCACCATCAGGACCAGATACCTAATATTAAAGAGCAAGGATCAAAGACTCGGGGAGCATACCACCATAAGCAAGGCCAAACACTTCATCTCCGACCTTGAAGTCATCCTTCGATCCAGCGCCTATGCTTTCCACCACGCCGGAGAACTCGACGCCGATTGTCTCGGGTGCTTGGGGCGGAAGCGGGTACTGACCCTCGCGCTGTAGCAAGTCCATGCGGTTTAAACCAAACGCGTGGATCTTTACGATGGCTTGGCCGGCAGCGGCACTGGGTTTGGCGATCTGGTCGACGAAGAGGGAGGTCGCGGGACCTTTGCCGCCCTTGACAGCTGGTGAAATAGAAGTATTAGGATCAATTGTTATTTTTTTTTTTATTTTTTTTTTTAGTTTCTCAAGTTTTCAGGCATAGATTCCAGCGGTTACTAAGCTCTTCTCAAGCTGTGCTTGTTTTGCAGCTGCACGCGATGTAGATGGCGGGAATGGCGGGGATGGCGGGGTCGGGATCAACTTACCGATGGCGCGCATCGTGGAACTCATGTTGATCGGGAGGTTTTAGAAAAAGGCTGGAAAGTTAGTGGGTGTAGATGCAGGAGCAGCAAGCTGAAATGGTTTTATATCCTGCGCCTGGTGGATGGAAATCGTCAGAAGTCGAGTGGATAAAGGTGCGCTGACAAATGATGTAATGAGAGGATCCATCCACGCGTGCATGTAACGGTTAACCGGCACAAGCACAAGCTTTGAAATAATCTACGACTGAAACTTAAGTTGCAAGGTTTGTAATCTGTTATAGCAAATGCAATTCAATTCTTCTGATCCTGCACTAAAGGGAATATGGTAATCGTCAGAAGTCAACCGCCCTACTCCATGCAATCCATGCCCGTTTCCATGGACCACCCCAATCCTCCATGGTTTTTGGTCTGCCGTAGTCGAAGACGCCGAGAAGATGAAACAAAGGAAAAAATGAAACAAGATGGGTAACGGGCATCTGGCAAACGCCAGTTAAAACAGACCCCAGCGCTTTTTGTCTCGCGAGGTACCACGCATATGCAAACAAGAGGATCAAAAACAGCTATCATACAATCCTAAGAGTGCAGAACAAGGTCTGGCACAGAACAAAAACATTATTAAGAGAGAAGGTTTTTCAGAGACGGACTCGCACTCGCCCCGGAATTTGCGTTAGTGCCGTTCACGCCGTGTCGATTGACGCTAGGGGGCCCTCCCATGAGAGGTGGTGTGTCCTCTGGTCGAGTGGGAGGCGTAGGCCCACGCGGGTCGAGGCGCACCTGGGCCGCCGGCGGCGAATGTGAAGGCGCTCCCATCCCACGATCAACGGCGTACATCCGCGGGGGAGGGCCGCCGTTCAAAGCACTGAGAGAATTCTGCGGGGACCGGTTGACTGTCGCTGATACCATCGGTGGAGACGCCGAAGCTGCATACGGTCGAGGCGGAGGCTGTGAAAGATGCGGCGACCGCGCAGTCATGGGGCCATAAGGACTCTGGTGAGTCGGGAATCCCTGCGTTGGTGGCGGAGGGCCTGCGCTCGGATATGGTGATGGTGACATCCCGGGATGGGGAGGCGGATAACTGCTAATGCGATGAGGCGGGGGAGGTGCTGCGGCGTATACAGGCGGTGACATGCCGTTGCGCATGCTGACATCAGGCGTGGGCCGCTGCTCGTAGCTTCCAGGGTAACCTGGAGGCATAGGGCCGTGTGAATGAGAGTGTACAGGAGGCATTGGCCGCCCGAGCGGCACACCAACAGGAGCAGGGTGTGAATGCGACGCGAAAGGATGTCCTGGCATGTGCGGGGGTGGGTTCGCCGGCACGGGGCGCTGAGCAGCATACGGTGAAGGTCGGGGGTCGGGAACAGGTTCGGCAGGTGGGTTCTTGATATGGCACTTGTGGCATTCATACTCCCCAGCGTCTCCATTCGGGTGCCCGAATGAGTTTTGTGACGGGTGGCGCGCGTGGAAGGACGGGCTAGCGGAGTTGAGTCCCACTCCATTAGCCAAAGGCGCCCGACGTCCGCTGGGCCACCATCTAGGACTGTAATCGGATGCACACCGTACGCATTTCCGGGGTGTCACGGCAGGCATGGGTCGCGTTGCCGCTGGAGACTCCGTGTCGATGTCCATCGCGTCCGACACAACGTCAGTTGAGACTGGCTGGGGTTTGGGGATATCTTTGACGGGCACCCCGTTGCTTGTTGAAGCCCGCCGAGGCCCGTTCATATTTCCATGGCCATGGGACTGCGGGGCGGCCACTGATTGTTGGACGTAGGCTGCCTTCCGTGAGGTCCCAGTAAGCGTAAGATCGGCCTGCTTGTAAGTTTGAGCGAACAGCTGTAGAGCATTGAGGCCATTCGGGCCAACCTGCTCGCCAATGTCATGAAGATTTGGCACGCTGTGGCCGGGGCAGTAAATCACTGGCGTGGCAGTCCCAGTCTCGTCACCCAGGCGAATAGTCTGTAGGCTGTCTCTCCGAGAGTTCTTAACCGGCATGACATCAAGCCCGAACCGGTAATGTGCTTGGAACGCACAGCCGATGTGGAAATGGGCATTACATCCAGGCGAGTTGCAGGGGACAGATGCGCCCTTGTTGGATTTGCAGATCTTGCAAACCTCGCGCCATCGTTCCTTGGGGATGGATCCGAATCCCTCAGCAGGCTCCAATTCCTCGGCATCACCGTACCTGATCTCGGGTGTCCATAGTGAGCACAAAATGTGGGCCCAGTTGTTGCCAGCGGTGCGCTTCAACGGCTCTCGAGGACCAACAGGCTTGCCGACAGCTTCCTGGCGCTGACGATAGAGTTTGATAGCCTCGGAAACCATCTCCTTCTCCAACCTTTCCTTTTCCTTGTCTCGGTCCGACTTCTTGCGGCTGTTATTCTTGGTCGTCTCCATGAGTTCGTGTTCAGTCCATGTCACAGGGCATAAAACGCATTCGTAAGTCGTAGAGATGGAAGGACTACGGTCGTTCGAGCACATATCGCATAGCCACTTGTTGCCAGGCCGCGATCCCTGCACTCCGTAGCAATTGCGGTGAACAGTGAGGCGACAATCTCTGCAAGAGAGGTGTTCTTCACCAGTAGGGTCAACTCTGTTGCAAATCGCGCATGGAAGAGTCTTTGCCCTGGGCGGATCAGGGATGATTGGAAGCGCATCACTCTTCTCGATACCTAGCTTCTTCTTTACCGGCACTGGCTCCACCGATGTCGCCGTGGAGGTTACAGTGCTAGGGTTATCAGAACGAATCTTCTTCTTGTCCAACTTGCTTTCGTGCTGGAGTTGAGGATTGCTGTCGACCGAGATCCCCATCGCGGTTGCGGTCGCAGCCGTGGTGCTGTTGATCGTGAAAGGTGTTTCGGTAGCTAGAATCAGCTGTGCCAGCATTTCCTCATCAATGCGACGTCTCCAAGACTTGTTGCCAGTGGCCGCGATTCGTTTCCCAACTTCATCCACGTCCTCGTACTGGATGGCATACTTGCGCCACAGCAAGGCACAGCGGAGACAGAGAGCGACAGTGAGTAGAGGACCCTTGTCCTTTTTCGCGGAAGGATCAGAGGGGACTGTGGTGCCGGGTGGAACAAGGGGAGCCCGTCGCCATTGTCGCGAGTGGCGGATTTCGCAGAATTTACACTGGAAGCCACGTTTCTGAATGGCCGCCTTCTCGTTGTCAAAGGCAGAATCATCGTGATCATCAGCCACGTCGTCGAGCAGTTTTGACGAAGTGACGCTCTGTCGTCGAATCTCCTTCTTGCCTCGCCTTCCTTCGTAGCTTCCCCAGACCTGTCGGCCACGGGGAGTCTTCTTCCACATGTAGTAAAATCGTACAATCTGGTAGATATGTACGGTTTTCACATGCTTCATGATCAGACGCCACTCCGAGCCATGCTTGGCAACTCCCTGTTCAAACAGCTTGACTTCTTCCGGTCGAAGATGGGGCTCCTTGAGGTCCTTATACTTGTTGACCTTCTTCAGCTTGGTGAGAGCTGCCTGGACGTTGAAGCTCTCGGAGTATAGGAGTTGAAGGGCCTTATCCAGGAAGTTTGTGCAATACTTCTCCACTCCAACGTCGGGCGCGAGTGCCTTCGCCTGGCGCATATAGTCATCGATGAATTTGACCCGGTCCTCATCGCTCAAGTGAGACCCCGGAGCGTCATCTTCACCCCGAGCGGGGATCTGCTCTGATGTTGGCATCTTGAACAGCAGCTCGGCCGTGCGTGCTTGTTTACCGTTAGGCATTGTGACCGGCTCGTCCTCGCCGCGCTGGATGTAGCCCGGTGGCTCATCTTGGACCCATTTGGGCCGGTTGGCCTTTTCGATTTTGGCGGCCTCGATTGCGGCCGCAGAGGGTTTCCCAGCCGTCTTCGGTCCACCTGTTGCCTTTGCGATCTTCTTTTTAGCATCGAGAGACTTGACGTATTCCACCGGCCGACCTGGCCACGCAGGAACAATCGCTTGATGCCGCGGCCCGAGTCGAGAACTTGCACGAGGATAAATCCGGTCGTCGTAGTCGAGAGCATCCTCCACTCTGCAGTGCATGCCCAGATAGCGGTAAGGCCACATCCTCACCTGTGCCATCTGCTCTACTGTTTCTGGGAGTGGCATCGATTCTTCGGCTCCTGTCGGGGTGCTGGCGGAAGTTCCATTAGCGACTCCGTTGAGATGATGATCGTCCTCTTCCTCCTCCATAATCTCATCCTCTCCATCTCTTCGGGCTTCTCCGATTAGATGCGTGTTGCGTGCCTCAAGTTTGCGTTCTTGCGCACGGCTACAGGCAGCACAGGCCCAGGCAAATCCTCGAGCGGGCTTCTTTGTCAGAACGGGTCGGACACAATGCATGTGATAGGTAGAGCGGCACACGGCACAATCCACAGACTCGGAATTAGCAGCGAACAAATGACATCGCTTGCATGTCTTGACAGCACCGGTCAATTCCTTGCCTTTTCCGATTTCAACCAGAATGAATCTCCATCGGTCATCAAGAACTCGCTTGACATTCGGAGGAACGTTCACAACATCCTTGGTGGGAATGACGTCGTATAGGCGATGAATATAGCGATCAAACATTTTATCGTACCAGAAACTGTCGCGAGATTTTTTATAGACATTAATATCAATGATCTCGGTGACATGGCGAATTTGGCATTTGCCTCGCAATGAAGACAGCGGGCATGTGTCTGAGTGCATCGATGCATAGAGATAGCGCGTGTCTGCGCTGTGGCGCTGAATGTCGCGTGGGCGGTAGTACCAGTTGACACGTAATGCTTCGATGACACCAGACTCTTTCGTCTTGGATGGTAAAAGCTCCATGATTCGAGCCAGGTAATACGGCTCACCAGGGGGCTCACATATTAAATAGACATGATCTGAAAAATTAGTGTTAGTCATTTTCAATCACGGCTGTGAGAAAATCAAAACCAACCATTCACAGCGAATGTGGTGCCATCATCAGCTGTAATTTTACCATCCCTGAGGAATGGCTCCGAGGATTCAAAGCTGACCATATTAGTAAAATGGCCCCCTTCGGAGTCTCCCGGTGCGGATGTGAAGATCTTCTTTGCAACACTTCCAGCGTTGGGCCCTGTGGGAGTGCTGGTGGTAGCCTTGCGTTTCCTAAGGGAGCCGGATCCATTCACTTCATCTGGCCGGGAAGAAAATGATGAAGTACCAGGAATGGAATCTCTGGGCACTGGAGTTCCGCCGGTGCCGTTGGTCAGAGTCTTTCGTGATTGCGTAGGTGATGATTTCTCACTCTCCGGGTTGGAGCCGTTGACGATGGAATTGAGAGCTACGCCGCTGTTGCGCTTAGCAGCCTTTGCGGGGGCGGCATCGAGCTCCATATCGACGTCACGGTCCTCAGCGTAGTTGGGCCGAGGGGCATTGCGGCCTCTGGATCGCGTCCCATAGGGGGCGGCGGAGGAGCCGGCCGCATCGGCCATAGGCTCCGGCGAGGTGCTCGCGGTCATCGAGTGTGACTCTTATTCATGCACTCTTATTCATGCACTCTTATTCATACGCCGGCCGGCATGAGCACAAAACGGTATTTGAATAGAGCCAAAAGCTCGCGAGAATGCTGTTGGGTTGGTCAGTCACAGCCGGGGCAAACACGCCGTGGCGCGATACATGTACGTGGACAGTGCGGGTGATATGTGGAAACCACTAGAGGGGGGGCGAAAATCTGGAAAAGCGGGTAGATGGAAAAAGGTCAAGGGATGTGGATTTGGGAGGGGAAAGAGCACCGGGAAGGGGAAAAAGAGAAAGAGGAAGTGTGGGAACAAGAAGAAATGGCACCGGGAGTGGACCAGACACACCCGTGTCAGATCTAACTGCAGGGGTGAAGGGTGGACGGGGGCAAAGATATCAAGGTGGACACGGTCCCAACTTCAATGATAGGGGAGGCGCCAACGGCGGTAGCCGTAGAAGGAACCATTATGACTTACCGTGAGTTTGATTGAATAAATAGGAGTGGAAATGGAGAATATGCCCAAATCGGTAGAAGGGGAGAGAGAGATAGAGATATGGGAAGATGGGAAGATAGGAAGATGGAGGGATGGAAATGGAAATGGAAATGGAAATGGAAAGATGGTAAGAGTGGAATGGGAGGCGAATGGTCACAGACGCGATTGGGGGAAATAGTGCGAAACAAAACAAGCGCGCAGCCGGGAGAGAGAAGAGACCGAATCGGGAGAAGGAAACGGGCCGTTAAAGTAGAAGACGTTATAAAAGAAGAGAGAGGCACAGAGGGAAAAAAGCGTCGAGGATCCCGAGTGCGCCCCTAGTCCCGATATGTTAATATGACGGATCGTGACTTTGAACCAAGGGAAAAGGTGCAAATGGCCCAAATGGGTCGTCCAGATCCGATTGCCTGTTATTGGATGCTCGTCCCCTTGCTCGTTGATCTACCGGGGGTGCGGAAGATCGGGCTACATGTGGAAATCCATTGAGAAAGTCTATTGCGAGCATACTGGATTATTTACGGGCCAGAGAATAAGTGGCTAGGTAAATGACGACCAGGAATGTTGTCACGTAGGAGGCTGCGCGTTGGATGTGGCCCAGGAGGGAGGGGGCCCGCGTGTGCATCTTCATGTCGGGCCTCCGATCTTTCTGCATTCTAAAGTTTAGAACAATTGTGGTGTGAGGCCTCTCCTCTCCTCCTACCCCGGAGGCGTGGAGCGAGAGAGGTAGACCTCGGAGAGGATATCGTGGATGGGTATAATTTCTACGTCTGTACCGGAATGCTAGACCGTTCATGGCGACTGATATCGGCGTCAGGTTGTGGTAAAGGTAGCGTGGAAAAGGGCACTAAGCAGCCGGACTCCACAAGCATTTAACTCCATCCACGATCCCTGCGCCCTGCGGCAAAAAAAAAAATTACGGGACGGTACACAATACCCTTCCTCTTTTCCCCCTAAACCCGCAGTGGGCTCCAAGACCCTTTTGATTTGTCTTGTACCACACTTTCAACAAGCGAGACCGGTCTCTCGGATCGCTTATTTCATACGGACGCCTGGCCAGATGCACGGTCCAGTGCTAAGCTCGTCAATATAAGCCAGCTATGTAGGAATGTACAGGGTACTGGGTGATTCATGATGATATCCATGGGTCCTATCGCACGCAGAGGCGAGTGTGACACCGTGTTCTGGTTAACCCATTATTGGGGGTAATCCCCAGGATATATCTACCCGGGGCAGCGCTATTGAATCATACTCATCGTGTCAGTCGGAGAAAGCCCAGAGATCCTAGGGTAAAGCCAACTGAGAAAAAGAAAGGATCGAACATGGAAGCAAGGGAAGGGGATGCTAGTCACTATGGAAAGAGGACTCAGACTCAGACTCAGACTCCAAGTCACCCTTGGACAATAATCTCCCTATGTAATTTAAACTTCTACCGCTCACTCGACCCAATGACAATCGAAGCCGCCGAGAACCTGGCCGAGGATGATTTGCTCCCGGCGGCTCTTGTGTGTCGCCACCTGGGCCACAGCACCAGAACGTGTGAACTCGATATCAATTTTCAAAGGTACCTAGGTTAAAGCACATTCAGCTGATGAATATCCTCCATAGCTACCGAGTTTCTCCGTATTCGCTTGGAAATGGCGGGAGACGCCATCTTGTGATCCAGGGTGATCAGACCTCCGGGAAATAGTACCTGTCTATAAGTCTGCAAATCCGCTTGGATTATTGTGCACACGACAGTGGCAGAGACCCATCATATGGTTCGTCCACGTTGCTCGGCTGCTCTGGTGGGCTGATGCCTTGTATAGCGACCGCATGTTCGTCGGCATTGGCTCCGGATACAGCACTCAGGTCCAACACCATTTACCTGCATTCCACGATGGCGATACGGCGAATTTCCGGTTGCTGATCTGCATATTGTAAGATTTGCTCTGTATCCGCTCGCCTCCAATTTTGGCTCTTTCGCTACTGTAAGCTGTGAGTAGCTCTATCGACGGTAATTGCCACCGACCTCCCCTTTACGGACATTTCATGACCCGCGTCCACCGACGCGACCGGGTCTCAGATTACAGCGCAATCCACCCGAATTGAAACAGCCTTGCTAGAAATAGGCAGCAGTCCGCGACAACCTGAATTCCGACCATGCAGGTAATTATGCTTCGACAGAGCCCCTATTGCTCTAGGGCTCCTTGGAGTACTACGTAGAAGGATCATCCTCGGGATGCCTTGGAATGACTTGGGGTAGCGCAGCGAGGGACGTCTGTCCGCACGTACAACCATGCATCAAGTAATGCTCTCGTGCAAGGGGTCCCCTCATGGGTCACCGGTAATAGCATTTCATGCGATTCCCGAGTGCAAGACAAGCCACTCTATTCCATGCGAAACTCCGATCCAGGAACCGATTACCTAATATGTATGCCTGAGGCCTCGAATCCATCCCGTCACCAAACGCGTTGCTTCGAAATAACAAAGATGAAAGAATATAAACGACAACTTGGAAAGAATGGCCGATGTTCCTGGAACATCGAAATCGGGCCAACGTTTTCAGTCTCGCGGGTTCGAGACGTCCATAGATGTCGCCCGCCGACAAGCTTACCACGTAGCTCCGGTAGCCGGATACAAAAGACCATCAACTGAGCAACCTGTTGAATCACTCAAGTCTGTCGTCCTGCGGGGACCAAATGAGACCGAGGAGATCTTGGAATCGCCTTTGGAATTCGCTCGAGCCTCGTTGGCCCCTTCCGCTAATCGTTTTACGGCCAGTCAGATTCATCCTGGTCCAGGAGCATCAGCCCCCCATGATGGACAACAAAGGAGCGTGTCAACCGCCCCAGGGTCCAGCCAGAATCCTCTGTTGTCGCTCACCAATCCAAAGTATGGCCTGCCCGCCTCACTGACAGCCAACTTTGCTGCCTTAGGTGTCCACACGATCTATGCTTGGCAGGCATCCTGTTTGTTGGCTCGCGGTCTACTATCGGGTGAGCGGCACCTGGTCTACACAGCCCCCACCGGTGGGGGTAAATCTTTAGTGGCCGACGTTTTACTGCTCAAACGGATCATCGAGAATCCTACCCGCAAGGCTATCCTGGTCTTGCCCTATGTTGCCCTTGTCCAAGAGAAGTTGAAATGGATGCGTCGAATTGTGCAAGACGTCGAGAAAAACGTCCCCGAAGAAGAAGAAGAAGAAGAAGATGATGATGATGATCACGAATCACATTTTCCCCACAAGCGATGGAAACGACTACAGAAAAATATCCGAGTTACTGGATTTTTTGGCGGAAGCCGGACGACGGCTACCTGGGCTGATACCGACATTGCTGTTTGTACAATAGAGAAGGTGCGTTGTCCCAATCTTCGCCCTCTATGTGCAAATCTGATCCAGGGCTCCTAGGCAAACTCTTTAATAAATAGTGCAATCGAGGAGTGCAGCATTGGAGATCTGGGAGTCGTAGTACTCGATGAATTACATATGCTTGATGATGAGCACCGAGGATACCTCCTGGAGCTGATGGCCACCAAACTACTTTTGCTGCAGCAGGATATCCAGATCGTCGGCATGAGTGCTACGCTTTCTGTGAGTTCCTTCAAACGACCTGCACATAGGACTAGATTAACAAGGCGTCTAGAACACGGAAATGCTGGCACAATGGATGAATGCCAAGTTCTACATTTCAACTTATCGGCCGGTTCCCATTGATGAGTATCTGGTCTACGAGAACTCAATCTATCCAGCGGCGACATCGAGACAACTATTTCAAACAGCTTCCAAACTGACTGTGACATCTTCCTTCTTACAGGACACGATACTTCCTGCTCGAATCATTGAACCTTCATCTTTCAAGGAGCTCAGTAATTCTGCGACCAATTCCATGATAGCATTGGCAGTTGAAACGGCGGCAGCAGGCTTTGGCGCATTGGTTTTTTGTGGTAGTCGAGGAGCATGTCAAATACATGCTGCCACTATCAGCGAAGCTATGCCTCTACCATTAGCAGGGTCGGATGAAATGAGCAATCGCGTTGATCTCATTGCTGAGCTGCGGAGTCTCGCATGTGGATTGGACTCAGTGCTGCAGAACACTGTCATTAAAGGCACAGGATTCCACCGTTAGTACTGATCACCCTGCGTCGCTATGATTATGCTGCTGACTATTTCCCTAGATGCCGGAATGACAACAGAAGAGCGAGAGCTGATTGCACAAGCTTATGATCGAGGCGTGCTAAAAGTGCTTGTGGCCACCTGCAGTCTTGCTGCTGGGGTCAATCTCCCCGCTAGGCGAGTAATCATCAATGGTGCTCGAATGGGTCGAGAACTGGTCGGCCCGGCAATGCTGTAAGAAATCATTGGATCAATGGGCCTGGTATATTCCCCGCTGACTGAAGCAGACGTCAAATGTGTGGACGGGCAGGACGCAAAGGCAAGGATGAGTCTGGGGAGACCTATCTCATTTGCGTCAAAGCTGACATGGAAGCTGTGTGCGACTTATTGGACGCTGACATGCCAGTAATTGAGAGCTGCTTGGCTCCCGAGAAGAGAGGTCTGAAAAGGTATGTAATCATTTACTGCAAATTGCCGTTTGTGCCAACTAACACCCCCAAGGGCATTACTCGAGGCCATAGCGATTGGCTTGGTATCTGGAACCGAGGCAATAAAAGAGTATGTCCGGTGCACACTTCTGTACTGTACGCTCGATAAAAAGATTGCCTACAGGATCATGAAATCGGCCTTGCAGGAGCTTATTGACGAACAACTCTTGCTTTACAGAGATGATGAGTCCTACGAAGCAACCCTCATAGGACAAGCCATTGTGGCTTCTGCATTTTCTCCCGAAGATGGTCTCTTCGTTCATGAAGAGCTCAAGCAAGCATTACAAGCTTTCGTCATGGACGGCGATATGCATATTTTCTACATGTTTACCCCTCTGCAGGTTGCTATGAGCACGCCAATTGATTGGCAGATCTTTCGCTCTCAGCTGGACCATATGGATGACAGCGGTCTCCGAGCGCTACAATTTGTCGGCGTCCACCCAGGATTTGTTAACACAATGTAGGTATCTCAACCCCATACCAATGGCCAAGTAGAGCTAACCAGGCGCCGACAGGGTCCAATCTGGAGCATCATTGAAAGAAACAACCCCCGCACAGCTCAAACAAGGCCGCATCTACCGACGAGCATATACGGCTTTCCAGCTCCGTGATCTAAGCAACGAGGTCCCCCTCTCGACAATTGCCCAGCGGTACAAGATTCCCCGAGGCACAGTCCAGACACTGGCACAGCAATGCCACGGGTTCGCAGCTGGAATTGTCAAGTTCTGTCAACGTATGAATTGGGGCATGCTAGCAGCTGTGCTGGACCACATGCGCGATCGACTTGAAACAGGGTCCCGAGCAGATCTTCTTGAAATGGCGCAAGTTACGTTTGTCAAGAGCTGGACGGCTCGATTGCTTCGTGATAATGGGTTCAAGAATCTACGCGCTCTGGCGGAGGCTGATCCCAAGGATTTGGTGCCTGTTCTCATGATGGTAGGGGATATCTATGTATTGGGTCATGGATGATAGTGCTGACATGTATTCGATACCTAGGTCAATCCTCGCAAGGCTCAAAAAAGTCAGCTTTATCCTGGAGAAGCGGAGAAATTTGCTGCGAAGTTGTTGACCAAGGCGGAGACTATCATTACCTCTGCGAATAAGATATGGGGTAGGATCCACGAGTCTCATCATTACTTGGAAACTTGCTAATGCTTAATCATATCCAGATCGAGAACTTCAGGTTGAATTGGAGGAATGAAGCCTTAATAAGGCTTGGTATATGGCACCCGTTGGCTAATACGGCGAATCGTTAAGGTATGCATTGGAGAGCGTTGTTTTGCATAGATATCACAGGCGTCAAAATGTGAACTCATTCGGCAAAGAATTTGCCATGCTCAAAAGTGTGCATCATATTTATTCGGAGTAAATCTCTACATATAGCCTAAAACCCATTCAGTGCGTTCTGTGCATTAATAACACCACCCTTGTCCACAAAATCAGCAAGCATTGCGTTCGGAGCACGATCATATAATGCCTCGCATTCAACTGCTTGCGCCCCGAGACTACCTTCCCCGGTGGCAGCGTTCGTAATAGCAGCATGCTCACGGTCCGGGATCAAAACCCCCAGAATATCTACGTCTAGGAAGTGGTTGACAATGTACATACGGCCTGATGCAGAAGCGCCGGCGGGCCGATTGATGCTGCAGTCGGGGAAAGAGGAGTTGGTCACGTCGTAAGGCGTCTCAAAATAATAGTCGAACTCTTCGAGGATGTAATCAACTTTACTGGTGTCGGCACCATAGTCTGTATAGATATGGTTAGCATGATACTTGTTTACAGTGACGGAAACTCACCCAGGAAGACTACAAGTCTCTTTCCGCTCGAGATCAAATCACCCAGAGTGGGCCAGCTGCTGATAGCGAGTGTATCAGGACTCGAGGACGGGACAAACGCATAGGAGTCGATGCCACTGCTTGCGAACGTGTCTCCGAACTCGGTGATAGCAACCGAGTCCCCGTTTGTTAGAAGCATGGTAACCACTTCGTTTGGGTTGTCATCCAGCCAGGTCTTGACTTTTACAAGGAACGCCTCGAGGGTTCCTGCATCCTCGAGCCAGCAAGATGTATGACATAGTTCCAGGACGTTGGTATCTAAGATAGCATGATGCGTTTGAGCCTGCAAGAATCGGATTCCCATATCCAGCTGGGCCTGAATGTTGATATTCTGGTTCTGCTGGGGGAGTTCTCCGACGAATGGGGAGTCGTGCGATCCCATGAAAGTGATATTTGAATAGGAGCGCGTACAATACTCCGTGCGGCCGTTGCAGGTGGTCGCAGCAGTGGCAGCCGTTTTGGCCGTCGAAGCGGACATATTCGAGGAAGCAGATGCTCTTGTAATCTGCTTAGAGTCTCCTGGAATACCCAGTCCAGGTTGACAAAGCAGGAGTGCGCCGAGCAGAGCTCGCGTCAATCCGGTTCGAATAGAGCTCATTGTAGCTGAATTACAGCACGGGGGTAGCGGAGAGCGATCTTGAAGCAGCCAGAAAATGCGGGAAAGCGGTCTTTTCACACCTTCTTTTGTAGTGTCCTTCAGATAATCACGGTGATCACTGTTCTACCACACAGCAGGTATGATGACTTTATAAGTTCGCGGGCAGTCATGCCGCCCGCAGGAGGTGACCAGGTCCCCAGCATTCCAAATGTTGTCGATCCTTAGCCAGAAAAGAAAACACACGGCATGATACGGCTGACGAAGATCACGGCCTCATGGCTGCTTCGGTCATATTGATAGGGCACCGGGCACCGTCTAGCATGAACACGCCCCTGTGACTTGGTGTAACGGAAACCCCGCGCTAGGTCAGGAACAGCAAGAAGACTTCAAGGATCCAGGGGCTAGGGCTTTTGATTCATCCACAGAGAAAGCGGCGCAGCTGCGGGTGCTCCGTGGTCGCATTCGGGCGAGGAGGTCCTGCCAATGACGGATCTCGATGCACGGTCGGAGATGGCTTGGTACGGAGATCCGTTGACGATCGGGATATATTCTCAATTCAAGCAAGTTTGTGACATTTTGGACAGTAGTGTATCTCGTGAAGTCACATGGGCTGGAAGATAGTTTATTACCAAGAGTCAACTTACCATTCAAACTTTCGGAAAGCACTCGTGGACTTGCTGACGATGGCGAGTCGTGGATATGCAAAAGGTGTGCCCCTTTCTTTAGATTCCGGGGAGTCCTAACTGCAGAAGATATGGGTAGCACTTGCTCAGATGACATGGTAAAATGACCCTACTGCTCTAAGACACTATCCTTCTACCGACTATAGCGTAGAATCGAACAAGATGAATCTAACTTGAACTTTGAAGTTCTGTATAGTTACTTCCCAGGCTGTGAATATATCTCCGAGACTCCATATATTCATCTCTTCTCTGACAGACAAGAAAAGACACTCAAGCTCTGGTAGATCCACCAAAAATATCATCTGTTCATGGAATAATCCGAAATTAACTATCTAGGCGCAAAATCATGTCACTTCAAAAGTGCCAAGCACTTGAGATATAAACATTTCTCCGATGTTGGAAACCCGGCTGATGGATATTCTGCCAGGTACATCTACATGTCTCCCGTTCCTCGAACCAAAGTACAAAGTATAAAATCTGACTGTACGACTGGAACATAGAGCGCGAATCAAGAAAAATATCCACACAAGACAGCGACCTTTTATCATGAAACGTGGACTGAGCCGGGCGGTGAATCCCCGCTCTAAGACGAGGCTCCGCCCCAGGCAGCGCGCAGTTCACGTAGTTTCATGTCCGAGCTTGAATCGACCTCCGCCCTCATCCCGCATCACTCCCTAGACTGAGAATCCCACGAGCTGCACTCTTTCTTCTATCTGACCCGTTTGGGCTCTTTACCTCCCTGATCCGGCCCTAGCAATGATCATTCGGAGACCTCGCTCATGAGCTCGATGGCTGAGGGCAGTGAGGGCAGGGAACGAGAGGATGAGCTTGACCTGGGCAATGAAGACGATCTTCCCCAACAAGCTGACCATGACACCCTCGCCCTCGACCGCCAGCCCTCCACGCAGGAGCTAGTCGACCAGGAATTGGACACAATAGACAATGCGGAGGTGCATGACCAAGCCTCCGAGAAGACCCTCGCACCCGCAGGCCCAGAACTCCCCCAGACTCCTCCGGCGCAACACGCGCAGTTCAACGCCACTTCCGGAAGCATAGACGAAACAGCCTCAACTCCAGATGATACCCCGTCTTTACATGTCAGTGATGCCCTGCGCGCCCAGCCGGGGTAGCTTTCTAATTATCATTAGGGATCCGTTCAGTCCTCCCAAAGCAGCAGTGCGCTAGCATTGCGAAGCTCTCCACGACTCAGCCCCAGTCCAGCGCACCGTCCCTTTGACCTCCGCTTCCAATCCCGGCTATCCTCATCGCCTCTAAGCCCCTCTAGGCAGGGCTCGCCATTCCTTGCCCATCTCCACTCCCGGCAATCATCCATTACAAGCCAGCTTTCGCCCACACCAGAATCGGACAACGAACCGGCTCAGAGCCCATGGGATGTCGTGCGATGGACAAAACTGCGAAAAATAACTGGGCAGGCCTTTTCGGAGATCGGGAAGCGCAACTTTGGGCGGCCGACATGCCTCGCGGTTTCTACGTCCATTGTAATCGGTACCTCGAAAGGAATAATCCTGGTATTTGATTATCAGCAGAGCCTGAAGACTATCATCGGAACCGGCACAAAAGGTTCGTACATGACTCCCCGATGACTGGGTTCATGCTGACAATATGCCAGCTGTTGAATGCGGACCCGTCACTGCTCTAGCACTGTCCGCAGACCACTCCACTGTGGCCGGAGGTCATGAAACGGGAGATATCTACACATGGGAAATCTCTCGATCGGCACGACCCTTCCTTCATATACCCCCAATTCCAGCAAATCAAGTCGATACTCGAATATCTGATGGGCACATCGCCGGATCCGCGGTCATTCATATCGGCTTCCTTGGCACCCGACGAACTGCAATCGTTTCAGCCGATACCAGAGGAATGGCATTTTCCCATTTGGCAACACGAGGCACGGGATCACTGGGTCGAAGCGTCAAGACCACTCGAATTTTGGGCCGATATCCAGCAACTGCACCGGAAGAGCGCCGGCGGAAACCTAGCTCTGTCTTAGCTTTCTCCCCTCTACCTCTCGGCAATGTTGAGCAACCGTATGACTCATTAGGTCTTGTTGCTATGTTGACCCCCTACCTTCTGGTGATAGTGTCCACAACTCCAGTTGCTCAAACCCAACACAAAGCGCCGCGGCCCAAGGAAGTCCCGGCGCATAGTGCCATGACCGGAGCTCTAGCCTGGTTCCCCGCCATTCGGCTAAAAGGCAAAGATAGCCAGACGTCGAATACCAAGCTCGTCTATTGCTGGTCAAACGTGTTGACCGTGCTTGAAGTGACAGAAGCGGAGACGGACGAGCCATTGGACCGCGATAGACCGCCTAGCCTTGTTTTCAGGGCACGGAGTAGATGGAAGGCCGACGAAGCCATCGTCGCCGTTCAATGGCTCAGTAGATCTGTGCTGGCAGTGTTCACAATCACCCAGCGACTACTGATCCTTGAGGATTACACCATGCATGTCACAGATTCCATCGATCTTGCCCACCGACACATCTACCACACCGACCTTTTCTCCTCCCAACTCCATAATCTTGTCGAGCAACTTGATGAAGAAGATACGTCGATGCATGGCGTCGTGGCTGATGCATTTTATATGAGCTTCCGGGCCTATAAAGGCCGGCTTTTCTTGCTTGGATATAGTGAAGCCCAAGTCGGCAACCTCTCAAACTGGGCTGACCGACTCCTTGCTCTCATGGAAGCGGGTGATTTTATTGGAGCTATCCGATTGGCGACTTCGTATTACATGGGAGCCGCAGAGAAGCTCACAGTTGGCCTCCCCGAGGAGGATGCTTTGAGACAACCAATTGTTCAAGAAAAGCTCCTTGAGATGATCTCTGCCTCGCTTAAGTATGCATTTGGTCGTAACGACGAAGCAAACAACGGGCGCGTGGAGAACCAACAGCTTGAGGAACTCGCAGAAGTTTCCATTGCCGCTTGTATCTATATGGATGATGTCGAGTTCCTGTGGGAAGAAGTGTTCACTTGGTACGAGGAGCAGGAATCCGCAGGCATCTTCCTTGACGTCCTCGAGCCGCGTATCGTCGACGGGACCATTCGCTCGCTTCCCCCAATTGCTGTCAAAGCTCTGATAAACCACTTCATAAAAACCCACTCGGCTGGCCGTTTGGAGGAGATCATCTGTTTGCTGGACACTACGACGATGGACATCGATCAGGTTACAACGTTATGCAAACAACATAACCTGTTCGATGCTTACATATATGTGTGGAACCGCTGTCTAACAGACTACATTGGGCCACTGGAGGAACTCCTGCAGATGATCCCCACCCAGACCGATTCTCTGGTCAATGGAGACTATGCCATCGAAGTAACAAAGCATACGAACGCGATGAAAATGTTTGCGTATTTGTCTTTCGTGTTTACCGGACGTATCTATCCCACTGGGGATGAGATGGACGAAACCGAGGCATCGCGGGCCAAGCTCGCTCTGTACCAATATCTCTTCTCGGGCAATCTAGAACCTGTTAACGGCTCTAGTGAGGCCAACTCATTCTCACAACTCCGGTCTATGCTCAAGTTCGATGCGTCTAGCTTCATGAGTATGCTCAATGAAGCTTTCGAGGACAGCTTCCTCAACGAGCCCGACTCCGAAGAAAGCCCTTCTCCAGGAGCGTCGATCAATCGGCAGTACCTGATCAGCATATTGCTCCAAGTCATGGATGCGTCTTCTTTTACTTCTTCTGATACCATTTACCTGGACATGTTTGTTGCGCGCAACCTTCCCAAATACCCCCAGTACATTCTTCTTTCTGGCACGACCCTGCATCAGGTCCTAACCCGTCTGTGTCAATACCCGGACGAGAGCATGGCCGACGACTGCGAATTGAGTGCTGAGTACCTGCTGTCTTTCTACCATCCACCGGATATCCAGAGTATGGTGCCGTTGTTTCAGGCAGCTCGCTTTTCCCGGATTTTGAAGTCCACGTATCGCTCTGAGAAGCAATACCCGCAATGGATCATGACCTATCTTGAAGATCCGAATGACAAGGAAGCCATTTTCACTTCCCTGCATGACTGTCTCCGCTCGGGATCCGGGCTTGGCAAAAAGCAGAGGAAAGATGTGGTGGATGTGGTCAAGGAGCATGCCAGAGACATTGCTGATATTGACGTGATGCGGGCTGCTCAGACAATGCAGGTTCTGGCTCCCGAAGCCCATCCTACATTTCTACAGGTGCTGGAACAAGATACCTACAAACAGTACCAGTATCTTCAAGTCTTGGTCGAACCCCTTGGCCAAAGTGGTGAAAAGTCTCCGCCTGTCGAGAACTCGATGATCGAACGCTACGTGCAGCTTCTTTGCAAATACAACCCACAACATGTGGCCGACTTTGTTGAAGGCTTACGAGTTGGCGATATTCATCTTGAGGAGCTTCTTCCGGCCATCGAGGAAAGTGGAGCCATTGATGCCGCCGTGATTCTCCTTGCTCGACAGGGCCAAGTGCGAGCAGCTTTGGACCGTCTCATTGCACACCTGAGCACGCTGGAATCCGGCCTGGTTGGTATTCTTCAAAGCGCAGGCCAGACTCCAGACACGGCGACTACAGCGGAAGCAATTGATGACCTCCTTGAATCCCTGAATAAGTATGCCGGGGTCGGGACCTGGCTCTGCCAGGGCCAGTCCAAGACAGCGAAGCAGAGTCGACCGAGCCTGAATGGACAACGTGGTGTGTCACCACTTGAGCAGCCCCTCGCATTTGACGAAGCTCTCTGGCTAGACCTCATCGAGGCGGTGGTGCGCATTGCAAGCAACGTGTTTGCACTACTGGATCACCAGATCAAGGACTCGGAGACATATCAGCCAGCATCCCTGAGCGGGGAGACCGGCCGGTTGACTACATCATTCCGCACACTCGTCCAACAGGCATTCACCACGTTACTGGCCAGTACCGTGAAAGGTGGTAGTTCATCCAACAGTGAACGCACCGACATGTCCTTCCTCCGCATTCTCCGCGCGTTTCTCACGCGGGCTGCAACCTGGTCACCATCTCTACTTGAGCTGCGAGCCGTGCTAGCGTCTATCTTCTCTGCATATTCCTACGAGAAATCCCTCCTGACCCTTGCCAACGGCATGCTCGACCGCGACCTCTTTGTGCACGTGGACGAAGTCACCCGACTTCGGCAACAAGGATGGCGACCCCGAGGCCAAGTGTGCGAGATCTGCCGACGACGGATCTGGGGCATCAACGTGGGCTCATCACACTGGACAGCATGGGAGAACCGACAAAGTGACGGTCATCACCGTCGCATCGCCAGGCGGCTCGAAGAGGGACATGATCCGGCCGAGCGGGGCAAGGGCAAAGCAGCAGCTGTAGAGGCGGGCCAGCTACCCCTGATGGAACATTCGCAACACGGTGCCTTGGAGGAAGGGGTCGAGACCGGGTCGATCGGCGAGCTTCCCCTGGAGTCGGTGGTGGTTTTCTCGTGCCGACATCTGTACCACCGGCAGTGTGTTCTAGATGCCAGTGTCCATGGTCGACCCACGGATTCGCATTCGCATTCTTTCCGCCGAGATACGGATTGGCCAGGGGCCGAACTGTTCTGTCCGGCGTGTACATAGCATCCCCCTTTTTTTTTCTTTTACTTCTTTTTTTCCTTCTTTTTTCTCTTTTTTTTTTTTCCTTTTTCGTTACCTGTGCAAGAGATTCAATAGGCTGCAATTACAATACGAAAGGAACGTGTCATATAGTCCTTAAACACCGTCCATGATTAATTTCACTTCATCCCGTGGTTTACCCACTCATAAAGCCTGTCAGGCGTACGCGTGCGATAAGTGTTCTTTACACGCCAGCCTTTGCCACACCTGTCTCCTTTTGTCAAACGAGAACCAAAGCAAGAGTCACGTCGGGGAGAAGATGATGATCTCATAGCGAGTGTGGCCGAGTGGTTAAGGCGGAGGAGTACGTTGACCACCTCTTCTCTCCGGCAGCTCGTATACTAACCGGCTCATCAGTTTAAGCAAATTAAATACTAAAACCCCCTCTTTCGAAAGAAATCTAGGGTTCGAATCCCTACGCTCGCATCTCTTTTTATTTTTGAATTTTTGGTTCATTCCGACCCAGTACCAAGTACCTAGGGCGGTCTAGTCAATTTAGGTTTTGTTTCGCATCGCTAGGGAGCGGATGGATAGTGTAGATAGTATAGATAGTAAAACGAACGAGCACAGGCGAGGTCTAAGTAGTCTAGGTCCTAGTGGATGAACCTCTGGGGCCCGGCACCCGGCACCCGGCAGAGTAAATGGGCCCCGAGGTTCTCTATCTGCGACGGAGGGGCATACGTCTCCCCACAATGTGACGGGGAGCACGGCCAATGGCCCTATGTCGAGGACTACTCCCATCTTGATGCCGGATGTCACTTGAATCTCAGATAGCAATCGGAAATAAGAATCGAGATGAAATTACGATCGTCGGGGTACTACAGTAGAAGAGGAGGGTCGAGGGGGTGCCGAGTATACCGAAAGCCTGGAGTATTCCCGATGGTCTCGCCCGACTCGGACCAATTCAATTTTCCATTTTTCCATCTTTCCATCTTTTGAGCATTGGGGCATTTCCACGTTTACGAATCTTCATTTTCGCTCATCTGCCGAGGGGAACCAAGGGTGACGCGTTGAAAGAACCTGAAAAAGAGGACGATAGAAGGGAAGGAAATAGGAAAAAAGGGAAAAAAAGAAAAAAGAGAAAAGAAAAAAAAAATCAAAGCAAAGCTTAATTGACAGAGTGAAACGACCATCACGATTCGCCGATCCTCCTCGCCACCATCATCTAGACCCAGCTGGGCGTCAACCATCAGAGCCAGTGACAAGTCATCCCCTCGACTTTCTCAGGCAAAGACAGCCGGTGACTCGTTGGTCGGCACCAATATTGGCTTTTTTCCCCCCGCCACCCTTCCAAGCCCTTCCAGCGAGTCAGCAGTCACGACGCCGTGATCACCCTGCGGTTCCGAAACACCCAGCCCGTCCCAGCGCTTGTCTAATCCGCTGGGTTCCAGCCTGTGCAGTCACCCAGTTGTACTGGTACTGGCACTGGCACTGGCTGCTGAAACAGGGGAACGGCTTGCGACTAACCCTTTCGGTTCACTTCGTGGGCCGAAACGGTGTCTGCAATGAGATAGGGCTTCTGCCGCCCCGGTGATCGTCTCCCCAGCGTTGCAGTGTGCCCTCATCTGATGCATGAGCTGCCTGTACGCAGGAAACGGGTGATCCACCAACATTGCCTCGCGCCCCCCCTCCGGCAATGTTTAAACTGGAAGTGGCCAACATGATCTAGCCAGGGGAGATCTTTGGTTCCGGTACAGACCTCTCTGTCTGGTACCATTGTTCAGCGAGAACCAGAACCATCTGCTTATCAAGGCGATGTGGTGGTGGTGGGTAAGAACTCAGCCTGACTTTGGCGCGTTTCAGCTATCGGGACCCGCCGTTCGGTGTGAAGGACCCCTTTGCCCTCTTGCCGCAGTGGGAATATTCCTCCGCGTTTCGTATCTCTCACATGGACCCAACTGGGTCGACTGGGTCCTGTCATGCATGTTCCATTGGAGTCTCAAGATCGGGTCTGGTGGATGGCGCTCCACGCGTCGACAACTTTCTTTTGCCCCTTGTATAAAGGATTCCTTTCTCCTTCTCTTTCGTCCTGTTCTCTTTCCATCCTATACCTGTCCTTCCTTTGTTCGTGTGCTATTTACATTCCTTTTTGAAAGGCTATATACTACACACCCTTCCTGGGTTGTATACTTGCCTTCCATCAACACTTTCCTTTCTACGTGACCTCTGCGAGGCACATTCGGTCTTTGACAGACTTTTTTCCACTTTCTCTTTTATATACATAGCACTCGACAGCATGCACCTCACGACCACCGTTCTTTCCGGTCTGGGCCTTTTTGCCCACCTCAGCGCTGCAGGCTACACGTTGCAGGCCGACTACGGCAACGATGATTCCTTTTTCAACGGTTTCGACTTCTATACCGACAAGGACCCCACTGACGGCTACGTGAGCTACGTCGATCAGTCGACCGCCTCTAGCAACGGTCTCATCGGTACCGATGGCGGCTCGGTCTACATTGGTGTGGACCACTCCAACACCGCCTCTTCTGGTCGCCAGAGTGTTCGTCTGCAGAGCACTCAGACCTATACCCATGGTCTGGTGATCTTGGATCTCGAACACATGCCTGGCAGTGTCTGTGGTACCTGGCCTGCCTTCTGGATGCTCGGCAACAACTGGCCCAACAACGGAGAGATTGATATCATCGAGGGTGTCAACACTCAGTCCACCAACCAAATGACCCTGCACACCAGCGATGGCTGCTCCATCAACGACTCCGGCTTCAGCGGTTCCCTCACCACCAGCAACTGCTACGTCGAGGCCTCAGACCAGTCCCCCAACGCCGGCTGTGCCATCCAGGGCTCCAGCACCCAGTCTTTCGGCGACGGCTTCAACCAGGCTGGTGGCGGTGTCTACGCTACCGAGTGGACCAGTGATGCCATCAACATCTACTTCTTCCCCAACTCCAGCGTCCCCTCCGACATCACCAGCGGCAACCCCGACCCCTCGGGCTGGGGTACTCCCTCCGCCAGCTTCAGCGGCGGCTGTGACATCGACTCTCACTTCAGCGAACTCCAGATCGTCTTCGACATCACCTTCTGCGGTGACTGGGCCGGCGACATGTGGTCCTCTAGCACCTGCTCTTCCTACGCTAGCACCTGCAACGACTACGTCGCCGACAACCCTTCCGCCTTCGAGCAGACCTACTGGGAAATCAACTCTCTGAAGGTCTACCAAGACAGCAGCTCCACCAAGCGTGACAACATCCCCGAGCCTCACGCCAAGGCCGCCATCCGCATCGACGCCAACGAGCCCGTTGAGGAGCCCAAGTCGAAGCGTTCGGCTCCCTACGTTCGCCCTGCTCCTCGCCCCGCCTGGAAGCACCGCCGTGACGCCTTCAAGCACGGCCACGGCCACGGCCACAGCCACTAATCTTGGACATTATGGATTACGACATGACTTGAAGGCTGGAACTTTAGGAAGGGATCTGTGATCTCGTTTGATGATTCGATGTATACCTGTTTTTTTTTTTTTTTTTTTTTCTTTCTCTTCTCTTGTGCTGGGCATTTACATTTACTTCTTTTTTCGTCATGTTCATGGTTATGGTCTGAAGGTTTGAAGGATTTTTGTGGCGCAATGTTTGAATACCCGTTTTCCACTCGTTCACAAAGCACATATTTGCATTGCACCAGGCACATATTTGCATCGCGACTGCATCTTCATGCAATAGAAAAGTATTGTTTATAGAGTGTTTTACTCCCAAAGCGACTTCTGATCTCAAATCTTGAATACCTCAGCCCAATGCACCTAGAGCTTTATGTCTGTGATTCTTAAGAGATACTATGACTACCCTCCAAGGCTGGTCTACTCCCCAGCGCCCTACGAAACCCCATGAAAAACCTCGCAAAACAACATCTTAACATGCATCAAAATCATTACTATATACAACTCCATCTAAAATTACATGTAGAACTAAACCGACGGAGGCGCAAATGCAAGAACATCCCTATTATCATCCGTCAAACGCCCCCACTCAAGAAGAAGTCTGAAGAAATAAATCTCCATATCCTCCTTCCTCAAAGCAACCTCCGTCCACTTCCGTCCTTGCTCAGCAATCCACGCCCCCTGCTCACTATGCGCCTTCATGCGCATAGGATGGTGCGGATCGCTGTGGTTCGGCACACCGGCGAAATAAGCCAAGGTGCTCCACAGACCGTGCAATCGAATATCGATGGGGACGAAGTGGAACCATGAGATGACGCGTGAGTCAAACCATTGGCGGAAAAGGCCTGCTTTCAAGGGGAGGCTGTGGCTTTGGAGAAAGGGAAGGAATCGGCCACTGAAACCTGCACCGTCGAGGTCGAAGAGGAAGCGGTGTGACCAGTGGGATTGGAAGTCGACGTGGGAGATGGTGCCCATTTCTTGGTACTGGGTGTCGCAGTCTCCGCAACGTTGGATGGGGTCGGCGAGGTGGACGTTGGTTTGGAGGTCAAGTTGCGAGGTAGGTGCGGTTCCGTCCATGATTTCGTAGGAGTAGACGCCTTGGCCGGCCGGGAGAAGGACGGAAACTTGATTCTGAGTGTTGTTGTTTATTAGATGGGCAAAGCGTTGTCGAGGCATGCCTTTCCATTCGTTGAAGCGACTGTATCCCTCGGATGTGCTTCCGACCCAGTAGAGGATGTTGTCCTTTTTCTCGTATGCCGGGTCCGGGTACTCTTTCGACGGCTGGTACCTCATTTTGTCCATGTAGTTCCATGGACTGGGGTAGAGGATGTCGTTGAAACCGGTGAGAGCGCTTTGACTGAAGATGGGGATCAACTCTTGGGATACCTTGAACGAGGAGGGAGAGATCAAAAGGCCATGTAGGAATGCCAGGTCGGGCTGGTGGCAGATTTCAGAGGCCAGATTGAAATCCAAGGGGAATTGTCCCATGGTATGAGGCTCCGCACAGTCCAGGCAAATGTCACGACGATTCCAGATGCGTCGAGTGCGTGCCCTAGATGATGGAGGGCAGACTGCGCTCACATATGGATCCCAGACACCTCGCCATGCACCATCTGTGAAGATAGTCTCGTTTGTCTGATCAGCAGGCTCGACAGGACCCCAACCTTGATCTCTGTCGGCAGACCAGCGGCTCACCACCGCTTCTGCGGGAATGGGTTCATGCGCCCTCGCCTCTCGCTTTAGCCGGACGGTCTTCTCCCAAGGTACTGCGACTCTCGGCTCGTCATTTAAATTGAAGACGAGGTCCATGTCTGGAAGATACTCGGAGAAGTTTTCGATCATATCTGCAGCGCCCTTGACCATCCATGCATGTGTCGGCTTGATGCCTTCTTGGACCTTCGGTTTTCCATTGCGAATACTGATTGCCCCGAGGTCGTTGAAAGGATTTGTCGCCAGTTTCTGGGTCATCTCCCGGATTTGCGCGGGGGGAATCGCTCGGAAAGGAAGCATATTATCGTAGATCTGATCATACTCGTCGATAACTAACGAGGATCGATTTGTTGCGTAGTCCCACCACTTATCAAAACCAGGAGGCGGAAGCTGCGCATATCGTCTTTGATATTCCAGAACAGCACCTCCGAGAGTCTTGCTGCTGCCAGCTTGGGCAACGTATTCATCGAAATGATTGGAGCCTTTGTGAATGAGGAGGTCTATTGGGTGTAAATGCGCGAATTGGTGCTTGCCCATGGCGAAGAGGACAGCAAGTGCACATAGGAAGGCGAACACTATCTGGAGCGTAATATTCGCACGGTAGAGCGACTTTGATTCTTCATCGGAAATGACGCGCGCAAGAAGAAAAAGGACGGCTCCGGTAGATGATGCCACCACAGTGAGAACGGCATGAGTCGTTGAGATGAAAGGGAACGGCATCTGTCGAAAGAGGAAGGCAGACATCGAGGGGAAGTAAATAAACATGAAACCGCCAAGGATCGAGAGACCTAGAATACCATAATGAGGCAACTATAGAATATTAGTTTCCATGCATAGGAGAAAATGAAGCTTTCCTTACCATCTGCCATGCCGAAGTAACCAAGAATACGATCAATAGCGCCTCGCCGAGAGCACCACGTGAGTATTTCACATCCAGGAATGGCTGACCACTGTGTTCAGGACGACTGTTCGTAATCCAAATCGAAATAATACTCCAGATTAGAGCGATGCCCTAAAATGACCGTCAGATATGCTCGTCAAAGAGTCGTGCACATCGAGACTTACCAAGAGACCCGCTCCCAGTGACACCAATGCTCGCTTTTTCCGCCGCCCCTCGTGATCAGGCCCGATGTGACATAAATCGGCGACCCCAATAAGCAGAATTGAATCTATCAAAGTACTGAGAACTCTGATGATCCGTAGACGTGCTGCTGCATGGATTACGATCGGACAGACGTAAGTGGATTGGCTACCATCTGTGAAGGACGAGGCCATATATCCCGCCATCGAGAGAAAGGTCGCAGCAATGATTCCTCGAGCGCGACTTTGAGTCACGATGTGAAAGCTTCGTCGACAGGTTGAGTAGGCCAATTGGACCGGCAGTCCTTGGAACCGTTGCAAATGGACATATTCCTCCCGCGGTTGTGATCGCTGGTTGCGCCAGTAGTCGTAAAGCGAGACAACGAACGGAATGGCGTACTGTTTCGCAGGGTAGACAGTTAGAACATTGACTATCGAATGACAGAAGAGCACTTAAGCCTTACAGAATATCCATCAGGCACGCACTCGGAATGAAGAGTAACTCGGCGAAACAGCTCAACTCGCAAGGCACAGAGTGTCAACAACAGGCCGACCTTCCACCAAAACCGCGATAGCCAGAAGCGAGTCTGGGGTAGAACAGGTTCGTTGAAACCCAGGATTGGAGATGATACAGACGAGCTTCGTGGCGACGACGATAGCTCAAATTGGTCGGATGACGGAACAGCGGTCCATTTGGGCTTCGGCGAGTATGCGCGAGATGCTGCTGGCACAAACCGACCCAGAATTATAAAGACTACTCCGGTGAGGAAGCAGACGATGACGGCCGTATGAACTGGGCGGTCTTTGGTCGTTTATTGTCAGTCTACGCGCTTCCACTAGCTTGATGGTGACTCACCGAAAGCGAATGTGGCATTATAAGATGCGACCAGGAAGAAAGAGCTTAGAAAGAAGATTCTAAACGACACGCGACCATTAGCAGATGCTTTTTTTCTCCCCTTGGAAAGATTGCGCTGTTGACTTACCCCACACAGACCTTGAGCCCGGTGTCGGCGGAGATTAATACCATCGTGCGCCCAAGCTTTATCGTTCTGAGCAAATGGTATCACAGGCCATTGCGCTTCTTCGCAAGAGGGTCAAATATCCGGTTGATGAGCGTGTCTTTGGCGTGACAGTCGCAAGAAGATAGTCAGGACATGGCCGAAAGGGACAAGGACCCTTCCTAGTGGAGACCTCAGGGGATTGACATTGGTCTGGATGGCTGGAAGGCTGGATGAACCTACCACTGGAAAGATACAGCTAATCAGAAACAGCATAACCAGGCTCGCCGGTGATCAAGTTGCGTCAACAGTGGGCACTTGGAATACGCCGGTCCACGCAACCATGGGCCCTTCCTCTACGAGCAAATGGTCTCCGTCCAATAGGGCGCACAGAAATTATCATAATTTCCACTGCGGTGGTATCTTCCTTGGCCTTGATTCCTCCCTAGCAGGAATGCGCCTCCCAGCAAAACATGCCGAGACGATCAGCGTCCAGAATCAAGACTTGGCTCCCGCGCGCTCCACTTGGCGCATCGTGAGTGTCACAGCGCTCGAGATCGGCACAGGCACCACTGAATCTGGATTAATCCGTCTCGCTTCTCTAAAAGGCTGGAAAAGGAAGTGTCCTGAAGGCGTAGTGCAACGGTCCGAGCGCCGAGCGCCATTCAGCGCGTCATTCAAGGGAGTGGAGCAACGTGTTTCTCGAAGCGGAGGGTCTTATCCCAATTGGGTAACCCATATGGTGACCGTTTCTCAGGTCATGTGATGTGATAATGTAATCGGAGGCGGTGAATGGACCCTTGGAGAAAATGGAAGGCGGTGTGATCTCGCAGTATGATTTTTTTTCGTTGGTCCAATTTGGGACCTGGAGACTCGGCGGGATTCTCTCTGATCAGCGACCTGGAATTTATCGCGATTTAATCGAGGACCGGAATTTGCTAGTGCCTGCTCTGCGCTAAGCAACCTCGAACGTTTCCCCTCGATAATTCGATAGCGCGTGTAAAGACGTTACTCGCGGCCAGCTTCGCATCTTCATCATGCCGCGCAAAGCGATTGACTCGCGTATCCCCGCCCTCATTCGAAATGGAGTGCAGGAGAAGAAGCGCAGTTTCTTCGTTGTCGTCGGTGATCGCGCCAAAGATGTCATCGTCAACCTTCACTATATCATGTCCAGCGTCGATGTGAAGCAGAACAAGTCAGTGTTGTGGGCATACAAGAAGGATCTCCTGGGCTTCACAAGTCACCGGAAGAAGCGTGAGGCTAAGATCAAGAAGGAAGTCAAGCGTGGTATCCGCGAACCCAACCAGGAGGACCCCTTCGAGCTATTCATCACCCTCAATCAGATCCGCTATGTGTACTACAAGGAGACCGAGAAGATTTTGGGTAACACCTACGGCATGTGTATCTTGCAGGACTTCGAGGCTATGACTCCCAACCTGTTGGCACGTACCATCGAGACCGTCGAGGGTGGTGGTATGGTGATTCTGCTGCTGAAGAGCATGAACAGTTTGAAGCAGCTGTACACCATGTCCATGGACATTCACTCACGATACCGGACTGAGGCCCACGAGGATGTCGTTGCCCGCTTCAACGAGCGCTTCATTCTGTCCCTGGGAAGCTGTGATTCTTGCTTGGTTGTCGACGACGAATTGAACGTGCTGCCTATTTCCGGCGGCAAGGATGTCAAGCCGCTTCCTCCCCCCGAATCCACAGACGAGGCGAAGTCCGGCCCTAAGAAGGAGTTGAAGGAAATCAAGGATAGCTTGGCAGAGGCGAAGCCCATCGGACCGCTGGTGAACCTGGCCCGCACTGTGGACCAGGCCAAGGCTCTGTTGACCTTTGCTGATGCCATTGCGGAGAAGACTCTGAAGAGCACGGTTACCCTGACTGCAGGCCGTGGACGAGGAAAGTCAGCCGCCCTCGGTGTTGCCATTGCCGCCGCCGTTGCCCACGGTTACAGCAACATTTTCATTACCTCCCCCAGTCCCGAGAACTTGAAGACTCTGTTCGAGTTCGTGTTCAAGGGTTTCGATGCTCTCGGCTACCTTGACCATGTCGACTACACTATCCTGCAGTCTACTAACCCCGATTTCAACAAGGCCATTGTCCGAGTCAACATCCACCGTCAACACCGTCAAACCATCCAGTACATCCAGCCCCAGGATGCGCACGTTTTGGGACAGGCAGAGCTTCTGGTTATTGATGAGGCTGCCGCCATCCCTCTTCCCCTGGTCCGGAAGCTGATGGGCCCTTACCTGGTTTTCATGGCGTCCACCATCAATGGTTACGAAGGAACTGGTCGCTCTTTGTCTTTGAAGCTCATTCAGCAGCTTCGTGAACAGTCTCGAGGTGGCGCAAAGACCGACGACACCGACGTTGCAGATCGCAGCACTGGCAAGATTGCCAAGAGCGCGGACAAGAATCTCGGCGGTCGAACCCTTCGTGAGATTACCCTCGCAGAGCCCATTCGTTATGCCCCTGGTGATCACGTCGAGAAGTGGCTGAACAAGGTCCTGTGTCTCGATGCCACTCTACCCAAGTCTCGCATGAACACCCAGGGTTGCCCGCACCCGTCCAAGTGCCAGCTGCTCCAGGTCAACCGTGATACTCTGTTCTCTTTCCACCCCGTTTCGGAGAAGTTCTTGCAACAGATGATGGCACTTTACGTTGCCAGCCACTACAAAAATACTCCTAATGACCTTCAGCTTATGAGTGACGCCCCTGCCCACCAGCTCTACGTGCTTGTTCCTCCCATCGATGAAGAGGCTACCAAGCTGCCGGAACCCCTCTGTGTGATCCAGGTTGCTCTTGAGGGTCGTATCAGCAAGCAGAGTGTCCTCAACAGCTTGAGCCGTGGTCAGCGAGCCGGTGGTGACCTGATCCCGTGGCTCGTCAGCCAGCAGTTCCAAGACGAGGACTTTGCCGGTCTCTCTGGTGCCCGTGTCGTCCGTATCGCGACAAACCCCGAGTACATGGGTATGGGCTATGGTTCGCGTGCTTTGGAGCTTTTGGTCGACTTCTTCGAGGGCAAGTTTACTTCCCTGGACGAGGATATGTCTGCTCCCCAGGAGGAGATGGTTCGTGTGACAGACGAGGAGCTCACCAACTCGAATCTTTTGGACGATGACGTTCACGTTCGTGACATTCGCACCATGCCTCCGCTATTCGGCAAGTTGACAGAGCGTCGTCCCAATACTCTCGACTACGTTGGTGTCAGCTACGGTCTGACCCCTACTCTCCACAAGTTCTGGAAGCGCTCTTCCTTCGTCCCGGTCTACCTCCGTCAGACCCCCAACGAATTGACCGGCGAGCACTCTTGCGTCATGCTTCGCACCCTGTCTGCTGGTTCTAATGATGCTGCCTGGCTGGGCGCCTTCACACGGGACTTCCACCGCCGCTTCCTCTCTCTGCTGTCCTACCAGTTCCGCGAGTTCCCTTCGGTTTTGTCCCTGAGTATTTGCGAATCTGCCAACGCCGGAGCCAAGCTGGATCCGTCTGTTGGGCCGCGTCTTCTAAAGAAGGCCGATCTTGATGCTACTTTCTCGCCCTTCGACTTGAAGCGCCTGGACAGCTACGCCAACAACCTTCTGGATTACCACGTTATCCTGGATATGGTTCCCATCATCTCCGAGTACTACCTTGCCAACCGTCTCGGCAAGGTCAGCCTCTCTGGTGTTCAGCAGACCATTCTTCTCGGCATTGGCTCGCAGCGCAAGAGCCTGGATGACCTGGAGAAGGAGTTGAACTTGCCCTCTTCCCAGCTCCTCGCCATGTTCCTGAAGATCGTTCGCAAGGTCTCTACCCACTTCCGTGGTCTTGTCGAGGGCGCCGTGACGGTCTCCATGCCCGCCGAACAGATTCCCTCCGGTCCTTCCGACGGTGCCCACGACGACGTCGTTGAGGAACGTTTCCAGCCCCTTGAGACTGGTTTGGAAGATGAACTTCGTGAGGGAGGCCAGCAGGTTGACGAGGAGATGCGCGAGAAGCAGCGTGCCCTGATCGACGCTCTTCCCCTGGACAAGTGAGTGAACCTCTTGAGCCATTCCCTTCTAAAGCATTAAATGGACAATAACTGATTTCTAGCCTCCAGATACGCAATTGACAGCGGTTCCGCATCCTGGGAAGACGCCGAGAAGCAGATCCGCGGTGGCAAAGGCAACACCGTCAGCGTGAAGACGAAGTCGTCCAAGCGCAAGAAGGGCGAGACTGCCCGTGAGATCTTCGATAAGGAGGTTGACTCCAAGAGGCAGAAGATGATCAAGAAGGGCACCGAGGGCCGCAAAAAATAGAGTTGTATTTGATACTCCTGGCGTTGATTTGCATTTTCTAATGGTGTTTTTGTGGCTTCTTTTTTCAATGTATTCTGAGAGCTGTGAGATCTGATATCTATGTACCTCGCCTCTTGTATATATGAATGACTTGATACGTCTTTTTCTATCGAGCTGAGCAGGGAACGCTAAACTTATGTTGAGAGTAGCTTGGGCTATCAATAAGTTGGAGATCTGAAACTTCACGACGCGTCCAAATGGTGTAGTGGTGACCTTGGAAAACGCGCTTGTGAACGTCAATTTGTGTTGTTGCTGGGCCATACTGAACCGAAGCGGGGGCCTGGCAGGTAACATCCTCTGGCGGGCTATAAAACAAATTCCTTGTCTTTTCTTCTTTTCATTCGTCATTCTGATTTCGGTTGGGTTTCTATACTTCCAAGGCCCTACTATAAACTACGCGTCATTATGAACAAAGGCTTCAAGTTCATTTTGATAATGGGATGGCTGTGGATATTGTAATGATTTCAAAAACACAAGCCGAGTAGACTCAGCACAGGCTCGTAAACACCTCAGACCTAAATTTTACAGTTCGTCGTGTTCCGCCTCCTTCGCCTTCTCAGCCTCACCAACAAGACCCTCGGGCAGCTTCTCCTTCTCGCCCTCGCCGAGACGGATGGTATCCACCCAACGCTCAATAGCAATTGCAGAGAAGTCGTCTTCGGCCACGTAGTGACGCCACCATCCACGACGAGCATTAAGGGCGATGACCTCCACCTTCTGCTTATCCTCCAAGCCCAATGCAGTGCGGAGAGTCTGGGAGCCAGAGTTAATATCTGGAATGGCATAGACCGGGAAGAGGTGTGTGCCGCGCTGCGCGTGTTTGTGGGCAATATTTGCCAGGTTGGAGAGCGCATCAATGGCGGATGCGGGGAGTGCATCGCCCTGCTCTGGGAGGAGGGCAAGCACACAGGTTCCTGACTTAGGTGCCAGGCAAGAAGTCTCCAGGGAGTCGGGGGTTGCAAGGGTAGGGAGTGGAGGCACGGGAATGGGAACAGGAGCTGGCTTGACTTCAGCCTCGTCATTGGAATCAGGAGTCGAGTCGTCGTCAGGGGTAGATGAAGGCTTGGAGGCCGGCTTGGAGGCTTTGGACTTGGTCTTGGTCTTGGCCTTGGAGTCTGTAGACGACGCTGCCTTTCCGCTGGCGTCAGGGTTTGGCATCGCAAATTCGCTAAGGAATTCCAAAATGGGCTGCTTCTTCAGCTCGCCTTCATACAGCTGGGGCTCCGCATCTCCAGTGGGGACAACGACGAGAGCCGGGAACTGTGTGATACCGAACTTCTTGACGGAGGTGGACTCCTTGTTGCGCACCTGAGCGACATCGGCTGCACCGAGGAAGTCGACTGCCATAGCGCGGATAAGCGCACTGGTCGTACCCTTCTCCGTAAAAAGAATAACCTTAGGCCGTTCCTCGTTCTGGTTCAGCCAGTTGTCCAAGTCCTTGTCCGTTGCGCGTTTTACATGATTGGGGATGCGTTCAACCACCGCGTCAACAATGGCCTTGGCGGTGCGTGCGCCCTGGTAGTCCTCCACGCGTGGCTTTCCAGGTTTCTTTGAGGGTGTCACGATCTTCAGGGTCGGGAAGCCCTGCACGCCCATCTGGCCGCAGAAAGGCTTGTTCTCGTCTTCATCGCAGTTGATCGCGGCGACTTTCGCGAGTCCATTCAGGTTCTGGGCGGCTTTTTCGTATGCGGGCTTCAGGCTTTGGCAGTGACCACACCAAGGCGCGTAGAATCTAAGTGTGCGCGTGAGTGTTAGTAGGAGACCGAGGAAACCGTGCGGGGAGAGCTCACTCGACGATCTATGCCAGCTACAAGTTAGCTCGCCAGTTCACTAGCTTTAAAATAGCAAAATTCAAATAGCTTACCGAGGTGTAGTTCGAATCAGCAATCAGCGAGTTGTAGTTCTTTCCAGTGACCTGGAGCACCGGGGACTTTTTCGTGTAGATGCCATCGGCGTTGACGGGCAAAGCCGCCAACAGCGAAGCAGCGAGCAAGAACGAGCTTGGGGGAAGCATGATGGTAGACAGTTATTTGGCCAACGGCTCAGAAGAGCATTGCTTTTAAGTAGAAGAAAGAAAGCGCCTTAGCCTGGTCAAAAGGAAGATTACGCAAGGTGTCCTGAAGCTCTTGGCATGCGGAGAGAAAATGCTTCTCCAATTAGAAGCTTCATCCTTCCGTTATTTACGATGTCGAACAGTGATGGCCACCCAGCGCCGTCTCGACACTTGTCATGATCTGGCGTACCTGCCTCGGGACATTTTCTGGCTTTTGCTGGATTACTTAGACCCTGTCGATCTGATCCGTTGCCGCCGTGTCTCGCCCGCGTGGAACGAGGCCTTCGGCAACCCGGCTATCTTGGTCCCAACCTTGAAGAGGCGATTTTCATGGACGAAAGAAGCACAGTCTCTTGAATGGGACGATGAGGACCCTGAAAGTCGAAATGTCTATGACCGGATCGTCGCGCGATATGACCATCTACAACGAGGAAAGCCCCGCTCCGTACAAAAATACCGCCTGTGTGACGACTTCGGCAGCTCGGGCGACCGCGAATGGTTCCAGGTTCAGCCGTGGGAGTCGCACGCGAGCCACATGAGGCAGGTCGTGGACCGCCAGTTCTCAGAAGCCTTGTGGACACACGAGGATGGGCTGCTAGTCTACCCCAGTGCGGATCACCAGTGTTTAGTGCTGATGGACCTGAGCTCTGACCGGCAGTTCATGGTGCCGTTCATTATCCGTGGAAAGGTCGTCCGCCGAGTTCGACTTCAGAAGCGATTACTGGTGGTTGAGTGGGCAGAGCCCAAGGCCTTCCACTGGCTCAATGACAGCGACGGCGTGCATCGGCATTTCGCCTCGTCTTTCGATGTCAAGTCCGGTGACAAGGGTGGATGGAGTATTGTCCCTCGAAATGAATGGAAGATCATGTTCTTGGGTCATCCGTTGAGTGAACGAGACCGCTTCTTCTCTGCACATACCAATACGCACTATGTGATCTACATCTGGCAGCCTAACCGCAGTCTATACACAGCAGACGACGATGCGCCTATCGAGTCTCTGTTTGTATGGGATATCTCGAACGCATCTTCCTACAGACCATCTCTGGATCCAACCGGTCAGCAAAGCGGGCCCGATATCGACCAGGCTCCCTCAATCGTGTCTCGTTTCGGCTTTCGGGATCTCGATTTCTTTGATATTCGGCAACGAGGCCTGCCGGCATTGCAGAGGCTCGGCATCACAGATGATGGCCACGCTGTAAATTTTACGGAAATGGCCTGCTTTGGCGACGAGGATGTAATGACGCCGTTCGGTTACCCCCAGACTGTCACCACCGTCATACCTATGCATGGCAATGGTCCCCATCAGAGGCGCGTTGAATCAATTATGCCTGCTTATCGAGGTACACACAATTTGCACACGCCAAATCTGAGAGATGATGAGTTCCTGCCAGAGGCTTGGTTTGGCATGCTCTCCGAGTTGGCCAACGAAGTTACCGGCGTGGTCATCAGTCTGCATTTTGATCCAATCAATTGGACTCAAGATCAGAGAATATACTTGACCTTTGAAACCAGAGACGGTTCGGTTTCTCATGAGAATCTAGACTTTACTGGCCGCGGTTTAATCTGTGGTAGCGAACACTACATAGCGGGCGAGAACTGCAACCGTGAGCTGGTGATCTGGCGGTTTGATCGATGAGCTCTTGACACGGTCTCGCCGGCAGCAGAAAACTTCACCTTCGAAATGTTTCCGCGAAGGCAGCTTTTCCTACTATAGCACGGATTGAGCGAGGGATATCTGGCTACTGAGGCCAACAACCACATCGAAACAAGGACGGATCTCTGCAGCGGACTTAGGGTCCACTAACGACATGCATACGCAAGCATTACTGACTTGACAACATGAAGGACCATGACCATGCCCAGACATGAAAACGATAACATCTTGATGAAATCATATACAACATTGAATGAACTCCATATCGATAAAAATTGGCCTTCCAAGTCCGTTTGTTTAATCGTCGATCATATAATGTGGGTTTGGGCCAAATGCTTCATAGGATCCCTTCTAAATTCTTAAGCAAAGGAGGTAAAGATAGAGGGGGTTGAATAAAAATGGAAAATAACAATACAAACTGGACAGATAACCGCATTTGCTGCTCGTGGGTGGGTTCAGATATCCTCCACTTGCAAGAATGGAAGATGACTTAAGACATTGGTCGTATTGCCACCGAAGACAAATGGGAAAAGGTTGATGATAGAGAAGTTGCAGATCACGATCATCTATGCAGTCTTCTGAAACTTGCACCGGACACACGCCGTCGCATCACAGCCAGAGCACTCCAGGACATACAGTGGCTTGAAGATGTTGCAGACTTTGCACTCACGACGATCAAATCGCCTCACCCACAGGTCAACTTGGGAGCACACCTTAACATCGTTCGGAGTAGGTGACAGAATAGGGTTCGGGTTTGAAAGAGCTTCTTCCTTGCGTCGTTGAGCATTATCAAAGGCCTGCTTGACAAGACCTTCAAGCTCTGAGTAAAGGTCATTAGAAGTATACTGGCCATTTGATTCCCTCAATTTCTTTCGATAGAATGGGACAAAAGGAAAGAATGACTTGAAGTCCCCCGATTTGTCATCTGGTTCTTCGTCGGCGTTGTCCACGGGGGTTTCAGCGGGCAGGGGAACTCCACCATCGGAGTCATCCCCCGTTAGCTTGGCCGAATCAACAAGCTCACCAAATTCGGCAGAATCGGGAGAATCGGGAAAACCGACACTAGAGAAAAACACTTTCTCGTCTGTAAGAGAAGGGCGGTTGTCGTTAAATAGATCGGTTCTTCCATCTGTGGAGCCGTCACCCTGCGAAGGAAAAGAAGGACGAGGACCACAGTCTTCGTCGAGTAGACCGTCTTCTCCATCAGCAGCCGAGCTTTGAACAGATGGATCATCAACAGAAACGTGGACGCGACACTTATACTCGGCACCCTGGAAATCAGCCGTGTGGGTTGGGTTCAAATTTCCCTCGTCATTATCGGGGACCGTGTGAATGTTGCCAAATCCATGGTGGCTGGTTGAGAGATTAATTTCGAGGAGGTCTTTTTGCTTCAATTTTTCTTCATGCGCCTGCACCAGTGCTTTCAGTACCTCTATGTGTCTCTTTTTTTTGCTTCTAATGCCTCAGTATTGATATCAGGCACGCGTTGATGCGAATGGGCACTGTTGGCAGTCTGCAGCGGGGCTCCACGCCGGCTTGGAACTCCAGTCTTTGATGCCTCTGGTATTGGCTCTTCACGGAAGATTCCCTGAAACTTCTGCTTGGACAATGGTTTCTGCTGCCACTTGTTGTAAGCAGGGAAAGCATTCGTGGTGTTGGGCCCATATTTCATTCCATTTTGTCTGGAACCGTTCAAATATTCCTCCCAGATATCAGATTTTCTTGGGGGCGATGGCTCACGGGGCTGAGCAGGACAAGGCTGGGTAGGTCGAGGCCGCCGAGGATGTTCATCATAGGGATTTTCTCGAGATTTTGCATAAGGTGCCTCCCAAGGCCTTGAACTCCAGTGACGATGATGATTGGCATTCCATCGGCCTGTCCAATACTCATCATCTGTAGTAGCAGGACTTGCATAGCCAGGTCTGATTCCAAACTTGTCCCAAAAGTTCTCGAGGCCTGGATCAGTCAGAGCCGATCTATCAAGTATTTCATCATGCTTGCGGCGGAAGACTGGGTTCGAAAGAATATCCACTGCTTCTGCAACCTAGTTGATGTACGCAAGATTAGATCGTGTTCTTTCTAGCTCTTAGAAAAGTGAGCCAATAGGAAGCATAAATGGACAATCACGGACCTTGCGGAACCTCGCAGTAGTCTCCTTACTATCGCCAGCTTTGTCAGGATGAAGCTTGAGTGCCAGCTTCTTGTAAGCAGAACGAATCTCCGGGAGGGTCGCATTGCGGTCCACGCCTAGCACAGTGTAGTGGTTGGTGTTCGAGTTAGCCGACGTCATGGCTGATCAACGCGGTACCAAGTCAGATTCTATTGCATATCCAAAGGAAAATGAGGAGGAAGTGCTCCGTGTGATAAACGGAAGCAAAGCCTGTGTTTAGAGAGGCATACCTTTGACGAATCCACCCTGACCGAGTTCAAACGACCAGGATTGAACGATGCAATGCACTCCGTAGCTGTCTCGGTAAGTTAAACGTCAGGTAGATCAATACGAGAAGCAAGCAAGACAATGGAGATTGAAGAGGGGGGGGGGGGGGCGCAAGAGTCAAAGAAGAGAGTGCTGGAACCAGAAAATCGAAAAAGTAAAGTAAAGGAGTGAAAGAGCGAGGGCAAGCGAAGTGCTCCTTCACATTGAAGCTACGATGTGATGCGACTGCGAGTACACTCAACCGCTGCAGCTACATTCCACGACAACCCTAGCCAAGGTCTCTATAAGCACAAATGAAATCGGAATGGATTGACACTGATTTTACAAATGAAGAGTCGATCTAGATATCAACAGGTCTACATAATGTAGAGAAAAAACCTCACAAAGGTTTTTACATGTCCGCAGAGGCGGTGGCACCGGTAATAATCTCGACCAACTCTCCGGTAATGGCGGCTTGACGCTGACGGTTGTAGAGAATTTGGAACCTGTAGATATATTAGAACCACTCTGATTCGGACACATTGGGATTGGAACATACTTGTTGATCATCTCACCGGCGTTCTTGGAGGCGTTCTCCATGGCGTTGCGACGAGCAGAGATCTCACAGGCGTGACCCTCAGCCATGGCCCAGAAGAGGTTGTTGGCAAGGGAGTACTCGCGGAGACCGGCCAGAACCTCGTCATCGATCTCGTAAGCGGAGATGTTGGCTAGTGGATAGTCAGTATGATTGAATGGAAGCCGCCACATGGAAATCACCTACCAGACTGGGTGATAGCATCCTCGGAGTAAGCTTCAATGGTGGTGGGCTCGTAGCTCTGGGCGTTGATGAAGGAGTTATAGAGCACCTTGACGCTGCCGTAGTTGGTGGGGAGCAGGGTGATCTGGTCGGCGATGGCCTGGGCATCGGCAAAGGTGGGGATGTCCTTGCAAACGTTGGCGAAGCTCAGGAGGATCTTCTCGGGCATGAAACGAGAGAGCTGAGCCTTGGCCTTCTCGCCGAGGATGACGATATCGGCGTTGGGGTCCTTGGCCATGAGGCGGCGAGTGGCCTTGGCCAGACCGGAGTGAATACCACCGCAAAGACCCTTGTCAGAGCTAGCAATGACATAAAGAGTCTTGCCGTCCTCCAGAGGCTTGGTCTCGGCTTGCTCGAAAACGGTGTTGGAGGTCTGACCGTAGGCGCGAGAGTCGTTCATAGCCTTCTGAGCGCGGGTCAGACGGGTAGAGGCGACAATCTTCATGGTCTTGGTGATCTTCTCAATGTTCTTGATAGACTTGAGGCGGCCCTCGATCTCACGCAGAGTCGCGAAGTTGGCGGCATTGGGAGGGGCAGTGCTTCATTGGAGTCAGTAATCAATGCAACTTCTTTCTCTTTCGCTTGTTCAATTGATTCGGGAGGCGCGGTTGGCCGTGGTGGCCATGGTGGTGGTCGACAGGTGTCGGGGTGAAGAGAACCGGCCACGAGCGGGCATCGGAAGGAGACTTACCGGGTGACGGCAGCACTGCCGGCTCTGATGGCCGGGCGAACAGCACGGGAGAACATTGCGATGGAGGTGACGAGAGTCTAGATGGCAGGTTACTGCGGAGGGGAAGGAGGGGAGAGCAGGGCAGGATACAGAAGCCTCTCTTTGCTGGTTGCTAGACGGTCGGGAAGTGCGAAGTTCAACCTCCTGGACTCCCGTGCGGCGCTAAACCTGAAGTGGTAGGCATCTACGGCGCGCCATTCCGGCTTCCGGCGCATTTCGCTGCCTGGGAAGACAGGCACATATCTACAGTACGTATTTGGATGTTTCTTGGAAAAGAAGCTAGTGAAGGCTAAGAAAAAAGCATAAACCTTTCGTCTGTAATAAATTATTATGTTTATCCTCTATATCTCACCTACCTTCGTCAAGTAAGAAAGAAAAGAACGATTGCCCGCCAAGCTTGCTTATGTCATCTCCGAGGTTGCCATTTCTTGTTTCTGCCTGAGTCTCTGGGCAGCAAAACACAACAAAGCACTAACCCGTTCAGGACAGTTATGTAATTATATGCCTCAGGCCAGATTCCCGTGAGTTCAAGGCCTCGCTCTCCATTCCATTCTCTCTCCCCCCAAGACTCTACCTCTTTTCCTCTCGTTCTCGGGCCTCTCATCCCTCTTTATTCCACCCGAGCACATCACTCCCCCCACCAACCTTTCTCCTGATCATCATTGATGTCTCTTCCTCTCTCTTGACCTCTACCCTCTCTTCATTGGTCAGGATTTCCTTAACTTCATTCTATCAGGCGGCTCGTCTTGCCCGAATCCGCGCACGAGGGCCTTGCCCTTTGATCACCACCTGGCTCTTTCACCCTCGCTCACTTTGGCTGCTTCCACGTATCCAAACCGCGATCATGAGTTCTTCTGAGGATGATGTTCCTCTCGTGCGCGCCAATGGCCGCGCCAATCGTAAGTCTCTCCCGGGTGACTCGGCCGCCATATGTACACCCTTGGCTCTTATTCTCTTTGAAGGACACCTTTTATCGAAAGCTCCTATCCCTTTTCTTCTCACTTCGCGCTTTGATTCCTCTGCCAATTTCGCCTCATTTCCAGACTTGCTAACATGCGATCATTTGCGCGTCTAGCTACACCCCCGTCCGCCAAGTCAAACGGCCAATCATCAACGAACGGTGAACTCGATCCCGGTGTGTCCGTGCGGTTTGGTGCTGTGCAGAACGAGGACGTGAAGATGGAGGACGCGGACGAGGACGCGCACGGCGTGAGCAAGCGCAAGTCTCGGGCAAGCATCGACCAGAAGAAGTCCTACGCGGAGCCTGACAGCAGTGACGAGGATGATCAACCTCTGGTACGCCCCATTTAGCCCCGATACATTTCCCTTTGCGACATTAGTCGCGATTGGTTTCAGCGACTGACCATTCGACAGAGCAAGCGCAGGCGAACTTCCGTCAAACACGAAGATCCCGAGACTGACGATGACGTTCCATTGGCCCTCAACGGACGAAAGCTTCCTAAAGCCTCTGAGACGGCCATCGGCGAGTCGTCCGACTCCGACATGCCTATTGAGAGAAAACTCTCTGCGCAAAAGAAAAAAATCGAGGCCAAGGCCAAAGCGGAGGCCCCAGCTGCGCGCAAAGCAGCAGCTGCAAAGAAAGACACCAAGCCGGCCGCAGCCAAAAAACAAGCCAATGGTGTCAAAAAGGAGCAAGCCGATGACAAGTCCTCGGTCAAGAAAATGAAAGCCGACACGGGTGCTCTGAAGAAGGGCAGAGGCAAGGTTAAGGCTGAGAGTGCGGAAGCCGAGGATGAGGAGGATGAATATCGGTGGTGGGACGACCCCGCCAAGGGTGATGGAACCAAGAAGTGGACCACTTTGGAGCACAACGGCGTGGTCTTTCCCCCACCATATGAGCCTCTTCCCAAGAACGTCAAGCTGAAGTATGACGGTGTTCCCGTTACGCTTCATCCAGATGCTGAAGAGGTTGCTGGGTTCTTCGGTAGCATGCTGAACTCGACTCACAACGTGGAGAACCCTGTCTTCCAGAAAAACTTCTTCAGAGACTTCAAGGATATCATCAAGAAGACCGGTGGTGCCAAGGACTCCCAAGGCAATAAGGTCGAGATCAAGGAATTTACCAAGTGCGACTTCAAGACTATCTTTGAATTCTACGATGCGCAACGTGAGGAGAAGCGGAACCTGCCTGCGGCTGAGAAGAAGGCCCTCAAGGCTAAGAGGGACGAAGATGAAGCTATTTACCAATACTGCATGTGGGACGGTCGCAAGCAGAAGGTGGGCAACTTCCGCGTTGAACCTCCTTCCCTCTTCCGAGGCCGTGGTGAGCACCCCAAGACCGGTCATGTCAAGACTCGCGTGCAGCCTGAGCAAATCACCATCAACGTTGGCAAAGAAGCCACCGTGCCACCCCCGCCCCCAGGTCACAATTGGAAGGAGGTCAAGCATGACCAGGAGGGCACTTGGCTCGCCATGTGGCAGGAAAATATCAACGGCAATTACAAATATGTAATGCTGGCCGCAAACTCCGATGTCAAGGGTCAAAGTGACTTCAAGAAGTTTGAGAAGGCTCGTGAACTGAAAGAGTATATCGACAAGATTCGGAAGGATTACCAGAAGAATCTCAAGAACGATCTCATGGTCGAGCGTCAGAAGGCGACAGCGGTGTATCTCATCGATCAATTTGCTCTGCGTGCTGGTAATGAGAAGGGTGAGGATGAGGCCGAGACTGTCGGCTGCTGCTCGTTGAAGTACGAGAATATCTCTCTAAAGCCACCATGCACAGTCGTCTTCGATTTCTTGGGTAAAGATTCTATCCGCTTCTACGATGAAGTCCAAGTCGATCCCCAGGTCTTCAAGAATTTGAAGATCTTTAAGAAGGCTCCCAAGAAGAACGGTGATGAGGTGTTCGATCGTCTGACGGTAAGCGCGAGTTTTCAAATCTGTCTATTGGCATTTCACTTACATACATAGACATCTGCTCTCAACAAGCATCTGCAAAACTACATGCCTGGCCTGACTGCCAAGGTATTCCGTACTTACAACGCCTCCTTCACGATGAGCAACCTGCTGCAGGGAATGAAGGCGACGGGTACCATTATCGAAAAGGTCAAGGCTTATAACGATGCGAACCGCAAGGTTGCCATTCTGTGTAATCACAAGCGCACAGTCACAGCAGGGCATGCCAATGCTATGGAGAAGATGAGTGAACGGGTACGTTGAACTAAATTAGTCTCGGATTTTTCAATACTAACAGGATTTGTCACCCAACAGATCAAGGGCCTTCGTTACCAAAAGTGGCGTTTGAAGATGCAAATGCTTAATCTTGAGCCCAACCTCAAGAAGAAGAAGGGCGCTGCATTCTTCGAACGGGACGAGGATCTTGACAAGGAATGGATCAAGGAACACCAGGCCTTCTTGGTGGAGGAGCAAACCCAGAAGATCAAGAAGAAGTTCGAGAAGGACAATGAAAAGCGAGTTGCCGACGGCGAGAAGGAGATGAAGGTCTCCGAGCTCAACGAGCGCCTGGAAGTTGTCGGGGAGATGAAGAAGAAGTTCGAGAAGGAAAACAAATCCGGCAAGGTCGAGGCCGAGGGCCGAGGCCCTACAGTTGAGAAACTCGAAGCCCAGATCACCAAGCTGGACCAGCGAGTGGACACGATGTCTGTCCAGGCCCAAGACAAGGAGGACAACAAGGAGGTTGCCCTGGGCACTTCGAAGATTGTGAGTTATTTCCCTCTATGCAACCCCCGACCATTAACTAACTCACTCTAGAACTACATCGATCCTCGCCTCACGGTTGTCTTCAGCAAGAAGTTCAATGTGCCCATTGAGAGGTTCTTCTCCAAGGCCCTGCGCGAAAAGTTCGAGTGGGCCATCAAGTCTGTGGATGAGGACTGGGAGTTCTAGTTCCCAACCGGCTCCCAATTCTTTGCTATCTTCGCATCTTTCCTCTTGTCTGGAAAGGTGGTAACCCGCGTTTTCGCTTTTTCTTTCTGCATGAGATAGGGTGGATCCCCTTCTCAATTTTCTTCTCGGCTGATGCGCCCAATTGGACCCGCATCGGATGCTATACGATAGTCGCACGTCTCGGTGGAACGGAACATTCAACACATACCAAGAAAAAACTATAAAACTATGAAAAAAAAAAAATTAGGACCTGAAAAAGACGCATCGCATTTAAAGCTTGGTGGCATTTGACATGGCAATTTCAATCGCCTTTCCGCACTGACGCTGGTCAGTCCATAGAAGTCTATAACGAAAGATCGAGGACCGCAATGTATTCCTACCTCTGTTTTGAACTCGGAATTTGTCGATTACGAATTGTAAAAATCAATAGTTCGACATCTAGCTCCGGATAAACGGACCACGCTGCCCCCGAGTGGGACCCCTGACTGCGCGAAATACATACATCGTCATCGTGCATCGTGCATCGTGCATCGTGCATCGCGGGCCCACTCGTACCAAGGAATTCTACCCATGTTGTTACCCACTTAGGACTACACCATGGAACCAACCATAATTAAACAGAATGTTAAGTCAATTCTAAGCCACTTGTAGCGCGTGGCTGTCAGACGTCTCATATGCTAGTGTAACCTTGAATTGGGTAGGAATGTTGGAACTATGGGCTCAATGTGCAAGATGCTCGAACGAATGGTGGGACCGTGAGGGTAATCATGAAAAGGCCAAGATATATGCATGAAGAATAAAATTCCGACCAGTGGAGAGGTATTACAGTACAATCGTCCGTACTAGACTGCCTGGTCCAAAGATGACAATGACGAATGGGGGAGAGTGTGAGGTCTGGTATCTGGTGGGAAATGGAGAATAAGAAGAGAAGAAAAGTGTATAGATGGGAATCATCAAGGGGTCGTGTTGGGGGGCCCAATGCTCTTTGTGGACACAATGCGATGCGATGCGATGCGAAGTCGAGGACGATCCAAGGAGACCGTTAATGAGAAAAGAAAGGGGGGGTATTTTGTCGCACTTTGTTCAGGGCCACCAACCCATGCGCTTGTAGCTCTCGACCATCTCGCGAATGCTGTCGGCGTCGAGACGCTCGTACTTGGGCTTCCATCCTGTTGTCTTCTCAAAGAGCGAACCGTCGATCGACATATCCTGGTCCTTGAGCACGTCGAGCTCCACGAACGGACCAATCGGGCCGGGCCGCTCGATCTTGGCCTTCTCGACTAATTCAGCCCATGTCTGCAGGGTGACCTCGTTCATGTCGTCGACAACGTCGTCCAGGTTCATCTTGGCTAGCTGGGAGATTAGGGTACCGGTGAATGTGACCTTGAGACCGAACACTTCGGACAAAGCCTTGGCGACGTGTTCTTGCTTTGTGTCGTTGTGATCGACGACGTTAAAAGAGAACGGCATTTCGGCGTCCTTAAAAAGCTCCGTCACAGACGGGTCGGACTTCTCCAGCTGACCCTTACTGGCGCGCCACTCGGCCGTGGCCCAAAGCGCGCTGGCGGCATCCTTGACGTGCAGAGTGTTCACCTTGACGTCCTTGGAGAAGAGCAGCTCGAGATCCTGCTTCAATTCGAGGTGCACGCGCGCCAGACAGATACCCATAGCAAAGTAACCCGGGTCATATTCGCCGTACACGTGGGGCAGACGAAGCGCACAGTACTGCAGACCGGGGATGGAGAGCAGCTTGTCCGCAGCCTTCAGCTTCCACTTGGCCAGATTGTGCCATGGCTGGAGCTTATCATTTTCCTTGCGCGGCGTAGATCCGCTCTTGTAAACGTGCGCGGTCGAACATTCGATGTAGGCGGGGATTCCACGCTTAGCGGCCTCCTTGCCGAGGGTGACGCTGAGTACGCAGGAGCGCGCTTCGTAGACGTCGTCGGGTTGTGAATGCCGTGTCTCGCCGCCGCAGTTGATCACGTAGTCGAATTGTTCACCATTGGCACGGTCGAAGACGCGCGGGAGATGCTCTGCAGAAAGAAAATTCGCTCGTTAGAGGGGTTAATCCATTTAGCGTCGGGGTGAACTGGGCGCCTACGTTCACGGCTGGCATCGGCCTGGACGAATATTTCCGGCGAGCAGGCCTCTTTGAATTCGGGCGCCAACCAAGCCAGTTGGGGCAGGACCTTGTCAACGATACGGACTTCCGAGGCAAGGTTGTTTTCGTGGATGTAAAGGGCCAGATGACGGCCGATGAAGCCTGGGTAGAGGGTTAGTGGGGAACGCCCGGATACAACCAGAAAAAGGGGAACGCACCAAGGCCACCGATAATTAGAACAGCGGGTTTTTTGTCAGCCATTATGGAAGACAAAAGCAATTACACCCGACACAAAGGAAAGGGGAGGGAGGGGGGGGGGAGAGGGACAATTATTCTAAAGGGGGGGGGGGGGAAGAGGGGGGAGAAATAGGAAGCCTCAAAGTGGGAGGCAAAGGACGCAAGGACACATGCTCCACACGGCGCCGTAGAAAATTCCAGGATCGTTCTCCAACCCTAGGACATCCTTTGGCCCATGATTCCGCGCCTTTCCCTAATTTCCCATGCTGCAGGCCCCTTAATGCCGTTGATCTATAGTCTCTTGGGCTAAGTGGGCTACGGTGGGCTACGGTGGACTCTGCAGTGGATCCGCAGCGAGACATCTCGTCGCCCGTGTGTCCCATGGTTCTGGAATTCCTTCGATCTGGGGTTCATGACTAACGTTCTCGAAGGCTGTGTAGCATTCTTCAGAGATTAGGCTTGAGAGTCACCCCGATCTCAAACTCGATCATGTTCAGTGTACCCTCGTCTTTCGCGTTCCAGGCACAAATCACTCGATTCTCCAGCGCTTGCAGATCCGGCTTGCCTCGGCGAATCATGAACGAGACGCCGCTCCAATTCAGATGGACCACCGCGTAACACCGGTTCAGGCAGGCCATCTCAGAGTAGAGCTGCTTGGAGACTGTGGCGCCGGCTTTATCCTCCATTTTGTTCAGGAAGTCGTCCGCGTCATGGAAGAATTCGAAAGGGACGCATACGGGTTCCTGCGGGTTGTCACTTTCTGATGAGGTCACCAGAAAGTAGGTGGCCAGCATATTCGACCCGGAGTGCGCTTTCGGGTGCTGAACGACATCTGTGGTGGGAGGATCTATTTACTAGTAAGCATTGGTCATTGATTGGCATTTTGGGCTTACCATTTTTTTGGAGAAGGCCTGCTGGGGCGTTTAATTGACCAAGGGTTACCGGCACACGCAGAGGAGACATGCCCATCAACTCACGTCGTGAAACCAGACCTTCGGTGGCAGCGCGCGGAGAAGCGAGATAGCCACCGGTAATAAGACGCCCAGGGCCGAACAGACCTCCTGCAGATTCTTCTTGGAGATTTGGAGCTCGTGTAATGATCTCGATGCTCGGAATCGGAGTCGGAAGGGGAGAATCACGCTGGTTGACATCAAGCGTTTGCTCGACGGCTTTGTTTTCGATGACAGAATCGGCGACAGAACCTGTGGCAATAGACTCATCGGGACGAGTGTTAGATACCTTGAAACAATCAGCTAAATAATTCTCAAAGGTGAACATGTAGCAGAACCGTCAGATTAGGGAAGCTCACATCCTGCATAGTTGAAGTGCGCCTCGACTTGGATGATTTCTCGAGGAGCATCACGAGGACATCGATCATTCTGTCTCAAGTCATTAGCGATTGATGATCGTCTGAAGCGAGCCACTCACGGTGTCTCGTCGTCAGGATATTTGCAACCGCTGTCCTCCCCGTAGAGACGATCTTCAATCAGGTTCTTCTCTCGGTTACCGTCACCCCAATACGTAACTGCATATTCCTCGAGAAACTCCTCGGCGCAGAAGTGACGCAGAGTCTTGTCGTCCTTGAGGCTGGTCCAAGAGTAGTTTGACTGAACGTGGTTATTCAGTTGCCCCCTGAGCTTGTCCCATGGTCCTGGCTTCAGGTCGAAGAAACAGCGAAATTCATCGAGCTTGCTCTTGGTGGACAGTTCAATCACCAGTTTTGACAGGCCCTTGGGGGTCTCTGGCTCCTGGGTCGCTGTGTCGCTAATTTTCTTGCGCGTCTTTGGGGTGCTTGGTGGTGGCATCGTTCATGCTTTGAAGGTAAAGATGCAGGAGGTATGTGCGGGTAGGGGATGGTAACCAATTGAAAAGACGAGAACAGGTGAAGATGGAAAAGTCAACGAAGGATCGAGGGAATAAGTCAATAAGTTGGATGCAGGAAAAACAAGAATTGAGGAATGAATTTCATTTAAACAGCACACGCGCTCGTCTCTTCGCTGAGAAGATTATTTTGAGAGAAGTACGCTGCACTTTCTTTCTTTTTTTTTTTTTTTTTTTTTTTGGTTTTTACAATACATATGGATAGGATTTTGTTATCAGAACGACCCTTCTATAGCCAGATTGAGAAGTTATTCTTAGAAGGTCTAAAGAATTGGTTCTCTTGCTCCTTCTCAACCTCTTTTTCCACATCTTCTTACGAATTCCCGGTAGAATAGATCGACTTCTTATAGAAAGATAATCTTTGCGGACTAAACTTTGCCAAGCTGGCCCTATTCGGCTTGGAAGGCTTATTTTGTAGCAGATCTCTTGGATGAACTAACCAAAATAACGCTCGACTGCAAGTTCAAGATGTGGTATATGGTTCTTTAAAAGTAATACTATACGCAAAGGTAAGTAGCAATTGATACTATTACTCCGCACCGAGGTATCTCAGAGAGTTCCGCAGCTCCTTGATAGCCGTATCAACATCATCAAAGGTCATTGCTGACACCGCCCACCGAGCATGCTTCTGAGCTAGAGTAATAGAATTATCATCCACCCCATGCGTGAGCTGATTCGGTGCAGCAGGCGGTGGGGCAACGGGAGCCCGAGCAGGCGCCGAAGGGGGCGGGATGTGGGCACTAGCACTAGTTGGATCGTAAAATGAAGCAGGGTCCGGCGCGGGCACCGACGGACTAGCCGGCGGTGGGAAGGATTGGAAGGTATTGGAAGAGTTTGAAGTGTGGGGTGCGTGGGAGCCAGGTGTATCTGGTAGATTGAGGACTCCACCGGAGTCTCCAAAGGTGTTTGGTGCTGAGGGCAGCTCCAGGCCGTTTGAGTGCTCATCAATGTCCATTCGGCCTGGAGAGCCAGGGGCGTTCTGCGGAACAGAAGGAATATCCGGAGTTGAGGAGGCAGGCGGTCTTGGGAGTGATGATGCGCGAGACGGGTGGAGAGACTCGTCGAGAGATGACTGATGGGCCATTTGTCGACCCAGGCGGTCAGCTTCGTCTGGAATTTCTTCGACGGACGCCTGTCTTGGCTTGGACGCTTGTTCCGCCACGGATTCGTCGAATGCCTGTACATCGGGATCGGCGACAGCAAGCTCCTCGTCCTCCTTTGGCACCGGGTTTGTCTCATTGGGGTCTTCCCCGGCTTTGATTGCCTTCACAATTCGAACAGCATGGTATTTGGCAAACTTGATTCTTCCAGCAATCTCGGGTTCAAGGTCTCCCCAGATTTGACATAGCTCAAGAAATGTAGCCGCCGCTTGGAAGGTGTCTGCTGTTTGCCTGCGTGATATTATGAGACTTGTTGACTTGGTCATAACCAGCATGAATGCTCACTTGGTGACCTTGTTGGCCGTCATAGCCGCCTCGGCGCGACCGAAGACCTCCAATCCAAATTGTTCAACGTATGCGCTCGCCGCAACATTATCCATGATCGTCTCATTGTCCGGGTTCTCGATTTTGACCTGGTTCCGTTGGTGTCAGTCAAGGCCCAGGGGAAGCGGGGTGAAGTTGCAATGAACCTGCTCTAGCTTTTCCACCAGGTTAGTCGTGTAGAGCTTGATCTCGTCGTCCGAGGTGTGAAGGCCTCTCTCGATAATCTGATTCACAATATGGAAATTGCCTGCCGCATTGGGTGATCAGCTCATGTCCCATCGCGGGGAAGTGTGCACACTCACACCAGTAGGCAACCACCGGTTTGGCCTTCTCGATCTGCGCGGCGCGCACGGCAAAGCGCCCAATATCGGCCGTTCGTAGACCTGCGGGAATACTGCTTGCCATGGTCGAAGAGTTGAAGATGTTTGGAGAGGGGGAAGCCAGATGACGTTTGGAGCTTTCCGCCCGTGCGGAGAACGATAAAGCCTTATCTACGGAGTGCGCCTTCCAAGGTGTACGTACGGAAATACAGATTGATGAAATGTGGACATGGTTCGTTTATTCGCTATATGATAAATATAACGCTCTTATGAGTCTTCAAGGATCCACTCTCCAATATCCACACGCTCCTCTGCTAGAGCCTCAACCTCAAAGTGGTCTTCTACTTGTCCCCCCGGGCCACCAATACGCTCGATAACAATCCAGATCTGGCCCTGCGAGTCCAGACTGGGTGACAAGTCAAAATCTTCCACTCGGACTCCCGACGGGGAATCACAATGTGACCCGTCCTCCGAAATAGCAAGAGTCTTCTTATACGGTCCCTGTCCCAACTCCACGGTCATCAACACGGGTGAGGAGGCTACTGTCTGAGAACCGATCATGGAGGACTTGTTTCGCGCGATAAGTTTGATGCGTGACAGGCGAGATATCTGCAAGGGAGCTAGCATCCGATCTTTCCCTGGTGGTAGGATGCCCACTCCAGATAGGGTGACTCGACGGCCTGCAGACTCGGAAGCTAATGGCTGCACCACGCACGGAATCGTAGAGGAAATCCAGAGCGTAAAGCGGCCAATTTGGTCCGGTGCAAATGTAGAGCAGACAATGGTATACACTCCTCTATCAAGGAATCGGGTCTCTGCCAGGGCGCATCCCCGACGGTAGTCGCCGCTATCAGCGATGATATCTCTGCTTCGTACCCTGGCGATGCGCTGGCCATTAGACCAAAAGAGCTTCAGATGAGTTGCAAGCTCGGCTTCTGTAGATTCAAGTAATATGGAAAGGTCGGTCTTTTCGGAAACCTGTAGACTGAACTGGGGGTTGGATGAATATCGGGCTGATTCTGCGTTCCCGCCTGCAGTCAGGGCCGTCCAAGAGCCACTTGCTTTGTTCAAGCATAGGTATTTGTCGAGAGAAGGGGCTAGGGACACGGGAGAAGTCGAGAATGCGGAGAAGGTGAAATTCTGACTGGATGATGGGAGGGATTGTTCTGAGATCACAGCCGTGTAGGTTGTCCTTGGGGGCATCTCAAGCCTCATGAGAGTGTTGGGAGAATCCACATAAGGTCCACGATGAAGGGCGCCATCACTCAGAGAAATCCGTTTGCCGTCTGCTTGGAAAATGTAGATGCTGATGAATCCAAGCACTCCGCCCTCTGGCCCGTGATTCTTCAAGTAATAATGGTGATCCGTCTTAAAGTGCTTGCCCAGCAACAGCCAGACAGTCCCTCCCGTTTCACTATAGACCGCGAACTGTGGGTTCTTCACAAAGCATCCCGCAATAACGCGACCATGAGACAAGTCCCATGTGAAGTGAATATCCTCGCGGTACTTAAACAGACCTGGGTTCCAGTTGAGGTAAAGGTGCTCAAAGTTCTGCAAGACCTGCTCACAATCCATCCAAAAGACTCCTGGGGAAAGAGATGGTGCCTCAGGGTCGTGCTCAGTTGCACGGTTCTGCATGATCTTGGGCTCTGCGCCAGCCCAAGGGTTTTTCAAGAGGCACTGTCGACGCCCATTGACTTCCTTCATATCTAGAATCGCGTAGTCGTGCTCACTCACCAAGCCCAAGCCTTGTTGTTCAAGCTCTGTCAGCTTGCCAGTTCCAATCGTCAGAACCACATCGCCATATGAGAAGGCGTTGAATAGCCGTCCCCAGATCTCGTCCGAAGTGGCATCCTCGTTATGTAAGAAGACCTGCTCGGGAATCCAGCCAGTGAGTACCCATAGGTCAGTTCCCGAGTTACTTCCCGGGAAGTCGTAGCCACCACGAACTTTCAAATACGCCTTCTCGACCAGAGCAGGCCATAAGAAATTAGGGTTGTTGCGATCAATCACATGGAGCGACCGTGACGTCTTGGAAGATGGCAGTCGATCGTCTATAACCACTTTTCGAAAGCATCCGTTGAAGTAGAAGGAAAAAATGTATTTTCCTGAAGGTGATAGAGTCGGTTCCTTAGGACTCTCCGCACATGGGTACATTGCCGGCGAGGCATGCTGCTCTGGTCAGCTTCAGTCGCTTTAAATCTTCCAATCGCGCATGTTGTACCTTTCCCAACCCACGTTCTGATCTTGAGGTAGTCGCACAAAGGCTAGCAACTACCGAGCAATCGGTCAACACATCTTGCACGAGATCGGTCCGTCCTGTCACCGAGACAAACGGCTGCTCGTCAGGGGTCCGATCCAACTTCCTCGCCCGCAGTAAGTCCAAAGGGCGTCTCCATCCCGCAAAAATATCGCCCTGTAATTCAGATATGCGGAGGTCTGGCGCATCCCTAGGCCTAGTTAACATGGTCGCACAGCACGATCATAGCACCATAAGAACACGTACGTGAAAGGCTGGCCGTCACTGGTGATGAATTCTGACGGCAGAGGTGCGCGCTCCCAGGGCGGGAAAATGAAGCCGTTCAATTTAGCACCCTCGAGAATGATGATCTCTTCACGGGTAGTGAGCTTCCGCTTGGATACGGGGAGCCGCAAGCTGGGAACTGTTTGCCGAGCAACCGATTGCCAATCGGCGGCGGCTTTGATCTTCTCGGCTCGGGTCAGGAGTTCTTTGCATTTTGAGTCGAGTTGCTTTTTGTCCTCTGCGGGTGCCAGGCGCAAGGCCTTCATGTAGTGCTCGGCGGCATCAATCGCGGCATCCAGAGCCGCTTTCTGAGTGGTCGCGGTAGCTAGGGCCCCCTCGGCTTGCTAATTGCCGGTCAATCTTCACCGAATATCGAAGAATCCGGGGTTGATGAACTATGACATACCAGTGCTTTAGCAACATATTGCCCATGGGGTCTAGACATGGCGCGCTTGTTTGGTGTAAGCCAGTGAAAGTTGGCGAACGGATGTGTTGGAGCCGATGCGCCCCGCCAGAAGGCCCTCCGTCCATCTACTTTGGTAACAACCACGCCGAATTACGCTGGATTTAGCTATGTTTTCTTGGAATTAAACAGAAACAGCCAATTGTAACAGATCTCACGGCAACTCCCCTTGCCTAGCTGCTATGATCGGCTCCGATTTGCAGCTGGTCGGCGGAAGCGGTGGACCTCGGCTCGTTTCGTCACCGCGCCGAGGCCGTTTTCTCATGCCTGTGGCCGGTTATCAGCTTCTCCCGGGTGACATCGGTGGCTATGACCTGAGTGCTCCTTGTGCTCCTTCTTTCAGCTCTCTTGGATCATATTGTCCCTTTCTCACCATCCACAGCTCCTCCGTCTTCGGAGCAAGTGTCGTTTAGAGGCCCCCGCTCCGATCTCCCCTTTCGCCTTTTTTCTTTTCTCTTATCCATCGCTTTCTCGACCCGTGAACTGGTATTCAGTCAATATAAACCATGACCGGTCAATCAAAACCTGTCCGCCTGTCGCCATGGGGCAGCGCAGTCGCCGGTGCGACGGGTGCAGTCCTTGCCAATGCGATTGTATACCCGCTGGACCTGTGAGATTTTGATCTGATAAACTCCACATTTTGGAATCAGACCCGCTAACCGCTTTTGCTTCACGTCAGGGTCAAGACGAAATTGCAAGTCCAAGTCAAGTCGACAAAGGAATATGCCGGGGTGGAAGAAGTCGAACACTATGAATCAACTATGGACGCCATCAAGAAAATTGTCGCGAAAGAGGGTCCCACCGGTCTATACTCTGGAATAGCCGGTGGTCTGCTAGGTGTTGCGTCTACCAACTTTGCCTACTTTTACTGGTACAGCATTGTTCGGACCCTCTACATGACCTCGGTCAAAAGCAATGCACAACCCGGAACCGCGATCGAGCTGTCCCTCGGTGCCGTCGCCGGCGCGGTCGCCCAGATCTTCACTATCCCTGTTTCGGTCATTACAACCCGCCAGCAGACACAACCCAAGGGAGAGAAGAAGGGCCTCCTTGAGACGGGTCGTGAGGTTGTCGAGAGCGAGGACGGCTGGTCCGGTCTGTGGCGCGGTCTCAAGGCCAGTTTGATCCTTGTCGTCAACCCGGCCATTACCTATGGCGCGTACCAACGTCTGAAGGATGTCTTCTTCCCTGGCAAGAACAGCCTCAAGCCCTGGGAGGCATTCTGTGAGTCAATTATTCTCCATCTTCGGGGCTATGTGCGCTAATGTCAATGTAGTCCTCGGTGCCATGTCCAAGGCTCTGGCAACCATTGCGACTCAGCCCTTGATCGTGGCCAAGGTTTGTTTGCAGTCTCGCCCCCCACCGAGCCGACAGGGCAAGCCCTTTAAGACTTTCGGTGAAGTCATGAAGTATATTATCGAGAACGAGGGGCCCCTGTCTTTGTTCAAGGGCATCGGCCCGCAAATCACAAAGGGCCTGTTGGTGCAGGGCCTGCTGATGATGACCAAGGAGAGGTATGTTCCGCAGTGCACTCTTTCAGGTATCCGTATTTTAACATTTTGATAGGATGGAACTCCTCTTCATCGTTCTGTTTGCCTACCTCCAGAAGATCAGAAAGGAGAGACTTAAGAAGGTAGTTGACACTGCTGCGTCAACGGCCCAAGCCAGCTTGCCCGCCACCCTGAAATGAGCTATTTTTCTACACCCTGCTTACCTTGTGCCCATGGCTCTCTCTTTTGATAATACTTGTGTCATTCTTCGGCGTGTTGGTACTCCCAGTACTCCCAGTATTCCTTTTTGCGATACTCCTTAACAGTCTAGACATACCCGGCTCTCTCAGTTGGAGAAGCCGCATGATGTATCCTGCCATGAATGGAAATAGATTTTTTTTATTCCTTCAAGTATTCACAGTGCGTTTCTGGATACTGGAATGACCTACGCTAGGCTATATGAAAATATTCTTTTGATAGACCTTAATAGACCTTAGGTGCGTGCAGTTTAGATCATAAACTCGTTAAAGCCTTGAGGGGGAGAATGCATGCAAACAATTCTGGCTGTAGAAATACATCAATTGAAATGCTTATTGTTATGCTCCCGAATTTTTTTAATTTGTAGTTTTCTTCAGGAAATATATCACACTAGACTTCTGCTCTATTTTGAATGTTTTAAGTGTATGTTCAGAAAGGAACAAAAATTTTGTTAAGAAGATATGTAGATACATGCATAGGAAGAGATGTAGAAAATCTAACATGGCAAACACCGAAGCCTTGCAAAGTTTTTGGGCTCATATATATGTTAGGCTATAGTTGCCCCTGGTCTCCACGCGCGTATCTTCGGCAACGATAGGCCGCCTCCAACCTCCCACGCGGCAGTCACTCTTCCCTGACTTTGGGAACTCTCCACACCACATCTGCCAAAGCAAGGGCAGGGGACAGCATGAGATGGCCACCATGGAGCTCCGAGTCAAGCGATGACCAGAAGAAACAATCGGAGTCTAGCCTCGGAAGCTGGTCTTCGCACGCCACATCAACAAACAACAGCTCCCCTCTCGACTGGACCGCTTTCACCGAAGCCAGAACAATCTTACCAACCCTCCTCTTGACGAGCGGCATTCTATTCGCAGTGCGTGTCCACCGCAGCTACCTGCGCCGCTTCCCCGATGCCGCCAGCATCTCGCCTTCGTTTCTTCGCCGCCGAACGGTCTTCGGCCAAGTGACCAGCGTTGGCGATGGTGACAACTTCAGAATATATCACACACCCGGGGGGCGACTTGCTGGATGGGGCTGGCTACCATGGAAAAAGGTCCCTAGCACAAAGAAGGAGCTAAAGGATAAAACCGTTCGTCTCTCTTAATGAACCCTATCTTGACACCCGCATCCAAGATCGCCTCCACCTCCACGCTTCTCACCGCTCACACACTTATTAGATCCACATCCGTCTAGCTGGCGTAGACGCCCCCGAACTCGCACACTTCGGTCGCCCTGAACAACCCTTCGCCCGCGACGCCCACGTCTGGCTAACATCATATCTCCTCAATCGCCGCATACGAGCCTCCGTCTGGCGACAAGACCAATACCAACGCGTCGTCGGAAGCGTATACGTCCGACGCGCATTCGACTTCCCCCCATTCCGCAAGCGTGATGTCTCCTATGAGATGTTGAAGCGCGGTCTGGCAACGGTGTACGAAGCCAAGGTGGGCGCGGAGTTCGGAGGCGAGGCTATGGAGCAGAAGTATCGTCGTGCCGAGTGGTGGGCGAAGAAAAGGGCTAAAGGTCTTTGGAAAGATTACCGTCGCGTTGGGTCGGACTGGGAAAGTCCGAGGGAATATAAGATTCGTATGGGTATGGGTGATCCTCAGGACAATGGCGCAAAACCGAAGTCTAAATCATGATTGTACATTTTAACACGACGGAACGAAGTCGATTGAATCAAATATCCAAAAACACATCTGGAATCATATTGTGACTTTGTCTTTAGAACCCTCATTTTCATTTTCTAGGCTCAATGTGCAAGACCATCCATGTAAAGATAGGGCGCATGTGCATGGTTCTTGTGATGTATGCCAAGTAGATCATACGACTAAGTGAACGATACACTGCAATCAAGAGAACTGGAATAACAAGGTGCATTCCGCGTGTTAGGATATGGTACATCACGTTGAGTATAGCTGTACAAAGGCACCGAGGTGACATTCGAAATCCTCGGCCCTGAATCAAAAAAGAGGTATAATAAAGCACAGGCAATCATCGCGCACGTGCCAAGTATATCAGAGCCCAATTAAGAATATGCATACATGTAGGAGTAAGCCCTAGCAGAATCGTCGTTCAAATTCTGCGAACAGCTGGGGGGTTATCTCGTCACTCGATTTACCCTCGACTCGCCAGAGACACCCGCGCCGCTCGTAATGCTCGAGAAGAGCTCTGCTGGTCTCTTCAAATTTCCGCAGCCGCTGCTTCCATGTATCGATTGAGTCATCTTCTCTCTGTGTCAATGGCTCGCCTGTGATGTCGTCTTTTCCGGGGACCTTGGGCGCGTGGAAGTCTGTGTTGTACACCCGCCCTGATGGCTCATGAACCCAGCGTGAGGCAATGCGCGCGAGAATCACGGAGGGTGGAGTGACGAGCTGCACGACGAAGTTCACGGGGACTAAAGCGTCAAGGCTTGTTGCTTGAGTAGCAGTGCGGGGGAATCCATCGAGGATGAAGGAGGCTGTGGGAGAGATCTGGGGAAATGAAGCGGCGGACTGCGAGGAGGATGTGGATGCGGTGGATGAGTTGGGCGCGGAAGAGTTAGACGAAGACGGCTTAAGCCAGCCCTTAGATGTCAATTCGGAGGAGATGAGACCGAGGATCATCGAGTCTGGGACCAGGTTGCCGGACTGCATTGCAGCCTCGGCTTGGACGCCTGTTATTGTAGTTGAGCAATATGTCCTTCGCGACGCATAAAAATACATTCAAAAGCAAGTGCGACGTACCAAGCTGTGTCCTGCGACGAACATTCTCTCGCAAAAGATCACCCGAGCTAATCGAGGCCAACTGGGGGAATCGCGCGAGCAGTCGCTCGGACTGCGTTCCCTTTCCTACACCTGGAGCACCGACGAGGATGATCCGCGCAGCCTTCTTCAGCTGCCTGGCTGTGTGCGACATGCTGAGGCGACGTCTTGCCGGTGTGTCGTCAAGTCGTGTGCAGGAGCTCCGATATAAAATTGTCCCCGGGTAAATCCGTCCCTGGAAATGTTGTGGGGCGGTAATGCAGGGCGCCGGACGTGTACAAGTAGGGGTAAAGCGTGATATTCTATCGCTGATGCATGGTAGAAGAAGGACTCGAGATAGCAGGCATAAGCAATGTAAGCCCCAATGTCTAGCGCATATTACCAATTCGCGATTTTGTGGGGGTGCATGCAGTTGCTTGCTTGGGCCTCCGGTGAGAAGCTCCGAGGGAATGTTGAATGTCCGAGGGAAAGGAAGTAAATGGCTCAACAGGGTCGGCTACAGGGACGGTCTCGGCTACAAGAAAAAGAGGAAGAAGTACGATGGTGAAGACCCGGGGAAATGGGGAAATGGGGAAATGGAGATTCGGTGATGGGCAAAGCACGGGCAGTTCTTCACATGCATCTCAACTGTTGAGTAGTCGCCTGATTCTCAAGGCTAACAAGCCACCACAGTCACATGACATGGGGTCGCGCGGCGCGTGTCGCGTCGCCCAATTCGGTTTGATAACGAGGGATCTCCTAAGGTTGCCCAGCGCTCATCGCATTTCGGCATATTTCACGACTCCAACTCGTCACCATGATTCGACAGGATGCCCACCGTATCGACCCCAAACGCAGGAATACCATCGATCACAAAAAACGGCAATTCGCCGTACCTATCTACAAGCAGCAGGACTATCCGCATCGTCTGAATCTGTACGACACGCCGCCGACGGCTGAGATCACACTCGAGCAATTTGAGCAGTGGGCCATTGATCGGCTGAAGAGTATGCACTGCGCAACTCCAATTTCTTTCGGCAACTACTAACACCGACACAGTCCTCGCCGAAATCGAAGCATGCTCCTATCGCAACAAGTCCGCCGCGGAGACTGAACAGCATATCACACCTCTTCTCCAGAAATACCTCCCTCTATCCGCCAATACCTCTTCCTCTAATGGTGCCGCCGACCCGCGTCTGAAAAATGAGCGCCAAAAGGACCATTACTCACACTTTATCCTCCGCCTGGCCTTCTCTGCCACGGAGGACCTCCGCCGACGATTCGCCCGAGCCGAGACCATGCTCTTCCGCTTCCGCTTCCAGAAGGACGATTCGAGAGAACGTCGTGCTTTCATCGACAGTTTGAGTCTCGACTGGGATCCAGTAAGCGAATTTGAACGAAATGAAATTGCCGAGCACCTCGCGAGCGCAACACCTGGTTTGCAACGGGTGAGTGATGAGACGTGGTACAAAGTCGACTGGGAGAAAGTTCCCGAACTCGTCGAAAGACGATCAGTGTATATGCGGAGGGGCAAGGCCTATGTTCCCGGAAGAGAACAGTTGAGTATGATTATGGCGGAGTTCACTGCCCGCCTGGAACGCTCGCTTGAGGTATGCCTTAGCCATTGTGGGAGCCCGATGGTCTTTATCTAACAAATTATAGCTCACAAGCCGAGCACTACCCCGTCTAGATGAGGACGACCGCCTCACCCCCATCCTCAATCACCTTTCCAAGAACTTTGGCAGCGCCGAGTCTGTATACACCGAAAGCGAAGGACATGTCGACGGAGCGGAGATTAGAGCAAGCTCTATCGACGCGCTTTCTCAACATTTCCCACTGTGCATGCGCAGCCTACACATGAATCTGCGCAAGAACCACCACTTGAAGCACTTCGGACGACTCCAGTACACCTTGTTCCTCAAGGGCATTGGTCTCTCATTGGAGGAGTGTATTCTGTTCTGGCGCCAGTCTTTTAAGGGCAAGACCGACGACGAATTTAATTCTCAATACAAATACAACATTCGTCACGCCTACGGTGATGTGGGTGGTGATGTGAACCGCCGAGGCCGGGGATACGCTCCTTACTCCTGCCAAAAGATCCTTGGCGACAGCAACCCTGGCATTGGCCAAACTCACGGGTGCCCGTATCGCCACTACTCCGTTGACAACCTCGTTGGACTGCTACAGGCAACGGGCGTAAGCGACAAGGAAGTCCTACGAGGAGTGCGTGAGGACGTGGGCAAGCAACGATACCATATTGCATGCAACCGTGTCTTCGAGTCGACGCACAAGAACGAGATCAAAAAGGTCAAGGAGGACGGGACGTGGAGCCAAGCAGACTTGGATACAATCGTTCATCCGAATACCTACTTCAAGCGCAGCTACCTGCTGAAGCAGTTGGCCAAAGCTCCGAGCCGAGATTCTTGAGCATGTGAATTTTTTTTCTTCATGAAGTTACGCCCATCACGTGTGATGGCTGTTCAATTGGCGTTCGGGAAATGGATTGTACATAGAGGAAATAGGAAGTCTTGTTTTGTAATAGTATATTCATTATAGGCATAGTCATAATCCATAGAGCGGAAAGTTACGAGGGGTCTGTGACCACAGCTGATTCCCAGTGAATCCGAAAGGATCGGAACGACCTTTCAAAACCAGGTGCCCAGCAACGGGTCAAGTCGTTCTTCGCTCGACGCGGAAACAACTTCATCATTGAAAGGAGTGAAGTTGACAAATAAATGTTATATTCTGCGTTGGCGTGGAAGAAATATGGAAGAAAAATGAAGGGAGCGGGACGGCTTATAAGGGAAACGGATACGGTGACGGGTAGAGACCAGAAGCGTTGCAACTCTGGCCTTAATGGGGGTATCTCCTCACACAACTGCCTCAACTCCACCTTTGCGTTCGATCCCTTGTCATTCGGGGCTTACTTCCTGGGAACTGGGTTAAGCTCCGTCTTTCTTTTGTCTGTGCTTTGGAGTAGTCCGATTCCAACCTTACCGCGACTTGACTCGTCCGCTGTAACGAAACCCCCTCCTCCCCTTGTCAACACTGGACCGAGACCTCCACCGCCACCCGCTACGATGGATTTCGAGGCCTTGAAGGATCAATGGAGTGATGTGGAGGACCGCGATGGTATTCGACTGAGCTGGAACACGTTCCCGAGCTCTCGTATGGTGCGATAATTCCCTGAGGCTGCCTGCCCATGTCCAAGTGTCGCGTCATCCCTAACCCTGTATCTATAGGAAGCTTCTCGCCTGGTCGTCCCCATTGCTGCCGTCTACACCCCTCTGAAAGAGAAGCCGGATTCTCCATTGCTTCAATATGAACCAGTGACTTGCAAGCAGCCCTGTCGGGCAGTTCTCAACCCATATGCGTACGTGCCGTCGTTGTCTTTCCCCGGTCTTGCGGTAAACTGATACCCCCTGTTTAGCACCGTCGACATCCGCGCCCGGATTTGGATCTGCCCATTTTGTTTGATGCGCAACCCTCTTCCGCCTCACTATAAGGACATTACGGAGAACACGATACCCCCCGAGCTCCACCCGTCCAGCACCACGATCGAGTACCAATTGGCGCGGCCCGCTCCCGCTCCCCCGATCTTCCTGTTTGTTGTCGATACTTGCCAGGAGGATGACAGCCTGAAGGCTGTCAAGGACTCGCTCATCATGAGCTTGTCTCTGCTGCCGTCGAATGCGCTAGTCGGTCTGATCACCTACGGCACAATGGTAGGAGCAACAACCCCCGTCTAGGATAACAAGTTGAATACTGACTTTTGTCATTAGGCCCAAGTTCACGAGCTCGGATACACCGAATGCGCCAAGTCGTATGTCTTCCGAGGCAACAAAGACTATACCGCCAAGCAGGTTCAGGAGATGCTAGGCCTTGTTCAAGGCGTGCGCCCTGGCATGCCTCCTCAGCAACCGCAACGCCCTCCCCTCCCTCCGGCTGCCCGTTTCCTTCTGCCCGTTCAGCAGGCCGAGTTCCAAATCACCAACGTCCTCGAGCAAATGCAGCGTGACCCCTGGCCCGTCGCGAATGACAAACGTGCTCTTCGTTGCACCGGTGTGGCTCTGAGCGTTGCGGTTGGTTTGCTGGAAACCTCTTTCCAAAATGCTGGAGGCCGTATCATGAATTTTGTCAGTGGCCCGGCTACCGAGGGACCTGGTAATGTGGTTTCTCCCGAGCTGAAGGAGCCGATCCGTTCGCACCACGACATTGATCGCGACAACATCAAGTACTACAAGAAAGCCGTGAAGGTAAGACCCTTTGGATCTCAACTTCGTTTGTTCCATCTGACCAGCAATATAGTTCTACGACACCCTTGCCAAGCGCGCCGCAAACAACGGTCACATTGTCGATATCTTCGCCGGGTGTCTGGACCAGGTCGGTCTTCTGGAAATGAAGAACCTTTCCAACTACACTGGTGGTCACATGCTTCTTACGGACAGCTTCACATCGTCCCAGTTCAAGCAATCATTTGTCCGCGTGTTCGACAAGGACGCTAACGACAACCTTCTTATGGGTTTCAACGCATCTCTGGAGGTCCTCACAACCAAGGAGCTGAAAGTCACAGGTCTTATTGGCCATGCTATCTCTTTGAACAAGAAGTCGAGCTCTGTTGGCGAGACGGAATGCGGTATTGGTAACACATGTGCCTGGAAGATGTGCGGTATCGACCCATCATCCAGCTATGGTGTATACTTCGAGATCGCCAACCAGGGTGGCCCTGCCGCAGTGCAGCCCGGCCCTCAAAGAGGTATGATGCAGTTCTTGACATACTATCAGCACTCCTCTGGGCATTACCACCTTCGGGTGACTACCACTGCGCGTCCCCTCAGCGGGCCCGCAGGCGACCCGACTCTGGCACAGTCCTTCGACCAGGAGGCTGCCGCCGTGCTTATGGCCCGTATTGCCGTCTTCAAGGCTGAGGTGGACGATGGCCCAGATGTCTTGCGCTGGGTTGACCGCATGTTGATTCGACTGTGCTCGCGCTTCGCCGACTATCGGAAAGACGATCCTACATCATTCCGTCTGGAGAAGAACTTTACCCTTTACCCACAGTTCATGTTCCATTTGCGACGAAGCCAGTTCTTGCAGGTGTTCAACAACTCTCCCGATGAAACTGCTTTCTATCGCCACGTTCTTAACCACGAGGATGCTGGTGATTCCCTTGTCATGATCCAGCCCACACTGGACTCCTACTCTCTGGAGGTGGAGGGCAGCCAGCCCGTGCTGCTAGACTCTGCTTCCATTCAGCCCGCGCATATTCTCCTTCTCGACACCTTCTTTCATATCCTCATTTTCCATGGCGAGACCATTGCCGAGTGGCGCAAGGCTGGTTACCAGGAACAGGAGGGATACGAGAACCTCAAGGTGCTTTTGGAGCAGCCTAAGGAGGATGCCAGGGTTCGTGTCTCCACCTTTCCCTCTTCTTTCGGATTTCTTACTGATAGCTTTGCAGGAACTCATTGCCGACCGATTCCCTCTGCCCCGTTTCATTGTCTGTGACGCCGGTGGATCCCAGGCCCGCTTCCTTCTGTCCAAGCTGAACCCGTCAACTACTCACACCACCGGTGGATATGGCGGCGGCGTGTCCGCACAAACCATCTTTACCGATGACGTGTCGCTTCAGACATTTATGGATCACCTGATGAAGTGAGTCCTATCTTTTCCAACGAAGTCAGGTCCTTTACCTTTACTAACTGTTTCTAGACTTGCGGTGTCCGGTACTAGCTAGTTTTGTAATGAAAACGATAGCCATGAGAGCAAAGGGCGGTCTAACATCAACCCCTCGGGTCTTGTGTATCTTTAGCGGTGCTTTAAGCTCTTTTATTTTTTTATTTGCAAAATAGTTTGTAGTAGATTGAATGGATTGATACCAAGGCAACAAGGCAACAAGGCAACACTGAAAACACCTTGCCCGATCGGGTTGCCCATGGTCATGTGACTGGGGCTGTACCCTAATGTACCCCCTTTAACGGGTCTTTCGCTTAGAGCGCAAATTGGGTGGGTCCTTGAAGAACTTCTCATTAAATCCGACGCAACTTTTCTTTCCTTCTCCTTCATCCATCCCCTTCGACAATCCAAGGCAGATCGACTACCTCTCGCACTCGCCATGCGTGAGTATCATCCCCTTGGTCAGCCTTAATGGCGGCGGCTAATTTGTTTCTGTAAACCAGCTCCCAAGTTCGACCCCAGTGAGGTGAAGATCATCCACCTGCGTGTGACCGGTGGTGAGGTCGGTGCCCAGTCTGCTCTGGCTCCCAAGATCGGTCCCCTTGGTCTGTCTCCCAAGAAGATTGGTGAGGACATCGCCAAGAACACTGGTGACTGGAAGGGTCTCCGTGTGACTGTCCGCCTCACCATCCAGAACCGTCAGGCTGCTGTCTCCGTCGTTCCCTCTGCTTCCTCCCTTGTCATCAAGGCCCTCAAGGAGCCCCCGCGTGACCGCAAGAAGGAGAAGAACATCAAGCACAACAAGTCCGTTGCCTTCGACGAGATTGTTGAGATTGCCCGCATCATGCGCTCCCGCTCCATGGCCAAGTCTCTCCAGGGTACCGTCCTCGAGATCCTCGGTACTGCCTTCTCCGTCGGCTGCCAGGTCGATGGCCGCAGCCCCAAGGACGTCTCCGACGACATCCACGCTGGCGAGATTGATGGTGAGTTTTCATTCCCCCGTTCTCCATTGTTGACCAGTGTCTAATGATTTCCACAGTCCCCGAAGAGTAAATTACTCTCTAGAATGGGAAAGAGGTGGCTATCTGCTTTTGTAACAGCATTGTCTCCATAATGAAGGAGGTAGTTGCGAAATACGAATGTCCCCTCAACCAAAAAAGCAAAACATGTTCATGAGTCATGACCTTGATACCTTTTTCCTTCGCGTCTCTTGCGAATTTTCGAATGAAAATTGATCATTCGCATTTCCTTTCCGGTTGTATGCTTCTTTCCACTCCTGATCCTTCCATTCTTTCCTCTCGTTCTAGCCTCATGGCGACGAGGATGCTGGAAGTCGTACTGCCCCGATGCAGCCAATTCTCACCTCTTTCGAGGAACCTCCACAACACTCTGGCCCTTACCGTTCTTTCCTTGCGAGGATTGGACAATATACTGCGTGGTATAGGCTTATTTTAAGTGGAGGAGAGCAAATGATCCATTACTCACCGCGGTAGACGGAGTTCGGCCTTCTGGTCGGGCTCGGTGGCTACAGTGGTCCATATACGGGTCTACATCCCGAGTCTAAGATTCGCTCTGGTCTCTGTAGATTGTAAGCGCATCAGAACATACTGATCTGATTAAATGGTCCTGGTGGTTCGGGCATCTGGCAGTCAAGTCCTCCTATCAAATCAATAGCAATCGATGAAAGTTTAATTGTTTTTAATCTATCAATCCCTTTCCAATGAGGCCGCCGCTTCTTCGCATCCTGAGGTCGTGCAGGTAAATTCAGATCCCGGACATGGCGTTCCACTCCAATGCAGGTGGCTGCAAGGCTGTCCACGGGTGGGTGTCTGCAAGTATCGCTTCGTGCGGCACGACTGTCCACACAGGCCGGATAAGCACTTGGGGGGGGGGGGGGTATACGGCTCACATCAAAAGAAATCGAGGCTGCATGAATCAAATGCAGCGTAAAGTATTGGAATATTAGTATCCATTGCACCGGTATTCCAAATATGATCTCCCACGCAGGCCTCCCAGTATGCACTTTATATATATCTATCTCAGCAACCCAGTCTCACACAGCAGTGAGCTGTTTGCGCCATCATCAACTACAGGCTATCAGGATGATCTGAAACCAGCAAACGGCAATCAGAAACCAGCTGACAAATTTGACCAACTCATGACAAACAGGCCTCGAGCTACCGCTCGCTTGACGAGACACGGGGATTGGACCTGGAGCTGTGTACTGTTCACGGGCCTTGTCCGCAGTACCTGGTCGCTCCTCCAGGAAAAGAAGAGAAAAGAAGAAAGTGAAAAAAAAAAAAAAAAGGTGGAGCGTCAGCAAAGACCACGCAGCGCATCAGTAAGACCCAGGAGGCCGACTCCACATCCCCGACGATCATTGCTCGGATCCCCCCTGGCAAATCCGCTTGTTCGGCCATCCACTGGGGGTGGTGGGGACTTTGGGACGGGAGTTGCATCTCTGGTGGTCTATGATGTGCACGGTGACTCTTACTGTATTTAGTGTGCGCCAGCACTCCATCCTGGGTCACTAGGTCGGGGAATATCGATATTTGGACAAATGAACGTCAAGGGGGCTCTTTAATTAGCTGTACCTGTTTCCACCCCCCTCGGCGCCTTGTATCACCCGACTGGCATTGCAGACGTTGGGGCCCATACCTCGGTGGGGGGTGCTGAGTTGAGTTTGCCGATCCTCTGGGAGAGCAAAGTCGTGGTATGGAAGTTTTTCTTCCTTAGTGCGACCATGGAGCGATATGTCCATAACATAGCTGCCTAGCCACGTTCTGGGGAAATACGAGAGGGCTCAGGGAAAGTGGCGCTTATCAGACAAGAAAAGAAAAAGAAAAAGAAAAAGAAAAAGAAAAAGAAAAAGAAAAGAAAAAAAGAAAAAGAAAAAAAAAGACGAAAACATGAAATCTCAGAGGACAAGGATCGGGGCATCCTTGTAACCCCAGAAATCCACCGGGAAAGGGCAAGGATGCGGCGGAGAGCAAACAGGGGGCGCCTGTCACCGACAGGGAATTGGCGGTGGCTGCAGGGCGCCTAGAACTGAGATAAAGGTCTTGACCTAGTGTATGTAGATGGAGATGGAGATGGAGATGTAGATGAGGATGTGCATGTCAAGCAGTGAATAGGGTAAGATATCAGCGACGAGGTCTCGACTCGATCATCACAGCGGGGCGTCACCGATCCATGATTAGTCGCCCGGGCGGAACCTGCGGTCCACTGACGTTGTCTGAATGGAGACTCGGCCAGAGGGTTCAGCCGTTGGATCGAGTGGGTCGGTGGAGCTTAAGGTGCGACAGGGAATAAGATGGAAGATGAAGCTGAATAGGGGGCATCAGTACTGGGAACAGAGGGCTGAGAGAGTAGAGGAAAAGGCAAAAGGATAGAGAGAGAAGGATAGAGAGAGAAGGGTAGAGAGTGTAGAAGGGTAGAGTAGAGTATAGAGTAGATTAGAGTCGAGCCGAGTAGGAATTAAGAAGAAGTCGATGATGTGCCCTCCACTCGGCTTGGCTGGAGGCCCGCTATGTCTTTAATGCCTACTCCTCGACTCCTCTATTCCTAATCCTAATCCTCTTCCTCTTCCTCGCTATATTCTACTGTATTCTTCCCCTCTCCTTCAATCTCCCCTTCTCTCCTTCTCTCCTTCTCCCCCTCCCCCCCCCCTCTCCCTCTCTTGTAACTATTCTCCTTCCTTTCCCAATTCTTGCCAAGATCGCCTGCATATCATTGCCCCCCTCCCTCTCCGTCTCGGCCGCTAGCAGATCACCGCGCCGCGCTCCTCCCTTGCGTCCGCCTTGATATCGAATCTTGTTCGATTTGGTCTCTCCTATTTCGTCCCGACCTTATCACCCTGCGGTCCCCTCCATGACGATACTGTGAGCCACCTTGCTCATCTCGAAACTGTGTGGCCATACCCATAATGAGGTGTCGGAAACGCTTCAAGGATGCTTGTTGATTACCTACTCGACTGATTCTAATCATTTTCCCTCGATCGCCTCAGCTATCCTGGTCGTGAAGGAGACGGACCGTGGTGGTCGAGGTGGTGAATGAGAGAGAAAAAGATGTTTCCGACCGTCGCGACCTTCCCTTCGGTTCAGCCGCACCACCTTCACCACTATCCCGCACACGATGCCATACATCAGCCTTCCTACGACGTGAACGACCCCGCTTACTACTCTCATAATGACCCTTCTATACCCAATTTTAATCCCATATCTCGCTCGCGCCTGCAACTGCCGCATCCCGTCCAACGCCTCGACCCCCGCGATACCACAGGCTCGAATTCGAACGCAAACGCCGCCGGAGAACATGCGCTGAGGAGGAAGACCCCAAATGGGACTCTCGCTGCTGGCTATGACGGTACCCCTGGGGACACCACTATTCAGCCAGCGACGAAGCATATCCTGGTTTCGCCGCTCGAGTCCGGGCAGTTTCTTCACGCGCAGACGGCCCTGCCGGACAACTGGCAGCCATATTCCCTCGACCAGGCCGCGTCGAAGCACATGAACTTCCCACCCGTTTTCAAAAACGAGGCCGGAAACCCGATTGCCGCAGGTGAGGTGATCCAGGATGTGAACGGCACCAGCTGGGTTCGTCCTGTCAACTATCCCCCGGGGATCGACTCGGTGCTTAATCAAAGCTTGCCCCTCTATGGAGGTCAGCGTTTTCTTCTGCATAATGGGGCCTATATTCCGACCGTTCTCCCTGCGACTTTGCAGCAGTGTGTTGGGCCGACGGCGTCTGCTGGCTCTGGCCCATTTGGTCCATACTGGCCAGACGGTGCTTACATTCCCTACCGCCCCGTAGCATATCGCGACTCGCGTTTCGGCCCACCTAGTCCAAATGAGCAGCCTCAGCCTCTCTTCGATATCAACCATCAGGCCTTCAACCAGCCACAGATTCCGCTGAACAGTCGCGCGGACTCGGGACTTGCGTGGGGGCAAAATGCACCTGGGATTCCTCCCCAGGATCCTCTCATGAAAGCATTTCCTCCACGACACTCGGAGCATCTACCCTTCCATATCCGTGCCAACCGATCCGTCTCATCCTACCCGAATCCTCTCAACAATGAACCTATGCCCTGGACTGCTCGCCCTTCAACCCACGGATTCCAACCCCCGGGACCAGCGGTAGCTGCAAACACGGAGTTCAAAGAAAAGATTATGTCTTGGGCGCATAGTGTCTATGTTGATCTTCTCGCGACGATTCACCAGGCTCGCCGAAACAGCCTATCGAACGGAGGTGCGGATGGTCAGAATCCTCGTTTCCTAAAACCGGCCATCTACCCCAAGCCTCCGCGTCAACCAGGCCTCGATTTCTCACAAAGCACCAGTCCCGAACTCCACCGTCACAATAGCTACCCATCCAGTCAATTTGATGTACAAAGGCAGAAATTGGGTCTTTTGGCGAACTCACGGATGGCGGATCCCTCAGTGATCATTCAGGGTCGACGTCCATCATTGAACCAATTTTCTCAAGCCCATCGTGGATCAGACTCACAGATGCGTGATGTTGGGCGCTTTCCAGGCGCATCCGGTCCTCGATTCTCCAACAGTCTTTTCAACGACGGGTCTCCAGTTAACAATGCAGCATCCGCTTTGGAAATGTTATCTCATTTATGTATGGAAAGCCATTGGGAGTGGACGGATGGTATTCTGCTTGGTGGCTGCCTGGCTTATGGCTTGGGTGATTACAACAAAGCCATGCGTTGGTATTCTCGCATTATCGCACGCGATTCAACGTGAGTATCTGTGTATCCTCCAGCCCTTTCGCTTGATACTAACTTTACGAACACAGACATGTAGAGGCCATCTCTAACCTTGCTGCTACGCTGCTAGCCCTGGATCGGCGAGAGGAAGCCTTGCAAAATTGGCTTCGTGCCGTGAAGCTACGCCCGAGTTTCTTCGAAGCTGTAGAGCACTTGATAGGTCTTTTGTGCAGCAGCCACCGTGGCAAAGAAGCCGTCAACATAATTGACTTTGTCCAGTCTTCTCTTCGTCATCCAAAGGATGGAGATTGTTTCAAAACGGACGAGCATGCTAGTGAACCCGAGAGCGATGCCGAGAGCAACGTTTCTGATGCCTGCATGTATGATAAGGCATCCTTCGATTATGATGACGATATGGGACGTGTCCCGACCTTGAATTTGGGCTCGCCAGGTGCCACGCCTGTCGGCTTTGCCACGAGTGGATATGCCATCCCAGGCTCGGATAATGGGAGAATGCTCGCTCTGACCCACGCCAAGGGAAATATGCTCTATGCTCTTGGCGACAACGCTGGTGCTGCGACCGCGTTTGAAGATGCCGTCTTGATTGCCGCTGGAAGAAGGCGACACGGTGTTCAGAGTCTCATCAAACAGATCTTTGCCGCCTTCTCTCCCGGGTCGAGTAACGGCTATCAACAGCCAGAGTCAGATTCAGGCGAGAGCGTGCTTCTGTACCCGGATAGAGCTTTGCAGACTGCCAAGCTCGTGTTCCGGGCAAGCAATGGTACGCCGCCTGGTCTCGGGTACGTCGCCGAGGGCATCTCCAGAAATGCTGCCATCTCAACTACTAGCAACTCTCTGCTTTCCCTTGCCAAGATTTATCAGGATGGGATGTCGACTGTCTCGTCCAGTGCGCCGAGATCTGCACCTGGCGTCCGGGATATACTCGCCCTCTACTACCTCTCGCTCTCCCTGCAGCCGAGTCCCTCCACTGCTAACAACGTTGGTATCCTGCTCGCTGGGATCCAGAATAATCCACCGGCTCGAGGACTGATTCGTCCCAATGGCGAGAGCCAACATCCCGAGATTCCTGGCGTCATACCTGGAAGTGGCATTTCCCTTGCACTGGCATACTACAACTATGGTTTGCATCTCGACTCTCGCCATGCCCACCTTTACACTAATCTGGGCAGTTTGCTCAAGGACATTGGACAGCTTCAGGCTGCCATTAAGATGTACGAGCAAGCTGTCCAGTGCGATGGCAAATTTGATATCGCTCTCGCCAACCTTGCCAATGCTGTTAAGGATGCCGGGCGGGTGAATGATGCGATTTCTTACTACAAGCGCGCTGTCAAGGTGAACCCTGAATTCGCAGAAGCCGTGTGTGGGCTGGCCAATGCGCTCAACTCAGTTTGCAATTGGGTCGGTCGTGGTGGTATTGTCCACGGACAGGGCTTCCATGATAGATGGCATGTGGATGACAAGGGAATGCTGCGAGACGCTCAGAGTCACGATACTGGTGCCGGCTGGATCAAGCGAGTTGTCGATATTGTCGATCGACAACTTCGTGAAGGCGAGTACTGGGGTCGTGGACTGCTGACACCAAGCACAGCTGAGCAATTGTGTGCTCAGCTGGCCACGGCATTGGACTCTGGCCGCTTTGCTTCTAGTCGGCAGTCGTCCTTGGTCGAGGTTCTCCAGTCGTGGGCAGGGCAGAAATGGGAAGGATCGCGCGTTGTCCGACTTATTGAGCGTGCAATCCGATCTATCACATGGCAATGGTACCAGGACCGCTATGTCTATGGCAAGGACTATCCTGCTTCCAAATACCGTCGGCCGCAGCTTCCAGCATCGCTCACTGCGCCTAACGCGCCAACGGTCCTGCCTTTCCACACTTTCACCTGTCCGCTATCTGCAAAACAGATTCGACAAATTTCACAGCGTAATGGTCTCAGGATCTCATCATCAACCCTACGGCTGCCATGGCTCCCGAGCACAGTGTACCGGCCCCCGTCGCCGCCAAAACCTTACCTCAAAGTTGGTTATGTTTCGTCGGACTTCAACAATCATCCTCTGGCGCATTTGATGCAATCGGTGTTTGGATTGCACAATATAAAGAAAGTGAAGGCATATTGCTATGCTACTACAGCCAGTGACAAGTCTGTTCACCGCCAGCAGATTGAGAAAGAAGCTCCCGTTTTTCACGATGCGAGTGGATGGTCGGTTGACCGGTTGGTCCGGCAGATTGTTGACGACGGAATTCACATCCTAATCAACTTGAACGGATACACTCGAGGAGCTCGGAACGACGTATTTGCCGCCCGGCCTGCGCCCATCCACATGTCGTTCATGGGATTTGCCGGCACTCTTGGTGCCGAGTGGTGCGACTACATCCTTGCTGATCAAATATCGATCCCGCCTGAGACTTTGAGCCCCAGTCAACGGACCACGCGCATCGAGGATCGTATTCTTGAGAAGGATAACGGCGAAGACCTCGATGACTGGGTTTATGGCGAGAAGATCGTCTATACTCGTGATACCTTCTTCTGCTGTGATCACCGACAGAGTGCACCGGATGCAGGAGAACGAATACTCTCATGGGATGAGGAGCAGACCCGGCGCTGGAAGATGCGGAAAGAGCTGTTCCCTAAGCTCAGCGATGATACCATCATTCTCGGCAATTTCAATCAGCTGTATAAGGTGAGACTCGACGACCAAACGTTCATTTTCAGCCGCTAACAAGTCACCAGATTGAACCCACGACGTTTAGAACGTGGTTGCGCATTTTGGCACGCATCCCCAATGCCGTTCTTTGGCTGCTCCGGTTCCCAGAAACTGGCGAGCAGAATCTTCGAGATATTGCCAAGGCTTGGGCCGGCGACGAAACGGCCTCAAGGATTATCTTCACCGATGTAGCACCAAAGAACACGCATATTGCGCGAGCGAAAATTTTGGATCTATTCCTCGATACACCCGAGTGCAATGCACACACGACAGCCACCGACGTTCTTTGGAGTGGAACGCCGTTGCTGACCCTCCCACGATACAAATATAAGATGTGTTCACGCATGGCGAGCAGCATTCTTAGCAGCGCGCTCCCCAAAACCGAAGCCGGGCAGCAAGCGCGCGAGGAGCTGATTGCTTCGTCGGACGACGACTACGAGACTAAGGCGATTCGACTCTGCATTGATTTACAGTACATACCGGGCGGCGAGGGCCGATCGCACGGCCGTCTGGCAGACATGCGACAGATGCTGTTTATGCAGCGACATAACAATAAGTTGTTCGACACGGCGCGCTGGGTGCGTGACCTAGAAGACGCCTACGAAGCGGTGTGGGCGCAATGGGTGAAGGGCGAAGAAGGCGATATCTGGTTATGATATGCACAGCGAAATATACCCCTTGAGCGATTTTTTTTTTTTCTGTGGTTTTCATCTGGGTCATCATGCTGGATATGGACTTGGGACTTTGGAGTTGGATTTGATGTATACGTATGAAATCATGGGACGCGCCGGGATTTTCGATTCTCTATAGATTAGGTCTATACACTGTTCATTCGGTCTTAGTGAGACCGGAAATACATTCTTTCCATTGGCAATCACGGGATTTGAACTATCTACCATGGTGGTCGCACCGTGAATAAGACTCAAATACATTCTTTCCATTGGCAATCACGGGATTTGAACTATCTACCATGGTGGTCGCACCGTGAATAAGACTCAGCACTTTTTTCTTTTCCAGATGTCACATCTGGCAGTGTGGTCATGATCACCACTAAACTTCCTAAACGCCTGCCTTCTCGGCGTAGTATAGCGAAATGGACCTTTGAATGGACCTCCGACCCTTGCCACTCAATTCTTCGACTTCAGCCGATCACAGAATCCACCGTGTCAGGACATGCACAGTCCTGACTGATCCCAAGATTGAATCATTACGACTTATACACCTACCTATGTCGGCATAGCATCAGTACATGGTACTCCCTAGATAGTGAAACGCAGATCGACGAAGGATAGCATCTCCCAGATCTGCGGCCCTCAGCCAGGAGCACCGAACCCAAAAAAAAAAAAAAAAAAAAAAAACACAACTACGCAGTCTATTCCTGTCGAATCGGCTCAACGGCCTCTATACCTCTTCCCAAGTATGGGTACTCAACCAGATGGGGTAACAGAGTGCGAGCCCATATCCCCAAAGAAGCAGGTGTTGTAGGATCGTCGTCTAGAACCTATAATCGAAAGCATGGAAGACTCAAAAATGAAGCTGGCCGGGACATGTCAGCGCCACGCCACCAGAAACTCATTCTCCTTCCATGGTAGCTGATACTGGCACTACAGTTAGGCTCACCGGTTTACTAGTAACTATTCCTCTAGTGGGCCCGGTGTCTGACTCGTGCCGAAGCCCTGAAACTGAATGTTCTATTCTCCTACGCTTGATGTCGGAGCTGACCCCATTACCCCCCCCCCTGACAGAGGTGGGGGGACATCTGACGTTCTAAACATTACAAAAAGTAGAACCCACTTGACACCAAGACGGGCGCAATATGGCCCAAGTGTATGCACCAGCCAGTGCACACGCCAGCGGCTGGTCTATTCTATTCTATTCTATTCTATTGTAATGTATTTCAAATATCCATGTCTCAGAGATGGCACCTGCCCGGCTAAGTGCCCAGCCATGTAGTCAAGCCAAGACTAGGAGGTGATTGCTGTGGGTCCCTGCGCTTTCAGGTGAATAGATAGTATAGTGTCTTCCCGCGTACAGAGTGCCTATTGAGGCAAATGGACCAGATCTACCGATCGATCGGAGCCTTAATCTCGAGCAGTCGCGCATCCCGGTAGGCGGGTACCTTTGCACGCTAGACTGGTTATAGAATAATGTGCAGATGGCACCGAGATCCTCCGTCGTCCAATCAGCGGGTGCAACTCGGAATTTGAAATCTCATGGACTGTGCCTTCCAGTTCCAGTTCCAGTTCCAGTTCCAGTTCCCGTTGGCTTGTGCTGAATATAGTTTGATACTTTGAAGAAAAAGGGGTAGAGGAGATTAATCATACTTTTCTTTGGAGAGGATCGATCAGTGGTACAGTGGTACGCTAAGCTACGAACAGACCCCACGAAGATGTCCCCACGACCATTGGAAGAAACAAAGAAACCCGGGTACCAGGATCGACGTATCGAGTCTGGATATTGAGACTCGCGCCAGGGTTGCTGAGTCGGGTGAGGGCTAGTGTCGATCTTAGGATCCTAGGATCCTAGGATCCGGTGGATTGGAACGCAACGGCCGAACTGGAACTAATACTCGAACTGGTACTAGGACCCCGCTATGTATTGTCACTGCTAGTATTCTCCTGTAATCCCCCCCCTCGATGCCTCCCCGTTGCACCCACACTCAGCCAAAGATCGGATCACCCCCTGATCCAGTCATGGGCGGACCATGGATCCAGCCCTCAACGGCCCGTGTGTGTGCGTGTGTGTGTGTGGCCAAATTACATATTACTTACCTAGGCAAGTGACACGATACCCGGATATTTAGAAGCCTTGGCACGTCATGAATTCTGATTCTGGCGCCGATAACGCCGACACCGACACCGACGCCGACGCTAGTAACGGTCGACCTAAGACCAACTTTCTTCTCTGCAATCGTCACGAGCGGGACTAAGTGGATATGTTTTCCCGGGATTCTATCTACTCCAAGTGGGATCAAGACAAGTCTACGTCCCGTTCCAACGGTGTTTGATCTCTGCCGTGCCAGGGGGGGGCTGAGCTGGAGCTGAGGTTATAGATTACCGGACAATTACTGTACATTCCAAATACTCACACTTCCCGCTATTGTGCGATCAGCGTGAGGTTCTGTACTCTGATTCGACCAGACGGCATTTCCATATCACGCAGACACACTATAGACACTATTTGTTCGGTCTGGCTGGCTGAAAGGCTGCCGTAGCTGAGTGAACGACGTACAGGGGCATGCAACGTGGAATACCTGAGGTACTAGCCAGAGAAATAAAGAGAGAGAGAGAGAGAAAATAGAAAATAGAAAATAGAAGATAAAATATAAAATATAAAATATAAAACTATAAAATAAATAAAGGAAAAAAGAAGAAAAAAAAAGAGAACAAGAAACGCCTCCCTCCAAAAAAAAAAAAAAAAAAAAAAAAAAAGGGCCAAGACCAAGCTACAGTAAACGAACTCTCGATCGCACGGGCACAGTGGGGATCTGAACAGAACAAGGTAAAAAGCACATCGGCCACAGCCGGGCGGGAAAACAAGTCCGTGGTATGCAGCCCGCCCCGCCGTTCATTCCGTCAGAGGTGACCAGTCCGATCGATGCATCAGGCGATTGGCCACCGGCCCTTGCACGACACGAACGGGGTTCAGCGTCACGTCTGACTCGTTCCGAAACGAGGCGAGTGCAGCGATCGCGACAGACTGGTTGGTGGCGCCCGTTGGAGGTTGGGGTCTGCTGCAGCTGCGGACGAACCTCGTTTAAACTTTGGCCTACTTTGCTCTCGTCTCGTTTTCCCGTTTTCCCGTTTTCTCGCTCGTCTGTGTGCTCGTCCTGCTTTTCGTCACGGTGCAGACGGTGTTGGGCGATTGAGCCGGCGTGCGTCTGGAGTGGGATCCCTTGCGTGGTGGCCTCGTGAACGGGTGCATTCCTCAGGAGAAGGATGGCCTTGTCCCTGTCTGGAGTTGACGATGAAACGGGCTGACGTAGGGTCAACGGGACCTGTCTGGCTTGCCTTCATTGTGGTATTGTGGTATTGTAGTATTGCAATATTGCAGTATAGTGCTGTAGTATCTAGTACAGTAGTATTAGAATCTAGCACTGTACGATTCTAGGATAACAGCTTCGCAGGACTCTAGACTACATGGCTCCAAGAAAGGTTCAAGTCGAAAACACTGAATTTTGACAGGGGTATTATGCTATCCAATAGAAACATCCAGGCGTACCTCGAGTCTCACCAAACTCCCAGAACATGATGAACCCAATTATATAGGCCCCGCTTGACCGAAATGAAAGAGAAAAAAAAACACCCATATTTTGAGTTCCGAGTCATGATGATACACATTAGAGTACAAAGGAGAGTTGACCAAAGGGGGAATAGAGCGAGTGTGGGGGGGGGGGTGTGGGCACATGTACAAACGGCCGGGCTCGACATCGTGTCGGGCCCAAGGGGAATAGAATATGTAAACAGAAAAAACGAAAATCGTAAAAGTCGTCACATCGATATGCTCTTAGTTGAGCAGATTGTTGACTCCCATCCGCGTATCGCGGGGGGTTTCTGGCCTTGGCCAGGCCGTGGGCACATCTGTAGGCTGGTGCCATGAGGCGAGAGTGGGCTGGTGCTCCATCCACCGCCGCTTGGAGGCAATCTCGGAGAGGGATTCGAGCGAACGAGCTGGGTAGCTGGGAGAGTCCTCGACCACCTGCACCGATGTACTCGGGCGCCGGGCATCGTATTGTGAGACGATGGGCAGAGGAAGCATCTGTGGGGATGGAAGGGTGCGGGGAGAAGAGGAGCAGACGGAGTTCTGGTCCGAGACCATTGAAGGAGGTTCGATCGAGGTGGCGTTGGAGGCCTCTGAAAAGGCCGGGGAAGTCAAGGGCGTTTCGATGGGGCGGTTGATCGAAGGCAGAGTATAGATCGGAGACAGTTGACGGGCGGTGGAAACGGACTCGCGACGGGAGAAGGTCTCGGACTTGACGGGCGAGTCCGCCCAAGCACGAGTCGAGAAGCGTGGCCGGGACGGGCTCACAACGGAGGCGCGGGCATAAGGGGCCTCGATGCGGCCGCCGAAGGTGCGAGAGGCGGTTGGTGTTGACAGACCACGGCGTTTGCGGTTCATGCTGCCATTCCACCAGTTCTTGACGGCGTTGTCACTGCGGTTCCCCAGACGGCGGGCAATCTCGGCCCAGCGCTTGCCCATTTCGTTGACCATGCGTTCGATCATCAGCCCCTCGTCGGAAGAGATAGGCTCACGGTTGAGCGACGGTTTAAGGTTTTGGTGAAAGCGTTCCCGGCATTGTTTGGGCGAGCGGTAGGCCATGTGCTGGGAGATACGAACCCAGTTGTTGGGGCCTTGTTCACGAACGAGTTGCAGAAGAAGCTGATCTTCTTCGGGGACCCAAGGTCCACGACGGTGAGCGGGAGCCATGTAGAAGTGTTGGGAGGAAGAGAGGTGAAGGATGATAGGGTGATGGTGAAGTAAGGACGAAGACAAGCCACCAAGAGCAGCAGGCGATAATTATATCTGCAACCCAGGGGGACGGGTCCAAGAAAAATGGCCAGCTCCACCCGCACACGCTATGGGAAGAAGATCACGATCCAAGATCTCGGAGCTGACAGTTCGGAACAATACACGTATTGACGCATGTGTATTATTTACTGGTACGCTCCACCAGGTCCCCCATGGCTCACAGGAGATCACAATAAACATCGGACACCCTCGCACTCCTCGCACTCCTCGCACTCTCGCTCCAAAAATCGAACCAAAAAAAAAGAAAATCACCCGGTTCATTCATCATGTTCGACCGGAATAAATTGTTTTTTTAATTTTAATTTTATTCTTTCTTTCTTCCCATCACCTAATCCGATCAAATGGAAGGAACAAAGACAAAATGCTCCGGGGATCGTCAGCACGACCCGGGAATCCAGGCTGAGGAATACCGTAATGATCGGAGGGGATCGACCCTGAGCCCCGTTGTTGGAATTCCAAATCACTGCCCGCGCTAAAGGAAGCTATTTTTTAAAATCGTCCGAGCGTAAATAAATCGAAATAAATCCCAAAAGGGACTGTGCGGTAACCACACTAGTACCCTACTCTAGTAATCTTCAGTGCAGACCCATGGTGTCGGTAACGCAAGAGCAAAGGGGGTCTAGGAATGATGTTTGAGGGGCATCCTGGTCCGGGGGAAGGAGTCTATATACATAGGCATCTAGTAGGGTACATCATCTTCAGACCATGACTATCTACTAGATGTCTTTACTCGGTGTGAAGCCCTGAGTATATTCCTGAGTATACCAGTATACGAGTCTACGCGTCCCCCCTGACCATATAGCTATAGCCATAGCCATAGCCATAGCCATAGCCAGGGGTAGATCTCGCTTCCGAAACTGTCAAGCGAGCGGTTAGGAGGGTCGTTCCCCAGTCCTTTCTCAGCCAGCCCATGCACGACACTCCGTCCGATCGTGTCCGATCCACGTACAACCTAGCCCTTTCGTCCGTTCATTGGCTCAATCGGCGGCTTCCAGAGCTCCCACGGCAGCCCACCGTGGATCCCGAGCTCGGATCGTGTTGACAAATTCCCTATACACGCTGAAGACAATTGAAATATGGGGAAATTCCTGACTCAACGGCAACTCCGTCAGGAGCTGACAATGACATGCCCCCCCCCCCCCCGAGCAAGTCCGACAGGAATGTGGATCGAGCGTTATACTCCTTTTTTTGGCCTTTACAAATTCTCCATTTTCTATTCTCTCTGGGGGGTTTTTTTTGATATCTGATTCGGACGTTGTGCCTTGCAGACTAGACGGTCTCTTAGATCCAATCGTCCCGTCATCACCGTGACGGCCTCCCGTCTCCCCCCTTCTACAGTATCCCGTCATCTTGACCTGCAGGAACTCGCCTCCGCTTATGCAGAGAGAAGAACCAAAAAAAAAGGAAAAAAAAAGAAAAAAAGAAAAAAAGAAAAAAAAAAAAACGATGCATGGACCACCTGCCATCTGTCACTATGGCATGGGCGATCCCTGTGACGTGATGTGTTGACTGCAGGCCGATCTGATCGTCTCTCGGCTGCGCGCAATGCCCCCCTGGTAACCAATCTATTTCCCGTCTCCTTCTTCCCACTATTCCCACCCTAACGCCCTGGTGTACCGGGCTTGGGATACATCACACTCGATCGAGGCTAGAGAGATCGCCGTTCTGTGGGATTCCCCTTTTGGGAGACTCGCATCTGGCCCTCCACCGGTCCACCGGTCCACTGGTCCCCCCCCCTCCTTGTCCCTCTTTGTCCCCTCTTCCTGCTCTGCCTCGTCTGCCTCCCTTTTCCCCTTGTCCCCCTCCTCCCCCTCCACCTGGTGGAAACCGTTGAGCAATGTTGTCGCAAGCCACACCTACTTTTTTCTTTTTCTGGCCCGGAGGTGTGTTTTAAATCCCTTCCTAGTCCACTTTCTGCCTAAGCTCGCTTTCTCTTCCCCCACCCGTAATTGGTCCAAGTATTTGTCACTCTGGATCCGGTTGCTGATTCAGGAAGGGATGCACGGATAGAGACAGGCTCTGTTGGCAACACGGTACTGTACTTAATTAATTCCAGACAGGATTCTCCAGTTCCAGTTCTAGTTCCAGTTCCATCGTAGATTAAGGGGGAGTTTGAAGCAGATATTTTTAGCTTCCAACTGGAGTATGTGTGTAGCGAGTATACGGTGGAGCTGAGCCTGTGCTTCTTACAAATTCCAATTCCAATTCCAATTTCAATTCAAATTCTAATTCCGGTTAATTCCAGTCGAGGAAAGTTCTAAAATCTAGGTTCTTGGGTTTGACGATTCCTGGATGACGAACCACCCCCCCCCCATGTGGACAAGATCAAGAACGTGTGGACCGATCGGATTTCCATACCTCTGGGAAGAAAAAGCCGTTGTCAACTGGATGAACCCGACCTCCTGGGATGCAACATCGACTAGGGTGTTCCCGAGATGTGACAGGTCATGCTTTCCCCGCCAATCACCAATCCACAAGTGATTTGAGATAAATCCCTGTCGCAATGCAGGGATCACCGCTGATCGCGCCCGTGCACGTTGAGACTGGAATGTGGTGGTTCCTCCTCCGGCCCCCCCCCCCCCTGGACCCTCAACGGGTGGTAGCCAGCAATCAAACACGCTATCTGCGCTATATCCCGTGTGACGGGAGTCGTTTCGCTCTGAAACGAACAAAGAATAAACAGGGGAAGACAAAGGGGGATAAAAATGAGTAATTAAAACAAGGTGGAGCGAACGGTCTCGCAGCCGTTTCCCGGCTGTCGGGTTCGCCGCTGCGTGGCGCGGGGCTATATGCGCGTGTCACGTGGTTTGGCTGGAAGCTGGACGGATTAGGACCAGGGAGAGGAAGTTACGTTGAAGATTTTGAAATTTTGAGATATTCCAATAGAAGATTGAAAGATTTCAACTATTGAATCTTGAAAACATCAAGAATTAGTGAGCGGAATGATCGAGTCTATGCATCTAACAAACACTGGCATTGACCCGTTTATGGATGTTGGTTGGCCGATCATCGGGGTTTAGATGTCGGGGACCACACGTTATGATGGTGCCCGAGGCTGTGGGAAACCGTTTGACGCACCACGCTACTTTGGTCGATTCGGATCCCCCTGAACCTTCAGGCATGGGGAGAGGCGTTACGATGGACCTGACCCAGTCGGTTTCAACCATGTTATTTCCTAGGTATACCATACCGGGGTTTGGCCGAGTTACTGACGTCTACTGGGACTAGGACTGGGACTGGAAGGGGATATGGTTCCCGAAAAGCGGGCAGCTCTGGACTCTAGAGAACGGGCCATGCCCCACCTTTGGATGGCCTCCGCGCTGGATGGGTATGACAGCGGTCCCATGAACCAGTTCGCTTTTGGGCCCCCTCATTCCCTTAGTGTCCGTCAAAGCCACATTGTCAAAAGGGGACACAGACAAGGTTCACCGGACCAAACACCCAAGCCGACTTGCCACCACAAAGGCCGCTAGACTGCCACAACGCCAAAACAGCCGAAACTAGTCGAGTTTGACACGCCCATTCTCCCCTTCTGGGAAGTCAAGTGTCAATCTAGTGGATTCAACTGCGACATCAGCCAACCAGACCAGTTTCCCACTCCCGGCCCAACCCTATCTACCCGGTTCAAACTCAATCGGACATGTCCACGAACTTGCCAAGGTCCCAACGCCCGCTTGGAAAACTCTGTAATCGTACTTCCGATCTTAAGACCTCCGACCGTTGGCCATATCACTCCTAACCTTGTAACAGGTAGACTTGTAATCTGCAGCCTGTAACCGGTAACCTGTCCCCTTCACCCAACTCTCCTGTGCCGCACCCTCAGCCCTTCCCCTCCCTTGGCCCCAGGGCCAGGGTTAATACAGGAGTGGAGTTGGGGACGGCACATGCCATGACGATTCTAGCCGGACATTTGAAATACTGATCCATGTTGTCAGTCTCCCCCAGCCCGTCCCCATACAGATTCCGTGCGAAGAAGTGAGGCCGGGGTGGGCCCGTTTGAGCCGCAGTCAGGGGTCAAGCTAACCGCTGTGATTTGTATGTCGCATTCGCTGAACTTGGACCTTGCCGTGCCACTCCTACCGGTTTGGGTGCTTCAGGGCGAGCTCCGTCCTTGGTATGACTCGGGGCCGTTTTCTGGGTCCGTTTTCTGTTTTCTATTTTTCTATTTTCTGTTTTCTTTTTACCGTTTACTTTTCTCCGTTCAGGTTTTCTGACCCGGGCGTTGGCCACCTCGTGAGATTCCTCGTGACGCGCTCCCAGCTTGGTCCTGGTGGGGATCTCGCCCATGCTGTATGTACTCGGCTTTCTCCACATTGAACGCCATGATGCCATACTCGGACAAGCCGAGCTTGTCTCCTTTCGAATGAATCGGTGACTCACGTGACTAGCGTGCCCTGGGCTGTTGAAGCCCGGTGTGGGGTCGGTAGGGCATGAGACGTTTCAAGGCCCGAACCTTGGAACGTAGGAATCTTGAATACAGTAGAATCAGTAGGGTTCCAGATAAGTACTGTAGTTCTCTGCCGACAGAAGCAATAGTCCGAATTTTGACTTTTTCTCCTCCCCTCAACCCTGCTCTTGTGGCCCGCCTCGTGTTCAGCCGTTTCCGTGAAACGGCGGGATATATATCTCCCCCGGATATGGGAAGTCTAGAGCGAACACACGGTGCACGGTACATGGTACAAGGCACGCGGTACACATGCGGGCACCTGAATAGAGCAGGAAACGGCCCAAGAAAACTCAAAACAGCTCAAGAACCTGGAAGTACTGTAAGCCTCATGCACTCCCCACCAGGTTCTCGATCGATCCAACACTATGTCTGGTGGCGTCCACCACTGCAAGCCACACCAGTGAGATCGTAGAATAAACGAAAGCCCCCATGCTGTCCTCCACACCCGGTCGCTCCGTGGCGAAACTTCCACAATACAGCATACAGCATACAACACATGGAAAAAGAGATAATTTACCGAGCACTCGTGGAGTGAGACCGGATGCAAGGGTTGGAATAGGAAGGTTCGAAGATCAGACGATCAGAAGATCAGAAGATCAGTGGGTGGGGATATGCAAGGTTGGCCTCTTTTTAGCTTTCATGGCTTGACGTTATTGCTTTTCTTTGCCTCATGCGCCTCAGCTTCGCGTTCCAAGTTGCACACTATTGATGGGTTGTGCACACACACACACACACACACCTTGGGAAAGTTCTTCTTGGTTTTTGGTTTTTGGGTTTGGCTTTTATTTTTTTTTTCTTTTTTGGTTACCAATGATACAATGCATTGAGTGGCAGGTCCATACCAGTCCCAACTCCGTGGGTAGCACCATGTGGCCCGCAACTGGGAACCTGCAGCGTGGACGCGCAACGGGATTTTGCATGTCTCAGGCACTTCCATGCAATGTTCACCCCGTGCTCACTGCTCACTGATCGCTCGCCTCTTCCCTCTGTTTGCTGATCCCCCCTCCCCCTGGCCCCAAGTTGATGACGGCTTCTTCCCGGTCTTTGGAACGCTGGAACTCCGTGCCTCAGCTCGGGTATGTGCTCTGGTTTCATCGTGTAGCGGACTGTCTCGGGTCACACGGCTGGACAGTGTCTCTCATTGGGCCAGTGCACTATATGGCGCTGTTTCTGTGTGTCTCGATGCCGATGCGGCGCTTGATGCGTAGACTTCTAGACTGAGCTGAGCTGCATGGATTCAAACTTTGATATGGACTAGTTGTATGGAAGGCCCTTGTATGGCCATGAATCTGTATGATGCCTGACAAGAAACTCGAATTACAGACCTAGATGAAGAGCTGGATACAGCTAAATTACACTGTCCGGTTCCGGATGGCAAGCTGACTTGCCCTGCTACTGAGACATCTTCCACGATCAAGTGCTCACGCGGTAAAAGACGGGGAGTGTCACAATCGGACACTCCACCTCAACTTCGCTGCCGCCCTTGTAAACCATCGGAACACCCTCCCGCGGTGTGCTCAACTTGCCCCAGAGTGTCCAATATGCACCAGCCGGAAGATAGACGGTGATAGTGCGCTGTCCAGGCTCCATGACTGGCACCACCATATATCGAGATCCAAACATGTACTGCGTTTCGACCTCCCAAGCTCGTGGATCCTGAGGGAACTCATAGAATAGAGTGCGCATCACCGGTGTCCCCTTCTCGTGAGCTTGCTTCATCAGACTCCGAGTATACTCCCGCAGCTCCTCTCGCACCCCAATAAACTTCTTACAGATTTCGTATACCTCCTCCCCGTACGACCAGATCTCATTATCTGCTCCACTGGCAGTCGGCTGCCCCTCGGGCTTTGGCTCACGATCTCCGTGAAGACGCATCACCGGACAAAACGCACCCCATTGGAACCACCGCGTGAATAATTCTCGGAAGGCCGGGTCATCCGGGTCACCACCGTGGAACCCACCGATATCAGTCGTCCACCAAGGAATCCCGGCGAGGCCCATGTTCAAGCCTGCTGCGAGCTGATTCCGGAAAGAACCCCAGCTCGATGCGATGTCTCCGCTCCATACTAAGGCGCCATAAATCTGCGATCCGGCCCATGCGCATCGAAGGAGGTTGATTATATTCATCTGGCCTTCTGCTTGCATTCCTTCATAGAACCCGCGAGCATACTCCTTTGGAAAGATATTGCCAATCTGCATATTGCTCCCTGCATGGTAGCGGTAGATATCAAAGTCATAGATAGAGTACTCCGGCTCAGCTTCGTCTAGCCAGAAGACCTTGATCCCAAGATCGTAGTAGTTCTTCTTGGCTTTGCTCCAGACAAACTTGCGGGCTTCGGGATTCGTAGCGTCAAAGTGCGTGATGTCATTGTTGCACTGCATTGCGATACGCATCCCACGATCATGCCGTATAAGAAGCCCGCGCTCTAGCATCTCGGGATAGTTCTCGGAGGCAGTTTCAACGGTTGGCCAGACAGAAACCATGAGCTCGACCTTGAGTTCCTTCAATTCTTCTATCATAGCGGCTGCAGTGAACTCATCAGCATTGAATTCCGGTGGCCGAAGCTATTTGCACTCACCAGGATCCGGCCAGAATTTCGAATCGAAGCTCCATTCCCCTTGGTGCTTCCAGTGGAAGAAATCAATGACAATGAGATCGATGGGGATCTCCCGACGCCGGTACTCCCGAGCTACATTGAGCAATTGCTCCTGGTTCCAATAACGCAGCTTACACTGCCAGAAACCTAGACCATATTCAGGCATCATGGGCACGTAACCAGTCACACCCGCATAGGATTCTTCAATCTCAGCTGGCGTATCGCCCGCAACGACCCAGTAATCCAGTGCTCTGGTGGAATATGCCTCGAAACTCATCACATTCGTGCCCAGTACCGCTCTGCCAATGGCAGGATTATTCCAGAGAAAACCATACCCGCGCGACGAGACGGCAAATGGCACACTCGCTTGAGAGTTGCGCTGCGCTAGCTCGAGATCCGTCCCTTTGAGATTCAGATATGGCTGCTGGTACTGACCCATACCGAAGATCTTTTCCTTCGGATCCAAAGACTCAAAGCGCATATTGAGATGGTAGTCTCCTCCGAGAATGGGCCTTAGCTCGCGCGCTTCTATTTCTAATGCACTGCATTTAGGATCGCGAGGGTCTCGTCGGTGCCGGGCGTATTCTTCGAGGAGCTTAGTCCCGTTCGAGTCGTAAATGATGACCTTGCCGAGTGCTGAGACAGTTGCTTTGATCTTTCCATTCGTAATGCTTGCTTCGCCATCGGTAGGAATATCAATCATGGTATGATGACTGTCAGGTTTGCACAGAAGAGCCCAGTCCTCTGTTGGCATGGATGCGAGCTTCGTGGCTCGCACGCGCAAGGCATTATCGCCCCAGGGCTGAATCCAGAGGAGCTGGTCATCGAAGCGAAATACAAGCTTTTCATCTTCCGAAAAGATCATCTTGGTTATCAATAGATTTTGCTCAGCTGGGAGGTCTCAGTGAGGGGGTTCAGAGGAGGGGGCACTTCTGACGCAAAGGCGCCCGGCCAGAAAATTTGGCCCCATGCACTTGTATGACAAGTAATCGCTTCCTCGTTGGTGGGAATAATAGCTCGATGTCCCTTAAATTAGCGGATCTTCCTACTGGAACATAAAGGCGAGGCCCCCAACGGTCGAGACCTGACGTGCGGGGTGTTTAGCCTGAATTGACATTCACAACTAACATTCAACGCGTCTTTCCATCGTCATATCTTCGCTGTTAGAGTGATTAGGTATAAAGATACCACGGTTTAGTAAATGGCGACACCAGGGAAAAGACTCTGCTTAGGAGGCATGTCTGACATATGGGTGGCATGTTGTCAATATCCCCTCCTATCTTTCCACCACTAATAGGTTGCGCGGCCCGCTCGGTATATGGGAATGAGGCCTAGAACGGAGCCTAGAGGGATCGTAATAATCAATCCAGTAGAGGTAAAGGTGAAGAGGCCATGGTTAGTAGGAAACATGTCAGTAATGATGATATTTGGGAAACAAGAGCAATACTTGCTGGAGAAGAGGGCGTTTCCTTTCACTCTTTTCTATGACTTACACAACGAAAACGACTCGAATACTTGGCTGACTCTGCTTAAGCATACATAGACCCATCAAGGGAAGTTTCACTTTGAATCCCCTATCTCAAAGTACGGTGGTGTTAACATGGAAAAAGTTTCTTCAACTGAGGGGCAGGGCATGAGTTTTGAGGGTAAATGTTTCCATTATAATCGAACTCTTAGGGCCAGGTCGACCAACGTGCTCAATAGCGCGCAAAGTCTCTTAAAATTAGATGTAGGAGAACTTTAGATGCACTCTCAGAACGATATGTTTGGGCTTGTTGCAGATCTCTCTTGTCTAGCTACAAAGGGAAGAGGGGAGATGCAACACCATTGAAGATGGTTCAGAGGCTGGTAGCGTATCACTTTGTAACGAGTGAGAGGTCCTAGAGGAGAGATATAAAAGTAATCTAAAATCAAAGTAGAATCTTCAAAAGCTAAGAAGACCTAATATTCTCTCAATGCATAACGAATGTGTATATGTCTTAGAGATAATGTAGTGAAATATTTGAGATACGTATAAGTGCAGGGAGTATATATATATACATATATATATATATGCAAGTAGCTAGTCAGTACGGGTTAACATTGATATTAAAATTAGCATCAAAATTATCAAGCAAGACAGTCTAGCCGATCTCCAATGTAACTACTTGTACGTTAAAACGATACAAAGTAGAAAGCTGCTAAGCCAATGCTGCCAGGTCCCCCACACGCTAAACCCGAATAGGCATAACGCAGGAAGCTCGCGAGGCGCTTTTCGGCCTCCAACGTTGAACATCTTCCCTCTCACTTCGCTGAGCTATAACCCGGCTTTCTTCCTCTTATCCTTAGTCATACCATGGCAGCTACTGCTGTATCTACAGGAGATCAACACCTTGTCGCCGACGCCTCAATGGACATTGATATGGATCTTGACTTGGGCCCGGAGCCCGAGCCCGAACCCGAGGCTGAACTCATCCAGACCGTGAGCGCCCCGGCGTGATTATACTCCGTTACCATTAGGCAAAGTGGAGATGTATTGATCTTGTGATTCATCTAGGATGCGACTACTCAAGAACCGGCCAATGATCCGCTCACCGAGGAGGCGTCATACGAAAAAGTCCACGTTCGTGGCGTCGACGAATTATCGACCGATGATATTAAGCAATTCGCCAGCAGTCACTTCCCGACAGAGACACCCTCGCGCGTTGAATGGATCGATGATACATCTGCCAATCTGATCTACTCCTCTCCCGACATCGGTCTTCAGGCGCTGGCAGCCCTCACGCAGGTCACGGAGGAGGAAGATGCCTCAACCCTGCCACCGTTACGTTTACGATCGGCCAAGCTCCTCGCTTCCTATCCAGAATCCGTCCTACTCGTACGATCCGCCGTAAAGTCCGACCGCAAACAAGCGCGTGCACATGAAAAGAGTCGCTTCTACCTGATGCACCCCGAGCACGATCCCCGCGAGCGCCTACGTGATGAACTCTCACACCGAAGACGAGACGATGACGAGGAAGGCTATCGACGCCGCCGATTTGATGATCGCGAATTGCGCCGGCGAAAGGACCGCGACCAGGACCAATTCGATGCAAATATGTACGACGATCAACCTGCGAGCCACTCCGACTCGGAACGTGGCCGCGGCGATCGGAGGGGTCGTGGCCAGCAGGACTTATTCCCCGATGATGATCGTGCCTCTGGACGGCTTCGCAACCGCAGTGCTTCTCCGGGTCGGGACACTCTCGTTGAAGCAGAACGGGTTGATCGATCGAAGGATACTCGCAGGCGATTCCGCGAGCGATCTCCGCAGCTCGACCGTCGAAACAAAGGCAAGGAGCTCTTTTCAGGAGGTGGGGAGTCAAGCGGACGCGAACTATTCCCCAACAAGCCAACCTCCAGCTACATTAAAAAGGACCTTTTCCCCAGCAAAGCTAGCAATCACCGTCGATCAGACGCTTTCGATGCTTCAGAAGACGCAACAGACCTCGGGCGGAGGATCACAATTCCCGGAAATCGTGGGGTTGAGCTTTTCCCCGACTCCAGCTCTCGTCGTGAGGAGGACCAAGGCTTTGCGATTCGGGGCGCTTCCCACGGCATGTCGATTAAGGGCCGGGGTGCTTCCGTCCGTGAGCTATTCCCGGATAAGTTTAACCAGAACAAGAATGCTGGAAAGGAGTTATTCGATGAAACGCTACAAGGGCGTGGTGGGCGCCGCCGGAGAGCGGAGGACATGTTCAGCTGAGCTTGAACGTGCAACAACTGGAATCTGGGCGTTTTTCAATTGCTTCATAGATCCTGGACAGCGTGGTTGGACATGGCGTTATGTAAATGGGGCTAGGAGAAGGGGGGTTTGGACAAAGAGTGGTATCTCCATTGATCTACAGTCAAAACAAAGTCAAAATAATATAATCAACACATTCTGAGCTACCAAATTCTTGCCTTCAATCAACCCTTCAACCGAGCAAACAGTGTCATCTCATGATATTGAGACCCCGCTACACAACTGGGTGATAAGCCGAAGTCAACCAGAGACATGAACGAAACGATAGCCAAATGCGCTGCTATGATCACGCCCAGCGAGCGAGATTTTCTGGCCTCAGTTGCGCGTGGTCCAAAAGATCAATTCCCACATGTCTCATGCTGAGGTGCTTACTATACACCAGTCCCACTAGTCACATACGGACGTGATAAACCTTTTCCGATGCACTTTAATATGATGAGCTCTTCTTCTGTTTCGCGGACACGTATTCTACCTCTTACTTGTTTGCTTTTCAGGTCTATCTCCCTCGATGGGTTCGGTGGCAGACATCATATATAGAGGCCTGGATGATAAAAGGGTAGTGATGGGAGGACTGGGTAAAATCATACCTAATACCTGGGGCAAATGTGATTTGTTTGAATCGGCAAGATATACCGTAATTCAGAGCCTTGAAAAGCAAAGTTCATCCACACATTTATTAGATTGTTTGAGATCATCTGTTTCCTCAGCGCGCAGTCAATATTGGGGCTAGGCGAATCGGAAAACCGCGACCGCGGCCAAACTCCACCCAGAGCTTCCTATAATTAACTCCTGTCTCTTGTTTGGCACTATGGTGTCTTCCACAGCAATAGATGCGCTGACAAGCGCTTTGGTTGCTCGCTTTCTGCGGGCCAACAACTACTCTGAGTCTCTTCAAGCTTTTATTCGCGAGGCAGGTCTGCCTGTGGACGCGGGGCAAGCATCGGGTGACGATACCAACCACTGGACCATCCAGGGCTTGCTGGAGGAGAAAAAGACATTTGACCACACAGCCAACTTTGAAAGATATGGCAAGGGCAATAAGGAGACGGATTCATGGAGTGTACCAGGTGAGCCACCTGTCCGGGCAGTGTTTGCGCTGCATATCCACCCTGTTCTCCGGTTTGAAGAACACAATTTATGTATAATTCGAGACTGACAGCATCTCAGCACCCTCGAAGGCAACAATTGTGAATACTCCAACATCCTCGAACCTTCTTGCCGCATCAGTCGACTCGTGGCATTTGCCCGAGGATGATGCAGAGGCAGCCACCGCAGCGCCAGTGATCATCTCTACAGGTGCTGATAGGCAGGTTCATCTGTCTAAGACTACGAAAAACCATGGTTCTATCACCTCATTTTCGAGTGTATCAGACTCGCCCGTGCTGTCGTATGTCTCTATCCTCAAGGGACGATACGTCCTGATGACGAACATGTCCGGAGGCTTGATACTTTTGCATGGATCACGTATTGTTGACAGCAGAAAAGACCACTCAAAGTACGCTGTCAAGGTCGTTGCATATGATGAGAAAGGCGAGACCGACTCATCATCGCAATTCTGGGTTGCCACCGCCGGTTGGGATGCGACTGTCTACCTGTACTGTGTCAACGTTCCGAACGGAGAAGATGCACCGGTGATCGGAGAGCCTGTTGCACACATTAAGTTAACAACGAACCCGGAATCGTTGGTCTTCGTGCGCCATATCGACACCAACGATTTGATTCTCCTGGTTTCGCGCCGCGACTCTACCCATATCTACTACTATCAAGTGGCATCATCACCCAAGGAGGCAAGCAATCTGGACCAAAATGAATCGGATATCCCTTCGTGTCGCCTCCTGGGACAGCAGAACCTGGCACCTCATTCGAATGCCTGGATTGGTTTCTCCCCAGCACACATGGCTCTCAGCCCACACGATCCCGGCCTGCTGGCGGTAGCTACATCTACACTCCCACATATGAAGATGATCATCGTGCGTCTCTTGTTCCCTTCAGTGGCCCCCTTGGCTACGCGCGACCCATCTGAGGATGCACCTGTGACGCAGGCGTCCCAAGCGCTCGAGTCTCTGGCGCTGCAGAACCGCGAGGACGCAGCAATCTTGATACAGGCCAATACATTTGCGCCACAGACGGCATACTCGACACCCCAGGTTGCCTGGCGACCCGATGGGTCGGGTGTGTGGGTGAATGGAGACGACGGTATGGTCCGTGGCATTGAGACGAAGACAGGAAAAGTTGTTGCTACGCTCAAGAATGGCCATGAGCCCGGCTGCAAGGTGCGTACCATCTGGGCAGGATATGTTGATGTGCAGAGTGAAGGCGAAGAGACGACACAAGAGGAATGGGTCGTTAGTGGTGGGTTTGATAAACGGTTGATTCTGTGGAAAGTATGACCTTGATATATTGTATTCCATATGACTATGATTCGTCTGCAATTGATGATATCAAAGAGTTGAATCAAAAATCCAAGTACGGAATGCTACTGTTTACGGGTATGTCGCCGTCCATAGATCAACCCTTTCGCCACAAGGCGCGAAAGAGCAGTAGATACGGGTGGACATTGTTCTTGGCACGTAATAGAAAAAATCCTTCAGCAAGCGCGCATGAAAAAAGCACGTTGCTGTACACACATATGCCGGAATGGGAGAATGGGAAAATGGGACCGAGACAGTGCTTGAGGAAGCGCACTGCCTCAAGACCTGCGACTACAGAAGTCACGGATGACTATGCAGAAGAGATGCAGAAGCGCGGAGAAGATGGCTTCCCAAATGGGAATGAAACCGCTGCGTGGATATCGAATTTAAGCCTGTTGATTTCTGTATCTCAAACAACACCAGACGCGCCGCGCAAGGACACTAGCAGAAACCAGGCCTATTCGAAACAGCGGACCGTTCTTTGATCATCACACGTTATGGTCCCGGTCCTTGCGCAGACCTCCTATATTTTTCCTTTTCAAGAGCGTCCACATCTAAGCGTTCTCACGCTTGCCCTGGTTGCGCTCCTTCTGTGTGGCTGTTAGTTTATCTGGTCCTGGTGACAAATTCCGACCGAGAGTGGATGGCCGGGACGGTTCAACGTACAAGGGCCTTCATGGTGCCGTGAAGAGCGTGACGGTGGTTGCGGCGGAACTTGGGGTCAACACCCTTGAGGGAGGGGTAACGGTTGGTCTTGGGCTTCTTGATACTGTACGGAGAGATCAGGTCAGCGGCTTGGTCATGGAACCAAATGGTGTGGTTGGCTGGAAGAGAGAAGAAGTCGAAAGTCTTGAGTTGTCACGAGTTATCTGTTCCAATCTCCAATTCGAGATGCAATGTTCGAGTCCAACCGTTCGACCTTGCTCCTATCTCTCTTTCGCCGGAAGATTGTCGCCTCCAGAATAGAATATCCGGACGTCGTGCGGGTTCTCGTGTTCAAAAAGGGGGTACGTACCCGTTACGGTGAGCCTTCTGGCTGGCGTGGTGCTGGGAGGCGTTCTTGGACTCTGTAAAGCGCAAACAAGGTCAGTGACCGAAATTTCTTCGACGAAAAGGTGGACTGAGGCAAGGCAGCCGTAGAGGGTGACACGTACTGGCCATCTTGACGGATGTGGTCGGTGATTGACGTTTGACGGGATGGTGAGAGAAGAGGAGGTGCTTTCCGCACTCGACCCAAATGGCGGATCGGCTAGGGCTCGCTTTGTGTGGGATCTCGCTTACCGCCGCGGTGCACGGACTCTATCAGTTCCCTACGTCAACCATACCCCGACTTCTTGTTTTGCCTAGACTTGTCTATTATAGTTCTTGAGGTTTTGTTATATTCACTGGATATCACTCATCTGTTTTGTTGCGACTCGCTACCCTTTTTTCTTTGTGTCTGACGAAATTTCATTGTATCACGTGACATTGCCCAAGATTCGATGTCACGTGCAGGAATCAAGTACCTAGAGGCGTCTACAGCGTACATGTCTCTCTATTAGATCGGACATAGATGCACGCTGAGAAGGGCAATTAAAGAGTCTCCTCAATACCATCATGGACCATAATCGCCAGCAATGGCCATTCAATGCGGTACCCGAATAGCTTCAAGATCAGGATATCTGCCATGCGCACTATCAGACAACAGAAAGAGGATGATAGAAGAGCGACATGATGAATATGATTGCTACTATGGAATCTGATTACACATTTATGCCACTATCAAACTATGTAGCTGCCAAATCGACTCTGTAAATACTGCGCATATCGGGTGGACTCAACACGTGACCCGAGCCACTAGGGAACAACCGGCTCGGACTTCGACCTTTGCAACGCAACCTTCAATAGGGACTCTCCAGCCTTTGCACTCCCATCCATTGCACAATGAGCTCCTTCCGCTTCGCTCGCTCTGCCCTGAGGGCCCGCCCCTCCCTCTTCAGCGCTCCCATCCAGCGCCGTGGATACGCCGAGGCCGTTGCCGACAAGATCAAGCTGTCCCTGACCCTTCCTCACCAGGTACGCCAAACCCATCTGATATGACCTACCAGTCCTAAGGTCCCGTACTAACACTCTTTTTCTAAATTAGTCCATCTACCGCTCCACTGACGTGTTCGTTCCCCTCATTTCGCGCGCTTCTTTGACACTCCCTGAATACTGACGAATCTTCGCGACCACAGGACTCAGGTCAACCTCCCCGCCGCCTCCGGCGAGATGGGTGTCCTTGCCAACCACGTTCCTTCCATTGAGCAGCTCAAGCCCGGTCTTGTTGAGATTATCGAGGAGAGTGGCGCTACCAAGCAGTTCTTCCGTACGTTCGATCCTTGCGCCCGAGTCGTTCCGTGACGGACAACTCTTCAGTCGAGCCAAATAACTAACGTTTTCACAACGACAGTCTCCGGTGGCTTCGCCGTCGTCCAGCCCGACTCCCAGCTGAGCATCAACGCCGTCGAGGGTTACCCCCTCGAGGACTTCAGCGCCGACGTACGTTCCGTCCGACTTTGCGACAGCACAATTGATACTGATCGGTATTATAGGCTATCCGCAACCAGATCGCCGAGTCCCAGAAGATTGCCAACGGCAGCGGCAGCGAGCAGGATATTGCTGAGGCTAAGGTTGAGCTGGAGGTACGAATCTCTCACTTTCTTCCATCATAGACATTGACTGACTCCTTGAATAGGTTCTCGAGACCCTGCAGGCCCATGTCAAATAGATGTACATATCCATTCGCGCATTCGTCATTTGACCTGTAGAATTATAGCAATTCTTTGATTCAATCGTGTTTTCCTCTTCTCGGTAGAACGGGGATGCACCTTCCCTTGGTGCACGCCTCTTGTTGCGCGTTCTCTCTTCACTCACTCCCTCGCTTTCTCGCTTCTTCACTTCGTCATTTCCCCCCAACAATGCGTTCGATAAAAAAACCTCTGGGTAGCATCGATACTCGTGTGAAAATGACTGACACTCCTCCGGACGGACTTCTCTCCCCATCGTTCGCGTCTGTCATCGCTTATGGTAATATTCTGCAGCGTGAACCTCCCACTCTCAATGAAATGGACTCCCGCGCTCGTGAGCCGAAGTCAATGCAACGAATCACGACTGATGAACTCGGCGAGGGGCTTGACGAACGGGATGAGGAGCGATATCCTCGACTGGATTTAGATCCCGCCATGGACAAGTATCATATCCTGGAGAGCCTCACGGAGCCGACAAACCCGCAGAATACTCCCGCTTCTAACAGTGGTTGCGATAGCCCAGGTGATGTCTCTCGACGCAGCAACGGCGAGGGTCTGCGTACCAGCTCCGCCCCTATTACCCCGGCCTTGACTATCAACTGGTTCGAAGACCAGCCGGTTGAGAGCTTGTATTACCTTCTTGGTGAGGCAGACGATGGTACCAAGAACCAGAATCAGAAGCGTCGCTTCTCCGCCGATGACCAGCCGCGCTCGACCTCCCCAATCACCGTTCCCAAGGAAGTCCATCTCCAAGCCACTGCAGATGTCAATCCCATAGGAGATGACATTGAGAAAGCCGCCACGACTCTGAGATGCGTTCGATTCACCCCACCCCTGGACTTGTCTCCGGCGCGTTCTCCACCACGCTCGTCTCGCGCAGTGAACCAGCCACTTCCCTCCATGGAACGAAAGCAAGACCACGTCTCCACTCACCGACAGCAAAATCAGAATGAGAAATGGAGAGATCCAAACCGCGCTCGTGGCAATCGGGTTTCGCCAAATCGTAGCCCTGTGCGAGCCTGTCAGCCTTCGTCCAATCCTTCCAGCGACCAGCCAACAGTCCGCTTTTTGTCCCCTTCGAAGTGTGCTTTTGGAGGTGATCGACTGCATTCGACAAGCCTGTTCCAAAGCAGCTCGGACCAGGAGGCCCCAGAAATGTCCGGTGCTCTGACAGACGAACCAACTGCCACCAATGGGTTTGCGTCTTCAGGACAGGGATTTGATCTTGCTGTGATATCATTCTCTTTGTACCGCTTCCGATACCCTGGGTCATCGCGCGCAGGGGTGTTTCAAGCCCGGATAAATTGTACAGTCATCCCGGTGAAGCATTCACCTCAAGAAGGGAAGACAAATAAGACGGTGGTGACTCGGATGGCTGTTGATGACTTGCTTTTGCATACCTATGTCATTGTGCCGGCTTTAATTCTGCGCCTCCCTCTTCTTGGTGTCTCAGTCGCCAAGCAGTTCAAGCATTCACGACTTGGTATTGCTACAACCTACTTTGTGAACATACTCTGGGCCATGGCACTGAGGGCTTTCTATTACGTGCTACTCCGACTTGGCCAGGATGTTTATTATCACTCCAAGCCGACGACACCGCGCCAGAAAAAGAGACACTCTACCTGATGACGGTTTCCCGACCCAAATTTGCCCACCCGGTTAGTCTGCCGACGACAATACCAGCTTCATATACTCTATGGTCATGTTCTTTATGTTTAAACGCAGCGATACCAACTCAACTACTTTTCTGATCTTCTTTTTTCTGAGTATCATTCTATTAGTGGCCAGATGGGCACGGCTTGAACACATGTTATATCCCACCATTCTTGTTGTCCAGGCTAACTCTACCCGGACTATTCTTTGTCTTTTCAACGTTGTCTATCTCTAGCAGTATCCATTTTTATGATTCATGAAGACTATGATATCCAATTCACTCAATGATACAGGTCTTGAATGCGCCAATAACTCTGCCAACAATTGGGACATAGCCTGGAATATCTCTACAACAACGTAGAAGTTTACTACCCCGAGATCCTTCGCTCTTAATATCACAAGCCACATAGGCAGTGTCTGATTACTATAACATAGGAAACATTTAGTAGTAATGCTAAACATTTGAATATTGAAACAGCCAATATCGATATCTTCTCATATTTTACGCATTGCCATCTCGAACCTAGGTATCATAAACATAAAAGAGATAAATTCGAAACCGATTTTCAATTCCAAGCCCAAGGGGACCGCCCATTTCAAATCATTTCCATCGCAAAACATGTCCATTATCCAGAAAACATCAATCACACATCGAAGCATTGGTATTAACAAGAAGCTGAAAACACAACTCATTTATACAGGTCGTAGCAGTGTCCATCCCGGACAAAAAATAAGCAGATGACAAAAAGGGAAAGGTGTGAGGTTAAGACCATTACTCGAATTCCACGCCAGGCCGTTGTTGCCTGTCCTGGCGTGCTCGAGCTCGCTCTGCACGTCGGCGACGACGGTTGTTGGCGTAGGATCCGCTAGCTTCGGTGCCGGTCCACGTGCCAGGTGAAGTGACACTTCCAGCGCCGTATGGGATATTCGAAGCCGCGGGATGCGGAATAGGAGGTGGCGGTGGCATTACGCTGATTTGAGAGTCAGATTGAGGGAAAGGAGAGGGAGGTATGCTGCCTGGTTGAGGGGCCATTGCGGCCTGCTGTTCTCGTCGTATCTGCTCGGCTTGCCGACGCTCCTTTTCTTCAACGCGACGCCAGCGGTCTGATTCACGCTCTCCACCGGATAAGGAGCCTGCACTGCTGCCGCGACGACGAGAATTCCGTCGCTCTCTGCGGCGTGCTTCACGCTGCGCAGCCGCCTCTTCTTCTGTCAGACGACGGAGTGTAACATGCCGACCATCATTGTGCATCTTCACTTTGACAGAGACCGGCGGAGACTCGACGTGATCATCTCGTCGACTCACATCGCTGCGACGATGGCTGGATGCAGCGCCCAGTGCAGCCCCAGCGGCCGCTCCAGCTGCCAATTCCTCGGCATGATGAGAATGGGAGTAATGGGAAGCTGGAGGTGGGGGTATTAAATCACCGGAAAGCTCGTGATGCGCTGGAGGAATAGGAGGAATGTCAGAGCGTGAAGGATAGACAGCGCCTGTTGCCACTGGCTCTGCCGTGAGAAGAGAGCTGTGCGATGGTTGTCGAGGGGGCCTAGGCGGCCGAGGAGTAAGATCGGTTGGTGTGAGATCACTTTCAGTGTAGGAGCTCGGCCTTCGTCGCTGTGGATAAACTCCTTGACTATCCTGTCGTCGCTTGCTGTTCGCTCTTTGCAAATATTCATCTTCTTCTTCCCGACGGTGGATGTCATCGAGTCGACGTTTTTCTTCGTCATCCTTGCCTTTGCGGCTGAACATTCGTTTCACCGCAGCAAAGGCACCAGCGCCGAGAAGCGCGTCACGAACTCCATGCGAAGGACGCCGCTCCTGAGGTTCGGTAAGGTACGTACTATTGTAGTAGTAAGATGAACCGGGGCTCTGAGGTCTGCTCGGCACACGGCTTGGAGGTCGATTGAGTGGCGCTGGGTGAACGGGCTCCGGTCGTCCATCTTCCAGTCGACTGAGAGATTCTTCTGAATAGCTGTCCGTACGCGAGTGGGCGGGTCTGTACCGTCCAACTTCGGAGTCTTCTTCACGATCTCGTCGACGATCCCACCATTTCTTCGCGAGCATACCCCCACCTGCTAATGCACCCAGCTGGAGGATCTTTTTGCCCCAGCCACCGCTCTCATGACGACGAGAAGATTCGTCAGAGTACTTCTCATCGGAGACAGACGTGCGTGACTCTTCATAAACCTGGCTCGAGTGGCGGCTTCGTTGGCGCCGCTTGAACATCGAAGCCAATCCTGCTCCCAAAGCACCCCCGGCCAAAGCCTGTCCGAGACCACCACCGCCACCACCACCACCACCACCATGATGTTCCTCTGTGACAACTGATGGTCCGGAGTATCGACTCCCGTGCTCACTTGCCATATGATAGCCCTCATCGTCGTAAAGGTAGGATAGCACGAAGTACAACATCAAATAACCAAAAGCCGCAAGCGCGAAGAGAATGAAAAGGACCTTGGGGGAGCCATAGAGTGTCAGTCCCAGAGGAATCTGAACAATTCCCAAAAGGCACAGAGCGCGACCGAACCAGCGGTGAATCTATACCAAAGAATTAATTATGACCGACAACAGTCAGACAGGGCTGACTTACCACCAACTTCAGAGGGACATGGTGTCTGGTTCTCTTGCTCTCCTTTTTGTGCACAAACCAGCCCCACAGCATCTGAAATATGACCATGACATAGATTGCTAAGCCGATTCCATGGTGTGGGTTAGTCAAGCTCCTCTCCGGGCCAACGGCAAACCAGCCAAGTACAAACACCACCGTTGACAACAGTAACGTCATTACTTGGAACCAAGCATGAAGCTTGAATGCCCAGTATGGATTCCATCGGGAGTAGTAACGGATGATAAATGTGGAAATAGGGACGAGACCCAAGAAAACAATGGTACCAATCACACCATGGGCAATAATGATAGAATGGTACCCAGTCATATCCTTGAATCGGTTTCCCATGCCTAAACTATGTCAGTTGGACCGTAGATGAATCAGCCGGGCCGCAGGTACTAACCATTGTATCGCATTGTCTCAAAGTTCACGCCCATCAAATTGGGCAGCAGGAACGTGTCCCGCGTCAAATCCCATGTTCCATCGCCAGCGTGGAGTGTATTCGACGAGTATGTACTGCTCCCAGGAGCAGTGAGTGTGTCTGGCATTTTGGTAATGTATGTCCAGGATTCGCGCAATATCGAAGTTGAATCTCTGGAATGTCGGATTTATTGACGGAGATCTGTCGAGATCTCCCGATCCGAAGAATGCACCATGCGATGGGATCGGCGACTGGAGAGAAGGCGAATTGACAGGCGACCTGACGTATGTATCGTTATTTTAAACCGATAAAAGTTGTGTCTTCGTGTACGAGGGCTCGCTCGGTTGTCTGGCGGTGAGTGTAGATAAGTGTAAGCGTGCTGTTGACTGTTGACTTGGGACGGAACGAGTGAAGGGAGGGAGTCGCACAAGTTCGAGAAAGGTCGAAAAGGGCTGGCCGGGAGAGAGATTGGGAGATTGGAAACACGACTAGGAGCCCTGAAATCGATGAGAATGAAAGGGTCGTACGGGATCAACAACGGGCTGAGCAAGTCCCTTGTCAACTGTATACCGCGTTAGGTTTAGTGCGCCAGCGCATAACCAGAGCAACGGGCTCACCGCCTTCTGGTTTCAGACAGATCAGATACTATCATGTGATCTTATCGATTGTGGGTCACCTGATTCTTATCCCCACGGGACCCGCCGTCACACCATCGTAGCTCGTCATTCTCAATCTTGTTCTGCGAAAATTTCTCGCTAGGTTCAGGAATAAGAGGAGTGAGAATTGATTCATGCCTGGAGGTTGATCGGACTATGGCCCAGTCGCATATGGAAGTATTTGTTCGGGCTCTGTCCCGGTAAGCGCCCCTTGCAGACTTGCAGCTCATACCCCGAGAGTTTCCGTCAACAATACTGATACGCGATGGCAGCCTTTTGGGATGGATATAGTATGTTGCATGCGACTCTGTTGTCTCTTCTTGAGGAGCGGATTGACTTTATTTAGAATGCTATATACTGACCGCCTTTTCAGCATGCTGAGCTGGTCGGCATCGTTCTACCCTCAGATTGTAATCAACTACAGACGTCGATCGACTTCGGGGCTTTCGATTGACACACCCACAATTAATACCCTGGGGTTCGCGTGTTATACGGTCTACACGGCTACCTTTTTGTATTCGCCCATGATCCGTGATCAGTATGCGGCCAGGCACCCGGCATCAGAGGAGCCCACCGTTCGCTTAAATGACTTTGCATTCGCTCTTCATGCCGTGTTCTTGTGCTTCATCATGTACACGCAATTCTGGCCCTCAATATGGGGACTGCACGTGTCTCGCTTCCAGAGAATTAGCAAGACCATGCTCGCGCTGTTCTGGGGATCCGTCTTTGCGCCCGTGGTGGTGATCTGGATAGTGCTTGCGAAGAGCCCAGACGGAGGGTATGACCCTTCGACCTGGGCGTGGATTGACGTTGTAAGTAATCCTGGTCATTGTGCGAATGGCGTGTTTTAACACAGTTGACAGATCTATGCAATTTCTTATATCAAGCTTGTCATCACGGTTCTCAAGTACGTGCCGCAGGCGTGGTTGAATTATAAGCGGAAGTCGACTCACGGCTGGAGCATCATTCCGATGCTTTTGGATTTGAATGGCGGCGTTCTATCACTGGTGCAGTTGGTGCTTGACTCCAGCCTCCAGAGCGATTGGAGCGGCATCACGGGAAACCCCGTGAAGCTTCTTCTGGGCAACGTCACCATCTTCTTCGATCTGATCTTCGTTGTGCAGCACTATATCTTATACCCGGATACATTTGATGTGAAGAAGCCCCAAGACGGAGAGACCAGTCCCTTGTTAGCCGACTCGGCTGATCAGCATTCTGTATGATGGCGGGGTTGATGTTAATAGAACAGTGTAGAAGGGGCCAAATGAGAGACATTCTGTGGGAAAAGTGCTATTTCTGTAGACTGTGGGTTGGGATCTCGATGGGGTTGAGACAGTGGGGGCGGAAGCCGATCGGGATGTGACGGTAGGGCTCTGGTCTTGGATCATAACCAATCGGTTTGTCCAGATAGTGCCCCTCCGGCCTGTGTACTCTCACATAACTTCTTCATCACCTGAGCGATCGTGCGTGGAGCTTTTGATAGACAGCGGTAGAGGCGTGGGGACTAGTGCAGCGATACTGAAGGCTGTCATCACCAGGAGTTGGGCTCCGTGGTCGAGGTCTTCGACTGTCGAGGATTGGAAATCGAATGCCATCTTATTTCCAAGAATTAGCTTACCACGTCCGCAGCTGGAGGGGCCGGGACGAAAGAGGGGGAAGACCGCCACCACGCGGCTTGGAGCGCTATACACCTCGTAGCAAGACACCGCTTCTCGCGTTTGCTGGAGAGGGACCCGCCGGCCCCCAAAAGCGAAGATGACTGGTCCATCTCTGGGCTAAGCACTAAGAATGTGCAATGTAGCCAATCCGGACCCCGCGCGACGCCCTGACAGGGATCCTGCCTCGGCTCTAATCGTCGGTGTCGGGCTTTTCGGGGACTCTTTATGGATTTGGAGCTGAACTAAATATCCCAGTCCCTTTTCGAACCTGAGGATCTCACGAATGAATGTCTTGTTTCAGGAAGGATCGACATGGAATGCGGGATGTTTCGAACGTGAGTGATACTGGCTCCCAACTCCCCAGCTGGGCCCATACTACCCTCGAGGCACGGCCACGTCTGCGATACTACCTTTATGTCGCCGTTACGACCAGGCGCCCAAATGGATTGCTCATACCTGAAGACTTGAGAGCTGAGAGCTGAGACCTGAGAGCTGAGACCTGGAGACCGGGAGATCTGGCAATTGTTATGCAAGAGCGCTAGTGCACAACAGGGGAAGTAGGAAACGAGGACTAGACAACTCCCGGGCACTTCGAGTGATCGACAAGTACGGAGACCATGGACATCGTGGACATCATGGTTACCCGGCAGATATGAGGCTCCTCCTCTCCCCATATCGCAAGAATGACCTCAACGGGGTCAGGGTCAGGGTCACGGCCCCACGTCGTCGTATCCAAGACCTATCCAAAAACAGCGTGGCTTGGTGAAACCCCACCCAATAAGCCGGAGATGCGCGAGGCTAGAACTGGTTTAACGCCGCGATGCATACCTACTCAGTTACTCGAGGCCGCAAGTCGCCGCATGTACCAGACCCGTACTCCTAGGCCTATCATTCCCCTTGGCCCACCTGCGACCATGGATTTTCGGCCCCCCTGCAACTATTCTCAACATGGGTCTCGCACTCAGCCCTACCCACATGGACCCATGCGTTTACGTTCATTACATTACCGTCTTCACTGATATCCCGATCGCGGATCTTCGAATCATGATGATTCATTTCCAGCTGCCATGGACCCAGATCCCAACCCTGCCTCATGACGAACGGGGATGCACGTTTCCTTTCTTTACCATCTGAGTCAAATGTGCAGATCTTATTCTGTTTTCTCATTTGTTTACGGAACGCCTAGACTTCATCAGAAGCACTGCCTCGTTGATATTGTGGTATACGGTACAGATCGGACTTACCGTCCCGGACCGATGGTCCCTGACTTGTCGATGCCGGCCACGTTCGACTCGACTCTGAGGACTTTATAATTCCGCCTCTTGCACATCATCTCTGCCCTATTCTCTTTTCCCACCCAACGTCATCCCATCTTTCAGTTCGACACTAAGCACATGGCCATTGGGTTTATAATCTCGGGTTTAAGACTTCCTGGTATTCCAAGCATTGGCTGATATGCGAGGTCACTACTTTCCAAATACCTTGTTGGACTTTGAGGAGACCGGCACTTCCCCTGTGCTATCCCAAAAAAACCTCGTCAGCAAGCTCGTATACTCTCTACCCAATATGTCAGATATGCCCAGAATGAGGAAGACCGCCTGGGAGACCAGAAGGAATGGCTCGGTGCCTGGCAGCGCTGGGAACGGTCGATCCGAGCCCCCCCAGCTGGAAGGCCTGACCGATGTCCCTGTCAGCTCTTCATCTAACGCTCAGATGCCCGTTATACAGCCACATCTCGGCTTCGTGCAGGCTCAACCTGAGCTCATGTCGTCTTTCCTGTCCCCAGAAAGTTACTTATCGGACCGGAGAGCTTCGCCCGTCAGTGATGCTATGGGTTCCCTCTACGCCTGGTCCAGCACATCTGATGCCGACATGCTGAGACCGGCTGCGTCATCTATGGGCCCCACCACCTCGACGTCACCCTTTATGCAGCCGTATTACAGCTTTGGGACTTCCCAACCCATGGTCAGCCCACAGATCCAAAATATCTCTGGGTATACCTCGCAGGAAATCAACAAATGGTGCATGGAGAGTGACACATCCTCGGAATTCTATCAGCCGAGTAATTCCTGTCCATCCATGAACCAGTTGGCATTCGCCTCCCCGGAGATCCCGTCGAGCGTGTATCTACCTCTAGGGGAGCATATGAGCACTTCCGAGCAGTGGTTTACTCCCATATTTGCCGGCCCTTCCACCATCCCAGGCCCAATTCCAGAAGCATTCCTCTCTCCATCCTCTGCACCGGCAGTCTCCGTCACCTCTTCTTCCGCCATGAGTACCTCACCAGCCCCCACTCTGTCTGACTTCGAGTCACCGTCTTCTCGCCACCGACCGGCTTCGCCTCCCTCCAATCCCGCCGATCTCACGAGATACGGGATTCCGGCCGGAGAGGGGGTTTGGCGTTGTGCCTACCCGGCTTGTACCTCGCAGGCCCTTTTCCGTCGTGGCTGCGACCTACGCAAGCATTTCAACCGACATCGGAAGCACCTGTTCTGTCGACATGAAGGTTGTCCGCAGTCGAAACAAGGCGGATTCTCTAGCAAGAAAGACTGTGCTCGCCATGAGGCAAAGCATAACCCTGGTATCGTCTGCGAGTGGGACGGATGTGGGCGGGTGTTTAGTCGGGTCGACAATATGAAGGATCATGTGCGACGGATTCATCGCCGAGGTGGCAGTCGCTGATACACTGGAGCATGATTACGCTTTACGGTTTATGCATACACGAGCTTTGGATATACGGATTTGATTGGGATTTCTTGTTTGGGTCTGTTTGGGGATTTCTTGGGATGTATAACTACACGGGCAAGGACACGGTGAACAAGGCGAATACGGAATAAATTGACTCCTGGCGAGCAAGAGATAGAACTTTTGAGGAACGGAAATTATGAAATGCGACAAGAAAGAAGCGAAAGGAATAACATTGCACAATGGATTGGAACTTTTGTCTAATAATACTATTCCATATACAGGTCACGGCTGGACGGTTACCTCGTGAATTGTTTACTCTCCTTTCACCCAAATCAGAATTATAAACATTGCATTACAGCCCCTCGTTCCCCCCCCTGTGAAGAAACGGATAGACGGACAAAAATAGCCATAACGCAGCCCTAATGATCGCCATACCTAAGTGATCCATCACCCGCCCCCGCCCCCAATTCCAAATTTAGCGTACACAAGCAATGCCTCTGCCTTCCATTCATAACGGGTCGAGCTGAGTCTAGTGCAGATACGGCGCGACCTTGGTTTGGGCGCTCGCCCAACTGGGATCATTTCGCGACCTGGATACGCAACGCTTTCCCAATATGGCTAGATGCTCCGCTGGTCCAGTGTCGAACGAGCTACCGATTTGAGTATGGAGTTGGTTTTTTGGGGGCTGCTACCTCATTCTTGTTCCACTGCTGTTAGTTTGAATTGAATACTATTCTTGGTCTATTCTCGATCCAGCTTCTCTTACGATGTGACCCTCTGGAGGGTCGCCGTTCAATCGACGCACAAGATTACTTGTTTATTCTCTATTGAAGAGACAGCCATACCTTTTGTGGGAACCTGTCTCAGATTGAACGTTGAACGTCCGATGACGATGACCTCTTGCACGGTAGCCTCATCATACCTTACGACGCCCCATGTCTCAAAGAGGTTGGGGCTCTAGAACGGTAGAGGTACCCCTGGACCAAAAATCCCGACGCCCTGCACATGGCGCCGTTCCACGTGGCGCATCCTTCGTGCCGGATCTGCCTCGCTTATCATGTATGAAGGTAGTTCAGTAATTCTCCGTGGTACGCACCTCAAGAAAACGTCTATTTGCGGCAGGTTTGCTGTTGTGGTCGATCTCTGTCGTGCGACGGAAACGCTGCAGGTCTGTGACCAGGATCTAGCCTGATCAATCGTACGTCAGGTCGTATTGCGTTGGCTAGAGATTCAACCGTCTATTTGATCTCTGGGACTTTAGCTGTTTTCCCATTATATGAGATACATACAATCATTGACTGGAAAGGATTAGGGTGCACTTGGTGCTCCATTGATCTCCATATCTAGTTCTAAGTACGTTGGGCTGTCCGGGCCAGCCTTCATAATGAAGACCTCGATCCTTTCAAAATTCCTTCTTGAAAAAGAAGCGGATGCAAACTTCACGATAAGCGAAGGATGGGAAACGATCCTTCTGACCGCGATTAAGAGGAAATAGGTATAGTGAAGAATTTGGCATTTGAAACCACAGATCTAATCTTCAAGGCCAGAGCTCTGACACTTGCTGTGAAGCTCAAGCATATTTCTCTGGGCACGCACCTACACAGCTCAGACATGGCAGGAAGTAGGGTCCAATACTCAGGATCAGTAAATAATTTCTGACCCTCAAGTAACTACCTTGTTCCAAAGGACGAAATCAATTCAAGTACAAGGAGCTTATCCTGCCGGGTTTCCATAACCCTGTGATGAATCACATAGTAGTTCTTGACAATCTTACTAAAAATAGAAATGCAACGATATCGGATGCACATCTCGTATCTAGATAGGTCTTTTACTTGGCATGTTGCTTCCTGATGGCCTGTAAAGGCCCAGCCCTCGTGGCGCCGCGTTTCATCTCACCCTCCATATGGGCCTCCCTTTTTTGGTATTACGAATATAAGCGTCAAGACTGCGCCGGTCTTCTGAACGAATCACTGCCTTTTACCATGACTAAGACGCCGCGAGCAATATCTACACTTAGAGGAAGTTATCCCAGTATACAAAGGAAGAGCGTACAGGAATCGAAATACGAAAGAACAGCTCAACTCCTCGTTTCCTGTTGTTGGCCTTTTGAGACCCTGACCCAAAATCAAATACAAGATAAGAAAAGGAATAAAATATCTGGCAGAGAAGGGGGAAAACGAGTGGACCATTTCCAAAGACACGTTGCTTGACGTATTCCACAGAAATTAAACAAATAACGAATGGCCCGTGTATCATCATGCTTCTAACTTGACATGTGGTATCATCCAAAAAAAAGACAAAAAAAAACAGGAAATAGAACAGATACGGGAACTAGAACAGCTGGACAGGACGGATAAAGGTATCACTTATGGGAAATTCGTCACGCGTAAGTTGAAAGGCTTTGCGAGGGAATAGAGTAAAAGAGGGCCATGAAACACGCATGGTGATGATTCCGCTCGCTAGATATCGCTTGCAAATAAACGAAGGCTGTGGGTAAGAACCCGGGTACAGTTTATGAATTCATTCTCCGCCGTCGGCCTCGTGAACTGCCGACGGGCCGTTGTGCGAGGACTTGTCGAAGAATAGGGTCGTCTTTGTTTTTATCGACGTGGTGGACTCGGACGTGTCTGTCCAAGGGGAATTAGTATGATCGCCTCAACAAAACTTATCAGAGTTACACACCGTTGAAGATTATCTGGTCGGGGGTATTTATGCTGTTGATCGGGACAGAAAGGACACACATAGCCTGGCGAATTATGCACCAGGCCATGGCGCATCATTTCATTTTTGCGTTTGAATCCTTTCCCGCCTACGCCTCGTGGACAGCCTTCTACGGGACAGAAATGAGGTCGGTCTTGCGAATGCACGTTGGCATGGGAGCTATTGGTTCGCATGTTAGGGTAGTGCTTTGGCTAGGCGGTATTACACTTACTTGAGGAGGTATTGGGTTTGGAAGGGCGCTGCCGTGCAACCAGGGTGTGTGCATTTATAACTTCCCGTAGCATGGACTCCGTTGGCGGATGGTTGCGAGCTAAACGAGGCCCGATCAACAGACCCCGGGGTAGGACCGACCTGCTCTGTGGGCGTGGGGTAGCCCGTTGCAGGACTCTTCGCAGTCATGGGTGACATGTCGTAGGGGGTCGCCGCATGGATTGACTCGGATGGAGGCGGCGGAGGTGGCCCTCGCCAGAACGGTGCCGTCGATGCAGGAGACGGGTTGTTGGAGACATCTTTGGTGCTGACGGGTGACAAATGCGAGAACGGACTGGGTGGAACTTGCTGGGGAAGGAATTGAGGTAGTTGACGGTCGTGGGGCGACTCATTGCGTGATGATGCTGATCCAGGGTAAGAGTATATAGGAGGTAACCCGCGCGGGTGAGGAAACTCGTTGGGTGAGAGTCCGTCGAGGGCGGACCGGATAGGTGGAAGGACTCGGCTGTTGTTGCTGCTAGAGTCTGGAGAAGTTGCCGCGCATGACGAGGGGGGTGATTGTAAAGATTGAAGGGAGGGAAGTGAGAAGTTTTTGTCAGGGGACGGTTTGATGTCGTTGAGAGGGGACAAGCCGGGACGGTCTTCGGAAGGTCTTCGGTCTGGAGCTTGAATCGAAGGCAATCTGGTATATTCTCTCGGCGACACGGAGGTGGTTGTGATCACCGGTCTTGGTGGCGGGGGAAGAGGTTCGCGCGGTGGTGGTGGAGGGGGAGGAGGTGGTGGTGGTACTGCCTTATCACGTTCACCCTCAGGTCCGTCTGCGTCTGCGTCTGCATCGGCACCTCCACGTTTCAGATCATCGTCTGGCACCTTAACCTCGACCTTTGGCAATGATTGCGAATGCACGAGCTTCTCTGGATATCCACCATCGCATTTGTCAGGCCGTTCCTGCTTGAGCGAGTCCGCCAGCGGATACTCGCGGGCATAGGCCGCGACGTCCGGACGGTCAGGCGCTAAATAACTGATCAGCACGGAGTCACCAAGACGAGTTTGAGTCTGGGATTCCGGCAGGTGCGGCTTACGGGAACGGTTGGGCGTTCCCTTGGCGCTTGCGACGTCGTCGCCGGAGACAAACGGTGGGAGGGGCTCTTCCTCTCGGTACTTGACGGTCTGCGGCCTCGGGGGCGGGGACCGGTTCATGGCATCGTCCGAGTCATAGTTATCGGCCGTCATGAAGGCAGGAAGAGCATAGAGATGCCCGTCTGCGCCGGTGAGAGTAATATTTTAGAGGGAGAGTCGATCGAACACCATATGTAGACCGTGACGTTATCGCCCTGTGTCGGTGAACCTGTTAGCGGACGGGCCGGAGTGCTATAGCGATTTGAGCCTCATATCCTCCCGACACGAAGATACCCTAAGGAGAAAGAAGGACCGGGAGCCATCCGCAGGCTCAGGATGGGGAAGAAAATAAGAAGGTGCAACAGGATAGCAGGGCAGGATAGCATAGCAGGATAACATAGCATAGCATAACAGCCAGGGCAGGACAGGATTGAAGAAGTTAGGACTTACCACGAGGGGAAATGTGAGGCTCAAAAAACGGGATCACCCAGTAATAAAGTAGGTAGAGACCACAAACAAAATAAGGGGCTCAAAAAAAAAAGAGAAGGAAAATTGAACATGAAGAAAAGAGGGGGAAATTGGAGACGGGGACGTGGTGGTGAGGCTCTTGTCAAGTGGGCCACTTTGGCCCTCCGAGGCTCTGTCTCCGTTTTTCCTTTTTCCTTTTTTTCCTTTTTCCTTCTTTGGGGCTTTTCGATTTTACGGGTTTGCTCGTTTATTTTGGGGAAGGGAAGGGGCATTTGCCCGTTCCCCCCAACCATGACTATATCACCGACGGATCACCAGACGCAACGCAGATGACAATCGGAGGGTTTGAGGGCCGGTCGCACATCCCAGGATTCTCCTTCTCCTTCGCAAGGCTCCACTATTTCGCACTTCAGTCATTAACGGGGGGGTGGGTTGACCCTCGCAGCCACTAGAGTGATTATGGTTATGGCCATGACCATGATCAACACTCTATACACCACGATCCATGAGCTCATACATAACCCCTCTCGAAGGATTTGACAACGCAGCACGATCCACGTTGCCCGCGTTTCAGGAGAAGCCGGTCAGCCCCCTCTTCGCAATACGCGGCCCGCGCCGAGAATTTCATTGCGACACTGCACCTCCTCTTCGTGGCCCTAGTGACTAGCCACTTTTCCGGTGTGGGTTCCCTGGTTTTCTTGCTTTTTGGGTTGGGTTCTTCACCCCCAATCAGCCTCACTTTACCCGGAGCCGCAGGACCCAGCCTCATTCCGAAACCCCCTCTTTCTTTGAACCCAATGATAACCCTTCTGGCGGAACACGTTATGGCCCTTTTCCGCGAGAGCGAAAACGAGACAAAACGAGAGCAGGAGACGGAGAGGGAGACCAAAAAAAAAAAAAAGAAAAGAAAAGAAAAGAAGCTAAACCAAAGGTGGCGCATTGACGTAGAGGTGGTGCGCACGCAGAATAATCGACGGGTTCTCGACCAACGTGGACCGAATGGGCGCCGCTGACAGGACGTACTTTGACCAGACTGGGATCGTATCTCTAAAAATAAGTTTCCTCTTTTCACCTAGGTCGTGAGCAAATAGATTAACCACTCGAGGTTGGATTATGTACAGCCTACCCGATCGGGCATCCCTAATCTAGATCGAGACAAGACACAATTCACCGAAATAAAGAGTCCGACTTCGTTGCCTCTACAATTTGCCCTTCTGCTGCGATTTCCGTTGTACCTGCTTCACCTGTTCCCACGCATACAGTGCAAATGGCTTGGCCCGCTTAGCGTAGTCGCCCGCCCGTGCACTGCTCGCCTGCCGGCCTGCAAAACGGGCCGCAATGCCCTGCATAATTACGGAGCCTCGGAATGCGAAGAACGCATCACCCCAGAGGATGTCTTCCGTCGGATTATATCCTGCCACCGCACTGTACCAGCGCATGCACTCCTCGCGCGACGGCAGCCCCGGCACTCGTCCGGGCTGGAACGACTCTGTGTTGCTGTCCGCGCCCTCCATGATGTACGGGCTTGTCAGATTGCAAAAGTCCGAGAGCGGATGGCCCACGGTTGCCATTTCCCAGTCCAGAATTCCAATCACTCGCGGCTCCGTCCGGTGGAAGATCAAGTTGTCGATCTTGTAGTCTCCGTGCACCAACGTGCCCCGATCGCGCGGCTGCGTCGTCTTCTGCGCGAAGAATTTTACCATGTCCTCGAAGTGGGGGAGCTCGCCTACGGGTTCCTTAGTATCGGCGTCGACCACCTGGGCCTGGGCCTTGGACACGGTCGTGAATGTTGCAATCTGGCGGTCGTAGAACCCCGTCGGCTTGCCGAACTTCTCAAGGCCCAGGTCCTTAGGAATGACCCGGTGGAATTTGGCTAGTGTTTCCACAGCAGATTTCCATCTATAACAGTGAGCCTGGTTCTCTTTTGGTTACGGACCGATAGGGTCGGAGCATAGCTCCACATACAGTGCATTCCTTTCGTCTGCGCTGACACCAGGCATCGCTGGGTCAGTGAAGTGTCGCCCATCCAAGAACTCCATAATGTAAAATGGCGTGCCGATCACACTGTTGTCCTCGCACAGACTTAAAGCCTCGGGCACCGGTACATCAGTCTGCCCCAGTGCCTGAATGATTTGAAACTCTCGATCCACCCGGTGCGCTGTCTTTGAGAGCAGCTTGCCCGGAGGCTTCTTGCGCAGGACATACTGCTTGCCATCGGCACTTGTAAGCTGGTAGGTAGGGTTGGATTGCCCGAAGCCGAACTATACATCATGAGTGATCGGTATTTGTCTTTTTTTCTACCGAAGTACCTAGAATCAAACTCACCTGCTTCAGCCCCAGCGGAGTCTTGAGAGCAGGAACATGCTGGTCGATGTACCGCTCCAACGAAGGGAGATCTATAGGTTGCCGCACTTCGCCCGCCATGATGCAAAGAATAAGATACAGAATCAAAGAATTGATTCGGAGTACTCGGATATATACCGAAGTAGAAGTGGAAATGGAAATGAAACTCTACCCCAGAACAACCGGGGTACCTCGGCCCCAGCGAACCCTCGGTCATGAGCGGGGAGAGCAACGTGCAAACATTACAAACAACTTAACCTAGCTTCTCACCGCCGAGACGCGCGCACGCGTCCCGCACGCGCAAGGGACTGAAGCTCACCGCGTACCACACCGCAACTCCGTGGGTCTTTTCCTCAATTGACCTTTGTTTTCTGACGTTTGACCTTTCGTTTCCTCCTCTCTACTCAATCCGATTTCTGGCAATGACCAAAGAGACCACCCCGCCCACTACCGTCCCTGCCACTCGCGAGCCCCCCTCCCTCCCCGCCTCCCCGCTAGCTAAACGCTCCAAGACCGACGCCATGACTGCCACTACCCCTGCCGTTACCTCTATCCAGCAGCCTATGCCCCCACTCCTTGTTAAGAAGCTGGTGGCTTCTGCTAAGGCCCCCACTCGCGGCTCGGCTTTCGCTGCGGGATACGATATGTACAGTGCGAAGGAGACGGTCATCCCCGCTAAGGGCAAGGCCATGGTTGATACTGGCATTGCGATTGCTGTGCCTGAGGGAACCTGTATGTGAGCCGGATGCTTGAACCAACTCTATGGCAATGGCAGTAATTGCCTGGAATAAAGCTAATCTTGATTTCTGGATTAGATGGTCGCGTGGCTCCCCGCAGCGGTCTCGCTTCAAAGCACTTCATTGACACTGGTGCCGGTGTCATCGACGCTGACTACCGTGGTGAGGTGAAGGTGCTTCTGTTCAACCACTCCGATGTCGACTTCCCTGGTATGTCGGGATTACTCGTGAGTAGCGGTTTACTTGCTGATACATTGGAACAGTTAAGGAGGGTGACCGTATTGCCCAGCTGGTTCTGGAGCGGGTGAGTTTCTCTTCAAATGGGTCTCAATGATTTGTCTAACGGTTTATAGATCTATACGCCCGAAGTCACCGTCGTCGAGGAGTTGGAAGAGAGTGTCCGTGGCGCGGGTGGGTTCGGCAGCACCGGAATCTAAATAAATATAGGGAATTGTTAAATTCACCCCCCCCCTTTACTATTTTCACCCCCCTGCCTGAAAGTTCAGGAATCTAGCTTAAAATGGCCTAGTCTGGCATTATAATGACCGCTTTTCTCACCGCCTTACCCACCGCTTCTAAATCTCCATCTCCAAATATCTCTACCTTAATATATTATCTTCTTCCATACCACCCAGCATGGCATCTCTTAGCCTAGGATTGCTGTTTAACAATGCTTATATCGACGATATTACCGCACCAGGTAGGATTACCCGTCCACGAAGGTGTCTTACTAATGAATATAGATGATTCAGCAGCATCCAGCGACGATGAGGTCCCCCTGAACCCTCCGCCTTCTACATTCCCTCTACCCTCGCTTCAGCCGAAGTACGATACCTCCGAGCTCGCTTTTATCGCGACGATATTACCGCACCAGGTAGGATTACCCGTCCACGAAGGTGTCTTACTAATGAATATAGATGATTCAGCAGCATCCAGCGACGATGAGGTCCCCCTGAACCCTCCGCCTTCTACATTCCCTCTACCCTCGCTTCAGCCGAAGTACGATACCTCCGAGCTCGCTTTTATCGCTGTGAATACCTTTGCAAAGCCGTACGGTTATGCTTTAACCAGGAAGCGATCGAAGACGACCAAAAAGGGCGTGATGAAGACAGTTCGGCTTGGCTGCGACCGCGGAAGAAGATATATAGGCCATACAAGGGAAGAGAGGATCCGGAAGACTTCAACGCTTGCGAATCAGTGTCCATTCAGTATGTCGGTCCGGCTTGATCTACAGTCCGATACCTGGTATCTCACTGTTGAGGATGAGACACATAACCACCTCCCTTCGCCTGGTATAACTCATCCAGTCCATCGACGGCTTGAGTACGTTCGCAAGGCTATCTGGATCCATGATCTTATTCGACAGGGTATTCACCCTCGCCATATCATCACGACACTCCGAAACGACGACCCTGATTCAACGATACAGCCCCGTGATATCTATAATATTCGAGGGAGGCTTATCAGAGAGTATTTGAATGGTCGTACGCCTATTCAAGCCCTGATGGAAGAGCTTCCGAAAGGAGGGAACTGGATCTTCAAGTACGAGGTCGACGAACAGCATCACATCACCGCCTTGTTCTGTATGCACCGGACCAGCCTCGCGATGCTGAAGCATCATCCCTGGGTTATCTCGATGGACTGCACATACAAGACGAACCGGTTTGGGCTACCAATGCTTGATATTGTTGGCTTTACACCAACCGGTGCGACATTCCACGTGGCCCTAGCATTCATCCAAGACGAGAAGCAAGAGACCTACACGGTTATTCTACGCTGTCTTGCAGAGGCCTACGACTCTCTCGGGCTGGCCTATCCACGTACAATCTTGACAGACAAGGAAAAAGCGCTTATCAATGCTATACGGCAGGTCTTTCGGCTAACAAATATCATGGTCTGTCTGTGGCATATCAACATGAACATCATGAAGAAGGCCAGACCACTACTCGGAGACCAAATCGCTATCGCTCGTAGAGATAATATCTCTACCAGGCCTATGACGAAGGCCCAGATGGATAAAGAGCTTCGTCAGATGGTTGATACAGGATGGAAGAAGATGCTACAGGGCTGGAACCGCATCGTCTATGCTGATTCAGTAAGCGCTTTCCAGACATCCTGGACCTGGTTCCAGGCCCAGTATAGCGACCCTATCTTTTTACCTATCCTACAATACATCGAGGATGAGTGGTTAAACGACTGTCCGGAACAGTTCCTACATATCCACACGGCGCACTATCTCCATCTACATGAGAGTGCCACTTCTAGGACTGAAAGCGCGCATTGGCTTTTAAAGCGCGAGCTACAATCATCAACAAACGACCTTCTTGTCGTCCTACAGTCATTCGAACGCGCCCTGAACCGTCATTATGCTGATATTCAGTATCGAATCGAGACGGAGAGAGCTAAGATACCAACCAAGATCAACCCACTCGTCTCTTTATTGGCGCGGCGCATCTCTCTAAATGCGATACAGTCTGTGGAAGCACTAATAAAACGATATCTTCCTAAGGGAGCAGACGGTAAACCACCTATCCCATCATCCTGTGACTGCAGATCAAAGGAGACCGCGGGATACCCATGTATCCACTTGATCATCCAGTACCAGCAAGAGAACAGAAGCTTCGAGCCCTCAGACTTCCATGAGCAGTGGCATTTGTACGAGCTTGGCAAAGCACCCCCTATTGAACCTCTTCTCTTGATCCAGGACCCTCTGCCTGTTCGACGCCGTGGAAGGCCACCTGGAGCTACCAACCTCATACGGTCTTCCCAGGCGTCGAGCACGCAACAGAGCACACAACAGAGCACACAACAGAGCACACAACAGAGCACACAACAGAGCACACAACAGAGCACACAACAAAGCACACAACAAAGCACACAAGACATAACATTTGACAGGTCCACCCAGCGAGAGCCATCGGCGTTCGAGCCCCAGCGTCGTCCACCACCTCGTCGACGCCCAGGGCGCCCTCCACCATCAGCACATAACCACGGACAAATACAGGGTGGAGATCGGGGTGATATAAGGGGTGGTAGAGGCCGCGGAGGTCGGGGATATCGTGAAGGGCGTGGAGGCGCGGTCGCCTCCACCGCTGGAGATCGGAGGGTCCTGCGTAGTAGTCAGCGTAGTCAGAGAGGTGCTGAGTAATCAGGTTTGACGTATCTGATTGGATAATAGATAGAGATGTACGTAAATGGCGGAAAAAGTGCGTTTAAATGGGACTGGAATCCAGTTATTTAATAAGTAAACCTGAAATAAAGGGTTTTCGGCTGAATAAACTAGACACCTCAAAAAAGAGGCTAGAATCTGCTGGCAGAAAACTGGGGCCTGAACTCTAAGGCAAGGGGGGGGTGAAAATAGTAAGGGGGGGGGGGGGGTGAATTTAACAATTCCCTAAATATAAAAGACGAGAGATAATTTAGAACTGGATCTCGGAAAATCAATGAATTTACGTATTGAAAATGACTCAATCCAAGCATTTGAAAGATGAATCTATATACAAACCGAACCCCTGTTTTGGTAGTAAAATGATGCTCCCATTCATGTATCTGCGCTTTGCTCCGCCTCATGATCTAGTCGTGTCGTGTCTCGCTAATGTTCTCAACGTAAGTCGCTATTGCAATTGTGGCGGAAGATCTTCCTTGCTCCACTGTTGCACCTCGAATTTCACGTGGGGATCCCGGAGGAAGCGTGCGTTCCGGACCAGTCGAACTTCAGCAGCCTTGGTTCGGCGCAGATGGTCACGTTTCTGCTGCTCTTCAGAGCTCAAATCCCCATTCTGCTCAGGTACGGCAGCCGCTAATTCCGCATTGCGGGCTTCCATGGTCCGCTCGAGGACGCTGTGCATGCTAGCGAGCACCTTGACGGTTGCTCGTGCCAGAGGTAAATCACTGGCCGGGACACTGTCGGGCGACACCCAGGAAGGGGTGTTTTGAAGATCCTTGCCCGCGTCGACGACGGCTTCGCGGAGCCGGGCAACCATCAGCGCGGCGAACATGTCGCCAGTGCCGCTAAAGAAGCAGTCGAGGGCCGGCACGTCGATCCGGAATAGACGCGGAGATCCGTCAGACTGCGTGGTGGAGCCAATAACAGTAAGGTAGTTCTTGGGCGGGCTGGGGGTGTTGCCCGATTGAGACAGCTTAGATAGCTGAACGGAGGTGATGATGACATGGGGGACGGAGTAGATGCGGTGGATGGCAGTCATGGCCTCGGCCAGAAGGGCGAGGGAAGTGATTTTGATTCCGGAGAGGACTCTGCGGCTCATGTTAGAACCGGATATTGCAGTTTGGGAGACGGATGTATAACGCACTCGGCTTCAAATTGATTTGGCAAGATCAAGTCTGCGTGCTGAATGATCTCCTTGTAAGCTGGGACGACATCGTCGTTGACGTAGAGCCGACCCTGATCGCCCATGACAGGGTCCAATACTAAGGGGACGGTTAGAGTGTATCGTTGGAAGCATTGACTTTGACTCACCCCAGAAAAATGAACCAGGCTTTTTCTCGGCTTTCCGCTTCAGGTCAATGGCTATGTTGCCCACAGCTTCCACGGCAGCGGCACTGGGGGCATATCCGGAAAGCATCACATCAAAGTCCGTCAGGTTACTCTGGCAAAGACCCTGGTAAAGGTCGGTAATCTCCGGGGCGGTTGCGCGCGTGCCCTTGAACTGCCGGTATCCGGTGTGGTTGCCTATCCTGTGAGTCAATTGAGACCATTGAAAGCTTCTAGCTGAGGTGAAACGCACTGAAATGCACCGTGTTCAATGCGGCGACCTCACAGCCCATCGACTGCATGACCAAAGTGGCCATGGTGTTTCCCACATGGCTGGTGGGCTGTTAGTTCTGACCCCACACCGGTCGAGACGATCACGTACCCATACACCACCTAAGACGACGTTAGAGCTGAGAGTATACAGACCGGGGATACTTACATGACTGGCCACAGCCAGCACCCTCGTTTCGGGCACGAGAGATTCCGACATGATTGTTGTAATGTAGAAAGTTGACGTGGGGGAAGATTGCAACCATTGGAAATGACTCCGCCCGGACTTCTAAGAATCCTTACCTAATTGGCCCCGTTCACCGCGGGCGAGAACCAGCATCAGCATTGGATGCTTATCATCCATCGAGCAAACTCATGGATATCGCACCAACAAATCCATGATTTGGGAGATGAGAGCTCCTGGGATCGATCTTAGACGTGTCGGTTTGATCGACACGAGCTACCCCTCGTGCTCGTGCCCTCCTTGCATAGGGAGCATCCTTTAATTTCGCCCAGGGCGCGCGATGCGAAACGAGGAAACACCAAGACACGAGACCTATCGGTCGCATTGAGTGACGATAACCATGAATCCGAGCAAGGCTCTGTAGAGGCAGACGAAGGCAATGCCGGTTCTATCCTCTTCAGGAGGGAAACTCCAACCTCCACTCTCCACTCTCCAAACTCCCCATGCCCTCTGTGCTTCTAGCCAAACTAACCCGAATCAACCCCGTATCCGCAACGAGACCAAGACTGGCTCGAAATGGGCCCAAATGCCCAGGTTCTGGCCAGGGGAAGATAACCACGCCGTCTCCACCGACCGATCTAGTCCGTCGGCCCCTTCTCATTCGGGCTTTAGCGCAACGATTGTTCTGTGCTCGACCTGCTTTACCTTTGCACTAAAATCTCATCTTCCCCTGCTCTATCCTTTCGCGCTCCTACTCGTATGTCGAGCTGGGTGTTCCGGGCTCATGAATACCATGTCGCATCACTCATAGCCTTGTCTTGATCTTGTTATTTTTCCTTCCAAGCCCCCCGTGGCTACGTCGTTCGTTACTTCAATCCGATGGATCGCAGCACTTCCAACCGTGCGGTCTGCCCAAGCAGCCGCAACGCGTCGCTCTCTTCAATGCCAACACACGCTCATTCATCAAATCGCCGGTCACCTCTCAACCGGCACATATTCACCATCGGTTCTTTCTACCAGAGCCTTCTAATTTTAATGCTTATTCTGTGCCTTTTGCCCGTGTCCTCGGCTCAGCCCACCACCGCTGTATCAGATCTCGTTGCAAGCATTCCGCGATCGGCCGCGGCTCCGAGTGGAGAGATCATCGACGATCGCCACGAGGGATCTTCATTCCTAGAGAATACGCAATTGCATGCAGAGACTGACTCGGAGCCTGGGGGTCTTCTAATGCCTCGAAACACAAATTCGGATATGCCCACCGCGTTCGACACCATCTCCAACAACTTTGCCAATGCCACCTGTGTATCATTTTTCAAGAGGTTTCTGTCCAACACGACGGTGACAGACTGTCACGCCGTATCCCTCCTACTGGAAAACTCCAACTCATTTTTCCATACCTTGACTTCCGCCACGGCCACTTCACGCATCCTCGACACCGCATGCTCGGAGCCCCTCTCCAAGTGCTCGACCATCATGACCAATCTGGCTTCACAGATGCTCTCCGATAGTAATTGCGGACAGGACTATCAATCAGGCAACTCATTCGTGCAGGGTGCCTACGAGGACTTGATCGCGTACGAGCCTATGTATCTTGCCACATGCCTCACGAATTCGGTGACTGGTGATTACTGCTTTGTCGATGCCGTACAGAACAGTACCGCCCCAAATGACTACAATGTTTATTTCATGCCCCTGGGCACCACGATTGGTACTAGCAAGTTGACTTGTGGTCAGTGCCTGAAGGATACCATGACTACTTTCGCCCAGTGGGCCACGGTCGACGGCCAGGCTCTGGACACCACGTATCTTCCCTCGGCCAGGAATGTCAACGATCTCTGCGGTGCCGGCTTTGCCAAAGTCAATATCACCGTCGGCAGCGACACTGTCACATCCGGTGCCCGGTTGACACTCCTGTTGCCCAGTATCCGACTCCTTGTCTCCATACTAGGACTAGCGCTCGGAGCCACATCCATGGGAATACTTTAATTTGTTCATATCTGCATTGTTTTGTCCTACGGGGTATCTCTCTCTTCCTCTTGTTCTGGAGTTACGGTCATGTGTGACGATAGCGAATAGCGTGCCAATCTTTGTCTATATTAATTCTTGTCAGTTACTTAATTCAATCTGTACAATCTGTCGAAGACAATATTCAAGCCGTATTTGTTATTAGCGCAAGTGTGAGGGGTGAAATCAGGGGAATTTGGGGGCGGAAAACTTGGCCTGATTGAGTGCACGCTCAGCCTCCCCCGAAATGGCAGTCGCATGTCAATCGCGTTAATCCCCATTAGATAAATAGGACCTTGGCCCTTGGCGCAAGTTTTCCGCCTCAGCTTTTTGCCATGATGGTCTTACCCCGGGTTCCAGGCGTCCAGCCTGCCCACTCAATCGCCATGCTCCGACCACTGGTCGACTCCCTCTACGACTCCTCTCGCGGCTCGACGGACCTCATCAACCAGGCGCAGAATGAACTCAGCTTGCTCCTAGCGGTGCTACGAACCGCGGAGACGCAGTTGTCATTTTCAAGCCACCACGCTAGCCCAGAAATTCAGAAAACGCTGCAAAGCTGCCACCACGCGCTTCTGGATTTGCAAAAGCTTCAGGGAATTGAGGGTGGGGTGGGCCCGCAGGGCCAAATCTCAGACATTCGCGCAAGGTTCTCAGACCTGATCTTCGAGCTTAGTGTGATGAATGCCAATATGATGATGTGCGTTGACCCTCTAACGGTCGAGATCGTGAGGTGTTGACTTTGTTCTCAGATCGTCGCAAAATAATGTTAATCGCATCTTGCGAGACTTTACCGAAGATATCAAGTCTGGCAAGCGGGAGGCTAAGGTTATCTCGAGTGCTCTTGATGATACTTCTTCGGACAGTGACCGAGAGAGCGCATGGGGAAAGCTGCAACAAGAGCTGCAAGACGCTGGCATCGCAACTGAGTTGTCTTCCCAAGATCGTGATATTATCATGTCAACTTTTCGAAAAGCTGTAGATCAAGAGGACCTTCTGAAGAATATCACATCAACACCAGAAGTTGATGAACCGATTAATAGATTACGGTCACCCGCGGGGCCTTTAGCTGAACCTCAAGCTCTATCCCAAGAAAATGGCCAGTCCGACAAGGAGGTTGTGACAGAGAAAGAAGAGAACTTCCCAATCCCTGTCGCATTTGAAATCCAGGACACCGATGATACCTCAAAACACGCATGGGCCACTATAACCTCGCCTGTAGATGACTTTCCCATCCCTGTATGGACAGAGCCAGGCTTGCAGTCCGGCGACACCGATAAGCAAGTGGTTTCAGTATGGCAGCCCGACACTCTGCCGATTCCTGTGGAAACAAATAACAGACACAACCGGACTGGAAACAGGACAAGTATATCCAGCTCTTCGGCATCCAGATCACAACCACCCGCGCCTACTCTTTCACGAGGGAAGAGACCCAGCCTGATGAGCCGAATGAAGTTCAAATTGACAAAATCTCACGACTTCATTGCGCTGATCCAAATGGGTGGACTATACTCGATCAGATGCGCGCTGGAGAAAGGTGCCAACGTCAACACCACGAATGAGGAGAACCAGACTGCCCTAATGGTTGCTATCTCTTTTCGTCATGAAGATGTTGTTTCGTTGTTGTTGGAATGGGGTGCCAAAACCGAGAAAATAGGAACTCATGGCGAGACTGCCTTGGGAACTGCTGCCCTGCGAGGACTCGACGATATCGCTCAGCGGCTTCTGTTACATGGTACCGACCCCGACAGTGCGAAAAACGTAGGAAAGACTGCTCTTTCTCAAGCTGCGATCTGCGGAAGCTTGAGTATGACTAGATTGCTGTTGGATTGGGGTGCTGATCCCAACGCGGTCAGTTCAAACGGCGCTACGGCACTGGCTTGCGCAGCTGACAACGGCCGCATCCAAACTGCTCGGCTTCTACTTGATCGTGGAGCCCAAGTAGACAAGTGTGGCTACCCTCGCCGGACGCCGCTCTTCAAGGCCGTACAGAGAGGCAACATTGAGATGGCGGAGTTGCTTCTTTCGTCTGGAGCGGATCCGAATTGCCAAGATTCCCATAAACATTCACCCATGGCGCTTGCCATCTCCCTTGACAGGGTTGAGATGGTCGGGATATTCTGTCAGCATGGTTCTGAATTTGGTGCCAATCCTATTGATGCTACCCGCATTTCCCCTCCACCGGCTAGGACTAGCGGTGGGAAGTCTAGTGCTGCTTATCAGTACTATTAAAGGGGGGGATGGTCTCAGCCTAGTTGTTTGGATCCATATTTCGAAGTAAAACAGCTATACTTCTTAGCTAGCATGGTGTGCCTCTCGTGCAACAGCATAAATATTCACATCTTGCACGGATCCACCATGACGTGTAGGCTGCCACTCCAGCAACTGTCTAACCAGATTAGAAGAACCTCGCAAAGTAGAACTCATAGCCTCAGCAAACACATATCGCACAGGCCTTGTCAACTCGATATTTTTTTTTTAAAAAAAAACTGGTAACGACCTAAAACATCAAAGATCTCGCGCATGCTCTCCTGGTTCATGACAAACTCAAAGGATGCACACCCGTGCTCGAAATCAAATGCACTTTCTCAACAGCTTTCACAAACGCCTTCGCTGCATCGACAACGTGAACCAAACCAGGTGTTGAGTTAGGATCGAGTGATATTTCGACCGCGTCATCCATAGATCAACACAGGCAGTGGAATCATAACAATGAGATCATCGACTTTAGCCATAACGGCCTTCTCCATCTCAACCCTCCATGTAACTAGCTCACTTGGTGATATATGGGGCCCCGCACGCACAATATCGACGTTGTTCACAGGTCGGTGACTTGAGCCATGAAGCCAGGTCCCAGAACAGGATATGTAGCCTAATTTGGATTCGTTTGAGCCTAGATTTGTGCTTTCAATGAGCCGTTGCGACCCCATGCGAGCAACATCACGGAGAAGGATGTAGAAGTATTTGCCGGCGTCTGTAATGTCGATGACTACTAAATTTGTCTGGCTCGCTGAATGGGCTAGGACAATGGGCCAAACTGATCTCTTATCCTGCGAGCTATGCCGTGGACGGCGTATTGGCTGCTTTGAACGATGAGGTTACCGATTTGTTGGCCTAGATTCCCCGTAGCGATGATGATGAGTTCTTTTGACGTGTTTGAGAGCCCGGGAAGGATAGCGATTCCTGTTTGTCGGTTGTTTGGCGATGGTTGAGGATGCAGGCCTGTTTATGCATGGCACACAGTTTATGCAGCTGGTTGTCCTTTATGTTTCCCCGCAGGTCTAGAATAAATCGTCCAGAGCATTGAACCCCCGGGGGAAAGACATGCAGAAGGAGAAGGTTTTCACCTAAATTTCGTATCATCCCGTGCATATAAATAGTTTGTGAGTTGTTGTTGGTATCATAGGTCCGTAAACTCCGCAAAGCCGCACCTCAAACCTTGGTCACGGAGTCTACGGTTCCAAGGTTGAGATAACCTTAATCTGCAGCATAATGATAAGGGAGAATGAAATGCACAAAAAGTGTGTACTGGATTGCAGTCCATGACCATGGTTATTCCTAAACGCGGAAGGTGAAAATATATTCAGGAGTCTTCACGACAGGAAGCAAGGCACAGAACGAAATATAAACAAGCAAATGCAACACCGGTGGCATCATGATCAAACAGGTATAGGTCTTGTCGTTCGTAAAACTTGAACAGAAAAAGGTATGCGCCCGGAAGGGAGTGTATATGAAGGAATCGCTTAAAAGGCAAAGATGAAATTCGCAGAAACTCAGCTTCTCCGAGACATGCTGTCTCCAAGTGCAACACCGACCAGACTCTGCGGCTCGCCGCCAAAGCTGGCCCCGGCGTTGTTTATTGTTGGAGAACCGGCTCCAGAGATAGGGCTTTGGGCTGCATCACGGTCACGCTTCACCCGGAAGTAACCCAATTTCGCAAAGCGACTTAGATGTGCCCAGAAATGACGACCGGCCGGATGCGAAGCGATGCGGTCGAGCAATTCGACTGTTGCTTCCCGTACGACCTGATCAGGGTGGAAGAGTCCCATGCTAATATAAAACAGACCGGCCTGATTCTCAGGTGCCACAGTCAGCAATTGGCAAACGCCGGCATAGTCCTTCACGGCATGAGAAAGAGCCATATAGATAGCGGCAGACTCAGCATGGGAAAGCTTCAGAGCCCGCAGACGGTCGTGGTGATGGTGCAGGTCGGGACGCTGAATAGGTCGGGCAGGGAAGTACATCGCAGCAATATCTTGAATGTAGGAGTAGTATGACCGAGTGTTCCGCCAACCCTCGATTCGCGATACCGACGCAGAGAGTTCACGCTGCTTGGCCATTTCGTCCGGCCACACGTAGCCATGCCCCCGGAGTGATGAAGGGTCCGCTGCATCGGTCTGCTGGCCAGTGGGACTATCGGGTGAGAGTTCCTCGCCGGGGCCGATGATGTAGAGATTTGAAGCACCGTAGACAGTCTCCTCGAAGGCTGCGGCCACTCGGACAAACTTGGTGATGTAGGCCCGCCATTTTGCACGGATCGCATTCTCGCCGTGTCGATTGGCAATACTGCGCAAAATGTCTTGCATGAAAAGGTTGTCTCCCGTTGGATCCGAATGCGCGTGCGAATTGTGATTGGGCAAAAGTGCATTCTGCTGCTGGAAGAAAAGGAGGCCTTCCGTCACTGGAGCCGACTCAACATGGCTCGAGATCTTCATACGACCCGTCGGTAGGTCGCATAAAACATCCCACCATTCTGGGTGGTTTTCGAAAGTAGGGTTGGTAACACCGGCAATGAAACCAGGGACTTTCAGTAGATCATCGATCTTGGTCAAATCGGTATAGGGGAAAGCATGGCGAGTGAATCCGCGCAAGATGCCGCCAGACGCCAGTGCGCAGGCCGCGAGGACCGCCTCAGCCACCTCTCCAGATGGTCGATTGTGCCCTAGGAAAATTACACGCTTCTGTGTGAGGATAGCGTTGACAAGGACAACGATAGGGTGCGTGAATGGGCCACTGGTGGTCAAATGAGGATGGCTTGGGAAAGGTTGGGGGAGGTGGCATGTGGCCCGGCGAACGTTTGTATAAGCTTGACCAGGGAAAAATCGCCCACGGTCTCCGGCCAAATCACAGTAGGAATTTTGACCGGGATGGGAATATCGTGGTAGACCACTTTCGATTCAAACTCGTGCGTGTCCCTCGGCAAGACGTGACGACTAAGTTTTTTTGGTGATGGTGGGCATTCGACGTCCTCCCTCTCTTCTTCCTCTCGCTGACGGATCATCTGCTCGAATTTCTCGATGAACATTTCTTTGGTGTTGCTGGATTGTAGAATATGGCGCTCTAGTATCGACATCTTGGGCATCAACGAAAGATCCATACTATTCACGGCATCGTAGAGGGATGCGAGGGTTTCGGGGTAGGGTGACTTGAAGTAATCCTCGAGCGCGAGGAGAAGGAGTGGCTGTCATTATCAGTTCGTGCTCTATAAAAGGACTAGACGGGTGCTTACCTTGTAGATATGGAGGAAGGAATGCCTTGTACAGATAGCCATGGCTTTGACGACGGCACCACTGTCTGATTGTTAGCCCTAGATCCGCCATAATCGCCGCAAAGGAAGACATACCGTCGGACCGTGTTGTCCTGTTTCGTATTCACCAAATTCAGGACATACATCAAGGGCGGGCCTTCCCCACCCTCCTCATCGTCGTCACTGCTTTCCTCCTCAGAGGCCTCGTCTGGATTCTCATGCTGGATGTCGGCACCTTCCTCGTTGCCACGATACTTTGACTTGCGCTTTTTCTTCTTCTTTCCAACCTCCCCTCTTCATCGTCGTCACCGCTGGTGTCCTTGTGCAGGAAGAAGATGGTCCAATCCTGACTTCGCACATGGGTTTGGTCGGGGAGCATCAGCTCCGCCAGCATGCTCTCGTCGCCACTAATCGCAGCGGGGTATTGATGCTCCATGATCGGACCCCGGTCGATGTGGAAGGAGGCCACCAAGATGTATTCCACATGGCGCTCGGATGAATCGACTGGGTATTGCGATTTGCACCGGCGAGGCTTGTAGCCGGTTCCAGGCTCAGCGGACGTCCGTCGAGTCGAGGAATGCGAGCCGCTGGGCGAGCGCCCTATGAAGGAGGGCGCGGGGGACAATCGAGGGAGGCCATTCGTCTTGGGATTCGTGGACAGGTTTTCGTTGGAAGGTCGATATGGCAGGGTCGACGCCATGATGGGTAGAGAGTTGAGAGTTCTCGTCAGGAGAGATCGGGCATGTCTTTGAAGATCTGGTCAATGCAAGCCTAAGACCTAAGATTCAAGACCCAAGACCCAAGGTCCAAACGGTGGTTCAGGGGTCAAAAAAGACAATCTCCACAGCGGGGGCGATAGGCGATAACAGCTTGGTCTACAGTAAGTACACTTCACTCAGTGTGCAGCACAGGATTGTAGCCGATGGAAGGTTCAAGAGTCTTCATCTAGGTCAAAGCGACTAGTGCAATTGACAGCTCTAGTTCATAAATTGACATAAATTAACATAAAATTGATCGATCCACAAATCCGCAACTCGACAGCTCTAAATGCACGTGCCCCGATCGGGCCGACTTGTTGCCGGGGCATTGTTTACTTGTGCTTTCAACTACGCAATGGACTCCAACCTCAACAACACAATGGTACAGTATGGAGGAACCCCCGGTGGAACCAGTCGCTGATATTGATGCAGGCAAATAATCCTACATTCAAACCCTCCCCTCTATCATTTGGGTCACCGCGGGCATCGCCCTTCCGGCGGCCCTCGACACCCAATTCCCCGCCCTCGGGTCGTCCTGGGACGCCTGGAAGCTCTCCAAGCAGGAGCGGCTATACGCCAATGGTGTCGCCCAGCAAGCTCAATCAGTCGTATACAGCTGCCGAAGAGGAGTCTGTCTCCCCGAGGACCGATCCCATACCGCAGCCCAAGTTCACAAGAGAACTGCCTCCCTCCCCCACCAAGGGCGCGCGCTCGCCTGGACATTCCTCGCCGATTATGAGTCGCCCAAGTGGAACGGGATTTGTTGGTTCAGACGCTGCCGCGAAGCTCCCGCCCAATGTGGCGCGGGAGATCCGCGAGGCTTTCCAGGTTCTCGATCGCGACAACGATGGGCTAGTAAACAAAGACGATGTGGCCGATGTGCTTATGAACCTGGGTAAATTGACCATCTCTCTCTGAACTCAAGCAGTTAATAGGTACTAACTCGGAGTCTCTACAGGCCAAGATTCTTCACCGTCTACTCTGGCACGCTTCTTCCCCTCCAGTTCTAGCCAAACCATCAACTTCCCGACGTTCCTGAATACACTGTCAGAATTAATGGCGCCCATGTCTTCTTCCCAGGACCTTCTTAATGCCTTGGCCGCGTTTGATGATGACGATAACGGTCAGATTGATGTTGCTGAACTACGTGATGCGCTTCTACACACTGTCCCCGAGGATGGAGGCAGGCCATTAACGGAACAACAAATCGACGAGGTCTTCAGCGGGTTTATCGGGCGGCGGGCATTTGGCGGTCGGCCTGCGAAGACTGGAGGCGCATCCAAGCGAGGTGAAGTGTTCCAGTACCACGATTTCGTGCGCAGCGTCATGGGTGGAGAGAACGGAAATGGTGGTCGGCAAGAGGCTGGGAGTGCTCAAGCTTGAACTGTATGAACTTGATCGGCGTTGGGGAGCTTCTAGGCGTTTAATGCTCTTACGAGTGATGCAGATAGGATGTAACAGTCACGACAAGGAATATATTAGAAAAGAACTAGTTCCGAGTACATAGTCCCGAGTACAAAGCCCTAGAGTGGATGACGGCGCGTGCTCCGCATTCCTCCAACGGCAGAAAACCAGCTCCAGCCACCATCCAAGTTACGTCTCACCTCATTTCCAGGAGATGCCTCTCCAAGGCATTTCAATGCAATAGTCCAGACATGGCCAAACATCAGCAGTCCTGGGGCCTTCCTAGCCCCGAGGTCCCAGCCTCACCACGGACGATGCGAACATTGCGCAAGATTCAGTCTCACCAAGTCCTGACCACTTCCAACGCACTCATTGCGCAAACTCAATCTTCTCGCTCAGGAGCTCGTGGTGCCGACTCTGGGTCATCATCAACAACCTCAAATAACACCATCCGGGCGCCGGTACATCGCCGGGCGCGTTCCAACAGTGACGCGGCATCTCGTGAAGCAGCGCTCGCGCCAGTTTCTACTCAGAGGCGCCCGGCTCGACAAACAGGCTCGGGTATAGGGCTTAAGAGATCATTTCTCGAGAATCTGATTCGCGATGGCCCCCAGCACGGGAACACTCAAGAGGCGCTACAAGAGCTGAAGTACCTCGTTCTATCGACCAGGGTGGAGGCGGACGGAGACGGCATGGTATGATCTCTGGCTGTCTAGTTGAGGTCTCTTTAACAATACTAATCTTTGCTCGTTTCTAGTCTCCCTATCGGATCTACCTTTGGCTCATTCTTCTCCATGTTCCTCCACTCCCAACGGATGATTACCTTGCTCTTGTCCACCGCGGCGGCTCCCCCGCTTATACCAAGATCCGCAACGATACCTTTCGAACTCTGGCGACGGACCCTCTATTCAAGCGACGCGTCACCGAGGCAAGTCTGATTCGGCTGTTGAATGCGGTAGCGTGGAAATTGCATGACTCCAAGGTGAAGCCTCGCTCTCGCCCTACCTCATCCCGGAGACGGGAGATGGAGGCTCTGATCAACACTCCTCCCAGTATTTCAGAAGAGCCCGAGGGACCAGGATCTGCTGGAAGTGTAGTGGGGGATACCGCTATTTATGTCCAGGGTATGAACGTCCTATGTGCGCCGTTCTTATATGCAGCCCGTAGCGAGGTGGAGGCATTCGCTCTTTTCCATCATTTTGTCACTGTGGAATGCCCTGGATATGTTCGCAGCACCATGGATGGAGTCCATCGGGGTCTCCGTCTGGTTGACCGATGCTTGGAGATCGTGGAGCCCAAATTGGCCGCGTATCTCTTTTCCAAGGGCATGCATGCAGAGCTATATGCTTTCCCTTCTGTGCTGACTCTTTGCGCTTGTACGCCTCCGCTACCGGAAGTGTTACACCTCTGGGACTTCCTTTTTGCATATGGCCCACATTTGAATATCCTATGCATCGTTGCCCAGCTGATCCGTATGCGTGATGAGATTCTTGAAAGCCCGAGGTGAGTGCTTCCTGTCCATTATCATGTGGTTTCTAACAATCGATAAGCCCCAACAAACTTCTTCGTTCTTTCCCACCTTTGCAAGCCAAGGACATCATTGCCTTGACCGTTCTTCTGGTGCGCAAGATTCCGGATGACGTCTACGAAGAGATGGTCAATCATGCGAAATGATTCTCTTGAATTTCGACAGCAACTTGTATTTTGAATATTGTTTTGATCACTGATCTTTATGGGGTGGCGTTCTGGGCATATACTTGGTTGTTTGCAGGACTGATTTTGACGATTATGACATGGGTCATGAAAATGCATTCGCACGAACTCAAGCAACGATAGTCTGAAATGAATTGATGATTCTTTGATACAAATCTCCAGACCGCTATCGAATCATAATTTTTCTAGCACTGGCCATCGCTTTCATCGTTCTTAGCTACTTTAATCTCCTACGATCCATACGTTTCTTACCACTTGGAAAGCCCCACTCAAAGGCCAAGAGACTCTCAAATCCGGAACTATGTCGTGCATTGATAGCCTGCGCCCTGGTCTATGACAGCAAGGTCAATCGACTATCTCCCCTGGAATCGCGAGCCCTAGCAAACAAAAGACTACAGAGTGCTTTTGGGATTCACAATGCTTTCACCACCACCGACAAAAGACTTGCACAAGACTTTGTCAGAGATATGAAGGATCGGATGTACCGCACCCCCTTCGAGCAACTCAAACTGAGTCATCTTCCCGGTCTCACTCGAAAATGGATCGAGCGCGGTTTCAATACGGACGATGAATCTTGGGGGGTTCCAAAGGGACTTACAAGCCGCGAGGAAAGCCCAAATGGCTTTGGGGTCAATGCTACGAGCTTGGTGCAGGTTCTTACATTCAAGGCCCTGCTTATCTGTGTTTGCGACGGATCAGAAGTCAACCATGACCTTCCTCCCTCGAAAATTGCTATATTGGCGCGGTGCATCAATCATACCTGGATCAATTCTAAGGAGGAGCACATTGTCAAGTTCGAAGACAACCGTGAGCTTCAAGCCTTGCTTCGAGAGGCTTTTCCTTGCCATGGTCAAGGAACATACAATATGCTCAATATCCTCATCCTGTCCTTCGAAACTATGTGGCGTGTTGTGTTGCGCGGCTTCCTACAAGTGCGATTCTCCGGAAGTACCCGCCGCGAATGGTGTAGTGTCTTGGCTGGATTTGTGAAGTCGCACACCAAGGAGCAATTTGAATGGTATCCCGAACGGGAGGTACTGTCTGTTGATGAGGGAATTAAGCCACTCCCCAAGGGTTCCACCTGGGCCTCATCATCCGCCGAGGAGGTTGTCAAGGAGGTTCTGAGGCTCTACCCTCCATCCCGCCGGATCTTTCGAGCTTATCAATGGGTCGAAAATTCAAAATACTCCAACGTAAAAGATTGGGGAACGAAGGACTCGCAATTGAATATCAAACAACGTGCTGATGATTACAATCGGGGTGCACGAAGTAATGAGGAAATCATTGCGGCTGATGTCGAAGCCTGCCATCTGGACCCGGGCATATGGGGTATAGATGCAGAGACTTTGACCCGTTGCGCTGGCGAGAAATGACAGGCAAGAAGAGCGAAGCGTTCATGCCTTTTGGTGGCCAGCCATTTGGATGTCCGGCCAGAAATGTCTTTGGACCGCGGATGATTGGATTCCTGATGGGGACTTTGATCACAGCCTTGGACAACAATTATCCAGAGGCTAAAATGACTTGGAAACTTGATTGTGCGAACACGGATATGATACGGCGTCTAGTATCGAATGCAAGGCTGGATATGGGGCGAGATGCATATGATGACCTCGAGCTGATCGGATCGTGGGAATAGGTGGCTGGATCAGAATTTAATAGTGAACGTTGGAAGTGTACTTGAAATAAAATTGAAGAAAATTGCAAGAACCTTGGACTCAATTCAAATTATACATGGTCATCCAGATCAAGTTCAATCATCACACTTGCTATGTTGTTCTCAGGTCGGTGCTGATGTGGACAGCAGCTCCAATGACCGCTTCTGCATTCCCGATCCGTCCACTACCAAGGGCTTATGGGGATCAAATGTCCTATTGTTCTGTAATTCCTGTCCAATCTTGCCAATCTCCAAGGGTTGGTGGCTGAACTCCAGGTTAGGTACGCTTAGGTCTTCCGAGGTAGTCATTGCCGAGTCCCAGCTTCTACTGCGAGATGTGCTGGATCCGTTGTCCATTTGTACGCGAATTTGCGCCCCCATGAATGAAGTGTTGTTGAGTAAGGCCACAGCTTGTTTGGCTTCCTCAATGCTGCGCATGATGGCTGAGCCATGGGGTTGGGACTGGAATTGGTTTCGGTTGTCCAATGTTTCGATGGCCGCTACATTGCACTGTTCAACGGTGCCTGCACCCTGTAGAAAGGTCTTTAAATCTGCGGCCGTGGTGGTTGTGTGTAAGTTCTGGATATAGACGGCCCGTTGGCCTGCGCCACTGGTCGGACTGTTGGGCTCCGTGTAGTTGGCCCACGGCTTGAGTGGATCTTGACGAGCATAACCATCACCCACATCGTGGACTAGCTGGAGAGGCGAGACCGGGTACATTGGAACCATGTTCCAGCCTTGGTTGTCATACATGGGGGAACGCATTAGTGGCGATGGTGGGAAGCACTGCATCGGCGGTGCCATATGGTCGGGCATCATAGGCATGAAATGCTGGGTCGGAATTGCCATTGGGCCCATCATGGGCGCATAGTCTGGGTATGGGTAGGTAGAGCTAGCTGAATTGATGGATCTTATTTATGTTAGATGTTTCGGATCTCCCCACAGATTTGCACTAGAACTCACTCTGGTGAAATGGGCGATGGGGGCACGGTCAGGTTTCCCTGAGACCTTGGAGGTGTTGTGTGGCCGGATGTGTAGTTCTGCATACTTTCCACGGCTGGTGGACTTCTAGTAGGTCCAGCAATGGGCTTTGTAGGTGCGCTGGTACGTGCCAGCGTCACGACCAAGCTTTGGCCGTCCCATCCGTTGGTGGACAGCCGGTCTGTACTTCTCGTTAAAATCAATGTATCTAGAGATAGACTATCAGAGAACACTTACGATAGGTGCGCCATGCTTCGTCTTCATTCTTCACAATGATCTGTCCTAGGCCTGTGGGGATCCCATGACTATCGTCGTATACTACGGCCTGTCGGATATGCAGAGCCGTCTGGCGCACGAGATCCTTCAGTTCTTGCCAACGGCAGTGGGCGGGAATCTGTTCTGCTAGTCAGACAAGTCGTGATTGAAAATACCGCGGCTAGAATATGCTTACCCCTTGGAGGAATAAAACAAACTCATCATCCGATCTGCGAGATCTTGGACTGCGTCCTTTTTCCCGACCAAGAAACGGCATAGCTGCAGGCAAATACCTAAGCTTGTTCCAATGATGCACTCAGGTAGTCACTGTTCTCCCCGCAGACGACAGTGGGATGTTTCTCGTTCAGCTGGCTATGCCAGGGCCTAGGATCCAAGAGATCACCGGCGTTGCGAAACAGTCGTAATTCGACTCGTCCGACTAGGCCTGTGATCGGTTTGGTCTCCAACTGGAATAATTGCTTTGTCCACAACTGAAGACCAGCCGTGACCAGGACTTTGTAATTAGCTCAGGTTATTCAAGAAATCAAAGCGGGGGAATCGGCCTCTATTGTCTAGAAAGGATAGAACGCTGACATTGTAGACATCCAGAAGCATAAAGGAATTTTGGAAACAGCTCTTCCAGGAAATAGAACAGCAAAGACATCGGCTTACCTGGCTTCTGCCGAATCAATGCAAGTCAACGAATTGGTCTGACCGACATGTACACGCAGAAACAGAACCCTCTGCGTTTTGGAGGAGCGTCCGGATTATTATAAGGGAATACGAGCAGGGTAGAGAATTCAGCGATGTGTCTTTTCAATGTGGTGAATATTTTCACAAGACATGTCCATACCGTGAACGAGTTGGCTCGACACTAGTAACAATTAACGTCTTAGCAGCGAGCCCTAACGAGCAGACACATTGAGGCGAGACCCAGAAAGGTGCAGGCGGCGAATTGAAAGGCACTAGCCAGCAGCCAGTCATGTCGGAGATCCATCGTCTCCCGCCGTCGGCCACGCTGAGATATGTCATTTTCCGTTGCGAAGCCCGAGCTCAGCTCGTCCGCTCGGCTGCCAAATGCAATAAACCACACTTTCCGTACTACCCTACGAAGAAGGGGTCCAGCCATCCAGAGATCAGGGTGTCATGCTGTTGCTTTTGCTTTTTTCCTCTGCCTTTTTTATCTATTTCAATTTGGCGCTAGGCCAGGATTTCAGCTCCCCATCGACGGGATCATCTTGATCCCGGGGTGTACTCGTCTCCATACTGGGGAGCAAGGCGGGAGCTAGTCGGGTGCACGGAAGGCAAATCGCTAGATCTTCACCGTGCGAAGTGCAAGGTAGAGAGCGCTTAGCAAGTTTCGTGTTACACCGCCAGGTTCGGATCGGACATGCTCTGAGGCGTCACCTAGGAGAGCAAAGATATGTAAGTGGAGCCGGGCGACACGGCCCATATCGATCACATTGGCCTTATGCTGCAGAATTCTCTAGCGTGCAGATGCCGTGGAGCTCAGTGGGTGGGTTTGATCGAGTCAGATTGGAACCACCAAGAACCGAAGCTAGAGATCGGCGATCGCGCGGGTCCGAGGGAACCCTGCGAGGTGATCAATCAGACAGAGACGCTCAGTGGCGTGGATGTTGCCGGGCTGATCTGCTATTATTGATTTGTGCTGGCATAGAACAGGTACCTGCAGCGGCAGCTCGACATCTTCGTGGCTGGCTCCCGGGCTGCGAGTGTGGTCGGGAAACACTTGAAGTCCCCACCGGTTCTGCTTCTGCATCTGCTTCTGCTTCTGCTTCGGATGAAGATGTTTGAAGATGTACAACGTACGTATCGTGCTGAGCCCGCACGGACGTAGCGTGGTCTCACAGCAGCTTCTCCCCTCCAGGGAACCATGAGCTTTCCCCGAGTTTCCAGGGAACTTGAGTAACACGAACTCCGAAGTCTATGCCGGATGGAAATAAATCGAATCGACGGTTCTAGCTCATGTCAAGAAGATCCTCGGTATCCTCTCGAGCACAAGTAGATGGTCACCTCCGTCAAATGACACCTTGTTGCACGGGGAATGTCTGGGAACGCGACCGCAGGAATGGAAGATTGAGAAGCTCTGAACACTGATAACACATTCCGTGTAAATGCCCCTCAGGAACCTAAATCATTGAGCCGCAGTCATCAACGTAGGGAATGTGGAGGAAGTGTTCAAAGGGTTGTCTCCAAGGTGTTTTATGACGTGCTCTACCATCTCTACAGCCGCACCAGGTATATAACACAAATGATTCTACTTATCCCATCAAGACAGATTTAAAGTCGTTTGCAAGGTACCTTCAAATGTTCTTTCATCTTTAAAAAAAAAAGTCACTAAAGAGGTGTAAAGAGAAGCCCAGAACGGTGTCGAGAAAGAACGGAAAAATCAGGTGTGTAGGCCCTCCAGATTATCGTCTCGGTCGGCTGTACTGATTCGGGGTCATGCGACCGGTTAGAAAAGCCTAGCTGCCGATCCGATCTGTTGGATTGTTTCAAGTTCATTTTCACATTACTACGTGGTTGTGTAAAAAAAAAAAAAGGGGAGACATGGAAATGTATGCATGGATCAAAACAAGGAATGAATACTATGGGCAAATATGCTAGGAACTGCTCAAACCGCGCAACCGATCAGACATCGTATACGTTCTGATCATGCAGATAGATAAAGACCAAGAAATAGCCTGCACACTTGGTACAGGACAGGGCACCCATGATACTGTCGAGGTCATGCGATCAGTCGACCTCGCTATCTCCCAACTCTTCCCACCCCGATATCTTGGACCGAGCACACTTCCTGTTTACTGTGTGGTAGTCCTGGGTAGAGATCGACTTTCGCTCGGGATCCGAAGTAGTATTACCGAATTCCGTGGCGGGGTGGCGTTGGATAGTCATAGAGAAGCGAAAAGGAGTGTCTTCGAGCAATCGATCGATCACTCTGGAGTCAGTGCCCGCACAACTCTCACCCCGCCCCAAAGTTGGAAAGTGAGACGAAGAAAGGGGGAGCGTCGGGGAGAGGGTCTGGGATCCATGTAGGAGAAGAGTTTGCCAGGCTCTGGCTGTGGGTAGTTTGTGGTGGTGGTTTGTTGTTGTTTTGGTTTCGATTTCGGGTATAAGGTGAAGATAGGTCATCACGGTACGAATCCGACCTTAGCGGCGCACCGGTGACAGTAATAGGAGTTCATGCCGAACTGAACAGCCCCTGAGGACGTATGGCTGGCCAGGCTGAGGGATTGCTGGCAACGCGAACAGCGGACGACATCAAAGGTCGGGGGTGAAGGTGATGAGGCGGGGCCGGATAACGGCTGCGGCTGCGGCGTAATTTGAACCGCGGGCGAACTCATGTTGAGTTGTGGAAGTGGTGGAAGTGGTGGAAGTGGTGGAAGTGAACAAAGTCGAGCTGAAGAGGGAAAAGGAAGAAAGGAGGGGGGACAAGAATGCTTCAATAAATCGACTGCCTAACGACTAGCGCGTATCCCTTTCGGGGGCCCCAGTAGTTTAATTCGCGTGAACCCAAAATTCCGCGGTTTCCAGTTTTTTTGCTCTGCAGTCACGGGAATCGGCAGGGTCATTGGCGTCATGACACTGAGTTTCCCGTTTATCTTGTATTTATTATTGTTGATATCTATCATCCGTTCTTAACGGGGCTGTGTCGGGCTGCTCACGTTAGGCCTACTCTGGCATCTGACCTGAGCATAGCAGTACTGCATTACTTCCTAGCTCGCTCTAACTTCCCCCTAAACCCTCCCCCTCGAGATTTCAGAAAGTTCTCATCTCTCTTCCATCTCTCAAGGCCTCGGCTATCTCGATCTGGTCTTTCCCATCTGCACCGTGCCGTCATGCCCGGGTGCTGCAGCAGGCCCAAACAGGCCACTCGATGACCGAAAGGTTAAAGTGTGGCGAACGTGGGAATGTGCCGATCATAACCGGATAAGCCAAATCCAACAGATGGTGCCAGATAAGAAACTGGAATGCGATAAGCTGTTCAGCTAGATAGAGAAACCTGGAAACCTGGACAGAGTCATAGGTTTGAAGTGTAGACCCTATAGTATGTTGGACTGATTAAGACGATTTGAACAATACGTCATCACACCGGTGCACTTCCTCACAGGTTGCCCCGCCGCTGAAACCCCCCCACCCTTTCAAATGTTCTTTTCCCTCTGAACCATCTATTCCATCCATTTGCAAAGACCATGGCTACCGCTCAACCCAATCTCTATAGCTACCCGGGCATCGATGCCCTGGCCAAACAATTGCGGCCCTATGTCCTGCGCTGCCAGGCTGCGGCTTTGGCCCGCCACGACACCTTCCGTATTGCCGTCTCCGGTGGCTCCCTGCCCGCCGCGCTTGCGCGCGCTCTGCTGGCTCCCGGCAATGGCTCCCCCGAAGATACCCCGCAGTTCAACAAGTGGCACATCTTCTTCGCCGATGAGCGTGCCGTGCCGCTCGACCACAAGGACAGCAACTACTTGTTGCTCAAGGAGGAGCTACTAGACAAGATCCCTGCGGAGCTTGGGGCTCCGACCGCCCACCCTATCGATGAGAAGCACGTCCACGATGAGGACCCCCAAGAGCTGGCCGACCTCTACCAAAAGGATCTGATGCGATCCTTTGCCGCCAAAGATAGCGTCAAGCTGCCTGTCTTCGACCTCATCCTTCTGGGCTGCGGCCCCGACGGCCACACCTGCAGTCTGTTCCCCGGTCACGACCTGCTGCGCGAGAAGGATGCCTGGGTCGCCGCTATTAGCGACTCCCCCAAGCCTCCGCCCAAGCGCATCACTCTCACTCTGCCCGTTGTCACCTCCGCCATTAACATCGCTTTTGTCGCCACCGGTGGCGGCAAAAAAGATATCATGAAGGAGATCTTCGACTCGGAAGAGGGACGCAGCCTTCCCTGCGCTCTGGTGAACCAAGGTGGTGGTGAGAAGGTTTCCTGGTTCACCGATAACCCGGCTGTTGAGGGTGTCTCTTTCCCTCGCAGCAGCCTGTGAGGATTGACCCGCCGATAAGTTTCTTACTTGAAGAAGCCCTGATTCCGAATGGAACTTTGTAAACACCCTCAGGGACCAGGCCGAACTGGAAATCCTGAGCCCCTTGCTGAGTCTCGTGCACAAATCGACCAGCTCTTTTGTCGATTGGATTCGGGTCGAATCTCGATATTCAAAAGTGGAATTCCTGTTCTTTGCACTCTGGCCCCTCTTCAAGGAGGCCGTGTGCGCATGTTGCGCAATAGAACGCAGTGATCAATAGAGTTTCCATGCCAACGAGCTATTTCTATTGTAAATGATCTATCCGTCCTACAACATGTGTTAGTACCTTGAAAATATCGTAAGCAAAAAAAGAAAAAAGGAAAAAGGAAAAAAAAAAAGGATGAATTGCATCTGGGGCATAGTAGATCTATCATGTCACAGTGCGGCGACGCAAGCTCAGCTCCACCTTTGTTTTGGCGGGATCGTCGCGACCCGTGAACCATTGATCGACTCCCTAACACGAGACTTGCTGCGATGCCTCTATGATACCGGACAGGCTTCGCGATCATGCCTATTCCCACGCGGTCCGGTTCACTGCGCGAACCCCGTAAACCTGTCAGTCCCCTTCAGATCCCCCGCGATCTCCCCAGCATTCCAGCTCTCCCCTAACATGATAGCTGCAGACCTCCAACATAGCACGCCCTCTGAACCCTGCATCGTCCAACGGCTACCCCAAATCTTCCCGACCGGCAAATGATATTACTCGTGCTCCCTCCTCTTCCTCGCCGGCCGACGGCATCGCGAAAGACAATGGAGGTTCCAACCAAGGCCGAACCCTTCTCCCACAGCGCAGTGGCAACCTCACGCGGGATAATGGCAGTGGACTGTCACGTACACGGGTTCAGCCGCCGGAGAACAAGCTGGCGCAGCGAAGAGACATTTCGCCAACGAGAGAGCCGCAGACGGCCGGAGGAGAGAAACAGGGCCCGGTCACCACAACCACGAAGGCTTCAGTGCCCACTCGTCGCCAAAGTCTGATACGCCCTAGCACATCGAGACTAGCATCGGCCACCAAACCCAATGTATCGTCCTTTGGGAAAGGCCCTGTCCCTACATTTAGGCCACCGTCGCCGCGCAAAGCCCCATTGCGGTCGCCGACGCAATCCGCCTATACTCCAAGGGCTCCCTCTCCCAAAAAGACCGATATGCCACCGCCACAACGCCCGGCGCGATCGGCATCACTCAGACAGCCCCCAAGGACTGGGCCCGCGCCATCGGTAGCTGTCCGAGGCCACGCGCGACATCGCAGCCAGGTGGTACCATCCAATGTGAAACCGATCCAACCAGACCCAACGCCAGGAGCACAAAAGCCCCGAGCGCAATTTTCAACATTCCAACAGAACTATTCACCCAAGAAACCAACCAAACCGCCTACACCTACCCCTGTGGCTGTTCCCGAGCCCGGCAACTTACTGATCCCTACATCTTGGCCGGACATCGCAGCTCTACAGACAGAGCTCCTTCAGCTTAGCTTGTTCCATTCGAACTCTCTTCAAAGACATAATGATTGGAAAGCCGAATCCGAGAGTCACTTGCGCAGCAAGTACGATGGTGTCGCTGGGCAATACCGCTCCATGTTAGGAGACGAGAAGATGCGCCAATCCCAGCTGAATGCGCAGGCTTTAAGCAGCTGGCTCCAGAATTGTCATGATCATCGTGGTCCTCTTGACTTTCCTGGGCAGATCCAGACCCTCTCCCAGATCTTACAGGAAATCTCAGATCTTGTGACCAGTGGAATGAGCGGGCGGTATAGTCACGCCGTCGAGACATTTGAGCTATGGTTTGAGCAAGCGAAATTAGTTCGGCATGACAGGGAGTACTCGGAGGATGGTATTATGTTTATTGACCCGCTTGATCAAGCGTGGAAGGAAGAAATGCATGCTCTACAAGCAAAGTTGGAGCTATGCCAGCGACAACTTCAGAGTCTTGACATTCTAGGCTTTGGAGAGGTGGAGCGCTTGGAGCATTCGGCTCTCACTCGAGTCTCCCAAAGCCTTGTTGAATCCACCCAGCTTATGATCTATGAGATTAATGCGATGCGCACTCTCGAAGCGGAGTTGGTTCGCTCGGAACGAGAGGCAGTCCGCCAGCTCGTCCAGAAGCTGCCTAGCACACGAAACGTGGGCGTACTGCGTGTTGGAATATGGAACAGGGTATGATTATATGGAAACGATAGCGATTCTCTGTATTTTATGATAGTGCCTTGGTAGCAACAAGAACATAATCGTCTAGTCATCGTGTGCAGGTACCTGTACCTGGTCTTTACCGGAGATAAAGTTCCGCAGAGAAGTATAGATGCCAGGAACATCAGGGGGAAATGACGGAAAACCCTTCGCCCTGCTACCTAGGTACCACTCCATGGCGCATGCCTAATGCGAAGGCAGTCCCAATCCAGGTGAATCCCCACATGCAACCCTATCATCGACTCTATACAAACCAATCTGCACCAATCTGCTGAGTCAGCACGAACGAGTCTCGACTGCTCAACGCCAAACCGGTTCTTCGAGCTTATCTGACTAGTTTCCCCGGTCACTTCCCCAGCTTCCTAACCGACTGGATTACTCTTCATCTATATTGTTCCGTCTCCCATCTGACCGGCCATCCATCGTTCTACGACTACCCGCTCGACAGTCCCGTACCTGACGTCATCTTCACCATTCGTTGGACCAAAGCAACACTAAAAAAGCGAAAGCGCAGTGACACCGATAGCAGTCGTAGCTCACCATGACCGCCGCTCACGCCTAGTAGAAGCTTCATCGCCGGCGAATACACGTGACTTGCCATCATGAAGGACTCACTGTACGATCGGCTCTGGCGCCGAGAATGCGGGGAGCTATCCTCGACTGCCGGGCTCCGAGGGATTTACGGCTCCAAGGAATGGATCAACGACTTAGACATCGTGAATGAGCTTGGCGGACACACGGGATGTGTGAACGCTCTCAGGTATGTGGAATATCCCCACGCTACGGCTTTGCGCGCCAAGTCGGTATCTCGCTGCAGAGATGCGTTATCAGGCTACGCTAATGCTGTCGCAGTTGGTCCCGTTCAGGGCGTCTCTTAGCGTCAGGCTCGGATGACCAACACCTGAACATATACTCATATCAACCCGAATCCTCAAATGCTCCCTTTTCGCTCAACGCCACTGTAGCCACGGGCCACAAGGCCAACATCTTCTCCGTCAAGTTCATGCCACATTCCAACGATCGCACCTTGATCACATGCGCCGGTGACTCTCAGGTGCGTGTTTTCGACATCGAACTCTCTAGTGGCAACAGCAACAACAACGTCAATGCGAACGCGACATCGGCGTTTGCGGCTTCGGCCCGGAGCCGACGCTTCAATAACTTCTTTGAAGGAACGCGTTATCTGAGTGAAGGCAACACAAATGCTAGAGTTTACCGGAGCCATGCCGATCGCGTGAAGCGTATTGTCACCGAGTCATCACCGTACCTCTTCCTGACTTGCTCTGAAGACGGCGAGGTTCGACAGTGGGACCTGCGCCAGCCGTCTTCTGCGTACCCTTCGCCCCGAGGCGGCCAGGGGTTCATGGCCTACCGTCCAGGCTTGGAGCATGATGATTCCAATGTCCCCCCACCGCTTATATCCTACAAAAAGTTCCGTCTTGACCTGAACACGATCTCATGTTCACCTACTCAACCACACTACATCGCCCTGGGCGGTGCCCATATGCACTGCTTTTTGCATGACCGGCGCATGCTGGGGCGAGACACCTCCTCAGAACAAGGCACGCCTGACGTAGCGACCCCGAGCGTCGGCAGTGTTGATGATGAATTGATGGGCAAGGCGACTCGATGTGTGCGTCGTTTTGCACCCAGAGGCAAACGTCGTGTGCGGCGCCTCGATGATGGGCACATCACCGCATGCAAGATCAGTGACGCAAATCCAGATGAAATGGTGGTCAGCTGGTCTGGAGACCACATCTACAGCTTCGACCTGATCCGCAGTCCAGATGCTCGTGATAGTTCATCCGAAGGGAGTTCGAAGTCAAAGACCACCGGCACAGGCCGCAAGAATGGTTCACGAAGCGGGAAACGCAAGCGCCCGAAGCCCTCGTCAATGTCATCGCAGGAGAGTGCCACCCGGCATCATTCTCGTCGTCGATCAGCAGACCCTGATACGCTGCGTGTGCAATATGAAAATGGAGAATCTTCGGATATTCCGTTCCCTGAAATCTCAGAGGGAGCTGAGACATCAGAGGGCATACTCGAGCGTGCTAGATACTCAGTGCTGAACGATGCTCAGCGCTTGAGTATGGAAATTGCAAAGGGGCTTGTGAAGCTTCGACAAGCATTATTCTCGCTGAAAGTGACTGCCCGAGAGGCTGCAGAGTCGGAGCAGTCGGATCTTACGCCATATTCCGAGTCTTTCGAATCTGCGTTGGACCTAGCAACAACCTACCTGCCCCAGATGGAAAGAGTCATGCGCGAATGGGCATACCCGATGAATCCATCTCAGGGTACCGTTGGTCTTGAGCGATCCCTTCGCGAACACCGGCAGGCATCGTGGAGATTCGTGCAAGCTGCTGGGACTCTTGCGCGGGTCTTGTTGCACACTACTGGTGATTCAGAGACCCCGGTGGACTTCTCGCAGATTTCTCCTGCGCCAAATGAGGATGGCACCATTGATCGGGAGGCACAGTTTGGATACGACTTCCTCAAGGCGATTTTCCTATGGCTGCGGGGAGGCCGACAAGAACTTCTACGAGGCTTCAAGAGAGGCGTCTACTCTCCCAGAGTGAATGGAAGATTTCCCCTGGACGCGGATGCCGATGAGGATGCGATTGACAGTACGCTTCTACCTTATCTTCAGGACTTGGCGGGTGAAAGCCCTGTTGTCAACGTGGATGCCTCGCGCTTTGAATATGACTCTGCACGAATCGTGTTCCAGACCCAAAAAGCTGCCGTGGTTGCTTTTGGTAATGCAGTGAAATTGCCTTTGGAGAACCTCGGAACCACAGCTGCTCGCATTGACAGACGTCGTGTGTCCAATCCCTCTTCGCAGGTTCGATCTCTTGACCGAGCCTCTGCAACTAGATTCTGGATCCTACGTGTAAGTCGAGGTATTTTGTTGCAGGCTGGCAATGGTGTCAACTATTCGTTTGTCAACCGTGCTTTTGGTGGACTTCATACATCTGCTGTGGAAGACAGCAGTGATATTGAGGTGGAAAGGTCTCAGGATGATGCTGAGGCCAACGAAGAGGAACAGGCAATTCGTACCATCAATCTTGTGAGATCTGGTGGTTCTGCCCGAGCGGCAGCAAACGAAACAGCGACATCCTCGGACGACAACAACGGCGAATCCTCCGACGATGAAGATCTTGAACGGCTGCCTGTGACCCATGAAAGTGACAGCGATGACGAGGACGAGGATGAAGGCTCGGATAGCGATGGCGAGAGCGATGTTCAGGAGGAGGATGGCTGGCACATGGATTTGGTTGGCTCGGATGAGGAGGAATCAGAGTCCGACGAGCCTCTCTATCTACGGGGTGCAAGTCGCAAGTCACGACGAGGGCACGTTGAACTTGACACGCCATGCTCCGCACACACACGGGTGTATCGGGGTCATTGCAATATCAAAACTGTCAAGGATGTCAATTTCTTCGGCTTGAATGACGAGTATGTGGTTAGTGGTAGTGATTCGGGCCATGTGTTCATTTGGAACCGCGAAACTGCCGAACTGCTCAATATTCTGGAGGGTGACAGTGAGGTTGTCAATGTCGTTCAAGGTAAGTCTCATATCGTGATTATGACTTCACGTTTTCTAACATGATATTACTAGGCCACCCCTATGAACCGACGCTTGCAGTGTCGGGCATCGATAATACCATCAAGGTCTTCTCTCCCGACCGACATGCCCAGGAACAGGCTCGCCGGGGCCGTAACATTCTCGACCCGGATAGCCCAGTCAATGTCCTCGGGACTACCGCGCACAATCTCGGTGGTCTCCAAAGCCGCAAGCGTCTGTCAGATAGCTATCGCATCATGAGTCAGAATGATGTTGACCGGCGTGGCGGTATGAGCGAGGCATACATTACGGTAGACCCTCCCTTTTTTTCCCACCAAATGGTTTTTCATCTCTGAAGTATTCATTTACTAACCCGTCAACAGAGAAGTATGCTCGCTCGCCTTGCTGCGACCCTTCGAGGTCGTCAAGGAGGTGCCGGTGGCGCTGGCGGCCTCGGTGCTGTCCCCGGCGAAGGTGCCAGCGTCGTCCTTGACGATAACTGTGTGGTTTGTGCTCTTCGTACATACCTCTAATGGGAGCGCTACTAACAGATCTATAGGTGATGTGATCATGGTTCATACCTGTCTTTACATACTGTCATTCATAATCAGATTGATTCCAGGGCATAAAGGCGTTTCCGGTGAAAAGTATTGGGACTAGCATTGAGAATGGCATTGGCATTAGGAACGAATCATCTTTTGATAAATTGGATCACTTCACATCATTGAGAATGATAAAACGATAGGTTGATAGAATGACAGAATGCTCCTCCGGATATATAGACACCCCGCTTCCTAAAGCGGAAAGCCCCACATCGAAAAATCCAAAGCGGGACTTTCTTCAACTGTTAATCATCGGCTATACAGTGCGAGATCATGGCTTCTGAGTTGCTGGAAGCTCGCGCGCAGGCGACTGCCCAACTCTATGCAGACCCGCATAACCCACATCTTTATCTCAATCGCGCCCGTCTCTACGAAAAGCTCGGGTTCCCCGATCTCGCCGCCGCCGATGCCTACCGCGCCCTTTCTTTGCTCGAATCCGTGGTAGATCCAGATGGATTCGAGTTCCACGCCAAGAAAGTTGTCAAGACAGTTATCGATACCCCTGCTACCCAGAAAGACAATGGCGATGAGAATGAGGACGAGAACGAGGACGAGGACGAAGAGAAAGAGGAAGACGATGGGACGGTTCCCGTCACGCAAGACGAATACGATGCGCTCATCGGCGATGTCTACATCGTCCTAGTCCGTAGTCTCATCCGCTGTGGATGCTACCGTGATGCCTACGAGTTCGGTATCCGTGGTTCAGGACTATTGCGCGACCTGGAGAAGGAAAGCTCATCGGCAACGACGGTCTTGAACGAACAGATGGATCAGATCAAGACCATCTACAAGTTCCACACGGATGTACAGGGCGATATTGACTTAGAGTCGATTGACTCTGCCGCTCTGCCGGCGCAGGGCAAAGCCCGCCGAGTCCTATATCCGTGGAACAAGCACGAGCCGGACCGTCGAGCGCCAGAGGAATTGCGGTTCCTGAACGAGAGACTAGCAGAAATTGCGCCTAAGTGCGAGGTACGTGCTGTGGCTCTCCCGGCGTTACACAACTCTGCTACCGGCGAGGAAGAGGTCTCTGTGCAGCTTGGCCTCTTCGCGAAGGAGGACATTGCCGCAGATGAAATCATCCTGCGTGAGTCTTCACTGCTCACAGCTACCAATCGTCTTCACGATGATTTGTGCGATGCTTGCAACTCACCTCTCCCTGAATTGTCTGCCGCTGAACCCCCCGTTGGCTGTGATGGCGGATGTGCAGATACAGTCTTCTGTAGCCAGGCGTGCCATGACAAGGCGCAGACCACCTACCACGGTGCTATTTGTGGCCTGGAAGACGGCCTCGAGTCTATTGGAAAAGATATACCCGATCCAAAGGATAAGGCTGATTATCTGTACCTGCTCCTGCTCGGTCGTGCTTTGGCCATGTCCGCCACACAGGACGTGGACGCGCTAGAACTTCCGGAAGTGAAGTATATTTGGGGTGATTTCCATGATTTCGATATGGAATCTACGAATGCGCACGACGACGCTACTCTGCCGTTCTCTTTCCAACTCAACATTCTTCAACCGACCCGTTTTCTCGAGGAAATGGAAATTGACCCTTACGCCTCGCTTCCCCGCTACGATACCTGGGCTCTGAATACCCTTTACGCCAAGTTCCGTGGCACTGCCTCTGGTCGTCTGTCTACATGGGATGGAGGTCCGGAACTCTGTGCAGTGCATCCGCTCTGGTGCCTGGCGAACCACTCCTGTGATCCCAATGTGACATGGGAGTGGGGTGGTGAGATTACCTTCCGGTGTCGGAATAACGAGGAGACGGCAGTTTGGTCGAGAACGAAGAGCGATGGAGCTATTGAGATGAAGCCTCTTAAGGCTGGTGGCATTGCCAAGGACCAGGAAATTCTGAATCACTACTGTGATATTGGACTGCCGGTCAAGAAGCGCAGGGAGTGGGCTTCTGGTGCCTTGGGTGGAACATGCCGTTGTGACCGATGTGCTTGGGAGGCTGGTGAGACGAACTAAGTTTTTCTTCGGCAAAATTATGTAGAAGTGTTGATGCGGAAGATACCCGGTAGACTTGGTTTGGTAGACTATTCATGGAATATGCATTTTACCTAGGGAATGCCTCAAGAGGGCGCTGAAAGACTTCACTAAAATACACCATTTGAGCTCGTTCCTTGTTCCTAGCACCATATAAAAACCCCAAGAAAATGACTGCACAACCCTGCTATGACCAGCCAACATAATCATTCTTACATTCTTCAATTAAATTGTAGCTGAAGCGACGTTTAACGTCGGCGAGGAGGGGTCCGAGAATCAGTTCGTCCACGCGAAACATCCCTGCGCGGGGGACTGCGAGAACGGGAGACGGACTGATCTCGGCCTCGAACAGGCAGAGGGGATACGGACTTGGACGAGTACCGCCTAGAAGATTTTGATGCAGGATCACGAGGAGGGGTGACAGACCGAGAGACGGATCGTGAGCCGCTGCGGTTGCGTCGACTAGCGGGGGCCGCACGGCGTGGAGGGGTGACGGATCGCGAGACGGAACGCGAAACGGACCGGCGAGATCTATACGGACTGCGACTAGGTGTCCGACTTGAGGTACGACTGGGACTGCGGGAGTCGTAGGAACGCGCCCGACGTCGCGGGGGTGTGCGCGACCTGGATACGGACCGATCCGCTGGCGTTCGGGATCGCGATCGTGATCGACTGATAGATGCGTCACGTCGACTGCGGCGTGGGGAGCGCGAGCGCGAGCGTGATGGAGTGTAACTCCGACTTCGCGACGAGGGTGTGAGAGAGCGAGTGTAAGAGCGGCCGCGATCACGAGAAGGAGAGCGAGACCGGGAACGAGACGAGTATGAGGAATATGAGGACCGCGATGACGAGCGCGATGCGGCTGCGGGCAAGGCGGGCACAGTCGGTCGGGGAAGGTTTTTTAGTTGCTCACGCATATCCTCAGTTAAAATACCCATGCCAATGCTGGTGAAGTAATTAACGGAGAAACGGGTGTGTCGAGGGTTCTCCGTGGGGAAGAGACCCTCAAAGCTTGGCTGCAGGATCTCGTCACGGAACCGGGCTTGCAGGCTCGGCAGGCCCATGTGCTCTCCAAGATCCTGGAACAGAATCTTGATGAAGATACGGCTGCTGGAGGTGGTTTCCTCCTCGTTGAGATGAATCACCGAAAGAACATGCCAGCCAATGGCATCGTTGCTGATCATGTGTCCGAAGAAACGAGCGATGTTGCGTAGGCGGTTTGTCTCATAGCGGTGAATAGTGTCGTAGTATTTAGCAAAGGCAGCCTCGAACAAGTCCGACCACAGGCGATTGATCTTTGCGAATCGCTCGCCAATCAAGCCATAGAACTTGGAGTACGTTCGTTCCTGGGAGCAACACTCGATAATCATTGACGGCAGTTCGGGCTCTAGACCAGCCGGCAGGTTGATCTTCATCAATTTGTGACAGCATTCTTCGAAGTCGATACTAGACATGATCGTCAAGTAGATCGTTCGGCGCAGATTAACCAGGTCAGTGTTGCTCTGGTCTTGAATGTCCATCTTCTGCTCCTCGTCTGATTCTTCGTCCGAGCTCTCGTCCTCGCCATCCTCATCATCCTCATCACTGTCCTCGCCGAGAATTTCGGCCTTAAGCTTTTTGTAGGCATCTTCGTGCTGTTCCCACTCCGGATCAAACTTGAAGATGTTGAGCGTGTCCTGTGTCTCAATCTCATCATCCAAACCGAGGCGGTGGGTGATTTGATCTTCTTCCTCCACAAGATCGAGCTCCTCCTTAACCGCTAGGTTGTCCTTATAACGATCCTTGCGCACTTGGAAGAGCACCTCAATCATATACTGCACACGCTTGTCGATATCGGCTTCGTGAAGAATGTTTCGGAATTGGTCGAACACGGCGAGTGCAATGGGAGGGTTCATTTCCTCCAAATGCTGGCCAACTTCTCGCGTGAGCCCGACTGCGATTTCCACACTGTCGTCCGTGGGCTTGTGGAGAAGAAGCAGCAAAATCTGAGCGGCCAACATCTCATGAGCAACCTGGTGGTTGCATAGATGGGCGATGAAAGTTGTGGACGAGATGCAGACGGCTTTGTCATTTCGCTTGAATGCCTTGCGGAACTGGATGATCAATCGGGACAACAACAAGTCTCCGACCTGCGGAAGTTTGGTGTTGACAATCGCCACCATCGCAGCGTAGATGGGCGTGAAGGGCAGACTAGCAGCCTGCGCCTTCATGATGGAACGACAGAACAAGCCCCGTCCTCGAACCAGGTTTTCTCCGAACAGTTCGGGGACGATGAACTTGATGTTGGAAACGTTGACCTTGTTGATCAGACCATTGATCGACTTCTTCAACGCCTCCCATGCCATGCGCTGGTACTCCTTGCTCGTCTTATCCGTGATCTGCGCCTGTAGCGCACGAAGTCGGGCTGGAGGAATATACGTACCGCCCGAACGCATGTTCAGGAGTTTCTCGTATTCCGCCTTTGCAGAAGCCTGTTTCTCCTCGTCGGTCATCGGCTTTCGAACTGCTTCCTTCCTTTCGTGTTCACGGACACGCTCCGCGAGCTGTCGCTCTCGTTCGATTGCGCGCTCATCATCCAGGCGGGGGGCATCGCCATCGTCTCGGTGCGAATCACCCGGTGGTGAGCGACGTCGATTTGGCGACGGAGATCGCGATGGAGGTGAACGTTTTCTTGAACCTCCACCAGGCGAAAACGCGGCGCCCGGGGGGAGGGGTGGGCACTCGAACCGCCGACTGAAGAACGACCGGGTCCGACATTGTGCAGACTCAGGAGTCTCCAGTAGTTCGGATGGAGAATGGGAGTGAGAGGGAAACACCTGGGGGCGCGGTGGATACGAGTCTCGCAGATCCGTGAAAGCTCTAGCGCGCGTCACGTGACTGGAGGCCAGGTAGGAACAATAAACGGGACGGGAGCTCCTGACTATTCGCCCTTTGATTGTTCGCATCGTCTTCTCCGGGAATTCGCGCGTGTTTTTCCTGCTACTTGAATCAATAATGGTACGGTGCTCGTTCCGGATGTCTTCTGTCACGTATACTGACCATTGTCTAGCTGGGCCAACTTGTCGGTTCCGCCATGCTCTTGGCCGCAACCGCAATCTTCCTTTACTACACAGCTTGGACGCTGTTGATGGTATGTACTCTGGAGGTTGGAATTTCGCGATCACTTCTAAATCTCATATGACAGCCCTTTGTCGACCCCGGCCACCCTCTCCATGACCTCTTCCCCCCGCGTGTTTGGGCCATCCGCATCCCCGTCATCCTGGCCCTCCTGGGATCTGCCGTGGTCGGCACCTTCATAGGCATTGTGATGATCAACAGCAACAAGAAGAAGGCCGCCAAGGCCAAGGCTGCGGCAAAGAAGAAGACCTGAGGGTCAGGGGGATATTCGACGCGACTGGCCCTCGAGCCCTGTATCACCACTTGTGCATACCCAGAGGAAGAGCACCGAGAATCATCTCATCTAATAGGCAAAATAATCAAGTTGAATCAAGATCAAGTTTCCAGTGCAGCGAACAGGCCTTACTCCGAGCTTCCCAGTATGCGCTAGGACGATCGGCAAATGATCGGACAGTGATCAAAGAGCCCATTCGTGTCATTCTAGAATGGTTCGCAGATACCCCGTGACCAAGTCTCCACCTCTCTGAATGAAAGAGGGAAATCAGCTGAGCTATGGTCGGTCTCCTATTTGGGTGAACGGGTCCACGGGTGTAGAGTGGCCATGAGCCATATGTGGATTAGATAAGGGGGTCCATGGTCAGAGACTGAGACCTAGGGCCGTCGGAGTCATAGTGCAGCTGGAAGAAAGCAAGTAAGCATAGCTATGATGCAGGGAAGTGACCTGACCGTGTGTTCAGCCGGGGAATGACGGGGTCAGCCCCTCGCCTTCTGACTCAGGTACCGCGTTGCCCCCCCCCTTTCTTATCGGAGATCGCCTTCCCCTCACTTTTCTCTCTTCTCTCTCGAACTTCTATAGTTATACATTTTACCTGGTTTCTGGCTTCTCAGCACCTGGGATCAAAGTACCCGTGCTGTGTGACGCCCATCGCTCTTATCCAAGCTTCCCCGCGTATCCAAAGAGCGTTCTCCGCTCTAGATACGTCAACCCGAACCGCGATCAGCACGGCGACAAGGGTCCGCTCTGCACCAGGTAGGTTATTACTGAACCTTGCTACTCTGAAGCATCATCAAATCATCAAAGAACTGTCCACCCTAATAGCTTAGATCGTGTCAGGTTCCTCCTTTGTGCTTCATAAGTGCAACGTCTCCAACGCGAACAACCCGGTTCGCCCCCCCGTTCTCAGACCTCACCACAGGTCCTGAGAGCGGTTCCCAGTGCTCTGACCTTTGCCTCTTATCTGAGGCACCCTCCATTTGAATGCCCCCGGCCGCACCTGACGATTTGATCCGCCAGCATAGCCGGTCCCTGGAAGACGACCCGTCTTTCACCCCAGATCAAAACATCCCCATTCAGGAGCATGAACCAAGTGGAAAGAGTAAAAAGAAGAACAAAAAAAAGGCCGCTAAGGCCGCCAAAGCAGTAACGGCTTCACCGCCGGATGATATGTACGTGTCCATGATGCACTCTCGATCCGTCGGACCCGTCCCCTGGAATCAGCTAGCTGACTTGGCATTTAGAACGCATGCATCGGTACCTGCATCGGCACCTCCACCGACAGAACCGCCATCATGCGCTGGTCCGGTACTGGATGATGATGTTCCCCCGGACAACCACCATGATGATCCGGACGAAGTTCAAGCTCATCCCCCCGTAACCTCGCCCGTACTCGACGCCCTGGGATCAGTCGAGGAAAACATGGACAACGATCTCAACAGTCGCACCGACACCTGGGCTCAGTCCATACCATATGGGAAGAGCCCTCCCACTGACTTGATTGACGGAGATCTCCCCCAGGAATCACCGCTTAGCTTTCCTACAATTCAGGAAAGAGGCGGCTTTAGTCAACCTTCCTCGGCATCTCCTCCAACTCGAATCCGGCCCTTTAGTTATGGGAGTGGATTTCGAGGCAGTATGCAGTCTAGACAGCAATCGGCAGACCGGCGAAAGAGCCATTCTTACGGAAGTCCATTGGGCAATCTGGCCCCGCCACCTCATATGCCGCAACCCCATTTCTACGCAGTACCCGACTTCGATCTCCCGACACAGAAGCGTACTACCACGGAGGGTGCTTATTCGTTCTGCGCCTTTGATACCCTCCCGAGTGTGTCATCTAAAGCACCCCGTGCCGGTATGAATGTACTTTTGGTAGGAACTGATGGCGGTGTAGAAGTACACGCTGTTGAGGACCGCCAATCTCGTCTTGTCGGACAGATCACTGGCCTTAATGGACGGATTCTTGAGGCAAAGATTCTACCGGGCCACCCATCCAATGATCCACTTGCGTCGTCCCAGCCCCATGTGGCTGTGATCGTCCATGGACCACTCTCACGGTGCGAAGAAGGTCCTGTTTCTTCTGCTGCATCCGAGATCAACGATGCGCCGCCCTCAATGGCGCGGGGCCCTTCCATTGATAGACGCTCAGCCAAAGACGAGAAACCATTTTACCAGACCCGAGTTGAGGTCTATTCCCTGCGAGCCGGTGATCACCTTGCAACGTTGTTTGCAGGCAAACCGGTGCCGGCATTGGAGAACCTCCCAGGTCTTCCATCCTTAGCACCAGCACCTGTAGGTAGCCTGAAGCTGTTCAGCAGCGGGGAATATGTCATTGTTGCCTCTGGAATCAGCGGTGAGGTTTACATTTTTAAGCATTCTTCCTCTGAAGCCTATCAGTGTCTGGGCAAGACTTGGACTAACGTCCAGACCGGAGAAGCTCGTCGTTACTCCACGTCCTCGAGCTCTACGGATCCGGATGGATCTCACCATGATCGGCCCCATATCTCCATCTCCGAAAGACCCATTCTGGCTGTACAGGGAAGATGGTTGGCGATAGTCCCCCCGGCCTCGTCTTACCGTCCATCGATTCAGGGAATCGTTCCTCCGAGTCTGCTGCATGGCAAAGTCCACGGAATGGAGACTCGTAGCCCTCCAACCATGCCGTCAGTTAATTGTGCGACGGACATTGGCGAAGGGGAGAGTATCTTTGACAAGTTTGCCAGAGGTGTCACACAGGAGCTGGTCAAAGGTGCCCGCTGGATGGGTGATCAGGGCCTCCAAGCGTGGAACAATTACTGGAACCATCAGCAGGGCATTGGTACGCCTCCCCAACGACTTGTGCGAAGCCCAGACACCCAGGCGCAGGGCTATGGCCTTTTCCCACCTACCCATGCACAGGATACCCAAGCAACTTCGTCCCCTGAGCCTGATACAGTTTCAATTCTTGACCTGAAGAAATTCGACGACGGAATGGATGTGAAGGCTGCTCCCTTCCACCCAGTGGCGACTTTCCAGGTTCCCAATGGCTGCAGTTTCCTTTCGCTCTCTCCCAGTGGTCTGATGCTTTTCACAGCCAGTAAGAAAGGCGACGTTCAATACGTCTGGGACCTGATGCAACTCAAACATTGCCGAGCAATGGCCTTCATGGCCGACGACCAGGCTGGCCAAAGCCCCAATGTGCGACAGGTTGCACGATACGCCCGATTGACCACATCCAGTATAATTGATGTCATCTGGACTTCTCCTGTCGGGGATCGACTGGCTATCATAACTCGCAAAGGCACAGTTCATGTGTTTGATCTGCCTCGAAGCGCATTCCAGTGGCCTCCTTTCCGACGAGCTCGGCCTGCTGGAAAGAAGTCGCCTAATATAGATCCAGTGGGAGATGATCTTGCGGGCCAAGGAGCCACTGGAAATCCCTTGTCGGCGGCGATGAATTTCGTTGGAGGCAAGACGCAGCCGTTTTTCTCTGCTGTCAAAGGACGTGTGCCGTCGTCTGGTACTGCATTTCCAAATATGAGTACATTTGCACTACCAACTGCGGCAAGTATCAAGGGTGGCAAGGTTGTTGCGGCAGGGCTTAGCAAGTCTATGGGTGCAGCAGCGACAGGCACCGTTCGTACGCTTCGGCATGTTGGAGAGAACCGACTTCACCTGTCTGGTCTTTCCCGTGATCCAGCTCCTTCTCGCGTCACTTGGATCTGCAGCAAAGGCCTCATTTTTCTGGGCATAGTTGATGATGGACACTTCAAACTGTACCGCTTGAAGCAAAGTGCGAACACTCACAAGAGCCGCCAGTTCCATTCTGTGATCGGTGGCAAAGAGAGTCAGTTCAAGCTTCCGGCCAGTTTCCAAAATGTGTGTGGGCCAGCACCTCTCCTGACATATGACCCGGAGCAGGTAGTCCAGGCGTCTCTACTTTTGCCCTCTGCCAGCTCACAGCCATCTAACGCTGGGAAGACTTTCTGCCAGCCGCTCTCACAGGCAGAGATTGAGACGAACACACCTTATCAGCCTTTCCATACGGACCAGCGTGTTGGTCTTCACGTTTTTGCCTCTGAGGCTACTGACCCAACCGTACTGGCTTCTCGTGACCAGTGGGTCTTCGGCAATGATATCCCGACAACCAAAGTACACGTCAGATCATACAGCAACAGTAATGATGATCAGGATGACGACGAGGACGAAATGGGAGCTATTCATGGTCACTCCTTTGGCGCGGGTGGTGACATAGAGAACCTCATTACTCTAGGTAACAGCACCGGTAACGTTGAGGAAGTGGTCATCACCACTCGACGGAAGAAGAAGCATTCCACCCCACTCAAGGACGACGGGTTCTTCGAGGACGACTGCGAAGTCCTGGACTTTGCACGAGACCGAGTGTAAATGTCTCAACTCTCTTTTTTGTTTTCATTTTCTTATATTTAATTCGCTCCTTGATATTTCGGTGACTTAGATACAGTGCTCGCGCGGCGTTGGCGATTTGCAAGTGGCGTTCGTGATTTGCGTCCATCATATCTACGAAATTGCATCAGACATCCCGAACTCTGGATGATCTGCCGGTTCGTGCGTTCTGTCTTTGATATTATGCGTTCTTGATGATTCCTCGCTCACAGAAACCCAAATACCCAAACCTGTACTTTTGATTACTCGCATTTGATAGATGGTGGTTTTGTGTCGATTCTCTTTGCGTTTTCCTTTCTTCGCTGTGAGGGAAGGAGTATCCTCAGACAGTCTCTACCGAGGCAGGGCATCTGAATTTTATGAGAATATTCATTCTCTCTGCTTTCATATGTTCAAACTGCTACTCACTTGGGCCCAGAACGGGCTGTGGACTTCAATACAAGGGGCTCAAGTTCCCAAGATATTCAACATAGATTTATTTCGATCCTTTGAGGCGCTTTAGACTGTACAACTAGACTGAACTATTCAACGTGCCTACGTACTTTCTCTTCCCCTCTGTAAGCCTCTTTCTAAGCCTCTTGCTACCTAAGTAAGCATCTTTTTAGACCGTGTTATTTTTATTTTCTAGAATATTTCAAATGCACCAGAGCAGATAGATCGATGTTGCCTATTGAGGCCCATGTCCTGACCTCCAATGTTCTCAGTGCTTCAAGCAGTAGGGTAAGAAACGTCCATCTCCTCCTCCCACCATCCGCGGAACACCCTTAATCTCTCCGTGCGCACACCAGCCATCTTCTTCCCGGTCTCCGTCTTCATCATTCCCTCCAATTTCTCCAACTTATCCCCAAAATGCTCAATCGAGTTATTCATCTCCCACTTGCCATTATCTCCGACAAATTTTTTCCCCTGCGCCCCGAGAAACGTGAAAGTCCGGCCGATGCCAATGGCTCCAATTGCATCCAGCCTGTCTGCATCCTGCACGACCGCTAGCTCCGGATGCCCCTCGTCGATTAGGCGGCGGATCACACTAGGGTCTTTGCATTCTGTTGTGTAGGATACGTGCGAGACGATCGTCTGCACTTTGGAGGCCAGATCTGCCGGAGCTCCATTTTTGAGGAGGGCGACCTCGACCATTGTCTTGGGATCGAGTGATTCAGCATTTGAACCCGTCACTGATGACAGGCTATGGAGATATTTTCTATCTCCGATGTCATGCAGGAGGGCTGCGAGCTTGACAACTGCTGTGTTGAGCTGCTTCTCGGGGTGCAGGGCTTGCTCGGCTTGGAGAATGGCGAGGGCCACGTTGACCACGCGGTGGACGTGGGCTGGATTGTGAGAGGGGTCGTGACCGGACATACAAGAGTCCACGAAAATAGACATGGAGCTATATAGTGTCTGGAATTGCTCGCTCGTTGCTTCCATTGCTGGTGCGGCCATGTTGGCGGTGATATATCTAAGAGCACACGGAGTTGGTCTAGAGGCGCTTTTTATAGTGCTGGAAGCTGATGGTCGTCTCGCAAAGAATCCAATTTCAAAGTTTCCCGAGACAGTTTGCTCCCGAGTCGATGTATTGGTTGTGTGGGGAGGATATATAATCAATTTGCATTTATTGGACTCGTAAACAACCCGTGGACTGGAGCTTGGCGGTGAGTCAACTCGGGACTTTCCCCGTATCCAACTTCGAGCAGGCAACTGCAGTCCGAGCTGTGGACTCGGCTTGGGTCATACTCCAATGTTACGATCACTTCAAGCCAAGACCAGACAACATTGCACACCATGTATTTCCAAGCGGCGAATGTAGTGGGGCAGGGACATCTACACAATGTGGAGTGATCTACGTTAAGAAAAATCGACAGTGGAATGCGACCTCGAGCTTGACCATGTTTGTATGTGGAAGAAATTCAGAAAAAATTATTGCTATGTCATTCACAGGTATCAAATATTATTGCACATGCAGAAAGGAAATGGGATGGGCTGCAGACGCCTGAGATGACCCGAAACAATCACTCCGCGCCATGTGTTACGACAGTCGTGTTTGTTATGAACCAGCTTACAGAGCGAAGGCAGCAACAACCAGGCCGAAGAGACCAGCGCTGGACGCACCTAGCTTAATGTTGGAAGCAGCATTGGTGGAGTGGACAACACCAGTGGTGGTGCTAGAGGCACCGAAGGTGCTGGCGGAAGCGCTGTTGCTGTTGCTGTTGTCGTTGTTGGAAGCTACACATGGAGTCAGAATGAAATCAACGTGCAAGAGTGATTTGAAACATACATTGGGAGCCAGTGGTGGTAGTGGCGGTAGCGGTAGCCCAGGTGCCTGTGCTGGTGGTGCTGGAAACAGTGTAGCCTGTCTCAGAGGCGGCAGCACCAGTGGCGAGGAAGTGGGAGTTGAAGCAGGCGTTCTGACAGTCGGTGTACTTCTTGGTATCAGCGGCAGTGCCGGTACCCTGGGGGCAGGCGGCGACACAGCTGTTGGTGTCGTTGGCCTGCGCATCATTGGGGCAGGGAACCTTGTAGCAAGCGGCGACGCAGCAGCGGTCAGTGCTGTTGCCTATTGAGAATAAAATGTTAAACCAGACAATAGAAAACGGGGAGAGGATATGAACATACAGTTCTGAGCGCAGGACTGTTCAGGACTGAGGGTCGCAGTGACAGTCTCAGCGGTGGTAGTGGTCTCCGCTGCGGCGAAGGCCAGCAGGGTAGAGAGAGCAACGATACTGAACTTCATGATGAAAGTGGAGATTACTAGAAAAAGATTAAGGCAGAGAAGGTAGAGACCGTTCAAAGTGTAACGAGTGGCTTGGAGAGATGAGGAACGAGCGAGGGGAGGTGAAGGGGACAGGAAGCTTTTAAGTAAATCGATGAGGTGCAAGAGCAGTGTACCTGCACTTTCCACCCTGCAACCTGCAGCTTGCAACCCTGCATTGGCATGTTAGACTCGACCAAATCAAAGGTCCCCAGGTGACTCCATTTGCCCCAAACCAGGAGACAAGAAAAAAATAGACACAAAAAGATGCGTGGCGCTAGGTTCCCCATTCGTGTCTCACATCGAACTTGTTTGGTTTCTCGAGTTGGCTAATTACCATGGTTGCTCGGTGGATACAACCTGGAGTACCTTGCTTCTCGTAAAGGGCCTAATAAGAATAACCCCGTGCGCATTGGGATACTGGCCCCTTGACAGGCATCGCCGAATAAGCGGGAAGTAAACGGGACCTTGGATCTGTCAAATCTGGAGAGATGTCGGCCGTGCCCGAGGGGTTGTCATTCGCCCGTTGGCCACCCTGAACAGTATAAACAAGCCCCTAATGACCCGCTAGTCCGTAACCATTGACCCCAGAGGCGCCGAAGCGGCCCCGCAGGGGAGCAAGGGACTCTTATTTATACCGCCCGCATGCATTACTCTGGGGCCTATCTCGGCCTTGAAGCCCCTTAAGTAAAAATATCATGGAGGAGACCCTAGACTATGGTATTATGCGCAATGCCCAATAACGACAGCCGCAGAGATAGACTCAAAGACTGAAGTAGACGACTTGAAGGACGTAGAAGTAGAAGTAAAAATAGAAACCTCGAGAGGCACTCCATACAGTGCAAACAAGCCAAGCACACTCTATCGGAGTCACATGACTTCGCGACTGTCGCGACGCGACGATCGGTAGAGAGAGATGATTTCGCGAGGAAGCGCAAGATCAGCAGTTGGCTGCTCTCGGCGCAATGCCTTCGTCAGACTCCGAGTCAGAATACTTCGATGATGACTTTGTAGAGCGCAGTACCTCCGACGGCGGTGCGCCCCCTCGCCCTGTCAAACGGCGTCGAGTGCAACTCCCCTCACGCGGGGAAGAAGATGATGACGAAGAGAATGTTTCCGAGACTGACTCGTTCTCTGATTTCGACGAGGATCTACCAAACTATCGCGAATCCTCTGACGCGTATGAAGACCGGCGATCAAAGTCTCGGAGCTTCATACCCAAAAAAAGCAACTTGCAGGAGAACATGTTTGTAACGCAACTCACACAACCTGGCTCTAGCCCTGAGCGGATTCGCGGCCCTCGGTGGAAAAAGCCAGATCCTGACCCGCCACCTCTACCTATGGCTCCTCCTGCTCCTCCTGCCTCGACGAATGCGACGAGGAGAAAGTCCAATCACTACTCCGACGAGGAGGAAGAGCTGAGAGCAGCATTGGCAGCATCGCTAGACGCCTTTGAAGAGGAGAAGTCATTCAGGACTGCAGAGAACCCTAGTATATCGAAACATACAGGCCCACCTCAACCTGTGTCTTCACATGAGCAAAATAACGGCTCCATGGATGTCTCTTTCGAGTTGGAGGACATACCGGACGATGCGTTCGATTCTTCGCCAGCTCTGTCGCCGGTTGCACGTCCAGCCCGACTCCCTACAATTGAATCGAGCTTCTCGAGACCGCCAAATCGACCGCAGCATCTCCGACAAACCACACTCTTTGGCATGGCCATCCAGAACGAACCACCTATGCCACGAGAAGAAGACTTCGCGCCACCTGAGAAAGTCGAACCCCCAACACATCATAAATTGAACAAAGATGCGCTCGACAAATGGTGGTATCCAACAAACCTGGGCAATATCCGTGATTACCAGTTTAATATCACCCAGAAAGGCCTTTATCACAATTTACTGGTAGCCTTGCCAACTGGGTTGGGAAAGACGTTTATTGCGGCAACGGTTATGCTCAATTGGTTTCGATGGACCAAGGACTCTCAGATCATTTTCGTGGCCCCCACGAAGCCACTAGTCTCCCAGCAGGTAACAGCATGTCTGGATATTGCTGGGATTCCACGATCCCAGACTACAATGCTTACTGGAGGTGCATCGCCTGGCATCCGCGCAGAAGAGTGGCAATCGAAGCGAGTGTTTTTCATGACTCCCCAAACATTGATCAATGACTTGAAGACCGGAATCGCAGATCCAAAGCGCATTGTCCTGGTGGTCGTGGATGAGGCGCATCGTGCTACTGGCGGCTACGCCTATGTCGAAGTGGTCAAATTCCTGCGACGGTTCAACAAGAGTTTCCGTGTTCTCGCGCTGACTGCTACGCCTGGCTCGACCGTGGAATCAGTACAGGCGGTTATTGATGGCCTCGACATTTCACGAGTGGAAATTCGCACTGAGAATTCAATTGATATTCGGGACTACGTCCACTCTCGGAATATCGAAATTGAGACATTTGAAAATTCGGATGAGATGCTCTTTTGCATGGACCTTTTATCAACGACTTTGCGACCTCTAGTGGAACAACTTCGAACAATGAATGCGTATTGGGGAAGAGATCCAATGGGTTTGACAGCATTCGGTCTTACGAAGGCAAGACAACAATGGATGGCGTCCGATGCCGGCCGAAATGCCAACTTTGGTCTCAAGGGCAAAGTCAATGCAATTTTCACAGTCCTTGCAAGCCTGGCTCATGCCATAGACTTGTTGAAGTTCCACGGAATCGTCCCTTTCTATCGCCACATCCAACATTTCAAATCGAATACCGACGGACAGAAAAGCGGCAAATGGCAGAAACAAGTTGTCCAGGACGAGAGTTTCAAGAAGCTTATCAGCCATCTCGAGCCCTGGTCCAAGAACCCAGAGTTTATTGGCCACCCGAAATTGGAGTATCTCAAGTCCGTAATCCTGAATCATTTCATGGATAGGGGCGAAGGAAAAGAAAATATCGATGGCAACAGTCAACCAGGAACGCGAGTCATGATCTTTGTACATTTTCGTGACAGCGCCGAAGAAGTGACTAGGGTGTTGAAGAGATACGAACCTATGATCCGTCCGCATGTTTTCGTGGGCCAAAGTAGCGCCAAGGGCTCAGAGGGGATGGATCAGAAAACCCAACTTAAGATCATCCAAGAGTTCAAGAAGGGCACATATAACACTATCGTCGCCACGTCCATTGGTGAAGAAGGGTTGGATATTGGTGAGGTCGATCTCATCGTGTGTTACGACTCCTCTGCATCGCCGATTCGCATGCTGCAGCGAATGGGTCGAACCGGCCGTAAGAGAGCCGGAAACATTACGTTGCTCCTTATGAAGGGCAAAGAGGAAGATTCCTATGTCAAGGCCAAGGACAACTATGAGAAGATGCAACAGATGATAGCCAGTGGCTCTCGATTTACATTTCACGACGATCGATCTGCTCGTATCTTACCTGCTGGAGTACGTCCAGTGGCCGACAAGCGGATCATCGATGTCCCCCAAGAGAACTCACAGCGAGAGCTGCCCGAGCCAAAGCGCAAAGGACGTGCGCCTAAACGACCACCGAAGAAATTTAATATGCCTGATGATGTGGACACTGGCTTTACTCGCGCATCAACACTCGAAGCAAGTTTTAGCAAGGCCAAGGCGAAAAAGCTTACCCCCAAGAAGAGAGTTAGAACCCCTACACCAGAACCAGTCGATATCCCATCTTTGGACGAAGTGGTTCTCAATGATCAAGAACAGCGAGATCTCGAACGGCGCTATCAAAACATCGGAGACACATCGCCACAATACATCAGCGTCCCGCGAAATGATGCATTTCCGCACCTCCAGCTTGTTTCGAGACCAATCAAGTCTGTTCCGCATGGCTCCCTTACCCGGCGAATGATCCAGACTCTACAAAAGATGAACCAGGCTGGACCTGACTGCGAGCATTATTACAAGCAGATCTTGGCTCGCGAACCCATTGAACCTAAAAGTGGATCAACAACAGAGCATCGAGTCAGCAATAAATCAACAAAACCGTCGAAGGATTGGACTTCTCGCCGAGTCGCAGTTCCAGACTCTGATCACCAACCTAGACGGTCATCTCCCCTCTTTGTTAGCGAGTTCGATGATGACTCTGACTCTGATCTACCTGACATAAACACGCTCATGAGTAGCGCGTCGAAGGCTAAGGCTCAGAATGCTCATAAGGCCCACAATCCTCGCATTGAGATTGAGGATGACGGCGAGGACGATTCATGGATATTTTGAAGTACAGCCACGCCCTGAACTATTTCGATGACACCGGCCACTAGCCTTGGGGCCCATCGAACTTTGCATTGTGTATAGAACATCATGACCAGGGAAATAGATGGATCATTTTTAAGTGTTCAAATCTCGTAGAACGCTTTACATAGTGTTCCCTATATTGCTTTTTATGGATGGTGGACATACTGCTGCCACCCGCGGCCCGCAACACACACGCACCTCCGTCAACACCGCCGTCCGGAGATCTGAACAGTATACAAACCCAACCCCTCCACCCCCACCATGGCTGATACACAGTTCGATAGCGCGCTGTAAGTTATTTGTCCCTTGAGCACACCCTCCTCAGCTTCGTCCGCCCGACGACCAGAACAGGCAGCCCGGCAATCCGAGGCCTTGCGGCGACCCCGCCTCAGCTGCACGGAGAGACACCCAAGCTGACCACCTTACGCCTAGCGATCTTCTTCGGCGCCTGAATCCCCGTGATACCAAGAAGAACCTCCAGTCCATTACCTCAATTGTCCCCGACCTCACCGAAGACCTCCTTTCCTCTGTTGATCAGCCCCTGGAGATACGCAAATGTCCCCAGACCAGCCGTGACTACCTGCTCTGTGACTACAACCGCGACGGCGATAGCTACCGATCACCATGGAGCAACGAGTTTGACCCTCCTCTCGAGGACGGAACGGTGCCCAGCGAGCGGGTGCGCAAGCTCGAAGTTGCGGCCAACGAGTCCTTTGACGTATACCGTGAGCTCTACTACGAGGGCGGTGTTGGCAGCGTGTACTTCTGGGATCTGGACGACGGATTTGCCGGTGTTATTCTGTTGAAAAAGGGTATATCTTTTCGGATCTGAAGGGATTGTTCCTGAGACTCGATTGATGGCTGACCTTCTCTTCTCCAGGGGTGACTTCTGGCTCCCAGAGCTCCGGTGAATGGGACAGCATCCACGTCTTTGAGGCCACTGATCGGGCACGCATGTCCCACTACAAGCTCACTAGTACCGTGATCCTGCACCTGGCCAATGAGAACCAGGCACTCGGCGAGATGGACCTGAGCGGCAACATGACCCGCCAGGTTGAGGCTGACTTGCCCGTTGAGTCGGATGCGAGCCATATCGCTAATGTGGGCAGACTGGTTGAGGATATGGAACTCAAGATGCGGAACTTGCTACGTATGTCTTTCGATACGGCGGTGTGGTGCGATGGATACTGACCCTTTCACAGAGGAGGTTTACTTCGGTAAGGCCAAGGATGTTGTGGGTGAGCTTCGGAGTAGGTTCTTGCCTTACTATTGTGTTCTTTCAGGATACTAATTATACCATCAGGTCTGGCGCCGTTGTCCGAGACAAATCGGGACCGTGCGACGCAACTGGAGATGATCAAGTCCATGCAGAAGTAGATTCTTGTTACAGCACCGTCATTTCCAAGGTCGATTGGCTCAGGGAGTCCAATATAGACGGCCGTTGCTGCGTTATTTCATGCATAGTTTTAGTTCTGTGAACATGCAAATGGCCGTCCACATACAATTGAGACAGAGACAATGTTGAATGTCCGCTACTTCTGGATAGATTATTAGATGGAAGCAATCGACGTGTATTGCTATCGAGACCAGCTGCCGCCCGCGTATTTGGGTATCAAAGGTGCAAAATCAGTCATAAAACTGCTGAAAATCAATCGGCCACCCAGCCAGCAAATTCCCATTAATCCATCTGCATCTCAGAATCGCCGTTCGACTTGCTGGGGTCGTTTTGCCCGTCCGCCGACTTATCCAGCTGTTCTACAAAGTGCCGCGCAGCAGCCCACAATTCAGCTTCTTTGTCCTTGCCGACCGTGTCCTTTCGGCTGTTGAGCCAGCTAATGTCCAGAGAATTCGAGGCAGCAGACCCCGCAGCTCCTGCAGTCCCGGTGGTTGCATCGCCTGCTCGCCCAACCGGATCCGGCGCCAGAACAGAAGATTCCTCTAAAGCGTAGACCTGGCGACGTAGCCGAACATCAATTGAGGAGAGGAGAGCGAAGTATTGCTGTGTTGCGTTTTTGAATTGCGTCTTGTGGGAATCGAGGGAGCCACCTGGGATTTCGGAGGAAGAAGAGTTCGGCTTTGCATTGGTCAGGGCTTGAATTGCTAGACCCGCAGAGTGAATGAGCTTTGCGACATCCTGTTTAAGCCGTGGGTTAGCCTGCTGTCGATGTAATTGTGGGTTGGGGCTTAGTTGCCCTACTTGGTCGATCTCGTTGAGCTGGCGGATGCGCTCCGCGGATGTGAAGCTCGCCGACGGTGAAGATTCTTCGCTCATAACGCCAGCTTTGTAAGACGGTGAGACTTGCAAGGTAAGAGTGTTCTGTAAATAAATTGTAGTTGGCGGAAAGTGAATGGTGAGGCTCATCACGTGTGGAATCCGGGGAGCTGAATAAGCTCCGACCTTACGAACCTTCCAATATCACGATTGTCGTCGCGCAACGGCCCCACGCTCATCAAGTGCCTTTTAACTCTCGTCATCCTTCTCTCTCGCAACCGCCCACTTCTCTGACACCCAACTGAATCCCACGTCTGATCGAATCGCTATGTCCGCGCCCGGCGGCGCTCCAAGCCCGGCGCCGCGCAGCGGCAGCCTGGGTCCTGGTGCGAATGGAGGCGGCATGCCCATGTCGTCGCAACCACCTTTGTCGGGCACACCGGTGCATCAGCCACCTACCCAGGGGCAAAGCAGTCCCATGTCACAACAAAACTTGAATCAGATTGTGAGTTGCATCCTGCGCCAGCCCCGTCATTTGCATACATATTGGCTACGGCTGCAGCACCGCTTTGTATAATGTCTTCGCGTCGGATTTAGCCATAATTCACTTCTCCTCATGGAAGAGCTCACATTTTTGTGAAGTGAGAGCTTCAATGGGTGTGTTCTCTGATTTCGAGCTCGGAGTTACCCGAAGTTCCTGTTCTTGTGAGATGCAATGACCCTTGAACGGCGAGACGATGAGACGGTGAGCTGGCTGTATGATGGACCCAACCTGAGGCCGTTCTCTGGAGAAAGTGGTGACCTGAAAAGGACAATACTTCGAAGCCGACGCAAAGAATGAGCTGCTTTCCAAACCAGAAAACCGTCCCTTCTAGCGTCCTCGCGCGTTTACTTGATACCCCTCGTTTTCTGTCCTGAAATCTTCTATTTGCTGTTTCACCTTTTGGTTTTCTCTTTGCCCTTTTTGCAACATGCCTAGAAAGCGTTACAACCTCAGGAAGTCTCGGTCTGTGGCATGCCCGGTCGAGCCATCTGGGCCATCCCCTACTCCGCCAGCAAAGACTCCCCAAGTGCTTGAATTATCATCACACGCACCCGTATCCCCGGAGAGGCCATTGCCCTCTTCATCGCAAACTTCCCCCAATCAACCTGTAACCAAAAACCTTAACCAAACCGTCCGTTCAATTACGTTGAAGATTGAGAGACAATGGCTGACAAGTCTATGTCAATTAGGTTATCGACTATCTGGCCAAGAAAGGTTACAGCCGCACCGAAGCTATGCTTCGCATGGAGTCCGCCAACCAAGAGATTGACGGACGCCCTCTGCCCCCTCTGGGAGAGGATGCTCGCCCCAAATTCAAGCCAGGATTTGGTGAGCAGCCCCCCATAAGATAATTTGAATTCTTTTTTAACACCCGATATAGATCTACTGAAGACCTGGGTCGAAGAGAATCTGGACCTGTACAAGGTAAGGGAACACCACATCTTCATCAGAAGCAAGTGATGCTAATTATCAATTTACAGCCTGAGCTGCGCCGTGTTCTCTGGCCGCTGTTCGTCTACTCATTCTTGAACATGATTACTTCGTTGTATACCAATGAAGCCAAGCAGTTCTTCGAGGCCAACAAGAACATGTTCCTTCCGGAGCACACGGATGATATTCGTATTCTTGAGCCTATCAGCCTGCCGGAGCATGCTCAGGACAATTCCACTGCTAAGCTCTACCGCGGCAACAAATACCGAGTCGTCCTGAGTAACCCCGCTTACACGAACCTCCTTCAGTTCCTCGAAAGCAAGGAGAAAGAGGGAGGCTCCGTGATGAACGCCATATTGAGCAGTTATTGCACTGTTAAAACCATGGACCGAGCCGCAGACGATCGATTCAGTTTCGCTGCAATGCTGGGCCAGATTGGAGCCGGTCAGACTTTCCCTGCAGAGGATGAGGGTATCCCAGGTCATCATCCCGGTTCGGCCTACACCGGTGACAACCCGGCTATGGCTGGAACCCTGCCACGACTTCGACTCGGAAAGATGCCGATGGAGGAAACGCTGGAAGGTGATGTTCGCGCTGAACTCGCCGAGGAAGACGAGAAGGAGCCTCCTATCACCGGTCGCAACACACTGGTGCAGGAATTTGACCACATGATCAAAAAAGAGGAGGACGAGGAAGCGCCTACCCGAAACGATATTCCTTTCCCACCTTCTACTGCTCGTGATGTGGCGGTCGAGGTCATGAAGGTCAAGGAGAATCGGGATCGATACCGACTCGAAGGTCGCACTGGTGGTGTAGGTCTTGGTGTCAGCGTGTGCATGTTCACCTTCCACAATACCTATGACAGGTAGGTTTAGCACTGTTTGAATCATCTTGACTACCCCCCGCTAACCAGCTAACAGTATCAACTGCCTTGATTTCTCCGATGACAATTTGCTCGTGGCTGCTGGTTTCTCGCAGTCTTACATTCGTATCTGGAGCCTCGATGGAAAAAACATCGAAGAGGCCCACCCCGACCTTGATAAGCTGCATGATCTCCCGCCATCCAACTCTCGCCGCCTCATCGGGCATTCCGGGCCCGTCTATGCGGTTTCTTTTGCACCCTCTGCCAGCAAGGCAGAAAATGTTTCTGACGAGGATCGCATTCCCACTAACGCTCGCTGGTTGCTCTCTTCTTCGGCTGACAAGACTATCCGATTGTGGTCTCTCGATATGTGGCAGTGCATGGTCATCTACAGGGGCCATGATCGCCCGGTCTGGGACATTTCATGGGGACCCTTTGGTCACTATTTCGCTACGGCAGGTGCAGACAAGACTGCCCGTCTCTGGGTGACCGATCACCCTCGTCAGCAGCGTATATTTGTCGGACACGACCAGGATGTAGATTGCATCTGTTTCCACCCCAACTCTGCCTATGTTTTTACTGCCAGCTCCGACCACAGTGTCCGCATGTGGGCCGTCACCACCGGAAACGCCGTCCGTATGTTCACCGGCCACACCGGCAACATCACTGCCATGGAGTGTAGCCGGGATGGCAAGCTTTTGGCCTCGGCGGACGACCAAGGGTCCATTTTCCTGTGGGACTTGGCTCCTGGTCGTCTTCTGAAGCGCATGCGGGGTCATGGAAAGGGGGGTATCTGGTCTCTCAGTTGGAGCGTCGAGTCCAGCGTGCTGGTCTCTGGAGGTGCCGACGGCACCGTCCGTGTCTGGGATGTCTCTGCTCCTCAGGATTCCATCCAAGGTCGCGTGATCAGCGAGGGAGGCGCCGGTACCAAACTGGATGCTTCCAACGCTCCCGCCGCTGGCCAGAGCAAGAAGAAGAAGGGCAAGGACGTTGTCGTCTCTCCCGATCAGATCAGCGCGTTCCCTACCAAGAAGAGCCCGGTCTACAAGGTCAAGTTCACGAATATGAACCTGGTCGTTGCGGGCGGAGCCTATCTTCCTTAGGTGCTTCGTTCTTCCATTCTGGCGCAGATACCCCGGTTTTCTTTCCTTTATTTGCATGCATTTTCAAAATAATTTCTGTTGTTTGTTCTGAGATGTGGAATCCGAATTCTAATGATAGGTGTTGGGTGGCTGGCGCTCGGTTGTTTATACAAAAATAAGCCGTGAACTCATTTCTTATGTTCTCTTGAGATGGTTTATTGATTCCACGCTAGCCCTCATCTGTGAAGTTTCACGAATAGGTTATAGCGCGAGTGGATAGACTGGTACTCGGAAGCACGATCTAACTAGAGCTTAATTGAACGAATCTTGATGAAATCATAGCTAAGCGTTAGCGAAGCTAGTCACGGAACAACGGCCTCCTTCCCACGTATCAGGCACATGATCGTGGTGACATCGAGTTGTGCCGCTAGATTAGAGAGAAGTATTTGCTAGATAAAATAAACTAAAATCTTTTACAAAATCCACTTGCGCAGCGTCTTCCTCACTAGGCCAAACACCCGGCGGTGTGACATACAGCTTCTTTCTAGGAGTAATCAGCCCCTGGACTGCTAGCCTTGTGTCAGTTTCAATTCAACACTTGAACCACTTGTACAAGGTCAACTTCCCATGCCAATCAGCCGCCCTCCCTAAATCAGAATTGTCACCGCATTATGCATTCAAGCCCACCTGCAACATCGTCGTGGCCCACCGGTGCCTGCATAAGCTGATTCCCTCTACGACCCAAGCTTCAAGCCCGCACCATTCCCTGGGCATATTAGATTCAAAGCTCGACAGGATATCTTCCGCTGCAGAATATGGCCGGGGTATACATAGTAACGGCCCTACAGCCCGAGTCAGTGGACTGGCACCAAGAACCCCGCCCCTTGCTCAGGCGTCCAAGGTTGGATTTTCCACGAATCTTGGTGAAGTACCTGATCCGCATTTCTCCACTGCATCTGAGACGTATGATCCGTGGGCGCAATGAAGACCCCGCGGCATGGGCATCTGCTCCGCCTCGTTGGCCTCGGTTCCCCGCCGACAGTCTACGGCCCCACAGGTCACTCAATGGGCAGCAAATGGAGCTGTCTCCACCCGAGCTGGTCGCCACATAAAACGGAGGACGACTGACTGTCTTTAGACTTGCAGCTTCATGCTACGTCCTTCAGCCCATATTCCGATACCATGACTACTCCCCAGAACGGAGATCCGATAGAGGTGGACGCTGTGATTGTTGGCGCTGGCTTCTCTGGCATCTACGTTCTTCAACGATTGAGAGATCAGCTGGGTCTGAATGTCAAGATCATCGAAGCGGGCACTGGTCTCGGTGGGGTGTGGAATAATAATGTCTACCCCGGTGCCCGTGTTGATTCACCTGCTCCGGTTTATGGGTTTGCTATGGCCAAGGTCTATCAGACGTGGAAGTGGAGCCAACCCTATCCAGACCAGAAGGAGCTGCAGGCTTATTTCAATCATGTCGATCAAGTTCTCTCCATCAAAAAAGACTGCATCTTCAATTCGCGTGTCAATGCTGCCTCCTTCAACCCGGACGAGGCCCAGTGGACCATTCAGACTGAGAATGGAAAAACAGTCCGAGCCAAGTACTTCATTCCCGCAATTGGCTTTGCCGAGCAACAGTGGGTCCCACCCTGGAAGGGTCTTGATTCCTTCAAGGGCACGATACATCATTCTTCTCAATGGCCCCGAGAGGGAGTTGACGTGAAGGGGAAGCGTGTGGCGGTGATTGGGACAGGTGCAACTGGGATCCAGATCATCCAGGAGTGGGCGAAAGAGGCCGCCGAGCTGGTGGTTTTCCAACGAACTCCCAATTTTGCCCTACCGATGCATAGGGATAATTTCGACCCCGAGGAACAGCGTCAGATGCAGGATGGAACCCCAGAGATATTTGCTCAGGCGTGGGAGACTTGGTCTGGAATGCATACTTCATACCCGACGAAGGCATTCGCGGACTTTACAACGGAAGAAGCAGAGGCCGCTCTAAACCAGCTTTATGACAAAGGCGGCTTCAACCTCTGGGTCGGTGCATTTAGTGACGCTCTTATGAATCCCGAAGCCAACCGGGCCACCTACGACATCTGGGCTAGACGAGTTCGCGCGCGACTCCACGATCCAGTCAAACGTGACTTATTGGCGCCCCTGCAGCCACCGCATCCATTCGGCACGAAACGTCCCTCTTTGGAATACAATTATTATGAGCAGTTCAACGCCCCTAATGTCCATCTCGTGGATACCAATTCCAATCCGATCGTGGAAATCACGCCTGAAGGCATTCTTACGGATGATGGGAAACTATACGAGGTCGACGTGATTGGCATGGCGACTGGTTTCAACTCAAGTACAGGCGGCTTTTCCAAGATGCACATCAAAGATCTCAATGGCGTAGATCTTGCAGAGCGTTGGAAAGAAGGCGTCATAACACACCTGGGACTGATGGTGCCCAGGTTCCCTAACATGTTCCTTCCATATGGTGTTCAAGCGCCAACGCCATTCACCAATGGACCTGTCTTCATAGAGTTCCAAGCTAATCACATTCGTGACTTGGTAAAGAAGATGGAAAGGGGCGGCACCAGGTCGCTAGATCCTTTGGAAACATCAGCGGAGACTTGGCGAACAGAGGTCTATGCACTCGGGAACTTGACTCTGTTCCCGAAGACCAGCTCATGGTACATGGGCGCGAATATCCCCGGTAAACCGGTGGAGATGCTCTACTATATCGGTGGAATCCCGCGCTATCGTGAGTTGTGCGGGGAAGCTCTTGAGAAGTTGGAGAAGCTCTTCATTTGCCGTTAATTTTTCGGTTCAGATCAGCTTGATTCTATATATTTATTCAGATTCAAATTGCCAGGTTTTCATGCTGTTTTGTCTTCTCGTATAGCCTCTAGGAGTACTAGGAGGGTAACGTGGTCGGTAAGCCAGCTGCGCAGCTCAAAACACCATAGTAAATGCGATTATTTAAACACTTATATCTCAACACCAAAGCGTTATCTTCTCTTTGTATTATGTATGGTACTAATTATAAGTATTAGAAATGCTGTATGTGAACTTGAAGCAATTTAAAGACTGATTTTATTGCATTACCATAGAATACCATGTATTTTTTTGTCGTTTGAACTTCACAGATATATTTCTTGACTACGATGTCTTGTTATGTCTTTGGGTCTTAATCATAGGCTTAATAAGATATAAGAAGCGTAGTGCTTTAGGATAATACTACATTAGCCTCTTGTTGTTGCGATTCGATGTTGTAATCTATCGCATTACTATGGTGTTTTAGGGTGCGCATGACGACGCTGGGCTCACTGCTGTAAGTTTTCACCCCGCACCACTTCTTCACCTAAATAGTTACCAACTCTCCATATCTCATTCAACATGACTGAATCGGCACCGAATGAAGCAAATCCTGCGGAGTCACCAGTGACCGAGACGAAGCTCGATCCCAAGGATCTGGCAGCAGAAAAGTGCCCATCAGCAGAGAAACTTCGCCAGATCGAAGACTACACTGTGCTGGATAAAGAGGGCAGTAAGCACACATTTAAGAGCCTCTATGCTGGCTCTGCATCAACAGATCGCGTCCTAGTGATCTTTATTCGTCACTTCTTTTGCGGGGTGAGTTTCCCCCTCTTTTGATGGTATACTTGACTGATATTCACCATGACAGAGCTGCCAAGAGTTCGTTCGCGCCCTTGCAGGATCGATGAAGCCGGAAGACTTGCTTAAATTGCCAGTCAGCACGTCCATCGTCTTAGTAGGATGCGGTGGCCCGGCTCTTATTGATCACTATACCAAGGAAACGGGCTGCCCGTTCCCCATCTACGCCGATCCCACTAGAAAGCTCTACGCGGATCTGGACTTGATCACCTCGTACGCTCTGGGAGAGCGCCCAGAATATTTCCGCATGGGCATGGTGCGCCTCGTCGCGGACTCGCTGGCTCAATCCCTTAGGCACGTTTCCAATGGGCTCATAACCAAGGCGGGTGATTCCAGTCAAAATGGCGGGGAATTCTTATTTGAGTCTACGGGCGAAGACGACAAGCAGGTTACGTGGTGCCACCGCATGACCAACACGCGAGACCACTCGTCGATTCCGGCAGTGGCACGCGTTCTTGACTCGGAGGGCAGCGTGCTGCAAATGAAGAACTAGGTACCCATACTATTGTCTTTCCAGAAGCAGGTGATTCTTTATCCTTTATCATGCTGGTTATGAGCTTAGAGAATGCCAATAACCCTTAAAATCCATGCGCAAAGTGTTTAGTTTATCCTCCACGGCGAAATGGAATCCATGATCTATTTTAATTGATTATTCCTGTCAGCTGCACCGGTTCCCTTCTTCATAGCGGCTGCAGCCTGCATGTCTCCTACTTTGGGCGGTAGCACCAATGCACTGCGATCATTACGCCTGTAAAAGTCGACTAGTACCTGCGCTGTCTTGGTGGGCTGATCCTCCTGGACAAAGTGACCTGCTTCGGGGAAGACCTGAAGTTGATATTTTCCTGTAGATAGATAATATGAGCTTGCATTCAGGAGTCAGAGCAGAGTCGAGAGAGTCATTGACATACCTTGCATCTGCCCAATCATTAGCTCTTTATCCAACCGATCTGTGCCAGCCAAAAGCAAAAGCTTTCCACCCCGCGCATCGAGGAACTTTCGGCTAAGACCAATGAACCAGTTTTCCCAAAACGGCTTTGTGGCTGAAAGGTTTGTGCGCCACACCCAAGGGCGAGACTCGTCAGAAGGTTCGCTTTCCTCATATAATAGAGATGGAACAGATGCCCGAGCTGATGTTGTGTTTCGAATTGTGCGTGAACGAGTACTGTGAGAATATATTAGTCGCTTGAATGCAACGGCCGGGCGAACTCTACGTTCAGGGATCATCGCATACTGCCATTCTATTCCCGATGCTAGTGAGGGGAAACGCATAGGCCGTGTGGATAAGTATTTCTCCATACTCTGTAAAGCATCCATCGCAGAGCCTAAGACGTGTCAATCGAAAGTTACTGGGCAGGGATGAAGTGAGATCCTACCTTCAACGACATCCAGAACTGCATATGCCAGTATTTTCGGCCCAAGCTCGCCATTCTTGGCTACATCTGTGATGACTGCGCCTCCCAAACTGTGTCCAACGAGCACAATATCTGGTAAGCTCTCCCATCCCAATTTGACCTGCGTCTGACGAATCACGTAGACTAGATCCTGGCTGAGAGTCTCGAGACTCAAATCGAGCTCAACCTGACCACCAGCCTCAGTCTGGGCCGCGGAAGCAGTTGAAGGACTTTTTTGGTCTAGCTTTTCGGAACTTGGGGCCATAACCGTTCGGCCGTGACCTCTGGCATCAATGGACAAGAATCCCGCTTTCGGCAGGATTTTTCGGATCTCATGGGCGCATGTTGCGAACGACAGACCGGATGAACCGGCACCATGATGCATAACAAAGAGCGGGCCTGAATTGGCCGGTGGAGTCACGTATACATGATGAATGATGTTGAGATCGTCAATTTCTTGGGACAGAAACAATTCTTGGGAAAAGAAATCCGTCCATGTCAGTGATTGCGATGAGCTGTACTTTTGTTAGTTTGACAGCTCAAGCAGACCACCCCGCAGTATATCAAGATATCAGGCTCTGTCCTCCACGAGAGGGTTGGGATGGAAGGGAGAAACTGACCCCTGGCTTCTTCGGGCAAACAGATGCTGCGTCGGTGACGGAATCAGAGTTCCCGTAGACGAGGCTGAAGAGGCTGAAGATACCTCCTCGTCCCGGGCCTCATCAAACGTTGGATCAAACATGGGGACGTCCGGGGGCAGCTTGGCCAATTTGGACTTGGCGAAGGACTTCCGGAGCTCGCTCATGAATACAAGTGGGGACTCCAAAGTCCCGTCGATCAAAGGAGCGGTCAACAGTGCCGTATAGGGGCTGAATTGACCACTTGCCTGCAACTTGACTCCTGCAGAGAAAAATTATGGCAGGTGTCCTTGATTAGGGAAATCACATGTACCTCAAAGAGTAAGTTCCGAGATGAATGGGATGAGATAGGACGTCAAGGCCTCAAATGATGTGCTGACTAAGAACCGGTGTTGATGGGGCAGTGAACGAGACTACCAAGGGTCTTGAGAGGTCTGACAAGACGATGCGATTTTTTAAAATTCTAAACTGGCTTGATTCTTCAAGATAGCGGCTTTTTGCTATTCTGAATTTATTGAGGAAATAACTCTCTACGCCTTGTGATTGCCTCAACTCGGAAGATCTATAGATGTGCCGTGGCGGTCACCTCGAAGAATGCGAGACCAATCCTTCCTAGATGATTATCGCGTCTTCGTGTTTTCAATCAGGTAAGAAGAGATTTAGTATACTGCGAATGCTCATTATACACGAGGCTTAGTCTCAGCCTCTCTTGGTATCCTCAATTTCAAGTAGCATCAGGCCAAAATCAGCCAAACCACGAACGCCAAGTCAAAGCTCTAAATATCAATAGCTCGAAATTCGGTATAAGTAAGTGTAACCAAAGGAATATTGAACACGACCAGTTCATCATTCGAACCAGATCAATCGACCTTAATACGGCCGACGGGCCTGGCTGTCCTGCACAATTTCTCGCAATCGCTTCTCCAATACTTGTCGGCCCTCTCCAACAGTCCAGACTTCATGCGGTGCGTCATGGACAACATCCCAAGCGAGGAGCGTGTTTGTGATTGTGGAAAGATCCTCCTGCCGAGTAGCCCATTCGGGGTCCTTTCGCATCTCCTGTCCAGAGCTCACGATAACCAGAGGTGTTTGCCCCATCTGAATATGCCGAGCAGACTGCACCTCTGCTGCTGTCATTGTGACGGCAACAAGGTTCTCCTGTAGCTTGGCTTTGATGAACTTGCCAGACTGATAGGCGGAGCGGCCGACGACTCGATCTTCTCGGGTGCGACCACGCACAATGGCACCGGCCAGGCGGTCCAAACCCAGCGGTGAAGTGACACCACGAAGCCACAGCATAAATCCACGTCCTGGATTTCCGACATCTTGGAGGTAAGACTCATGAAGTGGGTCGATGAGGAAGATACCGCTGACTTCAAGAAGGTGACGACTGGCAAAGAGCCGCGAATAAAGACTACCAACTCCAGCCGAGACAACGATCCAAGGTCCTGACTCTTCGGCCAGAGCAAGAGCCTCCGAGAGGACATCCACGGACATTCCCGCAGAATGGGGAGATGGTGCATTGTCCGACCATGCCAGTCCCGGTCTGTCCCAGTAACAGTACCGGTTGATAGCACCCGCACGGTATGCGTCATCAATAAAAGGCTGCAGGCTGTGCTCAACAGGGCCCCAGTCTCCCTCGAGAAGAATGGTCGGTTCATTGTCATTTTTGGTGCGGTTTCCCACACAGGCAAGGTGGACCTGATAGGTATCCCCATGAACAGAGTACCGACGACCGGGAGCTTCAAGGGAAACATCCCGAGCACGGAGGATCAGAGTCGCTGTGAACAAAACAGTAGCGATGGTCATAATAGCTAAGATGATTGTCTCGAACAGAACAACAGCCCATTCCCGTAGCGAGCGACGAGTTTCTTCTCGACCCGTGAGTCGTTCTTCTTCCTCACGCTTACCCCATGCCACAGCCCGATTCTGGACAATCTGGTAGATGGATATGACAGCTGCCCACACCACTGAAGCTATACCAACCCACCCTTCCTCGTAACGAAGGCCCGGTACTGCGACAATAATAATCATGTCCACCAGTAGCAGAGTCGAAAGAACAATGCCCCAGATGGTCATCGCCTTGGAGGGAACGGCGAAAAAGAGCAGTCCCAGCACGAGATAACCGGTCGCCAGTGTCGTATATGCGAACTCGAAGAATCCCGAGCCACGCGAATGCATCAGTGGCGGACTGACGAAGATAGACACAAGAAGAAAAGTCCACCACATGAAGCTGACGGCCAGCGCAAAGAGGGAGAGGCCGCGCACGGCGCGCACAGTCCATAAATTGTAGGGTGAAACCTATGATTCGGGGTTAAATCCGCCAGTGAATAAACATTTCTCTTATCAGGAATGAACTTACAGCTGGATCATCTGGACTCAAGTACCCTTGACTATTATTGCGAGAAAGAAGGCTTGTGTGCTCCGTAGGTTCCTGGTGCTCCGTAGGGTCATTCTCGTGGTCGTTCTCATCCTGGCGTTGGAAAGTGCCCTCTGGCCTGTTCGTGTCATCCTTCTTCCGAGCCCAGAAAGAGCTCATTTTGTCTGCGAGCTGTACCTGGACAGATTTGTAGGTTAAAGGTTGACTGAGGTTGCAGGTGTTCGCGGTAACAATGGGGGATCGACGCCCTGTTTGATAAGATCGACTGACGTCATTGACCCCCCCTTGGCACAAACTATATTTCCAAGCTTTTCTTTGTTTTACTGCTTGGCTTGATAAGTGTCAATCCGAGTCTGATTTGTGCCGACTCTCTTGCTTGTACTGTATGCTTTTTGAGACTTGAGATCAAGTACCAAAGTTCTTAGAATTTGGAGAGAATTTGGAGAGAGACGTTCCCTACCTAATAATTCAGGCGCAAACTCGAAGGCTACACTTATCAAGGAAGGCATAGGAAGGGATAATTTTTATTGTTCACTGTCTTACGGATGGCAGCTGGGCTTCACGAGTTCAATGTTGATTTCCCAAATGGCAAGGTGGTTCCAGTGTTGACTAATGTCTCCGCTACCCCGGGGAAGAGACACATGGAGTAAATAGTGACCTTTATTCATAAAAATGTGTTCAACTATCGCAAGGCCATTTCTCAATTGCGTTGGTCTCCCAACCTCTTGCGGAAAGCCTCTTCTTCCCTAACAATTTCCAAAGGAAGTGTCTGCCCGATGCCGAAAAGAATGAAGACCGCCCACTTCCAGCGGAACGGATTGATCACTACAAGGAACACGAACCAGTAGAGCAGCTCCGTGTATGTAAAGAAATCGAACGCTCCAGGCGGTGCTCCCTGTTTCATCCAGCGAGTGAAATCTATCCAGGTCTTCATTCGGCCCTCTGTGGGCTGTGTGAGCGGATCAGTCAGAAACATAAGCAAGAACCGCGTATAGATTCCGATATGGACGTTTCCGACTGTTCCAATAGCGTTGACGTAGGTGCTGTTGCTGGCGCAGATGCTGAGGTGTTTGGGAGGAAAGACTTGGAGATACCAGTCAGGAGGGGAGTAATCATCCTCAAAGACGTCGTCGGGAAGGAACGAGAGCGATGGTCGTTTGAAACCAGTAGCCATAATAATGATATCGCCTGGAACGACTTTCTCGCGGCCAGGTCCACCCTTGGGTACATCCTTTGATCGGTGATTGAACATAATACCATCCTCTTGCGCTGACAGGATATCACCACGTAGCCAACGTGCTTTGCCTTCTCGAATGAGCTTGAAAAGATCGGAATTTGCCATGGGAGTCGTGGTAAACAGGCCACTCTCAGGTGCAATATCCTCTAGACCGCGATAGAAAACTTTGCGAAGGAGCCACTCAGGCACCCACGCCAAAGATGTCTCCTCTCCCCAGATGTTGCAGGCCAGCAAAGACTGTACCAGTATATTGCGCGGAATGACCCATTTATCCGATCGCGAAAGAACATCGATCTCAGAGGCTCCGGAATGGACCGCAAATTCTAGTGCTTCAATTGCGCTTGCACCGCCTCCGACGATGAGAGCTCTTTTCCCTTTGATGTCCTTGCCATCGAGATTTGACGAGTGGCAGATAATACCCTTGAATTGATCTTGATTTGGTAAAGAGGGCATTTTAGGGTCTCCACAAACCCCGACGGCTGTAATCACGCCATCAAAGCTCCCGTATTTCTCTGGGTGGTCATTGATAACCCACTTGCCAGATGACTTTGCCTTTTTAATAGACGTGACTGGTGTTCCGAATTCGGTGCGCTTCTCTAATCCATATCGTTTCCACAGATCGACGACCTGGTCGCGAATTTCGTGTTGGTTGGGGTATGCGTGTTTATATCGCACGGTTGGGTGGAACCGATACATGATGCTGTGGATTTGCAATGCAGATGTAGAGTTGACGCGCTAGTGATGATGAGCGACCGATTGGAAAAAGATGCACGTGCAGCGATCAGTTTAGCTTACACTCCAAATACCTCCTAATCCCTTCTCTTTCCCGCGTGCCTCAAATATTTGCACCTCGAAGCCATGGCTGATACAATGCGCCGCTGATGAGATACCCGTCAAGCCGGCACCGATGATAGCGATCTTTCTCTTTGGTAAGCCCTTATCAAAGCGATTCGATGGAGACCTTGAGGGTCCTAGAATCCAGGCAACAAAATTCTGAGCAATAACGTAGAAGGTGGAGAAAAGATAGAGCAAGGGGTTCGTAATGAGCAGAGTAAACAATGACTGAGCCATGGTCACGTTAAAAGGCTGCTAGGCATCTAAAGTCGAAGACTTAGAAAGAAGAAAAGGGGGAAAAGGGCAGTTAGGATAATACAAAAGCAAGGTTTATGTTGAAGTATAGCGTCTGGTTACAAGGATAAACGGGATGACGTTTTTATGGATCATCCGACAAGTTGTGCAATCAATTATCCACCACGTTTTATATCCCTGCGAATGACGTCAAGGGCGACTGCAAAACCAAACTTCCTAATCCCAAACCTGGAAAATGCTGCCTTCATCAACAGGGTCATTCAAGGGTATGCCGGAAAGGAGCAAAAATATGTCTACAGATATCTAAGAAATTTCTAGGAAGACGTTGAGAAGGACCAAAGAAATCACAGCCTTTAGGGGTTTCTGGGGATATCTTTTTGCTCGGGCTCTATATTTACATCGTGTGTGCAAGGGTAGGAAGATCTCCGCCAATTTAAGATAAAGTGTGGCCTTCAGTCTAATTGTTCAGTCTACGTACTAAAAGATAGTGTTTGAAAGGGTTAAATCTAGAAAGCTACCTGGATGGACCGAGAACACATTTGCTATGCCGTGGAGCTGTCATGATAGCAATGAATGCAAAGGCGTTTCAAGTCATGAAGCCGTAAGAGAATGCCCATGGTGATGTCAGAAATATCGGCGCCTAGTCATATCACCTTCTTGCTTTTGCCGCTAACCATCAACTCATTCAACACCATCGAGAAAAGTTCGGGTATACGAGGAAATAGGGGGTGCCTGCAAGAAAAGAGTTCGAGGATGTGGTGCATGTCAATCTGGGATGACCGCCATGACTTGAGATGATGGAAAACGACACGAGCGGGGATCAGACGGAGCGATTCAAATGGTGACGTGATGGCGGATAGAACCAAGTCACTCTAGACTAGTTCCCTTGAACCTCTTAGCTAGCTGTTCACCGTCGGAATTGGGAGTGATAGAGCGGGGAATATGGGCAGCGGGTGAAGCGAGTCGTCGTTTCCCAGATTGGGAATTGTGACGAGACGGATCAACCGCCGAAGGCCAGGGGGCGCTTAGGGGGGCGCTCACCACTCTCCTGAAGAATTGTCATCAAGGTTGCCCATCCAGGGGTATTCAATAGCTGCATTCCATCGGCGGGGGCATGAGTTCTAGCGACTCGGCAGAGAAGAGCTTCCTCGTCCTGTAATTGACTCGATGTTAGTACTGAAACTGGATATTACCTTGGGACCTTTCATGAAGTGAAGCTGACCTTGCTGAATGTGGAGAGACCATGCAGGAAGCTTAAGAGGTGGAAGTCAGAAACGCCTTGAATGGCCTTGTCGGGATCTCCATGAGACATAAGCTGTTGGGCCACATGTCGCAGCTCCTGACTCTCGCCGATGACCTCGCGGTTTTCGATGGGGAAGCGACTGTTGGTGAAAAGGGGTGTAGACTCTGTAGGGAAACCATGGGTGAGGGTCACCAACAAGAAGTCGACGGGGAAACTTGGTTTTGCGTTCTCCTGGACACTGGCACCGTGCTCGTTGATTCTGCGGAAGAAAACCTCGGGAATATAGCGGGTCTTGCTGCCCAGGTCGTCATCATCCTCCGATTGAACCAGCATCACGGTGGGGTCTGCCGATGGCTCGATGATATCGGCACGAACCATCTCCACTGCGGAAACGGTCGCCTGGTAGGAGCTCACGGCAATGGCCCCTGTATCATCTCCGCTGAGCACACACGTCACAAAGTCGGAGCCGAAGCGCCCAGTGCGGCTCCATTTGGTTGCCTTGGGGTTCTGGGCCTGGAGACGCGAAGCAAAAGCAATCTCGAGAGATGACAGGTAGTAGGAGTCGATATGTCGTTTGCATATCACGGAGCCATCCCCTTGGCCTGCATCGAGGAGATCCGTGAAGATAACTCCAACCTTTTGCAACCCACAAAGGCTCGCCACTTCGTCCACTTCCTTCTCGTTATGCCAATCATGAAGCGTGACGCCGTCAATCTCTCCCATCTGCGGAGGCTCGTAAATTGCCTGGACGACTGCCTTGACGCCCAGCGGCACCTCCTTGTATTCTTCGTATGTTCCGTACAGAAATCCTAGTCGTTGGGATCCGGACTTGCGCCAGAAATCGAGGAGTGAGTTGATGAGATCAGGGGAGGAAAACTCCACGTGGTCGACCATGCGGAATTCTTGGGGTTGTAAGCTGATGGCACTGGGCTGACACTTGGTACAAATGCCCTCTGGCCACTGCGGGTGTCCAGATGGGCAGTCACGCCGCACTCGATAGAATGGTTCTTGAAGCGGTGGCAGATATGAGCTCCCAGCCTCGGGTTTATTGGTAGCGGCATTGATTTTCCGCAGGTAGGAATGGAAGGAAAGGTGTTTGATCTTTTTCTCGGAGAGGTAATTCTTGTCGTATGGTTCCAGCGGCATGCAGTAGTCACACATACCCCGTGGACCATGCTTGCACATTCTCTGATCCTGTTTCCGTTTAATCTTTCCATCGGTCTTGTCCAGCAGGTTGTCCAAGGGTGACTGCTTGACCACATCCCATGGGTTTTTAATATTGATCGAGGGAGATGTAGGTTGCGCGCGGATTGGTACGGTCTGTTCCTGCGGAACCGAAGTTCCATTCAGCCGGCGCTCGGTGGTGGTGTTGGTGGATGTGAGGCCGTTGGAGGCGCCGTTTTGCTGTGCAGCGCGCTCTTGATACCCAAGGAAGAGCTTATCGCCATGCCTTGCAAACCATGACAATTAGCAATGTGATCCGTCGGGGCCGGTTCCATCCGCACTTACTTAAGACCGACTTGCTCGATCGAGACTCCGTCCAGAGCCTTTAATACTCTCTCCTCACCGCCGGTGCCTATCGGGCGATTAGACAGCGTGATGGATGACGGTTCGATATCTGACGGTAGGTGCTCCAGAATCTAGAATCGGTGAAGCGTAAGTCATGTGTGAAGCCAAACTGAGCTTCATAGAACTGGGACAGGCAACTACCTTTTGCTGAAGGGAGGGAAAGAGGTCTTGCGGGTTCACAGTGAAGCGAAACTGGCCGTTCCGACTCTCGAACCGCAGGAGAATCGGCCGGGACGCCATGGTGAGCTGGTCTGGTGGAAGAAAGATGAGATAATGGCGAGGGAAAGTGAGAGCGGGATATGAGGTATTTCAAGTATAAGGCTGAAGACGCATAACGCGGAGTTGTTGAAGTGAAGCTGCCAGGAAGCTTCTCGCTGTGACGTGACTGGCCGGCGGGCGGTATGGTTATGCAATGACAATACACCGTGCGGGGCCGGGCAACGAAGGGCGAGTAAGATTGGTAATCATATTACCCCGCGGACGTCGTTTTCTTTGGTAGAAAACACAACCTGGGAGATATTTTCTGGAAGATGGGCTCAGGACACGAAACTTCCACGAGCTATTCTACAGCATGAGGTGGATCTGGCCTGCAGTATGGGCTAAGATGCACAGCTCCCCAGATGTCCTACGATTACTGAGTAATCATCCGCAATAGAAAAGCTACCAAGCAACGACGAGTATTCTCAAAATCTTTAATTGAGATATCTAGAATTCCCTCACCAGAAAACAGTAATGTATCCATGTCATCGTCAAAATTTCGGAACGCCCGGGAACGCCTCAAGAACAGAAAAGAAGGAAAGAGCGAGTTAAGTATGTGTAGTCCCCATTACATGATAGCACACTTCTTGGGAAGACCGCACGGTCCCTCACTGCTCTTTTTCTCCTTCGCTGCTTCCTGGGTACCCTGCTGACGCTGGACAGGCTGCTCAGTCTTCTTTGCAGTTTGTCCGGCCCCAGCAGCCGAATCCGCGGGCTTCGATTCGGCACTGCCATGCAGTCACTGGCTACCCTTGGAGACGGTCTCATAGAAGGACTTGCCCTGAACCTCGGCGATCTGGAGCTCAAGGGCGGAAGGCTGGCGAGATCCATCGGCACCGGCGAAAGTACCAGCACCCCAGGGGCTACCACCGTGAACCTCGTCGAGGTTGGTGAGGAGGGGGAAGGCGGTCTTGTAGCCCAGAGGGACGTAAACGAAGCCGTGGTGGGCGAGGGTGCTCATGGCGGAAATAGCAGTGGACTCCTGGCCACCACCGGGGGTACCGGTGGAGATGAAGACACCAGCGTGCTTGCCCCAGAAGCCGCCAGTGGCCCAGATAGAGCCGGTAGCATCCCAGAAGGTCTTCCACTGAGCAGGGAAGTTACCGTAGCGGGTGGGAATACCGAACAGGATGGCATCGTACTCCAGGAGGTCGGTGGGCCCAACAATGGGGTAAGAAGACTTGGCGGGGGCGTGCATCTTGGCCAGAACCTCGTCGGAGAGGGTCTCGGCGATCTGGAAGATGTCGGCCTGGCCGCCGGCGGACTCAATGCCCTTCTTCTCAGCCTCGGCCAGCTTCTGGATGTGGCCGTACAGCGAGTACTACACTGTTATTAGTAGGGGAAACCCGAGGGAATATCAATGGCAAACGTACGAAGACGATAGCAACCTTGGGAGCCATGGTGAATGTATGAGTAATGGATTGGGATGAAGAGAAGTGTAGCAAGGGCGGAGGAGGCGAGGTTAAATAGTCGAGCCCCACCAGAGTTGACACCAGAATCCCCCCTCCCAACTTTGCATGCCAACTGTCTAAGAATTAGCAAAGCATAGCAAAGTTTCCTGGGTACCATTAGATGCAATCAGTCATCGATGACTGAGCAATACGAGCCGTCTATTGGCCCGCTCGGGCCCACCCTGCTGTATACGGATTTAATCGAGTTTAGTCGAGTTTAGTCGAGTCTGACCGATCTCTGACAAATGGGTCTCCATGGGCTTCCCATGGCTCCACGTTGCCAGGGAAGCCGTGGGCTTTAATTTCCCCTGCAGTAATAGAGCTGATCGCCTCTCTAGCGTTGGATTACGTGCTCTTCTTCCGTGTCGGATATATGTATTCAACGTACTGTATACTACACTACACTGACATGATGTCATGACTCAAGACGCCAAGCGTTCTTGAGATGCTTTCAAATTCTCGGCTTTGAGAAGATGAAGCTTCTATGGACCCTGTGGAGCCAACCTTGGGATTCGGGTCTCATGCAATACTGCAATACTGTAGTAATGCAATGCGACCTGCGAAAGACTTGCGAAGGGGCTGGCCAATTGACTTTGTGGCTGGTTCTCGCCCCTGACCAGTTTTGTACACGCCGTCGCCATATGTAGAAATTTACGGAATGAACTAGAACCGATCGAGACATTGGAAGTACGTGCTCAGCACTCATTTTGATATAATTGGTTGCATGTTGTCATGAAGGAGATGGGTATCGTGAGACTAGGCCACCCAGGACCGTCAGTATAAAGGACATCAGTATGCTCTCGCGCCAGAAAAGACAAACACCCCTTCGCACCGTGGAAATGCAAGGCCACCCTTCGTGGTCGGTCTTAGAGACAAAATCAACCCCTTCCTCTCCCGCGATAGCGTCCGCGCATGAAGCCACCACCACGCCCGCGTTCACTCCGCCATTCGCGCTCTCGCTCCTTCTCCCGCTCTTGCTCCTCTCGAATGAGTGCTCGTTCGTGCTCTAGCTCCTCCTCGGTCTTCTCGGTCCGCATTGTCGGTCGTGGTAGGTTCTCCGTCCATCGGGGGTGCGCATCGGCACAGGTCTTGCCCTCAGGACAGAATCCGGCAAGGTAAAATTTGCAGAGTTTACGGCGCACATGTCGCTTGGCACAAAGAGGACCCAATTCGCAGAACCCTCGATCGTAGTGTTCACATGGGGGTAGGCGAGCCTCCTCGCGGACGTGTTGATATAGGCAATCGTCGCCGTTAGGGCAGTATCCCGATCGCGAGAAAGACTGGCATTCCGGCATGCGGCGCAGGTTGTATTCGTGCAGATACTCGCATTTCAGCCCCTTCTTACACAATCCCTTCAGAAAATGCTTGCAGACAAGCGAGCCGTGTGTCGTGGAGGGTGCCAACCCGGAGGCAGTGGTAGTGGATGTGGTTACGCGCGAGGGAGTTGGGTGACGGTCTGGGCAGGCCGGTCCCAGCGGGCAGTGGCCTTCGCTGTAGGCTTTGCAAACGGGGACATCGGTGGCGAGGCCAAAGCCAAAGCTCTTGCGGAGGAAAGGAGCGAAGGTAAAGTCGTTGTAGCTCGGGTCTCGCGTGGGTTCAGCATCCAAAATGCGCGCGGCCGCGCTTTGCACATCGGCTGACATGTTGGTCTGGGAATCAAAGCAGATAGGCTTCGATATTTGATACTCGGTTGGGAAGGGTGGATATCCTCAGCAAGAAAGGTAGTCGCGAAAGAAGATATTCCCACACCAGAGCCAAGAGGTGGAAGATGAAGGCCTGAATCGTGACATGGAAGCTCGGAGACGGTTCTTTGCCGCCTTAGAAATCAGGCTGTATTTGTCATGTTTGCATCCTCTCTATTGGATCTGTGCTTGAATCACTTTCATTTAAAGCTACTGGAATCAGTCTAAAAAGATTCGTGTGTTCAATAATTCGAGTCATCCTAGTAGCAGCCCGATCAAGGAGGGTTTCCTCTCTAGACAGGTTTTGCGCTTATTTCCAAATTTCCATTCAAACACCTCTTTAATTACACCCGGGAAGAGTAGTAGGAGCTGTATCTTCAGGAACATCCGGAATATCCCCTCAGTCTGGCTACCTATCACTCCTTCTCTAATCGCGCAGGTTTAATGATTGACAAACCCCAGTTGCTGATCCACGACCTCCCGTACCATCTGTTCCAAAGAGCGCCATTCAATCTTGAGGTCTTTCTCGGCCTTGGTGGTGTCAGTCGGGGAGGAACTTCCCTCGATATCTGCTGAAATTTTGGCTCCCAGATTGGGGTAGTGCTTTTTCACAATATGCGCCACATCGCCCCATGTTGCCTTGTTTCCGGATATCAGATACTTCGAGCCGTCGGCGATTTCCGGGTTCAGAGCTTTAACATGCGCCTCTGCCACATCTTGGATATGCACACCAGTCACTGATCCAGATGGGGTACCGGTCATGATTGTCCCCCAAAGTAGTCCATTCGAAGAGGAACTAATTTGTTCGGCGGAAGTCTGCACAAGGTTCTGCCCAAAGACGAACGATGGGTGAATAGTGACCAAAGCATAATGAGGCTTGGCAGTCTTCCAAAGTTCCCAGCTGGCGTTATTTGCGAGCAGCTTGGATGCGCGGTAGAGTCTCATAGCTGTTCCAGCAGGATTGCTGGGATCTGTGAAATCGGCGGCTTCATCCACGCTAAAGTCCCAGTCGTTGTCCTCTAAAAGCAAATAATCGTAAGCCTCGTGAGCTGCCAGTATTCAACTTTATTGTAAAAAACCGACCTTTAATGACTCCACCTTCAGGAATACCATTCAATGGGATCAGAGCCGCGATTGATGAAGTGACAACGACCTTCTTGATACTCGGGACCCTGGTAGCCTCATTCAATACGGCATTGGTGCCTTTCACCGCTGGGCCAAAATACGACTCCTTCTCGATGCCGTGGGTCAGAGGAGAGGCAAGATGCAAAACATAGTCTGCACCGTCAAGTTTCCCCTTGAATGCGGCCTCATCGGTGATGTCGGGGACAATGACATATTCAATGTTTTGGCTATACTCCGATAGAGCAGCCTCGAGAGTTTCCGATGGCTTCCGAAGACAGACGCGCAGTCTGTATCCGGCCTTGAGTGCCGCAAGAGCGGTGGCGCTTCCAATGAAACCAGATGCGCCAGTAATGAATATCAATCCAGCTGCCATGGTTTCTTTCGATGAAATCTCTTGATTGAAGGTGTCTGTTGATGATGTCTGAAATTGTGGATGGGGCACTTGTCCTCGTCTGACTTTATAGAATTCGTTTACAGTCTGGCCCAACCCATTCCAATGCTTATTGAACTACCTGAATCATCAATAATTTGATGAAAATATCAATAAATCTTCGTGATTCAACGTCTCGAAGATAAATTACACATAAAGCTGACGAATTCAGGCACTAGGGTAAAACACTTGGCGGGTTCATCCAAGCTCAATGCCGAAGCTTACTGATCCTAGTCGAGTTGACAATTTAGTATAATCAAAAAAGCACAACTAGCACAACGATTATCGGTATGGCGAGTTGATAGGGTCATCAGAATATTGTTGTGTGGAAATATGTCGATTGGTGGCGGCCCCGAGTTTCGTATTACACTATCATCCCGAGAATCTGATCTAACTAAGAACACCACAAAAAGTTAGCTGAAAACGCCGCGCCCATATGATTTGAAATCAAATCCAGTTGTAGAAAAATCCATCAAAACTTGCCATGAGTGACATGTCTCTTCACGTGAACGAGGTCTTGAAAATCAGGCACTGGTGCGGAACAGTGGGCCAGCACCATCTCGTATTCTATGTTCGAGTTCACTTCTTCGACAATGCTAAAGATACCCGAATTTTACAGCCATTGCAACCTACTATGCAGTCTAGGCATCCCAGAACGACGAGGCTAAGCAGCGTTTTTCCACCAACGTTGACATCACCATGAGCCCGTTGTGCAAACCCAGGCGCATGGACTGGATATGCTTCGTTTCTAAGCATCAAAAGATCGATAGGCAATGATCGGTATTCTCACTGCCAACTGGATTGGAAGGAGAAAAACAGAGGGCTCCGTCTTACAGGGTTGTAGAGATCTACCTCGAGGCATGAAGCACAGGATTCTTTGATTGCAATCACTTGCATTCCTAATAGGATTGATCGATGGCATCAATGACCGCATCTCTTGCTTAAACTCGACTTTTCACCACGCTCACAGACACAAAAGTGGTACGTCATGATTAGAATTGCTTGACCTCCAATTTCTCGGTAGGAAAACTCGGTGTCAGTTGCCTGATTCTTGCACGCATCACGGGGAAGAGAAAGGGGTGCGAAGGCTGCTGCACCGCCTGAATGAAAAGTCTCAACCAATCAGTCCATGCATGGAATGATTTGATTTGAGCGGGATGAAAAAAGCAAAGATCGAGCGAGTGCCGCGACCATCGTCTAGCCTGGCCGGTGTCTCCACGGGTATCCATCATGGCTCCTGTCAAGGCCATCTCTACGAGCTTGACGCAGTATGCGCTGCCCAACTCTCGGTCCTGTTCGGGGCGACGATCCGTGATCTTCCCGGGCGCGAATCCCCAGACTTGGGGTGCATATGCTCCCCACAAGTTGGGCGAATGACATGTTGCTCACTCAAGCTGACTGCAGGTCCTAATCCAATCTCACCGTGTATATGGGGCTTGAAGTGGTTCCCTCATTGCGGACCGGAGATGCGCTCAGGGTGTTTCAAGATCTCGCGCGAGTCGTGACCGTTTAGCATGGTGCACGCCGTGTATTGGTCCCAATGCAGAGGTCATCCACCCAGTCAGCCCATACACGATGCCCTCGTCGGCACTAAAACCCATCACCCCCGCCCCATCAGTCCGGTCCGATCATAGTTGGGATCGACGGTTCATGAGAAAAAAAAAAGATTCTCCGGTGCCACAAACCCCGACGCACGATACGAATTTCACTCTCATAGGGCAAAAGTACTAAGTCACATCCAATTGCGCGAAGGGTGAAAACAATTGCCAACACGTGACACATTCCCGAAAAGGAAAGACACCTGGTCGTCCTTCTCTTTCTCGTTTGATTTGATTTCCTCACTTTGTAACCGCGTCTGGACACTCTTTGGATGATACCCTGATACCATTCTTTCTTTTATTTTTTCTTTCCTGTCTTTCCTTTCCTTCCTTCTCTGGCATCCCCATGTTTTCTGCTGCTAGAGACATCTTTCGTCGGCGGCCCACAGTTGACCCCGCCAATGCCGCCGGCTCATACGAGGTACCTCTGTACACTAACGCGGCGTACTATCCAAACTGGAGGATCTACCGCAAGCAGCCACCTTCGTCCCTGCGTCTGGGGTTCGTATCCCACGTGTTTTACGCATTTGCTTGGTACGTAGCCAATCACTGGCCTTCAGATCGGTCATATAGATAAAGAAAGCGCTAATCTCAATCTGACATCCTTGCAGGGTGAAGGAAGATGGCACTGTCTATGTAAGTTTTGGAAAATGTGGCGCGAGTTTGAAGGAAAGTATGTGCTAATGGAGGTTGTAGTTGAGTGATGAGTGGGCTGATACCCAGATGCCGGTCGATGGCGCTGAGGGCTGCCTACAAGCATTCGTCCAACTCAAGCAGCAGTATTCAAAGATGAGGGTCATTCTTTCTGTCGGTGGCGGTGGTAAAGGAAGTGAGAACTTCGCTGTTGTAGCCCGCAGTCGCTCGGGGGTGGATACATTCGCTCGAACGGCACGTGCGTTGGTTGACCAATATGGACTGGACGGTATCGATGGTACGTTTTACTGCTTGAGAATTGAACATTGTCTTATCTTCTCTTCACACAGTCGACTGGGAACACCCCGCAGACCCGCAGCAGGGCAAAGACTACGTCCGTCTTCTCGCCAAACTACGAGAGGCCTTACCTGCTCCTCAATATGTTGTGGCAACCTGTCTCCCGGCGGGTCTATGGGCGCTGCGCAACATTGATCTGTCTGCGGCACAAAAGTACCTAGACATGATCAATCTTATGGCCTATGACTTTGCGGGCCCGTGGGGCTCTGAGACCGGTCACCAAGCCCAACTCTATGGCACACCGACCTCTGGATACTCAGCAGTGGACTATGTGTTGACGCAGGGAGTGTCCCCGCGAAAAGTCATTCTAGGTGTTCCGGTATATGGTCGCTCATTCCTTGGAAGTACTGGGCCTGGTCAGCGATATACTGGAACAGGAGGCGAGGATGGGGTCTTTGACTACAGCGATCTACCGCGCCCGGGAGCCCAAGAGATGCATGATCCACAGGTTGGCGCTGCTGCTTGTGTGGGCGCAGACGGTGGGTTTGTTACTTACGATATCCCCGCTACAGTAAAGCAGAAAGCAGAATTTGTGACCTCATCTAAGCTGGGGGGCCTATTCTATTGGCACATTTGTTCCGATGCTAGAGGTCCTCGCAGCTTGATCGAAACTGGTTACAACACACTGCATGAGATGTAAGTAGGGATGTGGTGGATTCAAAATCAATACCAGAAAATTACTTCCAATCGAAACAAGCTCTGGATAGCGTCCTGTAGAAGTTTCTGATGCTTGGTATCTGAGAAAAGTAAGCATAGGTATCTAAGCTGCATCGCAAGCCGTGACACCTTACTCTTTCTGTCCAGGAAAAAGAATCTTGGTAATCGGAAACTTCCAAAGGACATCACTTTGGCAAATGTCCGATGACTTTCACGTCTTCTAGAGGGGATTATCAGTCAATAATTATCGCCGTCTCGTATTTATAATTCCTTTCGGCGGTTTAACGGCGAAGCGTGGACCTCCACAAGGCACTACAAGGGGCGAACCGAACGCCGAGGTCCAACTACACCCACGAATGTGCCAATACGACGAATAGACTTTGGTAGCGCCCCTCTTTTGACATAATTGACATAAAGCCCTCTTGATATCCGATGTCCGATGTCCGATGCTATAAATGCTCAAAGTACCCCGTATCTTCTGCATCGACCGTCCCCACGTTTCCCCGGATCACCCAATATGACGTCGCCACCGCAGCCCGCGACTGCAGACACTGGGTACCTCACCGAGCCAAGCCCTTTAGAGAACACGTACACATCGGATACAAGTCTGCAACGAGCTTTGCAATGTGAGTCCTTTTTTAATATGAAAGAAAAAGCTTAGCTTTGATTTTTGTTCTAACAATGTTTAGGGTATCTCCCATCCCCAACACTCGCATCCATAGAACTACACCTGACCCAGCTCGGTGCCGAGGTGATCTCCGAGCAGGTCCGGGAGTGGAGTGCTGATGCTGAACGAAATCAACCTTATGTCAAGAGCCATAACGTTTGGGGGAAACGATATGACTATGACCGACTGATCACTACCGAGGGCTGGAAACAGCTGGGACACTGGGGAGCTCGCAATAAGATCGTCTCGGCAGGATATGACCTTGCTCTAGGATTGGAACGGAGAACAGTTCAATATGCACTGTAAGAGATGATTAATTTCAACTGGAGACGTTTACAAGGCTGTTTATTGACTCATACTCTAGGAACTACCTCTATGCCCCTTCTTCAGGCCTGTACTCCTGTCCGATTAGCATGACGGATGGAGCCGCTTTCATCCTCTCGTCGAAAATCCACAATCTACCATCTACGCATCCATTCCAGGTCGCGTACAAGAATTTGACTTCTGAAAAGGACGATCATTGGACTTCGGGTCAGTGGATGACGGAGAGGGCCGGAGGAAGCGACGTTCAAAACACGGAAACTTGGGCAACGTACTCTCCTCTTACCACCCCATCCAAGCTCGATCCTCTCGGGGCGGGTGACTACCTGATCAATGGATTCAAGTTCTTTTCATCTGCCACTGATGCTAAAGTGGCTCTGCTGTTGGCCAAGACTCCTTCAGGGAAGCTTAGCACTTTCTTGGCACCTCTAAGAAAGACTGTGTCTGGGAATGATGGTACTACTCGACAAGTCTCAAACGGCGTGAGAATCCATCGGTTGAAGAATAAGCTCGGAACAAAGGAACTGCCGACGGCTGAGCTAGAACTCAAGGATATGCGTGCGCACCTGGTGGGGGAGATCGACCAGGGAATCGTCACCATTGCACCGCTTCTTAACGTGACTCGCATTCACACATTCATCGGGTCTCTGTCGGGCTGGCGTCGTGCGCTCAGTATCACTAAAAGCTTTGCAAAAGCCAGATCGACCGTTGGGGAACCCCTATGGTTGATTCCAATGCATCTACGTCTTCTTGCTGATCTGGAAGTAAGACATCGTGGGGGTATGAACCTTGGATTCTTCACAGTCGCCGTGATGGGACTCGTTGAGAACAAGGTATCTCAGCCATCAGAGTTGGCACACATGCCTCGTCCTGGCAAAGAGGCTAATGTCGTGTTCCGAACCCTGACAGCCACTGCAAAGGCTGTTGTCAGCAAGATGTCCATTGCTGGAATTCAAGAATGTCAAGAAGCGATGGGCGGTGTTGGCTACATGGATGAAGCGGACGAGCCTGAGTTCAACATCTCGCGAATCCTTCGCAACACTTCGGTCAACTCGATCTGGGAAGGAACTACTAACGTGCTGGCCAGTGAGACTGTTCGTTTCCTCTTGAAATCTGACAACATGGGTATTTTCGCAACATGGTTAGACCGCACCTTGGCTTCGCTCCTCACGCCAAGCTTGCGCGATGTCCTGACTGCTGCCTGGTCTACTTTGCGAGCTCGATTTTCTCCAAAATACAAGGCTGCGACTGCAGTTCTTGCTGATGCCCGCCGCTATATGTTCACGCTCGCCTGGATCATGTGTGGCGCACTCCTGGCCCTCGATGCTGAAAGAGACCAGGATCGGGTGAGCATGGAGATTGCCTGTCGCTGGATTCTCAAAGCCGAGGGAGGCGTCGGAGATTTGGTTTTCCATGATATTGTCACTGTCAGAGACAGCGGAGCTGTCGATGCGGACGGTGAAGATCATCTGCAATGGGATTGTCGTATTGCTTGGGGCATCGAATTGCCCGCAAAGCGGGCATCTGGCCACAGGTCTCTGCAGAGCAACAGCTCGAAGCTGTAAGCGTCGTATTTGGTGCTTGTCTATAGCAGACTATACAGATTGCTTCATATTGATAACGGAGATCGCAAGCGCTTTAAATCTTGTTTCTTTCGTTCCTTTTGAATAGTTCCAGCCCTGGAAAGAGGAAGTGATTGACGAGGACTTCAATTGTTTACCCCATGAAGCCACTTGTTGCGTAGACATAGGCAATCAAGGATTCAATCGAATGAAATACGCGTCACAATTTCATGGTGCAGAAGCGATTCTTGGCAAACGGGATCGGCGATGTGGGAGGTGGGAACCTCGGTTTCTTTCATTCCTCGTAGCATTTGAGGCGCATCCTAGCACCAACAACTGATCCTCTGGTATAAAGTGTCGTTTAAAGAGCTCAAAATGTCTAAGCTCCATGCCGACGCCCCTCAACTGATATACCGGTCGCTCCCGATCCTGGTCAGCTACATCACGCTCGCCGCGGCCCTGGCTCTCAATGCCTGCCGAGCTATCTACAAGCGATACCAAGCACGACAAAAGGCAAATGACTGGGCATCTCCCGCAAGGCGCACACACTTCTTCATATTCGCGGCTCTGGCGGTCCTGAGTCTCGGAGCAACGTGGTTCTACATGTTTGCGTTCTTCGCACATTCATACCGCAATTGGGAAGAGACCCGCAGCGTTCTTGATCTACAGGGCGCCGAGGTATCCATTTCCTTCAAATTGGAACTATGGCTGCAAAAAGCGAAGTTGTTCCGAGAGGCCTGGGAAACCGTCATCGAGACCCCCGCGCGATTCTGGTGGAGCGGCCAGATCTTCCTGTGGACGACGGGATGGAGTGTTTTTCTGGGTATCATGGGTACGCCAATTGACCGATCTGCAATCCTAGTTTGCAACTAACCGTCTGAACCAGCTCGGAGATATCGTATCGCGCATGTGTGGGCCTACATGCTGCTGGGTCAGATCGTTGCCATCTCTTTCGCCCAGAACTTGTTTTTTGCGACCATCCTTGTCTCCAGGCAACCAACTTCAGCAGAAAAAGAGGAAGGTGATGAGCTTAGCAAGGAATTTTCGTGGTCGCCGCCCTTGTACAGTGAACTCCTACCTGTTGCCAGCTCCCTACTGAGCACGGTCGCGGTCCCAATGGTCGCACATACCAAATATTTCATGGCCCTTTTGCTCATTCCACATCTCCTGCTCTTTGTCCCTGCGGTTCTACGTCCGAGTCGCTCTGAAAAGGACCAAGCCGCTACTAAGGCTCGCAGCAGAGCCCATGATGCAGATAATACCACTCGGCGATACATTGTCTTCTTCCAGTTGCTCATTGCAGCTTGCGTTTTTTTGCAGGCCCACTCCACACTTCAGGTCTTGGAGCACTCAGGAACGAGAGATTTTGGCACACTGACCCGAACTTTGCTCGCCGCAATATACGAGCATCCGGCCGTGAGTAGCGTCAGCTGGGATGTGATCTATTGTACGGTGACAGCGATGGCTTGGTTCTCTGTGAACGGAGGCGATCCGAACCGAATGCTGGGTGAATAGATTGTTTGGAACGAAGATCATGAACAAGCTGAAATTGACCTTGGATAAGATGGGATTGCTTCCGTTCCCCTGCCACGAGTTATATAGCATAGCTTTGATTATCTACCTCAACTCTGCCTGAACGGATAACGATCTCAGTAATAGTTGTATTTAGAAATGTAGCGTTGGCTCCTGCGACAGAGTAGGCTTCACCTGGTATCGGATATCGTCTAACAGGACCGAATTCTAAGGAAACCACCACATGAGAAGAGTTGGCGTTCAGCCTGAAACCAGGTCATATTTTGGCAGTTCGATAGCCCGCCGAAGAATTCGAAGGTAAATCGATTCCCCAGACGATACGACAGTCCCACTCTGTCCGTTCGCGATCGCTTGGTTTTCTGTCTTGTGCGGTGACCGATCGCTGGTAAATGAGATCAGTGAACCCAAATTCTCCAGGTATGCCCTGTCCATCTAGAACCCATCTCCTAGCCACCTCGAAAGCGACCGCATCTTTGTCTCGTTGGGCATCTAGTGAAAGCAATATGCAACTCACGAGCCAGGCAAGCGTGAACATGATTTGACGGGCAACACCGAGCACAGCTGCTAGACCTTGATCTTTCTGACCGGGAGCCAGCCTTTCTTTGAGGGAAGTCCAGACACTTTGTAGCGTTTCCATGGATGCGAGGTCCGAAACCTGAGCGATAGCGGATACAATCCATGTGTTGAATAGCTCCAGGTTCTGACCCTTGGTCAGATGCCGTACAGTCTCACTTGCCAAGACATTGGTCGTACCCTCCCAAACACTATTGCTGGCTGTATCGCGCCACAATCGGCTTACGTTGAATTCTGGCTCATCTGGCTCATCTGGTTCTCATTTAGATTAGTGTCTTTGTATCAGAAAAGGACCAGACTTGCCCATATAGCCCACGCCGCCCATAGCCTCTTGGCACTCCTGGAAAGCCAGGGTGGAAGACTTGCAAATAACAGCTTTGGAGGTCGAAGTGAAAGCGCGTAGAACAACGGTTGCTGTGTTTGGGAGCTTTGCTAATAAGGAAAATATTTGTGGCGCATCATCTGGGAATCCGTTGTCCACATAGCTCAGCAGTGATGAAGTAAAGAATGCCAGCTGCATCCAACCTCGATGTTTGACTTCTAGCTGGGCCAACACGTTCAAATGCATGGGAAATGTCCAAAGTGACTGATCAATGGTCCTTCGAGCCAGAGCGAAAGCCTTGGCGATATCCAGAGCCCGCCGGAGACACGACAGCGCGGTAATGAAGTTGTGAGTCCGCGTGGTGTTCAGCAATAGGGCAATGGTTGCAATACCGCGATCTTTTGGACCGATGAGATGTGCGCGCGCGTTCCGAAGCTCAATCTCAGCTGTGGGAAGCTCTTTTGTCCCCATTTTGGTTTTCAGTCGGTGAATGCGAATTCCATTAGATACCCGCTTGCTTGTTCCTTGAGCATCCACAACTTCCCTTACGGTCGGGGCAACAAAGAGAGACAACTCTCCAGATTCGGTCTTTGCCAGAAGCAGTACAATGTTACAGTCGGTGGCACTGCAGAACCACTTGAAGCCGGAAAGCAAGTAGTCACCTTCTCCGATGTTGCCGAACCGGCCAGTCTTAGATGTGAGCGGGGCATAAGTGGCCACAGTCTCACTATTTCGGACGTCGCTTCCACCGGGGCGCTCAGTCATCCATTGTGCAGAAATCCAGTTGTTTTCTCGTGCGATGAGGCGAGCGTAGAGCTCATGGAAGGGGTGATCCGGAGGTACACTCGAAAGTTGGTGTCGCACCAATCTTGCTGCCCCCGAAGTCATAGAGACTGGACAAGAGTATGCAGCCGAAGAAGCGGAGAATAAATAGTTGCTTGATTGTTTGATTGTTGTTAGTTATTGAGATGGTCAAGATGATATCTGGAGAGAAGCAGGAGAGCATACAACGCATGCTGCACAGTGCGGCGATATGGACCAAACTCCTCTTCGTATCCAAGGCCCACAACCCTATGGATCGGGTCAATAATTGAATCATCTGTATGTTCTTGGAATAGAAGTCCTTACCCATACTTGATACCCCATTTACCCAACTCCTTCCAACCATTGCTAGTCACTAGACGGTCGGCCTCATATCGCGCACCCCAAACGTTGTGGGCCTTGACATAGGGCTCTTGACTTTCAGCGTTACCGATATGTACGTTTGTTTCGTGTGAGATCGCATCCGATCCAAAGTCGTGGAGGTCAGGAGTGATCTTGTCCAGTACATCTTGCGGGAGATACCCTATGTGTCATGTAGTCAGTGTGTGTAAGACCCAGATACTTTGCGGTCCGAGATTTGATCAAAATCAGCAAGGTGAAGAGCTGCGTACATTGCAGAATACGCTGGAAGACATGGTCTGTTGTTGCCGGATTCTGCAGCGCTGGGGGCGAAAGGATGAGGCCCTCGTCAACGGTAGAAGGTGGCCGTGAATTAGACATGCTGGAGAGTATTCTTCAAATTCGAATGATATGATATGTTCAACTAAAGCATTTTGCTCTGTTTTACATCATGTCTTATAACTATAGCCGATTCAAGGTGCGGGGTCTTCTCCATGTCAATCGCCAAACGGTGACATGGGCCTTTGCCGAGTAGTGATACCGACGAGAACCGACAATCACCGAAAACGACCGCTAGGCGACCGCTAGGAGTCGTGGAAATCCTTAGTGTAATGGGGAATAACCGATTAGCTATCCAAATGCGGGTGACTTGGTTAGCGAGAGCCGACCCCAGATGAGCTATTAATGGAGGTATTTAGGGCAGCCAATATCATATTTGTGTACTGACCGCGATCAAACTACAGCTCGCAAAGTTAGACTTATTCGTGATCTGTTCCTTTCTATTAAATCGACAATGACTGGACGTGTACTTGAAGGTGATTGTTCGCAACCGCGTCCTATTTGGACGCCGACAGTGCCGCACGATCAGATCCCCATGAACGTCTACCGCGCACATATAAATCGGAAATTCAATCAAAATTTGAGCTCATCCCAAGAGCTCCACCAATGGACTGTTCAGAATCTGCAGGATTTCTGGATCGATCTCCATCAGTATACAGGGACCATTCCATCGTTGCCTCTGACGGTGAAGTCTTCTTTTGATGCATGCATGCCAATGGAGAAAATCCCCGAATTCTTTCGTGGTGCCACCGTAAATTATGCAGAGAATGTTGTCTCGGGTCGTGATTTGAACCGAACCGCTCTGATCGGTGTTCGTGAAGGCCAGGGCTTGAATGGCGAAGTTTGGACATGGGGATTGCTCCGAGAGAACATCAGAAAGGCCCGAAGCGCATTGTTGCACCTTGGCATCCAAGAAGGGGATCGAGTAGCCGCGATAATCTCGACGAGTGTATGGTCTGTCGGTCTTTTCCTGGCCACTGCCAGTATTGGCGCCATTTGGACCAGTATCGCGCCTGATTTGGGTGTAGAGGTAAGAGATATTCGATTTCTTCGACTTCAAGCATTCTGATATCTTTAGGGATGTATCTCACGACTGCAACAAGTTACTCCCAAGGTGCTTTTTGCGGACAGTGAGTCGACGTACAAAGGCAAGATGCGGTCCAATGTGCACAAAATCCGGAATATCTTCGATGAAATGAAAGTCAAGCCTGAGATCATCTTGATTCCAATAAGTGGGACACACGAGCCGGCCTTTTCTAGCCTTGACAGCTTTCTGTCAATGTCTCAGCCTAATGATGAGCTCGTGTTCCAGAGGCTGCCATTTTCTCATCCGCTATACATTCTTTACACCAGCGGCACGACGGGTCAGCCCAAATGCCTTGTCCACAGCCACAGTGTAATTCTGCAGCATAAGAAAACATCTGTGCTTCACAACTCCCTCACTGCCGAGGATGTCGTATTCCAATATAGTAGCACCTCATGGGTGCTATGGAATATCATGATCGGCCATCTATCGGTCGGCCCAACTCTGATTCTATACGACGGGTCGCCGTTGTGGCCGACTGCAAGGGAAATGGTAAAGATTGCAGAGTATCATCGCGTCACGTACTGGGGCTGTTCGCCCCGTTATCTCCAAGAGCTGGAGATGACTCGATGTGTTCCAAAGAAGGAGTTTGACCTTTCATCTTTGCGAATGGTGCAGACGGGCGGTTCCCACTTGGGCGCCGACCAGTATCACTGGTTCTATCGCGCATTTCCACCGGAGGTCCATCTCACCAGTGTCACCGGTGGCACGGACTTGGTGACGTCTTGGATCGGGACTGACCCTGCTGGTCCTCTCTATCCAGGTGAAATCCAGTTGCCAATGTTAGGACAGGACGTGGATGTGGCAGATCCCATTACGGGAAAGTCAATCAAATGTACCGGGAAACATGGTGAGTTTGTCTGTCGTCAGCCTTTTCCATCCATGCCTGTGTTCTTCTGGGGCGACGAAGATGGATGCAAGTATAAAAGCACGTATTTCGACAAGTTTGAAGGCTGTTGGGCTCAGCATGACTGGGCGAGCTACAACCCGCAGACGAAAGGATGGCAAATCCATGGAAGAAGGTATGTACTCGCTGTACGACCCGTATGCTGTAGAATCTCGGAGTGTGATACTCACGCAATCTTGGCAGTGATGGTGTTTTGAATCCGCAGGGTATTCGATTCGGGTCCTCCGATATCTACTCGATCACGGAGTCTGCCCCATTCAACAAATCGATCTCAACCACACTGTGTGTGGGTCGGCGAAGGCCCTGTGATACCGACGAGTCTGTTTTCTTGTTTGTGGTGATGCAGCGTGGCAATTCGTTTAGTGATCATCTTGCCCTCGAATTCAGAGATGCCATTCGCAAGGGCCTGAGCAGCAAACACGTTCCTCGCTTCATTATCGGGGTCAAGGAAGTACCGATGACAGTGAATGGCAAAAAAGTCGAGACCTTAGTGAAGCAAGTCGTGTCCACTGGCGAACTGCCCACAACCATCAGCAGCACGGTGGCCAACCCGGAGTGTTTGGGACATTTTAGGCAGTATTTCGAGTTGGAGGTGAAGGACAGAGCCAAGATATAGACCTGTATAGATTGCGTGGGCCTGAACTTGGCCTTGTCATGATGTCAGAGTGTGCACATTGTACTGTAGATGTATATTATTCTTCAAGTCTCGCGCGCTGCCTCATACACCAAGTCTGCTGAGTCAACCACCTGGGCACCCGTCCAGAACGGTCGCGTCTCGCGTCTCGTCCATTCGCATCAAATTCAACATTCGTATCAAAAATTTATCTTCATTCACCTTTGATGCTGGGGACATGGGCGCTACGACGCGTCCAGCACGGTCCTAGAACCATCCGTGCCGTGCGTCAAGCTCCGCGGGATCCGCGCTTCGCACCCTCAAATGCCATCCATCATCTTGCAGTGAAGCGAATCGTTGTCGCTCAAGATGTGCGATTGAATTCGTGTACACGGACCCGAGGCTTAGCTACGGCCGCTATTCCCAGTGTGCTTGTCCCACCGCTCATTTTCGTTGGGCTGCTGCTCTCCCTCTGGACTTGGAAATGTTTCTGGATCGTAGTGATGCAGGACAAGCTCCTGTACCTCACTTGGCTTCCACCCTTCACGCGATCCGAGAAGATTGCCGACTATGAGTTCAGTTGCAGGCCTGTTCGATGGGAGGAGAAACAGATTCGCAGTCTTGACGGAACCAAGCTAGCTATTTGCGAGGGTCAGATCGCAAACATGAGCGATGGGAAAGGCTTCCAGCAGACATCAAAGTTTGTACGAAAGCGACGCGTGGTGATTTGCTATTTCCAGGGAAATGGTGGATCGATGCCAATGCGATTACCGCTGCTATCTCAGGTTTTGCGGACAATTACGGAAAAGTCAAAGTCGACCACCAAGGCGCACCAGAACGAAACTAAATACACTATCGCTGCTTTATCCTATCGTGGCTACTGGAAATCTTCGGGCCGTGCCACTCAGTCTGGAATTGAAAAGGACGCACAGGCGTTCCTCAACTGGGTATCAGAGACATATAAAGCACCGGAAACCGATCTTGAGATCGTTCTTTGGGGCCACAGCCTTGGCGCTGCCGTCGCGAGTGCAGCAACTGCAGCGTATCTTGCTCGTCAACATTCCGGGCAGACATCGGCCCACAAAAGCAGTGGCTCGCTGGCACCTCTCGTCGGGCTGATCTTAGAGGCACCAACATCTAGTATCAAAGATATGTTGATCAGTCTTTATCCCCAGAAATGGCTACCGTATCGGTATCTTTGGCCACTTTCCTGGAATACTTGGGATATCACCAAGTCCATGAGCCAAATGGCTCGCTGGAGAGATGAGTCGGGCATTGAAGCGGCAGATCCGCCATCTCGCCTTCCTCCCATTTTCCTCCTGTCTGCCGAGAAAGATGAGATCATTCCTTCTTGTGTTCCAGGCCACTTAGAGCGATGTGCCAGATCTTTCAACTTAGACCTTGAGGCAAAAGAGGTCGTAGGGGCAATGCATACAGAAGCGCCTCTGAAGCTCGATGGAAGAAAAGCCTTGGTGGATTTCATCTTGAACACGTCACGATAGCAATACCCAATGAGATTTGCCTTTTCACGCTCATAGGCGAAAGGAATGATGATGTCAAGATTAACGTATATAGTGTGGTATAATCGTCGTAAATAAATACACAGATCAGATGTTGAGAAGCCATGAGCCACTCCAGTCAAAACCTGAGCCCTCCCAACTGTTGCCAAATGGCTCCAAATTAGTGTCAAGAGGCTGGAAACCGAAAGGGTCGACCGGCTCATCCGGCCGAGTTTCAAAGGCTGGCAGAGAATCGGCGTCTTGCACATCGGCCATCGTACAGGTAGCCGCGGTGCCTTGGTTAGAGCTTGCAGGCTCGGCAGCTTGCCCAATCAGGCGCCACTGCTTGCACAGTTTCACGTCGAAGCTTTCGAAAAAAGAAGCGGTGTCGAAGTCGAGAGTTGGAGGTGGGCCCTCAAAGGGCCCTTGGTCTCGGACTTTTTCGGTTAATTTGCTGAGAGCCCGCAGAGGCCCAACTGCCGAAAGCCACCGTTCCGATAGCTTCTGAAGGGAGAGTTTGATCACCGTCAGCTCGTGCTCGGCTGTGCTTTGGAGCTGTGGATACCGGCAGCTGGAAAGCAGAGATAACCCGGCACATAATGGATAGAAGGCAAAGACAGGCCCTAGGTAGCGAAGTTCGTCCCGGAGAAGGAATTCTTCATAAATGCCCGCGATAAAAGAGGACGCCACCAGAGCTCCTGCAGGGGGAACACTGTCTGGCGTAGGCGAACGATGAAGTATTGTCAATACGACAAAATACATGACCAATAGTTGCTGGACCTCTAGGTTAGAGGTTGTGCTATCTTCCTGGAGTGTAGCGGATGTGCGCAGTTTCGGAAAGACTTGTTTTGCCCATCGGTACACGGCATTTTCCAAATCAACACGACGTTTTCGGGATATCTCCTTTCGTAGATAGTACTCGACGGTATCTCCTAGGTGGCAAGATATCGTGCAATATGCCAAAAAGACCTGTGCTTGAAAGTCTTTCACGGGGAAATCGTTCATCGAGGGCGGAAGTACATCGCTGTCCCTAAGGTTGATTGTTCTCGGTCGCCCGACTCCCACCGATATGACATTGTCTCGAATCTGCGAAGAACATATTAAATCATATACCAATGAGAGTCATGTAGCTAGGTACGCACCACTAAAGACCACCATAGACGTCGACGAAGACCTCGGTATCTCGCATTTGGCGGCGGCTCTTTGTGAAGACCAATTTGAAAGGCCATCGCCCCCGCGGTTCGGATCCAAAAGCCGCTCGTGTCCGTTGATACGTCTTCTGGGCCTACCGGATTATACCAATGTAGTAGACAGGCAGCCACGATCGAGATCAGTGCGTCATTGCCACCGCCGAAGAAGAATAAGAGCTTCGCACGTCGGTAGAAGACCTCGCTAGACCCATAATCCAAATGAGCCTTGGATACCCTGCTACCAGCCAGGAAAATTGACTGCAGCAGGAGCATAGATGGCGGGGCAGTTTCATCGAGCCATTTGGGGTCGATGACGGGTGTCCAAGGAACACAGTACTTGTTGAAACTGTCCATCAGCTGTCTTTGGACAGCGACAGGGGGGAGTTCAAACGCGCCCTGTTCGCGCAACATCCGCAGGTCGGCAGCCGATGCCTGGGGGCTGGTGTAGGTCGTCTCATGCCCGGGCTTCACCATATTTTCATCAAACGGAACGCTGCCGCCCAAGTACTCGCTGCGCCCGCGGTAGCTTTCTTCCTTGATAAAAGGCTCACCATTACTTACGGAAGCCGGCAATGGCAATGGCAATGGCAATTGCAAGGGCACCGGCTCGGGCTGGTTATGCACATTGGGGATTGCATCATCTCCGTAGGAGCCACTTGAAGACAAGCGCCGCGCCGTGATTCCAGATTCGGGATCAGGAAATTGCGAGCTGCGCCGGCTAACAGACTCCGTGGCCACACTGCGCCTAGGAGATAGGCTGTTGGTAAAGCGCTTGCGTTTTCGCGTATAGGGTCTACATAGATCAGTTGCGCACGCGTCACGGAACTGGGCCTTTTTTTTTATTTTACCTGCAATCCACGTCGGACTTATTGCAGTTGGTGCAAGGGTTGTGGGTTGCCAAATCGCACCGCACCTGAGAGTAGTTAGCGACGGGTCCATGCACGGCATAACGGCATAGATACCTTTCTCTTATGACATATGATGCACGCGGTGGACATGGCGAAAGTGGTTGGAGATGTCAAGTGGGGACGAACCGAGGTATCTCACGTCCGTTTCTCCCCTTCCCAAAAGCTTCTCCGACTTTCAACTTTCGTTTCAATGTCCCATCATGGCGAACGCGGATCCAGACTCGGTGTTGACTGATACATCGCGGCCGGGAATCACTATTCTCACCATTCATCGTCCTCATAGAAAGAATGCACTGGACCCGTTGACCGCGAAACGGCTCTACGAAGCCATTCTCGCCTTTGAGGCGGATGCGACACAGAAAGTATGCATCCTCACGGGCACCGAGACATTCTGTGCGGGCGCAGATCTTCATCAAGTAGCACAGGCAAAGGATGACACTCCAGGCGAGAATCTACGACCGGTTCAAGGCCGCAACTTGGGTCCTATGGGCCCATCCAGGCTGGTCATCAAGAAACCGGTGATTGCTGCTGTTGCTGGATATGCCGTTGCAGGTGGACTGGAACTGAGTTTACTGGCGGACTTGCGAGTTGTGGAAGAAGACGCGGTCTTTGGTGTCTTTTGTCGGCGATGGGGTGTGCCTCTCATCGACGGAGGAACTGTTCGATTACAAGCAATTGTTGGATTGAGCCGAGCCCTTGATATGATCCTGACCGGTCGACCCGTTGGCGCTCAGGAGGCTCTCACGATGGGACTGGCAAATCGCGTGGTCCCCAAGGGCGACTCGTTAAAGCAGGCCCTCGAATTGGCGCAGCAGCTTATCGCATTCCCCGAGCTTTGTCTGAATACCGACCGTCAATCCTGCTACTATAGCGCTTACGATGCATCTTCTTTCCATGACGCTATGTCCCGAGAATTCCAGGCCGGGAGTAAAGTCATCTCAGCAGAGGCAATTGCAGGTGCCGCCAAATTCAGCCGCGGGTCTGGACGACATGGTAGTTTCAAGGATTCCAGTAAGCTCTAGAGGCTTGCCGATGTATCCCTTATATCACTAGGTTGATATATTAGATGCAACTGAACTGTAAATAGTATAGTATAAATTAATCGGGTCGTGTAGTTTCGACTACATTCAATGACATAATCTTCAACCTGGTCACATCTTGCCAATAGTCCACAGGAGAGAGCCAACAATCAAATGGGCGGTCTCGACGGTCCAACCGGGGGGAAGTTCTTCAATTTGTCTTCTTCTCTGCCTCTTCAGTCCCCACGGGCGCAAATTGAATCCGCTTGCCGTACAGCAACGGCGCGCGGGACACCAATGATCCCAGGGCATGACCGACATATGCTCCTACCAAGATGGTGATGGGAAAGGCTTGCCATGGGCGGTCCCTAAATTGAGAATACAAGTCAAAAATCCGGATTCTTGGTTGCGCAACGCTGTGAAGGACTTACCAGTCCAGTGGGATAGGAATGGCCCCGAACCATGCGCCCAGTCCAGTGCCCAGAGCGCTGCCCCAGACTGCATCGACGGGCCGAGCGATTCCCCAGACCTCTTTCCATATATGACCATCCACACCGTGGGCGTAGACCAAGGCAGTTGCGGAGAGCAGGGCCATGTGGGCGGCGCAAAGCACGGTCTCGGGGTTGTGTGTCGTCAGCGGGGCACCGAACAAAACTAGGAGCACGGCCAGAATCGGGGTTGCGATTAGGGAGGATATGGCGAGAGAGAGGAAAGCAGGCTAAGGAAGAAGGTGAGCAAAATTGAATTGAAGCGTGAAGTCGAAGGTAATACCATGATTTTGGCGAGTGCTCCGGCCAAGTCGAGCTTCCCGCTTTGATGCTTTCGCCGGTATCCAGGCTTGCCGGGGCGCAAAGTCATAGAAGGGCTAGAAGGTGAGCGCTGTGCAGCCTTCTTCTTCTCTTCGCCGTCAGAGACGGTTTCGGTGGCTTGTGTTGACCCGGCTGGTGGAAGACAGAGCATCACGTAAGAGATCTGAAGCAAAGCCAGCCATGGCAGGTCTCTCAAAAGTTCCTGCACAGGGTCCGCAACCAACTTCTCAAACCGAACAGCACATAGTGTCAGGAGAAGCACTGGGTGCACATATGAGTAAACTTGCGACAGCTTCGAGGGAAGGATATTGATGGGCGGCGCGCCTGGTTTCTCGGCAGGAGCCTGGATCGGCGACCCCGGTGGAATCATAGCTGAGGATGAGGTTGCTGAGGCCATGGCAAGCGCATTGAACCTGCACTTTTCGTTTTCTCCCCTGTGTCTATGAGCTCCGGTTCGCTCGGGACACGAAAGGGTCGTGGAGCTGGCTGTGTTTGGCATGTTTGCACTCTATTGGTGCCGGGAATATAAGGAAAACTGTGGCCTTATACGTCAGGCCACAGGACCACTCTTGATCCACATGTGCATCCTAGATTTGACATATTTCTGAAAATTCGCATCTCACTACGTGCCGTTTTGCAAATTATCACTGATGGTAAAACAAAAAAAAATGCATACTTCTTTTCCAATTCTGATTTTAGTCGCACGGACAGCCAAACATTTGTCTGAGGCAAGGAAGAGAAAAAGGCTGTAACAGACCGGCTGAAAACACAAGAGACATACATTCGTACCACATAGCAACGTGAACAACGTGGACATTGAGGGTTCCACGTGGAAGGGAAGGGAGAGGCGAGGAGAAGGGGGAAGGGTTGACAAGGACGCAAGGCACAAGATATGCAGGCAGAGAGACACAGGACAGGCTCAAGAATCACCAAGGCTCAGACCAAGAACAAGAAATGGAGGTAGAAGTCTCAGAAGAAGCCATTTCGGAGAGCTTTTCTGGTGATCTTTGGAGAGCCGAGGCCTATAGATAAGAGGCGAACAGGTGCCTAAGGGAAGGATCTGAGACGAATAGTTCATGGGAAATGAATGCTGAATAAAGCAATATACGGGAGTCTCCGACAAGAGTCTCCGACAAGACACTCTAGCAAGATGAAAAAAGTAGAACGCATCTGGAGAATCATACCCCGTTCTAAGCAGACGCTTCTTTCTCGGCGGCCTGCTTTGGTGCCTCAGACATGGGGATTTCGGGAACGGGCACTGCCTCCAAGGTAGATGTTGGTTCTTCTTGCATCACCTCCTTTGACTCGACAGCAGGTACATGGACCGGTGCTTCGGGGCTGTGTGGCTCCTCAGGTATTGAAGGAGGCATACCTGCGCCGGGCAATGGCGAGACAGGAGAGCGAACTGGCTCCTCCTTTGGGGGCTCGGTTGGCGTTTCAAGAGTCGGTTTGCCGTTAGTCTGACTTGTCACAGTGGGAGAAAGCGGCTGACTGGAATATGTGTCAAAGTCTGACTGGTTAGGGCTCTTGGCCCGCTCCCGTTCATCCTTGACGCCATCTCGAACCTGAGCCACTTTGGCTTTGAACTTGCCAAACAGACTCTTCTTCTCCGGTTCAGCGCTCTGTGAAGAGCCACTTTGGATTCCAGCGTCCAGGCTGAGAGGCTGACTGGAAGGATCAGTGCTGTGTTTCCCACTACCTATCGAGCTCGTGCTTTGGTCTGCTCCAATATAAGTAGCCGCCAAGGGCGGAGACGCGAGGCCGAGCCCGACCTGCTCACTGCTTCGTTTCGAAGATCGTTGGAACCGCCAACTACGTCGATTATCGCGGCGCTCAGAACGTGCAGTATCCTCGGCCTGATCATAGTCGGAATGGTCGGTGAAAGAAGATCGAGAATTCATAGAGGGTGTGCGAGACTGGTGGGGCTTGAGGGAGGTGTCATGATTCAGCTGAGATGTGCCCTCTCCGATAGCGTGTGAATCCGAGGGCGCGTCAAGGTTACTCATGTTGGCGCTGGTTGGAGGTTTGGGAGTGATATCGCCCATAGCAATATCTATCGACTCTCGCCCACGCCTCGGTTCCAAGGATGGATCCGCGACATACAGCTCAGAAGGTGTTGCATGTAGGGAGGTTGATGAGCTCTGCGCACTGATGCTTGCACTGCCCGGTATCCGTTTCTTCCTCAACCGATTCGGTTGACGTGGTTCCTTCTGCTCACTTTCAGGAGGCGGAGACTTGGTAAAGAGTGTGGAGATTTTGCGTTCCCGACTCGGAGTCACAGTTTGAGGTGGTTGTGAAACAGGGGTATGCAGATACTCCTGAGGTCGAGGTGTATCACCGATGTTAAGCGCCTCTGCAGCCGCGACGGGTATTGGACCGTGGGTTGAAGTGTGTACATAGGCACTCCCAATGGTGGAAGTAGACGGAGCTATGCTTGGGTTGCGCTGCTCGGGCTCCTCACGCACAGACGGCGTTCGACTCGCTGATCGGGAGCTTTGATGGGAGACGGAAAGACCAGACGGATTGTTTGAAGCAGTCTCACCAGACCGTGCGAAACGGGCAGCCACGACGGGACCCATTTTGGAGGGAAGAGTGTTACTACGGTGGACGCCCACCCCCGTGGAGGTAGGAGTTCCTGGGCTGGGTGCATTATTCGAGGTTCGCGAATTGCGGGATGAGACGGAAACATTGCGACGAATAGAGTCCAGCTTGCGTTGGCTTTCCGTACTGGCACTGGCACTAGACACGGATCGTCGAACATTGGATTGAGTCGTGGTAGGACGCGAAGGGATGCCGGCTTCAACCTCCTTCACTTGCTGCTCATCTGCACAGGTGCCGCTCATGCCGACCAGGAAATGATCTTGGTTCTCAATGAGGAAAATCAACACGTCTTGACTCAGCTTGTACTCTGCCGGTGCCATGTCATGTTGGGGGTGGGACAGCATGCCGGGCTGGAAGATGGCCGAAAGGTTGGCCGACGTCATACGATTCTGGTCGGACTTAGACGCGAATACGGCGAGGAGATCGAGGATGTAAAGAAGCAGCTGCTTGTTCAGCGGAGGTAGCTCAATAATCAAGCGCTGGTAGGTGTCGACGGCTTTGGCATGGTCGAATTTGTCCGCGTCCACCACCTGGTTATCCTGGAGTACCTGTTCCTGATAAATGCGGAGGGGCTCGCGGAAGCGCTCGTAGAATTCCAGCGGAACGATGGGTTCGGGCAACTGGTTCAAGTATCGGCGGAGGACGTTGGCAGCATCGTGAACCGTGTATCCGGACCAATCCAGGCCCTTTCCATAACGTTCGGGGGAGTCGAAGATTTCCTGGAGATCCTTGATACGCTTGGCGGACCCATTGAGTCGGAAGATACCCTCGACATCAGTTGCTATACGGGAGAGTCAGTGGTGATCGATCAGAGTTGAGAGCCGCAAGGGGATCGCGAACCTTTCTCCTTCAAAAAGACACCACACTTGGCGACAACGATCGGTACATATCCGTAGATGAAGCTCTCACCACGTTCGTTGGTAAGAGAAATGGCCACATTCGCATATTTGATGCTGACGTTGAGCGGCACGCCGAAGATGCCTCGAGGGGCTTCTGCTACGAGTGACCGTTAGCACACTGGTTCTAAACGGGGGGGGGGGGGGGGTTCGATGTGCGCAATTGGAGAGAATGCCCAGAAATGCCGCGATGTCCGCCACCGCGTCGAGCATTCTGGTCGGGCGCTCAGGGGCATCTTCGCGTCCAAAGCCGGCACGCCGATTTGGTAGCAAAGCGACGATGACCCCCGAGCCAGCGTTGCGCCCGAGAGACCGTATACCAAAACGTACCTTTCAAATCATCCTTTCTCGTATTTCGTTTGAACTGTCTCCACCACGAGGCGAGATCTCGCCTGGACGGCGGAGAATTGGAGGGAACGGGCTCGGGCGAGGCGGGGAAGTGCACTGGCTCGAGGCCAGGCTGCGATTTACCGGTCACCATGGTAAAGTCGAACGGGCGCGACGATGAGGGCGAGAGGTCGGACTTTGAGGAGAGAGGGGATCGCGGGAACCACCTGCGTCACCGCCCTCGTGTGGGAAATCCTGGGGCTGGGGCCCAAGATCGCGGTGGCGAACGGGGAGGAACCTCTGAAACTTGGTGGCCTGGAGCGAAAGGGAGGGCAGGGATGAGAGGGGAGAAGGAGGAGGGGGAGAAGGGATGTGTGTGTCAAGGGTCTTTGGGGGCGGGGATGAGATTTCGAAGGGTCTGGGACACAAAGACGAAGCTTTCTGTATAGAGAGTAAAGAGGGTAGTAGAGTAGTAGAGAGGAGGAAAGAGAAAAAGGTACTGTGCTATGAATAGACCGTGTAATTCGCAGAGCCAGGGTTCCCGGGGAGGGACGAATGGGTCAGGGTCGCCTGTCACTGTCCGTAGATTGATGGGGTCTCCTATATTCACGGTGATTATCGGCGGTTCTGTCTATTGCCTACCTCTTGCCTACCTCTATTGTCTATTGTCTATTGTCTATTGTCCATTGTCTATTTTTCCTGTTCTATCAATCCTCTTAATTTTTTCTTTTTTTTTTCCCTCTCTTGTCAATCTCTGTGGCCAAATATCTCCCGTGCACAACGGGGCTCTGGACCGTGTCTGGACCCGATTTAGGGGTCTTCGAGCCTGCATTCGGACTCAGGTACCAAAGATCCGTTCCATTCTGCAGCGAGTGGAGCCCGGAACGGTCCCGACGTGATTATGGACTGGGCTTCACATCGTCATCGTCATTGTTGATCGTTCATAGTTTGTCGGTCATGGTTGACCGTTGATCTCGACACCTCGACACAGCATGAATGTACCTCGGATACGAAGTTAATCACAGGCCAATTGCCGACTAGAATATGAAATCCATTTGGCTGCAAACGGTCAGCCCTTTGTCAGGTGACTCACGTCATGTGATCTCCGTCATGTGTCGTATCACGTGGTCCTGACGGAAGAACGTATTTGCGGACGCAGAGAAACAGCTTCGGAGCTTCAACACCTGTTTAACCACCAGAATCCCCCATCATCCATTTTCACCGGAACTTTCTATTCTCCCCGGTTTCCATCTCATACACAATGGACGGGTATGTTCCCACCCATCAATTGCCCAGCAGGCTTCATCACGAGATTTTCCTCGGCATCCGATACTAATTGCAAGTCGCAGCCTTTCCGCATCAGAGCAGCGCGAGTTCGCCTCCCGCATGGAGCGCAAGCAGATGAAGGAGTTTATGACTGTATGTGCCATCTCGCTGCCGTTTCTACTATCGATCGCGTCGACTCCCGATAACCCCAGTCGTTGAATCCGCCGCGGTCGTGCATCCGTCTCCCTTCCGACCTAACCCCCTTCTTTCTACTACAGATGTACTCCAAGATGGTCCAGCGCTGCTTCGACGACTGTGTCAATGACTTCACCACCAAGTCTCTCATCAACCGCGAGGAGCAGTGCATCATGCGCTGTGTGGACAAGCACCTGAAGGGCTCCGCCCGGTTGCAGGAGCGCTTCCAGGAGCAGAACGCTGCCATGATGCAGGGCGGTCAGCCTGGTCGGTAAATACAATATACGAACACGCGGGAGGCCGAGGGTGCATTGGCGTCGGGGGGATGACGAATCCGCGCCACCGAGATGGCCAGGGCTGTGCGCCTGATTGTTCGGGGAAATCCCCTATAGAAGCCGGCCCGATCTATCAGAGAAGCTTGAGACTGGAATGAGTATCATCTGGCAAACTGGACGAGACCCCGGGAGCCGGAAAACGGCGCATCTAGGGAGGGTTCGGCTTCTATTCATGTACCATAGTGAATTCGGGCGGGAACGGAGAAGCTCCTCCGGTATCCCGATCCTTAAATACAAAAGCGACACCACTTCTTTGATGTCGACCGGAAATAGTTCATTCTCTACTTTTCAGCCTGGCTTTACAAATTAGAAGATTCTTATATATATAGACGGGCCACTCCAATTTCCAATTGGGGCCAGTTTCCCCTGGCAAAGAAGACCCACCCCGGCGGACAACTTTGCCTGATACGGAGCCCGAGAGATAGCTAAGAGATATAGTACAGTAACTTGCAACCCGGCTCAGTCCCCGCGATTCCGTAATGTGTAAGCGGGGCAGGATCGGAGTGGGTTAGTGTAGACACGGAGGACACGGCGAAACCTTCAAAGACTGTGAGTCTGGACGGCCAGTCGGGCGGACCAGCCGTTGCCCGTTCCAAAGAAGCACCCCTCATTCTCCTCATCCTCCTCATCCTCCTCATCTCCTCTCTAGCCAAAACCCCCCACTCCCCTCATTGCAAATCCCGGCTCCACTTCTGCTCTTCAAAAACCCGTCTTCTTCCTCTTTCTCTTCCTCTTGCTCTTGTCATCGCTGTATACTCGTGAGTGTACCCCCTCCCCCCCCCCCCCCCTCATGTTTTACTGAAGCTCGGCACTAACACCCGCCTAGCTGCGTGGAATTTATTAATTTAATTTTCACCTCCATCATGGCTAGCACAGTAGGACAGGTAAATTTCAATCCACTTCTTCACAATTTCATGATCGCCAGACTAACGTGCTCGCAGACCATTACTTGCAAGGTAAACTCCTATCCGGCCCAGCCGCGCAATATGACGTCGGCACCCCGCGCGACAGCTTGAGGTACTAACAACGTCTACAGGCTGCAATTGCCTGGGCTGCCGGTGAGCCCTTGTCCATCGAGGACGTCGAGGTTGCTCCTCCCAAGGCGCATGAGGTGCGCATCCAGATTCACCACACTGGTGTCTGCCACACCGGTAAGCCCCGCCATAAGACCCCACCATGCAGCTCGCGAAGGAATATTTTTCAATTGACACCTATCAGATGCCTACACCCTCTCCGGTAAGGATCCTGAGGGTGCTTTCCCCATCGTTCTCGGCCACGAAGGTGCGGGTATCGTTGAGTCCGTCGGTGAGGGTGTGACTTCGGTCAAGCCCGGTGACTATGTTGTTGCTCTCTAGTACGTGTGTTCGAGTGGTGTGACACCGAAAGATCATTGGCTGACCCTCTCCCACAGCACCCCTGAATGCCGTGAGTGCAAGTTTTGCAAGTCTGGCAAGACCAACCTATGCGGCAAGATCCGTGCCACCCAGGGTAAGGGTGTGATGCCCGACGGGACCTCCCGCTTCAAGGCCCGCGGCAAGGACATCCTACACTTCATGGGTACCTCGACCTTCTCCCAGTACACCGTCGTCGCCGATATCTCCGTCGTCGCCGTCACCCCCAAGATCTCCACCGACCGGTCCTGCCTACTCGGCTGCGGTATCACTACCGGTTATGGTGCCGCCGTGGTGACCGCCAAGGTTGAGGAGGGCTCCAATGTGGCTGTCTTCGGTGCCGGCTGTGTCGGTCTCTCCGTCATGCAGGGTGCCGTCAAGAACAAGGCCGGTATGATTATTGCCGTCGATGTCAACGATGGTAAGGAGGCGTGGGCCCGCAAGTTCGGTGCCACCCACTTCGTCAACCCCACCAAGCTCTCAGGCAAGACCATCCAGGAGCACCTGATCGAGATGACTGACGGCGGCTGCGACTACACCTTCGACTGCACTGGTAACGTCGGTGTCATGCGCGCTGCTCTCGAGGCCTGCCACAAGGGCTGGGGTGAGAGCATCGTCATCGGTGTGGCTGCCGCTGGCCAGGAGATCTCCACTCGGCGTAAGTCACTGACGCGTGTCTGTTGTTTTTATCTTCTCATGCTAACTCCGTTGTATAGCCTTCCAGTTGGTTACCGGTCGTGTGTGGAAGGGATGTGCCTTCGGTGGTATCAAGGGACGCACTCAGCTGCCCAGTCTCGTGGACGACTACCTGAATGGCGAGCTCAAGGTGGACGAGTTCATCACCCACCGTGAGCCCCTGTCGGCCATCAACACTGCTTTCGACCAGATGAAGCTGGGCGACTGCATTCGTTGTGTCGTGGACATGAAATAGATTTTCTAATTTAGTTTTGACGAACCCCAAAAGGCTCGATGTGCAATATGATTTTCTTTTCTGTCGTGATATTCCGTACGAGATTCCAAGTAAACTGAGCCGTACGGACGGGCTTTATAGGCCTTTAAGGGGGAGGGGAACCCAAGGTCCTCACCCTACAGTACCTTGCGGATTATCCTCTGTATGCTGAGGTCTCCACATCGCACCACGCTATCCAAGTTTATGGGCATGGCAATTCACCCATAGTCTTAAATCTCACAATATGACAACACTATTCCACTCTGTAGCACCGATATCAACCATCAAACACCCGATGAGTTGATTACGGGCAACGTCCGAGTATCACCCCCACCCCCTCTCCCCCCTCTTCCCAGGGTGATAAGCTGGCCGATCTCGGGTCTATTTCTATACCCGCGAGGATCGCCAGATAGCGCCAACCCGATGAGGTTATCTGAAGGGCGCAAAGGCGGGCCTTGGACCATGAGGAATAAAAAGGGGCATATAAAGAAGCACCTGTGTGCTCCATTGATTCATTCTCTACCACTTTCATCTCTATCTTCTTTTTCACTCTCACAATGGCCAGCGTTACCCTGCCGGAGCCCTTCGCCTCCATCCCTCGTACCCCCCCTCCTTTTCGGCCCCTCACCAATCCATGCTCTTCCCCGCATCAGCGCCGATCTCGCTCGCGACAGTCCCCACCGGGTCAACGTCTATGCCAAGCGCGATGACTTGAACTCGGCATATGCTTTTGGCGGTAACAAGACTCGTAAGCTCGAGTATCTGCTGGCCGAGGCTCTGAGCCTTGGCTGCGATACTCTGGTTTCAATTGGCGGCGTGCAGAGCAACCACACTCGCCAGGTCGCCGCCGTCGCCGCACGATCTGGTCTCAAGGCTCGCTTGGTCCAGGAACATTGGGTAGAGACGGACGAACAGGGATACGACCAAGTTGGCAACATTCAGATTAGTCGGCTGATGGGTGCCGACGTAAGATTGGATCCCTCGGAGTTTGGTATTGAGCACAAGAAGACTGCACAGGCCGTCGTGGAAGAATGTCTGTCTCGAGGCGAGAAGCCCTACTATATCCCCGCCGGTGCCTCCGATCACCCGCTTGGTGGATTGGGATTTGCCCGTTGGGCCTTTGAGGTTCGCGAGCAGGAGCAGGAGCAGGGTATCTTCTTCAACACGGTGCTCGTCTGCGCTGTTACAGGCTCAACTTTTGCCGGCATGATTGCTGGCTTCAAGTTGCTGGAGTACCTTTACCCTGAAGACCCGAAGCGAAAGGTCATTGGTATCGATGCTTCGGCCACTGTGGCGGCCACCCGTGCACAGGTCCTTCGCATTGCTAAGAACACTGCCTCTCGCATTGGGCTAACTGAGGATGATATTACGGACGACGACGTGATCTTGGATGACCGGTATCATGCAGGCATCTACGGAATTCCAGACGAAAAGACCTGGGAAGCTATTAAATGGGGAGCCCGGATGGAGGCCTTCATTACCGACCCGGTCTACGAGGGGAAGAGTTTGGCGGGCATGGCGGATATGATCAGACGCGGAGAGATCGAGGAGGGCAATATCTTGTACGCCCACTTGGGTGGGCAATTGGCCTTGAACGCATACTCAGAGCCTGGTCAGACCAAGAAGTAGATACCTAGACCCAGACCAAAGAGAGGATTTGGATGAGCTTGAACAAGCGGTGATGAACGATTTGTCCGGTCGTACGTAATACGGCTTATACCAAAGGAGAAAACACATATTTCAAAAGAAATTTGAAAAGAAAAAAAAAACCTTGCAGGGTATTAAGAGAAGAATCAAGGAGGCAAAGGATTTAGTAGCTCCTATTTGCAGTATCTTGTTGGTCCGACTGTTTGTTGATACCAACCACGAACGTCAAGTTCATTCACAATTAAAATGCACCTTAACTACGCGACATCAACATAGATCTGATAGCAATATCAAAATTGTATTGATTTAAAGAGTGACTCTAGTTGGAATATGGGTCGGACTTGAGAAGTCTGTATGCAGTCGTAACACAACTTGCATCTACAAGAGCTTGTGCTCAAGGGTCATCTCCGACTCGGGCTGGAGACCAACGCAGGCACGGAAGATATTGATCAGAGCCGAGCGCTGCTTGCCGAGGGCATTGACAACGGGAGTACCGGGCGGGGTCAGAGGAGCCTTGAGCATGTAGCTCAGAACACTGAGGACGCTGTGGAAGCCCTTGTATTCAGTACCCTCGCTGTCGGCCTTCCAGGTGACACGGGTCATCATTTCCGCGAGCACGACCAGATCAATGATCAGGGGCGACGCCAGGAGCGAGTCCTCGCAGATGTTGAACAGACTGATGGTCTGGTGGCCACCCATGAAGATCTCGGCATAGTACTCGTCCAGAGCACGCTTGTTGTCACCAACGGCGGGCATGTACTTGATGACAACGGTGTGGTCGGGGTGCTCATCCTTCTCGTAGAGAAGGTGGTTGGCAGCAACCATGTCATCTACAACGTTGGACTTGGAGATCTCCTTGGAGCGGAACTGCTTCTGGGAGCTCAGGTTCTTGCCGTCGTTGTTACCCAGGTGGTTGTAACTGGCGATAGAGGTGAGCTTGATACCGGCGTTGATCAGGAAATCGACCAGGGCGGATTTCATCTTGGTCTGGCCCGACTTGAAGTCGTCACCACCGATGAAGGCACCGCGCTGCTCGGCAAACTGAAGGGCACCGGGCACAAAAGTGTTCTGGGGCGAGCCATTGATGAAGGGGGTGTTCTCCAAAATCGAAGCGATAGCAAAGATGGTGGACGGGGAAACCTCGGCGTGGCCGGCCTTGATCGAGTTGATCAGGTTGTCGGCAGTGTCGTTGACACCGGGGATAATGTCGGCGTACCGCTCAGTGTTGGCAGTCCACATGACGATGACCTTGTCCAAGCCGTTCTGAGCCTTGAAGTCACGGATATCCTTCTGGATGTGCTCCACGTGGGCCCAGCAGGCCTTGTCGCCCTCGATGACGTTGTCTGCACGATCTTCCTGATTGGCAGCGATGAAGTCGGGGTAGTAGATACTAGGCAGGGGGGTCATCTCGGCCATCTCCTTGCGAACCTGACTCTTGAGGCTGGGCTCCAGAACCTGAGCACGGTCCATGGAAGCAGCCAGGTTCAAGGCGCTGATGTCCCAACCTCCGATGGCCATGTCGTTGGGGTGAACCATGGGGAGCAGGTCACGGAAGGGGATGTTGATGTCCTCGCCAGTTTGAGCATCAGTGCCCAGCTTGATGGTGGAGCTCATAACGATCGAGCCATAATAGTTGGCCGTCTGTTGCCCATCGCGGGTTTCCCACGACAGACCACGGCGGTTGGCCATGATACCGGCGGTGACGGTGGAACCGTTGTTTCCACCCCAGCCGACCAGCATCATACCGACCTTTCCCACCTTGCGGTCGACCTTGAAGTGGTAGTTGGTGGCCTTGGGGGTGGCCACCAGCTTGTTGTCCGCAGTGCGGGTCACCTCAGTAGTCTGGTAGGCATACTGACTCTTGATCTCGTCCGGAGTGTAGACCACATTGGGCGACTGAACAGTAAACAAAGGCGAGGACTCTTGGCGAGCCGACCCGTTCGCAGTGCCATTGGCAACATCCGAGGAAGCGTGAGGAGCCATTGTTCACGGCAGGATTGACAGTGAACTGAAGTTAGACTTTAAGACTCTTGAAATGCTTTACTGGAAGTATAATGCGTGTTCCGGTGCCCCACCACGGTTGGATGAACGCCGGCCGTTGAACGGGTGGTGCCGCCTAGAGACATGTTAGAATTCGAAGGTATAGAGGGGAAGGAGGGGGGTAAATCCGGGGAAAGACTCACGAGTTAAGCTGTGTGGAGAAAATGGTGCCGGATGTATGATGATCACTTCTCGAGGAGATGTGATCGAACCTGCTGAAAAGGCTTATACGAACCGTAAAGGAGGAATTGGGGAAATAGGAAGGTAGTGGGAGGAAAGAGGAAAGAGGAAGGAAGAAGGGGAATACTTTCGCAGTTAATTAATAGGCGGTGACACGTGCCGTCTAACTCCGAGTCCTCTGTTCTCGTCTTTACACTAGTCTCCCCCTTTTTCGTTCAATGATTTACTCTACGTTTACACCAATCATGGTCCGATCGGACTGTCGGGATCTTCGGCCGGCTTCCAAGATGAGGATTGTTGGGCACTAGCTTAGCTTCGCTTCCCGCACGAAGGCGAGTTGAAACCCCGGGCCAATGTCATCCGGTGCCTGCATTTGAGGCACACGCAAGAGAAAGGAAGTGGGCATCCACGGTACTCCAGAAGCTGTCTGCGCCAATTCCTTCCTTTGGCAGCGGGAGCCACTACTCCGTACTGCGTGCCGACTCCATCCGCATCCGTCCGGTCCCAAATTCCCGGTGCCTGGGCTCGCTTCGAGTTCCTGTTTCGTGTCGCTAAATATCCCATTTGCCCTAGTGCTACTCCGTCTTCCTCCTTTGACCTACCCCAGAGAAGGAGCTGGGGTTGAGCTCCATACCCCGAACCAAAGGGTGATCCGTGCGAGACCAAGGGAAAAAAAAAAAAAAAAAAAGACCGGAAATGAGGGGCACAACACACACACCGCAGCGGGGCTCTCAACTGGCGGTCTACACCGTAGGTCTACTATTGGCTCGGTCCCTGCCCCTGATCGCTCATGCGATGCGGTCCTGTTGGACGTGATCGTGATGGAAGATTTACTCTACGTAGAAGGGTCAAAGCGATACACTGAAAAGGTTTGCATAAGCTGCTATGGCCTATCTGTCCGAGCACATTCGAGGAGACGCCAAAAGAGGCCTTTCAAAGGTTTTAAAGATTAATAATAATAATAAAGAAAATACACGCCCTAGAAGAACTTTAAGAGAGATATTTTGCCGAGAGATATCCTAGCCTAACCAAGAAAACGTCAAAACCGCCCGACCCTCCCAAGCATTTCTTCGAAGTTTTAGACATCTTTTCATCCCTTTTTCAAGACTTACTGTGGAACGTCTTTTGTTATACGACTAAACAGATAATCGCAATCGCCTATTCGACATAATCACAATGCCTCCTAAACTAGGTTGTCTCGTCAGGGCAAATTGGACAAATCAAGATGCCGGGTTGTATTTCGTTACAGAGTCTTTTCTATCCGAATGCGTATTCACCAATGCAAAGGCCGAGCTTGTTTTCACGTGCGTCCTCGTCGGGGCCTCTCGCGATCTGTTAATGTAGAAGTGACCTTGCAGCGGAGATCGGCTACGATACCTAGTCAACCATGTTGAATAGCTATCATAGAGCAGGTGCACCTACATGCTCTACATGCTCATCATCAGATGCTTCGCAAGTTGATGACGGCTTGACGCCGCTGCGCTCTGCGAGCTGTCTTTCGATGCCAAATAGTTGGGACATTTCTTCCAGCGTTCGTCCCCGGGTTTCAACTGCACAATCTTGCAATTAGCTGTCGGTGTTTCCAGGGGGGTAGAAAATTTGGACGAACCCAGTGCGTATCGAACGAAAAAGAAAGCCACTACACAGATCCCAGTGTATATAATATAGAGACCCCAGCCGATGGCATCAGCAATTGGTGGGCTTGCCTGTGCCACGATATAGCAAGCTATCCATAGCGACGCGGTGGTCAAAGCATTACCCTTGGCTCTCATGGAAACCGGGAATATTTCGGCTGCGTAGGTCCATGATCCGACACCCCAGCTGATGTTGAAAAAAACGTAGAATAGATAGGGAAACATGATGATTGTGTAATTGGCCTTGTCATCCGGGTTGTGTTCTGCGTGCCACTGTAGCACGGTGATACCAATCATGGCGCCCATCATCCCAACGGTCCCTATCTGTAACCACACCTTTCGACCAAGTCGATCAAAATAGAATATTGGCACCCAAGAAAAAACGAACAGCACGATGCCGACACCGCCGGTGGCCAGGTTTGCGGTGTGGGGGTCTTTGATTCCACCACGTTCAAATAGAGACGGCTGGATTAGAGGTCAGTGAATCGACTTTACCACATGAAGGGACTGTACTGTTAAAACTCACCGTGTAGTAGAGTATCGAGTTCGTACCTGTTATTTGCTGGAAGAATTGAATCGACATTCCGAGGATTGTGACGTGCAAGACGGGCATAGTGAACATGTCTTTCCAAGTCGCCTCGCTTACAGTGTGCTCGAACTCGATCGAGGCCATAATCTCTTGCATTTCCAGCTTTGCCGCCTCAGATCCATGAAGGCGTGTAAGAACCTCGCGTGCACATTCATGTCGATCCTGGCTAGCCAACCAACGAGGACTAGGAGGAATCCAAAGCCAACATCCAACACCGAGAATTGCGGCAGGTAGGATCTGAATAGCCAGTGGGATCCGCCACCAGTCATCCGTCTCGAGAAAGTTGAAACCATAGTTTAACCAAAAGGCAACTAGTTCTCCCAGACACAAGATCATCTGTTCGATCGCCACAATTCGCCCTCTAATATTAGGTGGAGAAAGTTCGGCGACATATAGGGGCACGCCACCAGCACATGCACCCACGCCGTAGCCTAGGACGACTCGGCCAATAGTCTATTCAGTCAGTCAAGCTCTCGTATCTTGGAGTCTGCAGAGCATACAATTTGTGTAATTGAGTACGACGTAACTTGGATGATCGCGCCAACAATAAACACAAAGCAAGCAACCGCCAGAGTTCGCTCGCGACCGATGGGATCCGCCATATAGCCGAGAGACATGGCCCCGATGAAGCATCCAATGTCATAGAGAGATACGACCGTACCTGTCACCCCTGCTCTGGGTTAAAAAGGTTTTGCTTGTACACAGAAGTACTCACAGGAGTTTGCTGGCTGCATGAGATCCAGCCAGCGCTTATCCGCAACGATCACACCCATGACACCCTGATCGTATCCAAACAGGAAAGCTCCGAGGGATACAAAGGCCGTCAGGCCGTAGAGATAGGTGGTGCTTGCCACCCGCGTTTCGAGCGGGTCGATACCAGGGGGTGGCCGAATGAGCTTGGTCTGCTTGAATGAAAACATGGTTGCTTCATTCGATGTATTTCAGGACCATGCTTCGCATCTTATATTGTAGGCTGAATCGACCTCTTGGGTGCAGGATGATAAATCCCCAAGTTTCGTCAATGTCGGCACGTCTCCGAGATTTTGGTGTCTTGGGCAGGGAGCAGGACAAAATGCGGGTGTGTATTTCCCGTTCTGATAGAATCTGGGGTTTGGCATTGTTTAGGAATTCCGCGCGGTCGATCTTTACCCCAGTATGTTGAAAACAGGCAACTTGGCGCGCGGGTCATCTGGTCCGTGCCTTTGATCGTGCGGGGGTGCGGTCGATATTCTCCTTCTTTGACACAACTGAGGAGATTCTGCGGTCAGGTATACATCGTCATGGGACTTGGGATGCCTTCCGATGCTTGGAAATGGATTAGATTCGCAATTTCAATGATGGTGGTATCCAAGATTAGCGCCGGCCTTGTATCATGGACATTTAGGCAAAATATAAATATTGCTTCTGGGCAGGGGTCGATTTCGAATACGTATGGTATTTTTGCCCACAATAATTGACCCAAACAATCTCCCTTGGGGCTTAATCACAGAATGCAGTTACCTCTTCTCTACGAACCAGGACTTTTGGCTGTCAATGATGGTCCTCTGGATAATGTCAAGCCCCTCAACCAGTCTCGGCCCAATGAACCTATCGCAGATTTGCGACAACGCTACGAGAAAGACGGTTATCTGTTCCTCAAAGGCCTTATCCCGCGAGAGGATGTGTTAAAGGCCCGTCATGAGTACTTCACTATGATGTTACCCACGGGTGTCTTGGAACAGGGCTCCCAGCCGGTAGAGGGCATCTTCAGTCCTCACAAGTCCCCTGAAGAATTCCCTGGAATTGGAGCCGGCGGAGCCGGTAAGAACGGACGACCCGGGGGCGAGAAGGCTGCCCAGTTTGTGGATCAGGCCATCAATGCTCACTACCAGGATTGGTACACAAAGGAGTTCTGTCGACACCGGTCCTTGATGGACTTCGTGGCTAGCTTCACCGGCTGGGGATCACACACTCTGGGACTGCGCCGATCTCTGCTACGAAACAATATTCCTGGAACTAAACCCATAGGTGTGCATTACGATCAGATCTTTTTGCGCCATGGAGAACCAACGAGCATCACTGCGTGGGTTCCGATCGGAGATATCAAGGTGACCGGAGGCGGCCTTATTTACCTCGAAAATGGTGAGTCATTTCAATTAGACATAGAAAGCTCAAGCTAACTGTATCCAGGCAATCCGCTCGGTATCAAGATCGAAGAGCAATATACCCAGAAAGCAAATGCGGCAGGCTTAACAGAAGAGGAGACAAAGGACGCATTCAACACCAATATGATGGCCACGGGGTTGTTGTCGGAGCTGCCGTTGGATTTTTCTCACCGATATCAGCGAGCCTGGCTCACCGCCGAATATGAAGCTGGAGACGTGGTTCTGCACAAGCCACACGCCGTGAGACTCCTAGCATCCTCATACATGACAACCCGAAATGCTGACTTTACAGATCCACGCCTCCACCATCAACAATGATCCGGATAGGGTGATACGTCTGGCTACAGACCTGAGATTTATTGACTCTTCAAAGCCTTTTGACACAGTAAGTCTATATCTATTTGAGAATTTGTTATGGCCTTGGGAAGATCGTCATACTGATAGAACAATAGCGATGGAACAAGTACTACCAGGTCGGCGATGGTGTTTAATCAGGAAAATTGTCGAGCTAGTCAAAGTTACTAAAGAGTATGTATGTATATACCGTCACGCAAGCCGGGCTATCTCCTTGGTCAGGCTGCATGATGATCGCTGAACAAGCTGTCACGTCTTGTCTGCCAAGGTAGATTTGAGAATACATTTCACTATATTCAAAGGAGCAAATAAATCCCTAACAAGAGCTTCATCAGTTTGAAAGAAAGGGACCGGAAGGGAACCAAATCAAAGTCTTTGGGCCTCTTAGATCACCTTCTCTAACGGGTTATGCGGCAGCTCGCCCACATGCATGTACGACGTAGGGGGTTACAGAGGGAAAAAGAATGCTTCGGGGCAACAGTGCCCTTGTATGTGCTGGGCACATCCACATCTAGGTGATCAATAGGGGCATTGGTTGTTTTAGGCTGTGGCGAGGAGGATCTGCGAAGAACGCCCTTCTTTCACCCTTTCCACCCTTCCGCCCTTAGACCATCGGTAGCCCTGCAAGGTTCACGCTGTAGGACGCTTGCTCTAATGAGAGTTTTCGCCAAAGGAATTTAGAACACTGTCTGATTGGTATGTGATTCGTTGACGTCAAAGCTTGTCCACGACCATGGCATGGTAGAAGATCGAATCTGCATCGAGGGCGCGAAACACGTCGTGATGGAATGCGGGAATAACATTACGCCCCTCTCGCCCCTTGGAGGTGGAATCCTCCAAGAAGGCATGGTGGGTTCTGGAAATGCTATTATTTTCCAATTTAACTGCGACTGCCTGGAAAGGTGTTAGTCCGGACAGTTCGACCCCATCCTCCCGACCTTATTCGGACCCAAGATGCGGCGATATCTAGGCCTACGAGGCAACAGCCTCAATATGATGGCTCTTGTCGGCGTGACTATGCCGGCAATTATGTCTTTTGGATACAACCAGTCGATGCTGGGTGGAGTCTTGACATTGGACAGTTTCGAGAGACAATTTCGCGAAATCGATTTGACTGATGCGGCGCCCGAAGAAAAGACTTACAAATCGACCATTCAAGGAACCGTCGTCGCTTTATACGCAGTTGGTGGCCTTTTCGGTGCCCTTTCATGTATTGGACTAGGCGACATCCTCGGCCGCAAAAAGGTCATCATGCTGGCTTCCGTCATACAAATCATAGGCGCGATTCTCATGACGACTGCCTTTGAATTTACACAACTGGTCGTTTCTCGTCTGATAATTGGCCTTGGAACCGGAGGCGTCCTAGCCACTGTGCCCGTCTGGCAGTCCGAACTATCAACAACCTCGAAGCGCGGAGCGCATGTGGTTACAATCGGCCCCTTTGCAGGACTAGGAGCCAGTCTGGTTCTCTTTATTGATTTTGGAATGTCCTTCGCTCCTGAGAGTGAGGGGTGGCGGGTACCATTTGCACTGCAAATTCTACTTTCATTAACGGTGATCGGGTTCATCAGTATTCTGCCAGAATCCCCTCGCTGGCTGGTTCGACAGGGCCGCATCGTCGAAGCTCGGGAAGTTTTAGCAGCTTTGGAAGATGTTGATGCCAACGATCTCAAGGTAGAAGCCGAAATATTAGAGGTGGAATCTTCTCTGAAGCTGGCCGGAGAGGCATCTGTCAAACAAGTGTTCCACATGGGTAGCCAGCGTATCTTCCATCGCGCCATGTTGGCTGCCACAGTGATGATGTTTTTGCAGCTGACTGGCGTTAATACGGTGACATTCTACAGTTAGTGTTGTCTTGCCTTAGGTGTATCGCTCTGGTTGCTAACATCCTCACAGCGAACACCATCTTCGAAACCTATCTTTCACTGGATTCGGTCAAGTCTCGACTTCTGGCTGCGATATACCAACTAGTTACACTTATTGCAGGTGCGATTTGCGTATATACCATCGAGGGATTTGGCCGACGTGGCTTGATGCTTGCGAGTGCTGCTGGCAATGCGGTGTGTTTAGCCCTGGTGGCCGCACTGGGTTCTCAGCCCGACAACGCAAGAGCAATGGACGGGGCAGTAGTTTTCATATTCTTCTTCCATTTCAGCTATGTCATCGGCTATGGTGGTATCCCATTCCTATATGCTGCGGAGCTAAGTCCTCTGAAAATGCGCGGCACGATCAATGGCATTAGTATGGGAACATACTGGATCTTCTGTATCGTGATCACTGAGATCACCCCATTGGCCTTCCAGGCCCTTGAGTGGCGATTCTTCATCATATTTGCTGGATTGAACGTCATCATGATGGGAGTCGTTTACTTCTTGTTCCCAGAGACTGCTGGGCGCAGCTTGGAAGAAATTGATCGGATCTTTATGACATCCGACACGATTTGGGACACTGTGAACGCAGCCAAGCGCTTGCCCCACTCGGTTCCTGAGCGTTCGCGGCTCCCGAAGGAGATTCCTTCCGAGAATTCAGCATAAGAGTTAAGCCGAGTCCGAACGAAGCATGTACGGTTATTCCATGATGGCACCTGACCGGAGGGTACTATAGATGGTTGCTGGACAACATCCGCGGACATCCAGTCATTTCAATGCTCTATGCTGCCTGAATATATGTAACAGAAGATAAACTCACGTAGTTGCCGCTAAATAAAGTCGATGTGTTCTTTAGTAACCATTCAAGAAACGAGATAGGTCTCACAGATCATATGTCAAGTACAGGACGAGACGGCATTAGTTGCTGAGAATCCAGATGGCAATCTCATCAAGCTATCGCTGATTATCAAGCCTCTAGACTTGGAACAAGATGAGGCGCACTAGTCTTGATTGATAACCGCTGGAGAAAGAAGACTTTGCAAATTCAGGAGGGGCTTAAGGAGTTCATTTGAATTATCTGTGTTCGGAAAAGGTCCGAACCATACCTGGCAGAGCTTCACACCCGCGTCCCTCACGGACCCCGCAAAGCCGCAAGCAAGTCTTTCCCACTCCAACTTGAAAAATCCAAGGACCATGGCGACAGCCACCAAGAGCTCCTGCTGGTTTGCTATGACTCTCTGCAGCTTTGCGGGATATCTCTGATGCTTTTTAGTGATCCATGTCGCTTGCTACACCACAAATGTGACGGAGACCTGCCACAGTGCAGCCGATGTGCTCGGACCGGACGCGCGTGTATACGGGGACAGCGAAAGACACGGTTTCGCCAGGTGAAAGATTCGGGTTCACGGATTCGATTCCCTCGCAATCAAGTTTGGCTGAAGCCGCCACCACGAGGTTAGGCTCCCTGCGGAGTCAACATATCAATGACTGATGTTATAATCCTCAGTGGACTTTGTGCTCGAGTCTGGCAGTGGTGACGATGGTCTAGTAGCAGAGTCAACGGATGACCGACAGCTTGATGGGAGCTTGCCTTTACTCGAGAAGGATGGCTCGCTAATGACTAACCCCCTCTCACCTCAGTCAGCACCACAGGAGGAATATCTTCCATCACGCGACCAATCAGAGGGAAACCAGTCTGAGAGGTATTATCCGTTGGGCAAGCGTCGAGACGCACACACGAGACAGCGACTATGGCCCCTGAGAGACCCAGAAGAAGCTGCTCTCTTGAAGCACTTTGTGGACCGCATATCGTCCTTTGTGAGCAGAACATTTGCGTGCATTTGCGTATAGCGAGCCTTGCTCACTGCGGAAATACAGTTTGATTGCACAGACCGCCAGCAGCATTTTGCAGTGCACATCCCCTTTCGCGCTAGGTATTGCGACACGCTTTTTAACGCAATTATGGCCATGTCAGCTCGCCATCTGAGTCGCACAGCCACATTTGACCCCTATATATCCGACCATTACTATCAAATCTGCCTTGAGACATTGATCCCAGCATTGAATGACCATGGCGCGGCTATGAATGACGATTTGCTGGCGGCTACCGTCATCCTTCGCCTACTGGAGGAATATGATGGTGAGGCCGTGGACCCTCCCTACCGAGACGTCGAAAGGTCGCACTATGGAGCCCACGTTAACGACGATCGCAGTCCCACTGGCGGGTTCTGATCTTCGGGGTCATTCCTTTGGGACCAAAGCCTTCATGAAAGCTCCGCCGCCATCCGTGACCAAGACCCCGAGTTTACGACAGGCCGTCTACTGGAGTGGTCTCCGTCAGGAAATCTACAATGCTATGAGCCTTCGCCAACCCCCCGACATTGATCTCAGCTCGCTGCATTCACTCTTTACTGCGCTCGGCCCGGATGCTGTGGACTGTGACTGGGCCAACCAAGCAATTGCGCATTGCGCCGACGTCTTACTCTTCTCCTTCGGCGCGTGCCCACGCTCTGTGGCGGTGCATGCCGATCTCTGCAAGAGGAATGAGCAATGGAGCGAGATTCGCCCAGCGTCATTCGACCCCTACTTCGTCGGTGATGAGGTGCAGATCGGGGCAACGTTCCCCGACATCCGGTTTAGCTCTGCATGGCACGGTAAGCCCCCATATAGTTCACGGATAGGCGATGAAGTTGATCATTCGCGGTAGCTATCGGCTACCAATATAACAAACTCGCGAAGATATTACTTTCGGTGCACGATCCTGAGTTGCCGACTGTCGGCCCTCTGCGCAAACGAGTCGCGCGGCAAGTGGATGTAAGTGAGCGTGTGGAATCATAACTCCTATCCTGTCCCGTCGAGGCTTGACGCATCCAATGCTGATTTCTGGCAGCAACAAATACGACAGGGAGTCTGGACCGTATGTGGCGTGGCTCTGTCGAATTCTTCAGTGCCTCCAGCGATGGTGATCGGCTGCATGGCCATTCAGATATGTAGGGAACCCCGATCACAAGCAGGATGCGAGCTAATGGGCGTTGAAGGTGGCGATCGATTCACGGATCGACAGGAACAGGATCGGCTAATTCAAATCCTCCTTCGAACGGAATCGCTGCACGGATGGCCAACTAATTCCAGCGCCCGCCATCTTTGCGAGACGTGGGGGTATGCACTGAATTCGGATGGGAAGGACGATCCAGGTGCACAGCTGGGAGTGCAGGGTTGAGGCCCAGCACCATGTTACCAGATCGAGTTGCCATCTGGGTCCGGCCCCATACAAACCCCTATGATTGGGGTCTCAATGTACTGTCACATCCAGTACATCCCGTTTCACATATCACTGGCCAGAACTCTCGGGAAAGAGTTAAGAGAAAAGAGAAAGGATCGCCGTTAGGGATCACGGCTGATTCCGATTCCGATTCCGGATAATCCTAGATATTGTTTCCATTGCGCAAGGAGGGACGCAGAGTGATGGGGATGGATCATGACTGCTGAGAGATAGGATCAAGGGAGGGTTCAGGGAGTAAGGAAGGGATCGAGGGTGCTATGGCCCAGCAGTGGAACCGGGTGTCAGAACATCGAGAAAGAGCCCCGACTTGTGGGCCCGAGAGTCCATCTCAGGGGTAAAAAGATCGTGAAATCGAACTAAAACTCAACTAAAGCCCAGTGGGTCTAGGCCTTTAGATTCAAGATTCCACAGTCTAGAAAGAGAAGATGTGAGGATGTGAGGATGTGAAGATGCGAAGATGTGTGTAGCAAGGAAGGTCGAACGATCTAAAAACCAAAAGCGGGAGGTGCGGAGGAACCGAAAAGTGTTCCTGCATATCTTTCAACTGCATTTGCATTCACAATTAGTTAACGAGCTACATGGACAGCTTGCATTTGCAGTCAATGAAATGAATAAAACAGAGTCAACAGATTGCATCAGCAGGTGGATCAAAAAGGCAGTGGCAACTTTCTCAATGGTTGACTCGGCTTTTACCCCTGAACATTCAACTCTTGCACTTACGAATCCTCCGTCCGCACTGGAGACGCTACGGCGTTAGCGTGATTACACCTCTATCCCTCTTCCATCATTTCAGCCATCTTGCTACTGAAATATCCCTTTCCACCTCCCCGCAATTCATGGTGATGCAGCTAGGGCAGTCTGCCCACTGAGACAACCCCTCGATGACCTCCCGGCGCCCCAGATCTTGATACGAGAATGGCGACTATCAACATGGGCTTCTTGCCCACCATCAAATGCTCCAACTGTGGTCATAATGTCGAGATCTCGGTCATGGGTGATCATGTGTGCTCTCCCGTCGAGTCCATTCCCAGTCACAGTCACTGTACGCCTGAATCTCCATAATGAATCGATCTGCCTGCTAATATTCAATAGCCTCCGTCGCACCACCATCTCCTCCCCCCCTCCGCGGGGCTAGACGTTCCAGATCGACTGAAACAGGGTCGAGTACCCCCTCGCATCGATCCAACAATCGCAAGTACGTCTAGCAGTTCGTTTTGCTACAGGGAAGTACCATTGACACTCTGCAGATAGCTCTTTTTTCCAACTGCACGTACCCACGCCGGCGAGTAGCGTGGGTTCGCATATGCCATCGCCACTCTCCGCCAGGTCGGCGCCTCGATCTCCCATGAGAGCGCCGTCAGAAGATGATTCCGTCTTCGCCTTCCCGATGCCTGGAAATCGACCACCGGCCCATGTGGGAACCCCTCGCATGATGTCGGATTCTACGACACGCTCCGCACCTACACCGTCTCCGCGACTCGGTGTCAACCTGATGCCGGAGGAGATACAGCTGCCTCCTAGTCCGCTTCCACCGTCACGAGAGCCCGAGATGTCTCACCAGCGAGGAGATTCATTGGCGAGTCATAGTAGCTACCGCACCTCCTTGGCAAGCACCCGCTACGGAAGTTCAACCGCTCGGTCGTCGACGAACAGCTTCTCGCGCGGTTTCCGTACATTCATGGATGACACCCCACCAATGCCACCGCCTCTGCGAACTCCGAATAAAGCGTCCTTTTCTCGAGACTCGGATCTGTCCGTCAGCTCTTCCTCTAGGACTGACCGAGATGAAATCTACAGCGGATTTGATTTCGGCATCCATGATCACCGTACTTCGGGCCTGCAGGATCTGCCCGAGGAACATTCTCCGGAGGAAACCGCATCTAACTTCGACAAGGCCTTCGCACCACTAACACAGACACACCTTCATCCCGCCGATGCCGAGCTTGGAAGTGATGGCCCGAGAAGAAACTCCGACGCTACGAGTGAAAGCAATCTATCCGTCACTAGCTTTGCACAGGCCTTGGGCCTGGAGAGCCATTCTCAGCAACCGGAGGGCTCCACTTGTTCAGATTCATCTCCACCTTCAGATACTCGCAGTGGCAGCGGCAGTTCCATGTCCAGTCTGCCCTCAGATGTGAGCCTGAACCGCCATAAACCGGCTGATCCCCTTAACCTCAGTCCCCTTGTGGAGGAATTGCCCCCACGGACTCGTCAGACCATTCTCGAAATGCCTGGTCGGATACCGGGTACGATGGACGGAATACCTACAATCCCCGCTGCGTTCTTCAGCCCGGACTCACCCACCGATCCTGCGATCGGCCAGGGCACCCTCTCACTGCTCGTTGAAAAGCGCCAGGAGCACCAAAAGCATGAAGAGGCCCCTGTGAAGCGCAAGGAAGCCCCAATGGAACAGCAACCTAGGGAATTTCATTCCCCTCGAGCTCTAGAACGGTCAGCCACCGAGCCAATTCCTCCGCCAAGTCGATCAGCGACACGATCAAAAGGAAAATGCAAGGGATGTAATGAAGAAATCGTAGGGAAATCGATATCATCATCCGATGGTCGTCTCACAGGGAGATACCACCGTGGCTGTTTTGTCTGCTTCGAATGTCATTCTCCTTTCCAAACAGCCGACTTCTACGTCCTTAACAATCGTCCCTACTGTGCACAGCACTACCACGAGCGCAACGGGTCGTTGTGTTCCATCTGTCACAATGGAATCGAGGGCCACTATCTTGAGACTGTTGAACGGAACCCTACCCGACCGGATCGTCGCCGATTCCACCCTGAATGCCTGCAATGTCAGACCTGTCACGTTTTGCTAAATGGTGATTATTTCGAATGGAATGGTGAAGTCTATTGCGAACGTGACGCTCGTCGGGCTGCAGCGACCCTTCATCCGCCTCCTCCTGGCCGTCGGCGTCCAACCCTCGGATCTTCTCCCTTGGGATCATCTCCCTTGTCTCGCGGATATCCTCCCCCATCTGGATATCCTCCTCCACGGTCCCCCGGACCAGGACCAGGTCCGGCTCAAGGACTTCGCCCTGGGCCACGGTTCTCCTCTGGCGGTGGTCGACGTTTCCCAGAGAGACGAACTACCAAGCTCATGATGATATGAGATTGATGCGTTTATCAACAGTTCTGCGCCTGTGGCTTGCAAAACCTTGTCTTTCTACATTGTCCTGCCAGGTTATCCTCGCCGAGTCGGCTGCCTTTGTCATTCGTTTAAAATCGCGTTATACCCCTCCATGTCCTCGGTGTTAATTCATTTGGCCTTCCCCCGACTAGCGTTGGTTGACTATTTTTTTTTCTGCATTTTGGGTTTCCTCTTCTCTTGTTTCCATTGTAATCCATGTCCATTGGGGTTCTCACTTGTGTGGGTTGGCGGTGGCATCTTTTCGGCCGGTGTTTTGCTATCTTCGTTTGCTCGACATTATGTCAACATAGGTTTCATATACCTCTTCATCGGTTTGGTGTTCCATTGGTGGGGTGGTATTTGTGCTTGTATAGGAAGAGATGAGAATAATGTTCACTGCAAGGAACCCGAAATCATATTATATCATTATCTCATATCTTGACTGAGCTGGCTAGATGCTCTTGTCGGGATTCAACTGGCCTTGCGTTGCTCAAATTGGACACGCTCTACGGAAGGGAAGTATTTGAGCTTGAGAAACCAACCGAAGAGAACAAGCCATGCGGCGACGGCCAGAATTTGAAGCCGCTCACCCACACTCAGCTGGTCCAACTCTGGAGCTCGGATGACGCCTGTTTCATTTCTTTCTTTCTTCCACTCTTCACAAATCTGCTTGAATTGAGCTGGCTCGTCCGTGATGACTCCGTCCACCTCATGACGGATAGCCCAGCGCATGAAGTTCGGCGAGTTGACCGTCCATAGATATACGTGACGATGTGCAGCTCGCGCTTCTTCCAGAAACCCACGACCGAGCGGGCCCATCAAGACCATCTGGTTGACGTTGAAAGAAATCCGCGGTACGTGCAGAAATTGGCGAGCGTAACCCAAATCAAAGCAGATTAAAGTCATGCTGTACCGTGGCAAATACTGGGCACACAAAGGCAAGTATCGGGCAGACCAACATCCCAGGACCACTCGCCGATGCCAGTCTGGTCCTATCGCCGGGATGGGCACGGATTCGATCGTCTCCGCGATTCGCTTCATGACGATATCGGGATTATCGCTACGCTGAAAATAGTGTCAGTGACAGCCAACACAAAATGACTCGAGCCATGTCTAGTTACCTTGATGTCGAGCAAAATCCAAACATGCTCACGCCCTGGCTGGCGCATAAACTCTAGGACGTCGACTAGCCTCGCCATCGGCTCTTGCGGCGCTTTCAATGTGCGGATGGTCTTTAGATAGTCCCAATCGCAGTCATCTACCTTCTTCTTGATGCCAAAGCATCGTTTCAGGGTCGCGTCCTGCATTCGGTGAGCCTCTTTTCCATTGAGGGGAGCGGGTATTGCTTACATGCGACAATACGACAACGCCATCCCGGGAAAGACGCAGATCGAGCTCCAGTGCCTGAGTTCCTGCTTTAATGGCCCCTTCAATGGCACACAACGTGTTCTCTGGAAACTTTCCCTTATAGCCTCGATGGGCGATCGTTTGGGGTAGACGTGGGGATTCGTGATCAGTCGGTGAGTGCAAGTAATGTGCTAGATCGACGTCAGTGAGCGTGGCTCGGGTGGTTCAAGTACATCACCAACCTGGAGTGTCTGGGAAGTGTCCCTCGCGGAGAGGTCGATCGTCAGCCATCGTTGCAGGTTGTAGAGCAGAGTTGAAGACGACGTCGTAGGCTATTTATCTCACCGGATTTAGGCGGAGATAGGCCGAAGCGCCCCGCAGGCTGCCGGCTGCGCGTCTCTCTACTTTTGGAACAACGCAAACTCCGACTGTGCGCCTTGCGGTGAGATTTCACGTCCAAGCGCAGAGCAAGACCAGTCCACGGCATTCAGACAAAAACAGGTGGATTGGAGACGCTATGGAGGTGCTTTGGAGGCCAAAATTATAGAAAGCAAGACGTGGTCATGGTGGAGGAGCTTTGTGGATTACTCAGCTTCGAGCTGTCTCCAAATCTCGAGCTTCACCAACGCGGCGTGTTACAACTCATAACCCCGGATCGATTCGTCACGGAGCGCTGCCCTTGAACCTCTTTCAAATACTCAGCCATGTCTATCCAGCAGTGGGTGACTCCTCTGGAGGGTCTCGATAGTCTTCGCCAAACTGAGGCGCCAATGCCGACACCAGGACCAGGCCAGGTTTTGGTGGAGGTCCATGCCGTTTCCCTGAACTACCGGGACGTGGAAGGTGAGTACCCCTCGACTTGAGACTGTGAGAAAGCGTCATCTGATAGCTATCAAGTCACCAAGGGGGAATATAAGCATCACAAAACCGCGGAGCAGAATGCAACTATCGTGCCCTGCTCTGATATGTGCGGTGTGGTGATTCAAGTTGGATCTGGCGTGTCACAATGGGCTGTGGGAGATCGAGTGCTTTCAACCTTCCTCTCCGAACACCAAACGGGCCAAGTGACCGAGAAAATGCTGGCGGGCAGCATCGGTCTACCGCTAAACGGCGTCCTGACAACTCACCGTGTCTTCCCTGCACACGGACTCGTCCCAGCTCCCAGCTATATGTCTGATGAAGAGGCATGCACGCTACCTATTGCCGCAGTCACTGCTTGGATGTCCATCAATGGAATGCGACCGATGGGACAGAGTGGTGGAAAGGACGAGTATATTCTACTTCAGGGCACGGGTGGTGTGGCTATTGCAGGACTGCAGATTGCAAAGGCAGCAGGTGCAAAGGGTGAGTCTTAAAGCTCGTCGATCGAAGAACGCAGCTTACTAAGTGCATAGCTATCATAACCTCCTCCTCCGATGCCAAACTTGCCCAGGCCAAACAACTCGGGGCTGACTGCACCATCAACTACCGCAACAACCCCGATTGGGAAACCGAGGTGATGGAATGGACCGGTAACCACGGTGCCGATATCATCCTTGAGACCGGTGGAGCCCAGACTTTGAGAAAAAGCTTCGACTGTATCGCCTTTGGAGGCTTGATTGACTGCATCGGCTATGTGTCAGGCAAGGTTGATGCCGCGGAAGACCGACTGAACGTCAACCTGTTGGCACTGCGCCGCACGGTGACCCTTAAGGGCATTATCAACGGCCCCAAAGATCGGTTTGAAGAGATGATTCGGTTCTACGAGACACATCAAATTCGTCCGGTCGTTAATCGTGTCTTCGCCTTCGCCGAAGCCAAGGAGGCGTTCAAGTTTCTGGAAAGTGGCAGCCACTTTGGGAAGGTAGTGATCCAAGTCAAACTGTGAAGCTATCCTGCCCTACAGAGGAAAAATGGTATGACGAGTCATCCTTGTTGGTTAGACACGCCTCTACGTTCGAGCGCATAGATCGAGGATTCAATAGATAAGGGTCCAAAAGCCCGGAAAGATAATTAGAAACAAGCCTCATATTTGCAACCCGCGCCTCCCGCCTTGAGTTGTCGAATGCGACGTGCATTGGCTTCCTGTTGCTTCCATGGATGCGCGATGTTGGAAATTAGAATCTCGCACAGCCCTGCAACTCCCCTACTGATCGTTCCCGCTCGGGTTGAGGACACCGGTCGCGATTCCCAATTCCTCCTTCATCGTGGTGCCGCCCACGGTCAAGGGCTGACAATCCTGCAGCACGAACACCATTCGTGCCCACTCGGTGTCACTGGTATTATGCCAGCCGTGCATGGTAGCGCGTTGAATGGCGATATCTCCTCGCTTCATCCGCACGGGCTCTCCCTCCTCCACCAACATCTCAATTTCTCCCTCCAGCACAATACCGTAGTCCAAACTCTGCGTGCGGTGCACAATGCACTTGTTGTTGGGGGCAAAATCCACGATGCGACAAACAGTGCCTCGAGGATTGACAAGACCAAGCTGATCGGACTGAACGACCTGTTCGTGAGCCGCGAGATCGGCGTCGTTGTTCAGATCGGCGGGGAATTGAGAGGTGGTATACACAACGTCAAAGGCCATGTCCTTTGCCTCGAAAGACTTCCATTCACCTGGAGAGGAGGCGTGGATGATGGCCTTGCCGGCCGCATTGTGGCCGGTTACATGTCGAGTGACGGGACGGAGCGGCGAGATCTGACCGGGATTCGACATAATGAAGACAGTTTGCTTGATCGGAGCGGATGTGCATCTGGATTTAATTTAACACGTCGGCTGCAACCTATCCCACAATGCACAAAGAGCGGTGTGATTGTGGCCGAGATTCCTAACCCAAGTCGGCTTGAGATCATCATCAGGCTTGCATCGCCGGTTTCCGGCACCGGATCCCACTCTCAATTTCCGACACCTACTTCCGACTCGGGCTTCCCTCATTCTGTGACTTTGGCCGCAGACATCTGGACACAACAACCCCTCCATGCTTGTTCTAGTTATCTGAGGGGACGCGGGAGAATTCCATACGGGATAGTTTGAGAGGCTATTGGTTGGCGAAGGCAGTCAATTCAACTATATACAATGAATATTGACATTCCTGACGGTCCGAATTTTCTCGTTAATATGCACAAATGTGCGGGGAAAGGTTCATATGAGCCACCTAAATTGCGCGGACGAAGGACCCTCACGCATGCATTCCGTGGGAATATCCCGCGCACGGAGCGTCACCCCGTCACGGCGGTCGCGGCGCTTGTTGTCGAGCAGCATATACAGCCCCAACAGACCCGCTAAACACGCCCCGGTGGCACCAAAGGCCCCGACGGTGATCAGGGCTGGCATGTACTTGGGGGCATCCTGCTCCCGGAAGACATTACTGCCGACGAGACCCATCAGGTTGGCCAGAGGCACGCCGATACTGGTCAGGAGGACACGGCGGCCTTCGTGCGCAATATTATTGTTATACCAGGTGCTCAGAATTACCGACGGCGCGGAAGTGCCCCAGGTCATCATGAAGGTCGCAAAGTATGCCACCTGGAGCTCCTTGTGGACGTCGTCAATGGAGGCATAAATCATGAAGCCGGTAAAGGTGAGCAAAAATCCTAGCACCAGGAAGGGCGATCGTAGACGACTGTAATCCGAGCAGAAGGCGAGAATCAGGAGCACTACGGCGCCGGTCACATTCGGGGCCACGGTATAGAGATTGGTCTTCACGGTCGAATAACCGAGTCGTGCCACGATCTGAGGCATGAAGAGCGCCACACCCTGTAATGGAACACCAAGGCAGATTTCAATGCAGAGGAAAACGTAGGTGGTGGGTTGTTTGAAAATGCCGATCGCCTCGCGTAGGCTGAACTCCTCATTGACCACCGCGCTCGAGTCCACCTGAATACGATGGAAAGCTAGCGCCTTCTCCTCTTCGGATAGGAACGTAGCTTCGGCCGCGCTTCTGGGGAGGTAAAACCAGGCGAACACCGCAAAGACGACTGTTGCACCACCCTCGATGATGAACAGGTAGCGCCAGTTGGGGAGACTCGAGCCCTCGATCTGGAAGACGCCGAACGCAATCAGGCCCGAGAAGGCATAGGCAATGTTTGAGGCGGCGTAGAAGAAGGCCAGCCGACGAGCCAGCTCACCGCGACGGTAAAAGGTGGTCAGGTAGTATATGACCAAGGGGAAGAAGGGGGCTTCAGCCATGCCCAGAAACCAGCGAAGCGCAAAGATGCCCCCGAAGTTAAACGCAGCCGAGGACAGCAGGGTAAATGAGCCAAACGCAAGCATCAATATCGGCAGCACGCGAGCGGGACTAAACTTCTTTCCGAGCATGGCGAAGGGCGGGGCGAAGATCACGAAGGGCACGAAGAAGATCGATAGCAGCAAGTTATACTGATTGGGCTTGAAATGGAGATCTGTGAGGTCATCAGCAGGCTGGAACATTGTCATTTTAACTGCCTCCTACCCTCGGTCATTCTGTCCGTCTTTGCATTTCCCAGGTTTCCCTTATCCAGGGCCACGAAGAGGTCTAGAGGTCAAAGGTCAGAAGCGAGCATAACTGGGGATGTCCGGTAGATGTACACATAACAGCTAGAATCGGAAGAATACGCAAGTCAAACCGTCGGCAGAGACGTCGCTCGGCCTTGTGGTCGACCACGCGTGTGACTTCGTCGACGATACCGGGGGCCGATGCATAGCTCTGAAGCTTGTTGGGCTCGTCGACGGTGCCAATGGCAACCTTTTTCGTGTCGCCCAGCGACGGGTGTGTGGATTCCATTGTGAAGATAGTTGTTCGAGACGTAGCCGAGGGAAGCTCACGTCTTAACAGCGAACTATCCCTTGCTCATTAGATAACGAGAATGTTGCATCACAGCTCATGTAACCCCCACGCTTCTCCGCATTATGGACCCATTTTAACGGGGACACGACAGGGAAAGGAAGACGGAAAAGGTCTGGGGGGTTGCAGATCAACGGCACCTCGTACCGCACGGTTGCATTCGCGTGGGAAAGGGCCATGCTATCTGCAGAGAGGCCTATCGCGGAGGCGGACTATCGCGGACTTTGGCCGAGGTCTGATAAGTGATACCGCATTCTCGCCCTTGCCTCCTTGAGCTCCTCACCACGCGTCATGCTAGATTGGCTCGGAAGGGCTCGATATGCTTTTATGCTTCAAAGCCACCCCGGTGTTGATCCCGGTGGCTTGAAGTGGAAGCTTCCTATTCCGGTTCTAGGGTTGCATGTGACCTCACGACCTCAACTATACTCTTCTCGGTGCATACAAAGCAAACACAATCTTTGAATCGAAACGGTGAATGTCTATCTGCATGCCCTAGTTATACACGAAAATGGCGATTCCAGGGGTTTCCTTCAATTTTGTCACCCCATGATCGTGTACCCAATTAGACATGCATCAGCACAACCGGGTGGGCTTCACGGCTTCGGGGCTCGAGCGTCAACAAGAATGTATTTCAGGATCAGAGCCAAGACAAATCATCCGCCACTGATTTTAAACAGTCCGGTAGGGTCATTTGGGCGATTGACAGGTATTATTACACAGGACATCTATGCAGAAGATGGCACATCCAACGTATCATATGGGACACTGGATAACTTCATCTGCGGGTATCTGGGATAAAAGAGCAATTGACGAGAGTGCAACTGTCTCTATCACGGCTGACCTCGTTCTTTATACATGTCTCTCGGAGACTAAATAAGAACCACATTCGACTCTACGCCGAGAGTCTGCCTCCATAAATTGTCTCGAGACCCGCCATGGAACACTGCCATCACTTCTGGAACTAGACCATTTAGCAGAGAATACGGAAGTCTGAATCGTGACTCAGTCACTGCGCGCGGGTCTCATCAATTCTCGATTGGGTGCCTGCTCGCTGAGAAGCTTTACAACTTACTTATTCCCTATGTACATTACGATCACAAGTGGATCTTATTCAATATCCTATTTAAACCCCACATATGAGTGCTCTGCGGGGTAGTCAATCAATTACACACGCCGAGATTCGGCATCCATCTGGATCATTTCTTCGGCACGGGTCTTCCAGTTCTCATCCCACCGAGACAGAGCCGGCCGGCCCTCCACGACATCTTCGCTTGCCCACTTCATACGTGCTTGATCGAGAGCTCGGTCGGTCTCCCCATCTGGACAAACTATATAGAACGATCGCGTCTTCAACCCATTGAGTAATTCTTCGGCGACCTGGCTCGGGTACCATGCCCCGGCGGGCTTCTTGACGTCTTCTTCGTTGGTGGGACCCACATTGCCCATCAGCCCGGTCCACGTCCACCCGGGAATCAAAAGATGTACGGAAATATGAGCAGTCGATGGGTCGGAACGTAGGTCGTACGCAAGGTGCTCGGTTAAATTCTTGATCGCCGCCTTGGATGCGTTATATGCTGGATTGCCCGCACCCGGCGGGTTGGTGATCCCCTGCTTCGAGCCGGTTATGACGATTGACTTGGGAGTCCGAGCCTTGGAGGAAATCAATATAGGTAGCAGAGCGTTTAGTCCGTTCAAGGGGCCATAAACGTTGGTGTCCATTGTCTGGGAAGATCAGCCTTGTTCTTAGTAACAAACAAGATATATCAGACCTTCCTCCAGTAGTTACCGTCAAGCCATGGTTTCAAATTCTTGGAGTCCTGTCTATCTGGTTTGAATCCTTTCCCAGCATTTAGCACGACCAGGTCGATGTCTGGGAAGGTCTGGGCGATTTGGCGAGCGGTCTCTTCCCATAGGGGCACGTCAGCCACATCGAGAACATAGGCCTCGGTCATAAGGCACGGGTCCATATCGGCCAAAGTGTTTTTGGCCTTGGCCAAATTCTTTTCGTCAATGTCTAGCAAAGCCAGGTGCATGCCCTCGTCTCGGCAACGCTTCGCCACGGCAAACCCCACCCCGGAGGCGGCACCGGTGATGAGAGCGGTCTTTTTTGCCTGAATGACGTGATCCATGTTGGTATAGTATTAAATGGCTGTCCTTGGCCGATATCAAAATCGCGATGCGTGAGGACGAACAAAACTGACAAGGAGAGCTTGTTACACGATTTGCTTCACCGCTTAATGAATTGCCGGGGACATCGTCGATTATTGACCGCATACAACCCTGAATTTATATTTCAGCAAAGTGAAGATTTTGGGTTCCTTAACAATATCGTACTATGAGGATACTCAAAATTTACAAGTAATAGACGGTGTATCATGGTGGTCGACAGGGAGGTGGGAGCAACACCAGGAAAGAGTGGTATCTTGCCGAGTCACCGGTTGAGTAGGGCTCAGTATATTGAACTTACAGAGCAGATTTAGGTAACTGATAAAGTAAAAGATGGCGGACAACTCCCCATTCGAAGACATCACATCACCAATTCGGGGAGGGGGTTCGACGGGGACTCCCATGAAGGACACAGAGATCTTATACGAGGAACCCGTTGATAAGCATATCCATTGCAGGTGCGTTATGATCGCTCTTTGTCTACCTATTTGTTTTGCTAGCTGCAGGCTTTCAATTTACGGGCTCTTCTTGCACCCCCTTTCCAGCTTTCCAGGTCCGAGTTTGCTATAATATATTTCTTCTAGCAGCTATATCACAATTGTATTCCTTACCCCACCTTAGAGGTCAAATATGCCAAGAATATGCTCCTTTCGCAGCTTGCAAGCCCAAGGACGTCATTAATAAGGTATAGGAGGGACGAGTTTGTGATAGTATCAATATACATACAGCGGCCTATATCACATTTAGACAGTGATTTCAGGATAAATATGACAATTAGTTGCGTCTTCTCAGAGCAGATCCAACGCTCCTCTTCTTGTAGGCTCCACTGTCGGCCAGGGACTGAGTCCGCCCCGGGCCAAAGTCCGGCTCTCCGCCTAGAGTACCAAAAATATCTCCAATATAGTTGCGAGGCTTCACACCAGAGGCAAAAGTGGAATGCCATTCCTTCAAGATACCCCCAACGACTTCAATGCCAGCGCGGTAGATGTTTTCCAGGGCCGGTTCGAAGCCGCCCGCATCGGCATAGAGCAGGTTTTCGGTCGCAGACTGCCCGGGGTAGGGACGGTCAAAGTCGGACGCAGTGCGCATTACAATGATACGAGAGAAGTCGGTCAGCTTCTTAGTTGATGATCGAAGAAGAACCTCGAGCGTGGCGTTATCTTCCTGGGCACTGGAGCAGTAGTCGCCCGTGCCATTGGTGAACAATTTGGTTGTGTTGTCGAAAGCATCACCCAGGATGTTGCCGCTGTAGTAGACATCCGAGGTAGCCACGTCGCACTCGACGACCCCCGGGGCCACGGTAGCGGCCTTGTACTCTCCACTTTCGGTCGCGTAATGGGCGCGATAAGCCTTTGCAGCCGAGGAATCAGAGAAATTCGCTCGGCGAGCAAAGCCTGCCGCAATGCTGCGAAGCTCTGAGTTGACTTCGAAGACCTCCGTACCGTAGATGCTGGTGGGATATTGGTCGGGGTAATCAGAGCCCAGAGGGATGTATCCAGTCGAGTAGTTGGAAGAAAGCTCTCGGATATCAATTTCGTACTGCAAAGCCACCTGAACAGCATATCGCGCAAAGGTCGCTGAGCCGAGGGTAGCTCGCTTGGGATTGACACCTGCAATACCGGCGATGAAGAAGTAGGTCTTAGTGAGATCGAAAAGGGGCGAGAAAACAACGGAGGTAACGGTCGTGGCGGCATTGATCTCAGATTCGCCGGTAATCAGTTGACAGATCTCGTGGTTCTCGGTACAGTGAACGTCGGGATAGAGGGGTGAAAGCCCGGGGAGGCTAATATTATGGGCCAGAAGGTTGAATTCAGGAATGTTCCACCAGGCTTCAGCTTCCGGTTCAAACTAGAAAGGCTATGAGTACAGGTTTATCGGTTGTAAAGTCCCGATATAGTTCCCGGGCATACCATTGAGACGATGAACACCTTCGGAGCAAATTTTGGAGACCCGTGAGCGGAAGCCGCACATAACGCACTTCCACCCAGTAACAGCGGGACCAAGGTTCGCAGGGACAACATTGTGTTTGAAGGTCGGCTGCCTTGATAGCTAGTAGCTAGTAGCTAGTAGCTAGCTTGGAGGGGAAATCACCGGGTTTTAAAGCCTAGCAGAAATGCAAAATTTTCCAACTCCGTCGCGCTTCCGACTCCCATAGCAGAGAGACCTCTAAACCCTCAGAGTGGATCATGGCGCGAACTCGATATAGATAGGATCGGCCATCACTCCGTTGACCAGCTCTGGTTCGGGATGGCGATAGCCTCTTTTGATTGGTATCGGGCAGTTGACGCTCCATAGAGTCGATAAAAGAGTTTCCCTTCCAATTCAATTGAGCGGTAACGTAACCGGTAACTGGCCCGCACACTTGAGGCAACCTGTGTGTTCCTTATCCTTATCCTTATCCTTAAACCCTTATCACGCCCTTGCGGTGGCCCTTATCACGGGCTTCAACGTCGACCGTCGGAGTGTGCCGGTGGATCCACTGGAGTCATAGCTGAGCGATAACGAAGCTAGTCACTAGGTATCTACATAGATTGAAGGGGGCTGCGAGAGATTACCCTCTTATAAACACGGGAAACGATAGTATTTAGAGTAGATTGACCTTCGGCTCTCGCAACGCAAATTGCGCCCTACGATCCGACCGAAGCTTCTCGGCTCCTTTCTCGCCTGAATGGCCATGGGAAAGTAAGAAGCCGGTACACTCAAATTGAGAAGGCTCAGATAGAGATTAAGGTACCGACAGCCATCACGTGCATTGGGGAGGGAAGTTGGCAGACAAAAGTGGAGCGGCCCAAGGGAACCACATTGTGTGCCTGTCGGACTCCATGGAACGAGACAGGAAAACTCAGATGTGAAGAATTGAGTATGAGCCATTTGATTGAAATCAACCGAACCACAAGAATCCGTGAAGGAAATAGGACGGAAATCATGCAAAAGTGTGTAAAGTGCCATCATGGAATCCTGTGCCTCGCCTCGGCTGAGGTTTAGCCCATTCTGAGCCGGGAACATGAGCAGCAAGCGTGAACAGATACCTGAGAATAAATCAATCCTTCGAGCCGCTCGGGGGACATTCTATGTCAAGACGGGCTACAAGGGCTACCGGGCTGTTGCCCGTGATGCAGACAGATTTCGCCAGATACCTCAAGGTAGACAAAGACCGGGCAGCAGTCTGGCTGTATGACGCGCGGGGCTCAAGCCACCGTGGAACACCATCAATCGGCGTGGAGCATGACGCATGTCAAACGGCCTTAAATAGAAATCCTGTGACGGGATTGACAAGATGGGGGTGCCCGGATGCTGATCGGACAATTGAATTGGTTGATTCTCAACGTCATCCCCACTGACGTCATTTTTAATATACCGACCATTGAACGTCTGGGAAGACACCGGGGCAAATAAAACCACCCAGTCCCCGCGCCGGCAAAACCACATCTTGCTGCTCTAGCGCGTTCATTCCGATCGATCTGGTATGCTGTCGAGGTTTTCTCCGGGGTTGGATATTCATGTTCGGAAGCTAACTGGCATAGCACCCTCAGACTCATTCCACTCCTCCGCCATGCCGTCAATGCACGATCGTATCCGCGAGGATATTCTTAATAAGGAGCGCGCTCTATGGACAGCCCTTACATCTGCCGACCCTGCGCCCGCCGTGCAAAAACTTTGCAATGATGAAGCGAACTTGCTCTTCCCCCAGATGGAGGTCTTAACTATGGAAGACCCTGCGCAGTTGAAGCGAGCCTTGAAGCCGCCATTCCACCGATTCGATGCATATGAATTCGACGATGTTCGAACAATCGTTATTGATCTCATGGCTGGATCTGTGACATATAAGGTCCGGGCCGTTCGCGGCAAAAATGAGTACCGCGCAACGGGATGTACCACCTGGAGCCAGGCCTCGGACGGCGAGTGGCGGGTCGTTTGCCATCAGGAGACAGTGTTGTGAGAATGATTCGGGACAAATCTCCTACGAAGGCACACCTGGGAGCATGATATCTGTATAAATGAACGGGTCATCCTGGTCATGCGTTATGAATCGATGAAGCTATTAATGTCACAATTTTTAAACGTTGACTTGATATACTCAATTTTGATATCCAATTTGAAATACACATGTGCAATTTAGATATAATTGACCACAAGGCTGCCGTCAGATAGACTGTCTGTACATAGGTAGTGTTATTCTAATGCGGTGTCTGATTTGACTGGGTTCTTTGTCACATGAGTCAGTTCACGAGCACATGCAAAGTTGGCAGTAAGATCTACTACATAACTATAGATACGGCATCCGGACAACAGAGATCCCATTTCGACGGGCAACAAGATGACCTCGAAAATATCTTCGACATGTGGATGAGTTTAACAAGATTGACGGCATAGTGGATGCCGTTTCTGAGACATACATTCAGGCCTGCTTATAATTTCACTCTTTGACGGCTCTCGCCTTTATCTTCCTTAGGTCTCCTGTAACGTGCCTTCCTCTTTTCCATCTACATTTCTCTCCCAATATCTGTATTCTTTCCCTCGCCTGTCTCTGTAGTTATGAGTGATGAACGAATCCTCTGTAACGGCCATCTAAAGAGTCGGCCTCATTATGTCTCTTAAGTGACGCCGCACCGTGGTATCGTGAGCACTGCTTTCTATTCTCTCATCTTATCTGCCTTCAACACCATGCCTCGACATGCCTCCAAAGCTCTTCATCTCGGTAGTAGCTTGAGAGACTTATGTTTGCTATTGGTCTAGGTTGCAAGTTTTCTTGACTGGGCAACGTCTTCGTCGGCTGGCCATTCGCTATCTCACAACGGACAATCGAGCTCGTCGCTCCTATTTGTCCGAAGCCTCTGGCTTCAAGAAACTTATGAAGATTTCTCAGAAAAGTCCAGTGCATCATTTTGGCCATCTCACCAGTGGATTTTATTAAGCCAATGGGTTTCTGACCATGTTACTAGGGGGCAGGATGCTGGAGGCCAACACTGGATACAAAATTTAATGGGCTATTCTTATTGCAGGGGTCGCCCATTTCATTAGGAAAGCTTGGCCGAAAGAATACCATCTGGAACATTTTGAGGAAGCTGGACGCTGGGGCGTTTCTAAGCCCATTCTCTCTAATGTTGAATAACTCGTATACTTTGGAATGAACTGTTTATGAAGATCGCCTAAACCCATACCATAATCCCTCAGAATTTCTAGTCGCCGATATCTAGGTAATCTATGGAGTTGAAACTTGACAGCGACCGACACCCGGCTGCTAGCGTGTGTCTGTGCAGTGCCGAGATGAAGTACGAGCGTTCAAATGTAGACTGCGTCTGATATTAGGCTAACTCTTTGAGGAAGTAGTACCAAAACTGGGCGTATTGAGGGAAGTTACTCTATTGTGTTTGGAAAATCATATCCGCTCGTTTAACCCACTGAGCGGAATCGATGGGCCAAGCGGGGAAGGAGATCGATCGATCTTTCCAGCTGCATAATTCTAAGAAGGGAAGCGAAACGGGACCGGGATGTGAGAATCAAAATTCCCGGGATTCTGAGTCAAGGCGAACGCGGGTTAGGCTCCGGCAAAAAAAACCAGCTAAACCAGCAAGGATCTCAGCAAATTGAAACCTATCGGGGGATGGCGGGTGCATCAGGTTGCTCACTTGGCCTAGTTCTCCACATCCCGAGACATTCTAGCGCCGCTTCGAAGAACTGCGCCAAACATGACTGCCAAACGCAGCTCATCCACAATTCATCGGCGTGGATACTCAGTCGGGCAAGAGAAGTGGAACGGCATCCACGCCATAGTAGGACACGGACCGAGTGAGCCACCCCTTAGTTTATTTCAGCCAAGAACAAAGTAGGGAGAACGGAAGAGCGGGTCTCAGGAGACGTAGCCGGTCTCTTCTCCATCCTTTCTCAACGGTCGCAAATTTGGACTCTTTTTTTCTTTTTTTCTTTTTTTGTTCTAGAGTTGCCACTGTAAGATGTCTGGACCGGCGTGTCGAGCTCGAGTACTTTCCACCGTATCAAGGTCTGGGCATCTCTAGCCTTCTTCTATTTGCCAGGAGTTTCTGATCTGTCACTTTTGAATTTTCGGAGGCCTCTGGAAACCCACCGTGCGTTGAGTCCAATCCATTTATCTATTTGCGGGAGCTCCACAGCGGTTCCGTGGATGGAGTCGCTCCAACGTTCAAATGCCGAGCGATCGCCTATCCCGGCCGAGCAAATCTTGACTTTTTCTGGGAGGATAAACTTACTGTTTATCCTGAGAGATCCTTGATTACGAGCGGCTGACGAAGGGGTTTCGACGTGTCGATCGTTGATTACTGAAAAACCTCGGTCTCGAGGTAGAAGATGTTTTATATTCAACCCTAAACCCGTTCCTAACCTGAAAGAAGATGCAGATCTAAATCTTCAGCTACATAAGTCGGCTTTGCAATACTGGAATCCACGTCACACCGTACGCTGAGCGACATGGGATCTTTAGGCCCACCGCACCATATCATCGTCGCCGGCGCGGGCATCGCGGGCATCGCTTGCGCCCTTGCTCTGTCACGAGAACTCACACCCTATGTGCCGGATTTAAAAATCACGATATTCGAGCGACATGATATTCTGTCCACGTCGGGCGGTGCCATCAACTTGACACCTGTTGCACAACGCCATCTTGCACAGCTTGGTGTTTTGGATGAACTGGACCGTATGGGCGCCGAGGGTGGAGCGGAGGTGGATGCAATCGAGCTTTATTCAATGCGTTCCGGTCGCTCTATTGGCTCAATAGACTTCGTCGATCACCGGGGAAATGGGTATGGGGGATATAAAGGTCGACGAGTGATGCGCATTGTGTTATCGGTGGCAATGATGACCATGGTCGAGCGGACACCCAACGTCGACATTATTTTCGGCAAGAAGGTCGTCGGCGGAGAGGAGAGCGAAGGCAAAGCCGTGGTACATTTTTCAGACGGCACCGAAGCCGTCGGTGATCTGGTTGTCGGCTGCGATGGTGTTCATTCAGCGATTCGTAGCCGGTGGATTGATCCTGACACTCCTTCTCAGTACACGGGCATGTCATTCCTGCAGGCTAATATTCTTTCCAAGGATATCTCATCACCTGTTCACTTCCGTTCTTCTGCACTAAATGTTTCACGGCATGGCTCGATGTTGACGAGTTTCTGTGATCTCGATCGCGAACAGATCTTTACCGCCGCCATCGTGCAGTTCAGTCAGGAGGATTTAGAATATTATCGGCTCGAAGCTAGCCAGGACTGGGCAACGCAACATCAAATCAGGGCCGCTCTTCGCAACGAGATGCAAGATCGTTTTGGAAAATGTTCGATTCCCTGTATTCGGGAAATGGTGAACAGCAAGGCTGATTGGATGCTTTACCCCGTTTATCAAGTCCGCCTTGGAGGACGCTGGTACACGAACCGAGTGATCTTGCTAGGCGATGCAGCCCATGCAGTAAGTCTTCTCTGCCCATCTCCTGTGCCGGTTTACTAAATATTTTCTTCAGATGCCCCCGCTAGATGAGTCAGCTGCATACGCTCTGGATGACGCAATTCTTTTTGCTCGAATCCTAGCTCAGTATCGCTCGGAGCCACTTGCTGAGGTATTCGACACATATGAGCGTCTTCGTCGGGATACAATCAACCGTGCCTTCAAAGAGTCCCACCGAATGTGGGATCGAAACCGAGATATGAGTATGCTGGAAGGTCGGCTAAAGGAGTGGATGATACCCCTTTCTCTTCGCAGTCGTCGAGATCAGCGAGAAGCGGCATGGGAGTTCGATGCAAGCAAAATATCCATACCAAGCCCCGCACCCAGCGAGGACTTGGTATCTTTGCATTCGTTTCTGAAGGAACAAACTATGTAGAGGCGTGGGGTCCGTTCATTGGGTTCGTGGTCAGTAATGTTGTTCGAAGACAGTTGCATGGGTCGGTGTATCGGATATTATGTAATGGCTTGATACCAAATTTTTCCTTGTAATGAATAGTTTTTGAGAACGGAGTTGGATCTGTGGCCGCGGGATCATCGTTCTAATAGGTCAAGTGAAGTTCCCTTCCATAGGCTCGGTTCAGAACCTTGAATACATACACGAATCAAGAAATGCCCGTGACACCGGCCACGTACATGATATATTTCTGTGGGCTGAATAATCTACTTTGTGTGGTGCTAGTAATGAGTGGACACATGTAGACAATCTTTCTCTTATGGAAACTGGAGATAGTGGTAGTAGCCTTGGGTGTAGTAATATAGCAGGTTCTAGGCCGGATCACTCCCATAGACGGCTAGTCTAATCCATTTGACATGCTTTCAAAAATTTAGGATACATAGTAGCTATATAAGACACACCTAAGCACTTTGAGAGCAAAACAAGAAGAAAAAAAATAGTGATCGGAGCTGTCTAGAAACTGAGGGTCTGACCCGCGGTTCCGACAACACCACTCTTTACATTTTCAGATCCCAACAGAGTGTAGGAATAAGGCACATTGGTCAAATTTCCCGTCTCAGCGGCATTCTCACCGTCACCAAAGTCATTGTCACTTGAGACGGCAAAGCCATCATTGGTAGAATAGAGAGACTTCTTAGAGTCCACGAATGTGTTCGACTCAACAAGAAGCTGGGCACCATCTCGAGTATTGATACCGTCGCTAACGGTGTCGAAATAACTGTTATAGATGTGCCCAGTACCGAAACGGAAAGAAGGCGCCCGAGAATTGACGTTGTACCAATAGTTGTTGTTTTGAGTCACATGAAGATAGCCAGTGTCTTCATCGCCGTTGCTGTCCGAATGTCCAATAAGGGATGCTTTCCAATGGTCGTGAATGAATGTATTTGACACAGTGACATAGTCGGAAGCATGTCTGATCTGTAAAACACCAATGAGCTACTATAGTCCGATAGAATGAGGAGTTACTCACGTCGATAAGGCCATCATAATAATCTTTATCATGATCTCTGTCGGACGACACATCACAATGGTCCACCCAGACATTATTCGAATACTCTGATATCTGTTAGTTTCCAGCATGAAGTCGAACACTTATTGAACTCACGAATGCCAATTGCATCCCCATTTTCTGCAAGCACCTTCTCCACGCCCAAGTTGCGAATGATAACGTTGGAGGCCACCTCAACAAGGCTTAACCAAGTTAGTCATGGCTCTTATGAGATTTAATCGATGACTCACATTCCGAAGCTTTCCAAAATTGCATTGGAGTTCTTGCCAATGATACTGGTGTTACTGCCCACGCGAGCTTGATCAGCAGTCTTAGTAATTCTTCCGCTGACAACGACTACTTTGGCGTTGTCTCCCGATACTGCATTAGTAAAAGCTGTATATGAAGACACGGTAGTCGTAGTGCCGCCAGCACCTCCTGTTGTGCCTCCGTTTTGGCTGGCATAACCAGTCGCGGACTGCGTTTGACATATCAGCTGACCTAATGACAAATGTATTATTCAATAACTCACATCATCAACGCTTGCACGCTTCACGAACTCCGATGTGCTGGTGGGGACTGCGATCGCAAGTCCAGAAATGCAACCGGTAAAAACGGCGGCAATCCATTTTGAAGGGGCCATTGTAACAGGGACAATTGATATTGGCGAGCTGACAGCCTTGAAAGGATTTGATCTTGGTGATGACGAGGAGACTGGTTAGGCAAAGCAGGAATTGTTCTTGGAATCCGCTCTTGGCATTAGGAGTGGAGCTGATTCTCACTGACAGTTGCCATTTGATTCAGATATACTTAAAACGTTTGACAGGGAAGTCAAGCAGTTTTGAACGTGGATTGCGTTGTCCCTCCAATAGCCATATCAAAAAAGAAAAAGAAATCAACAGAATTTCCACAAGTAAACTTGACTATCCCCAATGCAAAGCCAATTCTGCAACTACGCCATGGTGCCAAGAAGATCGTGGTTTCATAATGCTCTGAAAATCTTGGCATAGGGAGATGATGGGAGGGCGGGCGTTTGTAATTCCATCAATTGATCGATACGTATTTTGTCGTGATGCCATATTGAATGTAATATGACTGTTTCATTCGGGTTTCTTGGCAAGGGAACATAACAGCCCGAACAAGGCATTTGATGCATATATCGGGGCGATCAAGGGAATGGCACTGGAACAAGGCCAGGAAAATGAAATGGCCATGCCTCATTCCAACCTCGTTGTTATTACTTATTGGAAAAGAGCCCAGGCGAGAGAAAGACAAGTATCAACGGGACAAGACATTCGTTGTGTTCGAGTTTGTGGTAGCCCTTTCCTGACCGGTACAATTCCGAAGCCCTGCCCTTGATATTATCTATGCAGGGGGAGGCCTGGAGTATTTGCGAATATGTCAAGGCACTTTGCACGTACTTGCACGCGATAGGACAGTTTCCCAGGGTCAAAAATGGCGAAGGCTAAGTAATCTGCATTCCTAGACCGATGATGAGTAATCTCGTCGACCCCGCAGGCCGCAGGAAACTCACTGCGCATCGACTAGGAACCGGCTTGGACATTAACCCGCATTTGAGAACTTGAGTACATCTGGCTATTTACAGTCGTTGACTTGATCTAATCACGTTTACTTCGGTTTCGTGCTTTACCTCTGGTGTTACAAACTACGCGATAAATATTTGGGCGGATTGCGATCGAATCGACATGGTAGAAACCTTTTCATCAGTGCCCAAGGTTGACTATTCACGTCTTCAGGACCCAAGTACCAAAGATGATGAGCTTCTAAATCTTCGAGAGGCCATCTTTGTGGTGGGATTTCTTTACCTAACAGATACAGGTTTAGAGGTGCGACAAATGACTGATGCGGTGTAATTCTCAGAAAAATGCATTGACCGGATTGTAGGATCTTTTTCGTCGAGCCCACGAGGCCCTGCCGGCCCTTTTTGCACTGCCATCAGGGGTAAAAGAGGAATGCAACATGATAGACTCTCCGTCATTCCTTGGATTTACTCAATTCGGAGCCGAAACAACAGCAGCCAGGACTGATCTTCGTGAGGTAACTGCTCCGAAGTTACCACATAAAATAGAGTGAGCTAAAGCACACGGTCAAAGCAATTTGACTTTGGCACCCCAGGAATGAAGTCATGGACAAGTCAGGATCCATTCTGGCAAAGACTTGAAGGGTCAAACCAGGTGCGTTATTTAGTCTAATCCAGCTCGGACGTACTCTGAAAACAAACTTCAGTACCCAGCCCATCCTGGATCGCGATCCCTCGTTGAGGAATACATCACTGCCATCGGTGAGCTAGCACAGAGCTTTTTGCATCTGGTCGCAGAATGCCTATGCCTACCCACAAATACTTTGGACGAATTCAAAGGTAGAATGAGTCGACTGAAGTTTGTAAAATATCCTCAATCCGCGCCCGAGTCCCAAGGTGTTGGCCCGCACAAGGATTCTGCGGGCCTGTTCACTTTTCTTTCACAGGATGACTCGGGTGGACTGCAAGTCCTCAACAAGAATGGTGAATGGGTGGATGTTCCTCCAGTCGATGGAAGCCTTGTTATCAATATCCAACAAGGATTCGAGGCTATCACAGGAGGCGCCTGTGCCGCCACCACTCACCGTGTCGTCGTAAGATAGGGTCCTAAGCATCGTTGTACTGTGTGACCACTAATATAGTCTCATAGGCACCTACATCCAGGACGCAATACAGTATTCCGTATTTCCTTGGAGTCAGGTTGGACCTGACTTTGGACAAATTGAAGGAGCCAGCCGCTCATATTGTGTCCTGCATTCCTACCTCGGATAACCGCAAGAAGGGCGCGATTGATGTCCCTAGTGAATTCATGTCACCTCTTTATGCCTGCGTAAGCATTCCAATAGCGTGCGCCACGATCAGTTCTAACAACATAATAGTTTGGAGAGGCGCATCTGAGAAATCACATCTTGAGTCACCCCGATGTGGGACGGCGGTGGTATCCAGAGCTGTATTCCAAGTATTCTCAGCAGGCTCTCAAGTAGCGTCGTGTTTTGATCACTGTATGCAGGAGAGTTGTGTGGACTTCAACCTCTGTGACTTAGAATACTTTATAGCGTAATTGGATCTGATGCTGTTGAATATCAACACACTCCGGCCTGGTTTCACCAAAAGAAGCGGCTTCCGGGCGGGGGGAGGGGAGAGGAGTTACCAGAAGGCTCACCTCAGGAAGAAGCTAGACAGTCAGTAGACCCTTCTCGCATTGCGCGATTGCAAGCTGTGACATTTCACTCTAGTCCGGTCGCGGAACAGTGTGGCGGGTCGAAGACCCCCTCTCCCCACATCCTCCAAATAACAGATTGAGGGGTAATCAGCGACCTCCCCAGCTTCCACTCTTCACTCGAGAGCAAAATGTCTCGTATAAGCGCTACTGCCATCAATGCCCTTCGCAATCAATTGGTGACCGCGACGCTTCTCACGCCTGACTCTTCGGGGTACGAAGAGAGCCTTATTCGATGGTCGGATACTGGGATGAAACGTGCGGTAGGGAGAAAAGCGCAGATTTAAATCCTCTGACTAATGACTGGAACAGGGAGTCGTGGTCCAGCCAGTAGAGCCCATGGACATTCGAGCGGCTTTGCTGTGGGCGCAAGATCACGGCGTCGAAATTGCCGTGAAGGGTGGGGGACACTCGACTGCCGGTACCAGTTCCAGTGAGGGTGGCTTGGTGATTGATCTTTCACGCATGAATCAAGTCACGGTAGACCCTGAGGCGAAAACTATTACTGCTCAGGGTGGTGCGACCTGGCAGGAAGTCGACCAAGCTGGGGCGGCTTATGAACTTGTGACGGTGGGAGGAACCGTGAATCACACAGGTGTTGGAGGTTTGACACTGGGAGGCGGATACGGCTGGTTGAGTGGACAGTACGGTTTGACCATCGACAACCTGCTGTCTGCCACGGTAGTCTTGGCCGATGGAAACGTCGTGAAAGCCTCTGCGACCGAACACCCCGACTTGTTTTGGGGACTGCGAGGCGCAGGATACAATTTTGGTGTCGTCGTAGACTTCACCTATCAGGCATACGTCCAGAAGAATCCCGTTTATACCGGTGTCTTGGGATATCCCATCGAAAAATTGGAGTCCGTGGTAGAGCAGCTCAATGCCACTTTGGCAAACCCTGATCCGCGCTCCGGTGCGATGAGCATTTTCGCCCACGCACCTGATGGCTCCGGCCCGATAATCGTTGTCATCTGCTTCTACAACGGTACTCGTGAAGAGGGGCAGGAGCGCTTTTCCGCTTTCACAGCTCTAAATCCAGTTCTGAACACCCTTGACATGGTTCCTTACCCCGTGGTGAATACGTTACAAAACCCCCAGGCTAGATACGGTGATCGCAAATCATTCAAAGGCGTTTTTTATGAGCCTCCGCTGGACCCGAAGTTTGTTCGGTCGATTCTCAATGACCTACTCAGCAAGATTGAGAAAGATCCTGACCTGGCACCCTCTGCAATCATTCTCGAGTTCATTAATATGCGAAAGATTTGTGATGTCCCGTTGGCTGATACGGCTCTTGCCAGTCGCAATTCTACCCAGAATGGTATAATTTTCTTGCGTTGGACAAATTCCATGAAGGATCAAGATCATAGATCTTGGGCGCGAGAAATTCAGTCGAAATGGAAGATCGAGCTGGATGCGAGAGCTAGAGACGATTCGCAAGGAGAAAATGTGCCGCAGTACATTAACTATGCCGAGCGTAAGTTCAGCTGTGCCCAACCATCTTTTGTCAAGCCGCGGAATACTAATAGTACCAGCTGGCGACTCTGTCGTCACAAACATATATGGAGCAAATCTACCACGCCTGCAGACTGTCAAATCCAAGTACGATCCAAAGAACGTATTTCACAAAATGCATCCGATCCCACTGCTTACCAGCCAAATATCTGCGTGAACCATCTAGGCAAGCTTTAAAGTCGAGAATGAGGTCTATTCATATACATATAAATATAATAGACTCGCCGGAATGTTACCTGAGGGGAAGGTCGTGCTTAAAAATGAAAAGATCTAGATGTCGGCAGCATACGTGTACCCTCAATTTCTATTCAATCATTGCCAAGCTCTGCGTCATATATTCTGCTATTTGAAAATCCTTGATATTACTAAGTTTCCATAGAAGGCTGGACCCATGAGGAAGTCGGCTTGAGATGCTGGTCGTCACCTTTCGCTGCAATGCGTGTAGGACTCAGAATGATCAAAGGAGAATGGTAGGCTTCACCACTCATGTTAATCACAATATTTCCTCCAACTTCAGTCATCAGAGTCGCGGAAGAATATGGTACTTGACTGCTTTCACCGTTGTCCACCCCTCCAAGGCTTCTTCTCCCATATCTCTTCCAAATCCGCTCTCCTTCACCCCACCGAACGGAACGTTGGGAGCGAGCATTGCCCAGGCATTTACAGTAACCTGGCCGGACTCAAGCTCCTTGGTCACTCGATGCGACCTGTTCACATCGTTAGTAAAAATAGCAGCACTCAAGCCGTGATGAGAGTTATTTGCTTTTGCGATGACTTCCTCTTCGGTGGAAAATTTGGCAATGCTCTGGGCGACTTCGTCAAAATGTGCGATCAACAATGTTGTATAGATCAGATTGAATAAAGTCACTTACCGCCACAGGACCGAAGATTTCCTCACGCATGATCGTCGCGTCGTCGGCCACATCCGCAAATGCTGTGTTCTGCACAAAATAGCCCTTATCGCCAATAGGTTCACCACCAAACAAAAGTCGGGCACCGGATTCTTTGCCCTGTCGAATATAGTCAAGAATCTTTTGATGCTGAGCCTGACTCACGACTGGACCCTTGGTGGTTGAGGTGTCTAACGGGTCACCCGCGACGGTTGGCGCGCTGACAGAAGCATTTCTGTATGCTTCAACGAACCGATCGTAGACTGAGGCCTGAACATAGATGCGAGACCCGGCAGCACAAATCTGACCATTATTTGCTGTAATTCCAATGCGTGTCCAGAGCAATGCATTCTCGAGGTCGCAATCGTCAAATACGATGGACGGACCTTTCCCTCCAAGTTCCAGGCTTACTTTTTTCAAGTTGGTTCGAGATGCAGCCTGAAGTATTTTCCGGCCGGCGATATCACTTCCAGTGAAAGCGATCTTGCGGACTTCCATGTGTTCTGACAGGGCTTGACCCGCACTGCTGCCTTCGCCGGTCACAATGTTCACTACTCCTGCGGGGATGCCTGCTTCCTTAACCAATTCCGCCAATCTTTGCGCATACAGCGGAGATAGTTCCGATGACTTGATAATCAGGGAATTACCGGTCACCAATGCTGGGGCCAGCTTCCAAATCGTGATCATCCTGCCATGTTATGAGTCTACGATTTGAACGTTGAATGGTACATGGGGAACTTACAATGGGGAATTCCACGGAACAATGGCACCGCAGACACCAAGGGGCTCTCTATGAGTATAAGCAATGCCGCCGTCCATATCAAGCGTCTTTCCATCGATTTTGTCAGCCCAGCCGGCGTAATACCGCAGACATCCGATGGCTTGTGGTACATTGAGTCCCACGGAGTCCGTGTATAGAGTACCGGCGTCGACCGCCTCCAGAGATGCCAGATCATGAGTATCGCGTTGTATTAAATCGGCAAGCTTGATAAGGAGCTTGGCTTTTGCGGATCCAGGAACCGTCTTCCATGTTTCAAAGCCGGCCTTGGCTGATTTGACAGCTCTATCAATGTCATCCGCAGTGGCGGCAGAAATAATTCCCAACTTTTCACCAGTTGAGGGGTTTTCTACATCCAGTGTCTTGCCACTTAACGACGGTACAAATTCATTATGAATGAATAGGCCCGTTGGAACTAAATATTATTAGCCGCGCAACGAGGGTAGTGATAGATCCGTGCTACCTGTGACCAGACGACCTTCCACGCCTTTCACTGTCAATGATGCCATTCTTAGAGAATCAAAGAGAAAGCGACCAAGTTTGAATGCTGGATAGCCATTGTGCTCGCGCCACCGTCGCTTTTAAATGGACTATGCGCGGCCCTTCGGAAAGAAGACTGCGGGGGCCGCGCCCAGATTCCGCACCCTTTCCGAGAATCCAGGGGCTATCCAGACAAACATGGACTTTTAAGGTTCCCAAAATCTCTGTTGGGAAGGATCATCGCAGTTTTCTGACAGAATTTACATGATTTAGTTGGTTTCTAAGCCTTTAATATTAGTCATCCGTCCGTGGCGGTCACCGTGATAGTTTCTAGCATATGTGAGGTCCAAAACGAAGACCACTCGACCAAAAATGACAATGACACTTTCAGTCCTTAGTGATCGTAGCTTCATGCCGTCAGTGAAGACATTGGAATAAGTGACATGACCTTTGTCAGCAAGCTCTCGTTTACAGGATGTACTAGCTAAGCAATATTCGGCAAATAGTGGCGAATGGAAATAAGGCTTACTATGACTCTTTAATGAGCTTGACAGATTGTTACCTTGGAGAAAGGCCCACTGGAAAGGACCGCGTTGATGTTTTGGTCCAGGTAATGCATTTACGAGCGCAAGAGCCTTCAAAGATCCCAATGAAAGTCTTTGGGCTTCGTGGTACAAATTTGATGGGAGTCCAAATCTCAGAAAACCGGATAGAGTGAAAGATCTCTCGAACTTAGTCCCTAAGACGAGGAGTTGCCAGTCCATTTGCTTCACAGGTCCGGATAAGAGGCTTAATATCCATAATATAGGCTAAGAAGGTTATCCATAGAAGGTACATGATATAAACATAGCGAGTGACTAAATTCTATATTTCGCCCTAGGCAATAGGACTGATGTGTTTAGTTATTCTGTCGGCACGAATACCGCGGTAGACCGGAGATATAATCATCCTTTATGCTCATTACGTATGTAATCTAGAATCCCCCTATAAATTGCCAGACTCAGAGGTACTACAGGAACAGAGCTTTGGACATCGTTGATTGGTTGTATACGAAGTCATTCCGACATATTCCAAGTGCCTCACGAACCAGGCAACAGAAGACTCGGTCGGACTTTTCGACTTTCTGTTTACAACCTAGCCGCGTAACAACGCCTCGCGGCCTCGGCTCATACACTTTGTTAGCCGGTTTTCCAGAATCCCCACGCAATGACCACCGATAGTTTGATTCCCGCGGATAACCAGAGAATGGGCGCAATGTCCCTGGTAGCCTTTGTGACCCAACCGCCGACAATAGCACCTGCCAGGGTCAAAATGAAGGCTACGACGCGTCGATCGCGCTTTTCATTTTGCAAGAGAAATAGTTGGGGATCCGACATCAAATCACACAAAAGGCTCGTGATCACCACGGTCGGGATTTCGTTGAAGCCTAGGGCCCGGCTCGCAACGATCTGACCCGCCGACTGAAGGCTGAGAAGTACGATCGGGGCCTCTTGGTTCCATTCCGTCGTTTCTTGTGACTGATTGTCTAAAGCACTCGAGATAACACCACTCTCGATAAGACTAGCAGTAATCAAGATGATACTGGCCTGGATGAGGAAAGATAACATCAAGCATCCCCGCCGCCGTGCCCCGACAGCACGGTTCAGTCTTGCGAAGAGAAAGCATCCTATAGTGAAACATCCAATGGATGTCAGAGAACGAGCCCATCCGTACGGACGTGGATTTTGGTTCGATGCACCCAGTCCAACAAAGATAGTATTCCCTATGACGTAGCACGAACCGTCAGCTTGTCATCTCCGGGTGCCAGTCTCGGAAAGAAAGTTGTATCTCACCGGTTTGCATTGACACAAAAGTATTGTAGGCTTCGCAAGTTAGTATTCCGTTGACGCAGCTCAGAACTGTTCGCACCATTGTATGTTGTACTATCAATCAACCCGGAAGTCAAGCAGCAAGTAAACAGAAGCAAGTCGGCGTGAAGAGGTTGGACTTCGTCACTCAGAAAAGCTGCTAGCCCGGCAAATGGTCCTTTTTCTTGGTCCATTGAAACTTTTGATGGTTCTGATAAAGGAAGCTGGTGAAATGGAATTGATACGTTGATTTGGAGACTGCTGTTGAAGAAGGTCAAATAACTCTACGGGGCCCTCGAAATAAGCCCGACGGTTAATCAGCGGCGTCAGTGCCCTTTTTACCCGAAGAAAATACCTTCCAAGACCCAAGAAGAGGGGGATTTCTCAGATAGTGCCGCTGAGCAAGACCAAGCCCGATAATCCGCATCAGCGCCTGCAATATGCATGTAAGGCCAGCCACTATCACATACACCACCTCTCAGTAAACTTCATGTCGGTCAATACTGTCCAGGCTATGACCTATGCCGAGGACGCTGACTTTCAACTCGGATTCTACGCCTAAGACGCCAAGGTACGCTCAGGAGGAATAGGTCGCTATGACGAGCTTCTTGGCAGCGCGACTCTTGTCTCGAGATTCATTCACAGGATGCATGCGAATATGCTTGCCAAGGAATTATGAATCGCCACTTTTGACAGATACCGTCTGTTTCTTGCCTCAATGTTTTTAACTATCCACGGAGGACTTGGACCGCAGAAGCTGGCCGGAGATGATGTCTTCGCCGATGAGGGTTGACAAATTATCCCAAGTATTCATTTTTCTATAGCTAGATTAGATTTGTTTTGATTAAAGACAGGATTATCACTCAATTCCACGTTTTACCTTCTATGAACCTTTCGGCACCTTATACATGTTCACTTCATCTAGGTCGTTTTCTCACAAGCTTTTTTACTATAATCATCTATCTCCCGGGCCTTGCTTTTAAACCCATTTGCCCGAGGCTTTTTCCTACATATTATTTGCAGTCTCACGGTCAGCTTCACAGCTGGTAAGGTTCATTTATCAATGAAACAATGAGGAGCGGTATTGGGGAAAAGCATAAGTATACGCGAAAAGTTAATCAAGGTCTAATCTATGGAACTGCCGCGAACCTTGTCTTATAATTGAAGACTCCTATGCCTATTGAGGTATGGCTGTAGTCCATGACACAGAAAGAGGGTAATCCTTTGCACAATTGAGCTCGGTCGTTTATCTATAGCGATATCTTACTTACAGCTTCATTTCCGGCTCTAATAAAGTTTCGGTGGGTATAGATGGTAAAAAGGAGGCATTTTATAGGTGAATTTATTTCGTTATATTCATTTATCTAAAATGAAAGAAGAAAGACACCCTCGCGGAGCCTGGCATTAAACCAAAACATTTAATCACGCGGTGCAGGAAAAATACCATCGATTAAGAGGAACCGTAAACTGCCATGCTCTGCAAGCCTGTCCCGTGAACAGCATCGAGCGGGGCAACGAAGGCCATCTGACTCCATGAAAAATCCTCGTTATGACCACCATACACGAAAACTTCAAAACGACCCACGAAATGACCATCAACCCATACACGGCTGCCGGCGGCTTCGTCTGTAGTGACAGTAATCTGTGCCTTCAGAGGCACATCGACAACGTTGTGAGTCGAGCTAGTCATATTTGCCCAGATTCTTCCAGGCTCAGCAGGATCAAATCCGTCGGTCTCCGCAACGGAACGAAGAGGATATGGCCATCCGTCGGCAACAAAGATTAACTGGCCATCTTCGGACAACGAAAGGGTAGCATCTGTTGACTCAATAGTAAAGGGACCAGTGGCATCCAATCGCAAGGTATAGTTCATTCCCTTGCTACCAAGTCCTATCAGGTAGCCTTCCTGAGAGGGGTCTGCATGAGGTTTGCTCCATGAGAAAGCCGGATCAGTGGGATGCTCTGAAACATGAGAGAGTCTCCGGTTCAGGTTTTGACCAATGGCATGTGTGGTCAGACGCGCAATAGAGTCATCGAGGGTTGATATAGAGAGTCTCGGTCCCCGACTTCCTGACCATGCACGAGACCCAACGACTGGGATCCCATTCCGAATGGCATAGTAAGCCTCCAGCTGCGTAGTTGCATCCGGTCCATTATCATTCCAAGCTGCCATAATGGCACCCCGCACAGCATTTGAATCGGGCTGTTCAGTTTTGTTCACTGCGTTGAAGAGCTGTGGAGTCCACTGCCAACCTTCGATGTCGGCGAAATTCAATACACGGGCATTGTTGAAGAATTGGGGATAGGGAGCTGGTGTGATTGGAACATGGTCGTTTTTCAACGACATATAAGCCCACCAGTCCTCAGAGTTAATGATTTGGTATCCAGTCTCATCCAGCCGTACAGGATCTGATTGTCCGTACTGCCAATGCTGAATGGTGATGTTTTTGTCAATTGTCCGTGTTTTAGATGGCTCATAGGTGCCCCAGATCCGAATACTCTTTTGATGAGTCTGATAAATGAATCGAGACAACTCATTGACAAAGCTGATGTAGTCATCGGCTAAAGTGGGGTCGTATTCATCGGCGCCAATGTGAATCTCCTTGGTGTGGAACCAAGGAAGAAATTCCGTCCAAATTGATTTGACCAGTGGAATGGTTTCGGGGTGTGATAGGTTGAGTAGATCCTGTTGATCTAAGGCCAACTCCGGCTTCCATTTGGTCACCGATAGACAATGCCCCGGAGCTTCGATCTCTGGCATCACCGTCACTCCCCGCTGAGCACAGTGGGTCTGAAAGTCATCAAACTCGGATCGTGACAAAGTTTCATTGATTCGCTGGACGAGGGGCATCAGCTCTGGATTTTCAGGCCTCAGAGAAAATTGCGAATACACTTCGTCCCAGGTCACATTGGGTCCTCGGGAGAGAGGGTAGTTGTCCGTTGCGTGGTAGTGAAATTCGGATATTTTGAAGAATGACGCGTAGGTGCAAAGATCCTTTAAATAATCCAAGGAATACCATTTCCGACCGGCATCCAGCATGAAGCCTCTCGTAGCGTATGCGGGTGCATCTTCCACGCGACCAGCCGGAATTGAATGCGAGTTCAGGATGAGTTGCTGCAGAAGCGTCCGAGTGCCCCACCACATTCCTCGGGCGCCTGAACCCATGATAGAAACGCGGCCGTTTTGGACCACAAGTTCGTATCCCTCTTCTGAGATGGTGCCATCCTCATAAGTGACATGACTTTGAGCTGGTGAGCGACCGAGTAATATTCCTGATACGAGTTCTGGGAATTCATTCACGATTCGTATGTCCCAGGTACTGTTGGTGAGCTCCTCGAGATCATCACGGAATATTTCGGCGAATTGAGATGCCGAGGGTGGAATCAAGGTCAGGCCATGCTGGTCTTTCCACCTCGAAAAACCCTTGTCGACATATATAATATGATCTGTGGAAGCAAGAGAAAACCCATCCGAGTTCGTATCCCGGGTGTATTGAACGGGGGGCAAGGTCTGCAGAGCCAAAGCTCCTGAAGCTAGAAAAAAAACGTTCCACTTCATCGTGATGCATCCTGGCAAGAGAGAGATCGTCTCCTTTTCTTGTATTTTCGTGCAAGGGGCATGGATGGCAGCGTTACATAGCGATCGGCAATATTTGTTTAGATATGGAACGTGGAACGTGGGATGACACGGGATAAAGTAAGCGGGGAGTCTTGACTGTTGGGGTGGGGGCGCAGATAGAGGATAAACAGCGTTCCACGATACCGAGACAACTAATTTTAAGGGCCCATTTATTTAGTCTGAGCTAATAGCTTCGTCAATTCGTTCTCAGCCTATGACAGAAGTTAAGTGGCTTGCGTTCTAGATAGATTGTAGTAGCTTCTTTTCTTCGCAGTTGCGCGTCAGTAAGTACGCTCGATTTCTTGGCAGGGATTCGTCAAGCTACCTCGTGTATTTGGTCCTTCACAGCTTCAATCTATCGCTTTCCTCTTTTCTTTCTTCCTTTTCTTCAGATTTACTACGCATTGTGTACAGCCGTGGAATATGCAGTGTGTATTCCGAGGTATCGTGCAGACCTAACACTACTCGACAATCTAATAGAGGGTCACTATTATGTGGGTGGGCTGATGAACGACCTCTTCCAGGAGGGGCTTACACAATGAAATCAACACAGGAGACAAGGGGTATTGCAAAGACCTTCCTTCGTTGACCCAAAAATGCGATACTTTTATACTATGGACCTGCGATTGTCTGCATTAGCTGTCACTTCTTGCACATGTGAGGGGAGAACGAAAGTTTCAGCCAGCCCTGCCCACTGCAAAGCATCTAAACGAGCCAAGCCAAGCTTTACGAGGGGAAAGCTTTGGCTCTGGCACCGCAAGACTTGCAACCATGACTCTACTAACTGCTTTCCCCGGATTGCATGGGCTATGTTCGGAGCTTGCACGAGCAATAGCATCAAAAAATTCGAAACAGTCGCAAATCCAATACGTGACCCTACAGTGGTATAAGCAAATGAAGGCACATTATGAGCGGTGGTACTGTTGTATACTCACAGGAATACCAGAAACCGGTGAAGTCGCTAGGAGTTAGTCTTCTCGTGAAATTAACCAATATCGTAGCGCATTTTTCGGCCGCATGCAAAGTTATCTCTCCAGTGCCATATACATCCGGCATGGAAACCTCGGGTAAAGATTCGAGTATAGATATGTCTGTAAAGTCTAGTGTGGAGTCATCCACTGGTAATGGCGAGGTGGCCATTTCCTCTAGATCAAATATCATCGGGGGCTGGACGAGCGTGCCATTGGTCGAAGCATTGCACGGTACACATAGACGACCAGTAACAGATACGCAAAATGGATGGAAGTCGGATACGGTGCTAGGCCATTTACCGACTTGCTCCAATTTGGCAGGCGAAAATTTTCAGGCAAAGACGAGTACCAAGCATTTAGGTTCTCTAAAAGAGCCCGGCCTAGCTCGCCTGAAGATTCAAAATTTGCGTTCAAGATCTGGGAAGCTCTTAAAGTGCTACACAAGATATTTAGTAATCTGTTTGGTCCGAAACATAAGACTAGGACTCACTAGAATGTTTCGTGAATTTCATCGGCGATCCTCGCCAAGTTCACAAGATACCGGAACGGTATTTCGGTGTCACAGGAACAGGTAGAAAACCCTTGCCTAGGACCAACGAGGAAATCACCTTCATCCAATTCACTTACGTCCCATTCGTCTGAGTGTATATATGGGGGCCGCCCCATCAGCAAGCTGCGCCATTTATCTTCGGCGTAGACAGCCCACCATAACCGACGCCGCAGACGTTTCTCCCATGCCGGAATTCCCCACATGCGGCATTCAATGTGAACGCCGAGCGAACATGCTAGGCCGACAAGCTGACCCACAAAAGACCACAGGAACGGAGTATCGGCGGTCGTATATTGTGCGTCATCAAGTGGTCGTTGGTGGGTGTAAAGCAAAGCAGCTTGTAACACTGCAAGGCGAGGGTTGTGGATCTCCTCTGATATGATCTCGTACACCATACGCCATAGTCTTTGAACTGGTGATGCGTGGTATGTGTTTAAAACACAAAGATAATCATCATGGGCAACGAATGGGAACGCAGATGCGTAGACAGCCGCCAGGAGATGCACGGGTACATTTGTTAGTGCATCAAGCTCTGGTAGTTGATATGAAGTCGTGATCAACCCAAGTTGGGAGCGTGATATTACCGGAAGAGCGGGAAACACATACTTGACAAACCTGGACGCTGAATTAGTCATTTGATTAAAGTCTGGGGAGGTCTGGTTCAATACATACAGTGCGACTAGCCTTCTTCCATACTCTGGAGGAACAAGACAATCTAAGTGTTCCTTTGTTACTTCTCCAGTGCCTGCTCGTGTTTCATTTTTCATTGCAGTTGAGAGGTCATCGGACGTAATCATGAAGTGGACCGGTATTCGTTGTGCAGTAGGGACTCCTCCGGCATTGCGGTAATGCACTTTGTAAAAATACTTCATCCCAGAATCATCAAACCGGCAATGCCTCAGTAGCCAGGGGTCAGATTCTGCCGATGCACCAAACAATTGTGCGTGCCCATGATCAAGCTGGTCGATACTTTGCACGAACTGGGTTGGTGGACGACTGGCCAATAATATTCCAGAGCCTGGTGACAGACCATGGGCTTGGCCGAGGTCAAGCAATGGCAAGCAGGGCTCGACGCTTCTAGAGACCGATCGGGCGTTATATGGGCCTCCAAGGATATTCCCGCCTTGTGAGGACAACGGCAAACCATCGATGGTTGGAGAGGCAAATGAAAGTGACTCCGAATGACGTACCCGTTTCGGCGGTGGGTTATCGAAGGTGCAATCTAGCTTAGCAGCTCGGCATCGCTGGCAAGGGAGACCCATATCTGTTTGGCAGCCCAACTTTCGGGACCGGCATTGATCGCAGGGCCGGTGACGCTTCGACCGATAGGGCCGGGCAGAGGAAGGCGATGACATTCTTGGCTGAGGTCGGCCAGGACATCGGCGAGTGAGAAGAGGATCAGCAGGCAGGTTTCACTTCTTTAACATGATATTCCAGAGAGTAACCTTGATTTGACAATTCGGCAAACTTGGTAGAAGAGATGGCCGATGCACGTAGTGGCGCGGCGAAGTCCGAGTTAAATGGGTCCGGCGGATCGCTAATAGTGGGGTTAACCATCTAAATGGATCTATCGCTCATCCGGGCCGTGACTTTAGTCCAAATTCAAAATATCGCCAAGCAAAGCAGGCGCAAATATCACGTAAACGAGTTGACTGTAGTCACTTGTTAATTGCGTGTCGGCGAAGTCCAAGCCATCGGCCACCTTCGGCAAACCTTGCTAACCCTTGCCATCACTAAGGCCCGAGCAGGATTATTTCCAGGGAAAGTTTTGATATCCATCGGCGAACCGAGATAGAAATGTTGTTATCGTCATAACACACATTGGAAATCGGGGGCTTGCCGAGAGATTCATCAGCTATAAGACACCTGTAGAAGGCCATTTTTCACTGGAGTCTAGTCTATTGCTACCATCATCAAATTTCTAAGGGTCGAATTCAATTTACCATACAGTATTGGTAGGATGGGACCTCAACTTCAACGATCGTCAAAGGGCTGGGGAATAAAAGGGGTTTTTTCCCGAAATGACAGAAGTACGCGGACCATCGATGACACTCAATCCGATATTACGCTGGTTCCAAAGTTAGTTCACACTCTACTCGTCCAACCACGACTTACTAAATTGGTGATAGAGAGAGCAACAGGGGAAGGCCCAAAGGACCCGCACGAATGGAAAATTTCAATGGTAAGATGCTCGGTTTAGTCTCTTGGTACTTCCAAGGTTCCTATACTCATTTGTCTAACTCGAAAGTGTAGCTGCAGATATGTGTTTTGGATCTTGCTGCAGGAAAAATAAGTAGATGATCATCTGGGGGCTCTGCCTAGAGATTTTACAAAGAAAACCTCCGATTACAATAGGGCCATTTTGCCTCAAGGCTGTGTTTAACCCCTGAATCTTTACATGCATATGCTGATAATTTGATGGGCACAATGTCTACGTTCAAAATAATTGGTCCTAGTTCATAAAACCGGGTATCGCGCCGCGTATTGGTTTCTCCCATAGACTAACAAGGTTGATACAGCTCGTTTAAAGCATCTAACATCTCTTACATAATCAATATTGAACCTCGAAGCCTCCTAAAATATGTACTACGTAATTGAACCGGCTCAATTAGTTATAAACCGAAAGCGTGAGCCCGTGCGCAAAGACTCTCTCCACCCCTTGTAGCCGTAGAGCATTCCGCACAGGTCAACAATAGAATGTGCAATTTAGATCCGAGACACCGAATGTAATAATCATGTCATATCCGATGAACCCGGCTTACGTTAGTGTTGTTCCTCTCCACATACGAGGAGAAGCGGGGGTGGGGCTGGGGAAGCGGAAATCCCAACACAAAAGAACAACACATGTGAGAGATTTTCTGGGCAGGATAATGGATATACAGGACAGTATGGTAGTGGTGGGTGTTCATAAGCTTCCATGAGATGGTTGCATAACTTCGTCTGCTCATTCCCTTGTCCCAGTAAATTTTCACCGCCAGCCGATCCTGCTCATTTCGCCCATCCTCACTCCTACCGAGTTCCGAGCCTTGCTTGATGAGGGGCACAGCTGATGCCACGGACCACTTCGATGCATCACATCACTTAAGACCAATGAATCTGAGCACGAGGCGTGACTTGTAATTTGTTTTCATAATATAAATTTGCGACCGCTCTCGTTCAGAGACACCCGCTCCTTCCATCGCTGCCGTCCAGACAATCCCAACCGCATACGACACTTTTGAGCCACGATGATTTTCGAGCCGGCCGAACGAATTTTGCTCCCTACCAAGGACATTCTGTCCTACATATTTGATGATCCGCCCTATGATCAAAATCAGCCAGTATGAATAAATTGAAACATTTCAAGTCATCTTGAACCGTCTGATAAAGTTGAAAACCCAATAGATCTTTATCGATATTCGAGACCAGTCACGCTCGATCTCGTGCAATCAAGCCCGGAAATTGATACGCCTTCTCATCTCGGGGTTGCGCGCGTCCGGCTTCCGCAAAGGAGACTGTGTTCTTATCCATTCTTTCAATGACGTATGTCCCATTCTTGGAAAAAAATAATCCGCATCAAGAAAACTCATCTCATTTGGATCAGATCAACTATAGCATCCTAGTCCTGGCGATCATCGGGGCTGGGGGGGTGTTCACGGGCTCAAATCCGGCATACACACCAAACGAACTTGCGCATCACATCAAGGCTTCCGAGAGCAAGTTTCTAATCTCTGAGCCCGAAATATTAAAACCGCTACTTGATGCTGCGCAGCAGACTGGAATCTCGAAAAAAAATGTTTGGACATTTGATAACTTGGGACAGGAAATCCCAAATGGCATGAAATCCTGGAAGGAGTTGTTGAAATTCGGTGAGGATGACTGGGTTAGATTTGATGACTTGGAAAGTGCCCAAACAACAACTGCCGCGAGGCTATTTAGCAGCGGAACCACTGGTCTTCCAAAAGCAGTTACAATTACGCACTTCAATTTGATTGCACAGCATGAGCTTGTTCTTGGTGCGAACCCGCGACCGTATCCTGTAAGCTGCTTCCCATGGATACTATGACTGACGAGTAGCGACCTCTAACTAAGAACTCATTATAGATTTCCCGTATCATTGCAGTTCCTGTCTTCCATGCCTCCGCAGCACCAGTCACTCATATATCCACTCTAAAGGCCGGATCCGTGGCGTACATGATGCGGCGATTTGATTTGGAGCATTTTTTGACAGCGGTAGAGAAGTATAGTGTAACCGATCTGGCTATGGTGCCACCTATAGTGATTGCAATCTTGATGTCACCATTATCTCGGAGACGGCCTTTCCTCAAAAAGGTTAAGCTTGCCGCTTGTGGTGCTGCCCCGTTGGACAAAGACGTACAAGCACGTTTTAGAATGCTTATGAGTGAAGAGGGCCCATTCAACCAGGTATGGGGTATGACGGAGACATCATGCATCGCCACAATGTTCCCATTCCAGGAGCATGATGATACTGGGTCTGTGGGGCGACTCATCCCAAATTTGGAAGCCAAGTAAGACTATCGCCATTTCACCATTTGCTAATTGCTAACGTGATCATGTCAGACTGGTTGACGATGATGGGAAGAATATCTCGGCCTACAATGTACGCGGTGAACTATGTGTTCGTGGACCTACAGTTACGCCGGGTTACTACAAAAATCCCGAAGCCAACGCGCTTTCCTTTGATTCAACCGGATGGTTTAAGACAGGCGACATCGCATACTGTGATCAAACCACCAGAAAGTGGTACATAGTTGATCGGAAGAAGGAGCTGATCAAAGTCCGTGGATTTCAGGTTGCACCACCTGAAATTGAGGCTGTGCTCCTATCTCATCCATCCATTGTCGATGCAGCAGTCATAGGTGTCACCATTCCGGGTGCAGATACCGAGTTTCCTCGTGCCTACATTGTGCGTCGTGAAGGAAAAGGGCTTGCACTAACGGAAGGGGAGGTACAGAAATATGTCCTGGAGCGCCTTGCTCGCTATAAAGCTTTGACTGGTGGTGTGAAATTTGTTGGCGCTATCGCCAAAAATCCCAGTGGTAAGATTTTAAAACGTGTTCTAAGAGAAGATGCCAAAATTGAGATAGAGGCTGGCCTGATTAAACCCCGTATTTAAATTTCATCATCACGAGACTCAGTAGCTTGGAGTTTTATTTATGTCTATGCAATGCACACCGATCAGAAAGGGAATGAAATAACGATTTGAGATTTCAACCTACGTTATCGCTCCAGTATACTTGCAAGGCCAATAATAGGGTAGCATTTACGGGTTTATACTACCATGGGAAAAGGCATATCTTGTTAAGATCAACGTTATTGTCAAGAATCAGGAGCACATGCGGGGCAATTAATCCAATATGGCCCACCGTAGACCCTTAGCTGAAGGATTGAAACTCTAAGCCTGCAGGTAACATATTAACCGAGATCCGCGGCAACTCTGCCACTATATGCGGAGAACCTTCCTGTTAGCCGCGGGGGTGAGACAGCTTTTGAAAATGGAGCAGCAGCTGCCAACTTAACTAGCATTTGAGCTGGGCCTGGAAGGAAGAAGCTAGAAAATTGGGTATCCGCATTATGAATCTCATCATAATACATCAATGTCCTTGAATCCATTTAAGTAGCTCGTATTATGCAGTGTAGTTGAATCCTATGACTACACAGGCTATATTCGTATAGCCTAGTATGCTGAGAGGACCAATGAGGTCAAGCGGAATCAATATGATGTGGATTGAAATGATTGATTGATTGAAGAAACTCAGGAGACTGCTGTTGAGAGTAGTAGTCCCCTTGCACTTACGGGTGGGCTTGGCGGTCCGTACGACCGGTACTCGGCGTTACCACGCTCGAGTCCATGAGTAAGCAGAATTACATACAAAGACAAAGGAAATGTGATCTTCAATGTGACCACTTATTAGCGGTAAGTTATCCCTCCATGGGCTGACATCCTATTAAGTCAAAAGGCTACAAACCCTGTCTAGCCATGAGGATCATCGCCTTGCGTCTGCATCCAACCTTTTCAAAACTTTGTGTTGCAGAGAAAATTTCCTGCAACTAGGCACCAAACTCACTAGAATGCTTCAGCGGACAAGGTGAGCTCTAAGTGTCTGCTCCTGAGGTCATCGTCGAAAGGTGCGATGTGATGCGTCGATGCTAGGCTGTCCCCGTGCCCGCTGTCGCCAGGATGGTCGCACTGATTGTGCTCTTCCTGCAAGACCTCTAAAGTAGTTCATCCAGAACCAGAAGATTTGAGATCCCCGAACTAATCAGTGTAATAGATCGAAAGTCGCCGGGAGACCCGTCTATCCATCACATACGTCTTCATTCACTGAAACCAGCCTAGGTGGAAGGCCTCGAGGCAAGGTGTCAAGCATCGAAGGTTTGGCCAGGCAGCTTCTAAACATTTATCTACACATACCTCGAGCGAGCGAGAGAGAACGAAGTACACTAAACTTGTTCGATTTTAATTATCCGTTCATACGCATTGAAGAATTAGCAACGCTACTTTCTGAAGACATTGCCTATCTGCGGTTCAAAAGGTCGCTTTCTATATCAGAACAAGACTTCACACAGGAGTTCATTGACCAATAATTTAAATCAATTAATCCAACTGTCCCAATATTGAGTGAATCGCTATTCCGGCGAATTCTGAGTGGCGAATCGCCCGAGAAGTCCTCATTTCTTGTGTTTCGAGCTTTGCTCTTTGCAAGCTGTCCTGTGAGTGCCCAGATATAGGTTGGCCACTATATAAGATAGGCCGAAGCTAATAGTGAAAAATCAGTTTGTTTACTTGGAGACTCTGAAGTGCAGATTCACCGACAAGGGAAACGCTCGGAAACAGTTGAATGATAGGGCGAAGGTGTGCTCAAAACTGACCCGAGAATCTTGACCCGAGAATCTTGCCAATGTATGGAAATAATTATTTAACAAAATCTTTTAGATTCTGTTTGACCTTGAAGCAGAATCTCAACATCATGTAAACGCACAGGGTGCTATTCTGCTCACCCACCGCACATCGGCCGAAGCGCCGCACGCTGGAAGTTTATGGCTGACTTCACAGACATCATCGCTCTATGTATATGCATGCGAGGTTGGCCAACCGAAGAAGACTTTGAGGACGACATGCATCACTCGGTATACTACGATTATGAAACAGAAATGCGGCAAGCAGGCGCGTTTCAGGAACAATGTCGATTGCCCGTTGTCCTAACGGATCTTGTCTCCCTAGTCTTTACGCTTCGGGTAGCATCACATGCACAAGCACCAGAAACCTGAATATCGTGCCTCGCGATTAAAATTGATAATATAAAGCTGTCTTTGATCAATTGGGAGGCCCAAACCGATCCACCTCCCAATTCAAATGCACGGCGGGGGAACTCTCACCCTGAATCATCCTTGAGGAACTCCACTTTCATGTTTTACCAGTAAGTTGAAACCACTCAGTATCAACTTGGCAGCATTTGGCCCTAATATGAGCATGTAACTAGTGCTTCTGGGGCCAACCTGGCTCAATATGCGGCAATCATGATTGGAGAACATCTATCACCTGCATCGGACAGATACCGAGATGCGATTCTCGAAATTGGAGAGGACTTGAGGTTCTTTGCTCGTAAATTTCACTACAAATGGATTATAGGACAGCCGTGCCATTCAATGAGAATGCGAACACTTATTACCCCGATGGTAATCGTAACATTTATCGCAGGTGCCTTGATGATCAGCAAAGCCATACTAAAAAAAGGTTGGTAAATCTGTATTGTTTTGATTTTGGGGACAAGCTTGACGGTCACATCGGTCAGACTAAAAGAGGAACGGCCAAAGTCGGCCATTTCCTGATCGGCTCCATGCGCTGCAACCGGAAGTATCAGTGCTGGACCACCAGGATATCTGGATGATTTTCATGACGGAACCATCGAGAGACAAGCTGACTCGATACGTTACCTTCTTATTGTACATGAAACGTTCGATGCCAACTCAGGTATGTCTTAGAAACTTTCAAGTTCTATTTCGCTAGGTACAACATGAATTGGATGATTCTGGGCTGTTAGTTACTTGAAAGTGTTTGAATCAGCTAAAGCTCTTAAACAGGTCCCGAAAAGAGGTCGGGGTCTTTTTGTGACAAGCTACAGATAAATCGCTGGGGCCTGGTAGGTTGGGTTAAAAGGTCAAACCCTGTCTAAAATGGGTAGCCTGGTCGGGTTTAAGAGAGTGCATTCATAATTACACCCGTGAAAACCCGTTCCAACTATCAAATAGTAAGCCAGATCAATTATTGAACTCAAACATGAGGGTTTCCGAAACCAATCCGACAGAAAATCCGGAACTCTCATGCACATGAGCGACTTCCCAGATAGGTAATCATAGCGATTCCCTACCCATTTTCATTTTCATTTTCATTTTCATTTTCATTTTCATTCTCGTGGACCTCTGGTTTCGGGCCAATAGCAGTGAAAAATTTGATCATCGCACATGTTCTATGTCGCTTTTATCTAACTGTGATTTATGTGAGCCTCGGCTGATATGGGACATTTTGCAAAGACTCTATCTTCTGCACAGAAGACTGTTATGGCGCTGCTATTATTCATTCCTGTAGTGACACGTGTGGAAAATTTGCACAAAAGCTGCGTGTGCCGGCTTAGCCACCATGAGCGCTCAACGAAATCCGAAAGTTCCAATAGTCCACCTGGCGCAAATGTGACCCGGAGTCAGTTTGCTCTAACGCACAAAATTTTCGAGCACCTGGATTAACGTTATGATGGTGGTAGGCTATTAAGGATACAAATAACTATATTGTAACACAGATGTAAAGAACTTCGAGCTTGATAATCGAATTGATCATTGAAGTATTGTCCAAACCATAGGTACCGGAACTTTATGTTCATCCGATTAGGGATCTGCAAGGTAAACTCCAAATCATGACTGTACTCCAGGTACAGTATATGCTGGACGTCAATCATTAACAGAGGCAAATTCCGTTAACACAGTTCTTTTGATTTAAAGCTTTATGGAAGGGAAAAATGAAATGGGATAAAGAAGATTTCAGCTATCTGATTCTAGATATGGATGCTGGACAAGGGAGTTCACATGATATTGTATTTACCGGCAATAGTTAGATTAATTACGAATATCAGAACAACAATGTGACTGCATTTAAGCGATAAAGCCTCCATATTAGCTTTATCCATGGGGTTACACCTCCTTGAAGTTTATGACCATCTTCAACCCTCCTTATGTCGTCCATATCATGCTGTCCAGAATGTCAGACGCAAGCAAAATACATAGAGAACCTTGTCTTTTCAATGATAGCTTGTTATGAAGCTACTAAGAATTCAGAGACTGCAATCCGTTGGAACGCAAAGAATTCAGAGGAAAGGTCGAACAGAAGATAAGTTCTAGGCCCCATCTTAGCTGAGCGGCCCAGCCTATGATAAAAGGAGCATGTTGGGACCAAATCAGAGCACTTGTGCTCCCCGAGATTGACCTCGAGGAAATTTAACGGAATTTTGTGCGTTTTATTTGGATTATCTATGTATATCCAAATAATTCTCTATGGAATATTTACACCGTCCTATGCAGCGGAATCGCAGTGGTTCGAGGTATTTTCCGCCTCGGAGACCATTGTTAGGGGTAATTTACCACTTGTTGTTGAAAACCTTGCCATCGACGTAGTTGACCAGCTCCTTCACCGGTGATAGATGGTCGCGGCCGGCACCAAACTGCATGCCTCGGCGTAAAACTTTTCGGTAGTTCTTTCCAGGAGACACTTTTCCAAGCACGTACTCTTGACGGGTCTCGACACGTGTAGGAACAGGAATGGAACGACCCACCACGGCCTCCATACCCTGCCAGGCAAAAGTGATAGCCTCCTTCGCACCTGCTGGGATACCAGCATCATCGAGCATTAAGATACGAGTGTTTGGATAGTGTTTCTGGATATATGCGGTGATATTGGGATTATATGCACCACCGCCGCACATGAAGATTTCTGCGATCTCAAGGTTTTTCGGAGCATACCGACGGTAGTGGTCCACAATAGCCTGTGCGGTGACGCGTGTAATGGTCGCGACGACGTCATCAGGACTGAGTCCTTTAGCTTCAGCTTCGGCGATGAGGTCATGCGCAAGGGTGTCGCGGAAAACTTCGCGGCCTGTAGTCTTTGGTGGGTCAAGGGCAAAATACTTGTGACGAAGGAATTCGTCAACAAGCTCTTGATCGACTGTGCCGCGTGCACCCATCTCGCCATCCTTGTCGTACTCCCGCTTGCCGTCTGTATAATGGCGCACGACCGCATCGATGAAAACATTGCCAGGGCCGGTATCAAAGTCGTAGCATTCGTTCACGCCGCCGTGGGTATCAGGCGGAATGAAGCATACATTTGCGATGCCGCCGATGTTCTGACAGGCACGCAACTTTGTGGGATGATGTAACACTAGTGCGTCAAAAAACGCAATCAAGGGCGCCCCCTGTCGACCAGCAGCTTGATCGCTCACGCGAAAGTCGGTCACTGAGGTAATACCGGTGCGTGAGGCCAGGAATGAGCCTTCGGCCATCGTCAGTGCGCTCCGTGTCTCCCCAGGTTCAGGCATAGAAAGAAGCCAGATTGTTTGGCCATGGGAGCCTAGTACATCAATGGATTCGATATCCACATTTTGATCTTTGCAAAATTGATGCACTGCGGATGCAAATGTCTCGCCGAGAATGACATTCACTTCGGATAATTCGGATGGGGACGTGTGGTTGCGCAGGATCATATTCATGATTCGTTTCTTGATAACTGGTTCCAGCGGGATTTCCCCATACTATTACCAAAGTCAATTATGTTCCAAGGGAATAGTCGGAATATTTACCTTGAGCAGCTCAAAGTGCATCGGAGAGTCAGGAGTCTCTTGACGGAAGCGGCAGAGGGCACAGTCGATACCATCCTTCATTCAATGTGAGATTTATCGTACTGCCACGATCAAAGTAGAGTACTCACCATCGACGTCCCACTGTTCAGGCCGAGGACGGTCAGATCCAGGGCATGACCAGCAGTACCATTGGTCGTGCTCGAAGCCATTGCTTGATCAATACTGGTGCCTCAACGTATTCAACCGGATTGTGTATAGAGGGACTTAATCGAGGGTCTCGGCCGTATTTAATGGTGACCGGCTGAATGGTAAATCGATAGCAAAGCCGCCATTCCATTTCCGATGGTCCCAGAGTGTGCTTCATGTTCGCGCCGGCTAAATGGACTGTCGGTAAAACGCTAATTTTTGTTACGCTAAGTCACCAGGAATTCACAATAGAAAATTCTCACGATTCAGCGGGCTCTGTTAAACGGCTAAACGCTTAATTTAACAGTGCCGCGTGGAGACATCCTACTGTATTCTTCTCCAGATTTCTGCATCCTGATTGCCGGGGAAGCTCCACCCTACATCAAAGTCTTACGAATGTCCACTAACTCTGATGGATGACAAAAGCCAGCGCAATGATGAGCTCAGCGGCTCTACTGCGCGGCTACACGCTTAAATGAGAAGTACCAGTATACTCATCCCGAGTTTCCCCAGAATAACCGTTCCGATGGCCCGGGAACGCCCCACATTGTATATAAAGGATTCATGAGAGTCCGATGATTCCGAAGAATGAACTTGGACTGAGCAATAACCAACATGGGATATACGACGCTGTGGAAGCGGCTCTCGCCGCGCCAGCTGAATTTTACCATACAAATTTTCTCCCTCATTTCCATCTTCTTCGAGGGCTATGACCAAGGCGTCATGGGCGGCGTCAATTCTTCACCTAGGTATGTCACAGAGGTCGGTATTGGTAAGTCGGATGGCACTGTGACCGACACCACGCACCAGGGTGGCATTATCAGCGTTTATTACCTGGGTGCCATCTTTGGTTGTTTTGCTGGAGGATATTTGGCTGATCGAGTCGGCCGTATAAATGGTCTTTTGATGGGCGCATTGTTCGCCCTGGTCGGCGGTGCATTACAGAGTGCCGCTCAGAGCTCTAACTTTATAATCTGCGCTCGGGTGGTAACCGGTGTTGGCACTGGAGGTGCGTGAATGATCAAATATTCTAACCTTCACTCACTGATGACGGCATAGCTTTAACTGGTATCACGCCTGTCTTGGTCTCAGAAACCTCTTCAGCAGATCATCGTGGCGGTTTTCTAGGCTATGTTTTCGTTGCCAATTGTAAGATGACCCCCAACCTTTCTTACGCCAATTTATCACTTATAATTTCTAGACCTAGGGATATCAGTCGCATATTGGATTTCCTTCGGTCTCGCTTTCATCGACAACGGCTACTCGGATGTGAGATGGCGATTTTTGCTCGCTTTCCAATGCGTTCCAGCTTTTATCCTTGTCGCTTGCATCAAGATGCTACCCGACAGTCCCCGTTACCTCGCTTCAGTTGGACGCAAACAGGAGGCTCGCGAACTGTTAGAACAACTTCGGCGACATCATTCCACCCCCCAAGAAATTGATCATGAATTTTTTGAGATTGTGACATTGGCGGAGGAAGGCGAACGTGGCTCTCTTCAATTTGCAAAAATTTTATTTGGGCAGAGTGGTAAGCTGCATCCAAATTTGGGTAGGCGAGCTTGGCTATGTGTCTGGCTACAGATCATGGCCTCCTGGACGGGTATTACTGTAAGTGTGATTGTACCGCGCAACTGTTGTTGATCAGTGTTCCTGAATGTCAGGAATCTAGGCTGTCACTGCATATGCTCCGGTTCTCCTCGAGCAAGCCGGATACAGCAAACTTAAAATAAACGGTCTGGCCGGTGGTATCAACACAATTGGTATCTTTGGTACCCTCATAAGTGCTCAGATTGTCGATCGATTAGGCCGTCGCGTCTGCCTGATAGGCGGTGCAGCGATCTTGTTTATCGTCAATCTAATTGTGCGTCCCCACCTCTGCAGAAATTGACATGTCTCCTCCTAACCATATCATAGGCCGGCGCTGTCTACGAGGGCTCATTGCACAATCCTGAAAAGGCGGCTCAGTACGCTGCCGGTGCTATTGCTATGTTGTTCTTATTCAACCTTGGGTATGTCGAGCACACCCTGAGTGAGGTAGCTCTGAAATAATTTATTATCTTATGGCAGTTATGCTGCGACATGGGGTACTGTCGCATTCTTAATTCCTACGGAAATATTCCCTAGCGATCTGCGAGCCCAAGGAAATGGCTTCGGAATTACAGGTTGGGCTATCGGTGTCGGCATGACTACTCTGGTCAACCCGATTATGTTTGAGACCCTGAAGGTAAGTTTTCAACCTATAGGGAGCTTTCATGTTGCAGAGGAAGCTGACTACCATTTCAACAGAGCCGCACTTATTTCCTCTTCGCCGGTCTCAATTTGCTCTGGATCCCGATTCTCTATCTCTGTACGTCTCGCCATTGAATCAATCGTGGAAGACCATAACTAATGGTTTAGTTTACCCGGAAACATGTAACCGCTCCCTGGAATCGATCGAAACATTGTTCTCCACCCCGAGCCCCTTCCACTGGAAGATGGAGCAGGCATTTGAATTACATGGTAATGTTTTGGCGGAACGTGGAATTAGAAAGAATGATGGTCTTGAGGATGACATGAATGAGTTTGAATCATTTGAGAAGCCAGAGGAGCAGATGATTGCCTAATGCGTTGGAATACCCCGTCAAGAAATCATTCCTATGGTTTAGCAGTGATCTAGTAGCTATATCCGGACATGTTGGTCAGCTTTTCCTGCGATGGACTTCAAATGCATATAACAGTGGTATCACTTCGATTATTGATTTTGACCCTGGTTGAGATGAGTACCGCGATGAGTAGCACCAACTTCCGGCAATGCTGATATCATCACTTTTTTGGGTCACCGCTTTCCCGTCCGCTGTTCAACCCGAAAGATTTAGTCTTGAATACTGGTCTAATATTTTATTTATGCCTTATTCTATTCAGTTAACAAGCCGTTCAGAGTTCTCCTTTACAGGCCTCTCCTATACTACCGTACAATGCCTCTAGCTATGAATCTCGAACCGTACAAAGAGGAAAATCTTCTGGCTTTCCCAAATTTGAACACACAAAGATATTATCAAAATATACGCAGGTTTTAACCCTGGTACAGCATCTTTCAAACTAGACAACAACTGATTTGTGAGTATAACCTCCGCAATAGCGATAAAAACCGCCGGGCCCATGCTCTGCCCAAACAAGATGACCCCAATCCCAAGATTGACCTCTGCTGTACTTAAGGCTGTCTGGCTAGCCGCCTGGGGAGCTTGGAAACCAATGCCTTCACTGAAGCCTACGAATCCGGAATAGAGGATGATCTTGGCTAGGGACGTGTTGAGATCGTATGTTGTCATCAAGCCCGTGGCAATGGGCATACATACGGAAGCGAAGATCATAAATGGGGCGTAGTAGTCAAACGTGGTGGTGCCGATGCCCTAATTCAGCAAGGATGGGTATCATCAGGTAGCTGCTCTCGCTTAGCGTCTGGCAGGAGATGAAATTGTCAGCGCAGTTACCTATATTCACGAAATAGCCACGAAATCTCTTACACGGCATCGAACCATTTGATAGTATATTGGCAAGTACTACTCTAAGACGTTCATCATCGAGTTAGTGCACATAGTGAAGACGAATCCCGCGACGACACTCCGGCTTTTGATAATGCGGAAAGGGAGTGCTGATGAGTCTCCGCGTCAGTATTGATTGATGACGAAAGCAGCGAGTAATACAGTGAATACAACGAACGGTGCAATAACTTTACTGTCTGACCAGGGGTACTTAATTCCCGCCCAAGATAGCATGACAAAGAGCGCTGCTAGTGATGGAATAAACAAGCAGTTGCTCACAAGGTCGAGCTCGCTGATCTTCTGAGTGAATGTGAGGTGGTCCTCTTGGCAGGTTGTTGGGTCCGAGAAGAGGAAGAGCAACGTTGCCAGCGATACACCGCGAATAGGAAGATTGTCCCTAAGAAGAAGTCAGTAGTAAGTTACATTAGTCATGTCTGTAATGTAAAACACATACCAGAAACACCATTTACATCCAAAAGCCTGCGTCGGTGCGCCACCTACTAAAGGCGCCGCAATGATCGCAAGCGATTCCACACACGACATCAGAACTGCAAACACTGGCCCCTTGTTGAGCGGCAGAATATGCACCAGGATGGCAAAATACCCGGCCATCTCACCCGAGGACCCCTGTCAGCCCATGGAGTGATAAATGACCGCTAATAAGTGGTCACATTAAAGATCACATTCCTTGTATTTTGTATATACTTCTACTTACTCATGGACTCGAGCGTGGTAACTGCCGAGTCCATGGTCGTACAGACTAACAATCCCGTACGAACCGCCAAACCCACCCATAAGGGCAAAGGGATTACTCTCAGTAGCAGTCTCCTGAGTTTCCTCAATCAGTCAATTATATCAATCCACATCATATTGATCCCGCTTGACCTCATTGGTCCTTTCAGCATACTAGGCTATATGAAAATAGCCTATGTAGACAACCCCAGACCCGCCACTCCTCTTCCTACAATGAACATGGTCGACGAGGAAGACAAGATTGTTTATAAGTAAGATGGCCTTTAGTGAAAATAGCTTAAACAGTTTCGCGAACCCGAATTAAAACGCACAGGCGCAAAATCGAAATGCAGATGAGTATCATCCCACATCGGCGACAGTGTGGAAATGGTTAGTGATACTCAGCACGGCTGTAGCGGCGATGTTGGCGTCTAGGCCTCCGAGAATTAGGATCACGCATAGTGCGATGATCATGAACCAGAACTTAGAGCCTGTTGGGTAGTTGAGGTCTGAGTCTGGGGCAGATTCGATGTTGATAGACTAAATTGTTCATTCCGATGCTGCCGTAGATGGTGGCTGGTTTTGCTGGTGCTGTTGTTCATTCTGCAGGTCAGGCAAGCCAGTGAGCACCTCGCGCTCGAGAGAAAGGGCCTATGCTGTGGTTGTGGTCGCCATTGTACGAGACCCTCTTGATTGGGCATATAAAAAGAAAGGGGATTTACCATTATCGTAGCTGATATGTGGGGCCAACTCCGAGCGTCTGCTCCGCGGCTGAGCTGGGAAATGGCTCTAGGGTGGTACCAACTAAGCTATCCGTGCGGTCTGCGCACCACCCGAAGAACTCTCGCCCGCTCACCCTGGTGACCCGACTAATGATCGAACTCAAGCCACATGGCGGATGCAGCTTATTCTTGAAGCACCCTTGAATTTAAAATGGCACTGAATATTGTTTCAGGGTAAGTATGGGTAATATGAGTATATGTTTTGGAAAATGAGGTGATAGACTCTGTATGAGAGTAGGGCCTTACGTGGAGACACTATCAAAAAGTTTATACTAGACCAAAATGCCATTGGCACTTTGAGTGCTTAGCTAGTGGTATTCCCATTCAATGCTGACAGATACCGTTGGAATACAGAAGTGATTACTAGACCGTGCACTCACTCGCCCCACGGGTCCAAGTTAAGGACCTTCCACCCGCATATGCCGCGTCTTACATATTATAATATACACCATACCCTATCACGTTGAATGACTAAGCCAATGGAGGCATTGAAATAACAAAAAAGTCACGTTTTAGACTACGAAGTGATCATAGGCTTTAAGATCTGTGCTATTATAATTAGACATTGACATGGGCCGGCCAGAGAGCCCGGCTCGTGGGGGCCAAATCAACGTCTTATTATAATACCCTTCTCTTCTACACTCTGTTACTTCTCGTCTGTTGACATTTAGGAATAGAAGTTTGCTTAAAGTACGGCTTTGCTCGCAGCTCGGAGGCAGGTTTTGTCTGGGATAAACCGATAACAGATGCTTACGATACAATGTGGGTGGAAGTGACCATCGGACTTTGGGAGGAAGGTGCGCAAATGCCAGGGTTTAGAAACAAAAAAAGTCCACAGAACTTATAAAAAATTCATGCAGAGGTATTAGAGGCAAAAAGACGGGCTGCTATATTTCTCGGTAGAGCGTGGTAGCTCTTGAGAGTGATAAAATGGTTTCTCCCTCCTGAGAAATACTTTCAACACTCCAGCATCAGGAAGAGAAATGCCATCGAAAAACCTGTGACTACCTTTTGTATTCTGGGCGTATTCTTCACCGTGTTTCAACCCTTGAATTTCTTAGGCTTGATCAGCATACTACTAATCGGTTCTGTTCATTTTTCCTTCTAGGATAGCGCCTCATGGAACATCACCGCTGCGGCATTGCTTAACATAAGCTGTGTTATTGACGAGGATAGCTCTTTGTATAACTAATGCCTATAGCCCAAATATATCCGTCAGCTTGTATTCGCCAAGGTCACCGAAAAGATTTTTAGCATTCTGTTGAGCCGTTTTTCTGGCCTAGTCTTTGGGCACGAGGCCATCCCCATGTCTTTGATTGTTGTCCCCTGTGGTTTCTGCAGACGCCATCTGAACGGCACTTGGGAAGAAATCTACGGAAATGAGTGGTAAAACTAACTTCGGCCCACTCCCTAGCAGCGACAAAGACACAGACCACAGGGCGAGCTTGCCTACAACCACTCACTGATCCGATAAAGCCTTAAAATACACGCCGGGTCACACTGCATCGGAAACTAAACCAGCTTCTAAGCCTTACAAATGCCACACAGCATGAGATTTGATATTTGGAACTCAAATTCAGGTCAAGAAATTCCCAAGTTAGAACCCCTCGAATTTTGAAGTTGCTATCACGGACTCGTTAAGTAACTGGTACGTGGCTTTGAAATCATATTGGGCCTTCCATAACGCCATCATAGTTGAGAACCTCATCAGCTACTGCTCAACCTCGATATTTTCACTACTAGGCATAGGTTTTTCCTCGGCAACACCATCATCACTCAGTAAGCCTAGTTCGGTGTAGATTTGGAGAAGACGGTTGCGGTCCTCAATGGCATTTCCGGCTTCGTCGCCAAAGACTTCATCCATCTCCTCAAGAGTGAGATTCTTGGTTTCTGGGACAGCAAAATAAATGAATAGTGCGCCGATGAAGCAGATCAGACCGAAGAAGATGAAGGTGCCATAAGTCATCGATGTGACCATGGGAGGTGTGGCTTGGCCGATCTAGTCCTTGTTAGTACTCAAGACCAGGACTTGTGCATAGGGGAATCAATTACAGCAAAGTTATTGAGCCAGTTCGATGAAGCACCAATGGAGATGCCTTTTGCACGAAAGCCGAGTGGGAAGATCTCTGCAACAACGACCCAAGCGCCGGGCTGCGGGAACGGTAATTGTCAATATATATTTAACCCCAAGTAAGAACAGTGTGGGAAATGACTTACACCCCAGGAGTAGCCAAAGTTGATCTCATAAATCCACACAAAAACGACGGCAACCCAGCCAGCAGCTCTATGGGCTGCCCAGTTCTTGTTGAAGGCTCCATCCAAAGCAGCCACAATAATATGCGAAATACCCATCCCAATGGCACCGGCAATCAGGACGGGTCTACGCCCAAGTTGATCAATGTACAGAACGGCAGGGATGGTAGCAAGGAACATAAGGATGCCGCCGACACCACTAGCAAGAAGCGACGTGGTGTTTCCCGTGAGACCGAGATCTTTGAATATGAACTATGAACAGTTAGCATGAAACAAACCGACTTCGTCACGCGAGTTGAGAAGATTACAGCTGCATAGTAGAGGATAGCGTTAACTCCAGACCCTGTGAATGAACAGCATTAGCTAGCGAGTCCACCATGGCTGCCTGGTACAGAACCCACATTGTTGGAAAACCATAATAAAGACAGCAACAAGAACTCTCTTGAAGAGGGATCTATTAGTTAAGAGGCTGACGTATTCCTGAAACCCCAATTTAGTCTGGTTCATTAGCCCAGGAACGTGATATTGAGGGAAACGGGCAGCCAAAGTTTCAACTTCAAAGCGATGTTGCGCCTTTACTTCAAGGTATTCGAGTTGGACCAATTCATTGTCGGAAGGCAGAGACCGAATCTGGGAAATAACAGCCAGACTTTCCTCTTCTCGTCCTTTCGTCATGAGCCAACGGGGGCTGGAAAGCGTTAGTAATACATTTCCTGTTCACCTAAAGCGTGTAGGCATACCTAGGAGGCATGAACAAGATACCAACACCAAGCCCGAGCGCGGGAAGGATTTGAATGCAAATTGGAACCAGCCAAGCAGCGTTGGACTGCTGCGCGCCGGTACCCCCGATGTAATTTGTCCCGTATCCTGGAAATAGATCAGCAACAGCTTGAAACATTTCGATTTGATAGCTTACCTATCCAGTACGATACCATAATCCCGAAGGTTATCGCAAGTTGCTGAAGCGACACAAGAGATCCTCTTAGCTCTGCAGGGGCCAGTTCTGCGTTGTACCTAGATGATTCATTAGCTGGATATTGAAAGTAGTTCGCTATCTGACGCCCTTACAGTGGCACGATCATAGAAAGGGTGCCGACACCCATACCAGTAACAAAACGACCACCATAGATGTAGGACGGCCCTTTAGCACAAGCTTGAACGATAACCCCGAGCAGGAAGATAATAACGCCGCCAATAGTCGCCAACTTACGCCCGAGGCGATCAGCGAGGACACCATTGATGAGGACGCCAACCCAAGCGCCAAGTTCAAGAATACTATTTACTTGTCAGTCACCCGAATAGCGATTATGACATAGGTTCCATGACTATGGTATGCGCACGCGGTCAAAAATCCCCTCAAAGTGGGGTTGGCGATCGATTCAGGATGCACTGTAGCGGAGAAGGAGGTCATATTCAAGATTTGTCCGAACATTCCTTGATTGTCTTCGCTCTTCAATTAACACAGCCATAGCAGTCAGTATCAAAAATCAAGGAAAGCCTTACAGCCATACACAAAACCACCAAGAGAAGCAAATACGGCGATGGCAAAAATTCGAAGGTTCGAGAGCAGACCCTTAATTCCAGACGGCCCGGCGAGCTGGGCACGTCTTCTGGAGAGAGCATGCTGTCCTGAAGCAATTGTTGTGACCATTTTGAAACACAGATAGGCCTAAAGAATGCATCTTGGAGTCTTCAGCCTCAGCCTTTATACAAATCCCAAGCGGGGCCTTTGTAGAACGATCATTGCCTGTATCAGGGTAATTGTGGTGGAAGCAAACAAGGAGCACCAGTCAGACACGTTTAAAAATACAATCTGCCTAAATAGCTTTATAGCCAAGTCAGCAATAAGCTTTCAAAGTAGCTATTGCTGGCAGCTGACCATTTCAGCAACGCTTGTACCTTTTTCCGTGGGCCTGATTGGACGCTTGGGCGCTTGGCCAGTGCAAAGCGACCGGCAAATATCGATACTTATAGAGAACAGAGGAATGACCAGCGGCGCATTAAGGCTGAATTGTGGGGGTAGCTGAAGACCTCTCCTGCCTGATTTATTGACTGAGTAGGATAGCCGTGTAACGTATTATCACAGGTCGCCACTCAGTCCATGGAATCGAGATCGCAACAAGCCTGCTAGCATGGAAGGACTGTGCATTTACCGTGTATGCAGGTCGTAAAGGATTCGTTTTACATGGCTATATGAGAGTTTATTTAATTGCGGTATGCAGTAGTAGAGAGTATCCCTTGATTGCCTAGACTCAAAGAATTGGATAGACCTAGGAACGAACCTACTCGTGGGTCCCACCACCGATCCGACCTTCTTGAGGGTGGGGTAGAACCTTAACGCCCTGACCCTGATCCTGACCTTCCCTCGCCGCTAAATTTTGCAAGCCAAATCATCTATGAGCCTGGTGGCGGCTATCGTCCGCCGTACTCTGGGGGTCAGTTAATGGTCACTGTTATCAACCCGCCGCGACCCCCTTCATGCAAAATTTTTGTGCGCTTTTCCTCAATAGCACGAACAAGATTAATGTTTGATGTCACAACTCAAAATGCATGGAGACAAATAGTATTCAACGAAGGTACGAAACTGAGGAAGAAACTAAGTGTTGAGCGCTGCGAGCTCAGCGAACAGTCGCTCGCTAGTCCCGATCGGGTTAGTCAGGTTCCCCCATCCAGGTCCATAGATCAGTCGTCGGTCCTATGCGTCATATTTCATATCGTTATTTATACCTGCTTAATTACTCTCATAATCATCCTTCATTTGAACGGAAATAAGTCTAAAATATAAAGACGCTAGAAGATAAATTGAAGAGCCGAGTCAGCAGCTTAGGGTTCGACTAAACGAACACCCCGCTTTTATTAAGGCAACCATTTATTCTGCCCATTTATTCTGCCGTCATAAAAAATTTGAGTCTGTAAGTAACCCTTCTGTGTAGGCCTTATATTCTCGATGTCTACTCCCGTAGTGGCACTTGGGAAATTTTTCGGATAAATTGTGGGCATGGAGATTTAGTCCTCATTGGGCAACAAACTAAACATGAACGGAATGCGCAGCACCTCTTCCCAGAAGAATGGTTCAATAGAACATGCTGAGCACCAATCCAATAAATCACGGACTGCGATTATCTAATTTGGAGGCGAGGGAAATCGATCCAACACTTTCTGCCCTCCAACAATGCTAAAGGATCCTGTTGGATATTTGCATCCAACATCCACCTGCAGCATATAAGTACCAGGGTATAACACTAAGTCACCATTTTCTGCAGTTCGGGCAACCGAGCCCAATGTGACGACAATATCAACCTTGTGCGTCTCCCTAGGCTTGAGTTTCTTGACCCTTTGATAGCCTACCAAATTCAAGCTTGGATATGGCGTGGGCCCGGTGTTGTCGGTCGTCAGAAACATAAGTGCCACATAATCAGATGTCACTTTTCCGGAATTGGTGATATTAAGAGTGAAAGTGCCGAAGAGAGCAGTGACAACTGGTGCTATGTTTGACGCATGCATAGCTAGCCTACTCGTACTATACGGCCCGAGGCTGCCCTCCGCCCAGGCGACGTGGAAACTTGTATAGTGAAGCCCATAGCCGAATGACAATACAGCATCTTTGTACCATCGATATGTCCGGCCAAGATTGTCACTACTAGGTCGTAGTGACATGTCTGTCATAGCCACATCGTTGACGTATTCCGCCGGATATTGAGTAACCGGGAGCCGTCCAGCCGGAGCTTCATTTCCTGTCAAGATATCAGACACAGCTGCACCCCCAGCTTGACCCGGATAACCGGCCCAAAGTAATGTCCCGACATGATCGTTAGACAGCAAAGTGGAGCCATCGAGTTGCCCTCCACCAAATTGCACGACAACCAAGGGTTTGCCAACCTGCGCCAGTCTCTGAATCAAATCAAATTGGTTTCCAGGCCAATCAGTGGACATTCGATCATGGCCCTCTGCCTCGATTGTGTCATCAATTCCTCCAGCGTAAATCACTATGTCAGCTTGTTTGGCCACGCTCACAGCGGGATCGAACCCAGTAGTGGTGGTTGTATTGATCTCCGTACCTAGAGCGAAATTGACTTTGTATCCGGTATTTGTGGCGCCCTAAATCATCGTCCGGGTATATTCGGCGGTGCCCTGGTAATTGCCCTGCAGTTGGGTTGAGGCATTTGCATACGGTCCAATCAAAGCCACCGTCTTTATTGTTGTTCTTGAGCAGTACAATACCCTCTGCTGCGGCCCTTTGAGCCAATTCCTGAGCAGCTGGGGTTCCAACGTCCGACCATCCCAGGGACCCATATAGCTGGTCTTTTCCCGGGTCAAAATAACCCAGCTTTATCAGCGAGGAGTACCTTCTGATCATAGCTTTGTCCAGGGCCTTCGTTGTTGTCAGTCTATGTGCGAGAGAGGAGCCCAAATAATCCGGGAAGACTGAACCACAGTCGAAGTCGGTCCCAGCATTCAATGCGACGGCTGCTACTTCGGCACCAGTGGACGTATAATTGTGACTTAGATAAATGTCGTCAATCGCGCCACAATCTGATGTAACCTAATAACCTGTCGCCTCCTAGTTCTAGTGATCCCGTAAAATTGTCTGTAGTAGATACGAGTCGCTACAGCTGGGGACTCCGTTCACGGCATTATAATTGCACATTACCGCGTCCACTCTCGCGTCACGGGTGCATGACCGGAAAGATGGTAAGTAATACTCAGAAAGATCTTGGGTGGAGACAATAGCATCGAAAGTATGGCGTGTGACATTCCCCCAATCCTCAAGATCATACGCAGCGAAGTGCTTGCATGTCGCAACAATTCGTGGCTGAGCAGGGCCAATGCCATTTTGTAGACCGTCAATAAGCTTATAGACATATCGGGCTACATGAAAGGCGTCTTCTCCAGGAGTCTCTTGACCACGACCCCAGCGAGGGTCTTTGAATGGGTTGATGTTTGGCGTCCAGAAGTCAAAACCAGAGTGGCCTGTATTGCCAAATGCACGGCCCTCTGTACTGATCACGGTGGCAATCTCCTTCACCAGGTCATCATCAAACATTGATCCTAGGACGATCGGTGACGGGAACGAGGTTACGTAGCTGAAGGGTCCATTTTCGGCGAAATGAACACCAGGGGAACCGGCGACACCGTGTAGACCCTCACTCCACCAGTTATACATAGGTAAACCAAGGCGAGATACCCCGGGAGAGTCGTATTGAGTGTTGTTGATTTTCTCCCCTAGCGTCATGGCAGCCACAAGGGAATTGGCCCTAGTGAGCACATCTTTAGACGGGTCACATACTGCCAATATACTCAACGGTCCTGTCGTGCAGTCCGGAAAGGGACTATTGGCCATGGCTTCTCTAGCAAGAAGCACCATAACAGAGATAATTGAAGTATCCCATGGCGTAATTCTAACACAGACCATCTTGCGTTTAATTGAGGACGATCATGTTCTCTCAAACGAAAGGCTGGACAAGATCGATGTTTTATATTCTATTGCCCTCTATTTAACTCCGACCCGGGGTCTCCACGCTGGAATGAGGTCATTGGGTCTCTACACTCACATTTAGCCGGATTCGAGTGCCACTACCTCCCTGTCTAGGGAGTGTCTTGCAGTTTAATCACCACTTTCACATATTAATCAATTAATCCATCGATCAAATTTCTATTAACGTGCTTAAGGCTAAGTAGATGCGTCGAGGCTATGCAGGAGCTTCGTCCAAATCAAAGCAGAACTTGGTGGCCTTAACTCCAGACTCATGGCTTACAATAAACAATTCTAAATGGAAAGGCGTCCTTCCGCACGAGACGGACGCAGAAAAGAGTGTTTCAAATTCAAAGCCCACGCATAACAAAGCTCATACAACATTCCACTCTCACATCTCGACGAAGAATTGCACGGCTCAATTTTGCCAAACGAGGAGATTGACCAGGGAAGTGATAATGACTTGAAGCAGCCGCCGACTGCGGGGGTATCAGGAATATTTCAGCCTGAATTGAGGTTTTATGATGTATCAAATGTAACATAATCTAATCAAAATGCGGGGGTGGGGCATCGGGGTATTCTTCAACCTTTCACTCATCCGGGTCCCCGGATGAAATCTATCTTACGAATTGTGAATGAATGGGACTCTCTGGCCACTTGGAGAATGACTCCAGTCCCCAAAAAGTCGATCAAATTGTGAAAAAAAAAAAAAAACACATATTGTAGTGGTGGAACGCATGACATAATCAGTACAGTTGCGGCCTGAGGTGTCACGAATATGTCAATACGAATAACGCGGTGGATCGGAGATACAATTATCCTTTATGTTTATTACTTATATAATCTAGAATCCCCCTATAAATTAGCAGAATCAGGGGTAATACAAAGACAGAGCTTTTGATATCGTTGATTGGTTACATATAAAACATTCCGACAGAATATCTTAGGTGTAAGCAATGGCTTCTACAGGAGAAGGGGGAGGACAGGAGCATCTACCCAATTCAGTCCAGTTGTCACCACATTCTTTGATTCATGATGCCGTATTAAGTACATTCTATATGGCCTCAGTCGGAAAACCGTACGGCCTCATTTAGGATTGCTGCGTACAGGATTGCTCGTACGGTTCCACGACCCAACCCGTACGACCTCACGGCCTCACCAAGGACACTTGTGATCTCCACTAGGACGACCTACACTACGAGTTGGTTGTTGGTGTGTTATCTATTGGTTGTTGTTGTCCAGTCTGCGTTGCCAGACAGCCATCGAGCCATCCCCATTTCAATATATAGACATTGACATAGACTGCCCATGGACAAAAGGTTCGACACGTAGCCCGTCCATGGGCTGCCCACATATGGACAGCAAACTCTGACTTGTCCATGTGTTACGCAGAGGTTGCTTATAGGCTGAAACCCTAAAGCTCTAACCCTAGTTTCATTTCACTTGTTGTTTTCTCACGTCGGCTGCTGGCTTTTCAGAAAGCAATCTGGCCAATTACCTTGCAAATATTCAGGTAGACACTAGTTTTATCAATGAATCTGCGGTCGAGTAAAGCGCGGACTACATGTATAAAAGCCGAGGTACCAGCGGGAGGTCTAGTATCACATGCAACTACGTGCTCGATGCTGAAATAACGTACATGGACAGTTCGCTGATTGAAGCCAGAGACGAGCTGCGTATCCAAACCCTGTGTCTAAAACCCAAGTCGAATTTATCGTCTTACTGAAAGGACTCTAGGGCAGTGACAGCCATAATTGAGCGGTCAGACATAATGCAGTATGAGGAACAGCCCCAGTTTCGGCTTGCAGCGTCGTATATAAAATATTACCGAAATTTCTTCTTTGGGGTTCTTATTTAGGGAGCCGATACTGCAGAAAGGAAGCGGGAACTACTGTACGGAAAATCATCAGTTGTATAATACATGTGAAAATTTAGTGGAGCTTGTGACCGCAATTGGGGCAAAAGTCTTAAAATACCTTTCAACGTCTACAAAATGTACTGAATGTTCAAAAGAACATCTTTCACATGATCATCAATTGCAATGCCGACTGGCTTTTATACTCGCGTGATGAACTGCTTCCCGATGGCTTCGGAGGTAAGGTAAAATCTAGCAATTTCTTCAGAAAGATTGTCTGGGTCTTGAACCAGGTTGTTCACTTAATACAAATTTTCACAGGTTCGAGTAAACCGGCAACCCAAATGACCTATCCCGGCGCCCCCCACATTAAATAAGGTAACTATTTATTCTGCCGTAAAAGGATCTATGCCAGTAACTGAGGTACTCATGGTTAAATTACCACGTTCCTGTGAAGGCCTTATGTTCAAGGTGTCAATTTAATCTCTAAGCTATCAAAAAGGACTATCTCACCTTGCCCCGCTGTTCTGGCGTAAATCAGATTACCGTAAGTTGTTGAGCGAGCATAAAGAATCATTTCCTTACGTTATACTCGTGGCCAAAACCTTCTTCTAGCTGTTGAGCTATTTGATTAGTAGTTCAAAGTCTACAAGGGTGCTTTCGGTAGAGCTTTCATAGACTGCCAATCAATCAATCAAAGTTCTATTAACCTGATAGAGCTTAACTAGATGCGTCGAGGCTATGCAGGCGCTTCGTCCAAATCCGAAGCAGAACTTGGTGTCCTTAACTCCAGACTCACGGCTTGCAATAAACAGTAAAACATAGGGGAACCAGTCTCCCGCAGGAGGCCGGCACAGAAAAAAAGTGTACTAAATCTAAATCCCAAGCATAGAAACCCCTATATAAAATCAGACCCAAAAGTACAAAGCCCACACTATTCCACTCCTTCTGCATCCCCTCATCGCCGTGGCATGCTCCCGCCTCTCGTTCGTCAGTCCTATCTTCAAGTGCTTCAGATTCTCAATTGACGGTGTTGGCGTAGTGAATCGGTAATGGTTGAGTGACGCCCATTCTCGGTGGTCGGTCTTGATGTTCAGTGGTATACGTTGAAGTAGATTAAATAAGCAGTAGCTATAACACTAATGACTTTGTGCTTTCCTTCATTCAGGAAGCATCGCTCTATCCTGTCAACTATTGATCAAAGACTAAGGTCATGCCAATCACGATCGCGAGACTAGGAAATGCAAATTGCAGTTCTGGCGCGGCATTCGCTAAAAGGGGAGAACCTGGCGGCACGCCTGAACCAGAACCAATTGATATGCCTCTGAACGCATCGTCCGTGGTATTTATCCGGGTATAGGTGCTGTAAGGTGCGCCATCCACCTCGCAAACAGGCCTCGCCGCCGGAAGAGTCCGATTGTACCAATACGCCGCAATGTGCTTGATATTGCAGACAGACGGCTGGGCCAAGGTCGTGTGTTAAAGAAGCGACGTTAGTTTAGCCTGCAATTGATGGTAGATACACGGGCACTCACGCAAAAGCCATTAACCACGAGTATACCACTGCCTTCGAAGCCTAAACTGACGTTCTGGGCGGACCGGTTTGGTGTGTGACCGTCATACTTATTCGTAGCCAACAGATAGGATTCTTCGTTTGACCTGAAAGTCGCCCGTACATGGCCCCCTTGACATCCGATTTCAATTGCGCACATGTCGTGCTCAGACCTCTGAACGTTTCATTGATGACTTTCGATATTCTAGACAGCTTTCGTTGAACGGGACCGTAGTCGTCTAGAAAATCAAGTCGAACGGTCCTGTCGGAGCAATGGATGCCATCCAAGGGGGGCAGGTAGTACCCACCGAGAAGCCTTGATCGTAACTGCTTGTGTTAGGTGCTGAACTCGGGCGTCTGGGTTCGATTTGCGGTTGTCAATGTCATTAGTTTCGCCAAATCTGGCCATTGATTGGGGCCATACACGGTGTTGGAGAAAAAGCCACGCATAGTAGCATATTCCAAAGGAGCACTGTCGCCCTTCGGTCAAGTTGGCCGTGGCTGAGGGGCATTTTTGGGGTCCCGTGCGGACGCAGCTGAGGAAAAATTCGAAAAACACTCTGTTTAAGTCGGACCACTCTTAAAAATCGCTATTAAAATATCAAGTCAGCCTTGGAATGTGTGGACGATCCTTGGAATGTGTTACAATACATACGCAGCTGCATGATAGTACTCATGGGGGTTTTCGCCGTCCATGACGAGTTTATCGATCCTGTCTAGAAACATGGACGCAACTGTAGCGCCCAAAGTGGTACCGTATGAGAATCCTAAAAAGATGTACGGGTATTGCTAATATGGTTTGCTTTGACGCGGCAATAGCATTTACCCCAATATCGAAGCATGCCGTCTTCAACAAATGCGTCAATAACGCTGATGAGATCTCGAGCAACTGACGCCGTCCCAAGACCTGGCTGTGTCTTTTTATGCGCTTCGTAACAGACTTCGGCATTCGTGGTCGCTTGTTTCCACATTATTGCAATGGTATGTTCAAATTCACCTTGGGTAAAAGGGATATAAAAGGAATACGTAAGCTTGCAGCGTGGGTGCTTCTGAGACCAAAGAAGCTCGCCCATCAGATCCTGGTCCTTCAAAGCAAGGAAAATGGTACCCTTGGCGGGCTGAACCTGGGCCTTGATTCTGATGATCTGGAGCATTATAGTACCTTTATTGCTTGGCGTGGTGTAGTCAAGAGGTACTGCGAAATTGGCACACTCTGAAGGGAGAGTCGTGTTGACCATGGTGGAATTGCATGGACCCCAAGATATATATGCATCCTCTCGCGAATCAAATAGATGGCCACTAACGAATGGTACCGGCGGTGACGGATAAAGCCGCAATCGCGTATTTAGTAGTAACCATGTTGCAAGATTTGGCGAGATACAAGTCAGTCTTGGCTGCTCTTATCCACAAGTTCCTTTTTTCCTCTTTGAATCGGGGAAGAATGCGCTGTTTATACATTTTCATGTAGTTAAAGTCACCAAGGGTAGGGCGCCAACAATAGAAACAGACGTCCTAGTCGTGTCGCGCCGTCTATGCATGGCGATTAGGCACGGCTAAGGAAGCTATGCACAATGCCGGGGTGTGCCTCCGCACCCTGACTAGACTAAATCCGTGGCCATGGAGCACCAGAGCGGTCACCGTGGCCTCTACTTAAGTGGCTTTGGATAAACCCAATGTCTGTATCGGGGGTAAGATCGCCTCTGCACTGCATCTAACCACTTTGGGTATTATGGAGCGCTGACATAGCCCCCGGAAGCCTCAGCCTTGGCTTCTCGGCTCTGCATCTTTCTCCCTCAGCCGTATGCCCTGCCACGTCCTGTTAACATGACTGTAAGACGAGTGAGCAAGCGACGACTGATATTGGCCAGGCTAACGCCTAGGGCAAAGGCGGGGTGGTCAGCTTACACCTCTATACATCATAACCGGGTGTAACACTAAATATGACTTTCGCCATGCCATTAGGAAATTCTCAAAATTCTATTGTATCCGTAGATAGAATAAAGACCCAGCCCGTCTCACGTAACTGTATCCCTAGGCAGATATCTGCATTCTATGTTTTGCTTTATTGAATTACTTCTTTTATTAAAAAAGTCGTTCGGCACCCTTAACGTGGATGGTAAGCCAGCTGCGCACCCTAAACCAACATAGTGAATGCGATATTTTAAACACTTATACCTCGTCACCGAAGAACTTTCTTCCATTTATATCATGTACGGTACTACTTTTAAGTATCACAAATGCTACATACGAACTCGAGGCAATTTAAAGATTGATTTCATTGCATTACCATAAAATACTATGTATTTTTCTCGTTTGAAATTAAATATTTATTTCTTGACCACGATGTCTTATTATATCTCTAGGTCTTACTCATAGACTCAAGAAGCCACAAGAAGTCTATTACTATAGAATGATACTATATTAACCCCTTGTTGTTGCGATTCTATGTTGTAATCTATCGCATTACTATGGTGCTTTGGGGTGTGCAGCTCGCTTACATGCGCAGCTGGTTACCGACCACGTTATTTTTGGCGTATCTTTCAACTAGTTATGCGCCTCGGTAGAGAACGGATATGACCTAACCTAGGTGCATGTATTTCTATCACTATAACAATGGTCCAAAATACAAAGTAATCAAGAAACTCATCATAAACCTTCATGCCACTAATCTGTGACAGCAAGCGAAACTGCAGGTTCCACTGGCAAGACCACGATAGGGACCGGTTTGGACACCGCCCTTTTTTACCCAAGACATCGCTTTAATGCTGACTCATCATAATCACCACGCAATCATGCAAGTTGAACCGATAAACACACAAGTTTGTATCACGGGTATCACAATCTCATAATTTAGCTCTTCTGTCCAGCTGTTATCCTCTTCTTATATTCAAGTGAGCTCCTACATGCCCCCGCGTGTAGCCATAGGAACATGTAGACGACTCCCTCTGCGGAGTAGGGCGCTGTAATTCTAAGTATTGTATTGACCGTTGTCTGAGCGCCCTGGAATGCTGAGTCACGCTGGTGTCTTGAGTAAAAAGGTGGTGCCCCGCCCACGGGTCTGCTGACAGCAACCCGACCTGTAGGCGGGTTTGGCAAGGCCTACTAAGTTACCACCTCCCAATGCTCGGGTAAGGACCAATATTGGACGCTGAATCAGGATTTTCTCCATCCTAGTAGCTCATCTCAGTCGGGAGAACCACTTGAGCAGAAACTCATATGAGGCTGCTTAGTGTTCAATGCCCGGCGTTCCAACAAGTCGAGCCTGTGAGGCGTGTCGTCAGCAGAAAAAGAAGTGTGATGAAACAAAACCCAGCTGTTCGCGGTGTACTCGCTTACAGATGCCATGTGTCGATAATGGAGTCCGGCGCTTCAAGTTTCAAGAGCAGAACTTCACCTCCTCGAAGGCGGAACAGCATCCTATCGAGAGGTCGGTCATTATTGTGGGCCCTCCCACAGCCCACAAGGCTTGTGACAGCAAGCCACGAGTCGCAAGCACTAAGGCCATACGAGCGTACAACACTATAGGTGGAAATGGGTGCAAGACCTGCAGGTACGCCCCCTCAAACAGTGTTTGGTGACCAGCTCTAAATAAGCCACCATCAATAGGATCCGGACAGTACATTGCGACGAGGTAAGGCCGGCATACAAGCGGTGTGTTTCTATTGGCCGCAAGTGTAGCGGTTGTGTTACCATCCCAGCATTTGAGTTTCCCAAGCCACAAAACCCGTCGATTTGGCACCTCCAGGTTGTGGCCAATCCTATCCCGCCTCTCCCTGGCAAGAAACCAAAGGAAATACGCAGCTTCCGTTTCTTCGTCGATGTGACAGCACCTTCCCTAGGAAGTGTCTTTGATCCTACCTTTTGGAAGACAGAAATTCCTAGAGCCTGCTACCTTGACGATGCCATCTGGCATGCAATTGTTAGCCTCGCGTCGGCTCATGAGTCTTCTGTTTCCACAGTACCTGCTGGCACGTCTACAACGCCTGCCAATTTGCATACCCTTCTGCACTATAACCTAGCTGTGCATGACCTGCTCAAGTCGTACTCATCCAATGGCTGGTGGCGGGTTCTTACCCTTAGCATTCTTTTCACGGCCATTTGCTGCACGGAGAACAAGTACCCTGAGGCACAGATGCATTTCAAGTCTGGGTATAATCTGATCTGCGAGATAGACACGCCAGACCCGCATTGCCCGCATGAATCTCTGCCCAAAGAAAGAGCTCCAAGATGGAATCGGCTGCAAAGCCGCACACCCAATCCAGTATCTGTTGCCTCGCTCCGATCCATGCTCGAAGCGCTCGAATTGCAAAATAGAAAGCTCGATGCTGCCAAAACCTAGGAGCTCCCCACGCCCCTTACGAATTCGAGCAAGCTTCGCTCTCTGAATATACTATATTAGTCGTCTCCTATAGCGTCTCTAGTGGATGTTAGTTGACACCAAGTCCTTGGACAATATCACGGCGCAGCGAGGAGAGCAAGGCCATGACATCTTTATAAGATCATACAAAGTGAGAGGGAATACCACTGAGACCATTTTATTCAACGATTAACTGTTTCCCTTTGCTTTTTGTATTGTAGACGGGTACGATACTCTTAGAACCTATGTCGTAACACAAGATCCTTGTGCCAGTCCGTACTTATGTTCGTTACCAGAAACATAATTTGAACCACCTCAGGGAATTCCAGCTCAATGACTTACCAATCAGGAATGCCAAGAAATACGCCCAGTGTCATCTGAATGGATGTAGCCGCCACACCTCGTCGTTGAAAAGACTTCGAGTCTCTCGCCAAGAGCATGCCGCATTCCTACTCGACATAGCGCTGCGTGGCTATCTCCTACTGGGTTTTAGCCAGTGCGTATGCACGCATTGAATAGCTGACCGGACACTTGTAGGATAACGGGTGCCAGAAAGATTTTGGGATGTCGTCTTCTCCTGGAGCTTTATCTGGCTTTTCCGTTCTTACTGCTTCATGTATTTCTTGCGCGGTAATGGGCGTGAATCTGACCGGCTGAGAGTTTTGATAAAACACAGTGTTGGAGAGACCTGCTTATACCGGCGGGGGAAAAAGGCTGTCCAAAAAATTTCTGCCTTCTGAACGACCGTCTCTGCAAGCTCATCTGGTTTTGCAGGGTTCTGAACCTTTAGTGATCGGTTGAAACCTTTCTCATAGGCTTCACTGCGCTATCTCGCACATTTGGTCAGAGGCCACATACCCTGCGGGCCATCTTCCATCACCAGTTGAACTCTACTCCGGTGCGCTCTAGACAGTGCTTTTTTGACAAGGCATGTCTTATTGTTGTGTGCCACAGAATATCGCACCCAGTCGCAGGGGTCTTTTGTCCGTATGTACTTGTGTCGTAATCGTCGAACTCTATTGACGGTGGTCTTGAATTCGTGATTGAAATCCATATTTGACCATGCCAACGGGGTTTTCCACGAGATCTAGGACTCAATCACTGATCCTTGTTAAGTATTCCTGGGAGAGGTCTCTTGTTTGTAACCCTTCTTCAATCTTCTGAATGAATTTTATCACTGTCAGTGGCTTTCTAATTTCCTTGTTTATGCTCCACAAGTATTGGCGTTTCAATGCCCAGCACCGTTCTGGTAAGGGGTCGAGCTTGCTCGCTTTGGGTTAGTCTGCTGGCGAGGCTAGAATCAATCAAGGTAAGGTCGTTTACCGATGACTGATCGTTTTGATCCAGGTGGCTTGATGCTCCACTGTCCCTGGCCACTATTATTGACTCGATGATACAATCAAGCATCTGTTTATGAAAGTGATTTTCCCTTCCAACTTTGTAAGAGCTGGAAGTTCAATTATGGGCCCATGGGCTAACCGAATAATGCCAAGCCTCAGCTGCTCACTTACTTTTATCATTTTCCCTGAAGCGACATTTAAAATCTACTTCTGCCTTTCACAATTTTTTTGAATTTGCTGCCATGTCTTGAAAACCGGATCTTATCAGGGGTGGTATTCTTAAAGTGCCTGAATTCGGGTTACCTATTATCCAAATACGTATGTGGTGTTATAGCAGATTCATGAGGGGCAGACATGTCTTGTTTCTGATGTAATTCTGAGGGAATTCAGGAGGCTATATATACAGTGACAAGGTGAATTTGGTTTTCAATCAACACGAGTCCTTGTATAGACAGACACCTCGGAAATTATTTCCGATAGTGCGGCTTTGTTCCTGAACTGCATCGGCCTCATACCGTAACAGTTTCAGACAATGGCCAACCTCTACTGTGGTGAAAAGTTATCAATCAAGCGTTGCATTGGACTATGGTACGTACGGGAAGATTGATGGTTCTACTCAACTTCTCCGCGGACATACAGGCCCGGTAATCTGATTCACCATTTACTATATCGTATGAGCCGCGAGGCAAAGATGCCAAGATTTTGCATGGCAAAGTATATCTGAAAAATTATTTTCCGTGGCAAGCTGAGAATAGACGCACACCGAAGGAAGTCGAGTGGTAGCTAAGAATTCATTATTCTGAGAAACGTTCATTCCTCGACAGGCTTGTTCTTATGCCTGCCATAGTCCAACCGCTCCCAACGCATCACCAACCCGCACACGAGACAGATGGCACCACCAGCCACAACTAGATAGAACTCCCGCCCAATCACCGTGGCCACGGCATCAATTCCACGAGAAAGTACATCGGGATTTCCAGACTGCCAGACTGCTGACGATACCCCAGCGAGCGCCTCACGCAGGTCTTTTTTCGAGTATCCGTTGTCCCCAATGGCGTCCATCAGCAGTTTGTACCCCACATTTTGAAAAATCGAGCCCGCAAGCGCCAGAGCAATTGCAATGCCACCCATCTGTGCCATGTTGAACATGACCGCGCTGTCAACGCGGTCCCGTGGGTTCTTGTTTATCACATTCGAGACACCTACCCCGTGCTGGAACGAACATCCAAGGCCAACGCCTATGAGTGCTTCCAAGCCTAAGATCTGGGATTCGGAGACACCGGGACTCAGTGTGCCGGCCATAGCGCCGGCTCCCGCGACAGTTGTAATGCCTGCAACGATGTAGATAAGATTGTAACGACCGAACACCGGGAGCAATCCACCGACGAAGATGACCACGGCAATGAAGACCATAACAAAAGGAAGGAGACGGGTGGTCTGCTCTATGGCGCTGTGGCCGCGAACGAAAGCAAAGAAGAGCGGCGTGTAGTAGAGTGTGATAGCGTATGATGCGCCCGCACAGCCAGACGCGATCCAAAGCGGAAGCAGGTCAACCCGGTTGAACAAGTGAAGAGGGACAGCGCGTTGTTCAGAAGTCGTGCCAATGCACCAATATTGTTGGACGATCCATCCAACCAGAACCACTCCGAAAACCACCCAGACTGCAATAGAGCGCCCGGAGCCCCAGTCCCATACAGGACCGGAAAATTCCAATGCGAGGGCAAATAGTACTGGGGCTGCTATGTTGAACGCAATGCCGACGGGGTCGATCGCCATCAGTCGGGAGACCAACGGAGTGTCTGGCCCTAAGTATTTGCGAGGAAGGCAAAGAATGGCGACCGCAAGACTGAGAACCCCCCAGGGTAGGTTCATGTAGAAAGCCCACCGCCAGGTGGTGTGTCTGTTCGATTCGAGAGCGGATCCGATAGGACCTCCAATGACGAGACCCACCGCCCAGATTGCGCTCAGAAGACCGAATAGACGAGGTGTCTCATCGGGCGTGGCGAAGACAGCGACAAATGTCAAATTGCTATGTTACCGTTAGCTCTATGAACCTAAAATATCGGAGGTAGATCGCAACAGACCTTTGGTAAACCACAGCTCCACCGACACCCATGACGATCCGTCCAACAATGACCGCAGGGAGGTTGGGGGCTGCACCTGCCACAGCAGCACCAGTCATGAATATCACGATGCTAGAGATATAAATCCATTTCATGTCGACGCAATACATGATCTTCCGGGAGAAGGATAGGACGGCAAACACGGCGAGGCTGAAGGACAGGCTGATCCATGGCAGAAGCGTAATGTTGCCGAAGGCTTCGTAAAGGGCGGGCTGAATATTAGCCACGTTGCTCACATCATAGCCTAAAACAACAACTTTGTCAGAATGATGATTTGGGATGTACCTGGAGTTATGATACGTGGAATCAACCGACCATTAATAAGGGTTGTCACAATAAGCACTGCAAGGGTTCCTTTCCACTTCCAATCAGGGATATGGCTGCGAGGATGAGTTCCTGGGGACAATGAGCTCTCATCTTTTCCTGAAGACGACATAATGAGGTTGATGCTGAAAGATGGGTCTTGACGATAAAGGAGCCAATACACGCCAGCAAACGGTATTACGTGTAAGGGAAGGGCGTTTCTTGTAGATACGTATGACTTTTATGGACACCAAGATATGTGGGAAATGAATAATGGAAGAGAGTTGCTTCATCCTTGTCCGACGAAAAGTCGCCTAATATATTCCATATACGATCTCCTAGTGGCAATGTCAATGCACGACAGACAAGGATAGTAATATGTTCTCTTGTCTATCTGCATTGGACTGTCAGCCAACTGATATCCAAGCGACTATCTCGTTCGTTGTACTGGTCAGTATCTTATCTAGATTTGAACCCATTCATTACGATTTTGAACATGCCCGATCGCGCTCAAAAAGACATCTAAGCCTGTATTCCAGGCGTAAAAGAAATATAATTCGTATCACGTCAGCGCGGTTGCTTATTCACCGAGGTTATATTCCATCTGCCAAGCAGAGGGACACCTGGCACCGTAGAGGCACTCCACAGCCTCAAAAAAGTAATCACGGTCGGCATGCCAAGAAAAATGTTGGCTATGCCAAGCAAGAATCCAAGATGGCTAGCGAATACCGGATTAGGAAAAATGCAGCGCTCAGGTGTAAAAAGAGACATAAGAGTGGCTATCGTGGAGCATCAGGCGTTCCATTATCTTTTTTTTTGCGAGGATCATGGGCCCTTTATTTATCTACGCTAAATATAGAGTCGAATATTGCTGATTCACCATGGGTTCATATCATTGCCGTATTTCTGATGAATTACTGGAGGATTTGTTTTTGTTATATTAATATCGCGATAGTATACTGCTGGTGAATCCGCTCACCGGTCCTTCTTTGCCTGCTCTTGCTAGCCTTCTTCAGCACTTTTTATGCTTGAGGGAATCTCCCGATAAGATAATTACCGTTGTCCATTTCTACTTCATCTCTTGGCCAGATCCCTCTTCTCCAACTCTCACAACATGTCCGACTCAAAAGCGGATCTCAACACCTCCTCTACTGGTGCCATAAAGCTCGACAATCCCTTCATGCAAAGCTGGTTAGTCCTAGCCCTTGTGTCACTCGCGATCGCAGGGCGTCTGCTTCTCTCCGTCTACTCCACCTGGCGTCATGCCCAGAAGTCTCACAGGTTAGGCTGTGGAGAAGTCCCTCTTTACCCCAGCCAGGACCCTTTCGGTCTTTCTACCCTCTTCGAGACACTTGAAGCAGCAAGAGAGAAGCTGCTCCCACATCTGGCAGAGCGGCGGATGGCTCTCCTATCCCGTCAGCATGACAGATACGTTTCTACCTTTCGTCTGTGCCAAGCAGGTCGGGAGAACTTGTTCACGGCAGATCCAAAGAACATCCAGGCCATGCTGGCGACTCAGTTCAATGATTTCAGTTTGGGTGATATGCGTCGTAATGTAGCTGAGCCTGTAGTTGGTCATGGAATCGTGAGTCTTTTCCCTGCCCCGGATGTAGCATTTCTCTCCTCAAGGGGGGGGGGGACGCATTGGCTGACTGAACTAGTTTACTACTGATGGTGAGAGTTGGTCGCGTTCCCGATCATTGTTACGGCCTCAGTTTACTCGAGATCAAATGAGCAATCTTGACAAGGAAGAACATCATGTTCACAACGCGTTGCGTGCCATTCCGATGCTACCTGACGGCTGGTCCTCTGTGGTGGATATACAAGCAATCTTCTTTCGTCTTACCCTTGACTCGGCCACAGAGTTCCTCTTTGGTAAAAGCTGTGGTAGCCAGATTGCTGCTATGCAAAATGAAACGGGGAAGGCCTCTGATGATACTTTTCTCTACGCGTTTGACCGGTGCATGTGGTATCTCGCGAAGCGACTCCGGTTCGAGCGGCTCTACTGGGTCATCTACAACCAGGAGTTTCGGAAGTGTATCAACATTGTGCACGCCTTCGTGGACCAGTATGTTCACTCTGCTCTTAAGCAGGCGCAGCAGCAAGAAGAGAAAGCCCAGAGCATCGAAAATATTCCATCGCAATATGTTTTTCTGAAAGCCCTGACTAATACTACCAAAGACCCCGTTAGATTGCGCGATGAATGTTTAAACGTCCTTCTAGCAGGCCGTGACACAACGGCTTCTCTATTGAGCTGGACAATCCTCCTTCTCGCACGACACCCGCACATCTTCGCAAGACTTCGGAGCGATATCCTCGAGCAATTTGGTACTCACGATCAACCACGCAACATGAACTTTGCGACTTTGAAATCATGCCAGTACCTCCAGTATTTTCTCAAGGAAACCCTTCGTCTCTACCCGGTGGTACCATTCAATCGCCGTTGTGCGACAAGAGATACTACACTCCCTCGTGGCGGCGGGGAAGACGGTACCTCTCCGATCTATATCCGGAAGGGCCGTACAGTCATGTACGGCACCTACGTCCTGCATCGTCGAAAAGATATCTGGGGCCAGGATGCTGAAATATTCAATCCGGACCGGTGGGCCGATCGGAAGGTCACCTGGGAATATATTCCATTCAATGGGGGACCCAGAACGTGCATTGGGCAGCAATTTGCTTTAATGCGGTCTAGTTATGTGCTGGTGAGGTTGTTGCAGAAGTTTGATAGGATTGAGGAAGTGCACTCTGAGAGGCAGATTCGGTATGGTGTTTCGCTTACTTCATGTCCGGCTGATCCGGTGACTGTGAGATTGCATCAGGCAAAGATAGAGGTTTGAATGGTCTGGGCAGGATTACGATATCGTTTAGATAGTGGAATGTTTAATCAGAATGTATTTGTTGTTTGGGGGATCTTGCCAAGGATCTGCACGTGGTACGGGCATTTTCCGGTAGGTCAGATCTGAAGGTCTAGTCAGGCCGGAGATACTCCGGCTTTCCCATATTAGTCTGGGAAATGATATTCACTACATATCCCTCAAGGCCCTATTTTTGTGTCATCTGAGTTATAGAGAATTGCCAGTAAAGACTCCTTTTCGAATTCGCGAAACTTCGTGATCATATTGGTGCGATAGCATCCCTTGACAATGTTATAGGCGGTACACTTTGTGGCGTAGCGTGTTCGGGGAATTTAACCAGTAAGCGAGCGGGACAAATGATGTCGCATACCTTTTCTTCACCATTGGTTCTAGATATTGTGATTTCCTGGTCACACTAAAAAAGATTATTGGAGTGATCTTGGGACAGGGAGACTAGATATTGATAGTCCCATGGGAATTCCCGTTTGGGACCGTCCCGTCCCTTCCTATGGGACCAACAGGATGGGATATGGGACAAGCCTTAGTCCTATGGGAGGGACTAACAAAAGTGGTTCCGTCCCGTCGGGCGCTAGGACTCCTATGATACAGACTAGAGTAGACTACGCCAAAACTCGCGAATGAGTTCTGGAATCAAAACCCAACCCAATGAGTTTTGAATCTGAAAGTGAAAACCCGCAAGTAACCCATTTCTACCCATTTTGCATAAAACCTAGGTCTTGGCATTCATAGTCACCTAGTAATTATGTACGTCATTTTTTAATACACTTAATATCTAGCTATTGTTGTACTTAAAGGAACGCATGACATAATAGATACAGTTCCGCCCCGAGGTGTCACGAATACCTTAGGCGTAAGCAATATTTCTTCAAAGGGGTGGAGATAAGATAGACATCTACCTAATTCATTACAGTTGTCACTACATTCTTTGATTTACAATAAAGCATTGAGTATAGTCCGGATGGCCTTATTCAGGATATACGTACCGCCTTACATAGGACGACCTCTACCATAGGCTGGGAGTGGTTATGTGTTTTCTCTTGGATAGTGGTGCCCAGTCTGCATTGCCAGACAGCCATTGAGCCATCCCCATTTCAATGTTTGTATAGTTGGTGTAGCCTGCATATCGCTTTCATTTGCAAGAAGCCAGTGTAATAACGTCATCCATTCATCCACCCATCCATCCATACTGTAATCTGTTGATCAGAAGGACATCGAGGCAAGCGATCTTCGATCCGAATGCGAGCAATTTCTTTTTACTGGGAAAACGTTGTGATCATGTGCCGAGAGGAATGGCGGATCCACACACGGGGTCTCCCGAGCCCCTCACCACGAACATGCAGAGAGAAGCATGGTTCGACCCAACCGCAAACCTTGAAACGAAGACGGCACCCCGCACCAGGAGACGCGCACGTGAAGAAGACGGTCAGACACGGCGGACGGAAACAAAGCCTCACCTCGGGCTAGCACACCACCTCCAGAAGGCGTTTTCGAAGACCACGAAGAGCTTGATATGCCGTAGCCCTAAGCCGAATCCAAATACAGCAATCGATAGCAGGTTACTGACTTTACTCTTTTCCGTAAGATTGCGGCTGTTTATTGTTATATTATCTAAGTAAGGTACCTTCCCATTAGTCAGCGCCCGGATATCATTTAAACAATCCAATATATCTTTGACTTCTTGCTCCTGCCATTTCTTCTTATCATTCAGGGCATCTGTGTGCGATAGCGCGTGTCGCCGGTTTAGTTGGATCCCAGGTCACGTGATGTATATAGACTTGTGGGAGTGGCTGCCTGTTAGGCAAGCACTTGGCTAGGCAGCAAGGAGATGAGCTGCTGCGATTAAGAAATAGCTGGATCTTTCCAGGTAGACAAATCAGCAAACTTGTACCTTAATCTAGAGTTCAACTTTTTGTGAGGGGTCAGGGTAAATGAATCACAAACACACACATGCGCGCGCGCACACACCCTGTAAGCTAACTGATTGTACAGATTAGTCTACAGAGAGATGCCTTTTCTACCCACATAGAAATCATCTTTGGTCGTTAGGGCGTCAATTTTCCGTTTGTACTACGGATGCGTGTGACATTGCAGTATTTCGATCGCTACACTGGAGTAGGGTCTCACATTCCACGCTGCAACATGCATCATTCCGAATCTGTCCCTACATTCCATTACCAGAAAAATACAAGCTGATATTTTGATCCTTGTTTTAATATTAAAAACAACTTTGGACGAAAAGAATCAATGTGCCCACCTTGAACATGTTCGATCAAACTCGGATAAAGACATAGTAAAGCCAAGGAAAAGCACTTACTTCATTCAAACTTTCAACGATGGTCGATTACCCAGACTTAGACACCTTCAAGAAGCATACTGTCTTCCTCACAGGAAGTACGGGGGCTCTTGGAGCCTGTCTCCTGTACAAACTTGCCGTCCAACTTCCCACGAACAAGATTTTCGTTCTGATCCGCTCATCCCCCGATATCGCTATTAGCAAATGGCGACATGTGATGCGAGATGAATTTCAATCTGTCATTGACTCGGGGAAAATACATTACATTCGCGGTGATATAACCCTACCCAGCTTCGGTATAGATGCCCTTTCTATGGAAAAGCTACGCCGAGAAGTGACACTGATTTTCAACACCGCGGCAAATATCACGTTGAACTCCACTATATCCGATGCTATTTCGGAAAACTGTTTACCAGCTTTGGAGCTCGCTCGAATTGCTTCTAAGTTTCCATTTTTGAAGATCTTTATTCAGATCTCAACTGCATATGTGAATAGCTTTCTCCCCGATGGGGAGATAAAGGAGAAAATCTACGAGATTTCGGACAACGATCCTGAAGACGTTCTGGCATCAATTCTTGATTCTGGAGACTCGAGAGACACCCAGCGATTCTCTTCATCTTATGCTCATGCTAAATACTTGATGGAGCGCCTTCTTCTCGAAAGATACCCCCTCCTCCCTTTGTTGCTTCTGCGGCCGGCATGTTTTGGCCCTGCAATGCGCGATCCATACAAATTGTACGGCCCGGACAGTTCACTTCCTCTGAACAAATTTGCACAAACTTTTATCGCTATGCGTGATCCGGCGCAGATTTGGCATGCTACTGAGGGTTCCACAACCGGAACCAACATTTTGGAGGAGATCCCCGTGGATTTCGTTGCGAATGTCTGCCTCCTTCATGCAGCGAAAAAGACATTTGGAATTATCCATGTTGGTTCCGAACTCCATGTGGACCGTACTTTCGACGATTTCTTAGCCCTTTATCGACTTGTGATTCCGCTAGAAAAGCAATCATCAGGGGTTGTATTTGTTCAGGACCGAAGCCTGGATCAATGCTTTTTGGCTGATTTAGTCAAGGTTGGTACACGCAATTGGAGATTCGATTGCAGTCGCTCCAAGTGGACTAAAGAAGTTCACGGCCCATTAAGTTTGAATACCCCTGGCCATGAGGTAGAAGAACTGCAGAGGGAAAACATCAGGCTTCTCTATCACAAGGGGAACCGTCTAATGCAAAAGCTCTGAAAACCACACTTTTCTGTGATCTTCGACTGTTCTTCAATCTGTATCAATGAATTTTCTGTCAAATGTTATGATTTCTTGTTTGGCACTTATTATTCTCGGTAACCCTTTGCGAACTAGAAGTCTTGGAATTCATGAATTTATTCACCACACACATGACCATATATATTTATGAAAACACGTGAAATTAGCGTATGCTGGTGCGAAGCTAGATTTTGCAAATCAGTGGTCTGATTTATTCTTGACAAATTATATCTTTAGTTCTGAATTCCTCCATGTAGCGCCAGTCATTCCTGCCGGTATCCTTAGTTTCCTTGTTTATCGCTAACCAGAAAAGACATTCTGGTGAAATTGTCCGCAATTCACTGGGCAATTGAAATTGTACCTTGTCATTGAAACGTTACCATCTTCACTGACAGCTGGAATGCGGTCGACTGCTTGATAATCAGCTTATTTCTTTTCCAAGATAGTGCTAGAAATATGCAGTAAGTTCCTCCCAAGGCTTCCAGAATGCGGAAAGGTGCTCGACTCAAACTTCAAATTCTATTTTTATATTAAATTTAAATTATATTTCGAGTCAAAGAGGAGTAGTAGGAGCTATGGGCGAGGAGATATGAGGACTAGGTACCTCGTATTTAAGGTATTTATGAAAAGACTAGTGCCACTCTTCCCTGTCGCACATCATGAAACCAAAAGCTTACTAGTTACAAAAAATTGATAAGTATGATTCAGTGGTGATAATCCATGGGCTTGGAGATAATAATTTTCTGTCGCTGTGTCGACTTTGACAAGCATTGTTGATTGCGGGCTTCGGATATCTCCGTGAAGAGATCGATATCTCGTTGTCTCTTCTATCTAAATCGTTGTCTGACCGAATCTGAAAGGCTCGCGTGAAAGGTCTGTCATTTCTACTTGATGTCTCGCGTGTATTTATAGACAGAAGTGCTGAAGTTGTCTATGAATACGCGATGAATTACTAGGTAGAAGAATCAGACCTTTCACATTCCTTTCACTCTCGGGATACTTACCTAAGTTCCTTGCCTGCTTGCAAAGGGTAAAAGCCCTTAGTCAGGGTTAATTGTTCTCGTTTAGACTATATCTGCTTATAGTCTATCCAATGAGTCTTCCTTTGTCCAATTTGGGTCCACTGGTTGGATAAAGCGGTATTAGGCATTAAGGGGTTAGTATATTTGTTGGAATTTGGACCAATGATACATTAGGTGAAGGTATCCTCTTATTCAACATAAGAAGAAGAAGAAGAAAAGAAAGAGATGCGAACATGATTTACCCCTCCAAACCGCTTACCCCTCTTTACCCCACCAGATTGATGACATATTCCTCATCACGCCATCAGTTCTATCACATTTCCTTCCCTGATTCTATTCTGGTTATCTGATATAAAGTATGTGACTTTGACCACTTTCTGTCTATAAATACGCGCGAGACACCAAGTAGAAAGAACAGACCTTTCACTCTCTTCAAAATATTCTACTATCCCTTTCTATCTGCTTAGAAAGACCTTCTGCTTAGTCCTTTGTTTGAGGATTGTGGATTGTGCTCATTTAGAGTGTATAAGCCCTTTGCACTCTATCTTATTCTTTTCTATCTTTATCCGATCAACCCTTCCTTGGTCGGATAGTCAACGGTCCGTGGTGGGGAAGCATCAGCAAAAGCGTACCCCGCGCCACGAAAAGCTTCGTGGTATCCGCCTCCCTTCACGGCCGACAGTTATGAGCCCGGAGACTCTCGCCTGAGTCCTCCTTGATTGATTATTACTATATCAGTTCGATTGCCGATCGATTATTCTATCTTCCTTTTACCGGCCTCGTTGGCCGACACTAATTTTGAGATATAATAAGATAAATGATATAGTAAATATAGTAGTTACTAAGAGGTAAGGGACTAACTTACAAAAATTGTGCGGTTTTTACGTAGACGCGACCGATAAATAATGGGCTCCTAAATAAATTAATATATCACTTTAGAAGATGGTACTAAGCCGCTAATTAGATAAAGGTTACTTACTATATAGGTTAAAACCATCAGGAACTATTAGAAACTATCAGAACCTATTAAAAACCACTAAAACCTATCAAAAACCACCAGACCCTATCAGAAACCACCAGAAACTATTAAAAACTACCAGAAACCATCAAAACTACGAGAAACCTATTCTGCTAAAAGTCTGCGTTTAATAATATATTAAATATATATATCCTCGCAATAAAATATAGCTAAGGGACCTATTACCTAATACTGGCTAACTACCTACGATTAATACACTAAAAATAAAGGAATATTCTATTACTTCTACTTTTAATTTTATATATAAGTGAATTACCCTATATTTGATAGCTTTTATAGTCAAAAAATATAATTAAGTAGTGTTAAGACCAAAACATAGTTTAATAACAGTAATCTAAAAGTATGAATCAGTAAGTTTATGTATGCCAAGACCTTAATTTTATGCAAAAATGGTTTTTGTTAGGGCCCCCCAATGGGGAACCGCAATGGTTTGTGGTTTGGTTTGGTTTTCGCGGTTTCAAACCGCAACCATTGCTGTTTGGTTTTTGGGGGCAAGGTTTGCCCCCAATTGCGGTTTTTGGCGCACTCTAGGCACGACTGGTTTGATGGTAACCATTCAACACTCTAACCAGAAGACGAAGGATCGACTTTGCACGGAGAAATATAAGGGCTCCAAGTTCCACGGCTCGAAAGAGGTAACCAGTAAGTACAGTAGTTTCCGAAATCAATTATACCTTCACACTCTTCTTACTCGGTTCCAGGATATACGCTAGTCCTGATATGGAAAGATAATGGCTAGTCCGCCCCCCAGACCGCTTCCTTAGATAGTTTCTGTATCTTACAATACGAGTCAGAAACGTCTGGTAATGTAAGTCACATGAAACTAGAGAAGTCTGGCAGAAAGAAAACTACCAGTATACCGCGACAACATCAACAAGATGAAAAACTTAATCGGCATTTGCCCTTATTTATCATCTGAATTGAAGAAATATGAGGATAACGTTGATCAAAGTCGATGATGAAAATTGGAAGCTCAGCTCCCAGGTATTTGTTGTTTGAGCCGAATCCACGGTCCACATTTTCGCCCCCAACCCTTGCTCGGCAGCCGGAAGCTAAAGCTGGGGTCTGAAGCTGAAGACTAAGAAACCCCGCTTTGCGATTCTTTCCTTTTCCTTTTTTTCAACACTCGATCCTTCTTGTGGCCCGTCCGTGATGCTGCGTATAAAGCGACGCAGGAATTGTAGCACTCGGTCGTTGAAGGGATGCCGAACATGCCGGTGGGTATCTATCCCCTGAACGTGCAACGGCTGACTGGCTCCTGCGGGGTCAAATGGAATAAGCACCGCATTAACTGGTGAGATGAACAGCATTCGACACGTTAAGTGCGACGAAACTCCTGGGACATGCAACACCTGCAAATCTACCAGCCGAAAATGCGATGGCTATGATCTGCATCGCTTGCCCGTCAGGAAGCGAGCTCTCACATTGACCCAGAGTATTTACCTTCACCCGGGATGGGTGACTACCATGGACGAGCGACGATGCTTTTCATACTTTCAATATTGCTCCATTCCTGGCTTCGGAGCATTCTTTCACTCTCCTCTCTGGCAGAACATTATCTTGCAGATTAGTCATGTTGACCCTGCTGTGTATCATGCCGCCAATATGCTCGGTGCCCTTCACGAAGACTCGGACGCGAACGAAATGCGCTTGTCTGGGGAAAACCTCCAGCGAGCTCGTCATCGCTTGGCACTTCAGCAGGCCTCGCGAGCTTATACTCATCTCTCCCAACGCCAGGCCTCGAACGACCCTCAGTACAGGGAAGTTATACTCGTATGCTGCCTTCTTTTTGTCATGTCGGAGCTGTTGCTGGGACGGTATGACAATGCCTTCCAGCACCTACATAGTGGGCTTCGCATCCTCAAAGAAACACAGGACTATCATTCAACAATTAGCATAGACGATTCGCTGCTCCAAATCTTCAGACGACTTGATATCCAATCCGCCCATTTTGGGCCTGGCACCCCGTTCCTATTCACCAATTTTGGAATCGATGATGTCGTGCATACCCTAAATCGTTTTTCTGGAATGCAAACTGTGTCAGATGTACACCGAAGCGTGACTCTTCTCTTGAATATAGGTATAACTTTTCTCGCCCGATGCTGGCCGTTATCCGCTGTTGAAACTGCAGCACAATATGATGAGTTTTTTCAGAAGCAGCAACAAATTTTGTGCCTGAACTATGAGTTCCAATACCATCTCGGGATATTTAATCGCGAATTTTATCATACCATTCGTGGTCGTGAGCAGCAAGCTATCGATCTGCTTCAACTCCAGAGTCTTGGACAGATCCTCAGTCTGAAGACCTGTCTCATCAAAGGACAAGTGCCTGCAAGGTTGACACCGGATTATATCACCCTGCTCTCGGCACATCAGCAGTTCCTAGCCAAATGTTCTGATCGCCCAACATTTACTTTGGACTACGGCGTCCTCCCGGGCTTATGGGTGGTGGCCTCGCAGTGTCCAGACTATTCAACTCGCTTGCAGGCAATCTACACCTTGCAGACCTGGCCCCACTGTGAGGGAATCATTAATTCTAATGTCGTTGTCTCGATGGCTTTAACACGTCTGAAGGCAGAATTACGGACTCATGGTCAATCATACAGCTCGATTGTGGACGCTGACATGGAAGAGGAGCTGTCAAAGTTTCTGTTTGACACATTGATGTTGACCCAGCAGTCGACGAACTGGTCAGTCATTCGCGGAACTGATCTGCTTCGGAAACATTCTGGAGTGAGTACCTAGATCTTAAAGCTTATTTCATTATTGTCCATGTCGATGTGAATGAAGTAAATAAACGGTGATTAATACAGTGTCCGCCTTGGTTGTACTGTTGTTCTTTCAACGATAATTCAATATTCAGGGCAGAGCAGCCTCAAACAGAGCAGTAGACTGTCCAACAGAATCCTCATTCCAGACTTGTATCACCTTGAATCCAGCCTTTTTCAAAAGAGCCACCCATTCCTTTTCGGTTCGCTCTAGGGAGGAGAATAATTCCATCATGTGTATATCGAGTGTCGCGGCCATTGGAGGGACATCGAGGTCATCGGACATTGTATGCTCATGAACGAACAAAACAGAGTCCTCTGTCATGGCATCTTGGATACGTGCAAGGAATTCCAGAGCTTGCTCATCCGGATAATCATGCAAGACCGTTCTCATATAGTACGCTCTAGCACCGCTGATAGGTTGTGGCTCAAACATGTTGTAGCCGATAGCCGTAATCCCTTCGGGCAGAGGCTCCTTGATGGTGTCGATCACCTGAGGGAGATCCTGCAGGACGAGCTTGCCCGGGAGGTCTGGAAAATGCTTTTTAAACGCCATGATATCGTGGCCCACGCCGCCACCTATATCGACCAGCAAGACCTGGTCCGGTGAAACCTGCAGCTTTTGCTGTACAGGATAAATTTTGAACCAGTCTGCACCGCGATAATGTTGGCTCTGTGTCATTACTGAATTGAAAACCTCTTGTATTTTTGGATTTTGACTCATCCATTCAAAGTAATGGCTTTTGGTGTTGTAGGCGAGCTGAAAGGGAGCGTTATATGCGTCTTCAGGGTTCTTGTAGCCATTCAGTTCAAAGTAATCAAAGAGCTTCGCAGTTACTTGCATGCCGGTGTGGCTGGAATCTATTGTCAGTACGCACCACACCATATAGACAGCCCGAAAAGCCTACAAGTGCTTGATCATGTCACCGGGCACCGACTCGTTGCCAAATACCATTGCCAAGGGCAGAGGCTTATATGAATCCCTCGTGGTTTGTTCGAAAATATGGTGAGCAGACAGAAAACGCATGATACGTCCTAAGAAATAGTCAGCAGGAGCCCAGTTGAACGTCAGATAGAGTATCTACTCAGAAGCGTCTCGTCCCCTTTGACGTTGGAGGATAACTCTTTCAGTGACATATCTTTGCCTTGAGATTCAACGAACGCATCAAAGATCCCCATGCCCTGAGCTATCCGGATGACGACGATGCCGTAGTGCTACTCAAGATAATATTAGTGATCTCTTCAATGAGAGAAAAAGATAGGTAAATTGAGACTGGAGGAGCCATACCGAGAAGCAGAATCGCTGGATAGGCAGTTGGGGAGGCTCTAGCGCTGATTGCAATTGGCCGATGACCCCCAGGAGCTGCATGCGGTCGACATCTTGGATCTTTTCTGGAGATGGGAGATTCGATAGAGCGGAGATCAGGGTAGAAGTCAGATCCGAGAGGGCATTTGCCATGGTTGCAGTTCAATTTCTTGGAAATTGGAAGATTCAGGTTAGATATGCTTAAGAAGAGCAGGTAGCCAGAAGGAGGTCATTTTTGCCCATATTTATAGTCTGCTTTGTCTCCTTGCAGTAGCTATATTGATAAAAATTAAATTTAGACCGCGAGGCTCGGCGATTGAAAAGTCCACGCATCTACCAATAAGAAGGGCTTTGGTCGCGCTAAGTCTTAGCTTATATTTTAGCCTGTTCAGTCTCCACGCTTCGACGAATAAAATCGTGTTATACAATAGCAATGCGGGAACGTCCCACTTTAACCCACTTCCCAATATCTTCTACTTTCCTCTGCATCTCGCTGTGCATCTCATCACCGAGCATTCTTTGCCCCTCAGATGACTTTCCTCTTTTCCCCCCTTTCCGACCAGCGGATGTAGAGGAATGACGTAGTTAAAATTGATTATCAGCGTAAGCTCTTTACCACGGACTAAAAGATCTGACTATATCAGAAGCTGCTTTTCGATGGCGGTCCAGGATATATCGGTATCGTCAAATCGTTTGGTCATTTTTCGCAGGGTGCGGTAGGTTGTTGAAGCGACTATGACAGTATAGTCTGGTCTCACCTAGTTATGGTGGGTAGTTTTGCGTCGTAAAGCTTTTTCTAAGTTTTTTTTCGAAGGATAGCTACCAAAAGGCGCTGGGTGCCAGAGAGACATATTCTTCGGTGTCCTTTGATACCTCCCTATTATTGATTGTCACTCCCTATTCTACAGTATACGGCTGTGGATGCACGTTAGTGGGTTTTCGTTCTAGGCCTTCCCATCTTGCCACTCACACAGTGGGAGAATTTTTTAGAGTGCGTGGGGCGGTTTCATTCGCTCGACGGGGAAGGCTTATGAAAGATAGCGCTGCGTAGGGGCTGCCACAATAGCCAGGATTTGGGGCGTAATCCGAGCTTTGTTCCCATAATTCGTGTTCCTTAAACTGAGATACATCATCGAGGTGATATTAGCTCATCTCTCAAAGTAATCACGATTCTTGTAAAGCCCATGTTAGCTTGCTGGGATAACCAAATTATGTTTGATGCTGGTAACAAATACGAAGCAATAGATAGCACAATCTATTAAAAACATCTTTCCTACCCGGGTTCAGCTCTCTACGGCATAAGCACAGCCTTCTGTATTATGACTGGCGGGCGAAGATGAGGGCTGCGCTGCATATGGAAAGAATGAGGGGAAAGAGGCAACACGGGAGTGGAAAGCTACCGGGCGATCTTGCCAGATCGCCAGATCTACGAAGAGATTCCATGTATTATTATAGTACCATGACAATGACTCATCAGCGGTAGTACTATTATTAAGATGAAGGTTTTGCTGGAATTATGAAGCGGTGACCTTAAATTGGGTTAGCGCCACTCGGATTATTCTCCGCAAATTAAGTAGTAAGAGGTTGAAGGTATAACTCAGTTGATTTCGAAAACTACTGTAACCAATGATTTGGTGGAGAGGCGTGGTGGATGCCACTTTTAGTGTTTCTCTATCCCATGGGGGTAAGTGGGATGCAGTTCATCCCAGTAGACTAGGGTTTCGTTAACTATGGGAGCCCATTTGTACATACCAGTAGAAACGCCAATCCAGATACCAGTAGGCTTTTTTTGATCGGATCCCTATCGAAGCTCGGGGAAATTTAATCCAGCGCGCCCCACGTATTTTGGCAGAATTTAAAGCCCATCAGCCATTGTTAAAGGGTCATTACAGGGATCGAAAAATTAGTTAATTATTTTGATGGGGTGCGACCGGACGGCATTTAGGGTTTCCATCACATACCATCACACACTAGTACACCACCAGCCACCAAACCACGCGATCCATCATATTCGAATAAGCAGGGTTTCATATTATAAGTAGAGGGGTAGTGTTCAGGGGGATTTCCCTATCCTATGGGGGTAAGTGGGATGCAGTTCATCCCAGTAGAGTAGGGTTTCGTTAAGTATGGGAGCCGGTTTGTTTATCCCAGTAGAAACGCCCGTCCAGATCCTAGTAGGCTTTTTTTGGTCAGATCCCTATCGAAGGTCCGTGAAATTTTAAACCCAGATCCCCCACGTATTTTGTGCGATTTTCAAGCCCGTCACCCAATATTAAAGGGTGGTTACAAGGATCCGAAATATAGTGAATTGTTTTAATGGGGTGCGACCGGGCGACATTTAGGGTATCCATCACACACCATCACACACCTATCCCATGGGGGTAATTGAATTGCACTGCATTGCATTTTAGTCAGCAGCCGTTAGTATGGGTTAGGGTTTCCCATTTCACTGCATTGCAATTACATTGTGATTGCATTAAAATCACATCCGCCGGAGAGATCGTATACAGAATTTTATTAGTTTTAAATTAGCCATTAAATTTTCGTTTCCCCAAGTTTAATATCCATCTAACGATTTAAAGAGGTAGTTACAGGGGTTCAAAGTTAATAAATTATTTTGATGGGGTACGGTCGGCCGCGCTATCACCAGTATCACCTATCATCAGCCAACAACCATAGCGGATTCATCATATAGCAACGAGTAGGGATTAGAGATTGAGAATTCAGTTATAGGATTTAGGGGTTCCTATTAGTTTCCAGTTTGAATTTTAGCAATATTCGAGCCATTTCCAGTAATAACAACATCCGTTCAGTATAGATTCCGTATCGCGAAATATATATTTACGTTCAAGATGAATAAGCCCACCGAGTCAACTATTGCCGACCAATATTTCGTTCGTAACGATAAGTGGGGAGTTGCTATTTGTCGCCAGTGCGAGCATGCCGTGAAGCCTAACGATATAATATGTTATTTAACGACCCCTAAAGGCATCTATCGTATTAGTCGAGGTATTACATAGTAAGTAATCGATATTATTGATAATGCCGAAGAATGGGATAGTGTGGACGACAAAAATAAGATTTTACCCACGAGCGTACCCGATCCCATTCCAGGGTTAACCATTTATACCAATAGGTTATTATACAAGTTATCCGGGTGTGGTTAGATTTATCGTAGCGTCGATAGTTTGCGGACCTATTGGTATAAGGAGTATCGGTTTTCCGCGTTTAGCCATCGAGGGAAGCCACGACCGTCCGAGACTATTATAGGACGGGAGAAACAAGAGGAAAATACCTAGCGAGTGGTTTACTAGCGGTTTTTTCGTAATAAATATGGGTCGCATTATATCCATATTCGTAACCCCGGTACCGCGTACGAGCCCGAAGTATCACCGCCCTAGGCCAGCTAAGTCGCGTAAGCCGTTAACGAGATATAAGCGATATTTACCTAGCAACAGTAGTAGCCAGTAGTGATTTAGGCCGGTGACATTAATAAGGCCAATCCATAGTTAGACCGTACCGGATAGGCCCGTTATTTGCATGGCCAGACGCCTAAGGTATTATAGGTATGCGTGGAAACCCCCGCGGACAACGCCGAGGGCCCCGAAGCCACCGTATAGGTGATATAGGATGCTATGTTAGGGGTGGCGAAGAAAAGCTAGAGCATCACCAAATAGACCAGGTATTTATTGCGGATTAAGGCCGCGCGTACCGATTTGCAGAGTATCCTATCGAAGCTATTACAGGCGTACATACACAAGCACGCCGAGTTAGAGCGCCACGTCGAGCTATACCAGCGGGTGTTAATATTTTTTACGCGGACGTAGGTCCCCCACGAGTGGGAGAGTCCCGCATACCGATTTAATCGCCGGTAGCGTATCGTATGGGACGTATTATAGCGTGCCGCGTAGTACCTAGCGGGCCGTCCCGTGCAGAACCCTATCGACGGTAGGGACGACTAACCCCACCGGTTAGAGCCCGTGAAAGCGCGATATATAGATTTTATGATCGAGTTATTAAACTAGCGGATCTAGTTAAGTGAGTATGAGTGTGCATTAATATATATATTAGCCGTGTTAGGCGTAAGCGACCACGAGGCTAGCCGGCTATAGAAGGACCCCTATAGTTATCCGCCGATATTATCTAGTATGATTAAGATTTCGCGGTTTATGATCGTGCATAAGGTATATTTATTAGACCTAGATGCCCGCGAATTATTGTAGGGGACCTAGAACCAATTCGATAGGGAGTGGACGGGCCCTAGCCTAATAGAGGATCCCAGATATATATTTGGCGATAAGGGGTATAGTAGCAGTCCGCTATCGACACCACCACTATATATATCGTCCACACTAATATTGTCTAGTTCACCCGTATTTAATAGTTTACCCACGAGATCTAGTTCGCTATTAGTGGTATTCATATAGTAAGCACGATAAGGAACGAAGATATTCCGCGAATAGATTCGAATTATGACCAGTGCATTTATGGTCCACAGCACCGCTAGCCTAATAGAATAGATATTAGATTTACGTCGATATAGGTTAAAGGTCTATTATAATACCCCGTCCGATAGGTATATCAGTTAGGAAGGCCATAACTAGTTATCGTATAAAGCGATATAGTTCACCATAGGTGTATTCTGAGGGTTTATCTATGGGTTAACCGCTAGTGCGCGGCAATTAATGGTCGACTATATATTAATGTGCCGACTAGATTAGATTCCCGTGATCCTATAGGACCGCATAGCGGACGATTTCAACCAGCCCAAGGCGGGGTGGAGTTTTTTGCAGGATCTACGTATGTCGTGGCCGGTCAATAGGGCCTAGTGGATATCCGATCGAGTACGTACGGAGCGTCTATTATAGCAGTTATTTATCCACGCGGATGAAGGGCGATACAGTATCGATGGCATTAAACGGTTTTTTGGGTTCGTTAACGATTTCAAGGAGAAGTTGGCCGTATTAGTCTATCCCATGGGGGTAAGTGGGATGCAGTTCATCCTAGTAGAGTAGGGTTTCGTTAAGTATGGGAGCCGGTTTGTTCATCCCAGTAGAAACGCCCGTCCAGATCCCAGTAGGCTTTTTTTGGTCAGATCCCTATCGAAGGTCCGTGAAATTTTAAACCCAGATCCCCTACGTATTTTATGCGAT